CTAACCCTAACCCTAACCCTAACCCTAACCCTAACCCTAACCCTAACCCTAACCCTAACCCTAACCCTAACCCTAACCCTAACCCTAACCCTAATGATCTGCAGGTCTACGATTACACAACATATTCAGGCGATCCCCTCCCGATGCCGCAAATTGATAGGGACTTCGCAGTGCTGCATTTGAGTTTCTTTTACTGGAGCTGCTCTATCCTCCTATATACCACTATTCATATGGCCGCGAATGAGGCGGATGACAATCAGCTTATCACACGCCCTTCTCCAATTCCTTTTTCCTCACATGGATACCCCAACTACCGTGATGAACGGAATCCTACTTTGCACGCCCACAGAATCGTCCACGCTATGCCTCTATCGTATAAGCCCCACGCCGGTGGCTATGCAGCGCTCAGTTCAACTTTTCCATTAGGTGTAGCTCGTCGCTACCTTTTGGTGGCCCATTTTTTCCCACATGAGGGTGGTTCACGTAGTGCACAAAAGGAGGTTCTACAAAAGATGCTGTCGCAGCCGTTCATGGGGGCGTATAGCGCACGGTTCATTGACCATCTACACAAGGTAGACACCCCCGAGCAAAAGCTAAAAGACCTGACAGGATGGCGCGGCATGGAATTGAGGGCGACGAGATGGTGGTTTGGGCCTTTGGTTGAGGAAAAAGTGAGAATGATATAGAGGAATTTTTTGGTTTTAGATGATGGAAACTGGTATCTTTGTAGAATCTGTATATCGACCATAGCGTATCGTCAAGCGCCACTATTCGCTTTATCTTGTCTATTGCTATCATCTCCATTCATTTTAAAGTTGGGAGATAATAAAGAAACAGCTGGATAAGTACCAACAGCTAGCTGTCTCATTAGCTTCTCTGGCTCGCTATGAGATTGTCCCTGGTCGGATCTTGGAGAAATACGAGCAATATTCCAAGGAGCATCAGCCACGCGATGTCAATGACTTTTTTTTTTTTTTTTCAATGTGAACCCATTTATATTATCAAGTGTAATTATATGTATGAAACACAAATGTAATATATTAACTTTGATCTTATCTTGACGGCTAGACTAACCTAATAATCCCGATTTATACATAAAGTAGTCATATTGACAAGCACTGCAGCGCTCTTTCAATACACATAATTAACCACAGGTGCACATCAGCACAAAGCTCGCCCTTAAGGCTATAGAAATCTTTTCCTTCGCAGCTGACGCATCTGAAGATGGCAATTTTCTTCAATTCTTCTATCAAACATGTTTTGAAGACAACAGTCTACACCGCGTTCTTCATTGCGCTCTCAGACCAGGTACGTTTCTCTTCCCTCAGCGCAGACTTAACCCAGTAGGTAGTAATAACCGTCCAGATACCAGCCCAAATCCATGGTATCGTCCACCCTACCGAAAGGAAACAGAAAATATTAGTCCAGTACGTGAGAATGAAATATGGGAATAGGATGAGTCATAAACTTACCCAGCCCCCAAGCAAAAGTCTGATCATGAACCGAAGAAAGTATACTTATCAAAAGAACGCCCAAAAGAAGCCCACCAAATCCCCAGAACCAGTTTAAATCCTCAATTAGACGTCGAAACCGCGGGCTGGCTGTATACCGCTCCATCAGGGCTGAGCGATATAACCTGCCTTTGCCCCCGTCGACCGCAACGATATCCTCGATGATCACCAAGATGCCTGGTCGAAAAATTGCACCTGCAGGATGGGAGGAGACCGCGAATGGTTGACGTATGCGAAGCTTTGCCAAAAACCCAACAATCACCAGGGTAGATCCAACTTGGACGAGTAGAATAGATGGAGGCAAAGACTCCATTCGTACACTGGGAGGCTCCTCTGTCAAGCCAATCACGAGAACTATGGTGACAAGCATAAAGCCAACGAGGTAGTTCCAGTGGAAGAAGTCAAACTATGTGAAGGAAAAGAAGAGTTGGCAATTTGTGTTAGCAGATCTTTTTTGCAACTTCACTCTGTTTTCGCATGGGATAACAAAAGAAAGAAAAAGAGCATACCATCCAACGACTTTCTGATGTAAGAGGTCGGCAATCTAATGCCGGTTTGAGTAGTCGCCATGTTCGCAGGCCCAGCGAATATAAAGTCGACGCTCCTAGGACGGCGCTGGCTACACTCAGCGCTGGTTTTAGATATCTTAGCGTCAGCTCACATGATCTAAGAGAAACTTGGAGACGCGGGCTGAAGACATACCAATCTTATCGGATAAGTCCGCCCCCCAGCGTAAGCTTGGATAAAGCACCAACGGCGCTATACAAGACGTGAGTAATATGATGCCCCATTGCAAGCATATATGGAATTTATGCTCATGGAGATCAAGAGGCAAGGGAGGAGGAACATCGATTGCTTCTAGCTGATAGTTACCCTGCTCGATCATGTTGTATTCGTCGCTCTGGGTTGAGTTCATTTCACTGGAATGCATGTTGGAAGGCAAAGTAGATTGAAGTCCCGAAGTGTGGCATACGGTACCCTTTTATATGTGAGTGATGTTATATCCACAGCAAGTACATAATGTTATTGTAGTGCTAATTTAGCTGTTTCTAAGATAGTACACCAGTAGGGCTTAGCAAGTGATCTTACATTCGCACTCCATACCAGTTGAGGCATTCAACCTGGCCAAACTATACTTGATCGGGGTATACACTGCGTAAACTGATAAAACTCTAATCTTAGACTTGGCCCCGACGGGAGCTATACCTATTAGGGAATCATTGTGCGCCAGGGCTGGGCTTGGCGGATTGGCCATAGCGCAAAAGTAACCATATCCACCCATGCATTTCCAGCCCCCAGGCCCACCGATGTAGGTACTCTGCATACAGGTCGATTGTCAGAGCTACTAGTAAGGCTGAGGCCTTTGGAAAACACTGCCCTCATGAATCTGTGAAACGCGCCCCCCAAAACGACACATTATCCTGTCTATATTTATGGCAGTGCAAATTACACGCGTTGAACAACTGATACCAGGAGAGTCTTTTTCTATTATTACATTAATATCAGAATAGAACCTTAAATAAAAACCAAGCAAATCTTCAATAGTTGACACTGGGTCCTAATTTGTCGTCCGATTTTAGTGACCACGATACCATCGCCGAGTCTTCTTTTCTTTGCTTCCCAAGTCGATTCCTTCTCCAATAAAGGGTTCTTTTACACCCCAGATTTCTTTCTCAAAGCTTCTTCCCTTCAATATCCTATTCAAAAAAAGAAGAAAGAAAGAAGAAAAGCGCGGGGAGGATTATTATTGAGAACCAACATAGTACGTTTCTAAGGTTGACTTAACATGCTGATTTGTTTTGTTATGTTAAGTTATAGCCAAGTTACATTAAGATATATTATCTTAATTTTCTATGATGGGTTTATATGGAACTCTTTATATGAAGCTTTAATTTTATAAAATTTTTATAAAATTTTATGGTGATATTGGAGTCGCATTCCTTACGTGGCTCGCTGAATGGCTCTCTGAGAAGACCAAAGCTCGAAGCCAACGGTCTATTATCTGGTTAAATAAAATTGCCGAAACAGGTATACCTTACTTCTGCTGCCCATTGTGTATCATACTTGTAGTGCAGTTCAGTACCAACCTCCTTTACTATGTTGACTGGTTATGGTCTACGAGTAAATGCAGCCAATGTTAGAAGCCAATTTAGTGATATGATTGGAAGCCAAATTATAAGTATAAGACCTTCGGTTAGCAAAGAGTAGAACACAGTCAAAGCTAATAGCTCATGAAGTGAGTTAGTAGTACCTTGACCCATATTTGACCCCCATAGTCAACTCGGAATACTGAGCTCAGTGCCACCTGTTGACTCTTTCCCTCTCATATTATCTCTCTGAGCAGTCAGACTATTCCTTCCCCTGTGAATGTAGCGGATCAGAAACTTTCTATACAGTAAAAAGCACTCCCTAACTAATATAGGAGCCATCCTTATTCATGAAGCTAGTAAGCTTCCTATATATAAACTTAATAGTACTAATATATAGCTTAAAATAGATTATGTCCTCTCTAGTCTCCCTACACCTTAACCTTGGCCAATATACGCAGCTGGCTTGGATGTCTTTTACCTGTCGCTGCGTTGAGGAGAAGCCTTTCTCTTAGATGCTATCTTGGCTCTTGGCTCTTGGCTCTTTCGTCCCCTTTCAAATCTTCCTGGTCCCAATCTTCTTCGTACTATTTCTCTGCCTGAGAGCAGTACCGTTCTACTGCGGACCTGTCTGCACAGATGAACATCACGCCGTCCACTTGATTGTCTTTGGTGTGGAAGAGAAACCATTTCCAAGCCGAGAGCAAAATTCAAAGTTTCAATGTGGCCTGTGAGCTTTCGGTATGAAATCCACCAATCTATCAATACAGGATGACGTGTTTCATTTTGAAATGTTCTGGCAATGTGATAGTAGTATACGTAGTAGATAGTACCGCATTTTCTACATGGGGAATGGGGCAGGGGACATACACGACACTAGATTGAAAATCAGACCTTGACATGTTTATTCCCGAATGTATGCAGTTGACCAGTCAATATAAACCTAGTTATAGCTAAGTACCATCTTCCTCTCACAGTCGAATCCTCTAGTTTGAATTCATGAGCATGACACCCTGATACACTCGTTGTCATCATCAAGGTCGCGCCTTAGGATTTCATGCACACTATACTTTCTTCTTGTTTCAACTTTCTAAAAAGGTAGCCAAGGTTTTATTCTATTATTTGGCTAGATATGACCAGCAGTAAATCCCATGGTCACTAATTTCCTGCTGTCAATATATAGATTGCCCGAAATCCTTCTGGTAGTAGTTCAATGTCCAAGCTCTAGAGGTAAATACCAAAAGGGAGACTCCCACCGTTGTTGTATGGGGATGATCCAAATTTTCAAAGTTGAACGCAGAATTCAAGCATAGCAATTACTTCAGACTGTCATTATGAAGATCGCTTAACAACCTTCCTAGGTTGCTTATTAATCATTACAGACTGAATTGCAGTTACAAGTGGTTCATCTTCTTAGAAACAAGGTTTAATCTCCATGTCGAGTATGCTTCCACCTTCATCAGCCGGCTCTGCAGCAACGTATTCTTGCAAGAATTTTTGTCGCGTGGGGCACAGCAGGTACTACCTTCTTTGAAGAGAGAGTAGGGAGTACGGCCTCGTGGCCTACTTTAGATATGGTTAAGTAATTACGCCCTGGTTTATTGATTTCAATCTTGATCATCATCCTGCTGCAAGTCCTTGAACAAGGTCAATAGCCAAACCCAAGAGAGACATTGATACCAGTACACGTCCCTTCCTGCTTATGGTATTCAATTCCAATCCTGCTGTTCTAGGGCAGATTCAAATGGACATTCTGGACTTGAAAGGGGATCTCATTTCTGGATTTTACCATTTGGCTAGTTGCTCTCTCAGCGGTGATAATTAAAGCATTCGATGGGAAAGATTCCACCGGCACCAGTAGTCTCCAGCCACTATCCGGCCGTAGTAGAGTGTATGTCTGTTACGCTCGAACAACCGTTGACAAGGGTTATGACAGCTTTTGAAGACCCTTAAATGTGTTTCCTTCGAACAGGATTTGACCACGCATCTAGCGCTGCAAAGTGATAGCAATTGTTTTGATTTCTTGATGGGCCTAGTCACACGTAGCGGATCATGTCTGCGCTAGCTTGGATTTGCTCTTTTCTTTATGTGCTCAGCTCTGGCTGGCTAACTGTTTGTTCATCAGGCAGAACCAATAATTAATCTTTAATATTCTTTCGGATGGACAACCTACGTGTTCACGATATTTACCTGGCGTCGGCTGAGAACCAACGGAAGTCAACCCCCTAGTTAGTGTTCCCGGGGCTCCTCTCCGGGTTACATTGGCTTGCAGACCCTTTCTGAAAGTATTGGAAGAGATTCGGCATGAAGCATCCGGAATGTCCACCATTCACTTGATTATTTAAATCTTTTAAGGGCAAGCTGTTTTGTGTGTTATGCTATGTCCTGCTGGGCAACTACAACTACATATGCCGTATTGCCGTATGACCTTCTCCACAATTTAAAAGGCTTGTCCTAAGGCCATAAGGCTCTCTAATTTTTGTCCTGAAGCTTTCTCCTAAAAGGGGGCGCTGATCATCAATAATGGATAATAAAGTGGGCCCAGATGGCTTGCTCAGCCCACCTCATGTTCTTCAGTAATACGGTGACACTCTATCCTATCAAACCCTTAAATGTTTCCCCTCCCTATAAAAAGTTAATTCATTCGTAGTCACATCTTTGCAGGAGATTGATACCCTCCCTGCTATTCTTATAATATATACTCTGGGAATTTCCGGGCGGATGTGAAGACATCTTGATACACCTTAGACCCACATCGCTAAATCTCCAAATTCTCGGCTTATTTTGGTCCAAGACATGTCTTCAATGGATAATGTTTCAGACGATCTTCTCGAACTAGCTAGAATGCTGTTTCTGGAGAGACACTGTTTCGGATGATCTTCCCCAACAACTAGGTAAATTCAATTGACCGCTACGTTTCCTATCTTAGAATACCTGGACATCTAGAGATATAAAGAGGTGACCATATCCTGGTGAAAAAGAGCATCAACAAACTCTTCATCTTCTCTATCTTCAAGGCCTCCAAATCCTTCAAACCCCCTCTACACCTCCACCAAAATGGTCCGCATCACCGCACTTCTCACCGTGGCCTTCGCCGCTGTCGCTCTTGCCACCACCAACGACCAGTGCCAGAACAAGTTCGACGTCTGCCGCAGCTCTGGTGACCCCAACATGTCTGCCTGCGCTGCTGAGCACGCCCAGTGCTGCTCCGACGCCTTCGACACCTGCCGCAGCAGCGGTGACCCCAACGAGGCCGAGTGCGCCGCCCAGAACGCTGCTTGCAAGGGCCAGAAATAAGCCTTCGAAGCCCAATACCGTGATTCCAATCGGAATTTCCACTTAGCTTCGACCATGAGGCCTGCATACCGGTTCAGCCTCGTACCCTGGAATATGTCATATTTGGGTGTCGGAAAGGAGTAGGAGGACATATGGACAATCCTACGGGAATTTTGATTTAAGTTTCATGTCAAATAAATTGCCTTTGAGGCGGAATTTTGTACAAAATTCGTAATTTATCACTCAGATTCAAGTACAAGGTATAACCATAGACGTTAGTGCTATGTAGGCGTATGAAGAAATTCGGCAAACAGAATATCTCAGAAAACAAAAACGCGGGAAAATAACTCGCTCATAGTCAGCTGTCGAAAGGGGGCGAAGACTAATAGTCATACGGGGAAAGCACCCATTTTGGGTTTAGACTTAACGAAGTTGGTATTAAACAACTATTTATTGGACATCAGAGATCCGCCCACGAGAGCGTTGAATGTTGAGCGGTGCACTAGGGCCAAGGCTGGGCTGATCAGCTTCCGGTGTATGCCAAAACCACCATGATAAAGCAAACAGTGATGTTGGCTGTTTCGAGAAGAGAAGTGAAGGAGCCTTAGTGAAAGGCTTAGGGGCTTTCACCTCGACAATAAGAGTTAGAAAGGTGTTGTGGCTGACTTTGTACTGTTGGAGAAACTACTGGAATGAGGATGTCCACAGCAATCATCCAAATCACAGCAGCGGGAGAAAATGCTAATGAAAGCTGATCAACAGAAACAATGTTGCCTCAATACCTTTACAAAGATACAAAGGCAGACAGAAAAGGGAAGCCACAAGCAAGTGGTAAGACGTATCTACGGCTTTCGGGAAAATAAAAGTAGACACTTTAAAATGCCAAAACTCAGAAAGGCCAATAATGCCTCATCCCGCATTTATCAATCCATGGTGTCCGGTCGATGCGGAACCGTGGAAGAGCATTGGACTGAGGGCTTTGGCTTTTCTTTGGGGGACCATATAGCATATATCCTGATTGGTAGGCTAGAAACATGATCCCGGTATTCATCATCTCTTCGTTTGCTGCAAACACATAGTGACACAGTCATATTATAGAAATTTCTATTTTACACAATACGTCCATGATAAATCCATGCCATGTTCTCATATATTCAATGAACTGCTGACTCAACCCAGAGCTTCTGAGAGTCAATTGTTACTGTCCGTCTCGGGGCTTGATAGTCGACTTTCATCTTCATGTTTCGTGGCAGATTAGGATCCACTTTCTGCCTTGCCCCAGACAATTTAAAGCCCTATCAGCGACATACCGAGTTGATACCAAGAACAGCTAAGTACCGACCCCCGAAAATGGCTGTAGAGCAAGGTTGGGGCTTGGGATAGAGACAGAATCATTTAGTCCGGCTCCGTTATTGGTGCTGGGAACGTTACTTATCAGTGTAGGATATGGGTTTATGTATATATATATATGTGTGTGCGTGTGCATGACAGCTACCCCAGCCACTCTGTAGGAAGGTCCTGTCAATCGGCTGTATGACTGAAAAACATGAGTATGAAATATTTATAATGATAATAAAAACAATAGTCGCTGCCTTGCCAGTCATAATAAAATCACACCCAGCCTCAGCCGCTACTCAGTCATAAATCAGGTGACTACTCATAACAATTTGTATTACTAACTATGCATTCATAAAATATCCATAGGTCGATCGATGACTGTCTCAGTGGAGGTATGTAGTCATTTGTCTTTTAGCTGACAGGTATGACATAGCGACCCATTGAACTACACAGGCATATCTGGAACCGCGGATCACATGTGGCACGAGCCCCATCGATCATCTCAGACAGGAAACGAGATTGGTTTTCTAGGCTGCGGCTGCCATCAAAAAAAGACTGAGATTACTCATGAACGTTTTGATTTTGGGTAACTAGATATTTTGATATTCTCAAAATATCAACTACAAGGAAACTGCGCTGAACCAGACTCTATTCCAATGAATAGTGTATGTTACCGTGACATGCACCTCTGAGCTCATCAGAAATACGACCAATATTTCCAATTATGCGAATCATGCATACGTAGACTAACAATTTCACATAAGGTAAGGCTAGTTATCGTTGATATAACGCCCAATTTAATTAATAACTGCCCTGCCCTGGGAAACCATAAACGGGCGTGTGCTTCCTTAATCCTTGGAGGGCTTTCACTATCTCAGTCTGAGAGGAAGGGAGCAGCTGTCCGGTCACTTTATTGACTCTCTATTACCTTTCCCCCTAGCCTATGTTACTAGAATGCATCATCCTCATGTAATTCAGTATAATATATTTATTATCATCAGTGTGGCGAGGCTAATCCTTTGCCGCGAGTGTGGTACGGTGGATGGCAACCCGCATGAGGGGACCATGTCAAAGCTAAGTGGCGAAAGTTAAAGACTGTAAAAGACTGATCCACTGTTGTCAAATACTGGATGAATAAATTGGAGATGGCCTGACTAAAATCCCATGAAAAGGCCGTTGACTCATGATGCTAAACGTAGAGCAGGATGCAGATGTGACATGTTCCTGGCGGCCCAAACTCGGGAAACATTCGGCGGTAAAATATTGCTCATTTGTCCCCACCCCCTCATGAGGGGAACTGATCCCGAGACTGTGATTGGTCTTCTCCAATCTATATTCTCGTATTGTGGATGGCTAAAAATTTTTCATCTTGAACAGTTAATAGGGCTGAAAATACCATATAAGTGAGGGCCGAGCTACTCCCGAGGGACTGCCTATATAGTCAGTGTCATCACTTGCATTGTCAGACCTCGACCAAAACCAAGCAGCCTCTTCTTATTCCCCTTTCCTCGTTCCTGAATCTCATTGCAAAAATGGATCAAGCTACATCCAGCCAAATCCAGGACCTTCCTCCTACCAAGGAGTCGTTGGCTCCAACTTCGGAGAAAACCTCCGTTTTCACTCGCATTAAGCAACACCTCCACAACGTGAAGAAGACATGGGGCCCTCTCCTCGCCGCAAGGGAGGACTGGCAGGATGAATACAACTTTAATCCCGGTCGATGGGCGGGGCAGGGCTGGGAACCGTCGCCTCGAAAATGGTATGCCATACATGTACTTGTTTCCCTACTATCCCGGATGTGTTTGTTAATCATCTGTTCTTAGATTCCGGCACCTGCGACGATTGATTAATTTAACGCAGCGTATACCCTCACATTGACAAAATGGGCGTTTCTTCATATACGGATGGGGGGGGGGGGGGTACTTTTGGTTAATAGATTTATTTTCGGGATATAATGACGGCGTTGAATTAAAACTTCTCACTATTAATTGTTTCCAATTGATATCATTTAATTGTCATTTGTTGACTCTCATATTGGCTGATTGACATCGAATGATAACGAGCCCTTGACACTAAATCAGCGGTATGATAGAATATTACATTATATGTAATTCCCGCCACTAGTCCAATAAAGATATCTAGCATATAGCCAGTTACAGCTACTATAATTAGGAATATAGTCCCCGCGACAAGATATATTTTAATTTATACTAGAAATATAGTTCGCTAGCGTATTGGGAAAGAAGAGCTACTGAAATGTCGTGAGCCAGCCGTTAGCGTCGTGTATTTCCTTGTATAAAGAAAGAGCCTGTTGGAGATAGCGATGCTTTCTACGAAAGACTGCTGTGAAAATATCACAACTATGGTAGATCTAGTCGTTGGTTTGAATTACCTGACACAGAATTTTGGTCTCCTCCTATTGATTTGATTGGAAACTGCGATTCAACGCACTTGCAAGATAATATAATGTCTCCAATCTCGGCACCTTCACCCCATGATCATGAGCAATGCGAACTGTATTCCCCAGAATACATTCCACCTCCATCTGTCTCGAGGCAATCGCATCAGCCATCATACTGGGTTCTACACCAGGCATTTCCCGTGCCGTGAGTAATGCCATCTGTTGATCAACAATCTTTTCATCTACGGCATGATATCCAACAGACCGCGCCACAAGGGCGATCTCATGCATCACATCGCGCATGAAGGAAATTGCACCGGGTATGGTGAGGAAGGTGGCATCACGTAGTCGACCAAGGGCGCAAATGGGGTTATCGGACGCGTTGATGAGAAGCTTTCGCCAACGCTCGACCTGAATGTCAGGTTCATGGGTGGCGTCTGCACCACCGTGGTTGAGCATCTTCACTAGCTGATCTGCTGATGCTTTGTGCTCGTCTGGCGCAGTCGCAGGATAAGTTCCCAGATGAATGTTTTTGAGCACGACGTGGTCAAAGATTCCGGGTTTGGTCTGAGTGCAGGTGATGTAAATCGCGGCGCTCAAGATTGGGTTATTAGGAAAGATGGTTAAATATGGTTCCTCGATGGAGATTCCATTTTGCATCAAAACAATGGCCGTATGAGGTGAGACGAGAGGCTTGATTGAACTCGGAAATTGGGTTGTGGAGGAGAGAGCCTTGGTTGTCAAGAGAATATAGTCGAAGCCCCCCGGGGTCTTTTGGATCGCTTCATCCATAGACCTGGCTACAGTTGGTCGAACATTGAGATTGGGACCCCAGACTCTGGAGTTGATGTTGAAGCCATGTTCTGCGACTACGCGATAGTTTGATCGGCAGAGGGCGACGAGGTGTGATGGAGGAATTGATTTGGAGAGGAGATATGTTGATATTGCACCAATACTGCCACCTCCAAACACGAGTGCTTTGGGTGGCATGGTGGGCATATTCCATGGGATTAATTGGTAGATCAAGTGAAGTTGTCTGTTCTCCTGAAGAAAAACACCCAATACGCCCTACACGTGACTGTCGATCATTTGGCCGACGGTAGCTGGTTTCATGACAAAATGAAAGTTACCTACTCTTTCCACCCACTGTGATCTGGTATGTGCTAGTTTCAAATGAGAAGGTGATCTCTCTTGAAAATAAAAGAGGACAGATATGTATTCAGATAGCTTCTGCGCAGGAACGCACGTATAGGCAAAGTATGGCTACGCTATACCATTTCAGGCATCTAATCAAGGCATATTCGTATATGCTTCAACAATATATTCAGCAGCTATAGCTCCCAATTAGATTGTCCATGATGTTTTGCATCCATCACTGAGGAATAGCCCAGTCCATTTATTATACAACTTGCACAAAAATGCGGCTGTAGCGAGTCAATGGAAAATTCCCGTCATCGGTGCCTTGCAAAATAATGGAGATAGTCTGGCCTGCTTTCGCATCGGTGGGAACCATCACATTCGCCCTATTGGCATTCAACTTAGTCACAGTCACAATGCCTGGATAAGAGCCTTCTTCAAAGAACTGCCACCAAGATGTGGTGACATTGTCGTGATCGGGATCGCTAACAGCACTCTCTAATGTCACGGTAACCCCAGGATGGGCCTTTACGGTAGTTCCATTCAAGATGTCCACAGAGGGTGCGTGATTGGCTCTTGTATAGTTGGATGTGAGGGTCCACTGCATGCGAGCTGCAAAGTCATTCTGAGCAGCCGCGATCCAGCGGTTTGTTGTATAGCCGGCGATTCGGCTGCCGTTTTGGCTCTTCTCATCCTCAGCCATCACCCACAGATTCGGGGAAGTCTTGTTTTGCTGAGCCCGGCCACCCCAACCCCCGAGCCTCGGATTAGCTGGGTCTTGAATACCGGTTGTTAAAAGTGGGTTGAAAGCCACGTTGTCACCCTCGCTCAGGAAGTCGTACGGTCCCAGCGGCCGACAAGATTGGCTGGAAGATGACCAGCTGGATAGATTTCCAAAGACATCCAGTGGGTCACCAGGCATTGCCTGGCCGTCCAGCCAGGAGCGGTAGAGGGATCCGTACCGGCCTGTTTGAATGCTTGGTTTGATCCAGTCACCGGTGAAGTACAGATGGTTATCGGGCACACCACGGACGTTGCCCTTGCTGGAATTACAGTTGTAGCCCCAGGTCTGGTATCCCGCTTCCAGTTGCTCCACACGTATCTGCGGCCAATGGAGAGAAATGTAGTTGGCGTAGGTTTCATCCTGGAAACCGCTCGCCATGATGACCGCCTTTTGTGAGACATCCTTCTTGGTCTGGGTCCACAGTTGCGAGCCCGAGTACTCTTCCTCAATCGACTTGAGAGCACGGGCAATAGTATTAGTGCCACCCCAGACTTGCAGGTAGAGCGGTCGTGGATCGTCGTCCAGCAGAAGCGACCGGATGAGGTTCGATCCATCTGTGTCATGATCCATCTCGCCCTCGAAGTCGATGTTGCCGATCTTCACTAGGGACAGGAGTTTGTCCGGTGTCGGATAGAATGGATCGTGACTCTGCAGATTCGGGTAGACGTCTGCGTATTCGTTGAGCACTTTATCCTGGATGGTTCGCGTGCCCGTCCAGCGCCATGTCCACTGTGGCGTGGTGTATTCGCGGTCTGGAATGAAGAACGCCCTCCCATTGCCGTCACCGGCCCAGTGATAGCGACTCGAGGTGTAGATAATGCCCTGGGTATCGAGCTCATTGGTATAGAGCAGGTACCTGATTAACGACGCCAAGTCGTCCTGCTCCATGTCGGTCGTGACGACGGTGCGCAACATCGCCGACCGATTAGTGGCGGATGTTGGCGCTACAAGAAATGCTATAGCGAGGAGGCTGACAAAGAGATGGTAGACGAATGTCTTCATTTTGTGGTGTGCGATACTATCTGTCTGGAATATTCAATGGTGAACTGTACAGAAACTGACTCTTGGCCTTGCTAGAAATTTGCGCTCGTATTTAAAGTCTGCATACAATCCCATATCCATCATTACCTATTCCTGGGTTAGAATTACCAAAATGGATACTTTTCTCAAATGGTGACTTTTATCAGTGGAAAATCTCCAGATTGCGGGGAAATCTGGGGAAGACCAAACTAGCGTGGAAAGTGACCACTCGATATTCTCTGCCCCACAACGCCCAGATTACCTGTGTGAGAGCGTCCTCTGCGTAAGACTTCCTAATCAGGAGTGTTAAGGCAGGCCCAGCGCTTCAGATTGCTTCATGTGAACCGTTCCCCCACTTCTGCCTCCCTTTTTGTATCACACAGAACAGGCGGTCATTCATGGTGATGCTGCAGAAGTTCTAGTGAGCATAACGGCAAGGCCCATGTGAGTTGCGAAGCTATTAAACTCTCTATATAGGAAGGATGTCTATACCTGTGCATTAGAACTACCAAGATAGAATAAACAACTCTATATACTGCGACTATTGCCAAAGAATGGACCCCGAAATACATAACATCGTTCACTCTTGTTGTATCGAAGGATAGTGTCGATATGAAAATTTACCTTCGGCACTTTCTTCAATGTGCCGGATACTATAGATGCTTGTTGTTCTCGGTGGTCTGCCATTCAGTCATGATACGAGGCCACTATCAGGGGAGAAAATGCATAGGGCATATAATTCGGTAATACATGCATAGTAAGATCATCCCTCAAGCCCAGTCCGCTGATTCAGGCGAATCATCAGCGGTGACTTCTCATACACCATATATACTCTTTGACATGCCACCCAATCCTGCTGTCCATCCAGCAATTCGATATCAAAATTCCACAGCAGCCGAGCCACCACCAGTCGCATCTCAGCATAGGCAAGGGATCTCCCCAGACAGTCACGAGGACCGGCGGCAAATGGTTTCGAGGCCTCTTTGTTGTCTGAAGCATATCGGTGATCGTACAAGGGATCTGTTGTTGGAAGCCAACGTTGGGGAGTAAACTGGTCTGGATCGGTGAAGTTGCTTAGTGAGTGATTTGTTGCCCATTGGAAGACAGATACAGAGGTCTGTCAGTTGGTCAGTACTTTTTTATATAATTATAGGTAGAACAAACCCCCTTGGGAATATATTGGCCATTCACAACAGCACCCGGCGACACCCTCGGAGGCGTCTCTGCTAATGGTGGGTAAATGCGTAGCACTTCCTCGAGACAAGAGTTGAGGAAAGGCAGTGCCACGGTGGACTTCATGTTGATTTCCTCTTCAGATGAGAAAGTGGACCGGATCTCCTCAGTCAGCCTTCTATATATCTCGGGCGACTGTGTTAGGTAAAACGTTAGACCCGTCAATGCGGAAGCCGTGGTATGGCTGCCAGCACCAATCAGTGTGCGTGCATTGGCAATGATCTCTTCATGGGTCATGCCGGATCCATCCTTATTGTGGCTGAGAATGTAAGTCATAAAGTCCTTGCGGGTGTCAGCCTCAGCCTCCAGGGCAATCCGTTTTTCTGTCTTAGACCGCGCCAACATGTAATACTGCCGTCGCTTTTCCATGTCTTCCTTGGTCGTCATGAACAGGTCAACCCACGGACGAAGGAGGGGATACTGGTCGAAGAACGACATGCGGGCATTTCCCCGAATTCCGCTGAATATCATAGCCACCAAGGGATGATAATCGGATTTTTCGAGGCAGTAGAACGGATCCGCAAAGGCAAGCTCGCCGATAATATCGAAAGTCAGGTAATTGTACCACCGGGTCATATCGACCGGCTCTCCAGCTAGCATCCGCTCTCTCAGCCGTTTCATCAATAGATCCGCATAGTGCTGGAGGTACGACTCTTGTTCGCTCAATGCAGCTGCAGAAAAGGCATACGCCATTAACCGGCGCTGGCGCTGATGATCCTCCTGACCAGCAGGCAAGATTCCGATTCCATTCCTGGGGCCGTAGAATGTCGCTGTCTTTCCGAATTCAGGGCCCATGGTGGAACGACGGGTGAAGACCTCGGTCCATCCGATGGAACCATCGATGGCCAGCTGGGTGGGGGAGATACGAACGATTGGGCCGTACTTTTCATGGATCTTGACCATATGCTTGACTAGATTTCCGGCAATCTTATTCTTGTATAGATAGGGCAGGTATGAAGCTGCATAGACAGTCGGACCTGGGAAGTGGGATAGGGGATGGAAAAAGACCCGATAGATGATGAGAATACAGCGATGAAGAAGAAACTAAAGCATCGGTCGATTAGCGGGGATATTCATCTAATTGGAAGAGTCGTATTTACCGCTCCAACAAGGAGCCCAACGGCCGGCCAGATAGTGTTGTTCATTTTGCCTCAACTTGCTGGAAGAAATGGGGGAATGATTGTTCTTGCGTTCACTAGCCAGCTATATATCTCCCCGAGGGTGCTGCTGTGCTACCCATGAAATCACATGTTATGGATTTCGGGCTTGTGATGGAGCATCATCAAACTCGCCGCGATAGCAACTGCTGGTCATGAGCAACGTATTATTAGTTGTATTATCGAGTAAATTAAACGATATCTATAGCTAGAGACGAGGCTAGTATGGAGAGCGCCATTTTCTGACCAGTGAATTTTTAGAATCAGCTAGAATATTCGAGTGTTGCTAAGAGTCTACACCTTTCAGCCACCGTGGTTGAGATACCTTGTCCCTGCTGGAGATTTCCTGTTGCATCGTCCAACCAAATTGCATCATGATTCCACGATCAAAAGGGCGCATGTTTGCATCCTGTGGATCCTGCAGTATGGTCATCCGTTTAGCAAGGGACACACGAACTCCTTGGCAATTTATCTATCCATAAGTTCAATGTAATCTTCAGGTGTCTTACAAAGATCGGCATGGGAGTCAATATATATTGTAGTCCTGCTATTACTACAAAAGCAGCAGCTCCATAAAACCTGTATATACCTGGATAAGTAGGAAAATCATATTTTGCTAGGCAGAATGAGTCCGAACTAGAATTGACTGTTCCCCTTATCTAAGTAGGCTATGTCTTCATCACAGTGATGGTATGGCTTTCAACTCCACGTCCCGTGGTTGGTAAGGATAGCTTTTTGCAACATCTCCCAGCCAATCATATTCAGAACGAAGGGATTGTGTTTGTGAATTATCTATGAGACGCTTGACTATGCCGATAGCCTCCTCTACAGGTAAGATGTAGGCTTTCCACAGTGAATACAAAACCCCGTAGGGTTTCAGCCATCCACCTTGCCGCTCGCCGATCAAGGAATCCATTGTAACACGGGTGTGTGCACAGAGAAACCCGCGCAGGAGAAAGTCAATCTCAGCCTCGTGCCGCGGTCTCATGCTGGCTGGTTGAGCTTCGAATAGCTCAATGAACTCCGCCAAGGCAGTTCGAATCAGTGCAGGGGTCTGCGTAACGGTGCGAGGTAGAAGATAGTGGCAGATGGCCTCAGGGTATGTTGGATCACGACACAAATCGTCACGATGAAGACGAGCTAGGGTCGGCTCCCAGATAGCTAGCCATGCTTCAAACTCAACAGCAAGGTCAGGACCGGATCGAATACCTTCCGCATGGTGCCGCATAAAGAACGAGTACCGCTCCCACGTTGCTGCAGCCACGTCAGAGAGCAAATGTTCGTGGAAGCTAGCGACCTGCTGGACCTGCTCCATGGAAATGCCCGCCCGGTTGCATATTGAGCTAAGACTCCCCTCCCATTGGCCCTGGTCATTCTGGTATATGCTGACTTGGTCACCAAGTAGGAAAGCGAGGGCGCTGTCAGTGGGGCGCTCCATCAATTCTTCCGAGGCCTTGGAGTCGATGTAGCTCAGGTAACGCTCCTGGTAGGATTTCTGCAACCAACGAGGGGATGCCCGCGGACCATAATGAGAATCAAGGTCGGCTGGGTAGCATTGGGTCATGAACCGGTACATATTTCCCAACCGACGCGCCCACTCGGCATGGTCAGTACTAATCTGCATCACGCGCTGGTACTGCTTCCATGCAACAAACTCCGAGGGAAGCTCTCTGCGGTCGGATTCTGGGACAGACTCTAGGACACAGCACAGGGCTTGAACCATGTCCATCAGTCGCGAAGCCAGGTCAGCCATGCGAGGAAGATAGATGAATTCCATGGCCTGTGACTGTGCAAAATCAAGAAACCGGTCCACCCAGAGGCGTTGATTAAGGTCACCATTTATCATGTACTCCAGTGTGGATGCTTTATTCAAGAAAGCCCGCAAATTCCGGGCAGCCTGATCCGAGAAAACGGCCGCCGTAGCAGGATCCTTAATGAGACATTCCAGCGCTGTGTCGTAGGATTGGGCGATGGCATTGTATCGTCCCTGGCACGGACTCTGGGTAATCTGTAGAGCCAGGTGCTGGCAGGTAGCTTCGATTGAGACTGGACCGCGGCGATGCATGGATCGAAGGAGCTCAAGCCGGTGCGCGACAGAGGGCATCAAGGGCTTTTGCTTGCGCAGTAGCGCGTCAATGATGGCCAAAGGGCCGACATCGTCCAAAACATATTCAGGCGCAAACTGCAGAATGCAGTCATCGCTGCCATTGAAACAGGTAACACGAGAGCATGGAGCGTTGAAGTCTTCTATGGCAACGCCGAGCTCGTAGTCATCGGCCGGGTCCGATTTTACTAACTTCCAGGCGAGTCCCGTATCGGCATCGGACTGCAAGGTCACCCACCCGACCTGGTAATGGACGCTCACCCTGTTCCGGCCGCCCAAGACGTTGGGAACAGCGACGAGTCCAAAGTAGCCTGGGGCCTCAACGTGCATGCGGATGGCACCAGCAGGAACACGAGCGGCACGGGCTAACGCCACAGTCAGATTAACACTACCCGAGCAGGAGCCCTGTCGTGCATGCAGTACGTCTGCTGCTGTTTGTTGCCAACCGCCGAATTTATAATGTATCGAGTCGCGCACCGCGTAGTGGATGACCACGCTGGCAACGCGCTGTGCCATGGCTAGCTGGTGCAGCTCGACGTCGCTGAAGCCGAAAAACGGCTGGGAGTGATGGGCCTGGGCCAGCAGACGGTCCATCGCAGGGCTATGAAGCATCGCCCACAGCCCATCTGCCCTGACTAGGTCGCAGTAGACCCGGTGAGTGGCAAGTTGATCGACGGTGTAGGATCGGCCGTCTGGACCATGGACGAGAGCGGCATGCCCCGTGGTGCTGTCGGGAAGTTCCTGCTGCAGGATCTTGCCCAGTCGAGGCATGGTCAAGAGGCGCTCGGCTGCTTCCTGGATAGCCGGGTGTTTGCTCTGGGTGAATTCCGTGCCTGCCAGCAACGGGCCCAGGTCCAGACCGGGTCTCCAAGTGTTCGTCCGTCGCTCCCATGCCGTGTCAGCGCTGTGGCTCTGGTCCAGTCTATTGGAACTCGACTGCTCAAATGCTTCTGCGATCGCCCGTAGAGCTTCCTTGTGAAAAGTTCTAATTCGTAATGGGCCAGCAATGGCCCGCTTTACATCTGCCTGCAGATGCTTCCGGATCTGGGTCGACCTCTGAGCAAGAAGTGACCATGCTTTTCTTTCAGGTGATAAGGCTCGCATGAATGCTTCGTGGTCTTCATGCTCGCACTGAACCCGCAAATCTAATGCGTCCCATGTGGCGGATGGAATTCCTCGTCGAGCGCTGGTTGCCAGAATAGCCCCCGCGGTGATCCGCTGGGCCGAAGGAGTGGAGGTTGCTGATAGGTTCTGTTCATTCACAGTATGTTGTTGTGGTTCATTCTTCCTCTTTGCCAGTCGGTGGGAGACCGGCGTCATTGTTTCACTGAGTACCTGTTCTAGGGCGACCACTCGCGCCTTCAATTCATTGCATTCAACCTCTGACCTTGTTCTTGGCTGTCTACGCAACGCCAACAGATCTGATGTAGCTTCAGCGTACAGGGCCTCCAGGCAGTTATTTCCGGCCCGATCCAAGGCATCCGCTTCAGATTGAGCAGCAGGTGATCCCAGGAAGGGGAATGGGATGGGATTACGCTGTCTTGAGTGAGGTTGATTTCGGGCCATTGTTTTGATTTAATAAGAATGAAATGTTGTAAAAAGGATAGGAGACATCATTTGACGTCAGACCGTTCAAGTCCTCTTTTTATATTCCTGACATTGACTAGGCGTGCATCGATCATTGATTAATCAGTTGTTTTCTTCAACAGTCTCTTCCTTGTATGAACCCAAAGTAGAATCTCTTTTAATTGTCATATTACTATGCCTCCTTACTTTCATTGATGGATTCATTACCGTGAAGATGGCAAGACGGCTTATCCCATCAATGGTAGTTAAACAGTCTACGTCTGTCAGTGTTTCATGGTACAGCTGACTATTCAATGGCCTTATCAATATGTAAGGGTGAACACATTCTTCTTTAATAGGTAATTACAACTCTCAATGCACACCAACAAGTCTTTCTGATGATTCAATAACTGGCTCCTGGTGGATACTAAAGTTCATAAAGTATTACCGCACTATTCTAGAACACATCAAGTTAGGTAAAGAGAAATGCATCACTAAACTGAGATATTAATCCCTAGCATATGGTTGATACATCTTGGTCAGATTTCTTCTACCCCGGCACTTAATTCCTCATCAACCCCTCCCTTGCTGAGTCTTCAATAAACTTTGGCATCGGCCCCAAAGCAAAACTAGACAGGTCGCGTTCCTCATTCGTGCGCGCCACATTTTCGAGCACAATCAAATGCAATCTCATGCTGGCCCCGTCACCTATAGCCCCGTGATCCTGGCAGTCAGTTTGGCGGAATTACTCCTCCAATACTCGCGTAACAATTTGAACGAACGGGGAAAGCGTTTCCTTGGTAAAGGACCCTGCCGTCAGTGCACCGGAAAGGTGCTTCTTTGTGGTCTTGAAGAGGGCCATGGCCTGTAAGAAACCCGAAACTAGGCTGTAGAAGGTATTAAATGGGACGGCCTCCTACTCCGCCGATGATGTTGGATCCTCTAGATAGACCACAGTACCCAAGGCTTCCAGTTGTCCTCACGGAGTGGAGGTTATTCTCTGGTACTCCGTCGTAAAATGGCACGGCGTTCGGTTGTCCAACAGCCACAGCCACAGCCATCATTGCACCATGTTAGCAGGTAGAAAATTCATACGTAACAGTTGCAAGTTGCCTGGAAGAGAAAATTGGGATGGGAACCCGGTCGTAAAATCGACTAGGAGATGGCCCTTGCTCGCGGATGGAGTAAAGAAGGATATAATTGACTGGTACGCTTCATTGTCTGTCACACAAGTAATGATTAGCGGACTGGCTTGTCCGCAGTGAGTTGCAGAGGTAGCTACTCTTGCACCACAGGCTACAAGAAGTGCGGTCTTAGAGGCTGTCCGGTTCTAGCAAGTGACAATATATCCATGATTTAGAAAGGCCCGTGCTAAGACCGATCCCATAGCCCGTAGACCTATAACTGAGACTGTTGGAGCGGAATAAGTCATCTGGAGGCTATACGTTCTTTACTTCTGCGTGGTGAAATGAGAAGGCAGTATTAAGGACATAGATTCTGTTGGTTTTAGGCCAGAGGAGATGGCCGTTGCCAGAACATCATGAATACATAGGTAATCAAGGGACATGGCTGGGGTAGTACATGATGTCATTGAATATTTCAAGATGGCTGTAAGGGGCAAGCCATATCCGATGTACTCCTTTTAGTGCATCTATTTAACTTTGCCATAATTAGAAATGATAGGTTGTAAAGGTTGCAATGTCTCATCCTCTGCCCTAGGTCATTTTATGCCATCTTCGATGTCACAGTAACACTAAATAGGTAGCATTGTAGCTATGTACCACTATGCCTGTGTTACTAGTAAAACTAAAATGGTCTTATCTATCATATGATAACGAACTGATCAGTTATAACACCTAAATAGAGGATATGGTACCAGTTCACATGACTACGATTCTGGTCTACTTTACTGCTCTCCGTCTGCAAATCCTCCGGTAGATATGGTTCATAAAGCCTGCCCTCGGGCCTTCAAACGCATCAGCCATGACCTGCATGCACTCTTCATCCGTCTCTACTAGGGCCAGTCAGTGACAATCTTTTCTCCCGTGTCATGACTGAGTTCCCTCATGACCCAAAGTGGGTTCCGGCGAACCTTCAGCTCGTCTTAGTTCCCATGAAAAAGTCCAGCTGGAGGAATTCAAGTATTGTTCGGTGTCGAGATCGGATGCCCGAGGACCCCGTTGCGATGACTTTTTCAAGAGTCTTGTTTCCCGATCTCGTATGCCCCTGGTATATCGCCCTTGATATTCTCAAGGAGTCTCGGGTCAATGGGCTCCTCTTTTTCAAATGATGATATCTTCGACGAAAACTCAATGATTTCTGCATCATCCATCCCAGTAGATCTGGCACGCTTCACCAAATCAGCATCGTCAAGGGCTATCTTTCATGTGACGCTTTTGACCCCCGCCAGACGAAAGAGACCCAAAGTCGAAAGGACAAGGATATCGGCATCTGCGATTCGGTCCGGAAGCCAGCCAGCCGCCCAATAGAGAGGCAGTAAGTATTTGGCTTGGAAGAAGCTATGGGGGTTGCAATCAGAAAGACCGTGCAAGTCTGTTGCATTTTTTTTTGCAGTCCGCCGTCCCAGTTGCCGTCACCGAAAGGTCTCTCGCCGAGACTTAGAAAGACCGACTCGAGCTTCAAAGGCCTTGTTAAAGTTGGAGGTTGGTATCTTCCCATCGGCAAAAAAGGATTCTGCGAATAAGCCTTCGAAGCCCAATACAATCCTACTGGCCGCGATATATAATCCGTTGGACCAGCATGTTGTGGAGATGGGCTCGGGAACACGGTCCCAAATGAGAAGGCCCATCGCATACGACAGTTCAAGTGCTTCCATCAAACCAGCACCACAAAGAAAAGGGGGGAATTCCAACGGCCCATTGGCGTTTGTGTGCGAGAACTGACGCCGTCCGCGTACTTGCTTTCCCCAATCAAGTTTATAAAATGTTCTCCTGCGAAGCCCCAACGCCTCATTTCGGTGATGGTCTCGTGAAGTATAGCATCCTTTTCAAGGCATTGGCTTAGGATGTCAGCTCCGGTGCAATATCCTGACATAGGTCTTTCATGGTTGTGGTCCATGAACAAATCGACATCTCTTCTGGGGTGGAATCCAATCTTGTAACTCTTTAGACATCTTCTTGGTCAGCTTACTGCTGTCTGTTTTCTAAAAGTCCGTAATAAAGTCGACCAGATCCTGGCAGCAATGTATCAAGATCTCCTCTCTCACATCCAGCTCAGAAGCTCCGGCCATCTCAGTATGCCCGTCGGGACCGGCTCGATGAAGCTACATTTTGAAGTGGGCCTTATCGGGATCCCCACGGGTGATGGTTTTCATGATGGTCTCGAATGATTCATGGCCAGTGAAATCAACAAATACCTGGGATTGGGTGTCCTGGATCATCCCAATAGAAATGTTCGACACAGTCGCCGCAACAGCGCTATTCAAGTCATTGTAGGCTACGTCACGCCAAATACCTTGCAGGTAATGGCGGAGCTCGATACATTGTTTGGAAAATGAGTAGACAGCCACCAAATAATCCGTAACAACACCAATCTGGTCTTCAGGAATATGATAGCTTTCCAGGGGAACTTGGTCGAGGCTGGGAGCAGGGGCTGCAGTCGTCGCTTTTATCCTGGGCGTCTGCCCTTCTCCCCTTTCTTCGCTGGCTTCTTCTTCGACCGCGCAGCTGTAGACACTGTGGCTTCCTCCTTGTCGTCGTCACCTTCTTCTTCATCTTCTTGGCTCTCCCCGCTCGACACGCCCAAGCTGAGCGTCGAGGATTTGGTGGCGAAAATGACTTCCTCCTCGTCTTCGTCTGATACATCGAGCGTGTCTCTCTGCTCCAACAGCCATGACTCTCCTCCCAAAGCATTGAATGCCTGGGTCAATCTATTGATCCAGTGTTCGTATGAATTATTACTCCTTTCGATGTCTGGATCTGGATTGGAGGCAACGATCTTCAAGAATTAACTATGGGTGTCTTTCCTGGCCGCGATTATAGACTGGAACAAGCGAAATATGGTTGCAGGAATCGGCTTGATATACTCTACCATGGGCTCTGACAATGCCCTCAGAGTTGCTAAAGACACCTCTCCTGTGGTGTTGATGGCTAGCAATGTCTCTGAGGCGCTGGTCTTGATGATTCGATTGGAAGTATGGGCAATCCAATAGACCAGAAGTCTTTGGTCACGCTTGTATTGGAGATATGTATTCCTGCCTGCCAGTTTCTGACTGTTCCATGGACATTGAGCCAATTCTGGTCACTGGCGATGGAAGGTAGTTAGGGGGGGCGGCGGATATATATCACGCTAGCCGGGATTGAAATCTATTTCATTTTATAAACATGGTATTATTCTGACAGCAGCTCACTATAAGACCTTAATAATACACCACCCCCTGACCATTAGATCTATATCTATTGCAGACTTCAGAGTTAACAATAGGGTTATCCTTACCGAAATCAACCAGAGAGCAGAGATCTCGGGATCGGATCGATCGTTCACGGAGAAACAAAACTCCAAGTCGCTCAGGCGTCATCGTACATATGACTGCCTCCGATCTTCTGCATAGGGTTCGAACAACCAAGGAGGACTGACCCAAGTACTATATATGTCGTCAAACCTTGCCCACGGAGTCTGGTATTTCAGCAATCCCTTATCTGGCGTCCCACGTGGTCATTTCCGTGGTCATTTTGATTTCGGTAAAGATCGTGGAACAACGATGGCCCGATCATCTCCGGTGTGGGCGTACCCCGCCCTCAATGGACAAATGGACGCGGATTACAAACTCCTTGCTGCATCCCAAAGTCGAGACAGCTTCCTGTTCTTCTTGTCACATTCCACCAAAGCGAAAGCTTGAGATTCATATTCTCTCTCGGAACCATGGCCACGATTCCTGAGCGTCCCCGCGTCACAGACGCCAAGAAAGGTATACTGCATTTTTAATATCGGAATTACCTTTCACAATATTTACACCTCTTAGTATGGGCCTCTATCTTGACCAACACCGCATACCTGCAGGGCATTTTGACCCTTGAATATTCTCTGCGCAAACACGGCACGAAGTACCCGTTCATTGTTCTCTATACGGACTCGCTGCCGGAGGAAGCCCATGCTGCCCTTGATGCCCGCGGAATACTCAAACAGCCCGTTCCCTACCTCAAGCCTGAAATGACGACGAACTTGACCAACGATAAACGTCTATATGACGCCTGGACCAAGTTGATCGCCTTTGCGCTTTACGAATATGATCACGTTGTTCTACTCGACTGCGACATGATGGCCCTGCACAATATGGATGAGTTGATGGATGTTGAGTTGGATCCGCCAGAGATGGAGGGCAAGGGCAATCGCGTGTTTGGTAGCACCCATGCATGCCTCTGCAACCCGCTCAAGAGATCTCATTACCCAGAGGATTGGTATGAATTGGATCGTAACCGTCTTCAACTCGTCTGATTCTAACCTGCCGATTTTCACAGGATCCCAGCCAATTGTGGATGGACACTCCAGCATGACACCCCAGAACTCGCCCAGACCACCCCTCCTCCAATCGAGGCAAGCTTCGGTTTGTGCAACACCGGTATCATCGTGACCAGACCGGGCGAAGGTGTATGGAAGATCATCACCGACAGTCTGGCTACTTCCAACACATCCGACTGGATCTTTGCCGACCAGTCTCTGCTTTCGGAGGTATTCCAAGGCCGTTGGGCCCCGCTCCCATACATTTATAACGCCTTGAAAACAAAGCGGTGGGAGGGTGTGCATGACGCTATCTGGAGAGATGATCGTGTCAAGAATATGCACTATTTCCTTACTCCCAAGCCGTGGGATGAGACGCCGCCTGTCCATGCAGACCCAACCCATGCATGGTGGTGTGACCTTAACGCAGAAAGGAAGGAAGATGACAAGGCTCGGGGCTTAACCGATGGGTGCTAAGCCTACGGCTGCATGGTTCATTGGTGATATATAATTATTGTCCTATATATCACATGTTTCCTGTCCACCTTCCAAACAAAGCCATCGACTCTTTCAGTGATTAGAAATGTGTGTATAATCATTTAGCAAACTAGTAGCATTTATATTGCAGCTCAAGTATGCTGATTGAAGCCCTGGAAGTGGTCGATTACTGTATGATCCATATTTCTCCACGTTACACTTTTATTTGTATCAATCGGTCTATATTATCACGAAGAAACCCTATATCAAATGCCCCTCTAAGGCACGCTTGCTCCTAAGATAGCTCCAGCGCAAGGCATAATAATGTCCATATTTCCTTTCCTGTGTAGACCAAAAGCATTGCAGATATCTTCGATTTCCAGTCACCAGATCCATCGTACGTTCTTTGAAAACCTCATCAAACATGGCAATCAAGCCCTGGACCAATCTTTATATCCCTTAGTCAACGGTCAGGAGCTGCTCGCAGAAACCGCCAAACCCATGAGCGGGGTCATGAAGGTGAATTTCTAAAATCCAACGCCGCTTGTATCCATCCTTGCCACGGAGATTCATCCGCTCACCATTTCCCTTGGTGATGTAGAGAGCCGTTTTGTCCTGCGGGATCCGTTCATGCGGAAAAGATCCAACAAGATGCCCGGCGATTTGTGAACCGAATTGCCATCCATCTTGCTGCGCCGCATTGCAAGCGAAATCATACAGCTCCTGGCCAGTTATGTCAGGGTTACCACGGAAGTGTGATTTTACCTTTTCCCACATCGGATCCAGGGCGCTGAGAAGTCGTTTCTTGTTAGGATCGTCCCCAAGAACAAAGGTGCGCCCAAAGTCGGCTTCCCAGGCTTCGAAAACCGGTCCCAGATCGACAATGAGGATATCATCGGGTTGGATGATGCGATCCGGAGGATTCTCTGCATACGGCTGCAATGTGTTCGGCCCGCTTCGAATAACCCGTTTATGCCAATGAGTCCTCACACCATGGCGCTCGGCACCAAGGCGATGAATCTCATCGCTTAGTGCCTTTTCACTGACGCCTGGGCGAACGAGATCGCGCTCGATTTCCTCGAATAGCTGGACGGCCTTGTTTTGTGCATCTAAAAGATAAGCGGCACGGTCATTTTCTTCTGCAGCTGTGGCGGTATCGGACATTATGGAGGTTGTAATCAAAGTAATCCCGAAAAGAGCGCAGGGAAAATGGCGATGTCGCAGTCGAAGCGGGGTACGATAGTCTACTTATTCCACGCCTTCATGAGGGGTTGCGCATGTTTCGGGGATTATTGCGTCTCATCTTCCTTGTAAGACGTGAGATAAGACAGGAATGTAAGTAATGCATTTTACAGGCATTGCTATTGGTCGAGTAGTTGATCAGTCATTATCAATATGCACCAAAACCTACAGATCAATGGCAAGCTCAACTATATCTACACGATCGCTATGAACACTTTTGGAATATATAGATCATCGATTCACCTATGCTATATCTTGGAATTCTGTCTCCTCGCCACCGCAGCTGTCCGCAGCATCTCATTCATCAGCACCATGACTCCCTCGTCTGCTCCGATTCCTGGCTTCGACAGTAAAAAGTCCGGCCGTGCTGCCAGTGCCACCTGCGATGTAATCCGGGCTGAGATGTCCGTTTCATTTGCAGATCCTCCCAGACAGCAGCCAACGTTCTTTGACTGGCAGTATAACACCGCATCGATGCTGTTCTGGATGCCTCCGAGGTCAGGCATTTTGACCTGCACAAAGTCGACCGCTTCAGCATCGGCAAACTCTTTGATATCCTCAATGGTATTGCACCATTCGTCTGCCACCAGCTTGACATTGATCGACCTCTCCCGTAGTCGGTTTCGTAGTTGTTTGAATCGCTGAATCTGGGCGCTCTTGGTCGGTGCGATGATGGGGGACTCGATCAACAGGTTGTATGGACGAGCCTGCTGTTCAAGGTCTCCGAGAAACGTCACCAATTCTTCGTCATTGTGAAATGCATCCCCAAGAGTGCCATAGACATCGAAATGCAGACGAGGACGGTATCCAGCACCTCCACGCTCCTGGACCCGCTGAGAAACAGATCGGACATAATCGTGCAGCGTTTTCCCTTTCGGCCCGATATCATTGACATGGACGAAAGATGCATGAGGCAGCATCGCCACTTGTTTCATGATCATTCGGTCGAGCTGCAATTGGTCGTTGCGATGGCAGGAAGCCAGAATGTCAATGGGGCTGTATGTCATGGTGGTCTTCCACTCGCGACAGATGACTTCGGACATGGTACATCGCCGTGCTAGAGACGTCGCCGATAGAAGGGCCTGCGTCAATCCATATCGAATGGCTGTATGCAACCGGCAGTTTTGCAGCTGCGACCAGGGCAAGTCCACCAGGCGTGCATTTGCTTGGAATTCAGCAACATCACAGCGCAACAGCCACGGCTTCACCACCGACTCGAGAATAGGCAGATGCTCTTCGGCGTTGAAGAGGGGATCTCTGGATGCAGCACCGGAGAAGATGACATCGACGCAGTCTCCAATGGCAATCCCACCGTTGGGTAGATGCAGCAAGATCGATATTGTCTGGCCGGCCTGCACGACCTTTTTGAATCCGGGCGTGCAGGGGGCGATGTTGTCGACTAACGGGTCATAAGCTGGACTCTGGCGGACGGCCTGGAGGTCTTTGACGAAATATCCAGAGAGACCAACGACGAACTGCACGTCGACGGGCTGCATTTTGGGGACGGAGGGGGAATGGCATCCTCATCGACGGCGCCGGCTGGCGAGGAGTAATATGTACCTTTGCTTCCAGCCGCCATGGTGGATCATCCCCTGGAAAATGGCCAAGGAAACGAGAAGAGCTCCGTGGATGAGCTGTAGGCCCTGATACAAAGTCAATTACGGTGCTAAAAGTGGCTTTCTTGACTGCAGATGAAGGCCACGTCGAGCAGATCCACCGATCGTCCCCTCGTCACGGCCGCATCATGGGTAGAGTGCGATGGGATTGTCTACATAGAGTGTTGAGTCGATACACTGCATCCTGTGCAGACCATTTTTATTTATTATCTGATTGCACTGACCTCTAGGAGTATATCAGCTGTTTGTTTATTATCCAAGAGAAAGGGCTCGGATACCTGACTCGCAGCTGAACATGGTGGAGCCAGAGAGGGGTACTGTTGTCATACCCCGCTCTTTCTCAGCTCTCCTAAGCTCCTGTTCAGCTCTCTTCATCACAGCCACCGATGGCGCCGTTTCAGACTCTCATTCGGCGCTATGGCACTGCAAACCCACTGACGTGATCATCAGATAATTACCTGATTTCCGTCGCCAATCCCATCTCGAGATCTGGTCCCCTTGACAGCGAGGCAGATCGGACAACCAACACACACAATGCCATGATGAGCAGTGGAAAACACAGTGTGTATCGCCTTGTAGAAGTTTGAAGCAATATGAATGTGCATGGAGAAGAAAATAGATTGCTGCATTCTGTTTAGCAAGCGTCAGCCTAATCTGCAAATACATCACCTGCAGGTCACAGAAACGTGTGATGCGCTTATTGGGCCGATGATGAAGTGATCAACTAGTGCATCTGAGGGGCATCAGAGGGGCGCGAGAAGCTCTGCTCCGGCTTATTTCGAGAGCTAAGAAGCTGCCCATATTAATAGTCCAGTTTTGCTGCATAGTCTTTACTCCTGACAGACACTTCTCATCCATCACACCATCCTGCATCATGGCCACCGTGACAGAAAGCCAGGTTAACCCACCTCCAGTCACTGAAAAGACTCCTCTGCCACAATATGTCCATCCCCCAGAGACAAAGGAACAGCGTAGGTTTATCTGCCACGTCTTACATAGACAACATGCTCATACAGACAGTTGACTATGCCGACCTGGTCACTCTGGATATGGCCGAGTTTGATCGCCCGGGAGGAAAAGAGAGATTGGCAGAGCAATTGAAAGAAACAGCCCATCGAGTTGGTACATCTCCCTTTGTCTCCATCCTCAAATGAACACTAATCGTATAGGCTTCTTCTACATCACCAACTTCGGCCTTTCGCAGGCCCAGATTGACCAGCAATTCGCCATCGCCAAGCAATTCTTTGCTCTCCCAGAGGAGGAACGGATGAAATATCGCGCTCCTCTGGAGGACGGCAACTACAATGGTTACCGCCCCTTGCGTTCGATCGAGATCTTCCCTGGACTCTACGACAACCTGGAGTTTTACAACATCTTCAAGTTCATCCCCCAGACCCAGCGATCTCAGCCGGAGATCTTCCGTCAGTACTGGGCCGAGATCGAAAAGTTCCACCGTCACATGCATGAGAACGTGTCGTATAAGCTGCTTCGACTGCTGGCCATCATCCTGGAACTGCCGGAAGACCAGCTGGTGGATGGACATCGCTACGAAGCCAACTGCGACAGTTCTCTTCGCTATATGATGTACCGCGCTCGTACTGAAGAAGAAAACAGCAAATGCAGAGACACTTATCTGCGCGGCCACACAGACAACGGTACTATCACATATGTATTCCAACAATCGGTCGCTGCGTTGCAGGTCAAGCGCACCGAGGAATCCGACTGGCAACATCTCCGGATCACCCCGGGCATCATGGCAGTAAACCTGGCCGACATGCTGCAGTTCCTGACCAACGGATACCTCAAGAGCGGCATCCACCGTGTCATCGCACCGCCTGATGACCAGGCCACCATTGACCGTCTGGGACTGCTGTACTTTGTGCGTCCCAGTGACAGACTCATGCTGAAGACATTGGACAGCCCCTTCTTGCAGAGGGTTGGTTTCGGCAAGCAGGGCACCGAGAATGATGAGGATATCCCAGCATCCGAATGGGTGAGAGCGCGTGTGAGGAAGAACTGGACCAGGTCGCCTTCGGACAACACTGAAAGTGTCAAGATGGGAGGCTTCCAGGCCAAGGTTTTCTACAACTGATTTAGTTCATAGTCGAGATACTCTATAAATATATTGTCGTTGCTTTGTGCTGCCATTTTGTATCTTAAGTTTTGACAGTGGTATAGAAGTCTACGTATATAACCATCAGACAACAGCCCATCATGACTGCCTTCTAGATGCAGTGCATATGATAAAAAGATTATCCATTTGATGAGCCCATGTTTACACCCCTTTCTTGGCATTTCTCTTGATCGGCAAAAATTCATTTGTCATTCTGAGAAAATTTGGATCTAGTAGAATTCAGTCTGTGAAGTACAGAGCGTCTGGCTGTCAGATTGCCTGGTCATAGTAGCTAATCCTGGCATTGAGCTTGCCACTTGGGACCAAATTTGGACTCAAAGACCAATATCCCAGAAAGGCAAGAGCCGGTCGGAATGCAATCAAGCTGCGACCATCAGGAGATATGATTGGCTAGCAGGTAAGTGGGTCATTCTATTCCTGGAATGTAAGGATCTGGAGATTTACATCGTAGCAGAACAAGATATAGCTAAGATATCAAAAGAATGTGGATTTGCTTTGGCTCATGTTTACAGATTGTGATTGATTGACGTTGGGTACGATACCAAACTAATAATTAGGACGTTTGCCAATCCGTGGATAATCTCCGTAGTGTATTGATACAGGTTTCCGAGGTGATAAACCCAAGAATCATTACAATTGCCAGGATAGTCGTTCGCAGGCCTAAGGATTGTAGTTAAATCCGCAGCTGCCATAGTGTCAGAATACCATTTCCTGTATCATGGTATGAAAAATTCATGCGATAGGATCAGATACTGACCGGTAAACTTCATAACCCTTGGTTCCGTTGATGGTTTCCTGGCGGCAATTCTTGTCGGACTTCCACATGGGGAAGTTCTTGCCATTGATTCTAATCATATAGAGTCAGCAAGGCCTACGCAGATGGTAGAGTAGTTATGAAGAGCTTGGCTTACGTCAGGAGAGGTTCACAGTTCTTGCTGGGACCAGGGCATTCTCCCTCACTCCGAAAGTTGATGATAAACGGGCCCAGCTCAGGCGAGTCGGCGGACATGAAGGTGCCCTTCTTGCAGGGAACACTGCCAGTAGTCACATTGACTGGGGGGAAATAGTGCGTTTCAGCTGAAGTGTTGAACGAAGAGACTGCGCAACTGTTCAGATGAGCGAGGCGGGTTCGGATAACATCCGGGTCCTCAGCACTTGGCCCTGGGAGAGCGCCCTTTTCGTAAGCCTGAGAACCAGTGTAGACCTCAATCCACTTGCCATAGCCAAAGTAGGGACTGCTGGCCATGGCGCTAGGGGCCAAAGTGGCAAGACAGGCAAGAAGAGCGGTGGCTTTTGTGAACATGATGAAGCGTGATTGTATACAACTGATGGGATACAAGATATATTGATTGCGATGATGATCTTGAATTGCAAAGAGAACTGACATGGCTTTATATCATCTGAATAGTAGATGAGCTGAACAGTGCACAGCACTGCCTCATGTTGATCTCAGAGGTGTACAGAACACCAGTTTCCTAAAAGAGTAAGTGGAGATGGCCGAAGTGATGATGGACATACGCCGCCAAGAAGAATTCACAATTAACTGCGCCCAGCCAGAAAATAGGGGTCTAGAGCCGTCCAATGATAGGAGGAATGTGTTTTGGTTTCTATAATCATATTGGACTTTCTAGAAGGATTCATTCTAGCACTGCCTAGCTCCACATTCTGCTTATTGGATATGCTATTCCCGTAGCTATCACTCTTGTATGCAATGTATAGTTGCCGAGACATGCATTAACCTCCCAGATAGTAGGCAGAAACGGAAAGGACATATGCCAATGGCCAAGAAAGGTGGCTAGATAGTGACCTGTTTTAAATTCTTGCGGTCAGAGATATGCAGCCATGATACACGTGACATTTCGTATTCATATCTAAAAAGCTATTTTGAATATCGAGGAAAGGATGGCCTTCGGCTGCTCTAGTGGCCCGCTAACCTCGCCCAGTATGAGCATAGCCGTAATTCCCTTGATCCCATTATATATGTTTTCATTTCCCCTCGCTGTGAAGACTTTGTTTGCTTGCAACGACTTACGTATCCACCTATCTTGATTCAATATCTTGTTGTATTGAAAAGAATCTTCAAAAACCGTCTAGTTGTCTTGGTATTGACTGAGGTCTTCCATGAATTAGGCGACATTGTCATTTCGCTTTTTGTAGTTATATCTGTCTGCGGACTCAACGATCCAGAAAAGATCACACAGGTAGGTACAAGCAGGCCAGAAACGATCAGAAGAAACTTGAATTCAAAGTGGGCCACTGATATATAGATACCTATGACATTAAAGGGACCCGCAGCTATAAGAAATCCTCTCACGGAGACCGTCAAGTGTCGAACCAGCATTAATTACGCTGGTGTGTAATCAATAGAGAGCTGAAACTGTAAGTTACTAGCAGCCTCCTTTGAAGTACTCGCCCTTGAGGAACGGATAATATATAAGATCGCGAGTAAAAGAGAAAAACCAAACATTCTACGTTCAAGTGGTGTTAGTTGCTTGGCTACGCGGTATTTCCCCAAACTAATGCAGATAAACAGCCATATATAAGCCCACCTGCCCTTGGGCTGGGCTCCACCAGTCAGCCATGATATTCTCATGGACAGATTTAACCAGCATGGGCCCAAATTCTGCCACAAAGATCCGGATGAAGGTATCGCGAGAAGCTTGTCACTTGTCGGAGATCGCGCACCCGACCGAGTTTCCATAGACTAGCAACTTCCTCGGCAAATGCTGGTGTTGCGTCATGCTTCACTATGAGAATATCAGCGATATATGGCAGGACTGCATTTGGCCCTGTAGATAGCGGTAGACTTTTGGTTGTTGTTGTCGAAAATACCGAACAGCATTATGATGGCGTAACTATAGTGGAGGTTTCTGATGGAAATCAGACAGCGATATCCAACAAAGTAACCAGACCCAGCTTTGGCACTCACTAATTAGTTGCTAAGTTTGAAGTGCAGTGTAAGATGACTCGGAGGTATGTTCAGTTGCACATAAAACATCCTGAATGAGAATGCCCCACTTTGGAAGGAACCAGCCAAGATATACTATTTGTGATTGGCTATGTTTCAGGATAATGTGAGCATCAGTCCCGATTGAGCTGTTTAGGCCTCCAGCCCTATGGATCTAATCGCCTTTTGGTCTAATTTATGATGATCCTCTTATCTTGGAAACGATATGTATCCCAATCTTGGAAAGGCTTGAGGGAATTAAAAGTATGTCCTGCCTTGTACAACCCTGCAAACTTCTCTCACACTGTGCTTTATCATACTTTGGTCTTTGATGCATTCTATTTCGAAAGATTAGGCCCTCTGCAATGTCTTACTGTTGAGGGCCTGAATGCAAATGTAGCATTGAGAGAAAATATACAAGCAGCAGTTCATAAAGATATAAAGCCATCATGGATTCTCTGGAATCACCATCACCAAACAAAGCTTCCCTTCCTAGTCTATTCTTCAATCTGAAATCAATTCAAAATGGTCCGATTCCTTCGTGGCGCTCTATCGCTCCTTTTTCTGCTCTCTATCGGGCTAGCAGTTGCCACTCCCGTCTCTGGTGAATCAGATGCCCTCGTGCCTTTCCCTGTCGATACGAGCCTTGTGCCTATCAACGGCCTAGAAAGACGTGATACATGCAGCACTGTCAATGCAGTTGTTGATAAAATTGGCACCAGCACAGAGATCATAGCCTACTTCTCGACCGGGTACTTCTCTACTCTCTGGGTATGCACAAGGAATAACGCCCACGATTGCAATACTATGGCAACAGCAGTTGGATCTTCCTTTGTCTCTATTTCCTACATTGCCGGCCGCGTATGGGGTGGCAAGTCTGTGACCAAGCGAGATAGCAACGACACTCTTGCTGGCTATCTCGAAACTGCTTTTCGCTCTGGGGGGGAGGTCTTTGAAGCTATCCAGGACACGACCCACACCCTTCAAGCCCGAAGTGACTCCGGTTATGGCGAACTCCCCGTTGAGATGGCCTCAATACGAAACTGGGCATACAACGGTACCTTGGTCAACTTCGACATTCACGACTTTGGCAATGGGAATGGACACATTCTCCTGCCTCTAGATGGTATCGGTGCCCATAGCTTGAACGGAACGACATTGAATAGGCGTGCTGTGGGCAAGGCTCCTGGTTTCAAGATATCTTACACCACTCGCATGGAGTCCAAACTCACAAACGGACACCGAGTTGACATGGCCAATGCTATGGCTTCGGACTGGGCATCGCGTGCAAATAGTAATAACAAGATGTCCAGCTACATTGGTCTGTGGAAGACAGGCCATTCCGCCAATTTCTACTTCCGCGTCATTCCGGAGAGCCAGGACTTTGGCACAAACTATGAGCCGGTCAATGTTTGTGGACAAATGGCACAGTTTCTTTAGATACTCATGCCACTCGTCGATATTTTCCTATTGTCATGTTTACGTCTGTGTCGGTTAGAGTCTGCTGCACTCGAATAATGCCTGTCATTACTTGATTGTCACATATTTGTCTACTTTGTGCTAGAATCTCCAGGTAGACGATTTGATATGATCATGTATTACTAAGTTTGTCTTTGGTGGATGGCTTTCGCTATTCGCGATGGTCGACGAATATATCTTCACTCCCGTTATGATGACCATTTGCATTGTGCATCTCACCTGTGCCATTCATTGCTATCTCAATATCATCCTGCATCCGTGTAAGACCAATCTTCCGTATGTTGTCCGAACCCTCCCCTTGCGAGGAGCTTTTCTGACGACTTCTGCTGCCCTCCCCAATGCATTTAGGAGCAAAGTGGCGCATGAAGTGGCGGACATAAGGAAGAGAGCCACAGAGAATGATGAAGTTTGCTTCTATATTTCTATTTATAATTCTTCAGTGAGGCAAAGCCAGGGCGGAATAAGGTAACTTACATGAACAGACCGGCTTGGCCGAGCTTGTAGGTTGGGTCTGTCGATGTGACCAGAGGCATTAAAGTTGTCAGCCGAATGATACTCGTGATGATTGTTCTAATAGAAATAATATAGAATCAGTTGATGTCATGGGACACATAGGCCGTGTATATTAGACCAGTCATCGTATAAAAGAGACCTGACTTACAAGCAACCAAGACCAAACATACGGACGACCCCCAGTTTCTGGACAAATGGCAATCTTAAATTCCATGCAATCGGGATCGCAATAAGTATTAGTACAACATCACTCACTGTGTTAGTTATCGCAGTTGCAAGATAGACAGCTGGTCGGTCAATGCATGATCCTGTCGTGATTGAAGCATCCCATGCTTTCGATATAGGACGGCAGGCAAAGATAAGCGCCAGCATAAGTGCAACACTATATCCAGATATGATGAATGTAACAAGATAGATGGTGTATCTCCAACAGGGTGTTGTCTGAAGCAGTCTATAGTAAAGCATAAGAAGAGCCAGTTTGGCGAATCCGAGGGCGGGAATATAGATGACTCCTGCTGCCAAAAGGCTCTATATAATGAAATGAGCTTCTTGAAAGGCAGCACTACCAGAATGGGCCACTGTATACCCTTTGAAAGATGCTCAAGGTTTCCGTCGATAGATTCCATATATGAATGCCATACCCGGCACCTGCATAGCCATCTGGGATTCGATTAGTATGCATAGAGTTGAATTCAGACATCATACATAGGATAACTGCTTGAGTGCCAACTGAGAACATCTATATCATTGCTAGGGTCAGATGAAGATTATCAGAGCGGTAAAAGCATCGATAAGACATACCCAGGCGAGAACTATACATACTATTTTCATCAGTTCTGTGCAATCTTTCAATTATACGGGACATAGCATACCGTCGTCCCACCAGAACCTCTTCAATAAGCACACTTTGGTGTATATTCGCAAAAGCAAGAAGCTCGTGCTGAGGCCCAATCCCGCTGCGACAAATTGCCCGATTCGCCGTTTGCAACCACGGAGTGGCCTGGTCCATTTTTCAATGCTCCACTGCACTGCCTCTCTGGATGAACATCACCATAAGCCACATGCCGTAAAAAAAGGTAGAAAGTGACACATTTAAAAAATGTGGACTTGACGATGGGCTGAGTGGAGATAAACACGGTGTTGGACAGTAGCATTAAACTTTAGCCATTGAATCATTGACTTTGGCGATGCAAAAATGTAAGTCCGCCAGAATGCCATCCACCACCACTATCTCCAGTTTAAACAACATTGTCAAGTTGATTGACTCCTATCAAGATATGGAATAATCCCAACTTATAATTCATGATGCCTGCAGACGTCCCCAGTCAATACGTGGTCCTTCAAATTTCTGCCGCCCTGTTACAAACCAGAAGCCATTGATGACCGTGAAGATTCCCACCAATACAACAGAAGTATAGTTCATCGAGTTCAAAGCGACGGGAATACCGGGTGGCATGCAAATCAAGACAGTACGAATGAAAATCCACAAGATAAAAAACACATTGCACACATATCCAAACCATCCTAGGTTCAAATAACGTTTTGGCAATGATGACCGGCCATAACAAAGTACCAGAGCTTGGGGCACAGTGTAAGTGATATTTAAGAAGAGGACAGCCGATGTGATGATCGAATTGAATGCTGTTGTTGAGGCCAGATAGAGAAGGCCATATAAACAACTGAACAGGAAGGCAGCGATTGTCGTGTAGACTGGAAAGTGGAGCGTGCCGTGGATTGTCGAGAAGAAGTTGGAAAACGGCATGCCATTCTGCGACAGTCAGCTATATCGGGCTACAATGGGAGATGCCTAAATCGCGAGCAAATGCCCATGCTATCCTGCCTGAGCTCACCCACTGCGATGGCAATGACACTTGTATCATCAGCTCCGAGTACAAAAATGTGGGTATGTAAAGCATACTGGCATATATCACGCATAACAGAATGAACAAGCCCACGGTCACTTTTCCACTGCCAGTTCTGTAGAATGTATGAGCAAGGCATGATAAACATCTCGATATACTCACACTTGGTATACAAGTTCAATGCTGGGCAGCGGCGACTACCGCACTGCATCCAAGTCGGATATGAAGAATATCAAGACAATGAACAGGGACAGGCAGGTCACAAGCCCAATAACCATCGTCATCATCACGACTTGTGGGACTCGTCTTCCGGGCTTGGGTATCTCTTCGCAGATGTGTATCACTACTCTATCAGACCAGGGATTATCAATGAGAATACAAGTACGTACCACCATCTGTTCCCCCAAAGGCATACATGGCGTTACTAACGGCAAGCATCCAGGCTGTCCCGTGGGACCACCCGCTGTTTCCTTGTCCTGACTGCAGGATAAACGAGCTGGGCTGATGTTGCTTGTGCATTGCGAGAGACACAACGAAGAAGATGAGATATCCGGAAAATGACAGGAAGAGCGAGATCTGGGTGATGACAGAGATCCTTCTAGATACGACAAAGACAGGAATGACTGGAGTATTCCATGTACTAAGCACTTATTGCCAAAGGGAATGAATGGAGAACTTACTTGTAACAACAGCAACCCCGACATAGGTCAAGTAGGTCTGCCATTGCTTGGCAACATAGTCGTCCATCGAGAAGCTCACGATGCCATTGAGGACAAGGGCGGCCAGGGATATTCCGGAACAACTGATGCTGTCAGTGAATACACCCAGAAGCATTTCTACAGGATAGACATACGTGACGATCCACCAACCAAGCACCGACAGCCAGCCAACAATGTAGGAAATGTATCTCGTGCCACTGGAACTGAGGATATAGCAGAAATGGTACTGTCCACCGCTTGACTATAGATGTTCAGCAATAGTCACAGTGGAATGAATCAGGATTTGTACTGGGTATGCTGATCCAAGCCCAGCCAGGCCAATCGTGACCAAAAACTGAATAGCAAATGCAACAATCAAACTGAATATACACGCCTGGGCACCGCCATAGGTGAGGTTCTGCCCGAAGCAGCTCTAATAATGAGAACAGGAGTCAGCCCTTCTCTGCGCTGCAATAGCCAGGCAACTCACCAAGTAGCCAATCCAGGAATTGGTGATCGAGAATCCAAGACCAAGTGCAGAGAGCCAGTCGAACTGGCGCGGCATTGCACTGGGATGGCCGTTGGCCTGGAGGATCCAGTCATCATCGTCATCATTGCTTTGAATGTTTTGGACGGTTCCAGGCTGGATGCTTTGTTGATCTGTCGGGATGGGCTTGTCTTTGCTGTTTTATCTTGTACTGAAGAAGACATCATTGAATTCGCACAGGCTTCGCTTCAGACAAGACTGGGTTTACGGACAACGGCAATTATATGGAAAACTGGAAGCAAGGGAGTCCCAATGCAACACATCTATAGGATCCCTGATATCCTAAGAGAATCATGGGATAATACGGAAGTCCGTCCTGGCCATACAATGACCTTGAAGTTATCTCCATCCTGCTCCTGCTGCTGAGTTACCCCGCAAAGTCAAAAGAAGATAGGGATATCACCATCCATACCTCTTGGGCATTAGTGTTTACAATGATGGTGATGAGTAGCCTTCTGCTATCAATGCATCAAGCCCTGTGGCTCGGACTGATGGCAGGGCCGCTTGTCTCGTGGAGTTGAGATTGTTGCCGTTTTTGGTGGAAGCGGAGGGCTGGAAAGATTGCCGCATTAGGCAAAGATGGCCGCAATGCCATCGTCAGACGAGAAGAGATGCGACGTCATCGTGGCAGGAGAAAATCCCCATATTCTGTCTTGGTCTGGCCAAAGGACGTGTATATAATAGCACTGGTGTTGTCGGCATATCCAGTCACCCAACTTGTAAACAATCATCGTCTGATAGCCAGATATTCAACCAACCCTCTTTCCATTATGTTTGATCCATCCAAGTACAGCGACCAAGTTCAGAAGGTCTCTAAAGATACACCTCTTGAAGAAATCATATACCTGTTGAAGCGCGATGGAGGAGTCTTTGTCAAGAGCCTGATCCCCGAACAGGATGTCGACCAGGCATACAGCGAAGTCAAGAGTCGCTTGGACAGCGATGTCGAATGGAACGGCTCGTTTTTCCCAGGTCTGTACCAACAATGGACAATTGAAGTCATATTAAAGATTAACTCATTCAGCACAAACCCAGCGGGCGCCTTCGTTGATTGCCCGTAGTCCGACGTATACCAAAACGCAACTCATGAATCCGATTTACCGGCAGGTTTGCGATCATTTCCTGACTACGCGTAGTACATTCTGGTGGGGAGACGAACAGAAAGAGTCTCTATCGAAGCCATATGTTCATTCATGCACAGCCATGAGGATCGGCCCTGGTGGCAAGGCGCAACCCTTGCATCGCGACGACTACATCAGCCATCGCTACCACTCTGAGATCGGTCAGTGGGATGACACTCGGGATATGGATCGGGAATCAGCAGTTGGACTGTTTGTCGCGGGATGTAGAATTACCAAGGAGAATGGAGGCACTCAATTCATTCCGCGAAGTCATTTGTGGTAAGATGCTTTTGCCGTCAATGATCATATACAATGTCTAACTCACCAGGGGCACTGATCGGAGAACGCCACCGAGAGTCGACGAATGTATCTTTGCCGACATGGAAAAAGGCGATGGCTTCATCATGCTGGCCTCTGCCTTTCACGGTGGAGGATCCAACACCACCGAGGATGAACATCGCCTGGTGTTTTCGACCTTTGTTGTGCGTGGATACCTTCGACAGGAGGAGAACCAGTTCCTGGCCGTCCCGGCGGATGTGGTGAGGAGTTATGATCGAGATGTGCAGGAGTTTATGGGATACTGCATGAGTGAACCGGCCTGTGGTAATGTCGAGCAGATGGACCCGATCTACCATCTTCGACCGGAGCTGTTGACGGATGGCAGACCGTCGGATTTCTAACCTGTGTCTCATGCCCTACACTAGCTATAGAATTTGCTTTCATTGTGTATTTTAACGGGAGGCTTGACAATATGCTGTCTACTATCATCCTTGAATGCGCTGCGGGGTCGAAATCCCCATATGTTGATAGAAGCTGGACGTATTGCCGGATTGGGTCATTCCTCCAACCGGTCCGAATGAGCAATTCAAGATACACCTCAAGTGTCTGAGTCTATCTCAAGGATGTGTTTGATACGCAGTGTAGCTAGGTTTATCTTCAAAGGTATCGTTGTATATCCTTTGAAGGTAGGCGGGTCATGTACTACTGCACAACTCGATACTATAAAACGGGATATGAATCATCAACATGAATTGGATCGCGACGAAGATAGAAAATACCCCGCTTTTCCAAGCTCACCTGACTTGTACCTCTATCTGCATTAGTTCTGATTCAACATCGCCATCAGAACCATCGCAGATAAAGCCAATGATTTCACGCGTCAGTAAGACACATCAATGTTCACTCTCAATGCCTGCTCTGACTCTTGCTGTAGATCCAGCCTGCGGTACCTGCCGCTAGAAGTGCCGCAGATGTGACAGTGTCCGTCCTTCTTGCCAGCGGTGCAAAAGCAAAGGGTTGCACTGTGAAGGATATCCTCCACGGTTTTAGATTGTGCATAGCCAATCGCCCAAACGGCGCTGGCTGCGAAGTGATACAGATACATCGCATTTTGAGCTCGGCTCGAGTGAGTCATGCAGGCTGCTTCTCTATCTGCGCTGGCTGACCAGGTCAAGGCAAGTACAGGAAATCCGAAAATATGGTCAACGTACGAGAAAAAAAGATGAATGGGAGAGCCAAACGACGGACAGACCGTGAGCAGACTCCCCAGGATGAGATTTTGCAGGCTGTGCTTCCGAGTCCCCCTTCCAGTTCATCGCCAATTGACGACATCCTGGCCGTATGTGAAAATCAAAATCTCCTTTTGCATTGTATGATCAAGTCATCGTGTATCTGCCCCTTTTTGCTGATAGGACGCAGTCGATAAAATCGTATGCAATACACTCATAATCACCGAGGGGCTGCAGAATCCCTTCCGATGCTATATCCTCCCTCTCGCATATCAAAACACAGGAATCCTGCAGGCTCTGCTCAGCTTGGCAGCACGGCATATGATTTCTTCTGGCGGTAGACCAGAGCAGGTCAACAAGGCAGCAATGATCGAGCATCAACTGTGTGCTGTGCGGTCGTTGAGCTCTCTCCTCATGAAGGAGGAAATGTACGGCTTGACAGATGAAGAGCAGGATATCACTCTGGCAGTTGTTCTCCTCCTTGTTCTATTTGATGTAAGCGTTCTTTCCTTCGTGTCTATCAAGCTGACTGTTGGAGATATGTGAGTCCGGTATATCATCACACGGGGTACATCTTACCGGAGTTGCCTTCATTTGCACGCGGCTGTGCCGCCGTCCGAAGATTCTCCATTCACCAAGAACAACCTTCTTTCTCACAGCATTGGCCTGGTCAGAGTCCCCGTTACATCTATTTTCGACTAATTCTGACATCTAGACAGGCTAGACGTCCTTCGAGGCTTCAGTGGTGCTGAGAAACTAGCATACGGCGACGAAGTCCGCAAATGCATTCTCGACGCCGGCTATTTTGATCTGGAAACTCTCGTGGGATGCCCGGTCGAGCTGTTCTATAATATCGGGGGTGTCCTGGCGGCTGGAAAAGAATATCGAAATGGGAATTTGACCTTGCCAGACTTTGAGGCTGTGCTGGCCGATGCGGAGCTCTGCTTCCGCACCTGGACACCTGGAAGTGATTCTCAACCAAGCAACGACGCAAACCGGAGAGCGCTGGGGGACGCCTATCGCCATGCCTGTATTCTTCGTGTTCTGCGATTTCTGGATACGTATTCCCTTCCCTGTGAATCAGAGAAAGTCCAAGCATCGGTGGCGGCAGTCCTTGATGCTTCAGCGACCGTGCCAACCAGTTCACCGTGGTTCAAGCGTCTTCTGTTCCCCTTGTTTAAGGCTGTGGCGGAGACATCGGTACCACACCAGAAGAGATATGTGGATCTCTGCATCAGCGAGATCAAACGCTCGACTGGATTTCAGCATCCAGCCATGTCAGACCTCCTCACCGAGGTGTGGTGTGAACGAGAGAGACATGCTGGTGAATTGATCAATGTGCCTTGGATGGACTTTGTAAGTGCCGTTCTACGTTTGGGTTGTGTGGAGTCTAATCCCGCTCCAGACCTGCTCTAATCATCTCATGCGACAGCATGATTATCTATTCTTTTGAATGGGCTATACTTCTACATCTCTCAAGATTCTAAGTGAAGCCTTCGCATTTGCATGACAATATGGGGAAACCTATACAGAGGAAAAACTCAAACCAAGGCGCCGGAAAGGAGCTCGCTGTTGGAGCATGATGCTCCTTGGAATACACAGTGTAGAGCTACCAGCTCAAGGCTATCCACGTCGTAATTTAGTTAGTAGTGTATCCAGGATTATTAGTTCCAGCAGCAAGCATCACTTACAGGCTATAATACTTTGTCAGTCCGTTCCTTTATCAAAGTAATCGCGTATTCAGTGGAGCTGTTTGAACTAAATCAATTTGAGCTTGACAAATCCTTGATCGTAAATGATAAGGAAGATTGTTGATGATAAAAATGTTCCATTAATGTGGCTTTTATATTCCATACAAGCTCAAGCAGCTCAAGCAAATGCCGCTCCAACATAATTCACATATAAAAGCCCGAGACAGTCAGTGGGAGATCTACAGTAACATCATATTTCAGGGGATATACTGATGTAAGGGACTGCCCTGCATATAAACCAAACACCTCAACAGCGCATGGTTTATATTAACAAACGGCAGATTGTCAGATTTGCCATAAACCTATATCGCTTTCTACTTGATCTCCAATGATAACGGCTAGGTAATCATTCTATGTATGCTATGCTTTGCTGTGACCTGGTCTTGAGCTTATGTATATACTGGATTAGCGTTTACATACCTCCCTTATACATAAATGGAACCGCAATTGGCCAAGAATGATTGGGTGCCCTTCCAGGTTGTGGTGCATGAGCTGTCTCGCTGTAGGCGAGCAGGAATCGACATTTCACAATGGGTCAAGTAAGCATTTGTTTTTTCTTTCATATTAAAAGAAGGAACTTCTGACATTGGAATAGATGGTTTGCTTATGATACGGTTTCGCACATGGCGTTTGGCCAAAACATTGGATTTGTCGAACAAGGAAAAGATGTAGAAGGCCTCATCCAAGCCTTCCATGATATGGCGCCAATGGCTGGCCTCGTCGCTGCACTCCCTCACATTGTCAATCCTTTGCTGGAATCCTGGTTGACGGACTGGTATTTCATGCCTACGCCTGGAGATGGATCAGGAACTGGTAAGATCATGCAGGTATGGAATAGTTCTTGACTTCAAAGTTTGACAGCTAACCCATATAGTATCGCGACAACATGCTCAAAAACCGACTGGCCCATCGCCATGCCAAATCTCACGGTGACTTTCTTGACAAGTATGATTGGCATTTCGTGATGCTTGACAAATGCTGACCTTCAATAGTATCATGAATGCCAAAAACACCGATGATGGCTACATGAGCACCGAGGGGATCAAGGTCGAGGCTTTGGTACTCATGGTAGCTGCCTCGGATACCAGTGCTGCATTCATCGGTCCATTTATCAACAATATCATTCAGAACAAGCACATCTACTCTAGACTTCGACAAGAGATCCAGCAGTTTGAATCATCCGGTCAGCTGGCTGCGGGAGTGGTGACATACGAGCAAACACAAAACCTCCCATACTTCATTGCCTGTATCAAAGAATCACTCCGATACTCTCCATCCATACCATTCATAATGCCTCGCGTGGTGTCCAAGGGTGGTATAGAGATCAATGGTGTCTATGTCCCGGAGGGCACTGAGATCGGTGCTAATCCGTATGTTGTACACCGCAACAAAGAGGTCTTTGGAGAAGACGCGTTTATCTTCAATCCTGATCGATGGCTTGAAATTGAAGAGCGCACAAGAGAGATGGATAAGTACATTCTCAGCTGGGGATATGGACCTCGCATCTGTCTTGGGAAGAACATTGCACAGACGATGACGCAGAAGCTGTGCCTTGAGGTATGCACCCAAGTTTAATATATAAAACTGTTTGAAACATAATCCATGTTCAGATCCCTGTCGCGGGCATCGGGATTGAAGCCTGTCTCGGCGATATACTCGGGAACGCGGCGTTAATGGGCTTAACGGGATCAAGTTCTTTGTTCTGGATTAGTATACACGCTCTAGATCAGGAGTTCTGGGTTGATGGTTATCTTAAATAGACCATTTCATGAATCTATCCCAATAAAAAATAATATATACAAACAGACATCACCTCATCAACCTCAAACATCTCCAATACTACACCATGACTGTCTCCAAAGCTCTCGTGCTCATCACCGGCGCTAACCAGGGCCTTGGATTTGCAACTGCACGCCAGCTCGCCAGCTCTGGCCAGTTCCATGTACTTGTCGGGGCCGCGGTCTCTATCCAAGGCCGAGACTGCCGTCAAGGAACTCACTCCTGACGCCACCGACCAGTCGTCCCTGACCCCTATCACCATTGATGTTACCAACGACGCTTCCATCGCTGATGCCGCCAAGATTGTGTCTGAGAAATTCGGACATTTAGACATCCTAATCAACAATGCAGGCATCGGAGAGGTGCCCGGTGCTCCCGTGCGTGAACAGTACCGCCAGATCTTCGAAGTCAACGTCTTTGGTGTTGTTGCTGTCATCGATGCGTTCTTGCCACTACTGCGATCATCAAGCTATGCTGACCGTCGCATCGTCAATGTGACATCCGGACTTGGCCTAATCAGCATGGCCGGCAAGAAGGATTATGCTTTCAACGCCAAAGCGTGGTTTGCCCCAGACTACCGCAGCAGCAAGGCGGCGCTCAACATGATTACAGCTGCGCACTCGGTCAACCTCGCAGAGGAAAAGATTGCCATCATTGCGGTTGCTCCGGGCATGTGTCGCACCAGATTCACTGGAGGTCAGGGCAGAAAAGATACCAGCGATGGTGCTAAAGTTATTGTGCGTGCGGCGACAGAAGGGAATGCGGAGGAGCTAAGTGGTACTTATATTGCTGACGAGGGCTTTGGCTTAGGATGGTAGATAGTGAAACTTTCTCATCGAACTAGAGTTCATTATGAATACCTGATAAGCACATGTCACAGCTTTCCACTCCTCCCTCCCAACTCCATCTTTGCCCTGTCTCTCAGCTCCTTTCGCAGGAATTTGCCAACCCCGTTCTTGGGGATTGTAGAAACAAACACAACACCCCCCCCTTAACTGCTTGTAATGCGCAACCTTGGCCTTCACAAACCCCTTGAGACCTTCCTCTGATACCTTTCGGGGGTTTGCCACTACATACGCTCGTGCCCATTCGGATCTAGGGTCATCTGGAGAGGGAACACCGACAACTGCGGCTTCTTTGACGCAAGGATGAGCGAACAGGATATTTTCAAGTTCAGCGGGGGCAATTTGCAAGCCTTTATACTTGATCAGTTCCTGTTGCAGAGTTAGAGCTGTTTATCACTGGAGAGGTACCGTAGAATGCTCACCTTCTTGCGATCGACAATATAAAATCTGCCGTTCTTGAATACACCAATATCTCCCGTACAGAGCCAGCCATCATGGAAGGCGTCTCGAGTTGCCTCTAGATTATCGAAATATCCATCCATCACTGTAGGGCTCCGTACCAGCAGCTCGCCCTGCTGGCCCGGCTCAACGTCATGATCATCTTCATCAACAATTCTAAGTTCAACCCCGGGCAGGGGTTGGCCAATGCTTCCTGTTTCGTCTCTTTCTCCTGGGCGCATTCCAGTTATACCACCCGTAGATTCGCTCATACCCCATGTCTGTCCAACGTAGACATCCGTGCCCCTCCCAAGCTTAGAGCTGGCAGCAGCCTGTAGCCTTCCGTCCATTGCAGACCCTCCAGTTGACGCTCCCACTATAGACCTGAAGGCATCGGCTGCTTCTCGTGACTTTGCGATTCGAAGATAGACGGACGGGACGGTGAAAAGCGCAGTGATCTGGTGTTGCTTCACATATGTGGTAAATTCCTTCCAGTGGTACTTGCTCATCCAGAATACTGTCCCATCGCTATAGAATGGAGAGATCATGCTGCCAAACAAGCCGGCAATGTGGCTGGCAGGCAGGTGGGCGAGTGCGCGGAACTCAACTGGGCGAAAGGTTCCCTTCTGAATTTCACCCATAGCCCACTCGCGACCAGGCAAGGCAGTAATAAATGTCTCTGTCACAAGATTTCGGTGGGAAATCATCACACCTTTGGGGAGACCAGTCGTTCCAGAAGACCAAATAATGATGATTAGGTTGTTCTTGAGCGTGTCCGGGTCTGTAATACGCTCCCACTCCAGTTGCTGCTGCGATTGCATCGATATCTTCCTCGACACTTTTCGAACTCGTGGAAGAGTCTAATACAAGCACCCGGTCTAGCCCAATACCACAAAGCCTTGCTGCTCTACATGCCAGTTCCCTATGCTCAGTTCCACAGACGATCAGTCTGCTCCGGGCAATGTTAATCTGTCGCACTAACTCTGCCACAGTCGATGAAGGACTGACAGCAGAGTAGACTCCACCAGCAGCAATGATGCCGAAGAAGACCGCTGGAACAAGTATTTGGCCATTGGTAACGAGAGTGACAACATCACGACCTGGTCCGTACTGTCCAACATGATAACGACTGCGGAGTCCATGGGCAATGCACCCGGTCAGATCACGTAGGCTGGACCTGGTTATCTTGTTTGAAGGATCAGCAGCATCAGCATGGAGAATCTTTCCATCATCCTGACAGGCACTATGCTCTGACTCTGCCAATAGTTAGCATATATGAACTTTAGATAAATGCAGTTGTAGACAATATCTTACCAAACAAGAGTGTCAAGAGGTCTAGCTGGGGAATACCAGGATGAGGGTTGATTGGATTACGATATATTTGCCCCATTTTGCCTTGAATCAACAGCAAGATGAAGATGTGGCCAATTCGATGTATAGATTTCTCTCCTATTTTGTGTAATAACTTATCGGGGATCCCGGGAATGTCGGGGATTGATCTATCTCTCTGGTACAATTTCCAAACCTCACATCCATTCCTCAAAGCCTAGTCCTCTGTTTCAGCCAAATCATTAGCAGCGATTTCTCATACACCATGTATACTCATTTAGATGTCACCTAATCCTGCTGCCCATTCAGTAACTTAATATTCAAGTTCTATAGTAGCCAGTAGTGTGTCACATGAGTGGAGTTTAAGTAGGGATTTAGGACTTTTATAAGTCAAGTAGAAATTTAAGACTTAAACTTAGTATTTCTACTATATTTTATTATATTTTTAACCTTCCTCTATATAGAATAGACATATTCTCTATATTTATAATACTACAAGTAGAGATTTAGGACTTATCCTTACCTTATTACTTATATTCATACTCATTCCTCATGAGTAGATTTGGCTCATGTGACACACTAATCTTAACTATATCTTCAATAAGATTTCTAGTAATCTTACTCTTATATAGATAGAGCAAGTATAAGGCTGAATAGATAGTAAGACCTGGGAACTGGGATAGGGGATGGAAAATGACCTGATGGATAATCAGGCAAACGCAATGGAGAAGGAACTAAAGCATCTGTTTATTAGCGCTGTTCTAGATCGATCTGGAAGACTCGCATTTACCGCTCCAACAAGAAACCTTACGGCTGGCCAAATAGGGATGATAATTTGTAACACCCTGTAGTATTCAACTCTGCTGAATGAGTGGGTAAATGATTAACACTGGGTTCAAGGCGCGAGCAGTTCACCCAACCAGCTATATATCTTCCCAAGGGCTTCCGGTACTTGCAGTGTTGACGACTGTGTTACCAATGCCATGAATTATGATTAATTGCCGACTTGTGATGAATAAAAAACCCTAAAAGGTCGCCGGGATAGTAACTATTAGTTATCAGGGATCATTTTGGTCAAGACATGCGAAGAACATCCTGCTGTTCAGGCAGAGGTTGAAAAGCTTAAGCTTCCGAAGGAATACGGTCTATATATAAAGCCATCGTCTCAATTACTAACTGGCCAGCGCTTCCATCATCAACGACCCGTGAACATTCGGCACCGACAATGCAGCAGAACGACGCCGTCTCTACCAGTGTTAGATGTACATCGTCCTCAACGGCGACCCCCGAAGCCAACCACTACTCCCTCCCCGCCCCGTTTGCGCCCATCTTCGACGCCAACACCCTCGAGTTGATCCAGATCGACCGGCTCCCCCTGGGCACCGGGCCAGACGTGGAGTCAGACACGCAGCCGTGGGAACCAGCTAAACCCGTTGAATACAGCGAAAGCCTTCTTGGAACGGGATACTTTCGAAAGGACCTCAAGCCTCTCCAGGTCGTACAGCCCGAGGGCCCTTCGTTCCGGATTGATGGCCACCAGATCACCTGGCAGGAGTGGTTATTCCACCTGGGTTGGACGGTTCGTGAAGGGCCGGTGCTGAATAACATCTTCTACGATGGCCGATCTCTCTTCTACCGGGTCTCGATGAGTGAGATGACGGTTTCCTACGGGGATCCTCGCTCTCCCTACCACCGCAAGCAGACATTCGAACTGGGCGACTCATGCTTTGGCATCGGCGTGCGAAACTCGGTAGTCTACGATGATCTCGTCTCTGTACGAGATGAGCCCGATCTGGATCCCTTTGGATGCGCATTCCGGGTCAAGACGACCCCAATAACTCGACCGGGAGGATATGACCTTGACACGGCCAAATCACGGACATATCGCATCATCAAGTCTGCCCATGTCAATGCCGTGTCAGGCAAACCGGTCGGATACAAACTCCACGCCTTGCCGAGCCAGATGCTCATGATGGGACCCGAGACGTTCAACTCCCGGCGAGGACTATTCTCGACGAAGCCTGTTTGGGTGTCGAGATACCAAGACGAGGAGCTGTGGGCGGCTTGAGAATTCACAAACCAGAGTCGAGAAGACACGGGATTGGGGGTTTGGGTGCAGCGACAGGAGCAGATCGCGAATGAAGATGTGGTGTTGTGGCATACATTTGGCGTGACGCATGTTACACTACCAGAGGGTGAGTCCCTATCCATCTTTGAATAATAAATATATTCTAACGAGATAGATTTCCCGGTGACGCCCGTCGAGACAATGAGCGTTGAAGCCGACGAGCTTCTTCGAGTTGAATCCATCCAACGACGTGCCACGGTCGAGGCAGAGCCAGAACCAGTCGACGTTGGTGGAGCACGGGAATGTTTCTGATTGTTCCAAGTGCCATTTATAATGGAGATAGCGAGATAGAAGATAGACGATCGAAGATAAGAAGAGCAAATGATCTTGCCTCGATACGGACAGCTTCCCCTCTTTCCCCGCAATAACGGTCGATAACCAAGGCTATCTCGCATAGATATAAGACGATAAGAACAACTCTTTTCTCTTTCGTATTAATTTAATCCAAAATGAACGGAACTGTTCGCCCGTTCAAATGCAAAACATGCGCCAAAGTGTTCACTCGCCAAGTATGTGCTTCCCATACTGGCTATCGCCGCTAACAGCAGCAGGAGAATCTCAAACGCCATGAACAAACCCGTATGTCTCCCTCTTCTCTGTGGGATCTCTCTAATTGTTAGACCATAAAAAATCGAGTGGACCGAGTTTCCAATGCCCCCAATGTTCAGCCAGTTTTCTGAGAAGGTACGAAGCATGATAGATAAGAGACGTCTACTAACAACGACAGTGACCTTCGCAAACGCCATATTCGCAACTGCCATCCATTAACCGAATTATCGCAATCGTCTGTATCTGCTCTGCAATGGGATTCGCTCGAGAATCAGCTGCCTCTTCCCAACGTTGAAGGAACATCGCCATTGGAATTGAATAATCGATTTCCCCCACAGAATGAAGCTATTCCGAATGTGAGTTTATAATAAAGCAATCAGAATGCCGCTGACTGTCAAGATATCACTGCCACTCTTCGAAATGGGCAATGATGCTGAAGGATTCTCCTTCGCGTAAGACACTCTCGCTATTCCTGAACTATACTGAATCTGAATCTGAATCTGTATAGAAAAGAATCGCTCTGCTCCGACGCATACTTCACCCACTTCCACTCGGCCCTTCCGGTCATCCACAAACCCAGTTTCGATCCAACCACCAGCCCTGAACCGTTATTAAAGGCCATCGCCGCCATTGGCGCTCTGTATACTGTGGCTGGCGAGAAGATAGGCCAAAGCCGTGCTCGATTCGATTCAGGATCTCAAGCGTTGGAGACTTACGTCAAGAACGATCGAACGCGATTTCAGGATCCATGGGTTATACCGGCATATCTGCTGCTGGAGACATTTGGAATGTACTGCTGCGATGATCAGCTGTTTTTGAAAGCGCAGAACATCCATCGCAATCTGGTTGATGTTGTTCGCGAACTGCAAATGACGCACGATGGCCAGCTCAGTCGCAGTGACACCGACTCGATGGACGAGAATCTGGGTCGTTCTGATTTAATGGACGATGCTTCGACTCCGTTGGATGTGATATGGCGATCTTTTATCCATTCTGAACTGCGAAAACGGTATGTTTCTTTGCTCGCTTATCGACCTGGGCTAATAAAGCAGGACGATATACTCCCTGTATCTTCTTGACTCGCAGTTTGCCATCATCTGCAACGTGCGACCGTTGATGTCGGCCCTCGAAATCAAATACGATCTTCCATGCTCTGATGATCTCTGGGATGCTCCGACTGCAGCAGAATGGGATGCTCTTCGCCATCAGCAATTCTCCTCCTTCAACGATCAAGACGACGAGGGTGGATTCAGAGGTGGACGACCGTCGCAGGGGACTTTCTACGAGAGCACTCAATATCTCCTCCAGCATGGCAGTCGGCGCATGTCTAACAGTCTGCGTCTGCTGTGGTCTTCTCCGTTTACAGCCCTGATCTTGGTGACGCAATTGCAGATGATGAGTCGGGATCTGACGCATGCCAACTGTCTGCTGGAACGGCCGATGGGATCGCAGACTCATCTGTCTGTTCTGCTGGAGAATCAATATGGCCAGATTGCACAGGCCCTGCGGAATATCCTCGATCTCACACCTCGGGGGCAGCTATACAACAGACCGGAGATGCCGCTGGAAACAGCCACCTCGACCAGCCATGCCCCTCTGTGGCATTCCTTCTGGATCATGTGGTACTATACCTCCATCACCCTCACCCATCCAGACTCGCTGCTAGTCACTGGCACAGTCGAGAGTAATTTGCCAGCGGCGATTGCCAGTACGTCATCTATCTTAATGATTGAGCACAGCTGACTGTATAGCGGCTGGACATCTTGCAAGACCGAGAATCAAGAAAAACCGAGATATCTATGAAGATCGCGATGTGTTTCGAATTGTAAGTTCTTCCTCTCTTCCGCGGCTGATGCTCATACATCCAGTTGAATGACCTCGAACGAGCAATACCTGAAATTGACATCCGTCCATCGAACGGTTTCTCCGAATATACTGAGCATCCGTTCACCACCTTTCTCGGCTTCAAAATCTGCCTGGTCGGATGGCGAGTCGTCCGACTGATGGTGGGCAAAGCCAGCGGTGATTCACGGTCGCAGGATCGATCGAATTCTCCTCCCAGCAGCATCTATCAGTGTTCACCAGCTGAATATGTCCTGCGCAGTATCCGATCGTGCACTCAGAACGAGAAACCAGATGGACATGACAGTGGCAGTTTCGAGCCATATGAGACAGACTATCTGCAATGGGCTGCGAGGACATTTGCCCATCGTCAATCATGGCCAGTGGGCAAATGGCAATCAGCCATCATCGAAGAGAGCCTGGGAACCTTTTCAATTACACATTCGCTGCCGTTGATGGTGCCTTCACCGTCGCAGATTCCAATGCCTCAAGGGGATATACAATTGGCAACAGAGTTAGGCCTGGCAGACTTGGGAATGGGAGATCAAGTGTGGATGGGAAGTGAGATGGGATAATTGTATTTATCGTAAAACAGCATTAATCATAACTAACTATATCCATTCTTATCAAACATATAATCATATCAAACAGCAACGGCAGATCCACCCAGCGCCTTGAAGCCTTTCGGATCGATGTATCTGCCATGGAAGGGATCCGCATGGACTCCCTCCATCCGCGGTCGGTCATTGTCAAAGTCCAGTCGCTTGTAGCCATGTTTGCGGGCATTCAGATAGTCTGCCATGTTGTACACCGTCTCGTCCAGTGGCTTGTCGATCTTGAGTCTCTGGAGAAGGGGCGACTCGATCGGCTGCAGCATCTGGTCATCATCCGGACGGGAAAAGTAGATGACGCCAATTCGCTTCTCCCTCTCCTGGTCGACGGGCGGCTTGACGACGCGGTGGATGGTGGCCTTGAAGAGACCTCCAGTAAGCAGCTCCAGGGCTTCACCAACGTTGACAACGAGGGAGTCTTCGAGATATTGAACCCATTTCCAGTTGCCGTGGTTGTCGAGAATCTGAAGGGCCGAGATGGGCTGCGCGAAGAGGAAGGTGAACGTTCCCCAGTCGGTGTGGCCGGCGAGATAGAGATCGCGATATTTTTCGTTATCATCTTCGGTGCGGGGATTGTAGATCATCTATTCTGTTAGTTGACATTCCGAAACGATAGGTAACAACTTACATAGCGAAGGTATTCAGTAGAGTCCTTTCCCAGAGCATGAGTCTCAATGACACGCTCTTCAGGAACTTCCAGAATCATCGCCACCAGGACAAGGAGCTTGCGCAGGATGTTGTTGCGGATGAAGTGCATCACATACTCCACCTCTTCCATGTATGGCTCCAGCACGGCAGGATGTTTGTGGTTCTCGGGGTCGTGGACGAGGATGTTGTAGTGGTCCAACTGTTCTGTCAGTATCTACTATCGATTATGATGAGAGACTTACACTCTTGTGAAAGCCACCTTTGATTCCTCGTTCTCCCGATGGCTTGAAGCCGACATATCGACCACGGGCATCTTCTTCGGGGGTGGCTATGCTAGTTAGTATCCTTGTAGATATTCAAGATATTGAAGATAAGACATACCCTCATATGGCAGCTTCTCATCCGGTGAGAGTGTCATGACTGCATTCGACAGATTGACCTGCGAGGTATACAGCTCCTTGAAGATGCCATGGTTGGAGATTGTCAAGAAGCCATGCTCAGTGACTGCCTGAAGCAACTCTCGAGCCAGGTCTTTGCGAGTCGTTGGATCGTCGAATTTGGACAGATCAATGTTGACCAATTCGATCCAGTCCACTAGATCGTTAGTACAAAACATTCAAATATCTTAGAAACATACACTTTTGCTTGGTTGGAGTTGCCGGGATAAACTCTGGCAGTTCAGGACGAGGGTGGGACGGAGTAAATGACATTGTAATTCAGTTGATGTTGATGTTGATGTTGTTGCTATTGATGATGATGATGATAGTGATAATGCTGTCTACGATCTTAAGTATAGTTCCAGTACCCCAGATTCTATACCAAGTGGAGTGATAGTGGACAGTGGACAATGCATGCATGTAGTGGACAATCGACGTGGACGGAGTGGAGCTCCTCCCCGCCATTTGTGGTTATCGTGAGGTTTAAAACAACGCCTCGTATATCCCGGAATCCCCGCTATTCGTTGATAACGGTGATAGGCGTATCTCTGTATCCGCTCTTTGCCATGTAATAAATAGACCCCCATTCGTAGAGTAGTCCACCTCAATCAAATCGTCAATATGTCTTCCAAATGGTATCATAAATGGGCCTGGTATGAGCGAGACACTCCTCATGCGGAGAAGAAGCTGTTGTTCAAGCTGGACATCACCATCTTGACCTTTGGCTGTCTGACCTTCTTCACAAAGGTATATATCTATATCTATATCAATAGCTCTGTCTGACTGTCTAGTTCCTCGATCTGCAAGCATTCCAGAATGCCTATGTCACCGGCATGAAAGAAGACGTGGGCATGCAGGGCAACGACCTGCAGTATACCACCGGTGTCTTCCAGGCTGGATACTGTTCCATGATGATTCCGGCCAACATCCTGCTCACTCGAGTGGCGTGAGTGTCTCATTCTATGTCTGTATTCATCATCTAACTCTACAGACCCAATCTCTTCATCCCTGCCTGCGAGGTCCTCTGGGGCATCTTGACTCTCTGCACAGCCTTTGTCGACAATGTCAGCCATGTCTACCTCATCCGGCTCTTCAGCGGTGTCTTTGAATGTGTCGCCTATCCTGGCGTCATCTATTGCATTGGCTGCTGGTATAAACGATCGGAAGTCTCGCGTCGTCTCTCTCTGTTCTACATTGCCGGTCCGCTGGGCACCATGTTTGCTGGCTATTTCCAGTCTGCGTGCTATACCAACCTCAATGGAAAGCAGGGTCTGGCTGGTTGGCGATGGCTGTTTATCATGTATGTTCTCTCTACTCTCGATATCTTCATTTCTAACAGCTCAGATGCGCCGTCATCACCATCCCCGTCGCCATCTTCGGTGCCTTTACCTTCCCTGCTCGCCCTGACTCCCCCCGTCCCAGTCTGATTCTTACCGCCGAAGAAGTCAGCCTCGCTCGTCAACGACTGGAAAGCGATGGAAATGAGCCGCCCAAGCTGCGTCTCACCAAAGAGGTCTTTGGGAAGATTGCTCAATCCTGGCGCCCGTACGCATTCGTGCTGCTGTATATCGTCTTCAACCAGGCGATGATCACGAATGGCCAACCATTCAGTCTCTATCTCAAGGCCCACAGCGACATTTACACCGAAAGCGACATCAACACGTATCCCACTGGCCAGAGTGCGGTCTCTATCGTAGCTGCCCTCATCTTCTGCTACTGGGCTGATGTCTCTGGGAAGCGATGGCTTCCTTCTATCGTTCTCTGCATCGGCATGACCTTTGGGGCCATCTGCATGGCTGTCTGGTATATCCCCGTCGGCCTCAAGTTCTTTGCTTTCTACGTCGCTGGTCTGGGAGGTGCATTGAATCCGCTCTTTATGAGCTGGGCTTCGGAAGCGGTCAGTACTCCATACAACTATCATCATCATCATCATCTAACGATAACAGACCGTCAAATCTGCCGAAGAACGGGCCGTGACGATATCCAGCATGAATGCCTTTGGACAGGCGCTGCTGGCTGGTCTGAACATCGTCACCTTTCCCACTCCCAAAGCCCCTCGATTTGAATTCGGCTGGTACTGGGTCATGGCCAACAATATCTTACAGGCAGTGCTGGTTCTGGGGATTATGGCGCTTCATGACCGACAGAAGCGTGGGGAGATGCCGGTCATCGATGGTGAGATTGTCGAGAGGCCGGATATTCTGAAGAAGGATGATGATTCTGTCAAGATGTCCAAGTAGTATTTTGCTCTGCTAGCTTCTGTTTGATTGTTCTTTTATTCCGGTATTCTATCGATTAGATCAATCCAAATTAATCTACAAAGGCTTTCCTCCAACTTCATCCAGCACATATGGCTTTCCATCCACCTTGGTCCACACATCGTCCGACTTGATATTCCAGTAATATGCGTGCAATTGGGGATGTTTTTCCGTCCACGATTTGCTAAACACCTGCATTTTGTTAGAATACTCCAGCATAGACAGTAAGAAACATACAAATTGATATCCTCTGGCCAGAGCAGCAATCACAAACAGATCCGCCATGGTCAGACTGTCGCCAACCAGGAACTTGCGGCCTTCTTGAATTGCCCTTTCGACAACAGCACACAAAGCATCGCTGGCTGTTTCTGCAGCAGCCAGAATCTCCGGCGATGAAGGTGCCTTGCCAATAACCGGATTAATCCAGCCCATAATCGGAGGAAGCAATTCGCTATTGGCAAACGACGACCATTGGATGATTTTGGCTTCATCTTCGAGTGTCTTGCCAAGCAGGCCAGTCGAGGGGTTCTGCTTTGCCACTGCGACTGTTAGCAATGATTATATAGATGAATAAGATACATACGGTATAGAGACACGGCAATGCACTCATACACGGTATATCCATCCGGTCGCTCCAGCGCAGGCACTTTTCCCGTCGGGAATTTGGACAGATATTCAGCGCCAACGCCGCCCTTGCTCTTGTCGACTTTGATGGGCCATGCTTCGATCAGTTCAACATCCAGCTTGTTGAGTTCTGCGATGTAGAGGCACATGGTGGCCCGAGGGGCTTTGGGGTAGTGGTAGAGCTTTCCGAAAGACATTGTGAGTGAGGATGGTGATGACGATTGATGGACGTGAAGCAGAACAAGGTTGGTGGGAAATATATATATTCAGGGGGGGAATGAAGTGGACTGTCCACTTAAATATTGTGTATCCACCATCTGTGGACAATTGACTCATTGTTTTACAATTCGGTGTCTGGATAGTGAAGGTGGATGGAGTGGAAGAAAGGTGGAATAAATGTGGTGGAGCTCCACCTGCATCTTGGGTGGACAAAAACGGCAGGTGAAGCTATACACATGGAGCATCACAATTCACTCTATACAAGAATTTGGTACAAAGGAAATACTTGAACTATATACGACTGTATTCAAAATGAGATGATGTACTGGTGAATTGATATATTGATGGACTGCTTTGATGCAGCTGTCATGAATTCATATTGTCACCGTATGCTGTCTGCTCGTCTATCAGAGAAGAGAACCTTGAACAGACAGCAGTAGTCTAAGTATTATTCTGAAGAGGATATGCTCTATTTATCTTTCAATGTAGACAAGACAGATTTAATAGAATAGAATGACTTCATGGAAGTTACCAACACGACCATTCTCGAATAGCTTCACATACCCCTGTAGTAGCAGTGTACTCTTACCTTCAGCCTATCTCCCTATAACAACAGCCATAAGTATCACTGATCCAACCAAGATATCTATCTTCTATCCAATGAATATCACTGTGGGCATATCGGTATCAGCTTATCTACCCCGCCTCCACCTCCACCATCGGCCACCAACCCCGAATCTTCGGCCCTCAACTCCGGACATGTATTTATACAGATGATACCCATCCATTAATCTATCAAACATAATCTAACATCTGTATCTATAATTATGCCAGCTGAAACACGTCCTCAAGGTCTTCGGATCTCCATCGGTAAGTAGACCATCCACTGAATGACCACGCTAACGTGTATAGACCGCGGTGGCACCTTTACCGATTGTATCTGCAAAGTCCCTGGCCGAGAGGATATCGTCGTCAAGATCCTCTCAGTCGACACGAAGAACTATCCAGATGCACCGACCGAAGCTGTCCGTCGAGTGTTGGAGATTTACTATGGAGAGTCTATTCCACGAGGGACTCCATTAAACACAAAGGATATTGGTATGTTTTGTTGCAATATGTTGAAGTAATTCTAACAAGAGTAGAATGGATCCGCATGGGCACAACGGTCGCCACAAATGCTCTGCTGGAAAGAAAAGGAGAGCGCACTGCCCTCTTGATCACAGCCGGCTTCAAAGATCTGCTGCAGATTGGCAATCAATCTCGGCCTGCCATGTTCGATCTGGCCATTCGCAGACCGGAATCGCTATACGCGGATGTCTTCGAGGTGGATGAGCGTGTCACACTGCGCAACTGCACTGATTCAGACCTGAGAAGTACCAATCTATCATCGCCAGGGTTTGTCCAGGAGGTTCAAGGGACATCAGGCGAGACTGTGCAGATCATCAAACCAGTTGATCTGCAGTCGGTAGAAGCGTATCTGCAAAATATTTACAACGCTGGATATCGCTCCATCGCAGTCTGTCTGATGCATTCATACATTTTCCCTGAACATGAACTGCAGATCAAAGAGATCGCACAGAAGATCGGCATCACCAACGTCTCTCTGTCTCACGTTGTATCGCAACGATCCAAGATTGTCCCTCGAGGCAACTCGGCTGTCATTGACGGCTATCTGACTCCCACCATCGAGCGATATCTGCAGCAGTTCCTGGCCAGCTTCCCGGGCATCGAACAAACGGGAACGAAGCTCGAGTTTATGCAATCCGACGGTGGTCTCGTCCCAGCCAACCAGCTATCCGGTCTTCGCTCCATTCTCTCTGGTCCAGCTGGAGGTGTCGTTGGATATGCCCAGACATGCTATGACGAGAGCAACAAAGTCCCTCTGATCGGATTCGACATGGGCGGAACCAGCACAGACGTTAGTCGTTATGATGGCGACCTGGATCACATCTTTGAAACTACAACCGCTGGCATCTCCATCCAAGCACCACAGCTGAATGTCAACACCATCGCTGCCGGTGGTGGCAGTATCCTCGCCTGGCGCGATGGCCTCATGTCTGTTGGCCCAGAAAGTGCATCGTCGCATCCTGGCCCAGCTTGCTACCGAAAGGGGGGACCGTTGACCGTCACAGATGCCAACCTGGCCTTGGGAAGACTCATTCCAGAACATTTTCCGTCTGTCTTTGGGCCGAATGAAGACGAACCCCTGGATCGGGACGTTGTCATTGCCAAGTTTGAGGAATTGACAGCGACGATCAATCGGGACACAGGCAAGTCACTGAGCTGGGCGCAGGTTGCTCATGGGTATGCTTCATCTATCCTCAGAAAGGAATAGGCTAATCAAACAGATTCATCGATGTCGCCAACTCTGCCATGTGCGGTCCCATTCGCAGCTTGACCGAAGCGCGAGGACACGATACAACAAGACACAATCTGGCATCGTTTGGAGGCGCAGGAGGTCAGCATGCGTGTGCCATTGCAGAGGCTCTGGGCATAAAGAAGGTCCTCATCCATAAGCATTCGTCTATTCTATCTGCATACGGAATTGGACTGGCAGACGTGGTCCATGAAGAGCAGAGGCCTTGTGCAAAGATCTACGAGTCTTCGACCCTGCATACCATCCTGGCTGATCTGGATGATCTCAGTCAAGTGGCCAAGGACCATCTGGCGGAGACTGGCATTCTCAACGTCGATGCATACCGCTATCTCAGCATGCGATATGATGGCAGTGAGACCACGCTGATGGTTGCTGTCGAGTCTGGCCAGGATGCATTACAGTCGTTTGTGACAGCGCATCATCAGCAATTCGGCTTCACTCCAACAAACAGAAAGGTGTTTGTCGACAGTCTTCGAATTCGGGCAGTTGGAAGGGGATCCTTTGATGAAGAATCCACTAGTCCTGCCCATCCAGAGAAACTGCAGAATCAAATTGGCATCAAGTCAGAGTCGCCAAAGCCAGTCTTCTTCGACGCCTCTGGATGGAGCGATACCCCCGTGTATCTTCTTGGATCGCTCCCTTTTGGCAGTTCCATCGCAGGTCCCGCTATGGTCGTCGATCAAACACAGACCATCCTGATCGGCCTTGGTTCGTCTGCATTGATTCAGCCCGAAACAGTCATCTTGGATGTCTGTCCGATGAAGAAAAAAGATGCAGTCAGCACCGACACGATTGACCCGGTGCAGCTGTCCATCTTCCGCCATCGCTTCATGGGCGTCGCAGAGCAAATGGGCCGGATGTTGCAGCAGGTCAGTGTCAGTGCAAACATCAAAGAGAGACTCGATTTCAGCTGTGCTTTGTTCACGCCGGATGGATCACTGGTTGCCAATGCGCCTCATGTTCCAGCCATGATTGGCAGTATGGCATTTGCCGTCAAGTCGCAGATCAAAGCGTGGAGTGGAAAGTTGAAAGACGGCGATGTTCTGTTGTCCAATTCTCCAGGTATGTCAATCCCATGGATAGAGATCCAGTCTAATGAAGATAGAATATGGCGGCACTCATCTGCCTGATTTGACGGTCATCACTCCCGTGTTCGATTCAGAGGGAAAGGAGATCATCTTCTGGGCTGCTTCTCGTGGCCATCATGCTGATGTATGTTCTCTACCTATTCTGCCTATTCTATACTGACATACTAGGTCGGTGGAATTCTACCCGGCTCTATGCCTCCATCCTCTCGCGAACTCTGGCAAGAAGGCGCTCTATTCAACTCGTTCCTCTTGGTCAGGGACGGCGTTCTCGACGATGAAGGACTTACTCGGATGCTCTGCGATGAGCCAGCTCAATATCCCGGTTGCAGTGGTACCCGTTGCTACCAGGATAATGTGACTGATCTCAAGGCACAAGTGGCTGCCAATCACTGCGGCATCAGATTAATCCGTCAGTTGATTGAGGAATACACGATGGACGTGGTTCAGACATACATGGGTGCTATCCAAGGTGCTGCAGAACTTGCCATTCGGAATCTATTCAAGAGACTGTCTTCGCACTTCGGAGGCACCGAGTTGAAGGCTGTTGATCATATGGACGACGGCACTCCGATTGAACTAAAGGTGACTCTGAATGCTGAAGATGGATCGGCCGTGTTTGACTTTACTGGCACTGGAGCTGAGGTTTATGGTGAGGACATCTATACATATTCTATACACTTTGCGCATTTTACTAACAGAATAGGCAACTGGAATGCCCCGATAGCCATCTGCTATTCGGCCATCATCTTCGCCCTTCGCTGCATGGTGGAATCTGATATCCCCCTGAATCACGGCTGCATCAAACCAGTGCAGGTAATCGTGCCAGACAGTTCTCTGCTCAAGCCCAGCATCACCGCCGCAGTCTGTGCTGGCAATGTTTTGACCTCCCAGAGAATCGTGGATGTCATCTTCAAAACACTAGGAACATCCGCCGCCAGCCAAGGATGCATGAACAACTTTGCCTTTGGTCGCGATGGCAAAGACGGATTCGGATACTATGAAACCATCGCCGGGGGCAGTGGTGCTGGTCGAACATGGACAGGCACGGACGGCGTGCACACCAACATGACCAACACGCGCATCACAGACCCCGAGTCTCTCGAACGACGATACCCCGTGGTCCTGCGACGATTCTGCATTCGCCCGAATAGTGGTGGACGTGGTGCTCACCGTGGTGGAAATGGAGTGATCAGAGATGTTGAATTCCGCCTCCCCATGATGGCATCCATTCTCTCCGAGCGACGCAGTTTCAGCCCGTATGGAATGGCCGGTGGTGGTGACGGCAAACGGGGATTGAACACATGGGTGAAGAAGACGGGCGCATCCATCTCGATTGGAGGCAAGAATTCCATCTCGGTGTTGCCTGGAGATCGGCTGGTGATCGAGACGCCTGGCGGTGGTGCATACGGAAAGGAGAGCGAGGGACAGCTGGTGGATGAGTCAAAAGTGAGGCCGTCGTTTGTGCCGATCGCGAATGGATCAGTCGAGGCAGCGAGATCATTAGCTGAGCAGGTGTAGAAGACAGAGAATTAATGTATATGAAGTCATACACTCGACTCTGTGTTGACGATAACCGGCATTCGCATTAATACAGAGTTATTCAGTAAAGAATATAGTGAGAAAGGCCTTTTACAACATTATACCATTTAAATGTATTCTTTTTATTACATTTAGTTCTATTTCAGCTGTATTCAGGATGAAATCAGCCTTCATTTCTAATACTGACTGTAGACTTACTGGGATGCATACAGTTCAGCCTGAGGGGCAGTGCATCGTGCATGACGCAACAATCAACAACACATCCACTATTGTGACTCGATATCCAGTAATATTCCAGACCAACTGCTGAATATCCACTTGGCTGAATCTCAGCTGAATCTCAGCTGAAAAATAAACGAGCTGAAGTGCCGATCACCCCACTTGGTGTCTCCAAACACGGCAGCCAGGCTATAAAGACAGCCGAACTGGCAGATTCTTCTGCAGCTTCACAATCAACCATCTTCATTATCTAGCTCCATCAACATGCCTGTCACGCTCAACACATCCTCCCAACTGCCCCGTCGATGGAGAGACGACAAAACCTCCAGCGCCGACCAGCTCTTCGCCAACTCCTGCCCCGAAGAACACCGGAAGAGCAAGCGCATCATCCAACATTCCATCTCCCCCAGCCAGTTCGACGGCCACCTTTCCTCCTCGCAGAATGGCTTCGTCCGTGCCGTGTGGCATGCGTATAGCGGCCACCACCACCTCACTGTCCGCCCCGAAGACGTCTGGTTCTCGATCCTGACGCAGATCAACTTTTACATCAACGCACACGCCGAAGAACTGCGATCGTTGTTTGTCGCTCATGAAGGCCAGAAAGAGCTGTCAGTGTCTGCCGGCGGCACGATCGACACTGCCAACTTTGGCGCCCTCGCCGTGGAAATGACCAGAGTGATTGAGGAGAATGTTGTCGACCCAGAACTGCGCAGCTGGATCATGCCCGACTTCACCACCACCACCGAGTCCGACAAGGTTGTTGCGGCTGTCCTGCTGATGGGCACTCTGCAGAAATACTTCTCCTACAACATGATGCTGATGTGCGGCATCCCCAGCGTCACGCTGCTCGGTGAAAAGAAGGACTGGGAAGCCCTGGTGGCCAAGCTGGACAAGCTGCCTACCTTTGGCAAGGAACCAACCCAGTTCGCCAGTCTTCTACGCCCCGTGTTGACTCGCTTTGTTGCCTCTTTCGACGATCCTACATCGCAGGAAACCATTGATTTCTGGAGCAAGTCCGTCCACAAGAGCGGTGGCAGCGGTCCTCACTATCTGTCCGGTTGGATTACCGCATTCTGCTTCTGGAACCAAGAGGGAGTGCCCCTATACCGGGAGCCAACGGGGCCAGTGTCGCTGGAGGATTTCAAGGCTCAGAGCGCCGGATGCGAACTGGATGGTGTTTTGTTCCACCGCGTCGACACGGACAACATCCCGACTGCCTTTGCCCACGTTCCCGTCAACGTGAATGACAATGGCCGCGAATACAAGACGACCATGCTGGCTGGGTTGATTGGCATTGAAGCCAAGTCGAGTGGAGCCGTACTGCAGGTTGATCTGGATTACGAATACGGTTTCACGGGCACAAAAACACCCGGGGTTGATTCCATTAAGCCCGTTTCTGGGTGGTTCATGTATGAGAATAAGTCTGAGGCTGAGCTGGCAGCGCTGCAGACCGAAGAAGTAGTATATACCGTGTAGATAGATACCAACAGACATCCATAATCTGACGAACCATTTAGAGAGCTCTGAATCGATGAAAGCGCAAGTGCATATATCGTGAAGTACGTAATTCAAACATGTATCCTTTGATCATAACGTCAATATCATTCACCATGCATCAACTCATGAAGCCCTCCCGTGCTGCCCCCAATTATCACCGGCAATCCAGCTAGTTTTCTCTTCTCGCTAGTCTCTCTTTTCCACCGGTAGAAAGCACATTCTTCATGGGCAGAACCCCAGGACCTGCGATGTGGTGCATATTCCAAGACCTGAAGGAACATCTCCGGTTGATACTGAATCTTTTCCGGGTCCCCTGGCCCATACTCTTCGGTGACGGCATCGAATCCAATAGAAAGATGGCCGACATGCTCGAATATAACTTTACCATATCGGTGGGCAGTAGGCGACACCCTGATGACACCTCTGACACATTTGTCGATAACGTGTCCCAGCCATTCAGGGCGCATCAGAAGATGGTTGGATGGCTGCGGCAGAAATAGTGCGGGTTCATCAGCGTCTTCAATGGAATGATAGGCATAGCACCAGCGGTGGAAGCGCATGTTCGGAGGCGCCATCTGGCTTTCTTCGCCTGGGACGCCGACGTGGATCGAAAGATGTCTGACAGTCATCTCTCGACTCTTCGGCCATTTCTGACGGAACGTTCAGACAGAGGGCCAGCCTTGACGCACCGTTCCAGCAGATGGTAAAAGGCACAGCTGATCTCAGGAGCACGGCTACGTCTCTCGGCCACCCACTGCTCCCGACTCGTCTTGGCCGTGCCGAAGATGCGAAACGTGACGTGGACCTTGTCGACGTGCTGGGCTGGGGCAGACAGATACGTCCAGGTGGGCCACAGTTCCTGTTCGTCGACCACCATCACGTCCAGCTCATAATGCTGTCCACCCGCACGCTCCATGACTGATTTGGTGACATCGTGGATGCGTCGATTGGCCAGCAGCAGCGAGCGGCCATTGGAGATCCATTTGTCGGTTCGTTTTTCGAATTTGACATTTTGTTGGCCAAACGGCTTTGCTAGGCCGGTTCTGTCTTTGACTGCGGTGCGGTTCGGGCTTTCAGAGGGACTTTTGGGTGGAGGTTGAGAATGGACAATGACGAGTTCAATGATTGATTCGAGGAGTTCGAATGGAAGGTCGTTGAGAGAGGCGGGCATTTTGAGAAGATGAGAAGGTGGTAGACCAAGGGCTCATGCGTTGACGGCGATTTATACTTTGAATTAAAGATGATGGACAATGGCCTAACCACATCGGCACAAGGCCGCAGTGTGATTCGTCATGTGGACTGACAGGGATGATCATCAAATACATTAGTCTGTTCTAGTCGATACACTGGCAGTGTAAGCAGTACATTACCTGACTGTGCATGAGTATTGTATTCTTTCGTACCAACACGTGTATCTATACAACTGCTGAAGCGATTGGATCGAGCAGCCGCTCTAGCGACATCCAGCAAGGCGCGCCTCGGCATATTTACAGCCCCCACCAACACACTCGTATAAAGCCATCCATCGTCCCCGTGTTTATCGTCAGTTGCAATCTCACCTCAAAATGGTATCTAATAGACAAACCGCCCTGATGGGCCTGGCGAGGCAGACTGCTACCTTCGACTCCTCCAAGCTGACTGTCACCATCTATGATGAGTTCGTATTCATGCCATCTATAGACTATCGCTGACTTCCACAGTGAAGAAACAGTCCAGTCAAGGCGCGCTGCCTTTCACCGTATCGAGTCTTCTCTTGGATTACTCGACAACATGAAACTACCGCATGTCTATGCAGATCTTGATCGTGAAGGACTCTACCTCGAGGGAGTCCGTAGAGCCCGTGCCATCACGGAGGACATGCTTGTTCACGGCCATAAGCATTTCGAATCCATGACGGAACGCTATCATATGACAAATGCAACGCCATTTGGATTGAACTTTCTCATGTTCCGCAAGACTATTGAATTGCAGGGCGCTGCTATGCAAAAGGAGGAGTGGCTGCCATTGATCGACCAGATGAAGATCAACGGCGCATACGTGCAGACGGAACTATCTCATGGGACATTCGTACGGGGTATTGAAACGACGGCCACATTTGATCGTGATTCAGATGGATTCATCTTGAATTCGCCTACTTTAACATCGATCAAGTACTGGCCAGGCGGACTGGGGCTGAGCTGTTCGCATGCGGTTATTGTAGCCAGGTTAATCACCAATGGGAAGGACCATGGAATGCATTGGTTTGTTGTGCAGATTCGCTCTCTGGAAGATCACAGTGTACTCGATGGCGTCGAACTGGGAGACATTGGAATAAAAATGGGGTATAATGGGACTTGCAATGGATACGCTAGATTCAATCAACTGCGAATTCCAAGAAAGAATTTGCTGGCTGCTCATGTTCAGGTTCTGGCAGATGGAACATACATTAAGAATGCAGGAGACGATGTTCCTCTGTCCAAACGACTGTACGCAACGATGTTGGATGTCCGATGCGCCATTATTGAATCCGCTGCCTTTGCTCTTGCTCAGGCAGTGACGGTTGCATCGCGATACTCGATCGTGCGAGAGCAGGGAAGTCCGATGTTTGATGAGAGCAACGCGGAATTCCCGATTGTGGCATACAAATCTCAGCATTATCGCCTGCTAACTGTGATCTCCCAAGCATATGCTATTCTTTTTGCCTCGAAGGAGTTCTCTCAGACATACAGGCTTTTTGTCAAACAGCGAGCAGATTCAAACTTTAGTCTACTATCCACCGTCCACGCATTAAGTACTGGTCTCAAAGCGTGGTCAACGGGAATCGCTGCTGCTGGTGCTGAAGAAGCTCGAAAGATGTGCGGTGGCCATGGCTATGTTGCCATGTCTGGTCTGCCTGAGATGGTGGCCACCGTCAGTGCTATGCCTACCTTTGAGGGTGAAAACTATGTGATGTGGCAGCAGCTGGGCCGATATCTGTTCAAGCAGGTTGATCTATACACTGCTGGCAAAGAGGTCGATGCCAATATGCAAGAGTTCTTGTGTGGATTTAATGAATATCTCAATGAACTTTCCACACATTCAGTCACTGGAGATCTTTCTGAGCCATCCACTCTACTGTCGATCTATCTTTATCGTGCACGAGCTCTCCTCGCTACTGCCTATCGTGAGTTTACGGAAGAAGCGGAAGTGTCCTCCAAAGCAGAAGCATGGAACAGCTCCTTGATGGCCATCACAGCAGCTGGTCATGCTTACACAGTGTACATCGTGCTGCGGTCTTTTCAATCTCGAGTCGCAACGGCTGAGGCCAATCTTCAGCCAGTTCTATCCCGGTTGTGCAATCTCTTTGCCTTGACCACCATCGTCAGCCCAACACCATCCTTCTATTCCGTCACGTTCTTTGAAGCAGGGATATTATCTCCTGGTCAGCTGAGTTCCATTCGCAAGTCAATCAATCCCATCCTAGAGCAGCTTCTTCCAGACATTATTGCCCTAACCGATGCTTGGGACTTTACGGATGCCAGTCTCTGCAGTGCCCTGGGATGCAGCGATGGGAATGCGTATGAGCGTTTGATGAGCTGGACCAGACAGCTGCCTGTCAACAACGGAAATATTGTCAGGAATGCGTGGGAAGGGGGACTGTTTCCTGGGAGGCCATATGGCGCCAGGCTCTGATCCCTCGGGAGGTTGCATTTAGTTCTCTTCACTTCATTTAGAGTTGGCTATGGGAGCTTTTGAGTCAGAATCTAACTCTATAATAATGCTTATGTGACGGAACCAATGTCTATTTCTGCCAGAGTACGGCTGCCAAGTAGTGGTCTCTTTTACAAGGTCTAACAGCAGTAGTCCATGCTAGATCAGACTCGTACAGCTGACAATTTCGTGATGAGTCCAACCTGTCAGGGATATCGCAGTGAGAAGACCAGGCAGCCTATAAAATAATGAGGATTACATATATGTGTATTATATCTATCTTCATCTATCCCCAATGTCTCTAATCTCCTGCCTGAGCAAGTTCCACCCTCTCTTCGTCTGAGTCCTTGTGGCCTTTTTTCAGTATCCTCAATGTCTTCTGGATCCACTGCTTGACCCTGTTGTATATTCCAGTAGGCCGCTGTGTGTATAGCTGATTGAGCTCACTGCGTATATGTGTGTTTTCTCTGATTGTCGTGTCCAGTTCATCCTGCAATGCCGTATTCGTTTGACGGGTAGCCAACAGCTCCTTTTCAACCTCTTCAAGTCTTTCTGATGTCCCCTTCAGCTGAGTGGAAATGAAGAGGTCGCTGTCACGCAGTGTCTTGATCTGCTCATTCTTCGCCTTGACTTCCAGTTGCAAAGACTTATTGTCATTTTCTATTCTCTGATTAACATCTCGAACTTGACGTAACTCAGCAGATGTATCCGCAAGCTCTGATGATAGAGATTCCCGCTGGTTCTGAAGATCGTGGCAGTCCTGTTTAGCCAGCTTGACTTCTGTCTCCAGCGCTACGTTTTTCTCTCGCAATTCATCGCATCCGGCCATTTGTTTCTGCTCTCTTTGCTGATACTGTTTGCTTTCTTCCTGGGCTTGAACAAGAGAATGTTTTGTCGCGGCTTGGTCCTGCTGCAGTTTGGAAATCGTCGTCCGGGCTGTCGCCAATTCCTTTTTCTGCTGGCTGGTATATCGCCCCAGCACCATTGACAGATCATTTTCTGCATTTGCTCCTATCAACCGTCGGCATTTCTTCACATCGGCTCTCAGTCTATCCAGCTTCTCCCCGTTCTTCCCCACCTGCTCTTTGTATGTCCAGTAGATATCCTCGACGCTCCCGAGAATTTCCTCCCACCCGGCCACGACCTCACCAACCTGGTCGACGTGATGCTCGCACAAGCCCAGTCTAGCGAGGATTCGGAGCTGGGTGGTTGATATGTCGGATATATTATGTGGCAATACCATGGCCATGTCCTTGAGGATGGCGCATACAGCACGGTAATCAGACCAAGGAATGTCCCATCGACAGCGACTGTCGTAGCGAAAGCGTGCGCGACCGAGGCAGAACATGCCGCCATTGGGTCCTTTGGTGACTTGCAAGATCTTGTCTGGATCCCATAGTGAGGGAGGCATTTCAACCGGGTGGTGTGTAGAAATGAGGAGATTGGGCGAGAGAAAATGAGGGAATGGGTACCCCTCTTTATTGCATTGACTGCGCCGCATTTTCACATCCTTGGCTAGTTCAACAGCACTAGTCTGTTTGTGATTCTAATGATATCTGGTAACCCTCCACATTAATTGAAAATTGAATGATAACACATAAATAACATTGAACCGTACAAAGGTCTTTAGGCTGTTTTCAGAATGGAGTGGTCACATATTTTGGGTCTACATAGTATAAACAACACTACTACATCTGACCATGCACTCCACACTTCACTCAATGCCACTCCGGCATTTCTTGTTGGACATTGAGAGGATACAGGCTTATTGGAAGCATGCACCAGTTTACCATATCTTGACTCCAGAAATAATTGCTGGAAAACCATCTCAAAAGGTCACGTGATGTGACCTCATCCGTCGTCTTTTGTCGATGGTTTCTCTCTTTTCATCACAAATAACTCAATTAAAATGGCCAAACGAACTCTTGACTCCTTCTTCAAGCCTCAAAATGAAAATAAGAAGCCCAAGATAGAGCCAACATCATCGACTCACCACCCCAGCTATCCCTCTCCCATATCCGACCTGCCCTCGCACATCTCGGTCGGCCTCTGCCATGCGACGCCCGATGCTTCGCCCCGGGAGATCAACAACCAGCCACACTTGGACCTGCTATATATGCAACCCTTTATTCCGTCGCCCACAGCCAAGGAACTCTTCAAATTCCTGCGTGATGAACTCCCATTCTATCGCGTGCAGTACTCCATCCGCCGAGGGGCGGTAGAAACGATCGTCAACACGCCTCGGTTCACCACTGTGTTTGGCGTCGATGACACCTCTAAATTTATCCAGAATGAAGATAGCCTCATCCTGGTCGACAGCAAAACAGACCAACCCGTTCGCATGAGTAGATATCAGTATACACCCCGCCCCATCCCCCCCTGTCTGGATCTCCTGCGGCAACGCGTCGAGGCAGCGACTGCCGATGGAACGCGATACAACTTCTGCCTGGTCAACTTCTACGCCACTGGCGACGACAGCATCGCCTACCATTCGGACGACGAGCGCTTTCTGGCCTCGCATCCCACCATTGCATCCTTGTCGCTGGGAGCCCGTCGCGACTTTGTTCTGAAACACAAGCCTGCGCCTGACATGGATGACACTGACTCGAAGGATCCACTCAAGTTTGCGCTGGGGCCAGGGGATATGATCATCATGAGAGGTGAGACCCAGGCGAACTGGTTGCATAGCATCCCCAAGCGACGGGGCGAGAGTCAAGGCAGGATCAATATCACGTTCCGCAAGGCTGTTGTGCCGGCCGGGACGAACAACTACTACAACTACAACGTGGGCAGTGGGCCTGTGTATCGCTGGGACGAGGGGGCCATGAAGATGGTGAAAAGAGACCATGTCTAGTCCAGATGCAGGTCATTTATTGTCGTTCTGGCCAGAAATCGGAAATCCCGATGGGCCATGTCGATCTGCGTGTCGGCAAGAAAAGGCCGTGGATGGAAGACAAAGAACCAACCGGCGATTTATGCGGGGATTTGCTTCTTTTTCTTTCTTTTATTTTTCTTCTTCTTTTCTGTCTTAGAAATGAGAAAATGTCTTCCAATCCAGAAGACCTCGATCTACCCCCCGGGACTGAGATCCTCTACGACAACGACAATGCCTACGCCAATCGCCTCCAGCATCGCTCCAAAGGCGATTCTCGCATTCTCCTCGTCCCTCAGCCTTCTTCCGATCCCAACGATCCTCTTCGCTGGTCGCGCACAAAGAAAGGCTTCATTTTCGCCAATGCTTGCTGGTATGCCTTTATGGGATCCATCACCGGTCCCATCATGGCTGGTGGCATGAATCAACTGTCGCAATTCTTCGGCAAGAGCCTGCAGCAGTTGACCTACGCCAATGGAGCAACTCTGGTCTGTCAAGGCGTGTTTAATATCGTCTGGATGCCCTTTGCCATCAAGTATGGCCGACGACCGGTCTATCTCTTCTCGACATTCCTCATGCTCATCGCCTGTGTCTGGCTGGGAATAGCATCAACCCGAAACTACACCGTCTTCATCGTCGGTCGTGCCTTTCTTGGCGCCTTTGAAGCCCCCATCGAGTCGATCGTGCCGAGTACCATCACCGATACCTTCTTCCTACACCATCGAGGCGAGCTGGTCTCTCTCTACGGACTGGCGATTTTGGGAGGAAATGAACTGGGACCGATGATATCTGCCTTTATCATCCAGGCTCTCGGCATGAACTGGGCATTCTTCATTGTTGCCATGTTTGTCGGTGCCACTTTAGTCTCTATCTTCTTCTTCATGCCCGAAACCAAATTCCTCGGACCACGGCCTCACATCATCACGCAGCCGGCATCGGACAAGGACAACGCTGTCTCCGTCACCACGGTGGGTGAAGAAATTGCGCCGATCCTTCGCAAGTCATACGTGAAAGAACTCAAATTCTGGTCCCAAGGCGATCCCAGCATCAACCTGCTCCACGCAGCCCTGCGACCGCTGGTTCTGCTCGCCTATCCCACCGTTGTCTGGTCGTGCTTTGTGTACGGAATGGCGCTGAGCTGGAACGTGATACTCGGTGCAACCGTGGCGCAGATGTTCTCCCCTCCTCCGTACGGCTTTAACTCGAACGGACAGGGACTCTTCTTCCTATCCCCGTTTGCCGGGTCGCTGGTCGGGGTGTATTTCTCTGGTCCGGTGGGTGATTGGATTGCGAATGTGTTCACCCGGCGGAACCATGGGATAAGAGAACCGGAAATGCGCCTGCCTACTTGCTTATTGGCTGCCTTTTTTACTTTCTTCGGTGCACTGTGGTTTGGGTTATCGTATGAAGCCAAAACTTCATGGCCTGTTCCGGTTGTCGGCGCGGGTGTGTTGTCTGTGGGAAGTCAGATGGGGACGACATTGGGCATGAATTATGCGTTGGACTGTCATAAAGAGGTGAGTCCCTCGTAAGTGTACTGTATGCTGTGATACTGACAGACTAGCTCTCGGTTGAAATCATGGTGACGATCGCCTCGCTCAAATCACTGATCGCTTGGATCTGGACGTGGGTGATCAACGACTTCATCACGGCGTGCGGGGTGTTGACGGTGTTCATGACGCTGGCGGCGATCAACGTGGCCATCTACCTGGTGTGTATTCTGTTTTACTTCCACGGCAAAAACATCCGGATTTGGCTGCGGCAGGGGGATTTCCTGGCTGCGGCAGGCCTGGCCTGATTGGCTGCCGGCAAGGAAACACGTACTCAGGTCGTACTCGGACAAATGTATAATACAACAATTAATGCAATGTCTTTCGTCTGATTGGCTGTGCAGTTCAGGGTCTCCGGGTTCTGATCCTGGGGGAGTGGGGCAGGGTTGACATCCACCAATCATAACCTGTAGATCAACTCGGCCCACGGGACGGCGGCACTCTAAATCTATCAAGGTTTGGGCCCTGTCAGGTAATCCTAAGCCGGAAGCAGCAACTCAGCATCGGTTAATTTAGATCGGATCCAATAAGCTGTTATTGTCAAGGATGGACAATCCCCCAGTCTGTGGAACTGAACGCAAATAAAATGCCGCACCGACGTGGACCGATCGGGTGGATTCCAGTCCACGGGCCAAATCCTAATCCTGGCGCTGGAAATCGCCGGGCCCTTCTAAGACTCCAATTAACACAGCCATGGATTGTGCCTAGCTGAGCGCCTGGCTGGAAGACTGCAAATTCTGTTCATGTCTGATATACAGGCAGGATGACTCCCTCTCTTCTGCCTGATAACCATGGCGTACGATCTGGTAACAGTTATACTGGGAGTTTCCTGGACAGAGACTATCCTGGGGTTGACATTCTTCTTTCTGCGGTTTATTAATAACTTGCGACTGATCGGAAGGTTCCGATGGGATTTTGTGCTGGCTGCACTGGCTGTGGTGAGAAACAGACACCTCAGGATAGTCACGATGCATGCTAACTCTCCAGACCACCGGGATAACAGCACAAATCTTCCTGCAGATATCCGTCAACGCAGGCTTAGGCCAACACATCGACACAATCCCCGAAGCGCATCGGATCATCGCCCTCAAATGGGCCTGGGTCTTCCAGCTCCTCGCAATCGCAACCAGCTGCTTCGGCAAACTCGCCATCGTCATGTTCCTCGTTCAGATTCGCGGGAGACACGAGAGAAAGCCGTGGTTTCTGTTGATTCTCGGCTGGCTGATTCTCGTCTTCAATGTAACCGTGTTTGGAACGATCCTGGGGCAATGCCATCCGGTGCAGAAATTGTGGGATGATAGTCTGCCTGGGAGTTGTGATCCGGGACGGAAGAATAATCAGAATTATTCCTTCTTTCAAGCCAGTATGTTTCTTCCATATTGTTTGGAGTGTTGGCTCTGACCGGCAGGCTTCAATACCTTTTCTGATGCGGCGTTGGCGACGTATCCGATGCATTTGTTCTGGAAACTGCAGATGCGATTGCGACTCAAGGTGGCTTTGTCGCTTCTCATGGGAATGGGCTGGATGTATGTATACTCTTCCCACTCCTGGTATGCGTACTGACTCGATAGTGCTGCTGCATGCTCTGGGGTCAAAACATATGAGCTCCAGGCATTGACAACCACAGGGGACATCACTTGTAAGTCCATCAGACAGTATAAAAATGCACCAGCTAATAAGTAGATGCCCTCTCCCACCTCATCATCTGGGCCTCGACAGAAGGCTGGATCGTCGTCATCGTTGGCTGCATTCCTCCCATTCGCCCGCTTATCGAACGCATCTTCCAGAAATTAGGCCTCACCAAGAAGTCATCCTCTCCCCTCCGACCAAGTGGTGCTTATGGTGCGTTTGGAAGCAATCCCACCGGCAGTCACTCTCATTCGCAATCACGCATTTATACCAAACAGCGAGTGGATGATATGGCCTGGACAGAGCTGACCAGAGTGGATTCACATACTGGGAGCAAAGAGGAGGTTATACCAGGGCCGGCGCAAGTGTTGGTCACGACGGATATTGCCATGGAATACGAGGGATCGACAATGCGTAAAGAATCACTCGCGACCCGGGTGTCGTTGGGCGATGATCATCGAGTATAGCATACATAAAATGCAATTTACTATAGCTAATCCACTTTCTTCAAGTTTTCCCCGCATTTCCCTCCATGGGATCGGCTTTTGAACATTCCCGGCGATCACGTAGCCAGGTTCACTTTGAGATGCTCAGAATAAGCCTGGACGATCTTGCAATAAACCAGTTCAAGCCTCTTCATTTACGCCATGTCGACCACCGGTTGACAGTCACTTGATGTCAGATATAACTTATATTCGCACTTCGTCGTATTCTCGTGGGCCTTCTAGACTTGACATGTTGTTCAACGCGTGACCGACCTTGATTCTTTCGTGGTGATCTCGGGTTTTGACATACATCGATATTGCATCACTGGTGAATGACAGAATGGAAAAATCAAGAAAGTCGCCGGCATGGCTGATGTGAATATCCTCAAAGGGTATGGAATCCCGCATGTGAGCTCCAGTCATCTGCTGGAAGGGCTGTGAAGGGTATTATACCCCGCATGTATATCCCACCGCCATCTGCACGTTGGCAATGTGCATCCAGAGGACTGGACCCATATATTCTGGCAAATAGAGTTGGCCAACCCCGCGGTGAAAATATCTACAATCGTTGGAACAAGCAGGACGATCATTGCCCTTTCTGATCGTCATGGCCCAATTCGTCAATTCCCGCCGAACGATGCCTTTGTTAACGTCTGGCAATCCCCGCATTGCTGGCATCTCGAGATCTATATCAGAGTCCATGAATGTCGCTGTTTCTCAGAATGACCATCTTCATTTCTTTAATTTATTCTCAACACAATGTATGCCATCGCGCTAACACTGGCCGTGGTGGGATACTTCATCGTGATCCCCATCATCAACTACTTCCATGATCCCAAGGGCCTCAGGAAATATCCCAACTACTGGTGGATCTCTGGCATCTCAGATCTACCCTTTATCTACGAAGCACACAAAGGCTTCCGCTCGCGCAATCTGTTTGAAGCCCACAAAAAGCATCCCGTCATCCGAGTCGGTCCCAACTCGCTGTCCTACTCCGACCCCAGCGCCATCAAGGATATCTACGGCCACGGCACCACCTGCATCAAGGATCGTTTCTATTCCGAGACGGGAGGCTCCCATTCCCATCTGGCCGATGTGGTAAACAAGCAGGAACACGCCCGCAAGAGAAAGGTGCTCTCCAGCGCCTATGCAGTCAAGAACCTGGAAGAGTGGGAGTTCAAGGTGGCAGCCGTCAGTGGAAAACTCATCAAGGCGTTCGACCAGCGGTGCACCGATCCCCTGCCTCCAAACCAGAATCCAAAGCAGGAAGACCTCACCGTCGACTATCGCAACTGGATGGTGCTGTGGACGGCAGCTGCGATCGCGAATATCGGACTCAGTGAAGATCTCGGGTTCCTGGAGGAGGGAACCGACACCATCAAGAGTGAAGCAAAGGACGGCACAATCAAAAAGGTCTCCTTCCGGGACTGCCACACGGCGACACAGCTTGCCTCCTTCCAGCTGGTCTGGGCTTACGACTGGTACAAGACGTTGCGCCGGTTGAGCAAAGTGTTCTCGTCCACCTACCGGCGTCTGTGGAAGTTGGATGAGGACTGGAGTGGTATTGTGTACAACCGTGCGACGACACGGCTCAAGCGATACATGGAGGGCGAGAAGCTGGACGACTTCTTTACCGCCATGATGGAGGACAAGAACGGATCACCGCACAATCTGGAAATGGGCGAGATTGTGGCCGAGATCAGCATTATGATGAATGCCGGACACGACACCACCGCCATCTCACTGCGAAATGTCCTGTTTTTCCTGCTGAGCAATCCGAAGTGCCTGGCCAAGCTTCGGAATGAGCTGGATGAAGTTCTGGACGAAGACGAGGTCGTGGCACCATACAGCAAAGTCAAGCATCTGCCATATCTGCGGGCCTGCATCGATGAGAGTCTTCGAATGCTGCCGCCCATTGTCTTTGGTCTGCCTCGTCGAACCCCGATAGAGGGAACATCCATCCTCGATGAATATGTCGCCGGAGACACATCGGTCAGCATTTCATCTTATGTGATGCACCACCAAGAGTCGGTGTTCAAGGATCACAACACCTACAAGCCCGAGAGATGGCTGGGAGACGGGGGCAAAGCTCTGCAGCCATTTTTCATTCCGTTCAGCACTGGAGCGCGAGGCTGCATTGGCCGCAATATCAGCTATCTCGAACAAACCGTCCTCGTAGCCTCTCTGGTCCACCGGTATGAGTTTGCCTTGCCACATCCTGGCTGGAATCCTCCCATCCGGGAGGGATCAAATCTGAATCCGGGTCCGATGCCACTGAAGATCTGGAGGAGGGAGACTGCCTAGTTCGTTAGAATAAGACAAGTGAAAGCAAAATTCAATCAAGTTCTTCGATGACCAAGGATCATGAGAAGTAGTGCATAGAACGAGAATAACAGCTGATGTAAATGCTAGAAAGTAGACGTAAAAACCTAGATCAATGGTATAATATTATATCTAATAGAGTTACAACTTTCCCTGCCTCTTCGCCTGGATGATCTGCATGGATGCATCTCGAGGACTCTGCAACCACTTCTCCCAGAACGCTGGAATATCAGGGATGGCAGCAGCCAGTTTTTGCAGTCCGACAATCCCCCGTTCCGCATGGACAGCAGGGACACCGCGATCAGAGTCAAAGAGTGAATTGTTGAATACCTCCAAGGACATCGGACCCTGATATCCTGTTGCAACCACTGCAGCGGCAACCAGATCCACCGGCATATAACCCCCGCGCGATGCTTCAAACGGATACAGTCGATGGCCTCGAGACCATGGCAACAGGGCCGGGATAGATGGATCAGTCGGTGGTTTGAAGGTCTTGGGATCAACACATTCGGCATCGCCGACTTGGAAGAAGAAGATGCGATCCCCAGGGACCGAGTGGACGAGCGACGATAGTGATGCACATAGTACCTCGAGTGACTCTTCGATGGTTGGATGGATCCGCCCATGTCCAGCTGGATTGTATGGATCTGCAAACTCGACGGCCAGGATGTTAAACGCATCCAGAATGAGCCCAACATTCGGTCGATTCGCCATTCGGACTGCCTCCCACGACGACGACCAGGTATTCCGTTGCGCCCATGACAATCCTTCATATCCTATCTTCAGCATCGCCCCTCCATCAGCTTCGGCATATGCTCTGGCCATATCGCCCAATTCCGCCAGATCTTTCGCCACCGTCTTCAAATCGGAAGTGACGCCATCGTCGGTTCGAATACTCGCACACATAAACACGAGATCGGTATCGAATGCTCTCATGAACGGGAACCGTTTTGCAACGAGATCCAGCGTTTCTTTCCGCTCGTTAGGATCTTTGATGCCCTCAATCACGCGCAGTGGCTGTGTACACGCGATGCGCATTCCGAGCGACTTGACGAGGTCGCCCAGTTTCCGCGCCACACGAAGGTTATCCTCTGTGGCCTCCCATAGTCGATCACCAGGAAGATTGTGTTCTTCCAGATATGCAGCCCAACATTCGTCGAAAAGGTCGATCCAGTGATATCCGGCTTTGGCGGCGGCTTCCAGGCGAGGTTGAAGATGATGGATCCGGGGATTTCCGAGCGAGACGGTGGCGATACCGAGTTGGTTGTTGACGGGGGAGGGCCAGGAGAGAGGCATGATGATGTTGATGCTATTAATGACGATTGCGATGGTTGAGAAGAAGAGACATGGTGCTTTTATGCATTGCTGGAAAAGTGTTCATCCTGTTTGTTTCTCTTGCATCATTTCCCCACAACCGGTTATTTCTTTTATGTCCCGATGCGGGGGATCACGTGGGCCATCATCACCATCATCCATTCATTCAGCAGGAATATTGCTTATCCAATGTTGGATATTGATATAAAATGAAGAATCAATCAGCCTGTGAAGCATGTCGCCGGCTCAAGGTAAGACCATATCTCCAGTCCAAGACTGCTTGTAACACCGCCAGATGCGATGCCTTCGCGCCAGCATCGACGACGCCTGCGATAGATGTAAAAGAAACAACCGATCATGCCAGATTCCTCCATCGCGACCTCTAGGCAGAAGGCCAGGGGCAGTGGGGAAGTATCGTGGATTAGACAAGGCGCTGCGACATGTACAGTTGGAACTGCGCAAGGCGAGGCGAGGTTCGGATGCGCCGGATCTGGAGGGATTGGAGATGAATGGGATGGAGTTGGCAGAGTCTGCATCTCCACGACAGGCTGAGGATATACAGACTGCTCCAGCTCAGGTTCATACGGAGAATGAAGCTGTCAGCAATCCACTGGCATTGCTGGCCGATGCATCCGAAGCAGCGCAGGAATCAGAGGGTGTCGTCGATCACAATATTTTCCACGGTCGCCATCTTCTATCTCGGCCTGGATATGTGTCTTTAGGGCTGAGGCTGGATAGACAATGTCTGGAAGAGGGTCTGGAAGCGTTGTTTGTTCCTGATACTCCCTGTCGATATTCCAACTACTTCAAGCCCGTTGATTCTCATCCACCGAGAGATACTGGCCCTGATGTAGATCCAGTTGATCTTGGTCTGGTGTCGATGGAGGATGCTGAGTATCTATTTCTAATGTACGTATTCCATTCCACCTCGAATTATACTGACCAGACAGTTACTTTGCCCGTCTTCATCCTATCAACGGCATTCTCGATCCAGTTCTACATACACCCAGCTTTGTTCGATCTCAGTCTGCTCTTTTATTCACTTGGATACTCGCACTCACATCCCAGTTTGATGCTGCATCAGCATCGATGGCAAAGCGACTGCGCCTGCATGGCGAGAAACTATCACGCCATGTGCATACATGCGGATACAAATCAGTCGACATTGTCCAAGGATATTACATTTCGTTACTATCGGCAACTCCTGCCAATACTCTAGCCGAAGAGAGATCCTGGTTATATACCAACTATGCCTTTGGACTGGCATCAGAACTAGGATTAGATCAACGATCAGGACGAATATGTTCCACAGACAGCAATGGAATCGACCATCAACGACTATCGCGCAATAAAGAACGAACCTGGCTTCGGATTCTCCTCTGGGAACGAGCCAATAGCGCCGCTCGAGGAAGAGCAACTGGATTCCCAGAGACGGACTTGACGCTGTCCATCGATGACTGGTGGCTGCATCCACTGGCTGATCCGGCAGACAAGTATACAGCAGCATTCATTCTTTTACGTCGACGGTTGGCTGCGCTGAATCATGAACTGCAGTCCCAGTCGAATAGGCATCATAGCAATCCCCATTGGGTGCGAGGATTTGTCGATACAGCTCTGCAGCCGTGGTTCGAGACATGGCTTCAGTCTGCCAGTAATGATTCTTCCACATTTGATGGTCTTTCCAACCTGTTCATGCGACATGTCTATCTTCATGGTCGATTGTGGACGTTATCCTTTGCTCTGCATGGATCCCTAGATGGTGATTCTGAAGCCATCCGCGAAGACTGCTTCGACTCTGCCGTCCACTGCTGTGAGGTAACCGTCCAAGATCTGCAACAAGTCGGAGAACCGTTATACTGCATGCTGGCACCGACATGGGCAATGATCTCGTATGCGGCTGTTCTGGCTTTGCGGTTGTTTCCTCTCCTCCATGGTGGAAGACCAGGCTATGAAGTGGAACTGTTGGCATTGTTGTCTCAAGTGGCGATACAGTTGGAAAAAGCAGGAACGACACCATCGAGTCGGTTTGGAATCGCAGCATTACTCGGACAGCATTTGACGATGATTCTCCGAGCGAGAGCAAGAGGGTTGAAAGAGTCTGTTGGGGAAGTGGATTATTCGCCTCCAATGCAGGGGACGCAGCAGGATGCGATGATATCCACATTTGACCCGTTTCTGACGTCTGCCATGTGGGATGACGATGGATCTGCAGAGGGATTGACCGATTTGCATTTGCAGTTATTCGGGCAGGGATTTGGAGGCGTTGGTTTGTAGTTATCGACTATATCTTGTGGGTAAACGATTCTCATCCGGGCCGGTGGTTTATTTTAGAGACCGGCCCCGGTTGTGACAACATAAATGCAACCACATCAACAGTCCCAATTCATCATTCAACAATCCATCAACATGAAAGTCCACACTGTCGATGTTCTTGTCTGCGGAGGCGGCATGTCAGGCATGTCCTGCGCTGCCTTTGCTGCTGATGCTGGCGCCAGAGTGATGGTCGTCGAGAAACAGCCTCATCTGGGCGGTTCGTCCATCTACTCGGCCGGCATGTTGTAAGTATTCCAGTATATCCATATGGATGATACTAATTGAAAAGTTGGGCTCCCAAAACATACGACAGTCTACGGTCCTGGGTGCCAGATGGCGATGCCGCTTTGCAACAGGCGTGGATGGAGGATTATCTGCCTGCCGTTCAATGGATGCGACAGAATGGAGTGCCAACAGCAGATCGTTTCGATGGCATCATGACGATTGGCATTGGGTTTCCGATCAAGATCCCATCGCTGTATCAGCTGCATCAACGCCGTCTGCAGAACAATCCCAACTCGTCTGTTCTGATGAATACCACCATCGTCAAGCTCATCCAAGAACCATCTCTTCCTGGATCCCGTGTCATCGGAGCCATCGTTCGTCGTGATACTACAGATCAGCCGGAATATCTCGAAATCCGAGCAAAGCATGTCGTTCTCGCAACTGGAGGCTTCCAAGGATCGGCTGCTCTCACATCCCAACATCTCGGATACGGCGGAGATAATATCTTCGTCCGTTCAAATCGCGGATCAGTCGGTGATGGTCTTCGTCTGGCTTCGTCTGTTGGAGCAGCCACCAGTCGTGGAATGAACACGTACTATGGCCATCTTCTGGCTGCACCTCTGAAGGCCGAGGATGTTGATCCGAAAGATTATCTTCCATTAGCACAGTACCGTATGTATCTCGTGATGGTATGGATGAAGTTAACGTGAGCAGAGAGTAAATACTGTCTTCTGATCAATGAATCCGGAAAGAGGTTTACTGATGAGACACTCGGCGATGAGATTGTCAATCAGTATCTGGCCAAACAAGAGAAACGGCGTGGTTTCATTCTCTTTAAGTATGTCTTCTGAATATCTGATATAAAATGCTAACTGTCTAGTGAACGCACTCGAAAGCAACACTGCGTGTCTGCCCTCTTCCCCAACGCTGGTGATATCGATCGTCTCCAGAAAGCAAGAGACCATGGTTGCAATGTCACCAGTGCAGACACCCTAGATGGATTTGCTGATGCACTCTCCCAATGGGGCGTCGACGGTAAACAAGCACGACAGACCATTGACAACTACTCTCGTGTCATCCGTCAAAGAGACCCGAGTGTTTCACTCGACACTCCAGCAGGACAACATGCAAACGCCCCAGATGCCCTCGTAGACGGTGAAGGGCCATTCTTCGCCATGGAGGTGCAGCCATCGTAAGTCTTCTTTATTCTTTCTGATCTATGCTAATTGATAGAATCACCTTCACCTACGGCGGCATTTCCATCGACACTCGCGGGCACGCACTCACGGCAGACCGCAAGCCAATCCCAGGATTACTCATTGCCGGTGTTGATGCAGGGGGATTCAGCAATCGAGGCTATGCCGGGGGTTTGGCTTTGGCCTTTGTTACTGGATATTGGGCTGCCCGAATGGTGGCGGAAGAGTTGAAGTTGTCAATGCCAGAGTTGCCTGCTGCGGATGTCAAAGACCTTCGAGCAATTGGGATGAAAGAGAGGCTGTAGGTTTTGTGGCTAAATATATATCCTTGATAGCTTGATGCTCTGCAGTTGAATGAACCATATCTTTGTTTGCGTGTTTCATGGTTACAACCTCATAAAGGCCATGTTTCATGAGTGGCTTTGTTCTCAACCAGATCGACTCTATAAATTCAGGAGAGTCTGACTCGAAGCGATAATTTCTGTATTCATCCCACTCTATCCCTCCAATATTTTCTTAATATATATTCGCACATTCACCACATCATCTACGCGATGGCTGCCAACAGCATCAAGTATGTCTGGAAGATCCCCAAGCCAGACAATGCGCGCCAGGCCAATGCATTGATCAACTCGGCATACTATATCGCAATCCAAGCTGATCCCAGCGTATGCGAAATCCTGATCAGGTAAGCCAGCCAAAATAACTCCATTCAACAATACTGACCACTCTTAGATCCGACATCCAAACAACCACCACGCTCCAAGGCAAGTCCCGTCCTGTCGCACCATACATTAAGATTTCCACGAAGAATGAGAAACAATGCCAGGACAAGACACACGATACGATTCATGGATTTACAGCCTCAGAGGACCTTTACGTGATTGTGGACGTGTCGTCGAGCGGGTATATCACGCCGGACAGTACTCTCGACACCCAGGGCAATGAAATCTGGCCGGAGGGGCTTCCGTCCGATGTCCGTTCTGCTTAGAAAATATCTTATCTTTGTCTTTCTCTCTTTTCTTTCTCTGTGCTTTCTTTATTCTCTCTTTGTCGCTGTTCTTTCTATAGACGCGCTAGTCTGCTTTGGGTTGTCTGCCTTGCTGCCTTGTCACGTCCAAATCATAACAAACCGAGATAGAAGTGATTGAAGTCAATAGCACATTTCATAATGGTCATATTCAGCTATCCTCTCTGTAGACCTATTATCCTCTCTCTTCGTTTCAAACTGCATCGAACAAGAACGTTCACAACGTCTCAACATCACGCCAAGGATCCATGTCGCCCCTTGGTCGAACCAACATACCACTACGATTTCGATGCAGGCGTGGAGAATCTCGAATGGTATCAGCCTGGTGGCTACCATCCAATTCATATTAGCGATGAATACAACGATGAGCGTTATCAAATCGTCCACAAACTTGGTCATGGCACTTATTCCACCATCTGGCTGGCCAGAGACCGCGAGGAGAAGCAATGCGTTGCCCTCAAAATCCTCACTGCCGATACCCCGAAAGAGTCTTCTGAAAGCAAAATCATGCGTGCATTGAATCGTGGAATTCAAGACCATCCAGGACAGGCGTATGTTTCTTCATTTCTGGATGAATTTACCATCGACGGACCGAATGGGCGTCATCTGTGTCTGGTCAGTGAAGCTGCTGGATGCAGTCTTGCCAGCTCCAAAGAAGCAAGCGTCATCTGGAAGTTCCAACCCCATGTCGCTCGATCGATAACAGCCCAGATTCTCCGTGGGCTGGATTATATCCATTCTTGCGGTGTCGTGCACGGAGGTACGTCGCATTCCCTTCTTCTGGTTGAATACTGACTGGATAGGTCTTCATTTAAACAACATCCTCCTCAAGCAGCCTACCCCTGGGGATTCTACCGTCGAACAACTCTACGATCGATTGGGCGAGCCTCAATATTCACCAGTTGAGCGAATAGACAAACAGCCAAATGGCCTGGAAGTCCCGCGATACGGCGTTTCCCCGGCCATGGTGTGCCACGCATGTGAAGATGTTGAAGATCCTCATATCATCATCTCAGACTTTGGCGAGTCGTTCTTTCAAGATCAGAAGCGAGAGGGGCTGCATACTCCCGTTCTTTATACACCATCAGAAGCATTCTTCAATGAGCCACTTGGTCAGGTTGTTGATGTTTGGACGTTGGGATGCACACTCTACGAGGTTCTGGGTGAGCGGCCCCTATTTGAAGGCTTCATGCCAGATCAGGACCATGCACTTGCAGAGATGATCAGCACTTTGGGTCCTCTTCCAGAGCGATGGTGGAATCGGTGGGAGAAGAAGAGGGACTTTTTCCTGGAAGATGGATCGTGGGATGTCAATACGAAGAGAGCTCATTCGCCTCGTTCTCGTCCGCTTTTGGAACGACTTGGGGACATGGGAAGGGAAGAGGATTTTGGGGAAGAGGAATTGGCTGTTTTGGAAAAGTTATTGAAGGCCATGTTAACGTATGAGCCAGCAGAGCGCATCACGACGAGGGCAGCGATTGAGTCTGAATGGATGAAGAGATATGGAGGCTTATCTGTATAGTTCTTGGTTACAGGATATCGTTGGACATGTTCTAATTCATCTCGTTCGGGCATACCTTCTTGGTCGATTCAGTCTGTGCTACCATCTATCTACTTCACATATTCAAGAAACGAATAGAATCATGAACAGTTCAATAGACCCTGACCATCCCTGCCTTCTTATTTAACCGATGCGGGGTATGCATCTTGTATCCCCTCACGGAATCAATTTCTCCGTCGATGATCATGCCAGATCCAGTCATATCAGGCTATCCGGATAATTAAATACAGATCCTTAAATACAGACAAAGAATACTGTTTATTTTGGCATCAACAAAATGCTCTTGCTGCTCCTGGTCTGCCTCTCGCAGGCCCTCATCGGCTTTGCGAATCCCATCAGTCCCAGATCAGACTATTTAAGTCCCAATAGCACTGGTTTTCGCATGCAGCATGGCTTTGAAACGATCCTCGTCCAGCCATTTGGCTATGACGGTTTCCGTGTTCGTGCCTGGCCTTTTCGGCCTCCTTCCGGCCATGAAATCAGCTTCGTGTATGACCCTCCGCTGGAAGGACCGGAAGATGGAAAAGCACACGGAATGGACTACGACACGGCCTTTAATGGCAATCGCTCCGTGACGATGCGCAATGGCAACACCATCGTGCGGACCTCTGGCTGGGGCGGCAATCCAGGAGGCTACAGACTGGCTTTCTACCGCGTTGAGACTGATGGCTCGGAAACCCTCTTGACGAACGAGTATGCACCGCTCAAGTCGATCAACCCTCGATACTATCACTGGAATGGCCCAGGCAGTGAATTTTCCGCCGAGTTCTCTTTCAGCACGACGCCCGATGAGCAGATCTATGGGACTGGCACGCAGCAGGATCATCTGGTTAATAAGAAGGGATCCACGATTGATCTGGTCAACTTCAACACGTACATCCCTACTCCGGTGTTTATGAGCAACAAGGGCTATGGCTTTATCTGGAATATGGCATCAGAGGGGCGAATGGAGTTTGGGCCTCTTCGGAATCGATTCACGGCGAATGCTGCAAGCGTCGTGGACTATGTGATTGTGTCTGCGTCGCCGGGTGATTATGATACTTTGCAACGACGACTGTCTGCACTGACTGGTCGTGCTCCCACGCCTCCAGACTGGTCTTTGGGATATCTGCAGTCGAAGCTGCGATACGAGAACCAGAGCGAGGTGATTCTTCTGGCGGAGAATTTCCAGAAATACGACATTCCCGTGTCACTGATTGTCATCGACTACCAATCATGGGCTCATCAAGGTGACTGGGGATTAGATCCTGCTTTGTGGCCAGACGTTGCATCCATGGCACAGCAGGTCAAGAACCTCACCGGCGCCGAGATGATGGCGTCGCTGTGGCCGAGTGTTTCGGATCATAGTGAGAATTATCTCGAGATGCAGGCGAATGGATACCTCTCTGCGACAAGATCAGGACCTGGCACGACTGACAGCTGGAATGGGTCGTATATTCGCAACTACGACTCGACGAATCCCCAGGCTCGTCGGTTTCTCTGGGATACGCTGAAGCGCAATTACTACGACAAGGGGATCAAGAACTTCTGGATCGACCAGGCCGATGGGGGTGCACTAGGCGAAGCATACGAGAACAATGGCCAAAGCACATACATCCAGTCCATCCCATTCGCGCTGCCAGATGTGCTGTACTATGCTGGTACGCAAGACAGCGTGGGCAAGCTGTACCCATGGGCCCATCAACAGGCCATCGAAGAGGGCTATCGCAACGCTACTTCGACCGACGTTGGAACAGCCTGCGACCACATCAGTCTGAGTCGCTCTGGATACATCGGGTCGCAGCGCTTCTGCAGCATGATCTGGTCGGGCGATATCAGTTCAGTCTGGGAGACACTGGGATTGCAAGTCGCGAGTGGATTATCTGCCGCTGCGACAGGCTGGGGATGGTGGACGGTCGATGCAGGTGGCTTCCAGGCGGACCCGACAGTGGAATGGAGTGCGAATATCGACCGACCGGAGTATCGTGAGTTGTTTGTGCGATGGCTGCAATGGACGACGTTTATCCCGTTCATGCGAGTCCATGGATCGAGAGCATGCGATGTGCAAGACGCGTTTACATGCAACAACGAGCCGTGGTCGTACGGGGAGAAGAACACGCCGATTATCGTGTCGTATATAAAACTGCGCTATCAGCTGGGCGAATACCTCAAGGCTATCTTTGACCAGTTCCACCAGACTGGACGGATGATCATGAGACCTCTCTATATGGATTTCGAAAAGACAGACCCTGAGATAGCCAGAATGACCCGCGAAAACAGCAACGCCACGACACAACAGTACATGTTTGGACCTAAGCTGCTCGTAACGCCGGTGACAGTGCCGAATGTGACGGAATGGAGCGTCTATCTTCCTCGCATCGACAACAGCACGAAGTGGACATACTGGTGGACTAACGCCACGTATACAGGAGGGCAGAATGTGACGGTGCCTGCGCCCCTCGAGCACATTCCGCTGTTTCACCTGGGAAAGAGAGAAGATGTCTTGTCTGGGAATGTATTCTCATCATAGAAATACAGATAGGTGAATCCATTATTAAACTAGGGTATAACGTTGAAATAAAACCGTCCCGCATCGCCTTTTCTTTATGAAACTAGAAATCCTCCGGTGGTGGTCGCTTCGCTTCAGGGTCAAGCGGAGATACTTGTTCGCAGGTGCAGTGGCGATAATGCCAGACCATCACCATGTACAGACTGTCCATGCTGCCGATGAAAAGCAGCGCAACGGCCGTCCAGGACATGGCCAAAAACGTATCGCCGTGGTTGGCCGAGATGCCATTGTCGCGGCCGTGGTTGTTGACGAGATTGACGAATTCAGTGGCGATGACGCTGGCAATGGTCGATGCGATGCCTAGACAGATAAAGCCAAACTGTCTTGTTAGTATAGATACATACGAGGATGGGAAAGACTCACCATCATCAAGGACATTTCTCGCTTCGACCGTCGCGGTTGAGACACGATTTCCCTGGGTGTCCCTGGTACTTCACCCGGTGCTTGGAAGCCACGAGGTCCATGGCCACCCCAGGTAATCCAGATTCTGTATAGAATAGCCAGACCAGCCGCAGCAGTTCCAGCCACGTAGAAGACGACCATGGCCTGGCTGGTCGGAGCCAGAAAGTCAAAGTCATCCGACGGGAAATCTGGCCAGTTCAGGTCAGACACAGACTCCGCCGGGTCTTCGGGGTGGATATCGTTGGACAAGATCGTGCCGGCATCAAAGGCAAAGGGAACAGCGCGATCAGAACAGAAGGTCACATTGCGGACAAAGTTGAGGGCTTCTGTTCCGTTGGTGGAGCATTGTTCCATGAAGCCTTCGCAGTAGGTCATCACGTAGACCGAGTAGAAGTCGCGTATGCCGGCGCCATTGCCTATATTGGATGTTTCCAACTAAAGGAATCAGTATGGCTCATGTATATCAGGATGGACATACGGTGACAATATCAGCCTTGGTGAGAAAGTTGCTATCCGAGCCAGAGAAGAGACATAGTAAACTCAGGATAAACGCCAGCAAGACAGTCAGAGTGGGAATGAGATCGTGGAAGCACGCCATGATGCAGTTATTGATATTCGAGAGAAATAGAGTTTACCAGGCATGGGTGTTTCAGTGGAATAATAAAAGATAGAGAATAAGACGAAGCATAAACAAGAAAATTGACTTTGTGGCTGAATCAACTAGATATACGGAGCATTTCCATCCAACTGCTATAGATTTCCAACCGCATGCAGACCCAGCCACCGCATAATAACGAGATTCACCATGCATTCTTACGCTTTCCAGGCTATTTTTACCGGCTGTTTGAACGAATCAGAGTGTAGCAGGAATATAAAAGTCTCCTATACAATCGAGGAATCTGAACGATGGGGAATGCATCCCTTGATCTGATCCAGGCATCAGATGGCACCATCTATTACTATGACCGTCTATTACCATCTAGTTATTATCATCTATTTATTAATTATCTCTTAGCTATCAATTGTGGTTCAATTGCCATTTAATTGTCATTTACTTATCCTGACTGAATTATTATACTGTTCTATAGACATCATCTACCTATACAAAGACATTGTCGAGCATCTGAAACCAAACGCTACATTCCTCATTTCCAAATAACTTCCACAGCCTCTCATTGGCCCATGCAATCGAATCGAACTCGATTCGAAGCATAATCAGCGGTGGTTGGGAGATCATCTGGAAACTACATCCCCTCAGATCGACGCCACCATCGCCATCTCTGACTCGATCTCTCGGTTCGCCCCGTCTCTCCTGTTCGTTCCCGGTTTATTGGAGTTTATTTTTCCCCAATGCCATCATTAAGGGTGAAAATGCCGCACCAGATCATGGCCAGTGTCATCATAGCGCATTACCTAAACGGCAGCCCGGGCCCCTTGCACGCGTCCGCTTCTTCGAAATACCAGTGGTGAGCGGAAAAGTCCGTGAGATCAGGCAGTCCGGTGCCGGTGTTTCCCTGGAAGGTGACATCGCCATTGTACACTTGGATGTCGCTCGTCTTGACCGTCACGTTGTTGCCCGAGGTGATGTAATATTCAGGACTGACATGCACATAGCCCATCGCCAACAGCGGCAGCTTGGGCACCGGGTCGTTGGTGTGCGTGAAGCGGTAGTTGTTCTTCTGGTCGGTGATGTACTTGGCCAATGCCTTGTTGGCGACCCGGGGCGAGGCGTACGCGTACAGCGTCGCTTCGTGTCCCTTTGCTCGGAGATCAGCCGCAGCGAGAGTGGCCACCGCAGCACCGAGACTGTGTCCGACCACGACGAGCTCATAGTCAGAGTGTTGGGCAATGGTCGAGTTGAGGGTTTTGAGGATGTCCTCGCGCACTAATGTCCAGGAAGTCCAGAAGCCCAACTCGGCGGTGCAGCCATCGCACAGCTTCGGATCGACCGCGAGGAACGAGGCATCAGCGACCCAGTTACGGACGGAGTAGGAGCCACGGAAGGCGAGGACAATGGCTTTGTTGGTGTCGTCGACGGCGACGAAGCCGGAGGTGTCGGTGAGGGTTTTGCTACTTCATTAGCTACGATATGACGATGGGACAGAAGAAGCATACTTGGAGAAATCAAAGACGATGGTAGCACCGGCCTTTTCGACTTCGGGGCAGTTGTGCGCCCAGCAGGTCAATTTGTGGCCGGTCTTGGAGGCATAGTTGTCGTGGCAGTACGAGGCAGCGGCATATTGGACCCAAAAGTCGAACTTGGACAGATCGGTGGTGGAGACGTCTATACAGTTAGTTTATACCTGAGAATACAATGAAATGAAATACCTCTGGACTCAAGAGGGGCGGCCTGGCAGAGGGCTGCCACGAAGGACAGGAGAGCGAGGAAGCGCATGTTGGCGATGGCTGAGATGGACAATTGCAGACGAACGAGGAATCACCAGCTTAAGTATTGATCAGATCCATCTCAGCTCGCAAGCGACTAGCACCAAACGGCGACTCCGAAATCTCTGTATGGTCAGATTTCCTCATCGTTGTTTGCAACAGGCCCAATGATGCTGCTTCATTATCCACAGTAACCTCCGCATCACGAGGGATTCCATGGAGAACTTCACGTGGATTTCCCGTTGCAGAAACAAAGACGCCGATCAGGCACAGCTGATGAACGCTCAGCTGAACTCGCGAGATATCTCTCAGCCTAGGAAGGATTAAGACCGGTGGGGAGAGGCTTTGTTACCCTTTTGGGATCACGTCCGATCCGATCAGCGGTCGATCCTCGGTTCGTTCAAGAACGTGAAGACGATGGCCATATTTCACGAGATGATTAGAATTAGAATTGTTGGAACGTGATGAATATGCAATCATTATTCTATTACTTCTATTCTATTCTAACTTTTAATCTCCAATCCATCGCAACTGTCAGTCTGACTCATCGCATGTGATGCCGATCCCTTCTATTTCCAGTCTATCCCGATCAAATCTATGGATCCCTCGATTTCTCCGCCTTAAGCCGTCTTGACCTCCTCAACCGTCGGTGCCAATCGACTCTTCTTCCGAATCCGGGGTCCGAAGAACCGGAATGCGATGGGGATTGGGATCATGACGACTGCGATGCATCCCAGCAGAGTGCCTGCCCACTGCACACCAAGATTGTTGAACATTTGCCGAGAGAAGAGGGGGAAGCAGGCGCCGACGAGAGATCGCAGCATGGTATTCGCAGCAAAGGCAGATGCGGCACTGATCTATTAGTATCGTATCATATGATAGATATATAGAAGACATACAAGTTGAGGTACGAATCGAGCAGGTAATTCCAACCCTGCATGAAAATGGTGATGATGCCAAAGCCCACCATGACTCCAGCTGCTGTCGGGGCCATCCAGTGGATCGAGGGTGTGAAGCCAGTCCAGCCGAACCTAACTGATTAGTATAGTCAGACAGATATAGATGAGTATAGAGACATACCAGAAAAGTCCACCGGCAAAGGCAACACCACCCACGATGCACGGCAACAACCGCCATTCAGGAACAGGGATATTATGATTAGCCTGCAGCTTTCGCACATATGACTTTTGCAAAGAAAGCACAAATCCAGTTCCCATGAACTGTCCGATCATCAACCCGATAAAAGGCAGTCCGCTGACTCCTCCTTTCATGCCATACACTCCTTGAAAGACAACCGGATATGCCTCCAACAGTGCATATGCCAGTCCATAGATGAACGACATGTACAGCGTCAGCAGAAAGACAATCGGCTCTGTGAAAAGCAGTTTGAACGGTCGCGCCAGGTTCTTGGTGATGAGCTGGCGAAAGTCGATCTCCAATTCATCCTGTTTGGCGTGGATTCCCCAGTTGCGCGTCTGCCGGCGGAGAGTCGCTGCTTTCTGGACGAGAATCATCGGGGCGTATGTTTCTTCGGCGAAGGTAGCCAGCATGAGCAGAGTGAAGAATCCGACGATGGCTGGGAGATACAGCGTCCATCGCCAGCCCAGATAGCTCTCTTCGATGAAGCCTCCAATGTACGGCGCTGTAAACGGTCCTCCAAACACGGCCATGGTATACAAACCGATGGCGATTCCACGATCAACACTATTGAACATATCTGACAGGCTCGCAGGAACCAAAGCAATCGGGCTTGCCGCGAAGAATCCCGCAAAGAACCGAGTGATCATAACCGTCTGCGTGTCTTTGGCTGTTGCACAGGCAATGGTGAAGATACTGAAGCCCAGAATGCCAATTAACAGCGGCCATCGACGTCCCATGAGTTCCGACCCCGGTGCCCATACTGTCGGGCCAGCCGAGAAGCCCAGCACATACAGCGTTGTTCCCAAATCAGCGACTTCTTCGCCAAAACCAAAGGTTTTTATCACACCGGGGGCGGCAGCAGCGAATACGGCACTCGTAAAAGCCGTGACGAGGGCGCAGGAGGTGAGAAGCGATCCTAGCATGACCCTACTCAGTCAGTACATCTGAAGCCATGTGAAGATGAGATGTCTCACCTCTTCCCCATGGGCCAATTCTGGGGGTGCAGTGGATCATCGGCGCCCTCGAACTCCACCACGTAGTCTTCAGAATTCGGCAGAGACGGGGGATACGGCTTGCCAGCACCGAGTGGCAGCCATTGTTCGCGAGGAACCCGGCTGTGGCTGGATCCCACCGTTTCCTGCTGTTGGAGTCGGTAGGTGTTGATGCGCTCGAGCTCGACGCTGTCGCATGTTGAATCCCGGCGAGAGAGTCGCGAGGGGCGCTGGTGCAGACTGCTCAGATCGGAAGAATCATCGCCAATCTGTGCATCTGCCGGAGACATGCTGGCTGTGAGTCTGGCCAGAAGACGGTCCAACCGTGCCGGATGGGCGTGCCATCTTAAGGCGAGTCCAGTGGGTCTTTCCAGGCAAAAATCAAGAAAGAAAAGAAAGAGACAAAAGAATCCATGATGAAAATAAAATAACCAGCCCAAGACAGCCCAAAGAGGGTCTTTGATTGGCCCACTTCGTTTAAAGCATCGGGATTCCCTGCGGAACGTTCCGCTCTTGATGCTCTACATTCTTGATTCTACAACAGTACATCTATCATCTATTATCATCATCGATATTCTTTACATTCATAGCATTAACTACACTCTTCCATACCCTCTACTCTCATCTTATATTCATAATAATTATATTCCATTGACGTGCCGAATTCCGCTCGCCCCACGCCGAACAAACGGCATCTCCTTCCGACCGGATCTCGGCATCATTAGAAATCATCGCTTATGATGTTGTCTGGATGGATTATGGGGAATAGGCGAGCCTCAAATATCAGTGGTCAGACATCCAGCAGGCATCGCTTCCCTCGTGGCGACATCAAAAAGTAGATTGTCTGTTCCATGTCCGACTGGCTCATCTGCTCTCGGGCTGACACTCGGGCGTGAGGAAAGGCACGAAAGAAGGACGCTGTGGCCAGGCGCAGTTCGATCTGAGCGAGATGCATTCCGATGCAGACTGTCTTGTTAGAAAATGTAGACAGATATTGGATAGGAATACTCACTGCGAGTGCCTGCGCCAAACGGCATCAGCATGTCTTTCATCGTTTTGCTCGGATTGGCCCATCGAGATGGATTGAATCTGTCTCGTTAGCTTATATCACTATTATATGATTGATGCTTACCTTTGAGGATCCGGATAGACCGTCGGGTCTCGATGCAGAGTATATGCTTGTGTGCTGACAGTAGCACCCGCTGGAAGGTGATATCCCCCCAGCACTGCGCCTCTATCCGGCACAGCTCGCGGAAGGCGTGCAGGAGCAGAAGTATACAGCCGCAGGGCTTCAGTGATGACTTGATTCAGATACGGCAGACGCTGCAGATCAGCATCGGTGAAATCGTCTGAGATGGCCGTCAACTCTTCCAGCAGCGTCTGTTTGATCTGCTCATCGCGACAGACAGACCAGCACAGATAGGTCAGCGTATTCGCCGTGGTGTCACTTCCTGCGATGATGAAGATGCGCGCATGGTCTTCAATATGCTTATCCGACAGTCCATCTGCTTTCTGGTCGAACAGTTGGGTGAACAGCGTTGGTTTTGTCGTCGGATCAGCCATGCGTTGCTTGTATCGCTGGATGCTCTCGCGGGCACACTGCTGCATCTTCATCGTCGACTGCATCGCCTGTTTGAATACAGGCCATTGAACCAACGCAGCCAATCGAAGAACACTCGGCCATGTCGCCTGCAGTGCAGCCAACCCTCCCAATTTTTCCAGTTCCAGGCTGAATTCCGTTTTCTATCCAATCAGTCATACTCAATGGGTAGATGGAAGAGGATGAATACCTTTCCCAATTTGACCATATCAAACGACTCTCCAAACGACAATTCGGCAATGACATCCATCGCCATGAACAGATACCACTTGCACACATCCACCGTCTGCCGTGTCTTCATCTCCTCCTTCATTCTCTGTATCGTCAGATCGACTCGTGTCCGAATCAACGGCTCCATCTGCTGCTTCAAAGCCTGCTCAGATAACGGCCACGCCAACAGCCGCCGATGCGCTCGATGCAGTTTCGGATCCGTCATGCTGAACAGATTCTGGATTCCTCCTCCTCCTAACGTGTCATACCAGCGCGACTTGACATAACCGCTTCCGATGCGATGGATTTCTTTGACTGACGGGAGATCGGCAAAGTCAACTTCGTTGGGTCTCACGCGGACGACGGGGCCTACATTGTTAATTGGATCTGGTGAGTTGAGGATAGACTTACCATATTTTTTATGCAGTTCCTGGACATATTGCGCTCCATTCCCTTTGACAAAATGATAGTCGTAAATAAGACCCGTCCAGTTGGTGATCCATGGTCCCGGAATGGAAGAGGTGGGATTGCGATATACCCGGATTATAGCCTGGATGATTAGTTGGAGTAGATATACATGGTGGGAGAATTACCGTTATCAGCAGCACCAGCAGAAGAGGGATGAACATTTTGGATCTGACATCTAATTCAATCAATGGAAATCCTCCGTCCTTTATACCGATATTCCATTCATGCACCATGAAGTCATGCAAGGCTGTCACCAAACGCAGCCTTGTTGCTCTCTCGAATATTAAACTTTCCCACCCCGCATGGACAGTCTTTCTCTGCTCGTGATTGGTGGCTTCTTGGATCGAGATATCAGCCCCCCGAACCCCTGGTCGTGGCTTTGACCTGGCAATATGGAATACTCTTTCAAAACAAACGAATGTCTCACTAAAATAGTAATCCACTATTCCTGTACGACCAGGTTGCTTTCTATTCTTGGCTTCTGGCCGTTTCTCCAACACATAATAGCATAATAGCATCGATGCGAGTACGAGTCAGTGCATCTGTTCTGCGCCGCATTATCAGTCTGCATCATGTGTATCATCCAATAACTAACACGCTGATTCATATCTAATCGAAACCGATTCGTCTGTGTCATGCTCAACGTCATCAACAACCTGTAATTCCATTTCTCGTCCGCCGTATCCTGTTGTGCTTTGGTGATTTTCTTGGATGGGAGTATTTGATATTTTCCACATATTCATCCTAGGTTTGATGCCTGCCAACGAGGTTATCAACCCAGATGTTAAACGCAAGTACATGAGGACTGTGTTGAGTGATATACAATTTGTCATTTTCCTTGTCGTATCGAAGGAAACCAGGATGGTATTCTGCTAATGAAAAGCGGCTTTGTCATATGTCTTGAATAATGTTAGAATAACAATATAGCTTATACTCGGACACTTTAGTATGCTCAGGTATAACAGCAAGCTGTTTCCGAATGCTCAGCAGCTCACTATCAAGAAATCTATCAAAAACATCCCCCACATTATCTCCAAGAACCCGACCCATCACAATAAGGTCCAGTCAGTTGGTAAGGAAACATTTCCCCTGCAGGCTATGTGGCATGGTCAATATATTCAGCCCGTGGCCAATATCGTGCACGCCTTCAAGCAGTTCAGCTTCATCAAAGAGGTTGTCCACTGTGTCTCTTCGGCGTCCAAGTCGGAGGATATTCAAGGGATGCTGGGTTTAGACTAGGAGCAGTAAGTTAGAGTTATATTAAAACCATCATACAGCTACTCATAGTCTATTCGAACCATACCCTCCTTGTCATCATTTGTACAACGAGCCGGGCTAAGCCGCGACGTTGTCCTGGTTGCCAATGAATGACCTCTGAGAGCTGTTTCTCAATTAGGATCTTTTGTTTTCGACGATGCAAACACGTAAGTCAGGTCGAATTACCACATTGTCAAATGATTGCTGGTTTTGCTTTATACAGATTTCAGATCTAGAGTTTGAAGATGGTGGAAGATGATGGTTGATGCCTACATGGATGCCTACAATAGGCAACGCTCATAGGCTTGGATAATGCAGTGACAAAACAATGCATGTATATCAATATGATATCTATTTATTTAATGGCCATTATCTTGCCAAGTATATATGTTATTAATTATCAGGTATGATATCTATAGAAGAGGGGTAGTTGGAGTCATCAAGTTACTCCAATTCTCCAACATCCAACCTATTGTATAAGACATCATATCATCACCACCACACACCATCAACATCATAACCAATATTTCAAACACAATGCAGGCAGCACAGCTTGTAGAAGTATGCTCTTTCCCCTCTCCCTTCTCTCATACATAGCTGACTCTCCAGTTCAACAAACCCTACATCTTGACCACCGTCGACATACCCCAAATCCGCCCAAATGAGCTTCTCGTCAAAATCCACGCTGCAGGATTCTGTCATTCTGACCTCCAGGTCTTCCAAGGTGAGATCAATGGTCCTCTACCGATGATTCCCTCCCATGAGCCAGTCGGCATCGTAGCGAAAGTGGGAGAGGAAGCATCGACAAAGTGGCGAATCGGCGACAGGGTCGGCGTGTTGAACTTTAAGAATGCCTGTTCAAGCTGTCCAGGCTGTTCATCCACGCTCAGACGATATGGCAAATTAGATGCTCGATTCTGCGAGAAGCGAGAAACGGGCGGGTTCAAGCACGACGGTGCTTTTGCCGAGTATATGGTGGCCGACTCGGCGACGACGGTGGCATTGCCGGATTCCATCTCGTTTGAGCAGGGTGCGCCGTTGTTATGTGCTGGTGTATGTACCTCTACTGCTATATTGCTATCTATACTAACTGTATAGGCCACCGTCTGGGGCGCACTCAACAAAGCCATCCCGTATCTCCAACACCACGACACCATCGGCATCGTGGGAATTGGAGGCCTAGGGCAGCTGGGCATCCAATTTGCAAAAGCATTAGGCTATCGCACCGTCGCCATCGACAATCGAGCAGAAAGCCTCGATCTGACAAAGGATCTCCCCGACCATCTCAAACCCGACGCAACCATCAACTCCAGCCAACCCGACGCAACCGACCAAATCACCTCCTTCACAAACGGAGAAGGGCTGGCTGGGATAATCATCTGCACCGACTCCATTCCCGCAAACACATGGAGTATCGAACTCCTCCGTGTCGGCGGAATCGCAGTTCTACTGGGTCTTCCACCGGACAAATGGCAGTTTGATTCCCACACGATCCTTTTCAGAGAATTGACTCTGCGGGGAAATTATGTGGCTAGTCGCGATGAGACAGAGGCGATGATGAGGCTGGTTGAGGAGCAGGGGATTCGGTCTCAGTTGACTGTTGTCTCGCCAGGGGATATTCCATCCCTGCCGGATGTTTATAAGAAACGCGCATTCCGGGGGAGGTTGGTGGTTAAGTATGATTAGTTTATTATACATTACTTATCACTTTCTATATCTACATTTTCAATCGTTTTATTGTCTGTTCAATAGTGTATCTGGAAGATCACCAATTTATAGGATGAAATTGCGGTCAACAATATACCAGCCAGCCACGATAAACTTTATCAAATTTAACGGTGGCACAGACCAATAGTGCTGCATATAATAATAGAATTTAGTACTTGAGCGTAGTAACGAAAATTTCTTTCTCTATTGGTGCTATAGATACAATCAAGATCTCCAATCAGTCCTCGAACAATGGATAGAAACAATCAATGAATAACATCTGCTGGGTTTTGCTTGCTATAATAATGATAATTTTGATAATTCAGAGATACTCCTTTAGATAGTATTGGAATCAAATAATAACTCTCGTGGTCCATCTTGTTGTTCATTGTAGCTGTTCATTGGCGTCGTAGATATATATATCGGAAAGGATGGAGGCAAAGGGAACAACTTTTGACTGATAAAACGAACTACACTTAATATATCTATTTATGTTTAATAATGTAACCAAATTATATAGTCACCATACACCCTTAAAAGAATAAAATAAGATCTACTGGTAGATTGGAGGAGGTAGCAGTCGAAGGTTCGCAAGGCATCCGGAAGTCGAAAGCTGGCTCAACCAACCGTACAATCAATGATATGTATATCTTTGGAAATAGAGTAATTGCAAGAGTAGATATAATAGATAAGTAGGTATATAGCTTATTCTCTATAAATCGTCCTCTCTTCATCGATCATTGACTTGAGGCTCAGACGCGACTGTGTTTGTTTGCACTGTTTGTTTGTTATTCCCATTGATGCCTTAGCTGCCTTTGGATGCCTGGCTGCTTCAGCCTGAAGCATCAGGCAATACCAATTACCCCTTTGGCACTAGCAGCGCCAATGCTGCACAAACCCCTGATAGCTGCGTCCTTGTTCAGCTTTAGCTCAATGAGCCTCAGCGATCAAATTTTCTTCCGCTGAGAACGGCGGAATGGTGATACTGTCAACCACAACAAAGCTGTCTCGATGGAGATGGTCGTTGAGGGCGATAGCACGATGGAGCAGACCACTGCTTATTCTGATTGCTAGGGAGACGGGTCATGGGGCAGCGATATCGCGCCGTAGCTCCGAGTGGATCCGCTGGAGCTGACGAGATAGCCCGATCGAGCTACGTGTCTCTCACTCTCTCACCAACAATTCTCAATTCTCAGTAATTCAATGATTCTACACTACCTTACTTCTACTCTGTATTCTGTATTGCAGATATTGATATAATTATCTTTTAAATTCTCTCTGGACAGTGACAGTTGACAACGCTGGGCTGCCGCTCCAAGCGCCACAGGAAGGGAACCGCGGAAAGGAGGCTTGGCAGTCACGGCGACGGGAAATTCGCGCGAGCAGAGTTTTCCAGCCAAAATTACACATCACACGGTATTTTACCGCTTCACTTACTGCTTGCGGCCTAGCTGCATTGGCCCTGGGAATGTGTATAAATATGGCCTCGCTCAACCGGAGAATCACAGAGTTCACAGGCACACCTCATCCAGATGGCTGGCGGTATTGACCTCGTTCTTGACCGGTTCTTTCTGGGAAAAAAAACGGATGGCTTTGGGTGAGGCTTGGGTCACATGGAAGGGCGCTGATACCCAAGCCCTGCCATCCCGTCCATCCCTACCAGTACCCTGAACATGCAGCTGCAGGGGGATGCAGGTACTCTTCGACACTGAAGACAGCAGTAAACGCAGACTGTAAACAAAACACCCCTTGGCCTGCTCATTCCAAAACAGACGATCCGGTGAGAAGACATTCCGAGGAAAGGAGGTGAGAGACCATTTCTTTTTTTCCATACAGCCGAGCGCCCAGTGGAGCCTGGCTTCATACCTCGGGTACTCTTCCTGCCCAGTAATTCCGAACACGGTGGAGCGGTTACCCGATTCGGCCCGGTTTGATGGATCCGAGAACCGTCGAGAAAGGAACGGTCGGCGTAGATCGAGCGGTGATTGGGGGGAGGCGTGGGGCGGTGGATCGAACCATAGTTATGGGAGATCCACACAGGGATGAAAACAGGATAGCACCGAATTCATCATCATAATATTCAGAATTGAATAGTGGAATGGATGGAATGGATGGAGCTGCTGAGGAGGATGGATATGAGGAAATGGATTCTGTACAAAATACGCTGGACTCCAGATCAGGCTACACACAAATCCAATCCATAATCAGACCTTGTTCAACTGTGTATGATAATGGAAAGTGAAACGCTACGTAAGACCCCGAATCATTCCGATCCGCAGGAATGCCAGCCCAGGTGAGCTGTGCAACTGATTGGCGTGTAATTTTGCTCCATCCAGAGTAGGGCTTTTCCCACCACCGCGCTAGCCCCAATCCAGTCTGGCTCTGGCGAAAATTTTGCCGCAGAGTATTTATCTCCTCCTGGCCGCAATCGTCCCTCAAAACTCTTTACTCCCCAGCTTTTTCCCTCCAGAAGAGTTCTTTTCCACTCCATCTCTCTCTCTCCTCTCACTCTCTCTATCCTCCCAAACCACTCCAAAGCCTTCACAATGGCCTCCGCTCGTGTCTTCACCTCTCGTCTGGCCTCCCAGATGGCCCAGGCTACCAAGCCTGCTGCCCGTGTCCAGCTCAACGCTCTCCCCAAGCGTACCTTCACCACCGGTCTCCGCACCCAGAAGGCCACCGTTCCCTTCCAGACCATGAAGCGTCAGACTCCCTCCAACCTCATCCAGGCCAACGCCCGCCAGGTCTTCGCCAACGTTCAGGCCCGCCGCCAGTACTCCTCCGAGGTCGCCTCCGCCATGGTTGAGGTCTCCAAGAACCTGGGTATGGGTTCCGCCGCCATCGGTCTCGGTGGTGCCGGTATCGGTATCGGTCTCGTCTTCGCTGCCCTCCTCATGAGTGTCTCCCGCAACCCTGCTCTCCGTGGCCAGCTCTTCTCCTACGCCATTCTCGGTTTCGCCTTCGTCGAAGCCATGGGTCTGTTCGACCTCATGGTTGCCATGATGTGCAAGTACGTTTAAATCAACGAATAATCCGCCATCGTGGGGGTAATGTGTGGTGGTTTATTATCATGTACTACTTTCAGCCTCATCTACAAACTTGTATTGTACATATAGAGTCCAAACGGCCACTTCCTCCCTACTGTCTGAGCCTACCACTCTGATCTCTGAGCGTATATCTTTCATAATGCCATTTCCTATGTCTGGGGTTACAAAGGTTTCCTGAGCTTATCTGGCAGCTTCCCCATAGCTGTTCGGTGCTCTCGTAGACAGACGTAGCGTAGACCCTTGATCCATCCAGCGACAGCTTCCCAGAGCTCCAACAACAACAGCGCCATAGCTTCAGCTTGACCAGCTCAGTGAGAACACCTAAACCGTTATGGCCACCAGCCATTGGTCCACATTGTGGAGCATCAATTCCTGGATTCGATATTCCCTCACCACCTCACACACGACCACGACACCCTGTCTACAGTCAATTATCATTGCACCAACTCAGTCCAACTCAGTCCAGCGTCAGTGTTGAAAAAATGTTGAACTCTCGGCATCTGATCCATGGTCTGTCTGTCGCGACCCGGAAAGTAGCGGTCTAGCTGTTGGTTACTCTGGTAATCGTTGGTTCCATAGCCGCGACCTCCCGAAACATGGACGGTGGACCACACGACACCGCTGTCTTCCGATCTATCAACTGCGTCCAGGTGGATGGGAAGTACAGGTCAGGTCAATTGATATGATAGAGACTGCTACGCGTCAATTGACCTGCTAGGATCAAAATTGAGACAATTGAGACTCAATTGATGGAAGGACGTGAAAAAATAGAGCTTGAGAGAGCTTGGGTCGCGGACTCTGATTGGCTGGTTGGAATTAAGTCTCCGATGCTCCGGTCGCGGTTTAGTCTGCAGCAGCACTGTTGCTGTTGACTGTTTCTTGTCCAGGCCTTTTTTGGACATTGGACAATTGTTGTATCTTTGAAGGGTATTAGCATTGTTTTTTATTCATGTTTGAATGATTGTGCGTGCATAATTAGTAAGGATGGATGGCATAAGAGTAGACTGTCATCGCTATGAATACCGGCTAATTGAATGCCGGAAGTGCTGGGATCAGTCAATAGAATCATCCATTATCCTTGAATCATCCTTGATTAATATCTGTAAAACAGCATTTGATCGATTAATTTTCTCGAAGACGGCAGAGGGACAGGTGCAGGGGAAAGCCGATCATATAAACCAGGATGAGCAATATTACATACACGCTCAATATAAATACAACTTGTGTCTGACGATGGTCTATAATAAAAGATCGAATCCACCGCATGGCAGAAGACATAATAGACTGTCATACAAATGCAGTGCGCTTGATCATCGAGTCTGTGTAACATATGGCCTGATCTGTATCCCAATAGCGATTGACGAAGCATTGATCAAGGTAAAATAACCTTATCGACAATAGCATCATGTATATTGTCTTATGTCAATCTTATGTCTGATTCATTTAATGCAACCTAGTACTCAAGATCGAATAATTATTCTGAATGGCTGAGAAGTGATTATTGATGGGCGAAGATGGAAGTGATGGGCGGCAACAGAGAACGGATGTATGATGTGATGATGTATAGACAAAGAACTCGCGAGCACGAGGTAGATCCATCACTCTAATGCATCAAATAACTACTGGAATTGATAGAGATCGACACGATAGATTCGAATATGGCTTGACAGGCAATAGATTCAGCGAGTCGACTATCGACTCATTCTGACATTAAAGATTTAAACGACTATAAGTATTCCCATCTCGCCTGTTCGCCTCCTCATCATCCAAGCATCAAAAAGAAACATGATGTCCAACATGCTCACTTCCATCTTCGTCCTTTCCCTCGCCATCCAAACCGGCCTGGCAAAGGCTGGCCCTCTCAACGACTTGCCATCCGAACAAGCCATCTCCGTCACAAAGACCATCGACCCTGGCTATCCCCCAACTACCCTCGTCGCTGTCAAACGAGACGAAGAGACCCTTCTTCCCCTGCCGGATTGGAATATGAACCACGCTCGCTTTACGACCCATACCTTGCCTCATATGGGAGAACCGACCCTCGGTATCAACCATGAGGAGAAACGCTTTGCCACTCATACCTTGCCGCATATGGGGGGACCGACTCTTGGTATCATCCCCGAGAAACGTTTTGATTGCTCTGCTGATGAGGATGCTTGGTAGGTTGAACTGGTGGTTTCTATCTAGTGCCGAGCTGACATTAAGTTAGTAAGGGAACGGTGAATATTCCGTGATGGCAGTGGCCAATATCTTTGATTCGTTTTGATGGACTGATTTATAGTATTTAATTTAATTCTTCATTCTTAATATAATTCAGCTATCTACAAAGCCTTGAGAGCATCGTATTGATCCTGCGTAATGGCCAACACAGACCCGTGCCTCATAAACGTCAAATCAGAACTCGAATCCTTGTCGAAATTGCCCGAAGTCACATCCGTCGACGTCCACGCCGCCAGTCCAGGGCTGCTTCCAACAGCATCGTTGAGGAGATATGCCTTGCCGTCGACAGTGTTATCCCAGAACGGATACGGTCCTTCGTAACTGGCGCTGTTCTTGACGCTTCCATCCGGTGCAGTCCAGTCGCCCAAGAGGCCGTTGGTGCTGACCTCGACGACGGGGCCGGTGGTGTTTCCATTCACGTAGAAGCGGACGTAGGTCGAGTCGCTGACGGGGAGGATGCTGAGATCAATAGTGGAGGCGGTCTTCAGGTCGATCCAGGTCTTGGGGGTGGTGAAAGTCTTGAAGTCGCTTGTGTAGGCGTAGCGGATGATTTGGGTGGTGGTGGCATCGCCGGTGTGGTCGGTATCGTCGGCAGAGTACTACCTGGTTAGATGATATAGATGGAAATACGGAGTAGATGGATGACTTACGAGTTGCGATGCCCAGTGGACGAGGTATTTGCTCTGATCCGGATCCCAAATGGCATCTGGAGCCCACACCATTCCGGCCGTGTCATCCTCAACAGTGACCAGTCTCTCGCCAGTCCAGTTGACCAAGTCTGTGCTCTCCCAGACGAGGATTCCCCTCGATCCAGTGCGAGTCGAATCGCCCCAGGTGGTCTATTATTATTTATTAGTAGAGTTCATTCACCAGTAGGGAGAACGTACATCATCGATATTCAAATCCGTCCCGATGATATACCACTTTTGATCGGCATCATCCCCTGCTCCGGCGATGATGGAGACATCGCGGACTGCGCCAGTGCCTAAAGTAGGCGACACAATGGGCTTGCTATCGTGAATTGCCTGAAAGCCGAGGGGATTGTCATTGTCACTCAGGGCAAAGTAGACGCTTTCATTGGCGGTTGTCCAGTAGACAGCAAGATAGCCGGCTTTGGTGGAGTCGGCTTTCTTTTGAAGATTGGAAAGAGGATGAGAAAGAGAAATTGAACAGAGAGAGAGAAGTGAGGCGATGTAGGAAAACTTCATCTTGATTGATTTACTGATGATGATGCAGACAGACAGGATAGATCTCCTATTTATGCTGTTACCCCTCATACAGGGGTGGTTGTCTGATATCTTGGCATGGCATGGTCGGTTAATTGATTAATTCTGCAGTGTTACCTGTGGATAATTAATATATAAATAGAGACTAGATTGCTGAAGAACTGCAGTTCTAGTGATACAATCGAGATAAATTCCGGTGGAGGATCGACTTCCCCGCACGGATGAACTGAGACAGAATATGGCCAAGGGTTATTCGTCATTGTCTCACTTATTTACGTAGGTGATTGATTAGATCGGCGAGTTCTGAATTATTGACATTGTCTGTAGTGACTATGAATGAAGATGTTCTTGTGTATTCTCCGTCAATATTGGATATGATGATCGAGATATTCTGATCTACTGTGTTACATAGAAAGTATCGATATGCCTTGCCAATGACCGTCTTGTTATAACCTCAGGCATTAATAAGGATGATAATCCCTGCAGCAAGCGGGGTAGTCCATGAAAAGAAGAAAAATATACGTGTGAATAGCATCAACCATCAACATGGCATTCCTCCTCTGCCTGCTCATCATCATCTCCATCTATCTCTACAAATCCTCCAAATCCAAATCCCCCACCCCATATCCCGCCGGCCTCCCCATCATCGGCAACACCCTCCAACTCACCTCCCAGCCTCACCGCCAGTTCATCCAATGGGCACGACAATATGGCGAGATCTACCGTGTCCGTCTCGGCCTGATGGATTGGTACATGCTCAACTCGCCCGAAGCCATCAAGGAAATCCTCGACAAGCAGTCCTCCGTGACGTCGTCGCGGGCCCCGATGCCCGCCGCGCAGGAGGCACTGTCCGGTGGGATGCGCTTCGTGTTCATGGCATACGGACCGGAATGGAGAAAACTGCGATCGGTGAGCCATAAACTGTTGACGCCGCGCATGTCGGATACGTTTCGGCCGTCGCAGGATTTCGAAGCCAAGCAGTTGCTGTTTGACTTGTTGGTGGATAACGCGGGGGAGAGGGAGTTTTATATGCATGTGCGGAGGTATACCACGTCGGTGATGATGACGTCGACGTATGGGAGGAGGATTCCGACTTGGGTATGTGATCTGTCTGGCAGAATGTGATGGTGCTAAGAGGTAGGAATGCGACGATGTGCGTGAGGTGTATGCAGTCATGAAGGACTTTTCAGAAGCATCAGTACCAGGGCAATACATCGTGGATGTCATTCCGTGGTTGGCAGATATACTCCCCAAGCAGCTGCACTGGTGGCAACGATCCATCCGCCTATTGCGCGAAAAGCAAGATGCTCTCTGGATGAAGCTATGGTCTGGTCTGCGAACGAAGATGGAGTCAGGAAACGCCCCCGAATGCTTTGTGAAGCAGTTCATCGAGTCAGACTATGAAAACATGGGCATCTCCGAGTTACAGGCTGCGTTCCTGGCTGGAAGTACGTATCCATATACTACACTAGAGCATCGGCTAATGAAGCAGCCATGATCGAGGCAGGATCTGAAACGACGTCCTCAGCCCTGAACAGCTGCATCCTCTATCTCTCCGCCTATCCCGACATCCAGCGCCGTGCTCAAGACGAAATCGACCAAGTGGTCGGAAGCATTCGATCACCCAGTTTCAGCGACATCGAGCATCTCCCCTACATCCGGGCCATCGTCAAAGAAGTCTTTCGCATGCGCCCTCCCACCAACATGGGCATCCCGCACTACACCACCGCCGACATCACCTACAAGCAACACACCATCCCCAAGAACAGCATGATCATCATGCAGCAATACCCCCTCCACTACGATCCATCTCTCTTCCCCGACCCGGAAACATTCAAGCCAGAGCGCTATCTCAACCACCCGCACGGATCGGGCGTCTACGCCACCATGGCTGATCCGTACGAGCGCGATCACTGGAGTTTCGGGGCTGGCCGCCGCATCTGCGTCGGGATACACTTGGCGGAGAATAGTCTGTTCATCACGATTGCGAAGATTCTCTGGGCGTTTAACATTGTGGCAGCCGAAAAGGTGGATTTGTCGGATGATGCGTATGAGCCTGGGATGATGACGATTCCGAAGCCATTCTCTGTGCGGTTTGAATCGCGCAGTGCAGAGGTTGAGGAGGTGGTGAGAGGGGAGTGGGAGTTGGCAGAGAGAGAGGGATATACATTGCGGGATAGGAAAGTGGATGCAATGGGGATTGTTGTCTGAGCTATTATTATCTTGAGATGGAGATGGTTAAGCGATGTCACAGTGGCAGAACTAGATGCTAGCAGTGTAACCTCCCCCGCAATACGACTTCCGAAGCCGTCGTTCTATACGAAATAAATAGACAGGATAAACAGAGCATGAAAATCCAAAATGTATCTCTTTTTCTTTCTTTCTGTCGCTGCGGCACTGCAGACTCTGCCGCCAGTCAAATGGACGCCTTTATCGGGCGAATTCTCTTTATCGTCGACTGAGAAAACCATATACATTGACAAACGCGTCGCGTCGCATAGAGACGCGAATGGCCTCACTCTCATCCCACCGTCTGCCTATGAATTCGCAGATACTTTCAGACACGATCTAGAAGAAGTCACCGGCAATAAGTGGGATCTTCAAACTGTAGACACGAACAACGATATAGCAGGAATCTATCTCGGTCTTCTCGATCACCATTTCACTTACGACAATGGCCGTCCAACAGAAGAAGCATACACCCTCAACATTCAGCCTGATAGGATATCTATTCTCGGCTCTGGATCAAGGGGCATCTGGTGGGGAACTCGCACTCTTCTTCAACAACTCTTGATAAATGAAACCATCCCAGCCGGCCAAGTCGCCGATTCTCCCGCCTATCCAACACGCGGATTTCTCCTCGACGCAGGCAGAAAATGGTACGCACCGAGCTATCTGAAGGATCTCTGCACGTATGCGTCGTTTTTCAAAATGTCCGAGTTTCACTATCATCTCAGCGATAATTATCCGCTTAGTCGCGGTCCTGAAACCCCGTGGAATGAGGTTTATTCGCAGTTTTCGTTGCATCCGGAGAATCCAGAGCTAGTTGGTCTTGTACAGAGGGAGAATGAGACGCTGTCGAGGACAGAGTTTGATGATGTGCAGCGACATTGTGCCAGTCGAGGAGTGACGGTTATCCCGGAGATTGATGCACCAGGTCACTGTCTTACGTTGACGAAAATGAAGCCGGAGATTGCTCTGGATACGAAGGATCTGCTGAATCTGTCGCACCCAGAAACTATTCCTCTGCTCAAGTCGATTTGGACGGAATTCCTGCCTTGGTTCCATACGAAAGAAGTGCATATCGGGGCTGATGAATATGATTCTTCCCTAGCGGATGATTATATCAGCTTTGTCAATGAAATGGCAGACTTTATCAATGCGACATCAGGGAAGAAGACACGTATCTGGGGAACACCAGAGCCATCGGAAACTCTGAACATCTCAACGGACGTGATCATCCAACACTGGCAATACGGACAATCTGATCCAGTCGAGTTGGTCAATCAAGGATACGAAATCATCAACTCGGAAGATTGGTGGGCCTACATTTCGTTGAAGAATGACCATATGCCTCTCCTGCCAGCGCCGTATCCGCAGCTTTTCAACAATACGCGACTTCTCAATTTTGCAGATCAAGATGGATTGCAGTGGGATCCGTCTTGGTTTAATCCGGTTAATATAAGTGAACAGCCTGATCGGAAGCATGTTGGAGGCGCTATTCTGGCAGCGTGGAATGACAATGGACCAGATGCAACGACACAATTGGAATACTTTTATGCCATTCGCAATGGGATTCCGGTAGTTGCATCGAAAGCTTGGACGGGAGGAGGATTAAGTCTAGATGAGCCGAGTCTATCAGATTCGATCGATCTATTCACATCCAAAGCAGTTGGACAGAATCTGGATAGACGGTTGGACAGCAGCAGCTGGTCATTCGACGATAAATCAGAAGTCATTCTCGGCAAAGGCAGCAAAGGAATGAACTATACCTTAGAACTGGATGCCAACGGCCCATTCATCCTCTCCTCCAGCGATGCCACCCTCTCCCTCGTGGACGATGGAACATTATCCTTCACCTCTGACGGCTGGGAATATCCCCTCCGTTCCATCGACGAAGCAGACGGTTTCGATCCGAGCTATCCCGGACGCATCTGGACGAACCAGACTACTTCCACGCATGAGGTTGTTCATGTTCCTCTTCAGAGTAATATCACCATCTCAACGGATGTCATTGGCGGTAGTCGGGTGTGGGTGGATGGGGAGTTTGTCGGGCGGTTCGAAGTATTTGTATACGGAGGGAAGAATCAATTGTTCTCGTGGAGTCAGATGGCGTTTGTTGCGCCGATGGAGAGAGCCAAGAGGTTGAGGGGGCTGAAATTGTATTCTTAGTAAGGACAGTTGATGTAGTTTAATATGAGCGGGAGCTTATATCCGTGAAGCTGCACTACAGCCAAGAGAGTAATGGATGCTGCATCAATAGTCCAGATCTCTCGAAAGACAGATAGTGTCATGCTTTCCACTTCACTGCCGTTGGCTATGCACCTTCTTCACCCAGAGTTTTGCATATTGTTGTTGTTTAAGTAAGACTGCCTGCCGAGAGTCGTGTCACTGCTAACACGATGGCTTGATAGGGCGAAGAACGATGTCGAGATATACCTAATCCTATACGGTACAGCCATGGAGCCGAATAAGATCCAGCGCCTGGAAATCCCACAGATATTACACCCGGAACGGTTGAGGGAACAAAGGCAAATCGCATCTGCATTTTGGATCGGGATTCCAATGAGGATGTGCTTCTGGCCCTGGCGAATTTTGACGCCCTTCTAGCAAGCCCAGAGAGCATGATTATGTGCGTCTTCCCCGCGTAAGAGAGCAGGGAATGATGATTCGGTGGCATTTCTTGTCACTTTGGCGGTTTTTGAAGGAAATAGCCTGATCTGCTGGTGTCTCGGTCAAATGGAGACGTTTTGAATCAGTTGGAAAGTTTCGAGGCTTCTCTAGAGATTTTCCGGAATGGATCTACATGATAAATGTCGCAGAAATCCCCGGGTAAAAGGTCAACTATGGACTGTACTACTGAGTATTATTAATATAGTTATTGAAGTGTGTATATAATGGCTAAATTATCTACCCCGCAACAGTGGTGAATTATCCGCAAATGAAGTGTAACTTGCATAAAAGGCTTAAAAGGAGGGTGTTCCCATTAAAATCACCGATCTGTAGACTTCAAAATGCTTTCTTTTATTTACCTATTTATTCAGGTGGCAGCTGCCACTTGGGAGTTGAAAAACTTCACCAGCCTCGTGTCGTTTGGCGATAGCTATACCGATCAGTCTCGACTGGATGCGTTTGGCAGTAATGTGACTGCACCGCCAGTGGGATGGGTTCAACCAGATGTATGTCCATCTTGAATTAAAAGGAATGCTAATGAGTGCTAATGAGTAGAACAATAATACTGCGTCTGGAGGATACACATGGGGCCACTACATCGCCGCCACTGGAGTGAATCTATACAACTACGCCGTCAGCGGCGCATCGTGTTCGAACAAAATCACCCCACGAGCATACTACAACAGTCTCTTTCCATCAGTATTAGAATACGAAATCCCAGCATATTTAGCGGATAGCAACTACACCACACCGTCCGGCCATAAATTCCTCACCACCCCCCCCGATGAAACCGTCTACTCGATCTGGATTGGCACTAATGACCTTGGCAATAATGCCTTCATCACTGACTCGCAAACCACCAACAAGACCATACCGGATTACACCGGGTGCATCTACGCCGCTCTAGACCAGGTATACAGTAATGGCGGGCGCTACTTTATCCTCATGAACGCAGCGCCACTGCAGCTAGCCCCGCTGTATGCCACACCGGAGCACAACGGCGTCGGACAGAACCACTACTGGCCGAATAAGCCGGAGAACCTCACCGAAGTCAGTTTTCGCATGTGGGAGCAGGTAGCGACGGTGAATGCGATTCTGAAATATCAGACGGCGTATGAAGTGATGGCGGGGAGGTATGCTGGGGCGCATTTTGCGGTGATGGATATGAATGGATTGGTATGTCTGGGAAATACTCGGAGATAAAGACTAACAGTCTGGATAGATGACGGACATGTACAACCATCCGAGCGAGTATTTCGGTGGATCTGCGAATGTGAGTGGATTCGTGAAGCACTGCGATCTCAGTGGGTCGAATTGTGCGAGTCGCGATCATCCCGAGGGGTATCTGTGGTATGATGAACTGCATCCATCGGAGAGGACAGACGAGATAATCGCCCAGCACTTTATGGAAGTGGTGCGAGGGGAGAGCAAATGGGCGACTTATTGGTAGATAGAATATTAACAAGTGAGACATCTCGTGGAATTACCCATTCTTTCTCTCCAGATATCCTGACACATTCCCACGTGCGCCAAGTGGGGGTGAAATCTCTACCAATTAGTACCACCATGTCTGTTCGTCTAGCCCATATTAAACCCTTTCATCCTCCGTCTTCACTTGGCAGGCCAGAAAATGGGGAATTATCTTCTCGCCCTTGCAGCTCTGCTGGCTACCATAGTCGCCAGCTGCGAATGCACGACAACATTAACTCCCTCTGTTGTCATCGGGCAGGGGGAGATCCGTGGGTTCGTGCAGAACGAGACGAACGTGTTTCTGGGCATTCCGTTTGCGGAATCGACAGCTGGGGAGAATCGATGGAGGGCACCGGTGCCAGTGGCGAATTCTGACGATGCATTCGATGCGATGCAGTATGGGCCGACGTGTGCGCAGGCCATGTCGGGCGATGCCATTGTCGCACAGGGCGAGGATTGCTTGAATTTGAATGTTCGTCTTCACTTTTATACTGATATTTAATATACTAATAATAATATAGATATGGACACCTCAAGATGGAGATAACCACCCCGTCTTTGTCTACATCTATGGTGGTGCCATGGTGACGGGCGGGAATAGCAACGCGCAATGGCAGGGATACAACTTTGCGCGTAAAGACGTGGTCTATGTCAACGTCAACTATCGCGAGTCGGTCTTTGCATCGCCCAATGCACCGGAGCTGCAGGGTGAGTCGCAGAATTTCGGTATTCTCGATGTCGAACTGGCTGTGCAGTGGGTTTATGATAATATCGAGGGTGAGCCTACTACTCTACTATATGACTGCATGTATACTGACAGAACAGCCTTCGGTGGTGATCGCAATCGCATCGTGATAGGAGGCCATTCATCCGGCTCCGTCATGGTCGACCACTATCTCTGGAACCATCCAGACACTTTCATCGCCGGTGCGATTGAAATGTCCGCCAATGCGGAATCTGGCCCAGCATATGCCCCAGCCGGTGTCGCATTGGCTCAAGTAGCTCAAGATATCGAAGCAGCAGGCGTCACACTCGACTGCGACTCTGCCAATCCCACGCTGGACTGTCTGCGCAAGGTCGACATGTATGCCATCCAAACGAGCAACTTCAACTCGAGCACGAATACCTGGTTCGCGCCCGTCGTGGACAACATCACCCGGTTTGGCGATTATCGCGCTCGATTTGAAAATGGGCAGTATCCACGCCACGTCCCTTTGATCGTGGGTAATTCCGACCAGGAAGGACGATTATTTGGCTACGTGTATGGCAGCGAGAATACCAACTTCAGCTCGTGGATCAACACCTTTGACGCTGATTTGGCGTTCGTGCCAGACGAGGAGTTGCTGAATGCATACAACATCTCGGACTATGCATCCGTCTCGCAAATGAGCGGTGCTTCGTACGGCGACGCCCGCTTCTTCTGCCCGACCGACTACATGATTGATCTGCGCTCTGAAGCGCAACCAACATGGGTGTATCGCTGGTTCGGCGATTACGACAACGTCATCGGGATAGAGGGCATCGGGCCATCACACGGAAGCGAAGTGCCCTTCTTCCACGGGGGGAATGAGTGTTTCGAGAAGCTTTCTAATGTGACCACGTCTGAACAAGAGCTGGCAGACTTTATGAACGACTGGCTGGTCGCGTGGATCCAGAATCCAGTCGCTGGGCCCGGATGGGAACGAGCCAGTCCGGAAGATGGAGAGCTGGCCAAGCTGGGTGTTTCTGGGGATGAACTGGCCATTGAGACTGGGAGGACAGGAGAGTATAACCAACGGTGCCAGGAGGTGTATAAACCGCATATTCCTGCGTATCCGGTAGTTCAGAATCCTCTTGCTTAGTCTATTGAGTAGAATGTAATAATATGAATATTCTGAAATGTCTTGGATTGAGTTTGTGGATGTTTCAGACGCCGTCATGATTACCCGATGCGATCGGATTAGCTTCAATAGTCTGTCTTTAATCCATCCGTTGATATTAAACAGGAAAGCTAGCAAGTATCCACAATGGGCATCCACGGATCGGGGTTGCATCGGGTGTTCGAGGCATTTTTCCAGAACTTGGAACATTTTTATTCATAAGAAAGATGTCCTGACTGGAAGAACGGACAGCAAAGTGAACATGGCTCAAGTAGGACAAGTGGTATGTCTCTGACACTGCATATGCATAGATATGCAGCGCATGCTGATTGACAGGTCGCATGGTACATCTGCACCATCGTCGCGTGTGCCTTTCTGGCCTGTCGACTGGTGGTGCGCTGGAAAAAGTTCCAGACGTTCTATGTCGATGATTATCTCTTGACAGTTGCCTGCGCCTGTTTGATAGGCGATTTGGGCATCCAGCATTACATGTTCAACCTGGGTATGGATATATGATATTATGATGGATTCTATTGACACACCGCAGGAATGGCCCACCCGGCGGCATCGACCAAAGCGGACACCGTCAATATGATGAAGGTGAGATCGACAGTAAATAGAATCAATATCATATAGCATGGCTGACAAGCACAGATGATCATCCCCGGTTCCACTTTATATGTGACGTCTCTGTGGTTGATCAAAGCGGGAATGGTACGATATCGTCTACCAGATTGCTGGGACGGGCTGACGGGATAGGTGTGTTTCTATAAACGACTGGCCGACCGGACGAGATATCAGACGATCTACAATATTACATTGGTCTTCCTCGGAGCGACATGGCTGGCCATCTTCTTGGATATCATCTTCAAGTGCTTCCCGGTCGATCGCATTTGGGATGTGGATAATCCCCAACGAGGATGTTCCAACACGCAGACGAGGATCAATTATTGGATTACTATTTTGTGTATGTGTTGCCTTGTCTGGCAGATGAAGCTAACAGATCAGTCAACATTTTCAGTGATGTTTTTAGTATGTCTATCTCCGTATTACTTGATCTGTATATGTCTAACTGTAACTAGTCATCTGCCTCCCCATATCCCAAGTCATGAGGATCCGCATGCCTCTCAAGCAGAAGATTGGCGTGTTGTCCATCTTCCTGTTGGGCATTCTCGTCGTCATCACCAGCAGTGCGTCTCTACATCATATCTACCTATTCATACTAACCGAATAGTAATCCGCGCCATCTACGCGTACAAAAATGAGCAAATGATAACCTGCACCGTCTCGATGATCGAAACCGCCATCGCCATCGTCGCCTCCTGCCTCCCCGTCCTACGCACTCTCTTCTTCGGCTCGAAATCTCGTAATGGCACGTACTCCAACCGCTACGAATTATCCTCTGCATCAGCCGTGCGCAATGCATCCAAACATGTCGCCACTGTCTCGGCGAATATGAGTGCGGGGAGGAATGATTCAGAGGATGAGCTAGTCAAGGATGTAGTCGGGATGGGCGATGAGGTGATTAATGTGACGAGGGAGTATCAGGTCCAGCATGGGTCTGCGAGTTTTAGGTGATGCGACTTAGAGTCATGCCGTGGCACAATCTTACTCTCATACTAGGCACAGCCTCATTGTAGTAGGACAGTGTTACCTTGCACATGGCAGTGTATGCATCACATTGCTAATGTCAAACAATAATCAAAGCATAACAATATAGAAAACATAGTATAGACATGCGAAACTGAACTGACGAAAAGCAAGTCAATTGCCGATCAAACACATAACCAAAGCAAAACAAGCAGTATAGACATTGCGCAACTGATATCAAATGAAAGCAAGCAAATCAAAGCAAGATTCCTAAATCAAACCCCATTGGTGAATCCATCCCCCCCGGCCTCCGTGTCAATCCGCATCGAATCCATCAAGCCACACACCTCAAACAGCTTCCTCGGCCCCAGTCCTTCTGGTGTGCCGGTAACCCCATCCGTCTTCAGTCTCTCCAGCGCAGCCTTGATGCCCAGATACGCCGGGGCCAGACACGCAAACGAGAAGATCATAATGCGGAATCCCATATCCTGTGCCTCCTTGGTGGTAATCACCGGTCCTGCTCCGTTCTCCACCATGTTCAGCAGCAACGGCCACGGCGCCAGATCCTGCACCGCCTGTCTCGCCATCTCCTTGGAGGTGAAACCCTCCAGCAACCCCACGTCAGCGCCGATGTCTCTCGCCCCCTTCAGCCGGCGGATACACTCATCATACCCATGCTGCTGCAGGGCATCCGTGCGCGCAATCAGCACAATGTCAGAATGCAATCGATCCTTGGTCATCTTGGCGGCCCGGATGCGCGTGAGATACTCTTCCATCTCGACGACTTTCTTGCCGGCCAGATGACCGCAGCGTTTGTTCTGGATCTGGTCTTCGATGTGGAATCCGGCCACGCCGGCTTGGATGTATTGTTGGACGGACTTGGAGACCATGAGGGGGCCTGCCGAGTATACTGTCAGCTTATCATGCCCCTAGCTCATTCCAGTGTAACGGCATACCTCCGTAGCCCGTGTCCATATCGGCAATCAACGGCGGGCCAAACGGGTCCAGGTTGGCAATCATTTCAGCATTCGTGCGCATATCATGCAGGCCCGCCAGGCCCAGATCCGCCATTCCCAGACGCGAAGCGGTGGTTCCTGCGCCGGTCTATTGCTGTCAGTACTGGATATAGAAATGACAGATGATGTGACGTGTAAGATGACCGATCACATACCATGTACATGGCCTTGAAGCCGAGTTGCATGGCGATTCTGGCCGACAGACCATCGTAGACACCCGGGCAGACGATGAGCTCGTTGGTGTCGGTCAATTGGCGGCGTAGTTTGGATGCGCCGGCGATCATGTACAGCGAGACGACGGGTTCCTGCTTCTCGCCGTTGATCTCGTAGAAGCCATCTTTTTCGACAGTGATGGTGATGGTCATTTTGAAGAGTAGGTAGAAGACTAGAGACTAGAGATTGAGATGGAAGAAGATGATGAGAAGATGAGGAGGAAAGACAGCTGCGAGACCACCTCTTTATACCTTTCATACTCGATGATCATACTCCGTGATTGCCTTCTCCAGCATCTGCCCTACGCTCAGTTACGCAGCAATGTTCTTGGCCCGGGGACGTCAACAATTTTTCCACGCCGGAATTATCTGCTGCACTCTCTGTTGAGGGCGTTGTTCTTGGCTGGCTGAGGAGAAGGAGGAAATGCAACCATCTGGAGTTGTTTAGGGTGCGTAATTATATACCTCGTGCATCTCCTGACTGCCTGTTTGGGCGACGGTGGGTCCTTATTACTCTACATTATATGGATTCTGGCTGCGATGGATAGTGAGGATTGTCATGACCAAGACTCAGGCCTCTCTGATAGGACGACCGGCAATCTACCAGACAGTCTAGAGAATCTAGTCGTAGTCTAGACATCGACGTGAAGAACGCCAAGCGTCAGATTGTCGCATCCGTTTCAGCTGAAGAGCGTCGATCCCACGGCAACTCCGGTGGTACAGCCTTATCTACTATTGACAATAACCTCTGGAGCGAGAGCCAATGGCCTCACATGCTGGTCCGATATTAGCCAAGGCTTGGCCATCACATCATCTTCAGTGTCGATCAACCACCGCCCGTTTGTCCGCTCAGCCGCTGGCTGCGATTGGCCCGGGCTTATCGCGGTAGGGCTGCCGAGTCGGGGTATGTTCCATTGCGTCTCTTGGCTCGGGTTGTTTGTCTCGTTGTTCTCGTTGTGCTCGTTTATTCTCGTGGATTCCCGTGGAGTTGGTGACTTTGTCCTTTTTATTGTCTTTCCTGACTGTCGTTCATGACCTGTCATCGTCTTCTGTCATCTGTCATCTGTCACTCATTCTCACCATGTCGAAACAACCGTCTGCCGTCCCCGCCTTTCTGACGGTGGACATTCGCCCCAAACACGCGGATGTTCTCCTCTACGCCTGCTGTCTCTGCTCGGGACTCGTCGACAGCACCATCTACAATGGTACGTCTGCCCGATTATGATCATGACGAGTCTAACGATATATACAGCCTACAACACCTTTGTCTCCATGCAAACAGGTATCATATGCACCCTCCCAATAAATACTCCCCTCTAACTAACAAGGCAACACCATCTTCGTCGGCCTCGGTGCCTCCAACCAGAACCCCCGCCCCTACGGCTGGGCTCGCTCGCTGACCTCCATCGGCTGCTTCATCATCGGCTCGTTCCTCTTCGCTCGCCTCAACCGTCTTCTCGGCCCGATGCGACGAGGCACCCTGATCGTCTCCTTTCTGCTCCAGGTCATCCTCATCGTCATCACCGCCGCACTCGTCCAGTCCGGCGTCATCGCAGGCATCACCCACTCCACCACCACCGAAACCCAGTGGAACCAGGAAGTCCCCATCGTCCTGCTCAGCATCCAATCCGCCGGCCAGATCGTAGCAAGTCGCACGCTGGGTTATAACGAGATTCCCACCGTCGTCATCACCAGTCTACTCTGCGACCTCATGTCCGACCCGAAACTGTTTCTGGTGCGGAACGAGAAGCGCGATCGGCGCATCGTGGCGTTTGTGTTGACGCTGGTCGGTGCGATCGCGGGCGGCTGGATCACCAAGGCGGTTGGGGATATTTCTCCGGTGTTGTGGCTGGCGGCGGGCATTAAGATGGCGATTGTGGTGAGTTGGGCGTTTTGGTGGGTGGATTCCTCTTTGGGATAGATGTAACTATTCACACTACTTATACTCTACTGAACATTATATACTATACATACTCTACAATCAACAATTTATACTCAACAATACTCAATCTACCATCTGTCAAAAGTACAACCCCGCATCTCGGAACGACGGAATGAGCGGAATTTCCGCGCTGCCATACAAATACTCCTTTTCATAACAACAACAATATCTATCATCATCAATTGTAAACATGTCCATCACTATCACCGGCGCCAAAGGCCGCCAGATCCAGGGTATGTCTATCTATCCAATTGACACCATACACTAACAATACTCCGGACAGTCCCCTCCGGCCTCTTCATCAACAACACCTTCACCCCCTCGGTCAACAACACCACTCTCCCCGTCGAAAACCCCTCCACCCGCGCTCATCTCGGCACCATCTCCGCAGCCAGTAAACAAGATATTGACCGGGCTGTCGAATCGTCCAAATCTGCTTTCGCAACATGGAAGACGACCCCCGGCCCAGTTCGCGGAAAGTTCCTCCACAAACTGGCGGACCTGATTGAGCGAGATGCGGATGATTTCGCATCGCTCGAGGCAGTCGATGCGGGTATCTTGTACACCGATTCGATGGGCATGAATATCCCCCAGGCAGTGGGCAATTTGAGATATTTCGCTGGCTGGGCGGATAAAATCGACGGCAAGGTGTTGGAGATTGACGGCGGGATTGCGTATACCCATCGCGAGCCGTTGGGGGTGTGTGGTGCGATTGTGCCGTGGAATTCGCCTTTGTAGGCCCATCACCTATTCCCCTCTTCTGGTAGATGGACTAATGAGTAGGATGATCACAATCTGGAAACTCGCCCCCGCGTTGGCAGTCGGCAACGTGCTCATCATCAAAACATCCGAAATGTCCCCCCTCTACGGCCAGAAGCTCGCCCAGCTCGTCCTCGAAGCTGGATTCCCGCCTGGCGTGGTGAATATCATGACAGGCGACGGGGCCAACGCCGGCACGGCACTGTCGGAACACGTCGACGTCCGCAAGATCTCATTCACAGGGAGCAGTATCGCCGGCCGAAAGATCCTACAAGCAGCAGCCAAGACGAACCTGAAGAAAGTCAGCCTCGAGCTAGGCGGCAAGGGCCCGTCGATTGTATTCGGCGATGCGGATTTGGAGAATGCGCTTCTGTGGACGCGGATCGGGATTACGGCGAATAACGGGCAGATCTGCGTTGCTGGATCAAGGATTTACGTCCAGGATACGATTTACGACCAGTTCATCGAGGCGTATAAGAACGCCGCTGCCGCTGCGCCTGTTGTTTCTGGGAATCCGCTGGATGCGGCGACAACCAAGGGACCGGTGGTGAATCGGGCCCAGTATGAGAAGATCCTCGGGTATATCGAGCAGGGGAAGAGATGCGGCGCGAAGCTACTCTTTGGAGGCGAGAAGATCGGCGATGAGGGGTATTTTGTGCAGAATACGGCCTTTGCGGATGTTACGGAGGATGCGGCGATTATGAAAGAGGAGATTTTCGGGCCGGTTGCTGTAGGTTTCGTACTTATCTTGATGATACATGAGATGCTGACTATATCGAACAGAGCATTGCGAAATTCAGCACCGAAGATGAAGTCATCGCCAAGGCAAACGATTCTCTACATGGTCTGGGTGCGGCCATCTTCACCAACGATGTCAGTCGCGCCCATCGCGTTACGAAAGCGTTGGAGTCCGGTCAAGTCACCGTCAACGCATGGGCGATGCTCAGTCCGAATGCACCATTTGGCGGCGTCAAGGAAAGTGGATTCGGACGGGACATGGGAGAAGAGGCATTGGAGGGATGGGCCAGTGTCAAATCGATCAAGTATAATATTCTTCCCAAGCTGTAAACTAGATAGAGATAGACTATGGCAGATTGATTGGATGCATCTTGCGGAACAGATTGGTAGGATCGTACTTGGCCTTGATCTGCTGCAGGCGAGGGAGATTGTCTCCGTAGATGTTCTTCACTGCAGAGTCACCGGCTGTCAGGATTAGCATGTAGTATAATCGGTCAACAGAGGAAGACTTACGCTCGGCATAGTTGATATACTGCGGCACATCGCCCTCTACCGAGTTCAGCCGTGCCGTCCATTTCGCCTGAATCTCCTCTCCCCATGCATTAGCCTCTGCATCCTTGGACGCATGGTCCCATCGCAACGAGATAACACCGTTCTGCGTGCTATTCCGACTGGCAAACGCCGTCGCCGTGTTGGACACCTCGCACACCTTGCGCATGTCGAAGAACTCGAGAATCAACGCCGACGTGACCATCTCGGGGTTCTTCTGGATACTGTTTGTCAGCTCTGTCAGGATGGACTTGGCGAACTGCGTTCCGAGGGGTGGCTGGAAGAAGAGGCCCTTGAAGGACTTGCGGCCGCCGTGTGTGGCCATGGGGTTTTGGAGGCTGTTGAGCACCGCGTAGGGAATCATGTCGACGGTGTTCACCACCGGGCCGAGAGCGATCAGCGCACCGAAACGCTTCTCGCCTTCTTCGCGAGTGCCGTTGTAGAAGATCATCGTGTTGACCATGGGCACCGGAGCACCAGGGGGTTGCGCGAAGAAGCACATCGCGCCGGATCGAGCGTCCGGATTGGCGATGGTGGCATTCAGCTCGGTAATAACGCTCTCCAGCTTATCAGGCGTAAAAGACATGATGCCAGCATAGACCGGATTCTTTTGCTCATGGGCTTGGTAGGTAAAGTCCACCGTGACGCCAAAGTTGTATCCAGCACCGCGCAGACCAAAGAAGAGATCCTCATTTTCGGTCGGCGATGCCGTGACAATGCGTCCATCAGCCAGGACAACTGTCGCCGAGAGCAGATTGTCAATCGTCAGCCCGTACATCCCACTCAGCCAGCCGTATCCTCCTCCCAGCGTGAGTCCACCGACACCGGTGTGGTTGACGGTTCCTCCAACCGCAGCGAGGTCGTATTCAGCTGCAGCTTCGTCGACTTCCTTCCATGACGCACCTCCCTGGGCAGTCACGGACTTATTGGCCGTGTTGACGGTGACTTTGTTCATGCGCGACAAGTCAATCACCAGTCCGCCCTGGCTGGAACTCGTGCCCGAGACGGAATGGCCGCCACACTTGACGGCAAAGTCCAGGCCATGCTGCTGCACCCAGAGAAGAGCCGTGCTGACGTCTTCTTTCTCAGCCGGCATCACGACGACGCCCTGCGCTGTTAGTGGCGATCACCACAGCTGGACGAGGGGCTTACCGCCGGTTTCTGGCCGGTCTCAGACCATCGCAGCAGCGTGTCGTGGTAGCCTTCCGAGTCGGGGGTGAAGACATTCGATGATTTTAACTGGTCTTTCAGCTGCTGCAGAATGGATGGATCGAGTGGAGACGCCATGGTGACAGATGGTGATACTGATTATTGAATGTGTGTTTGAGCTGAAGCGGGGTGGTTGATGTTCTTATGTGGAGGGATTGTGGATCCACTGAGGACAGCTGTAGCACAGAATGACCAGTGCTGCAGATAACATGATCAATATGACTGCATGCATTGTATTATTGAATTGGCAGGCGATATTCAAATGTTATCCAACACTATTACACAGCAGCCGGGCAGCATCATAAAGCCCACAATGTCAGCCATTTTCAAGGCTGTTCTGAACTGCCCAATCAGCGACTCCGCATTCACATCAGCTCCAGCGTCTATTAATATATGTTGAAATAGTGAAGAAGGCTATATATGCACTCAGTTGATCCTAGAATTATACTCAACATGGTGGTCATATCTACACCCCTTGATACAAATGTTTAACCCTATATCAACAAAGACACAAGCTCATCTCAACACCTGCTGCGAATACTTGGTATATAATTTTGGATACCACCTCTGCCCAACATCCGGATGGCTCAGAATCCGATTTCTCAAATACGCCTCGCCAAACTACTCTGTTAGTTTCATTTTGTATATATATAAGGAGACTTACGCATGAATACAGAGGAGACAGAAACTCGCTGGGCACATCGACCGCTCTCTTCTTCCTGTCATCCGATGCCGGAATCGTGCGGACAATATGCGCTGCTGACTCTTTCAATTGATCGAGTGTCAAGTCCATCCTCACTCCGAGGAAGAAGGGAATGCTGTATCTTGTTTTGGTGGTGGGTGCCTATATCATCAGTCCAGATATCATACCACAGGGAAAGGCAGCATACAATAACACGATGCGTGGTGGCTGTACAAATCCCCCCCGTGATGGCTTCAAATCCCTGCTGGATATTCACCACCAGACTGCCCTCGATGGGCGGTGCATCAATCCAGTCCCCTTTTTTATTTAGAATCTGCAGTCCACCGGTATTATCTTGAGATAGAAAGGTAAACAGTCCGGTTGAATCCTTGTGAGGCCCAACACCCTGCGACCCCTCAGGAGACTGCGGATACTTGACAAACTTGAGCCGATCCATAGCGCCTTTAAAGTCTTCAAATGTCGTAGCTGGAAGAGACAGACACTCTGCAACAGATCGCATGAATACTTTTGACAGTTTTGCTGATTCAGAAATGTATTCTTCGATGAGTTCCTTTGCGCCGGGATATTCAGGATACTGGCTGTTTCCCTCGAGTCGCTCCCAGATGGGCTCGTTCTCAGTCCACGTTTTCATGTTGGGCGTTCCAAAGTCGAATTGCTTCATTCTTAGTATACATTACTCATGATGAGGAAGGTGAATACCTCTCGCATGTCCGTCTTGGATGCTGTCGTCTCTGCCCCGAGACGAGTATAGCCCAGAAAGGACGGTGAATTGATCATGTTGCATCTTTCCTTGACTTCAGCTGGCAATGCAAATAGTTCAGGCAGTTTATCGTGTGTTTTATTGGTCAATGCCTGAGGTTGTCAGTGATGTCATCATCATCAGAGAAGACCTACCTCAAGTCCATGATTCGTCAAATACAGAAAACCAACGAGAAATATCGCCTCTCGCAGTTGTGCTAGAGTTTCTTCTTTTGTATCTGCATTCTGCAAACGCTGAAAGTCAATGATCGGGATGGATGAGAATGTGTCTGCCATATTGTGATGGTTGTCAAGATGAGGTTGATATGCGGGGTATTTTTATACACTTTCAAATGCCGAGGACCGACTGATTCGGGGATTTAATAAGCATAAATAAAGGCAAAGTGAGTCAATTTGATATACAATGATCACGCCATATTCAGGCTATATTGTTCTATCGGCAAGCCGTCTCATATTTCTATGGATTTATAGCATAATAACATCGATCATTCTATATAGACTTAAGCCTTCACAGCCGAACTCGCCTCTGCAATCTTCTCGGACAATCGGCTCATCGGCATCGAACTGAGAATGTCAAATGAGGATATCTCAGACTTCATCTCTCGCAGCACCCAGCCTTGAAGCTCTACTGCTTTCAACGAGTCGACTACACTATTAGCTTCATCGTATATCAAGATAGGAAATACATACCTCCAAGAGCATTCAACGGACGCTCCGTATCAATCGAATCAGCAGATGCCGTCATAGCAGCAGCCACATATTCCTTGAGACCTTGCTCGACTACTTTAGTAGCATCTGCAATATTCTCACTCTCGGATATCATCTTGCTGATGCCGTCTTTGCCATCTTTGCCGTTCTCTGCAGCAGCACTCTTGATGCGATGGTCGAATTTGCGATCCAACTGCCACGAGGTCGTGATGTATCCATCTCGTGCAAGATTATCTGCAATACCAGCGATCACTTGAGGGGGAATGATATCGCCACTTGCCGTCTTGCCCTTGAGAATCACCTTGAGGATCACCTGCAACTCATTCTTCGAGATCGTCGTCCCAGTCAAATTCCTATACTTCTCCTCCCGCTCCTTCTCACTCCGCACTTCAGTAACTGCGCCTCCATCTGTCACCAGACCAATGTTAATCGTCGTGCCAGCCAGATTCTTCTTCCGACGATACGTGGTCAGCGCATCCATAAACCCATTTCCGGCAGAGTAGTTCGCCTGCGCGATATTGCCTATCACAGACGCCACAGAAGAGAGGGTGATGAAGAAATCCAGATTTTGGGGGAGAAGACGGTGCAGGTTCCAGCTTCCTTGGATCTTGGAGGCGGTTGATTCGGTCCAGTCGGTGTAGGTCATTTTTTCAAACATGTTGTCCTGTTTTTTTAGTAGATGCTTTTATAAAAGGTAGGTAGACATACCCGTAACACCATGGTGCATTGGATGACACCCTTGATCTTCCAGTTATTCGCAAGAGAGAGACCGATGAAGTTCAGTACGTCAGCTGTCTTGCTGACATCGCAGGTAATCGCCTGCGCAGTGCATCCATCCTTGGACAGACCCTGTAACGCATCTTTCTGCCAGTCATGGATGGCTCCAGAACGAGATAAAAAGACGATATGTCGTGCTCCGACTTCGATTAAAGTCTCTGCGAAACTAAGACCGAGAGATCCCAGTCCACCGGAGAGAACATATGTTGCTTCTGGATCCAATGATGCAGTTGGGGGAGGACGAGGGATGATACGAACTGCTCCATCTGCTCTGAGATCGAGGATGACTGGTCCGCGATGACCTCCTTGTTTTGCCACGACGGCCTCTTTGATATCTGACACTGGAAATGTGCTGTATGGATGGTACAAAGGAGGTTTGATAACATCGATTAAATGCAGCGTCTCACGCATTGCCTGGTACACAGCATCTGGCTTGAAACTCAACATCTGCTCGAGATCAAACACCTGCAGCGAGCAGCCCCGTGAGATGAACGTCTGTGGAAGACCCGATGGACGCAGATGACCGCTAAGATCGATCGATTTACCAAAATTGGCAAGGGATGCTGCTGCTGCGCGGCATTGCAGACCAGACACGGTGCTGATGACTGCATCCACGCCTTTCCGGTCTGTCCGGTCGAGAACATCGTCTGCGAGTGATCCATCTGCAAAGTCGAAGATGTTGTCTGCTGGTACGTTGTACTTTTCAATCAAAATGCTTCTGTCATCTTCTGACTCCACGGCCAGGAATACCTCTATTCCTGTCGCTGATGCCAGCTGGACAGCTCCCAGTGCTGCATCGGTGCATCCCGCAATGAGAATCCTGTTTGTCTTGTCCACCTTTGCCAACTCAAACAGGGCATGATAAGCTGTCGCATAAGCAGTAGGCAGAATAGCAGCCATAGTAGAATCAACAATTCTAGGAACTTTGCAGACAGCAGAAGAAGAAAGACGAGCATGCGTTCGAAGGAGAGAATCACCAGCAGACAAGACTACCACGCGATCGCCAGGACGGAGACCAGACACGGTCGATCCAATCTGAATGACGGTCCCTGAGGCTTGACGGCCGAATTGAGATTTTTGGTTCTTCAATGTGTTGATGTCGTGGTCTGTCACTGCTACTGCGTCGATTTGGACGTCCACTGAATCTGACGGAAGTGGTTGCTCCAGCTCAACATCGTGAATCCAGCTGGCTTCATCCAGCGAGGAAGAATCAATTGATAGCTTCAACGGCCGATCGTCTTCAGAAAGAGACCCAAGAACTGGTCGAGGACCGTCAATCTGCACTCGCACGTCCTTTTCAACACCAGGTGTCTCGACGACCCGAGGAATCAACAGCTTCTCATCTTCTAGTCTGAATTCTGTCTCAACCTCCCGTTTCCCAGAAACAATAGTCCGCTTGAGAACTTTGTAGATGCTGCTCGCAATACTGGCATGATCAAGCGGTGTCGCCCAGTTGATAGTCAAATGTGGCATCGTCAAGCCAGGGATTTCACTGCGTATAGTCCGCAGTAGACCGGTGGTTGCTCCAAACTCGACGTTAATCTCCGGCCCCTGGTCATGTTCACGCGATACCCAGAGTATATAGGTAGCTGAATGCACGAGACTCTGGAAGGCCTGGTATTCTCTTTCGTTCCATTGAGATACCCATGGCGAGTCGGCTTCGAGGAGGGAAATGACTGTTCTCCCTTGAAGATCACCCACATCATCGAGTGTGGATATCTTGAGTGACGTTCCATGAGAGGACAGATATGCAGACAGCTTATCGAGCAGTTTATTCTGGCTTTTATCTTCGTTACGAGTCAAGACGTATACTTCGGGATCGACGTCCACGATGATGGAGTCTTTCTGTGCGATGAATGCTTCACTGTTGGACGACTCAAGATGCAACGATTGGCGATTCAGTTCGAGGTCTGTGAGAATAGGACTCCATGGCAGTGAAGATCTGGGAAGAACTCCGATGAACCATCCTTCTTCGTCCACAAGAGATGCTGCAAAGTCCAGCTTTACTTGCGCGGCGTTGGCACCGAGTTTGGAAGTGTCCAGCAGCACCAAATCATAAGTTGTATCACCTACAGCCTCTTTGGATAGAGGAAGCGAGTAGTCAATCTCCCATACTGTGGCTGGTGGTTCGACTTCAGCGAGAGTCTCTTTGGTGGCTTCGACTGCTGAGGATGGCACTGCGATAGAGAGTTGCTGGAATCGAGGCCGATGGACGCTGGATGGTCCGAATTGCTTTATGGCGTTGATATCATGCGAAGCCAATTCATCTGTCAAGAAAATAACAGATAGGTCGCCATTGTTATGGCATAATCTGGCCATCCAATCTCGCAAAGCAGAACCAATCCCTTCAGCATCAGTAGACAAAGAACCCACGACAGCCTCTGCCGAAGCCACATCTTCTTCCCAGGTGATGGTCGAGCATTTCTGAACAGCTTCTCCATCACCCCCTTGTCCTGCTGCAGATGAAGCCATTGGTATTTCTCCCAGAAGTACGCCTTCCATGACAATACCAGGCGCTGACCATTCAGGATCAGAGGTGATGCATTTCGAACGAACCTCACCACTCTCCTTTCTTGTCTGAATGTGGAAGTCAAACGACGAGCCGGTTTCTACTGGAATACCAGTCGGAATGAAGATACGCTGTGCAGCAACTGGGATATGGCCTTTCTTTTCTTGCAGCTTTTCGGACAACGAGAGAACAGCAGATTGGAAGAGAGAATCCAGCGTCGTAGGATGGATGAGATAGTCGGATTGATACCCATGCGGCATGTTCTCTTTGGTATCCGTGACCACCACTGAGCCCCAGGTACTCGAGGATTCATTACTGAATGCCGTTCTGGTGATGGAATGGAATGATGGGCCGAGTTCGACACCAATGTTGGATAGCCAGTTGTATACATCGTCCATTGGGACATCAGTCGATTTGCTCTGAGTATGTCGGGCTTTGACAGCTTCCTTCTTCCAGTGCTCTGCATCCGTTGGATTGGTATATCGCACAGATAGAATACCCTCTGAGTGCTTCGTCCACGATCCATCAGGAGGAAGAGAAAAGATGCCGAATTCAAACCATCCAGGCAGACTCTTATGCGGGCTGAGATGGATGGCTGTTTCTAATCCCTGGTCATCGCCAGGGACAATGACTCCTCGATAGAATTGGAGATCCTGCAACTCAATGCCAGCCACCTTTTGGCTTGGATCTGCGAGTTGTCGTGCTGCTTCTGCGGCCATCACCACCATTCCTGCGGCGGGATAGAGAATTGACCCAGCCACGACATGGTCTGCAATCCATGGATTCTCAGAGACACGCAGATAATGACTCCATCTTGGCTCGAGGTCATTCTGAAAGTCGATAGGCACTCCGAGGAAGTCATGGCGTGGCACTGCCCTTGTTCGAAGCGTCTTTGTATCGCGAGGTTCATGCCAGAATGACGAGCGATGGTTCCACGGGTACGAAGGCAGATCAACCACAACCTGAGGCCGTGTTTCACGATCATCGATGCCGTTGATCTTTGATAGATTGACCGGATGGCCAGTACTCCACAGACTGCCTGCCAACGCGAGGGCCGTCACTTCAGCATCTTGATTGCGCTTGACCGCAGTGAGATATGCAATCTTGGCCATGTTCTTGTCGATCTTCTCAACTGTCTGTAGAAGCGGTCCTTTGAGCACTTCATGAGGTCCGATCTCAACGGCACACGACCAGTTCACGCGAGCTCGTCGTCGAACCTTGCCGGCTTCGGTGTGGTTAAAGGCACTGGTAACTGCTCCTTCGAACTGGACGGGATTCAACATGTTCTGCACCCAGTATTCAGGGATGAGGTCGTCTGGCTTAACGACCTTCTTGTTCAGGGATGAAAACATGGTGACACTGGCATCAGCTGGTGTTTGCGGTTTGACATCCTGGATAGAACGACGCATATCTTCTGCTACGACTGCGATCTGGGGCGAGTGATATGCAGTGTCAACGCGCAGTTTTCGTGCGAACTTCTTATCTTCTTGAATGAGAGACTCGAGGGTGGTGATGGCATCGTCATCGCCAGAGAGTGTCACAGACGAAGGGCTGTTGATGCATGCCACCACGGCTGATCCTTCAGGGACCTTCTTAAGATACGCCTGGGCTTCATCGGCAGAAAGGCCAGCAGCCATCATTGCTCCGTCTTTGGACAGACGAGGTCTGACCTGCGATGAGCAGATTCCTCGTGAATAGGCAATGGCAATGGCATCTTCATGAGACAGATAGCCAGCACCATACGCAGCGCCTATAGCAATTAGCATTCCATACTTCATTTAGATGTATACATACCCATTTCACCACTCGAATGACCAACTGTCCCCTTGGGATGAATATCCCACGAAGCCAGCAAATCAACAAGTGCAATCTGCAACGCCGTGCAGACTGGCTGACTGAATTCCGGTGTGTTGATCTGTGGATTATCCGTTTTCTGGATCTCATCACGAATATCCCATGCACAGCCCAGTTTCTGCAAAACAGCCTGCGTCCTGGCCATGCTCGTTGCAAACACGGGCTGCTTCAGTAATTGTCTGCCCATTCCGGCCCACTGCCCCCCTTGGCCGGTGAAGACAAAGAGGATTCGGTTGTTGCGTCCCGCGCGAGGGAAAGTTGGAAGACCGGATTCAACACTGGATTTGAGCTCAACGATGGAATCGGCGACTGCGAAACTGCGATATCCAAAGACGGATCGTCGGATGGCGAGTGTGTAAGCTAGATCATCGAGAAAGTCGGGATTCTCAGGTTCGTCTGGCTTGTTCTGTAGAAAGTTGTTCCATGATTCGCCCAGTCGAGCGATGCCATTCTTATCCTGCGTTGAATAAACCAGCAGTTTCTTTGCTTTCTCAGTCTGTTCTGGTATCTGCACCTCTGTGTCAGCACTAGGGAGAGCAATGATATTATTCTTCAGCCCAGACAGAAACTGAGCAGCACTCTCGACGATAACGTGCGCATTGGCACCACCAAATCCAAAGGAGTTGACACTCGCTCTTCGACTCAGAGATGGAGGCCACTGCATGTAATCGTTGGTCAATCGCAGCTTCCACTCATCCAGTTTGATCTTCGGGTTGAGTTTCTTGAATCCTGCATTCGGCACGAACTTGTCTTTCTCCAACTTTAAGACCACTTTGATCATCGCTGCTATACCGGCTGCGCCTTCAGTGTGACCGATATTCGTCTTGACGCTTCCAACATACATTGGTCCGTCTTCGGGGTCTCTGTCAAGTCCGAATGTGGTGCCCAGTGCTTCCAGTTCGGTTGGATCCTATATCGTTAGTATATCAGTATAACATGTGCATAGTATAGACATACACCAATCTTAGTCCCCGTTCCATGCGCCTCAAAGTACGATGTATCCTTCATAGCCAGCCCAGTCTCCGCATAGACTCTTCTAATCAAATCAGCCTGAGAATCCCCATTTGGCATCGTGATTCCCGGTGTTCGTCCGTCTTGGTTGGATCCTGTTCCTCTAATCACGGCACGGATATTATCACCGTCTGCCAGGGCATCGCGGAGGGGCTTTACAATCATCGCCCCGATACCTTCGCCTCGTCCGTAGCCATTGGCCCGTTCGTCGAATGAGTGGCTGATTCCATCTGGGCTGAGCATGCGCATGTAACTCAGACGTTGAGTGAAGTTGGGATGAAGGATAAGCGACGATCCCGTAATGAGGGCCTATAAATTAGCACAGATACTCCGATGTAGGATTAACTTACCATCTTCGACTCTCGCAATCTCAACGACTGACAAGCTAAGTGCAACGCCGACAAGCTCGATGAACAAGCAGTGTCAAGCATGATACTCGGGCCACGCAGGTCGTAAAACCACGAGATACGGTTCGCCAGCATCGTTCTTCCATTGCCTGTGGCTGAATTATGCGGCATGTTATGGATGTCTCGAGTAGACAGCAATTCATAGTCGTTGGTCATGCATCCGGAATACACGCTTGTCATGCTCCCAGGGAGTTGGTCGATGGGGATTCCGGCTATTCTATCAGCATACTTCTATCCATACGAAGTAGACATACCGTTTTCAAAAGTCTCATATGCCACCTCCAACAGCAGACGCTGAACAGGATCCATTCCAGCCGCCTCCTTGGCAGTGATGGAGAAGAAAGGAGCATCGAAGAGGGAGACATCTTCCTCGAGGAAGAAGCCGTCCGTATGGTTAATCTATTCATTAGCATAATGCGCATTGATCTATACTTGAAGTACATACAGCTCCCTTTCGATCATTATTAGGATGATAAAACGCATCCGGATTGTAGCTCCGCTCAGGAACCCGGCCATTGCCAGATCGCCCATGACGGAGCATCTCCCAGAAGCCCGCAAGAGACGATGCCTCGCCGGGGAATCGACATCCCATGCCAATCACGGCGATAGGCTCGGGGGGGTCGTGCGTGATTCCGATGGAACCCATCGTGTATCGTGGTCTGTTGTATCTCAGTCTCAGTGTATTTGACGGTTTGCTTGACGTTCTATCTTGTCGCTCGCTCGTCTTTTAAACTGTGGTCAGCATATAGTTGATTTATGGCATGGTCCTGTCGTCATCTTGTTCATGTCGCATCCCTCGCAGCGTTGGGTAGGACGGAAAATGCGTGGTGCTACCGGAAATGAAGGCTATACAGTGACACGAAGCATTCCAGTCCTCCTGTCAACACGCGTTAATCAGCCTCAGCTGCCTATTTAATGCCTGCTCCAACTGTAGACAATCTCTGGTCACCAACAAACATGGCTACTCAACAGGCAATCATCGTCCAAGGCCCAAAGAAGGCCGCTCTGGTCAACAATGCGCCCATTCCCAAACTGCGCGACGACTACATCCTCGTCAAGACTGTCGCTGGTAAGTCTTCAGTTTGCTCCAAAGATCAAGTACTGACTGGTTAGTCGCGCTGAATCCGACTGACTGGAAACACATCGACTTTATCCCTTGCACTGGTTCCCTCGTGGGCTGTGACTACTCGGGCATCGTCGAGGCAGTGGGAAAAGATGTCAAGAAGTCCTTCCGCAAAGGGGATCGAGTTGCAGGTCTCGTGCATGGATGCAACGCAAGCCAGCACCAGGATGGGAGCTGTGCAGAGTATATCGTCGCCAAGGGGGATCTGCAGATCCATATCCCCGACGCGATGAGCTTTGAAGATGCAGCCACGCTGGGGGTGGGCATCAGCACTGTGGGACAGAGTCTGTATCAGACATTTCAGCTTCCTTTTCCATTGGAGACGGAGGATGATCCGCCATCAATCCTTATCTATGGAGGATCAACGGCAACCGGAAGTATCGCCGTGCAGATGGCCAAGATGTCGGGCATGCATGTCATCGCAACATGCTCGGAGAAGAATTCCGATATGGTCCGTGAACTGGGCGCTGATGCCGTCTTTGACTATAACGATCTCGAAGCGGCAGTCAAGATCAGGGAGCATACAGATGATGCGCTCGAACTGGCCTTTGACACGGTGTCGATCGATTCGAGCTCGCGATTCTGCGGCGAGGCTCTGTCCAGCCAGGGAGGGTGTTACCATTCCTTGCTGTACACGACCAGATGCCCTCGATCCGATGTCGATTCCAGTGTCACCATGGCGTACACCCTCCCAGGCGAGGCATACCAAAAGGGCAACACGAAGACGCCAGCCAAGAAGGAGGACTTTGACTTTGGAGTGGAATGGTGGCAGAGAGTGGAAGGATTGCTGCAGGAGGGAAGGATAATCCCGCATCCAGTAGCGAAGAAGCCGGGTGGATTGAAGGGAGTGTTGGACGGACTGCAGATGATGCGGCAGGGCAAAGTGAGGGCGCAGAAGTTGGTATACCGAGTGGACGAAACCGGTTGATTCACGTCGTACAATGAGGGTGATTGTCATGATGCAGGTTACACCGTCATTCATTCCTCGTGCTTGTTGCCTTATCTATTCATACCTCATCTGCTATGATATCAAGATCGTGTGTTACATTCCTTCTACATAGCATCACCAGACCATTGGTATCAATGCATCATAAGGTTTAAGTAGACAACATTCCTATCATCCAACTTCTATACCCATCGCGATGAAAATCCTCTGTCTTCATGGATACGGCACCTCAGCCGATATCCTCCAATTCCAGCTGTCGACATTAATGGAACTGGGCGATCCCAGCTGGGAATTCGTCTTTGTCGATGGCGAACTCGACACTCATGCTGCACCGGGTATTTGCATTATATCTTCTATATCAATCTATACTGACTATCCAGGCATTGGATTCTTTGCTCCCCCTCCGTATCACAGCTACTTGACTTCGTTCAACCCAGACAGCGTCGACAAAGTACACCAATTCATCGAAGAAACCATCGAAGAACATGGCCACTTTGACGGGGCCATCGGATTCAGCCAAGGTGCATCTTTGATTCTGTCTTTTCTACTTGAGAATGCAGCCGCTGGATCTCCTCTGCCCTTTCAATTCGCAGTGCTCTTTTCATCCACGCCTCCTTTTTCAGGGGACGTCAAATACGCCGATCACATCATCTCTCAAATGGGCGAGAAGGACCAGGACCAGATCAGAAACATCCCCGATTCAGACCTCTCAAGCCTCTCGCCCCTCGCTCGAGATGCATTCACAGCAGCATCCAAGGTCGTCACCGCCACTGCCTCGATCACTGAAATCCCCTACTCGGACTTTTTCGACAAGGACGATCTGCTCGATCTCCCCTATGTCATCCACCCAGACACCACTGCAGCTCGCCTGCCTATCCCCGTCGTGCATATTTCCGGGAAACAGGAGCCAGCTCTGCTCCGAGAGGTGGCTTCAATCACACATCAGTTCTTTGATAAAAACCTCAGCAAGACCGTCATCCACACGGGTGGTCACGACATTCCTCGCTCACCGGGTGATGTCCAGCGGGTCTTGTCGGCGATGGAGTGGGCGATTGAGACGAGCAAATTGGCTCTAATGTGATACTAGGAATAGTTATGAATCACATCATATGCATATTCTTGCATTGTCATACTCAAAACACATTCCAAGACGGCCACAACTCCGTATAATATAGACGATTGTGGCTGTGCAGCAGTAAATCCACCAGAACTCCCTCTGTGATATGCCAAGCTCAATATATACTGAAACTGCGATGCTCTTGGCGCCGCCATTTGAGACATCCACGCCTGCCGAGATATTCCGCTGTATACAATATTTTCTCCAGTCAATCGAGTCTGTAACGATGCCCAGCGCTGCCAAGATGAAGGTTGTTCCGTCGATATTAACTGCCTGTATATATAAACCTCACCATTCTGTCTATCCAATGTCTTCTCATCAGCTATTCAGAGCTCACCGTCAAAATGGTCAACTTCAAGTCTCTCCTCCTCACCGGCTGTCTCTCCGGACTGGCCCTCGCTGCTCCTTCGGCTACTGTCAAGCGTGCTGCTGTTGACGATGTACGACCCATCATCCTCTATACTACATGTCAGAATACTGATGATATAGACTGCCCCCGGCTTCGCCAGCCTCAACGGCGGCACCAAAGGCGGCGCTGGCGGAACCACCACCACCGTCTCCTCGTACGCAGCCTTCACCGAAGCCGTCTCCAGCGATGATGCAAAGGTCGTCATCGTCAAGGGCAACATCAAACAGGAGGCCAAGCAGGTCAAGATCGGCAGCAACACGAGCATCATCGGGCAGGACGCGAATGCCGTGCTGGAAGGGTTTGGGGTGCTCGTCAAGAAGAAGGAGAATGTGATTATTCGCAATTTGGGCGTGAAGAAGGTGTTGGCGGATTATGGTGATGCTATTGGTGTTCGTATGTACCCCTATAACTTCATCTATATCTATAGCCTCAAGATACTAACAAGAGCAGAATACTCCAACAACGTCTGGATCGACCACTGCGATGTGTCTTCCGATCGTGACCACGACAAGGACTACTACGACGGTCTCATCGATGTAAGCACCTTCACCCTTCCTCTATACAGTATACTAATACTCATGAACAGCTCACCCACGCCGCCGACTACGTGACCGTCTCCAACACCTTCGTCCACGACCACTGGAAAGCCGTCCTGATCGGCCACTCCGACAGCAACAGCGACGAAGACACCGGCCACCTCCGCATCACACTGAACAACAACTACCTGTACAACCTCAACTCGCGCGGCCCGTCCTTCCGCTTCGGCACCGGCCACATCTACAACAACTACTACGAGGACGTGAGCGACGGGATCAACACCCGCCAGGGCGCGCAGCTGCTCGTCGAGTCGAACCAGTTCGTGGGCTCGAAGAAGCCGCTGTACTCCACCGATGGAGGATATGCGGTTGCCAAGGATAATGACTTTGGGGATGGGGAGAATACCGCTGACGAGGGCAAGCTGACGAGCGTTGAGTATAAGTATGATCTTCTTGGGTCTGGAAAGGTGAAGAGTGCGGTTGTGGGAACTGCTGGACAGACTCTTACTTTCTAGACAGTCGAAGAGGTGGTGAAGTAGCGAATGAGAATGTGAATGTGAGAATATGTGTCTAGTCACTCTATCTGGGTATATCATACATACAGCTACAATGCAAATTAAGCGCCAAACCCTATCCTATCCTATATACACCCCATCCATACCACGCCTTGCCTTGCTCATGCTATGCAAACAATCAATGAATCTGAATCAAAGCAAAATCAAAAACTACGCTTCTCAAACGAACACAACGACTCCGTCGGCCCCGGAATATTAATCTTGGTCGCGTCAAACTCCCACGCCGCTTCTCGCGCATCTTTCGAATTGCGAATATGGAACGGCAACGTCCACTCCTTCAGTCGGCCCTCCAGCAGCCCCATGTCTTTGTTCTTCTCCCACATTCGCCGCGAGGCTTTGAACGCGTTGTTCACGGTTTCGCGGCGGATGGTTTCGTACGCTTTGAAGACTTCGGAGAGGGGTTCGTGCCGGTAGCGGGCGAGGATGCGGGAGAAGAGGATGGCGTCGTCGAGGGCGTAGGCGGCGGATTCGTCGCGGGGTGGCATCTACTATATTAGCTATGTTTTTAAATAAAAGGTATCAACGTACAGCATGGGCAGCATCACCGAGAAGGATGGCTCGGCCGGTATGCCATCGAGCGCCCGGCCGGACCTGGTACACCGGGTATAACATCCAATCCGACTGCAAGCTGGTCATTTCTTTAATGCAAGGGATGGCGGATTTGCCGAATCGATCGCGCATTTCCTCCCGCAGCGTATTCTTAATCACATTTTGTGTTCTGTGGTCCTGTCCCGGTTCAATTTTGTAATGAGGGAGAAGGTGTTCGTCGAACTGCACAATGGCCGCCGCAAAGATCTGATCACCGTCGCGGTCGCAGAAACTCGTCAGCAGCGACCCATGGCGGGAGATGTTCATCGCAGTCGAGCGGAAGTGAATCGGCGAGGAGATCGAGCTGGCCGCAAGGGTTGTCTGCAGGAAAGAAATGCCGGTATATTCAGACGGCGCTGATGGATCGATCCACTGCGTTCTGGTGGCCGAGTGCACACCATCGCAGCCCAGGACGAGATCGCCCGTTGCGGACGTCCCGTCGGAGAAGAAAAGCGTGGCTTCACGGGCATTCTCCTGCCCATGAGCCAATTTCTTGCCATACACGATCTCGACATTGCGAGTGCGGTCGACGACCGTTAACATCGCCAACGAGAGCACAATCCGCATCACCCTCCGCCCTTTGTATCCGCTGAACCCATTGCCGTGGTTATCGGTGAAGTCGAGGTTGCCCAGCGACCTGGCCGTGCGGATAGAAAACAGCTCAATGGCATCGACATCGGCGCCGCCTTCTGCGCCGAGTTTGTCGAGTTCGTGCAGCACGCCCAGCTGGTCAAGATGGCGCTGGGCCACGGGGGTGAGGTTGATGGCGCCGCCCGAGGTGGAGAGGATGTCGTGGCGTTCGAAGATGGTGATTTGAAGATCGGGGATGAAGGGGGTTAATTCGCGAGAGAGCGCGAGAGCACCTGCGATGCCGGCGATGCCAGCGCCGACGATGAGGATTTTCTTAGGCATGATTCATTATGTTTCAGTAAGGAGAGAGGGAGAGGAAAAAGTAAGAGTGTTGGGAGATAATTTCAGGAGCGAGATTCGGCCGGAAGGCCTCTGTTCGGCGAGGGAATGGAATCAAAGGAATCAAGTGAATGAATCGATGAATCGATATCTTTCGCTTCTTTTCTCTTTTTCATCTTCGGATCAGAACTTTATTTTTAAATTCGCTGGATTAATTTAGTCGCTGTTAGTGCTGGTTTAGTGGTGGTTAGCCTGCAGAATCAGTCGTCAAGAGTCGTCAAACCCCTATAACACACAGATTATGGCCTCTCCGCGGTGGCCACTATTGCCACCGGTCGCTTTAGCCGCTCTATCTTCTTGTTTGCAATGACATCTTTGGTCTTGTTTCTGTGTCTATGCATGTCTTGCGAGCCGTTCCGCGTGACAGACGTCAATTCTTCCGACCTATCACTTATATCCCCATTAATTACTCCATATGTATATACACGACGCGAATAATCTATGATCTATCCAAAACATCCTGCCCACGGTTTACCCTCCAGGTTGAGGTCAAACACGTAAACGACACCACGGCAAACAAGGCACACATCCCCGCTGCGACTAATTAGCACCCTGTAATTCCCGGGAAATGAAGCCATCCACTTACCCAACACGCTGCTCATCTCGTAATATCCAACCTGGTCCACTAGCATCCCGGCGATAATGGGTCCGAAAAATGTTCCCAGTGTCCATCCCATGCTGGATATCGACAGCGCTCGCGAGTAGCCGCCATTGGGGCCGAAAATGCCAGGGTGTTTCGCCTCCAGATCGCCAACAGTCACTGAATTTAGATGAGCACGGAGTTCGGAATACGAGCTGCTTACGGCGGTGGCCGTTTTGCAGCCAGGGGGAAATCAGGGGACTTACGAGTAGCCTCCATCGTCCCCGCACCATTCAAGAATACCATCATTATGCCAATCCCCGTCATGGCGATCGCATAAATCACCCGTCCTCGATCTCCTTCGTTGGCCCAGGGGAATCGGTCATCCCCGGGGATACCCCCTAGCCAGACCAACGGGGCAAGAGTTGCAAAGCCCAGCGTGGTAGGGTCGCGTGTTCCAACACGATCCTTCAACCACCCGATAAACGGCGCCAGGACCATGCCTGGGGCCTGCAGTGCAACAAACATCAACCCGGCCGGCATGCTGCCCCAGTTGAAGGCATCACGGACGTGTAAAGGGAGCGTGGCGTCGAAGCTAGAAACTAAGATCGCAAACATGACATAGCACAGTGCACCACCGAGGAAACGGCGCTGGCTGAAGAGACAGGCGTAAAAACTCCAGCCGGTCTTTTCCTCTGCCAGTCCGGTCTGGGGGAGGAGAGGGTCCTCCTCGGAGTCGGAGTTCTGTCCACTCTCTGTACAAGTCAGATGAATCCTCTGGAATAATTACGCTCAATCCTACCGTTCTTCTCACGAGGCCTCTCCAGCATCAATAACCGAAGCACGATATCGATAAGCAGGATGAGAAAAGCGCTCGACCAAGCCAACCAGTATCCGCCCACCTGGAACAGAATCCCAGAAACCATGGGTCCAGCCGACGTCCCTGCGGACACCGCGACCGAGATAGCCCCGTACGTCTTGCCCATGTGCTCCTGCTGCACATTGTCCGCGATGGTCGAAAAGCCCACCACCCAGATAATCGTACTAGCGACCGCCTGGACCAAGCGACCGGCGAAAAGCGCAAAGGCTACACCTCGTCAGCGACCGTGTAACCAACCCTCTCCACCGAGTATAAGAACCTACTAGACATCGAAAGCGCAATACAGAGCGTACTGCCCAGCGCAATGACCAGCGCCCATAATAACAAGCCTCGTTTGGAGCCCAACTTATCCGCAAGATGTCCGACCGGGGTGCTGAGGAGGACCGAGATACCGGCGCTTTCGGAGAGTAAAGCGAAACTCAACTTTTGGGTGAGAGAGACGTCTAAACCAATTCGAGATTCGAGAACGTAGGGAAGGATAGGGACGAGGAAGGTGTAGAGAAAGGTATCTGTCGGTCGGGAATCGGTAGTCAGTAAGCAGATAAGGAGCGACAGGGGAAGGGAGAGAGAATACCAGTAAACAAAGCCATGGCCATGGCCGAAACGATAAAAACCGGCGAAGACCGCCATCGGTAGCCCCATATTGGCTGGGAGGAAGCAGTCACCATCATGGCTGACAGTGGTGAAGATGAAGAAGATGAAGGAGAGGAAAGAAAACACGTCGACCGCGGAGAGCATCACGTCTAAATCCTCCGCCTGGCCGCAGACACGGATTCAGCTCTGCGACTCCACCCGAGGCCAGCTCGAGGGATTGCCTGCAGTGGCACGATGGATCATGGATTGGATCCTGGCCAGAGAGGAATAACCAAATCATCATGCTTGTGGCTGCCAACATGCAGGCTGCATACCCAACAGAGGAGGATCGGCAGATCCGCCGAACTATTGAAGCTGGGGACGAACAGGCGGTCTTGCTGCATCGACAGGATGATGCTGTTAGGTTATTGTTAGATTAATTATGGGCATGCTGGATGTGATTCGATATCCAGTCGTTTATCAGTCTATTTTGAGAGCAAAAGAGATTGGAACAATCAAAGGATCAGGATGGTGGCAAACGCCAACTCGACTCGATCCCTCGACGCAAGGGAGAACTTCCCCTCATCAAGATGATTCCGGTGTTACATTCACCATTGAGTCTATTCTCGTATGCATCCGAGATATCCCAGCCAGTATATATAATAGGATTGTCTGTGGTGTGTATCTGCAGCAGGCATCCTATTGATCTGGGGACATGACATGGATTATTACTTCATGCTTGCATATTATATTACTAGGATATTCTTAGCTTCTGTACTACTAGAAGTCAATGGAATCCTTTGATACTGTGCATAAAGAGTTGGTAAATAGAATATGGAGTGAATGTGCCAATGGACAGAATATATCTTTGCAGTCAGTCGGACAATATCATTTATTCCAACTTTTCAAAGCCTACCAAATTACTAAAATATCTTCCCTTATCAGCAGCCATAATACTGATCATAATCTGATAAAACTAATTCCATATTATCAATCAATCGAAGACTGCACAATAGCCTCTATGCCCCGCCATCATCGCTCCGTATCTATAGACACCTTCCATTTGTATATCTAGAACACAGACAACAGAACCGTCCATTCCGAGTCGCCGCACAACACCGCATGTTCCGAGTAGCCAATCATTGCCCCTCCGGAGAAAAAGTCTCATCTTCCGAGACAGCAATCGTTGTTATAAATCCAATCCAATCCTGATTCCATCGACTCTACTTCAACTTGACTCAACCTATTCCATCGACTCGACTCAACTTAACTCAGCTCATTCAATTGCATCATGTCCGATCTACCCTTCTCCTGCGCTGTAGTAACCGGCGGCGGCGGCGGCCTAGGCAAAGCAATCGCATCCTACTTCCTCAGCAAAGGCAAAAAGGTCATCATCGCCGGTCGCACCGAAGCCACTCTCCGCGAGACGGCCAGAGAGATCGGCGCGACAGACTACTTTGTCCTGGACACAGGCGTGACCAGCCAAATCCCGCCATTCATCGACGCCGTGACGAAGAAATACCCCGACCTGGACTGTCTGGTGAACAATGCAGGCGTGCAACGACCTCTGCACGCGCTGAACGACGCACCGGCTGATTACCTGCAAAAGGCAGACCAGGAAATCGACATTAACATCCGCGGTCCGATGCATCTCACGCTGGGCTTGCTGGAGCATTTCAAGAATATTCCCACCGGGGCAATGGTTATCAACGTCTCCTCTATCCTGGCGTTCGTTCCATTCTCTGTCATCAACCCAGTCTACAACGGGACGAAAGCATGGCTGCATTTCTGGTCCATGACGCTTCGTTCCCAGCTCTCTCGAGCCGGATACGAGAAGATCAAAGTGGTTGAGATTGCGCCTCCATCTGTGGGGACGGATTTACATCGTGACCGGGAAGATCCCGATGATAACAAGAAGGACAAGAATCCGAATGCGCTGTCGGTGGAGGAGTTTATGGAGGTTGTCTCTGTGGGATTGGAGAGGGGAGATGAGGTGATTGCACCGGGGATGAGCGAGGGGATTGTCAGCAAGTGGTATGAGGACTTTGGGGGGCTTTATGAGCGTTTGTCTGGGGGGAAGTAGATTGAATAAGAATAATCATATAGCATAACACATATCAAGAAGCATATATATCAATAACACATAATCATCTCGTCTCCTGGTGACACACAATCCGCCACTCCCCATCAGAAGCTTGACTCCATGTCGTCGACCCGATGGCACGATACTCTCTTTCTCCCCTCGACGCATGGATTCTATACGTGACTGTCCCCGCCATCAGATCGATGATGATAACACGGACTTCGCTGAGGGAGTATTGGTCGAAACGATGAAAGGGCGGCTGGAGGGCTTTGCTCAAGGACGGCTCGGTGTCGAGAGTGAGGATGGGCATCTTGGGGAAGATCATGTTGGCGTCTGGATTGCACAGTTTCTCGACGGCAGGCCCTGGATCGGCCGAGGTGAGAGCCGTCCAGAGAGCGCGTTCGCGGATGAGGAGGTCGTCGCGGATTCGTTCGTGCATGGGGGCCATCTATACTCATTAGTATAGAAACTCACATAATGATAAGAACATACTGTAAATAGGTTGATACGTTGATAGACTTGAAAATGACAGACAGTAGTACCATGGTTTTATACATCAGACCACCTGACGTCATGGGCGTTGGCACACGTGCATGACGTGATGGCGATCGCTGGCAATTCGCCGACAACCAATGCGAGCCTGGGATTTAAATGAAGACACCGTTTCGACAGCCAGGTGCGTCATTGTCATACGACAGGCCCATGTGTCAGTCGACCATGGATGGGGTTGTTGTGGTTGGGATGGTCATTAAAGTTAATCATGTTGATTAAGTTTGGTGGCATTTGACGTGTAGATCAGATCTCTATCAGTTATTAATGTAGAACATATAGTATAGAAGACTTAAGGTAAATAAAACAGATGATATGAATAGATCATGCTGTATAATCACTCGACAGTCATGTCAAACTGTCAGTCCTGGCCTGCCTATATAACCAAGATTATTGACAGGGTTACCGGGTGTAAAATGGACCATTGAAGAAGTTCCCATAAGTATCCATTGATAGACATAGTGGTATTTACTTCCATACTGGCAGTACTCTTAGTCTCTATTAAATATTCTAATAAACACTTAAACACAGTCAATGTTACACAATCTTCAATGAGGCAGGAATCCTCTGTAAGGGAATTGTGAATACATCATCCAATGTGTGCTATCTTATAGAATATATTCATGCTATCATATGTATTTTAAACTCGTATAATATATCATCAATGCTACCTTGATATCTTTATCTCTATCTTCACTTACATAGTATATTCAGGAACAATCATAATGGAGATAAGAATCTTCCGATAAGACCCACTACATCCACCAATCAGATGGCATCTCCACCTCTGTCCAATCTAAATATGGCCAATCACAGCGCTTCCCCTCTTCAAAATCGCCGATCTTTCCTATCTTGTCTGTCTCTGGCACCATTTCACCATCGGATTTCGTCGGCATTCTCCGCTAGAAAATTCAGTGCTATAAAGCTCTTCTCCTCAGAGGAATTGTTTCTCTTCTCATCAGCATCCTCACCATGAAGTTCCTCCAGTCCGTCACCAGTTTGCTGCTTGCTGGCTGCTCGCTGGCCTGTGCTGGCCCGACTCCCGGCCATGCGGCCGTTCAGCCCAAGCACCCCCACAAGATTGCGCCCAAGGTGTTTATCATCTCCATGGTAGGTCAATTGCTTCATAAACACGAATACACACTCACTCTTTCAGTTCGAACCCGAGGCTGAAGTCTGGTGGGGAATTCCCGAGTTCAACCTCCTCGCGCACAACATCACCGTCCCTGGCGCTTCGCCCCTTTTCCCCGATGTCTACTGTACTGCCGATTACAGTGTCTGCCAGCTCATCACTGGCGAAGGCGAGATCAATGCTGCTGTCACTGTCAACGCCGTCGCTTTCTCTCCTCTGTTCGATCTGCGTCACACCTACTTCTTCGTCGCTGGTATTGCCGGTGTCAACCCCAAGATGGCCACCACTGCGGGCGTCATTTTTGCCCGCTACGCCGTCCAGGTTGCACTGCAGTATGAGATTGACATCCGTGAACTGCCCAGAAACTACTCCACTGGATACATCCCCATGGGATCGACCTTCCCCGACCAGTACCCCCAGAACATCTACGGTACGGAAGTGTTCGAAGTCAACGCCGACCTGCGCAGTCTCGCCGTCTCGTTCGCCAAAAAGGCCAATCTGTCCGACACGGCCACGGCCAAGGCTTATCGCGCCAACTATGCCACTCAGGATGGTGTTTTCAAGGCGGCTACCGAGGGCCCCTCCGTCGTGGAATGCGACGTCGCTACTTCTGATGTCTACTACAGCGGTCTGATCCTGGGCGATGCCTTTGACAACACCACCACCCTCCTCACCAACGGCACAGGCAAGTACTGCGCTAGCGCCCAAGAAGACAACGCTACTTTGGAAGCCCTCCTGCGCTCCTCCGCTCGCAACCTGACCGACTTCTCCCGTATCATCGTCATGCGCACCGCCTCTGACTTTGACCGTCCCTACCCCGGTGTTTCTGCGAGCTACAACCTGTTCAACTCCGCCGAGCAGGACGGCTTTACGCCCGCCATTCAGAACCTCTACGTTGCGGGTATCCAGGTTGTTGAGGGAATTCTGGCCGGATGGAACTCGACCTTCGCTGCGGGCGTTAAGCCGCGCAACTATGTGGGAGACATCTTTGCGACCCTCGGTGGTACTCCTGACTTTGGACCCGGACGGGCCGAGGCCTTGGAGGGCGCTGGGGCGTTGAAGAAGCGGGGGATGGAGAGAAAGATGCACAGCCGTGCGAAGCGATCTTAATGTATTATTATGTGTAGATAGATATGCATGAATAAATAGACAGCATTGGATATGTTGAATGTTACACTGGATATAGGCTAATCTGCTAAATGGATGCCGATCCCTGTTTGATGCGGGGAAACAATACTCAATAAATAGCATCCCATCAATTCCTTCCCCTTACCTACTCTACTCAATCATATTCAAATCACCATGTATCTCCTACTCCTCCTAATAACATCCTCCCTCGCCTCGGAACTAACAGTCAACACAACCAGCGGCCCAATCCACGGCTTCTACAATGACACCACCCAAACCGTCCGCTCATTCCTCGGAATCCCCTACGCAGAACCCCCAACGGCATCCCATCGCTTCCTCCCAGCAGTCCCAAAAACATACTCACCCTCCCCATTCAACGCATCGTCTTTCGGACCGACATGTCCGGGTTTATACACCTTCTCCAATGAGTCGATCTGGTCTGTACTACCCTACCTACCATGGAACACGGATAGTATGAGCGAGGACTGTTTGTCGCTTAACGTGTGGGCGCCTGCAAAACGCCACAAGAGTGGTAAAAGGGATGGAAAAGCAGCCGTCATGATGTATGTATACGGGGGCGCATTCACGCAGGGCAGCACGGCAATCCCATTCTACGATGGGAGTAATATCGTCAGAGATAATGAGGATGTGGTTGTCGTGACGTTTAATTATCGGGTTACGGTCTTTGGGTATCCGAATGCGCCGGGTGTGCGGCAGAATGCTGGGTTGTTGGATCAGGTATGATTTCTCATTCATCTACTGTGCAAAAGTCTGATAGATATGTATACAGAGACTGGCAGTGGAATGGGTGCAGCAAAACATCGCTAACTTTGGTGGTGACCCATCTCGAATCATGCTCTTTGGACAGTCTGCTGGTTCGGCTTCGGTGGATATTTATGCTCATGCTGTTTGTCCATCTCTATCACCCATATATACCCATCTAATGATGACAGTACCCCGATAATCCAATCGTCCACGCATTTGGCATGGAATCCGGCGCAGCAAACATAATAACCAGCAACGACACCACCTACCAGAACTGGGATAGACTTTCTAAAGCTCTCGGCTGCGGATCAGGCAGCGAAAGTCTGGAATGTATGCAGAAGAAGCCATTCGAGGATATTCTGGATGAAGTATCAGGTGATTATGAATTTGCACCGCTGCAGGATGATATCATCGTGTTTGCGGATTATACGAAGAGGAGGGCGGCAAAAGTTGTGAGTTACTCCATCTGTTTGATAAATGGTGAATATGAAGCTAATAAATTGACTAGCCTACTCTACTTGGTGGAACTAAACGCGAGACAGCCGCGTATTTCAACCTGAGTTCGGCTTCGATTAATGAGACGTTGGAATTTGCTCAGACGCAGACTACGTTTAATTGTCTGATCCAGGAAGCTGCTTTGTATGTCTCCTACACTGTGGATGGAGGTATGCTGACTCTGTAGACTACGATATAAGCAGAATATCCGAACCTGGCGATATCTATACCACGGTAACTGGAAGAATCTATCTCCAACAAGATGGCTGGGTGCATACCACTCGAGTAAGTTGATCCATCAGATATTGAACTATACTGATTCTATAGGCGATGTCCCAATGGTATTTGGAACATACAACAAAACCACCGCTAGGGTTCCCTCTTCAGCAGAGCAAGTCAAAAGCAGTCGATATATCCAGGGTACGTACACTCTAGTCTGATATATCTACTTACTAATAATCAGGCGCATGGGTTGCATTTGCCAAAGACCCGCAAAATGGACTGGAAACGTATGGATGGCCTCGATATAATCCTGATGGTAAGTTTTGTCTATCCAGATGAAACTGTATACTAACTATTCAGAAAAAACATTGATCAATCTTGCATTGAATAATACCATCTCTGCTGCCTTTTCATCGGCAAAGAACTGGGATAGTCACTGTGATGGATCTTCATATGTTGCTTAACTGTACATAATCATCAGTTCATGGAATTGAAAATCTCCAATGGAAATCCATCAGCCAGAGCCTGATACCCCCTAACATTCGGATGCAAATGATCCCCAGAATCATACTCCTCAGCCAATACATCCAGCTGATCAGGATCCCTCAACATCTCATCAAAATCCACCACCGCGTCAAACACCCCACTCGTTCGTATCCACTCATTCACCCGCTGTCGCGTCTTTTCCCTTTCTGGATGTGAATACGGCTGGACATATGAAGCATTCGAACTAGTCCCGAATGGCGTAATCGTACCACCAAACACTGGGATGTCAGCCGCGTGCAGACGTGTCACGATTTGCTGATATGCAACAATCAATCTATCTCCTATCATTGTCTGATTGTATTCATCTGCAGCGGTTACGCCGATATCATTAACCCCCTCAAAGAGCATCGCATAACGGACTCCGGAGTGAGCGAGGATATCCCGATCAATGCGACTGAGTGCGTTAGGACCAAGGCCGTCTTTTAACACCCTGTTTCCGCCCGCTGCTTGGTTGAGGATGGAGATGGAGGATGTCTCAGGGAATGCTTGCATTCGTGTGAGGAGGAGATCGGGCCAGCTGCACTTATTAGTTCTGCATACTAATAGGGGCAAGGGAGGGTACCGGTTATTTCCATCCGTGTCACTCCCCCGTCCGTCGGTGATGCTATCCCCGATTATGGCAAAGGCAGAGGTGGAAGAGGGGAGGAGGGCTTCGACGGCACTTATATAGTACCTGAATTGTTAATATCATCTTGTATAGATGGAGTAGATGACCTCACCAATGCTCAACACTCATCGCATCCGTCAAATTCACCTTCTCCACGAAGTTCCCCCTCGCCATCCACGACGTTGTCCGACTTCCCGGATGCGACGTAATAGCACCACCATCCTGCCCATCCCGTAAATACAAACTCACCATGAGCTCCGACTGTGCTTGAACTGGAAAGTCAATCGGATCAGAGACTGCCAGTGCACCAGTCGGTATGATGATGCCATTATCCCCATTAAAGGTGAGTTTCTTTACAGTTTCCGTGTCAGACAAGCTTGTTCCTGGTTTCTGGTGTTGCGGGAGACTAATAGTAACATTTGAAATGGGAAGATCAGCAAGACCGAATGCGTTGGAGAAGCGAAGACGGATGGTAGATGTGTTTTGGGTGAGGTGGATTGTTTGGCGGATTGTCGTGTTGGCGAAGATGGTAGATGCGTTGAATGGGGGTGGAGGCAGGTTATCAGGTTCGGTCAGCTGGGGCATGGATGTCCATATGTCGACCCAGTGAGTATTTGGGAGGGCTTGGATACAGATGAAGAAGAGGAATATGAAAAGGTTCATTTTGTTGTAGTTAGTTCGTATGCCAATGGCAATTGCGGGGAAGACTGCAGTGGTCTATATACATAGAGTGATAGCCTAAATGGGTAAATATCCATGCTATACTCTATGGAGTATTCTCCGCATCTATAATTCTGTTCATAATTATTTTTCCATCTGTGAACTGAATAACTTCATAATCTTGATCCGCCTAGCTGTTCTATTCATTTCTTTCTATATGAGTCATCTTTGCCAAGTGTTTCTCGTATCAAGATCAACCACCATCGAGTTTCATACAAGTGACCGACACTCTCTGAATCTGTGTTAGACATGGCTTCAAACGACTCTCCACTGGCATCCTGGGAGACTTTCGCTCCTTCTTGGGATGAAGGCATGGGAGATGAAGGAAATGAGTATTTCCGCTTTCTAGAACTTCCCATCTTGGAGAAGCTGCTCAATCAACTAGAAGGATGTCGTGCTATCGACCTTGCAACGGGAAACGGTCTTGTGGCTCGCTGGTTGGCCCAGAAAGCTGCTTCTGTCATCGCAACCGACGGCGCAGTGTCGATGATAGACCATGCAAAGGCACGAACGGACACTTCCCAGTATGGGGGCAAGATATCCTTCCATCGCCTCGATGTCACAAGCCAGTCATCTTGGGATAGTTTCATGGCGAGCGATGTTTGTCTCGTGGTTAGTTCACCATATGGCGTGCAGAGAGATGTTAATGCATCTCTTGCTAGGATGGCGGATTCGATGTGATCGCCATGAATATGGCTCTCATGGACATTCAGGATCTGGAGCCATTGGCAAGATCTCTGAGACGACTGCTCAAACCGAACGGCTGGTGAGTGCTGAACACAAGTCTGAATATTTGTGCAAACTCATATCCATCTCTAGCTTCGTTGCTACTCTGCTTCATCCGCTATTTTTCACCTCCGGAGCAGCTCGACAGATCGTCGTCCACGAGTCACCAGAGACAGGTCAGCGAATCGTCGACCGCTCCATTGTGATGCGAAAATACCTGAATGTGCCCCCCGCGAGGCAGTTGGTGCTGGAAGGACAAACCCAATCGCCGGCATGTGACCAGGAACCTTTCCTATCCATTCAACAAGACTAATAAAGGCAGTACGTGTTTCATCGGCCGTTGAACCAACTCTTTGCCCCATTCTTCCAGGCAGGTCTCGCTCTGGATGCACTCGAGGAGACCAATTTCGACGAAAGCTTTCGTGATCCCCTCCGTGAACACGCAGCGAGGAATTTTACCGAATTCCCGAAAATCCTTGGCTTCAGGATGAGGCCGGTCTGATTTTAGATGGACGGGGAATATCGGCTGCCTAGTGGTATAGATAGTCAGTATTAGGTGGCATGGTAATAGGGGAATTACTCGTCTATACAGTGCAATAGCCTAAACGGTAGATATACTCATAGGAGTATTTCTCCGCAGATAATCTCTGCATAATTATTCTCATTTATGAGTGAATAACTTCATATTCCCGTCAGCACGGAGCTATGATGCTATCTCCGCCAACCCCGCCTTTCCCCAATCCTTATAAATTCAACACAACACCACCATCAGTTTTTCACCCACCAATTTTGTATCAGGAAGAAAATGCCCTCCATTATCCAGAAAGAAAAAACAGCCCTCATCACCGGCGCCGCTTCAGGCGTCGGTTTCGCCATTGCCAAACTGTGCCGCGAAAAAGGCATGCACTTGCATCTGGTCGACATCAACACTGCCAACCTCAACAAAGCAAGGGGGATTCTGGAGCATATCAACCCATCGCTGAAGTTAACGACACACACGCTGGATGTCACCGATCAGAATGGCTGGACGCGTATTGCTGCAGCTATTGACAACCTTGATCTGGTGGTGTTGAATGCAGGCAAGGGATACAAGGCATCAGGGCAGGCGGAGAAAGGCAGACTCACGCCATGGGAAGATCCAGAATACTGGAAGAAGGTATTATCCCTGTCTATATTAGATGAAAAGAAACTCACCAACAGACCCTCGACACCAACGTCTTTGGCGTGCTGTACGGCATCTCCGCCCTCCTGCCCATCCTCAAATCCACCTCTTCTGCCAAATCCATCGTCATCACCGGCTCCAAACAAGGCATCACCAATCCCCCCGGCGGTGCAAACCCAGCCTACAACGCGTCCAAAGCAACCATCAAGAACCTAACCGAGCATCTCGCCCATGATCTCCGGTCGGATCCGTCTACAACGCACATCTCCGCCCATTTAATCATTCCCGGCTGGACGTGGACCGGGTTTATGGGGAATGTTGGGCCGGATGGGGGTGTGCAGAAACCGGCGGGTGCGTGGGATGCGCGACAGGTTGCGAAGGAGTTCGAGGCTGGACTGGAGAGGGGATCGTTTTATATTGTTTGTCCGGATGGAGAGACGGATAAGGCGTTGGATCAGGCGAGGATGAAATGGGGAAGTGAGGATGTGGTGGAGGATAGACCGGCGTTGTCGCGATGGGATGGAGAGTGGAAGGGAGAAGCAGAAAGGTGGATTCAAGAGGAGGCAGGGAGGAGAAGATAGAGATAACTTCACGATAGATAAGTTGGAGATAGAGAATACGAGATAAGCTGCAATGCAAGGGCCTCGTGGATCGCCGCATTCGTCTGTTGGAAAGATGCGGAGAAGGCGTGGGGGTTTCTGTCACTGAGTGAGGTATTGCAAATTGCAAATTCATGAATTTTAATATAAGCAGATGGTAGCATTTGAAATTGCAAAAGTCATATGAGATGATGATTCCGGATTAGGAACTTCTGACCGTCCAGATATTCCTATTGGCTCTGTAAGATCCCTGGTATCTGCAATAAAACGAACAGAGTTGAAATTTGATTTCCTTGATTTCAGCTGGATTGAGCAACCCTAGCTACCTTACTGCTTGATGCGACCTTGTTATCTAATGTTGAAGAAGAAGACGATGATGATAAGACATTATAATGCAGCCCATCCCTTGCTATCCCTGCCCTCCTCTTCCCTTCCATTCCTCTTTGTCTTCCATTCTTCTTCTATCCGAATACCAAAATGTCCCAAACCAGTCTGCCTCGCGATACCAAGACAGTAGAAACCGTCCACGACGACGTCACCAAACCTGTCAGTGAAGATGTTGGCGTTGTCCGGGTCATCGATCACAAAGCAGAGCGAGCGCTGTGTCGTCGATTCGACTTTCGCCTGCTTCCTGTGTTGGCTTTTATGTGTATGTCTGTCTGTCTATTTATTTACATCTTACTGACTCTGTAGATCTCTTCAATGCGCTTGATAAAGGAAACTTGGGAAATGCAGAAACAGAAGGACTCAGCGATGGTAAGTCATCCATCCAACCTGAATAGCATCATCTAACCACTTCAGATCTCAACTTCAAACCTGGCCAGTACAACCTGCTGCTGTCCATCTTCTTTATCCCATACGTCATCTTTGCCCCTCCCTTTTCGATGATTGGCAAGCACTACAGTCCTGCCCGTGTGATGCCTATCCTGATGTTCTCCTTTGGTTGCTTCACTCTTCTCTCCTCCTCCACCAAGAACTTTGGAGGCATTTTCGCTCTTCGCTGGTTCCTGGGCATGTCTGAAGCTGCCTTCTTCCCTCTGGTCATCTACTATCTCACCACTTTCTACCGTCGAGGCGAATTGGCTCGTCGCCTCGCCATCTTCTACGCAGCATCCAATATCGCCAACGCCTTCTCCGGCCTCATCGCCTTTGGCGTCTTCCAGATCAAACACTCCTCCATCCCCAACTGGCGCTATCTCTTCATCATCGAAGGAGCTGCTACTGTTCTCCTCGCCATCTTTGCCTTCTGGTATCTCCCTCGCAGTGCCGCAGAAGCCAAATTCCTCTCTGAAGAAGAAAAGGAACTTGCCTTCCACCGCATCCAGGTCGACTCCAGTGCCGTTGTGAATGAGAAATTCAGCTTCCGCGAAGCCATCGCCATCTTCAAACACCCTACGACCTACGTCTTCCTCGCTATTGAAATCTGCATCGGCGTCCCAATCCAGAGCGTTGCCCTCTTCCTCCCTCAAATCGTCGAACGCCTCGGCTATTCCACTGTCAAGACAAACCTCTACACCGTCGCTCCCAACGTCACCGGCGCGGTCATGCTGGTCATCCTCGCCTTCTCCTCTGACGCCGTCCGTCTGCGTTCCCCCTTCATTGTCCTCGGCTTTCTCCTCACCTTTGCCGGCTTCATGATCTACGCCTCCATCGACGACGTCCAGGCCGAGATCCAAGTCGCCTACTTTGCCACCTTCATGATGACATGGGGTACATCCGCCCCATCCGTACTACTGAGCACCTGGTACAACAACAACATCGCCCACGAAGGCCGTCGCGTCCTCCTCACCTCCATCGGCGTCCCCCTCGCCAACCTGATGGGCCTAGTAAGCAGTAACGTATTCCGGGCTAAGGATAAACCAAAATACATGCCCGCCTTAATCACAGTCGCTGTTTTCGGCGCCTGCGGTGCATCCCTCGCAGCGTTACTGGGCACTTACATGTGGCTGGATAATAAACGTCGCGATCGTCGCGATGGAGTCAAAGTCGAGGCACGGGATATTCCGACGGAGCGATTGAGAGATGGGCCTTCTTCGCCTGAGTTTCGCTGGTTTTTGTAATTATTGACCGGTTGGTTATAGTCTATGATGGTATGAGTTATGTCAGTTATGCTAGTTGAATACGACCCACGATGCTTATTTCTCCGCGTTTCCCCGCAAAATGTAACGTGGGGGTCACTCGATCATCATTGATGCTGTGACCTCATTTCGTAGCCGAGGATGCTACTGTCGCTTATGAGCTGTGCATTTCTACGTCAATACAAATTTAAATATTCTATGCTGATGACAAGTCTTTTCTGGTAACCGAATGTAACGATCAGTCATATTTACTTGATGCATGTCTTGTGCCATTCAGATAAGCGAGACTACTTGTAAAGTACCTTTGACTGCAATGTGACATATCGGTGAATTCAATTCGGATTTATTTCCCACTCTGGGATGATACTAGAGTGTGTTCAAGGTGAAGAAGTACTTTTCGTCTCCAGATGAGACTATTGCTCTTAAATCTACGTAGGCATAGAACGTTTGTAACTTGGGATGACACTTATTTCTGGTCTTGAGCTATGTATATCTGTTCAATTATTAGATACTACTGCTATTTATCAATTCTCCGTGGTAGTTCACGTTTAGCGATGCGGAATCGAGCTCGAAGACAGCGTGCTATCACTGGAATATCAGTCACTTTGCTCTTCAATGACAGTAGAAGATAAGTGAGGTCTATATCATGGACACAGCGACACATCCAGAATTCATTCCCCAACCCCGATTCTTGAATGAAAGCTTTCTGAGGTTGAAGTCTGATCAATTTTATATTAACAGACACACTGCAAATATTGACTGAGAGTTAAATCAAAAACTACATCTAGGTATGGGTGCTTCAATGTCGGTTGAGTCCTCAATTGAACCATTCAATTCTTCTCTTTCGCTGCCTTCTATACTCTCAACTTACACCCCTTCAGAATCCCCATATGAATTCTATATCTCTAATCCCTCTCTCCCTCGATCGCGACGATCGTCTTTTCTCATTACAACTTCCATTGATCTCTGCAACCCCCCAAAGCATCGACATCGGTCACTGTCCCCACGACAAAATGACATCCAAGAGCATCAACTGCCTTCCAACAGAGGTGATGGGCATTATCGTCGGATACCTCGACTGGAAATCGGTAAAGAAGGCCTCGAAAGCGAATGCGAATATCCGCTACGCCTGCCTTCCACGGCTGTTTCGCTGTGTCAAGATCGCCCTCACTCTGACTTCTCTGAATGAATTCAGCACTTTCACGGCATCCCTGGCGGCACGACATGTCAAGACTCTCGTGTACATTGCTTCTCCATACTTGAAATATGGTATGGAACGTAGTTCACTATGAGATAGGGACTGTCATTTGCTAATGATCCATAGACGCAGTATACCGTCGGTCGAACTTCAAACGAGTTTATAGCCCCCATCGCTACGTGTCAGACCAGGAGACGAACTGTTGGGTGCTTCCGACGGAACCGATGAAGTACTTTGAGATTTACTCCTTCGTAATGAAAACCTATAATGAGGAGCAGAAACTGCTGCACGGTCTTTTGGAGGGCAGTAATTTGGGCGACGTATTTCGCAATCTTCCCAACCTGTCCAAGATTGTCCTGGAGTACAGCAGCAAGCCCTTTTCTCCTGTCAGATGGGATGTCGTTTACGGCCCGCATCGAGGCAAGCTATTTGATGACAGGGAGTCGTTCCAAGCACACATGGAGAGACTATTCGACACGCTGAATCTTCCGGAAACGTCGAACAGATTAACAACTCTGCACATCAAGGGATCGGCGTATACTGATTTTGACCATGGCTCCAATGGCATTCAAACCATCAATTTGACCCAGGCTGTTAGCCGCTTAGAAGAACCGACCCTGGACAAGCTGCCATCATTCCTCGAATACCTGGGCGACAAAGCAGACATCCAATTCCCGGCCCTCAAGAAACTACATCTGGAAAACTGCTGCGGGTTCACCGTCCAGGCTCTAGAATCCGTTTGCAAAAGAGCACGTCTGACTCTGAAGACATTGAAACTGGCTTATTGCCGCCTGCAGAATGGCAAAATTGGAGCCAGGTTCGATTTGGCGAGTTATCACGAAATACGGTTCCCAATTGCCTTTTTGAATTCTCTCCATGCAATTGGGGATAGCTGCTCTTTGGATAATGTCGATATCAGGGCTTATTACGGTGTTCATACATCTTTTCGGTCGTTGTTACTTGGGGAGATTCCCCTCGAGCAAATTCCAACCAAGTTTCTGGTTCAATGATGCCTCGATATTGACCAGCATGCGCACATTGCTTCCGTTTGGGAGACATTGCATTTGCTTTTTGGTTCATTGATTCCGAGGGTGTGGCAAGCGCTGCTTACTGCCGTACAGACACTATCTCGATGCTTTTATTTCTTGCATGATTGGGCGACCATTTATTAGCTCTGCATTTCTTTTTTATTTTCTTTACTTCGATGCCATTCTAGATCGAATGTATTTACTTTTTACTGCTTCATAGATACCCAATACATACCCCTCAGCTGACTATCTGCAGAACACTTCACCCTGCATGAGACTATGAGGTCACTGTTTTCTTCGTATTTAACACTCCCAACACTACTCCTCCCCCATTTCATCTCCATCTCATCTCTATCCATTTCTATCTATCTACCCATCAGAATGTCCAACCCCAACCAAATCTCCCCCCTCCGGGGCATAACCCAATACATAACCGGCCACGACTCCGCCGGCAACGCAATCGTCCACTCCGAAAAACCCGGCGACTGGAAAAGCTACGACGGCAAAAACATGGCCTTCAGCGTCGCGTACACCACCTCGCAGTTCCCAGCCAACCTCAACGACGACGCAGACGTGAAAGCCCACGAGGCCATCATGGATAAAGGCGTGGGGCTGGTGAATCCCAACGGCACGGTGTGTCGGATTGTGGACTTTGCGCCGGGATGTCCGCATCTGATGCACCGTACGCAGAGCCTCGATTATGGGATTGTGCTGGAGGGGAAGGTCGAGATGCTGCTTGATAATGGGGTGACGAGGACGTTGGAACGAGGGGATGTCGCGGTGCAGAGGGCGGCGATGCATGGGTGGAGGAATCCGAGTGAGACGGAGTGGACGAGGATGGTGTTTGTGTTGCAGCATTGTGAGAAGCTGGTGGTGGGTGGGAAGGAGATGGGGTTGGATATGGGGAGGTCCACGGATATCAAGGGGTCGACTTGATCACATTTATTCATTTATATACTCATATTTATACAGATTATGCCTTGACTTGGATGACAACCTTGCCAAAATGGCCTCCACTAGCCAGGAATTTAAACGCCTCCTTGGCCTCTTCGAATGAAAACACCCGGTTCACAACCGGCTTGATCTGGTGCTTTTCGTAGAACTCGACCATCTCCTCGAATCGATCCTTAGGTCCGTTGATAATGCCCTTCAGCGTGAGGTTTCTGCGCAGGACGAGCAGGTTGACATTCGTCCGGTCATCCGCGGCATCCACCTTGCCGGAGACATAGCCAATGCAGTTGATCAGTCCACCAAAGGCGATGCTGTCGAAGCTCTTCTTGAGAGTCTCGGAGCCACCGACTTCGAGGATGATGTCCGCGCCGTGCTGGTCAGTGATCTTCATAACTTCATTCTCCCAGTCGGGGGTGGTGCGGTAGTTGATGGTATAATCGGCGCCTAGCTGCTTGGCCTGTTCCAACTTTTCATCGGATGAGGAGGTAATAATCACTATTTTCATCAGTATCAAGTGTGTTAAATAAAGTGACAAACTCACCCTTCGCGCCAGAAGCCTTTGCAATCTGCAACCCGGCAACTGCCACTCCCCCCGTTCCCTGAAGCAAAACAAACTCATCCTTCCCTCCACTCTGGCCCATCGGTCGCATCCCATTAATCGACATCCAAGCAGTCACACTCGCTATAGGAAGCGTACACGCCTCCTCGGCCGACAAATAGCTCGGCGCCTTGACGAGGGCATACGCTGGGAACACACGGTGGGTGGTAAGCACACCGTTCAATGGCAATCCCAGACCTTGCCCGAGCTCCTTAGCCGTGACTTGCCCGGTTTGGTGCTCGGGGAGGAATGTCGAGAGGACTTTATCGCCGACTTTCCAGGCGTTGATGTCGTCGCCGACCTGGGTGATGACCCCGCACATGTCCGAGCAGGGGACGACGGCGGCCTGGCCGACGGATTTGTGGTGTGTGTATTCGCCATTTGCAACTATTCACATTAATATAACTTGTATTCAACTGAAAAGGTCGAGCTCACCCTCTGTGTCGCGGTAGTTGAGCGAAACCGCGTGAACTTCCACGAGCACTTCGCCCTTACCAGGCGACGGCATGGGCGCCTCTGCCCGTTCGAGGGTATCCAGACCCGTAAGAGGCGTGACCCATTGTTGAACAGACATGATGATACTCAGATAAAATTGTTTATTCTGAGAAACAATTATAAGAATGCGGGGAGTGGGGTTTTATATCACACGGAGGGAAAATCGAAGATATTCGGAGACTTTTTAGAATTTCCGACGTCATTAATCAGCTTCGGTATCCCACATTTGATGGTTTGTATACTTTTCTCGGTAACCACGGGATATTTATAGATAACTAGTCATATTTCCTATCGGAATGGAGTTTAATGACTCATGCTTATAATTTGGAGAATTATTGACAGATCTAGAAAGGTCGAAACAGGGTATATCATCATCATGCATTCGGTGAAGAAGAATTTAGCCGATTCAACCACGGTGATGTAGACATTGACCGAATCGATAATCATTCTTTGTTGGTTTCTATCTTCTTTATATTCTCAATGTAGTTGTTTCATCTTCAAATGTCGCGTGGCTCGTGAATGAATGAAGCATACAAAGATTTCAAAAGACAAAGATATACCGAAATACACCTCGAATAGTACAAAGACCAGATAATATAAAACCCACTGCTCAACAACAATCACCATGGCAAACCATCATATCTCAAAATGCTGCCCTCCAGTAAATTCGCCGGATTGCCCAGTCCCAAACTAGTCCAGCTTGTTGCTCGTTATTTCGATGAAGCCAAAGTGCCTCACGTGCTCTGGGGGTCGATGGCACAGCGTGTTCTGGGGATTCCCATTCCCTGTCCGGCAAGTCACCCATCCATCCTCAACATCGCAGATACTAATAAGGTGAATAGAACGACATCTCCTTCGTCATCCCCGATAACCACATCGAAGCAGCCATGCAGACCCTCCTCCTCGCAGGCCTCCCCCGCTGCCTCCTCAACGCCAACTGTCCCTCCATCCAAAAACACCGCAACAGCCCCATCCCCGAAGTCCACTTCCATCTGCACCCCAAGTATGCCATCGAAACACTAGATCTACACAAGCAATCGCTTACCCTCTTCCACTTCCCAGATCTCACCCCCCACACCCCAGCCAGCGATGAGCGAAACTTCACCCTAACCACCAATCTGCACACGTGCAATTGGAGCAAAGAAGAGTTCTACGGCCCTCACGCGCGAGATCCCTACCCCGTTAAAACGCTGACCGCGGTCGGGTTCACCGAGGCGATGATTATGCTGTCCTGTCGTGATTTTCGACACTGCAATAACTACGACGGGCACTGGTATGTGGGTATCTATCGTATTCAGCGGTTTGTAGAGGAGAAGGGGAATTTCTCGCGCAAAGAGCTGAATCCGAGGTTTTTGCCGTACTGGAATGCGTATGAGGAGCATCCGTATGGGAGGAGTTTGTACACGCGGTTGAGTGAGTTGAGGGAGGAAATGTTGCAGAATGGGGAGCTGCCGCCGCCTCCTGCGGTTAATAATTTCGGGTCAATTGAGTTGGCGTTGAAGTTGCAGAGGTATGTCACTTTTGGTTGAGATGCTATGTTTGTTGTCTGATCATTATGTGCTGTTTGATTATGATATGTCCTGATAATCAGTATCTAATTACATTAACATGTCCACCGGCCTTTTATATTACCTTGAAAACACCGTGTTAGTACCAATCCAGAAGCCGGAACAATCATATATATAAACAAGAATGCAATGGGTATATAACGGTCTTCTCATCATGCAATGAATCAAGTCAATCCAATCATAGAGAAGTCGAGAAAAAGGAAATATCTGTACATCGCAATGTATGGAAAGCAAAATGGCTACCGCCCAAAAGAGGAAAAAGTTCATATCATCATCATCCGCGTTGTTCGTCGCTCGGGGAATCGACGGCCTGGAGGCGGCAAGTATCCATCTGGTCCTGGTGGACCACCAGGGCCAGGGCCGGGGCGAGGTCTGGGAACTGCCATGGGCACTCCCATGGGACCACCACCCGACGAAGCAGCACCAATAGGAGCGCCCACAGCAGGAACGCCCATAGCGGCCATAGGAGCGTCCATAGGAGCGTTCATACGACCGCCCATTGGAGCACCCATTGGCGGTCCCATAGGAGGTCCCATTGGAGGTCCCATTGGAGGCCCCATTCCAGGTCCCATTCCAGGTCCCATTGGCCTCATCGGTGGTCTCATCGGGTACCCAGATGGAGGAGGATAACCAGGACCAGGGGGGTAAGGACGAGAGTTCGCCAGCGGCGAAGACCCCAGTGTTGGTCGGCGGAAACGGTGAGGGGATACTGATGCCGCTGCTCTTCTGGCATCACGCTCGCAATACACCAGACCATTCCATTCAAAGTATTCACCGTTGAGGAGCACGCGGCAGGTACGGCACTGTAGACATTCGGGATGGAACTTGTGTCGATCTGCCGGGCCCCGCCCAGTTCTTTCAATCGTTTCGAGATATTTCCCCTCAATTCCCATGTTACATGTAGAACAGAGTGATCCGTTGAACTGGTGGTAGTGGTGGCTACAATAGGGTCGGTTATTCAAAACGTAGAAATCGGCCGTCTCAAAAGGAACCCGGCAGTGATAACAGACAAAGCATGCCTTGTGGTAGCGGCCACTAAGCCGACCATCGGCGGATGATACGGATTTACCCAGTATCATATCGCCGCAGCCCTTACACCGCCCCTTGGGGCGCGGTGAGGGACGATCGGGCGGTGCTGTCGCAGAGCGTGTGATGATAGGTAGGGGAGGGGATTTCTGGGCAGGTTCTGGCGATTCTTTCTCCGAGATGAGGGACAGTCCGCCTTGATGAATCGCTGGGTCGGTAGGAGAATCGGGACTAAAGAGAGGGTCTGGAATCCTTGGAGGTTCGAGATCTGTTGGGCTGTCCACATGCTCATTCAAAGCTTGACCGTTGGCATTGGACTGCCGTTCCTCCGCGACAGGCCCCAGGCGGATCTGATCCGAGGGTTTTCGTCTTGACAGGCTTGCATCTGATGGTAAGCTGGACAGAGAGGTTCCACTCCGCCATTCTGACGGTGAACCATCAGAAGAAGTTGCGGAAGTGTCATGATTCTCTTCAGCATCATCAAGTCCTAGTGCTCTTGCAAAATTTGACACCGATAGACCACTATCGCTCGTCGCGTCCGAATTCTTTCTCAATCGGCTATCGCCATAACGCGAACCCTCCGCGTCGGCAGGCTGTAAGAGATTCGAGTCTGAACGCTGGAATTGTTTGTGCGAGCCACGGATCGACGATCCTGTAGATGCAGAGCGCTCTTTCGTGTAACCGGAATGCGGCGTCGAAACTGGAGATGCGTTTCTGGGAAATCGATCACCACTCTGTCGATCAGAGTGGCTTCGCGACGAAGGTCGCAACGAGTTAGGATAATCCGACTTGTCAGCCTCCAGGGTGCCCGCGGAATTCTTTCTTTCTTCGGGGATTCCAAAATCAAACCCGTTGTAGTTCTCTCCTTGATCTTCGCGTAGTGCCCAGTCTGAAGATGTAGTCGAACTTTGCGCCATATGGCGGGAAGGTGCTGGTGGCACAGGGGGTGCGTCATCTATTAACGCATTGTGAATGCGAGAAACACTGCCGAATGATGGACGTCGCATTGACATCCCAGTAGACCGCTTCGAATTCGTTCCACCGAATCGGGTGCTTGCGAGAGATGTTCGGTAACTGCTTCTGCTGTCAAGCGACTCTCCTCGTCTATGGGGGACATCATCCTTGGGGAGCGGGGGAGGTGGAGGCCCCGATGATGCATCACTATCCCGAGAGTATGAATGCGCGAATGGCGGTGCTGAACTGGCCATTTTCATATCGGCGAGACCAGGAGACCGGCCCGCCATCGCGCGGGGCATTGGAAAGGACTCCAATTTGATGGAATCGGGAGAGTTGGGTTCATTGGGAATGAAAGAATGGCCATGTTGGAGCGGTTTCCCCGATGTCGTGAGAGGGGTGGGTAAAAGGGGGGCATTGGTACCCCCAGGTGTAGTTTCATCTACACGAAAAAAAGGCCGGTCTGTATTTTGTCAGCGACCCCGAATCTCTTTAAAATAAACCGCCCAGAATCTGTAGATGTACGCACTGGCTATTGAAGGGTCGATGCGTGGTGGAGGACCCGATTTTCGAGTCGGGGGAGGGCTCTTAGCTCCTATATCGTACTCGGATTTTGGGGGCGGTGGCGGTGGAGGAGGAGATGGCGATGATGGAAAGATGGGCTGTGCTGGAGATGTCACTGTCGCAGATTAGCATGGTATGCAAGAAATGCTGTCGGTTGTGTTACGCCTGCGTACCTGGAGCACAGACATGGTCGCCCATGGCCGCAATGTCGACATTCATCCCACAATTGGAACATTTGATCGCGGGCAAAAAGCCCGCATCCATTGCTGCCATGATGCTGCACGTAATTAAATATCAAGCGACAGGATCATAAATAGTATTATCCCATAGGTCAATTCATTGAAACTCGCAGAGGACGCCCCCGTCATTCGTCGGCCGATCCGTCGACACGTCCTCGCGCCCTCCTCACGTCCCACAGCTCAGGAACTGACAATCAAGTTGTCCTGATATCTGCTGCAGGGAGTTATGGAAGGGAAAACGTCAAAAAAAATTAAGGTATATTAAACGGCATGGAAGGAAAGGAAGAAGATTAAGAAACAATGGATGGAGGAGGGGATGGATAATAATAGTGAGTGGGACTTGCCCCAACTTGGGGAGGCGAGAGAGAGAGAGAGAGAGAGAGCGAGAATAGCCTCGTGTGTCCGACGATCACCAGCGCAGGAGGATTTGTTGCTGGCCCCAGTTCGGCACAAGCAGAGCTAGATTTCTTGGAAGGGTTACTGCATCGTTCATCCAACACGCGTTCTTTTTCAATCATAATCTGATGATGCTAGCAAGATAATACGACACTGTACGGAGGTAATTCCAATCGAAGCCTGGTGGTGAGATCTTACTATGTCCTCCCACGCCACCAAAAGGACTAACTTCAGAGTTCAGACTCCAATCTGATTTGTAGGAATTCCTCTCGTCGTCTTTGGGACTATTTACTACTCTAACATCATCGTAACCAGAAATGCTGGAGGCCATTAACTTTAGCCCCTGAACTGACACGGGACCGGATGCGGATCGTTCTTCAGGGGCAGATGCAACCCCCATAATAAAACCCACCACAACAGCCATTTAGAAGGTCAGATCGAAGGGTTATTGCGCATCAAGGGACTGTCATTGACTGCCTCGCTCACCGTCTGGCCGAGGCAGTCTTTTCTTTTTGCTTCTAGTTTCTTTTATTTGTGCGAAGAATAATAGTTTTAGACCATCCCATCGACTGACAATCATCCCATACACGGGAATAGAAATTCCAGGCAAAGAGTTGTTTCAAGGCAGACTGACGTCTGTCAGAACCGCTCTCCATGTCTATCAGATGTCGCAATGGCCGATCAACCCCATCGCGGTGTCAAGGCCACGCAAAGCATTGAACCGCGTTGTTGCCTTGATTGATACTAAGAATTTGAGTAAGAAAAATCCTTGGTAAAGCCTTTTTGGAGGGGCCAAGCGAAAGGCTGACTGACCGGGGGCGAGTCAAGAGGCGTGTATTGGATTAGTTGGTGATCAAAGGTAAAAGGTGGCTTCCTCGAGACTCATCGCATCGTCACAGCCCGACAAGCTTACCAAGGATCAAAATATTGATGAAAGAACCACAAGATGCCCCCAAATTTTGGCCCTCGCCATTATTACCCAGCTGACTTAATGATCCATGGTTGATTATATCCTCACGTACGCCGTACGCATGCGGATAATAAAATATTTCATGGGAGACGTGTCTGGCACCGTCTGCCGGAGTTTTACTCTCCTCGGCCCTCGTGGACCCCGTTTTCGGATCGTCGTCATCGCCTGCACGGGACTGTTCAATTCCCCACGAAACTCATGTTGATTGTGGACAACGAAGTACCAAAACGCTCTGAGGTTTGGATGTCCGAAGAAGCAGCTGACATTTTGGCCAGAGAGCCATGGAGATTTAAAAGTTGATCGATAAGCTATTCGTATCTTCATCGATAAACTATCAATGGTGAAACCCCTGTGGAACATCAAACTGGGTCCAAGTCAGCAACAGGCCTAGCGAGCACTAGCGACCAGGACCTCCAAGCGAACAGTACTAAGACTGTTAGTTATGGGTCGATTCATGCATTTTCACCTCGTTGCGAACAGCGAACAGGCAGTAACAATTAACACATAATTGCGACTGCATTTTGTCGGGTTCAGGGGCGGCTGGTAACCGTGGGACAGCCGCCCCGGCCTTCCGCCACGCACACAGCAAAGGTCAAAAGGCCAGGAACGGAAGAAATTCACTGGGGAAACATTCAAATATGGGACCCTGGCAAAGGAACACAATGTTTGCTGGAAGAACCAAAGGATTAAGGTCTCGATTTTAGGGGTTTGATCAATGTGATCTGGCATTATGTACTCCTGTCTGGAAACTGTCTCTCCAGTCTCTCCGGTAGTTATCTAGACCGCCAATTCAGCGGAGCCCCACGGGATGCTCTCTCTTCCCCTGATCTGACCATCCAAGCCGCTGAAAGCGCGGGCCACTTTTGAGATGACTTGTTCCTGACTACCTGTCCCATCACCAAGGCAGAAGCATTTCGTGACCCTCTGTGGGATCAGGGTCCTCGTATCGATGGCAAACAAGATTCTTTGTCGTGGATGTAATTCGCAGAAGGTAAACAGCGGTATGCAGTTTGATTGAAGCGGGGATTTTCCAGACCAAAGCTATCGAGAAACTAGCGTTGATGGAATGTCGAGACTCGCGGATCAGCCACTTCCGACCTGCACGGACAATGAAATAATCAGTATTGGTTCTTGGGTCAGAAGGATAGAGCTCGCGTGAGCGATCAACAGCACTTATGGACGGTCCTTGATGGTGTATCAGGGCACCGAAGGTCATTCTTGAGAGGATAGACTCTATAATTCATAGATATCAGACCTGTAGAGCAATTGTATGATCAGGGTCTCGTATCCCGATTGCATGGAGGGGTTTGGAGGGGCAGGTGAAAGATCGTCGACATGCAGTCCAGAACAGCGAAAGCATCTTCACCGCATGTGGCTGGAAAAACAGCTAACTAGCCCAGTGAATGAATTGGTTGGGATGTCGAGAAAAACAGACCCAATTGGCATAAGGAACAGGCCCAAAGCATAATAACTAATGCTCTCAACGGAGCAACACGGAGTGCGGGTGGCAGAAGGTTACTAAGAACCTTGCCTGCTACTTAACTTCTTCCGCTTCCCTCCCTCTTTCCCTCTTCCTCTCTTCCTCTCCATCCGTCAGTTTTCTTCCCTCAGTTTCGTTCCATCTACTGCTTTCAGTCTACTTCGATCACTCTCCTCCTCGAGACGTGATCTCTAACAACCGTCACCATTTTCGCGACACTTCTTAACTCGTAAGTACTCCTTGTGCCTGGTTCCTGGTTCCTGGTTCCTAGCTCCATGAAGCACCTCCAATGCCTCAATTCACTTTCCAAATCGGTGACCTCGTCAACTAACACTTTCCTTACAGGCGTCACCACCCGTTCAACGGCCGGCGCTCATCCAACCGTGGTGGGGCACCGGATAATTCGTTATACATCCAATAAACAACTTTAGCTTCACATCACACCCTATTCCTTCAGTTCGCCATGGCCCCCCACGCGAGCTCGGATGTTGCTGCCAACGGCGCTGTGAACGGGTCGTCTCACTCAACTAACCCTCTGTTTACTGTCAACTCGCCCAACGTGGTCTACACGGACAACGAGATCAAAAGTCAGTATGTTTACCACACTACTGATGTCTCGCGTACTTCCGACAACAAGCTCGTTGCCACCCCCAAGGCTACCACCTACAACTTCAAGGTCGACCGCAAGGTGGGCAAGGTTGGTATGATGTTGGTCGGATGGGGTGGAAACAACGGTTCCACTGTGACGGCCGGTCTCATTGCCAACCGCCGTGCTCTCACTTGGGAGACTCGTGAGGGCCCGCGTGCTGCCAATTACTATGGCTCTACCGTCATGAGCTCGACCATCAAGCTGGGAACCGACTCCAAGACTGGTGATGAGATCAACATTCCCTTCCATGACGTGCTTCCAATGGTCCACCCCAATGACCTTGTCGTTGGTGGTTGGGACATCAGCAGCATGAATCTCGCCGATTCCATGGACCGGGCCCAGGTTCTTGAGCCAACTCTCAAGCAGCTTGTCCGCAAGGAGATGGTCGGGTTGAAGCCGCTGCCTAGTATCTACTACCCCGACTTCATTGCCGCCAACCAGGAAGACCGTGCCGACAACGTCGTTCCGGGTGACAAGGCCTCGTGGGCTCACGTTGAGCACATCCAGAAAGACATTCGGTGAGTTGACCAAGGCGTTTCTGCACGTCAAAGGCTTTCTTTCCTTGCTAACATTTTCGAACAGCGACTTCAAGGCTCAGAATGGTCTGGACAAGGTCATTATCATGTGGACCGCCAACACGGAGCGTTACTCTGACATCCTGCCTGGTGTCAATGACACTGCCGACAACCTTATCAACTCCATCAAGTCTGGCCACGCAGAGGTTGCCCCATCGACCGTTTTCGCGGTGGCTTCTATCCTGGAGGATACCCCCTTCATCAACGGATCGCCTCAGAACACCTTTGTCCCAGGTGCCCTCGAGCTTGCTGAGAAGCGTGGTGCCTTCATTGGTGGAGACGATTTCAAGTCTGGACAGACCAAGATGAAGTCTGCTCTGGTCGACTTCCTGATCAACGCCGGTATCAAGCTCACCTCCATTGCCAGCTACAACCACCTGGGTAACAACGACGGTAAGAACTTAAGCTCCCAGAAGCAGTTCCGCTCCAAGGAGATTTCCAAGTCCAACGTGGTGGATGATATGGTTGCCGCCAACCAAATCCTTTACGAGAAGGATGAGCACCCCGACCACACCGTTGTCATCAAGTACCTGCCGGCTGTTGGCGACAACAAGCGTGCCTTGGATGAGTACTATGCCGAGATCTTCATGGGCGGCCACCAGACTATCAGTCTGTTCAACATCTGCGAGGACTCCCTGCTTGCGTCTCCTCTCATCATCGACCTTGTCATCCTTGCTGAAATGATGACTCGTGTCACCTGGAAGTCCAATGGCGCCGCCGACTACAAGGGCTTCCATAGCGTTCTTAGCGTTCTCAGCTACATGCTTAAGGTATTTAGCCCATTTCTGACGCCTGTTGAATCCCGCTGACACTTTTATCAGGCTCCTCTGACCCCTCCCGGAACTCCTGTTGTTAACGCTCTGGGCAAGCAGCGCTCGGCTCTGATCAACATCTTCCGTGCCTGCGTCGGTCTCCAGCCTGAGTCTGAGATGACCCTTGAGCACAAGCTCTTCTAAGGCCGTGCCGGTCAAGTTCGAGCTTGAATACTATCTCAACACTGTTGAGTCTGGGGAAGTTAGTCGAAAGCAGTGATAGCCAACTATAGCCACTCGTTTGAATGCTACACAAATTGATTTTCCAACATTAGTCCAAAGTACTTCGCAGTAGTAGTCCATACGTAGGTTGAAGTTATTGGGTCATATTTACATTCATGATTGACTATTTGATCGCATGAGCTGGGTAATCCTGGGCAACATATCATTTCTCATAACATATTCCTTGGTTGAGTTTTGCGATGTGGGTTAGATATATTGAGAACATAATGACATCATAGCGATCCTCCAAGAACAGGCTATCTAGGTAGGTACTACGACAGTAAGGATAAAAATGCCGTAGGCTTCCAAACTAGCTATGTGATCACATGATCATGTTTGCGCCTGCCTAAAGCTTCCAGTTCTGTAGCTTTTTCCTTTCCTGTGCGCATAAATGTTGTCTCCTACACATCCTCTAAATTGCCTTTACGAACCGCTACCATACGCTATTGAAATTGAGATTTTCTCCATGATGTCCCCCTTCAAAGCAATTTCACCGCAGTCCAAAAGCCTACGAAGATCTGCTGCTACGCCATTCCCTTATCCACCTATTCCAACTGACTGTATCGACCCACATAATGACGCCCCCCCTGGGCAGAGAGCAACTCTACGTTCAATGATCGAAATCCCGCGTATAGCACTTTTCGATACCCCGTGCCTGGAAAATGCTGACATCTGGATTTTAATAGGCACTAAAATACAGCAATGGGGGCAAAAGGATGCCGCTGCTGCTCGAGCTAGTCTCGAGCCAACCGTTACTGACGAGAACGAGCAGTTTATCCGCACTTACCATCCCGCTCTCAGTAAGATTGAGTGTGTATGGGTCGTTCACGAGACTCCAGAAAAGTCGATCTGGGTAGTCAGACCGTGCCACGAAGGAATCATAATCTCTACCCATGCAGGGGGTCGAGAGATTCATTTTCTTCCAACTGGACTCGCAGACTGGACCACAACATGCTGGCCTAAACCCCGATTCGATCCCATATTTGCGACCCTGAATCCCCGACGGTTTCTGACAGAAGGAGACCTGTGTAAGTTGCGGGACATGTTCCCATCTGCGGTTGGAGCAAGAGTCTTTATCAGTGGTTTTATCATCGTTCTGTTCCAAAATCGCTCGGACATTGAAAACTCATGGGACCTTGATGGTTATGCAACTCAGTTTGGCAACCTCAGACTTGGTTATGATGTGTTAGAAACCCAACCAACTCAAAAAGTACTTTCCCGAAGCTCAGCAATTGTTGCCGCCCCAGACACATTCGACGGAGCTGCGTCAATTGGCTTGAAGATTCGCTTTTCTGATGGGAAAGAAGCCATTACAGTTCCAACCCATGCCTTTGTTGCAGTCCGCACGCATGCCACGACGTTAGCCAATCGCGTCGTAGATTTATATCTACGAGTGAAGAAGGACTTGGCCAGATTTATACCTATTAAAAAAGGATTCACTCTCCCAAAGCTGTTCACATCACGTGAACATGCGTGGAGCAATTCGCCTCTCGGGAAAAAGGTGTTTCTAGCGGGTGAATCCCAAGAGGTAGGTCTATTGGGATAGAAAAGTACTTTGCACTGGTACGTGCCTATGTTGCTAACTTCATGTAGATCGGAACGTTAACGTACACCTACGACTCGATAGAATCGACACCCAGCTTCATGCCATTTCCATGTGGCTTCCAGCACGACCTATCTTTAGTCACGGCTGATCCTTGTCAAAGCCTTATGCGGGTTGAATCACCAATGGGCACACCACAAGTCGTTGGCTGGGGCAATTACAAGGACGCACTTGATGGCGATCCCCTCTTTATCACCGGGACTCACGCGACTACAGGTAGACTGATGGATAGAAAAGGACAGGGAGTCTCAAGAGCAGCACAGAAGGCACTTGCTGAAGGGGCTCAATACACATGGGATAAGGAACTTTTGTCTCAAAATGTCTCGATCCTATGGAGGACCGAGCAGGATGAAGATGCCCTGAATGGATTCTCAGGGAATGCGCTTTGTCTAGGGGAAATTTCAGACAGAACATGTCTTGCTATATGCTTCCAAAACTTTGACACCCCTCTATATTCTAGGGAATTTCTTGCAAAAGACCATCGCCCACCCCCCTCAAAAGAAATCAATTTTCCTCGCATACACGGGGGTTTTATCCTGCCAGCCGAAGTTCGAAATGCTGAAATTCTATGCGATGCTGCTGATATTCCCTTGCCTAGTACTTTCCCCTGCCGGCAAAGATCTACGAAGAACTTGAGAAGATCCTTTTTTTCTCATCTACCATAGCTAATAGAGCACCGCAGTAGGGACGGGCTCAATTTGCTCGAAGGAGAAATGCAAGCTAAGCGACAAGTGCTCATAGATTTTCATGTTAGTAATAAAGGGCTCGTTGATAGTATTTTATCAGAGCTGTGGCTTTTTATGTCGGCTAGACATTCTTAGTTGATGTTTTTTAGGATCACTACTAGGTCGTCTTTTAAAAAAAATATTTTTTATACGAGCTAAATTCCAGGGATGAGATCATGAAATTTCCAGTATCCCCATGCTTTCAACTCGCCAGTGAAGGTACTGTAGCAGACCTATATATCGTCCTGTGGTATAAGCCTCAGAGAGATTGGTGATACATTCTGGCAAGGAAGCTCAGATCCTTGTGGTATTTGGGTTGTAATTAAAAAGGCCTCTTGATTGTCAACGATATTGCGCCCAGTGCACCACCAAGTCGTATCCCAAATATACAAGCCTAGGACAAGTAATAGGAACATATCAATCGAGAAAATAGCTAGACGAGATTTCCATAGAAGGGAAAAGAGCCAGGTAGGGACCAGACAAGAAAACAAAATCTCGCGCTTGTTTGGGAGGGACTGAGAATCGTAAGCTCAAGAGACAAGTGGCTTGGAGGTGAAACGCGATGAGGGCGACATGGACAAAACATTGCTGCCAAAGTAAACGACGCGTATGGAGATTAGACAATAAAGTGACTTATTAGTATTCAATGTGTAGATAACAGCAGCATTCGGATATATTATATGAACGCCGAGAGGAGAGATAGCAGGGTATCAATATCAGAATTCCAACTTGTCTGTTGACTGAATGATTTTTCAGAATAGGCCTCATCTTTCATTCACTCTACTTATAACCGCCCTTTGCTGTCTCTCACCCCTCCCCCCTCTCTCTTACCTTCACCTCCACTCGTCCTCCTTACAACCACCACCTTTTTCGCCTCTCTCTCTGCCTTCCTCACCTTTTACTCACCCCCAAACAAACCTCTTATTCTAAATTCCGCTTTTCTTTCCCTCATCCCACTTCTTTTCTGTCTGACAAGCCTTCCAGGCTTCCTATGATGCTCAATCGGTCGTCATCCTTTAGTCTGATCCCTGTTTAATACCTTCTCTCTCTGAGGAGTAGCTTCAGAAAAGTGTTTTCAAGATGGCTAAGAGAGAATCTTCCCAGGTGAGATACACTATGCTTCGACAAGAATAGCCCTTCACTGTATTGTCTTGTATCCTAACCCAGTATTACAGGGTGAGGCTTCTCGCTCGAAATCCAAGCGGCAGAAGACAGATACAGAGGAAAGCACCGGCAGTGCTCCAAATAAGCAAGGAAAGGTAAGTGATATTGAGTTCCCAGTTCAGCCAATCTAGTTTCTAATTACGAAATGATTGCCAGAAACAAAAAAAGGGCGCCAGTGCGACGGCGAAAAGGCCCACCATCGAAGAGCCCGGTCGCCCCCAGGACCCAGCAACGTTTCTCACAATCGAAAATAATGAACAAAAAGTTGCAGGGTACGTCGGATACTCCGATGTTGCTGACTTGCGTCGACTAGCCATGAGCTGGCCGCTTTTGAAAGCATATCCGAGATTTTCGAAGATTTCAGTTGGACTCGCGCGAAAGACCGCTTTCAGATTAATCCATGAGAGTGAAAACGATTATCTCGACGTGGACGCTGACCAAAAATGGCCAGTTGAAGAAAATAGCCCAACGTCAGTGAGGTCAAGGCACCTGGCATGTTTACTGTTGGACTTGGAGACGGATTTGAAAAAGTACAGATTCGAACCTGAAGAAAATTCCGAAAAAAACAAAAACTTTTTCAAAAATTTCAAATGTGACGATCTTGAGTTACCATCTGAAGTGGACCCAAAAGCACCACCACCGGATCTTGGTCCGCACCCCCGCGAACATAGATTGGAGGCAATCAACCGATGCTTCTGCTTGCTCAAGTACATGAAAGGTACATGTCAGCTGAAGTCATGGAATACCCGTTTCGTCCACGGGCTGGAAACCAGAATTTCGGTGGACCAGTCATATGTCCCGAGATGGATGCGTGAGGCGGAGCCTGCTACGATAGCCATAGATCCCTTAGCCCAGGTGACTGCCGCCGACAAACTTACACCCATTGAAGTTACACTTCGCTGGAGGAATAGAGATAAACTGGAGAACATTCTCGATCAAGCGGTAGAGAATAACATAGACTTGCCGAGCCAGAATTTGAAATTTACACAGGACCCGAGGCTTTTCACCAGCATCTTCTCGTTCAAAGATGCCATCAGACGGGCATATAACTGCCAAGAATTGGGAATAGATATCAAAGATCTACGGCTCCGGTACAACTCTGCAGAAGGTGAAGTAGAAAAGAACATTCTGACCGAATCTTGGGAGGAAGCCATAGAGGTTTTCAACAGCAAAGAGGTAGAAAAGTATTTCGCGGACGTGGCCTTCGAAGAGGTTGATGACCCAGAGACGAGCATCTTTGAAAGTCCTGATCCTCCCCCTGAAGTCAGGACTTTTTTTGAATTAGAGGATTCCGAGGTGAAATTGAACAATTCCGACATTTCGAATCGCACAATTGGTCTGAAAGAGTACCTCGAAGATGGTGGGATAAGTCCCATGGATGAGATTGGAACGGCTCCCAAACCGAAAAAATTCGCGACTAAAGCAGAACTTCTCAATTACTACGGCGGTTATGACGTTGAGACCGAAGAAGGACGGCGTCAGTGGCAGCGAAAACTGTTAGCAAACCAAAGCTGCAACGCCCGTGCAGCACGACTGAAACTCGAAAAGCTTCCGAAAGGGCTTACCGGTGCCCAGAAGGAATCCATTACGGTGGCACAAGAACTAATGCATCAGAAAGCAATTGAAGAGGAACATTTCTCAGTTACTGTGAGTGAATGGTGATCATTGATACGCATTTGGCTAACGAACTTCTTCCACTAAAGCATAAGGAGGTATCCGACCCGGAGTACTATCTTCATCAGCAAGCATTTTCGGGGACGGACAATCGATCTGGTCCCCCACTTGATGTGTGCATGCGCCTTTTGATTGCGAAGGAAGGCAAAAATGGAAAGTATAAGTCGGAATTGCTCGAAAACTTCGTCAATTGCTCGTTCTACCATTATCAGGTCTCGGGGGCCATCGGTCTTGTGCTTAAATTGTACGGAAAAATTGACGCAGAAACACTGCTCAAGAAGACAGGTTCCATGAAACATGCCCAAGCAGATGATGTTCGCAAGGCAGCAGCAGAGCTGCAAGATCTTTGCATACATGGCGCCTTACTTGCTGACGAGACTGGGTTCGGGAAAACCAAGCAAGCGCTACTCGGCGCTTTATTGCACACAATTTTGTATGTGGAAAGCGACGAGCAGGGAAAGAGATGCCACAAACCAATGCTATTGGTGGTGCCTCCGACACTAATCAGCCAATGGCTCGCTGAAATTCGTTTGAACTGGCCCTGTTTTACGCCCTTACTCTCATATGAAGATGCAGCATTTCGGACAGGAATGGAGTTGTCAACACTCCCTCATGTCGCAATGCGCGAGCTGCCAGATTTACAATCAATGCCCACGCGCTTGAGATATGTTTTCGACGTCCAAAATAAAGCAGCTCGTCGTGTAATCATTATTACCTCATATACCACCCACAAGAACCGTACAGGGCGTGTGGTGGAGGAGTGCACACCAGGAAAGCCTCACACGCCCCGTCGGTTCGACCCCGAGACCAAAGAAAGAAGTTTTCAAGGTGCCTCCTAAGGCTCAAAATGTGTGGAAAACGGACCACGAAGGCGTATACTCTCTTTTAATCGCCGACGAAGCACAAAAGGTGAAGAATCCTGAGACGCACACTTGGGCTGTTCTGAGAGTCCACAAGTTTCCCAAGACAATTCTGATGACAGCGACTCCCATGTTTAATGCTGCACAGGTACGTAATGATTCCTAGTACTGGAATATGAAAAGGGGCAGAAAAGTACTTTTCGGTCGCTCTCCATTCCCTTGTGAGATTATATGGACTTGGCTAATAATCATTTAAGGATTTAGTAGGATTGATCGGCTTACTATGGCCAGCCGCCCACAAGGATTTACTTGCATACCTTGAAACACACCCGGATGAAAAAGAAATACTTCAAAAAGTCCAGAAATTTGGTTCTCTGGATTTTGAAGATGATCTCTCTGACATTGACCGTTCTAATCCTACGCGTATTGAGCTGATGAACACAGTGTATCTACAAAGGATGTTCAGACAGCGCGAGTCCCTACACGTCAGAATAGCGACACGGTTTCGAGAATTACTTGACATGGTTAGTATTCAACGTTCGCAAGGGTCTACCCTCCCCAACTCAACGGGCGAGCCGATTCCCCTGAGAACCCTCTTCAAGAAAATTGTCTATAAAACGGCCACCGTCAATTTCCGGAGTTCTGAGGAGCTGGAATATCAGCTATGGCACAGGGAAGCAGCGAAGTGCGTATAGCAGAACATCAGCTTTATTATATTTATACTGACGCCGAAACTCTAGTGAGTATACACAGGAGCTTAAAAGTGGAAAAGGTCATGTCATGGCCGGTCCCAATGGGCCGGTCACGAAACAATCCTCTGGTCAATTTATCGGAGCAACCAGATGCCTGCGAAAGCTCGCCATGGCCGCATTTGCGACGAAAATGTCACGCGTGAACGCCATTATGGAGAGTATTGAAGGCAACACACATGTTGCAACGATCCGCGCTTGGAGGGAACGAGGTTTAAATGCTGAGTTCATACACGAACTCACTCGAGGAGAAGGGGAACGTTGTTCAAAAACAGCAGAGGATCTAGTTTCATTCCTGGCACACGGCTCCCCCGTGGCTCGTCTTATCTTTCAGGAGATACTCACCGTTAAAGCGGTCGAAAAGGTCGACAAAGTCGGCTTCGGACACCACCAGAAGCTGATAGTTGGAGAGGTCTTGCCAGCCAATGCCTTTTACCTCCAAGAACTCTTGAGGGCTTGTTTAATTGACGCGCGAGTGTTTCATGCTGACTTGTCGCATCATGCCAAGAGCGCCTTAGTTGATCAGTTCAATGACCCTCACAGTACTTTCAAAATCCTGATCATGCTTTATGATGTCGGTGCAGTGGGGCTTAACTTGCACCACGCTTGTAACCGTGTGGTTATTGCAAGTATCCCTAGAAGCCGAGCGCAGGAAAGCCAGCTCCGGGGCCGGGCACTAAGAGTGAGTGACTGTCAACGAGTATCTCTAAAACTACTTTTCTGGCTAACACAACTTATCTCTGTAGATAACTTCTGAATTTCCCCTGACTGTTGTCAGGAGAATTACAAACAATTCTCATGACCAGTTTCGTTCTGTGAGACAGGCTGATAAGGCAGCATTACAACTCGCCGCAAACGCGCATGATCCTTCCATAAAGACGCTCCTTGTAGACCTCTTGAACGAGTTCCAGGGCGAAGTGAACAATTGTCATGATGACCCAGCATGCAGGGCCTTACTGTGCGAGACAAAAGGGGATCAGACTGCCAGAAGCCCCAAGAGAAAATTGAGAGATCGTGCAAAGACAAATCACACTGAAAACAGTGATGATTCGGACAGTGAGGAAGATGTTAAGGTGGATGACAAAAGCGACCCTGATTATTTCGATGGAGAAACCGACAAACTGGACGACAGGGACTCTGATGACGATATGTCATCAGAATCTTCACAAATTCAAGATGATGAGGACAGTGGAATACTTCTATCCCCAGGGCTTGAGGCGATTCTATCTGAACGACAACCAGATGACGAAACACGTCATAAAATGACATTGTTGCAACTGACCCCCGGGAGAGTTTGGAAAGAAGCCGACCTTTTGGATGATAGGTCTATGAAAATTGCACTGAGACTACTGTACAACAAAGTTCATGGCATTGAGCATCTCCACCTCACGAAGTCGATCCACATCAAGTACAAACTTTTTCCTCAGACAATGATCGACAAAGTTGGAAAGGATAGAGAGCCCATTGCAGAGAAGAAGGAGATTGCTAAAAACAAATGTAACTAGATGGGGATGATTTTGGGCTTGTTAGGCCTCAAAGACAGTTAGCTAGGCCGCGGTACCTTTCAGTAGGTTAGCGATTATCCAGCATATTTCTGACAATCCCATTGTGCATATCTTCACTGGTGTCACGTCCTGCAGCTGATCGATGATAAAGGGTCATTGCTTTTCGTAAGAGACTCGGGGTGCTGAAAGACGAGTTTTTGTTTGTCGAAAGGGCATCATGTTCTTTTGATCAGTCACCCCATACATAGTTTGAGGTTCTCGCAATAATAAGGAGGCTAATCAAGCGGGTCATTTTACATTGATAATTGACTATTTGATCGCATGAGCTAGAGTTGGTCTGGGAAAAGTTTTGTCCAATGATCTATTCCTTGGTCTTTCCGATCTCGGAATATGCGTTCAACGCCAGCTGGCCTCCCAGATGCGCGTACAGCACGTTCCCCTGGATCTCGCCACGACGGATCATGTCGACCATTCCCGCGAAACTCTTGCCCTCATATACGGGATCCGTGATGAATGCCTCCATGCGAGCCGCATACTCGATCGCCTCCCATGTCTGCTTATCCGGGATACCATAAATCCCCGCATGATAACGCTCATCAAGGATGATATCGTCTTCTGTGATATCATCGGCACTCAAACCGATCTTAGCACCAGTGTTCTTCGCAATCCGCAGCACCTGCTCCTTAGTCTGAGCCGGGGTCGCCGATCCATCAATACCGATAACCTTCTTCTTAGGCTCAGCCGGATACAGCTTCTCCAACAGCTTAAACCCAGCCACCATGCCCGCCATCGTAGATCCCGTAACAGCACACACAACCACCGAATCAAACACAATCCCCATCTCCTTCTCCTGCTCGCGCACCTCAAACGCCCACCTCGCAAACCCCAACCCACCCAGTGGATGATCCGACGCGCCAGCAGGAATATAATACGGCTTCTCCCCGTTCTTCTCACACTCCTCCCTCAACGACTTCAGCGTATCCTTATGCTCAATCCCAAACCCCGACGGATCAAGCCTCACATCTGCGCCCATCAACTTGGACAACTGAATGTTGCCCACACTCGCATACCCCGGGTCTTCCCAGTCGACCCAGTGTTCCTGGACGAGGCGGGCCTTGAGCCCCGCGCGCGCCGCTACCGCTGCCACCTGCCGCGTGTGGTTGCTCTGCACGCCACCGATGCTGACGAGGGTGGTGCAGTTGTCCGCGACGGCCTCGGCGAGGAGGTATTCGAGTTTGCGGGTTTTGTTGCCGCCATAGGCGAGGCCGGAGTTGAGGTCGTCGCGTTTGGCGTAGATGGAGACGCGGCCGCCGAGGTCGGCGGTGATGCGGGGTAGGGGGTGGATGGGGGAGGGGCCTAGGATGAGAGGGGTACGGGGGATGGAGGCGAAGGGTTCGGGGAGGGTAGACATGATGGTTTTGTTGTTATGTATAGAGAGTAGAAGATAATGAATTGGTCTAGATGGATGTAACTTTTTTGGAAACGTAGAGACGTTCCTTCTTATACTCCGTTAATGAGGGGTACATACGGAGTACCACGGGGTAGATGCATCTATCTCCTCTAGGTGAACCATTTAGGTAACTGTTAACTCGATATCCTTGTATACTTGCCTTCCCGTCTCAAGCGGGGAAAGACTTCCAATCCGATGCTTATCGTTGATGGTGGAGTATATAGTGGGGAAGGTCGATGGCGCTCCGACTCTAGCCATCGGATCTTGTCCGTTGATGCTGATAGATATGATATGATATGATGATGATTCCATTGATAGATGATCGTTAGGTAATTCATTGACTTGTGGAAATAGATGGATTTATCATAGAAGGTGAATTTCGGGACATGTCCACGTCTTGTTTCCAGGGTCTCATGAATGCTTCGACATATCCTTTCAGCCTCGCAGGATGAAAGTTACGTCTACTAGACAGACTTTCAGACCTCGTATGCATCGACCTCGAATCGTCCTGTCGACATGATCTTCAAATTTCTCGCTGGGGTTTGGAGCAAGTGAACACAACAGCCAAATTGGCCAGCAAGTTACATAAAGACATCTGTTAAATATCATCAATATAATAATACACATACAAAAAAAAATCCCCAATACTACTCCTTTCGGTCCTTCTTATGTTTATCTGTCCCATGGATCCAGTCAAGAAGACCCATCGTCCCATAATGCAAGTTGAACTTCTCATGATGCAAATCATGCGCCTTTGCCATGTTGTTGAAGAAATCGTATCCGCTATGTACGGTTACTGCGCTGAACAAGTGGAGGGCCATGGAAATCCAAAATGTCAACACATGGCTGCCCAACATTTCCGGCGGTAGAGTAACTGGGAGTACATTGGTAAGAAGATGCTCAAGTGGATGTGCAAATTGAGTTGCGAGAGCGAAGGGCGCAGTGAATTGGTGGTGCTTCTTGTGAATCTGAATATATAAACGCGAACTACTATGGAGCAAACGGTGGTTATAATAGTATATCACTTCCCTCATGAGACCGCTGAGGATGATGTCGCGAAAAACCTCTGTCACGGTTGGAAATGAAGCCTCGACACGGTACGCGGACGATCGGTAGCCGAGACGATTGAGCGCAAGCAGTTGAATAAGATGAATGCTCGACATCAGCACCTGATTCTGCGCTACGACCACGACACAGCGCCAGATATCATGGCGAGAAGGTTGTCTAGCCGCCGGCTGGATTTTGTGCCTCTGGGAGAAGGATGGGAAAAGGGTATCAAGCGAGATATAACACAAAGAGAGGAGCCAAACGAAGGTTGTCTGAACAAGAAGCGTCCCTATGAATTCGATCGACAGCGGAGAGTATGATGATACGATGTTGAACCAGAGGTTTTCTACCTTGCCGAGAGTGACAGAGACAATGTTCTCCATGGTCTGGCTCTACCGATAATTGGCGGGGCACAAAGGATTTTCCGTGTGTAACTTGAATGGGAATCGGTAATCATCTATTAAAGAGCAAATCAGTTGGAAAATGGTAACAGCGAAGAGCAAGGACACTCGACTAACTTATACTCAGGATCTCAAGCGCAAATACCTTCAGCCAGCCATTAATTAACTTTGTTACAAGTTTTTAGAGGAAATAAATGCATGTACTGTACTTGATAGTTTCTTGGGGTGTATGATATACCATGACACGAAAATCCCTTCCTCAACGGGTCGAAAGGAATTGACGTCTCACATCAAATTGTGGTCAACTGTTAGAGCTGAGCATGTTCAAAGTATCTCTAAAACCTTGTAACACTTTATCCTTTTGCTCTTGCTTTTCGCAATTATGCAAGGGTACACTGTCGCCATGATAGCTGCTGTATGGGATGATGGGAGAGAACCAGGATTTGATGGCAGAGATGCATTTCTTTCGATGTCTGAGATGAGAGACAGCGCTTTTGGCTGTTGTGGACAGCCCTCGTCGTTGCCAGAAACAAATCTCGTCGATAGTCGCTCTTACCATCTCTGTCGATCACCCTCATATCAGATTTGTCTGTGGCAAAAGATGTCAACAATGTACATATCACATCGACCATTTTCGCTATCGTTGACATTGACAAGCACTGCTTATTCAAAGTAAGTTCAAGGTGAATACATTGGCAGCATCATCGCGAGTCGTCTAACCGTTCCTGGCTAGATGACTTACGCAATTTTTGCCTTGGGCTTATTTCTCCTTCTCTCCACGGTCAACGCCCAGGATGGCAGACTCTTCTTTCAAGGACCAGCCTTCTCTCAGTTTCCTGTGGCAACATTCGACGTGGATTGCCCTGAAATCGGTCCATCAGGATCAAATCTGACCATCGAAAATTCGCGAGACGGCACAGGATGCTTCCCAGCATTGGGGTGGTCGCCTTCGTCACCAGGCACCGCAAAGTATCTCATCATTAGCGAGGATCCAGATGCACCGTTGCCAAAGTCCATCATCCACGGGCTCTACTACGCGATCCCACCTGAGTTTACTGGAATAACCGAAGAGTCTCTCCTCTTTGATGGAATACCATACACCGTTAGGGCTGGGTTCAAGTACGGCCAGAATAGAGGAGGGAGTGTCTACCTGGCGCCGCAGCCAATGGTGGGACACGGACCACATCGGTACTTTTTCGAGGTCATTGCACTCAACCAGACGATTGACCAGGCCAATCTCAGTCCAGCTGCGACTGTGGAAGAGATAGCGCGAGAGATTGAAGGCAAGGTTGCGGGATGGGGGGCATGGATGGGAGTGTTGGAGAGGACATGAGCGGTGAAATTGACTATTCTTATGCACGTTGGCAAGTTATCAATATCGACAGTGTATTCTTGAGCAGCAGCAGATCAAGCAGATTTTGAGTAGTGCACTGGTATTTATAGAAGCATTTTTTACCTTTTTCAGGGAGTAGGTAGGCACTGACTTCTCATATTCATGCAATAACCGGCTATGATGGGGTATCAATATGCGACAAAGTTTGGAGAATGAGGCATAGCAGAAGTTGAATATTTTTAGCCGGAGGCCGACAATGTCTCAGTGTACGGAGTAAATGTGGAGGAGGCTTGACAGTGGATAAAAGATCATCAGCCCTGTCTCACAGAAATTATAATCAGCAATTCCATCGCGAATAGTTTGGCTTTTTAATCAAATGTAGCAGTCATTCTCAGACATTGCTATCCTCATTCCATCCAAGCCTAATAATGATGCAGGTTAAGCAATGTGGCTTCTTCCCCTGTGACACCTCAACCGAATTTCTGTTGGCATGACAGATCCCCAGCAATACTGAAAGCTGCATGGAAGCCCCTCGTGTTTGCATCTAAACATAACACCCGTTGAGGCTTAGACAACAAGAAGCAAACAGCTTCGCTAAACAGAAAGCAAAGTCAAATTAGTCACTTGACCGGCACCGCCGACAATGACTTTGGAATGGCAGCCAATCACATGCACTAAAATGCGTGATCCAACAATAGAAGATCCAATGGAGCAACATGCGCTAGACTGGATACGGTAAGGTGGGGATCGGGGAATCGGGATAACTTTCAACTTTGGGTTTTGGGTTTCATCCAGATCGAAAGAGAAAAAAAAAAAAAAAGACACAGGGTGACACTCGAACATGAATGAAGTGGTGGACAATTCTGAATGCAACTGCAGCTGCTGCAAGCAGAGTTTTGACAGGTATCAGTCGCCTGTCAATGGTGTGTCCATGACTTCAATAGTGGCATGCCGGTTGATATCTCTGATCGGATCTTCATCTTCTTCCGGCATCGTCTTCGGGCAGAGGCGATCCTGTTCTTGGAAGGCTGGAGCACGTGTTGGCCAGGTCTCAAATGCTGATTTTTGCATCCATGGTTGTCAAAGACTCTTGATTCAGACCATTGTTCAGGGCATTTTGGTTCCTCGTCTATGACTCTGATTTTGTCGGGCTGGACAGACATAAAGTCTGTACACAATAGCCACTACTGTAAGGATTGGCATGGGCGCGTCTGGGAGCTGCACGAGTGGCACCTCGTTGGACGCTGACGTTGGCAGTGAGAGGGGCGCTGTTTCAGTGTGACTCTGGGAGACAAGAATGAGGAGTCTGAGTAATTATAGACCCGACGTTTCTTCATTCCAAGCCACAATGTAATTGATGCAATATCATTTGATTTCATTATTCATATCATTGTGCTGGTGGTGATGGAGCCTTGAGGATCAACCTGCTTCATAGTGACAGATAGCGTGTGCATCGCCCCTTGGGTGTGTCTAAGCCGGTGAACACTGAGCCCATTCCTTCGGACTAGTCGCGGATCTAGTTTCGTTCCCAAGCCTTGACTACTTGAATCTATATCCTTCTAGTCTTCTCTGCCTGATCCACTGGAAATGCTATTCTGGTTGGGCGGTTGGCTCCGGTCCATGTAACGTGTACCTCGTCGTCGACATTCCAAGGCGTCAATCCACCAAAACTGGGAACAAACAAAACCGTCCCTCCTCCTCGGGGATTTTCCTTTGCTTTTTTTTTTTCTTTCTCGCTTGATTTCTTTGCTGAGTCTTGTGTGTCTGACGCTATTGGAATTCCTGTCTAACTTCCACTGTTGACCTCCTCTTCTGCTTCTTCTTATCTCTCCGACCGTCTGTCTTAGGCTATCAATTCCAGGCCTCCCTATAACCTCATCTCATCCCACTTTCAATTATTCCATCGGCCCTTTTCTCACTCAATCCCTTGCGGTGGACAATTAAACCCATAATTAATTCTACGATCACTGACTGAACCGCCACCATGACCCGCCTGGTTCAATTCCTCTTTTATTCTCTCCTGGCCTCGTCCGCTGCGCTGGCTACCACTGGTGATGACCACGAGTCGTCCCATGCCCTCGTGGACCACGCCGATGAGAGCTCCCTTCACAACGCTCTTCACCGTTTTGCCAGGTTCCGTGACGGTATCTTCAGCAGCGACACCTCTGCTCTCGAGGCTCTCAAAACTGAGGATTCTTCTTTTGCCTCGCGATTGTTGAAGCTCGCCAAGAGACAGGACAATTCCACCAGTGCTCCTGCTGCTCAGCCTTCTGAGACTTCTGCCGCTGCTGCTGCTACTTCTGCTGAGGCCACTACCTCTGAGACCGCTGAGACCTCTGAACCCGCTGCAAGCACCACCGCCAACCCAGTTCCGTCCACCACCGCTGAGCCTACCACTTCCAGCGCTGCTTCTTCGACCCAGGAGCCCTCGACTTCTTCCAGCGCAGAGACCACTGATACTCCTTCGGAATCTACCACTGCTGCTCCTACTACCAGCAGCACTGCAGCTGCTACCACGACCTCGGAATCATCCACGGCTGCTCCCACTACCACTTCTGAGTCTTCCAGCTCCAGCTCCAGCTCTGTCTCGAGCACGCAAGCTCCCACCACTCTGTCGACATCCGCCAGCTCTACAGAGTCTTCCTCATCCACCATCACCAGCTCTTCTTCATCTCAGCACACCACCCCTTACACCTCAACCTACAAGAGCACTACCACCCTCGGCAACGGCGAGCTGAGCACCGTCACCGCTGTCACCGTCGTCCACCCCGTCCAGACAGCCACTGCCACTGGCTCCGCCCCGGGTCTGCAGACCGACAACGCCGGTTCCTCCACTGGAATCGCTCGCGAGCTCATGGTGATGATGGGAGGAGCTGCCGTTGTGGCCATGGCTCTGTAATCGCGCCCTGCCTCTCGCTCACTTCATCTCAATTGAATTTGCTCTTGATGGGAGGGATCCCATCATTTCTATCGCATATATACGGCGTTGTATCTTCTTCTCAATTGCATATTAAATACTCCACCATTTACGATCCTTACGCATAACCCGGCGGCGTCCAACATTTGTCTCTCATTTCATATACGGGTTAATTCGGTTTACGGAGTTGTCTTTCATGGTGTGATTAGTTTGTTTGTTCGATGTTCTGTCATCTTGATTTATTTCTGTCTGTAGGATCTTTACAGCGTGCATATATTTAGAAGTGCCTTCAATGGACATAAAATCGGAATTTGACCCAAAATTCTATCTTCTATGACAAAATATTCCAAAATCGCTTTGTAGATCGTTTATCTCCGTATATAAAACTCGTATTGAGGGGGTATGTAAATCAAGCTCATGCACAGCATATTATCAACAAGAATCATGTATCGTCCAGATCAACCACAACCACATCCACATCCACATCCCATAACCCCAAACAACTCACCAACCCAAAATTCAAGGTAAATTACCTCCCCGATCCCTCCCATCTCTCCTCCTGCGTCCAGAACCGAACCACACTCTCCCACGCGGGGATATCCTTATCTCGCAAAAGGTTCGCCACGTCCACATTAAGCGGCGAGTCCGGTCGCGGGTCCGTCAGGAGTTGGTGGATCGCCGTTAATGTCGTTGAGATGGTATACACGGGACTCCAGTGTTCGGTAGTCAAGAGGGTGAGACAGATTTCGCCAGTGGTAAAGGAGATATTGGGGTGGGAGATGCGTGTCTTGAAGCGGATGTTCGGCGGGGATAGGGGGTAATTATGGGGAATGGTAATGTTGAGTCCCCACAGGCCACCTATTTTTGAGCAAAAAGCGACTTTTAGCAAACTGACTGGAAAGGGAGAGGGGGAGGGGATAGGGGAAAGGTGGTGGTGGTGAAAACGCCACTAGGTTCCTTCGCTCGCTGGTGTACTCACCTTCGTACGGTGTACCCTTGACGCCCTTCAAGACTGCTTCCCAGCGTAATAAGTCGTCATCGTCCACGGGTCCCAGATGGAGGAGTACTTCGTTGGGGTTCTTTGTGTACTCTTTCAGCTCGCGAATGAGACGCTGGGAAGTCGATACCGGCGGTGACGCCATGGCCGATTGGAATGTGGGATGTACTTTTGCGAAATCACGTTATCCTGATGAAAGATATGTATATTCTGTATTATTCCGCCCGGCGGTTTACCCTCTCGGAAGTGTGCAGAGTGGTTGATTGACTGACTCTGTTGTGATGTGCTGGCGAAGGAGCGAAGTTGTATTGCGTCGCGACTTCGGGATGCACATCAACCGCCAACAGCTGCTTTGCTTTTGCACCGACCGAGGCTCAGCGGGCCGTGGGTCCCTTTTCGTTTTTCCCCATGCCAGTTCCCGCGCGGTGGACTGGGAACCATGTGTAATCGCCCTTCTGTGCCTGGTTGCCCCTTAGTTCTTAAATTTTCGTAGATCACTATTTTTCTCTCTTCATTCTTTGCATGTGGATTTACTGTTTTATCTACGTATAACTTCTTTACAACTGTACAGCCATCCAGCATGCGCACCTCGCGCACTTCCAAGGAGACGGCAAAAGTCTTGCAAGCTCTTTCACCCCCTGCGCGCCGTCAAACTCGCAGCTCAGCCAACACAAGTGTACTCAGGAGCTTTGCCTTTGGCGCCAACTCTGCCAATGATGTCGATACTAAATCTTCTCTGAAGAAATCTCAAAGTGATAGTGATGATGATATCTCGTCACTGTCATCTGCTGACACGGTTGACATTGAAGATATCTTGGAGCCACCCTCGAAACGGCGGAGGAGCAACGTGAGCGCCCAAAAGACAAGCTCCCGTCCTCGTCCTTCTTCCACAAAAGCTCCCGAAAAAACAGTCGTAAAGGATGAGCCTGTTGAAGCCAAGCCCAGTGCGCCAAAAACACGTCGAGTCCCTGCTCGAAAAATTAAGGGCGAGGATGGCTCAGTCAAAGTGGAACCGCCTTCGAATTGGGAGACAATGTATTCCATCGTCAAGAAGATGCGCGAGGATAATCCGACTGCTCCAGTAGATACCATGGGCTGTGCTGAGCTCTATTGGAGAGGATCATCGCCAAGAGACAAGCGGTTCCAGACACTTATCGCATTAATGATGTCCTCCCAGACCAAAGATACCGTGACAGCCGTTGCCATGCAGCGATTGCACACGGAGCTTGGAGACGGCGAGGCTCCCTCACCAGAGTCCACAGTCATCAAGAAAGAGGAAGATGAAAACAAAGACTCCCAATCGGTTAAGCCTTTCAAGGATAGCACCTTGAATCTTGAAAACATCCTTGCTGTTTCCCCTGAACGACTCAACGAACTTATCCGCACCGTCGGTTTTCACAACAACAAAACCAAATACATCAAAGCGGCAGCCATAATCCTTCGCGATCAATATGACTCAGATATTCCTTCTACCGCCCAAGAGCTAATGAAGCTTCCAGGGGTAGGGCCAAAGATGGCCTTTCTCTGTATGAGTGCAGCATGGGGGAAGCATGAAGGCATCGGTGTCGACGTACACGTCCATCGTATCACGAATCTTTGGGGCTGGAACAAGACAAAGGCACCGGAGGAAACTCGCATGGCACTGGAGTCATGGTTACCAAAAGATAAATGGCATGAAATCAACAAGTTACTGGTTGGTTTGGGACAGACAGTCTGCTTACCAGTTGGGAGAAGATGCGGGGACTGTGACCTTGCTGGAACAAAGCTATGCAAGAGTGAAATCAAGGGCATGACCCCGAAAATTAAAAAGCCCAAAGCCAAGGAGGAGGTGGAGGAGAAGGATTTCTCCGGCTCTGCTGTAGCTAAAATCAAGATAGAAGAAGAGTTGCCTGGGGCACGAGGGTTTGTTTGACATACCCTCTAACTGGGAGGTCCCCACCACGTTGAATTTCCACCTTCTTCAACTCTTCCACATCATCTTTCTCGGGGTCCATGCCCTCGTTCTTTTCTGATGTAGTACTCTAGAGCCATCACTGCCTTTCTCCTGTCTTGATTTTACTCCTTCAGCTTGCCAATTCGCGGTCTACTACAAGATACCCCGCTAGATTCTCTGCTTTGTTTCATGAAAACACGTCTCTAGCATCAAGTCTCTGCCTCGAGACACCAAACGTTAGTTCGTGCTGCATTCACCACGCGTATACCCCTCCTCATTCACTTGGACCCCGCCTTGATATCTGCTAGAATCTACTGACACGTCCCTTCTTCAAACAGAATCCCGACATGGAGTATCTTCTTGATAGCGACGATGAGGCTTTCGCCAATATGTTGATGGAAGCGTGGCTGACCAGCCCCGAGCCAGAAACCCCAAATGATACAGACACCAGTTCTAATGACACGCCGCCAGAGACCAGCGATAAAGCCATTACTCCATTCAGAAAGCCGCGCATCACGTTCCTCGACCTCCCAGACCATGTTAGATTGCGGATCTACCAGTACTCTGGACTGTTTCGGCAGCGCTGTATCACCTTTTTCAATTATGAAAAAATGAGGAAGATTAATTCCAAAGAGCTTGATACGTGTGCACTTCGTGCGGGTAAACGTGAGAGCTCTGGATTCTGGTATAGCCCTTATGTCATACATTGTGATCATCCCGCATTTCCAATGGGCGTTTTCCTGGCATCTCGTGCTATCCGCCTTGACATTGTCCCCCATTTCTTTGGTCTCAATAATTTTGCCATCGATATCTGCTGTGGCGCTGATTTCCGGCTCTTCTGCACCGCAACTGAACGAGGCTACCAGTATTTGAAATCTCTGCATATCGACCTGCGTCCTGGTGACAACCGCTATCTCAAGATAGGCTCTGGTGTCCATCGAACAATCATGAATGCGTGGGATAGCTTCTGTAAGATAGCCCAGACGCAGATGCCTCTTCTCAGACTTTTCAGCTTCAAATGCAAAGTCAAGGATCTTGAGGTTGCTTCTAGGCTGATGTGTTCCATGGAATCATTTCCTATTCTTTCAGAATGCTCATTCCATCTGAATAATTATCATGACGAGTTTATGCAGCCGGTGATAAAAAGGGCGGCTTTGAGATTGACAGAAAACCTTGGCGATAGGCCCCCATTCCCATACATGCGTCTTCCCAAAGAGGTACAGCTGATGATTCTGGATCAACTTTTGACAAATCAAGGCGATCCGTATATACAATTCTCAGATTGGTCAAAGGGCATCGTTTCTTTTCAGCACCGCAAAAGGCCGCGACAACCTTTTCATGAGTTATATCCGTTGACTTGCTGCGGAACGTGCTCACCAGTGCGATCGGTATGTTTCTGCCAGACTCGTCAAACAGCGTTTTCGACGACATGTTCCTGCTTCCTGTCTCCCGTGTCATACTTTCTTGTCAGTCGGGGTTTTTATGAAGATGCCCGCCGAGTGTTCTTCTCCAAGAATAACTTTGTGTTTTTGGAAGAAGATCCCGAATTCATGATGCGAATAATGCATTATATTCCAACATCTTCATTCATGCAGATTCGTTATTTGTCCTTCAAGTTTCCATTGACCTGTCGAGTTGCTGCAAGGCCTGGTCACAAGCCCGAAGATTCTGCACTGCTTTCCTGGTCCGTTTTGCGTCGCTTCATCCGTGAGCACTTTGATCTAGAACGTCTTTCCCTCATGATTGTTGATCTAGGAACAAAGCAGTCTTTCCCAAATGCGACCCCAAACCGGAACAAATACCTGCGGAAGCTGTTGAAATCATTTGCTGATCTGCGTGGTCTTCGCGATTTCCGTGTTTATTTGGCGGACGATCGTATATTCGAAAGGGATGCTGAGAAGGCAGTTCTGGGTCCAGAGCGTGCTGGAAGATCGAAATTGGACGTCATGCCCTTTATCGGTCAAAAGCATTTGAGTTCGTCTGACTGAAGCAGGCTCATCGCCATGTCACCAAAGGCTCTTATACCCTTCTCAGCACCTGCCACATTTCTCGTTTTCAGCGCTTGTACCTACTTGTCCTTCCACATAATGACCTAATGAGTTTGTCCTTTTGTCTCTGCTCTTTGTTCTTGTCGCATTACCGACCGGGTCACTGAAATCCATTTGGTTGTGGCGATCTTGTTCGTGAGGTTATATGGATTCGGCATTCTGGTCCCTCTGGAAGCTCTTGTCCATGCGTCCATGCAATCCATTTCAAGGTGCGCTATCCAGAGTCGGCCCGTCAAGCGCAGCAAGAACATTCAAAGAGGCATGGTAAAGAAAGCTCGTCAAAGGCTTCTTCATCTAAACAAAGATACTGTGGTCATAATTTCCCGTTTTCCTGTATCTCAGTTGATCAGCACCATTCATGTAACTAAGAATGTTTACTCAATAAAACATGACAGTCCAAGAAAAGAATCCACTTGACATTTAGCCTAGGAAAGGAATCATACTTAATTTAAGTATCGGTCTGCTGAAAATATCCTATAAAAGATTATGTCGTGGACGCTTTGTTTTTGGACTGTCTTCTGACTGATCAATAAAGGAAGCTGCTCACTGTTGCAGTTGCCTTCTCAGATGATAGCAAGCGGAAAATCAAGTATTAAGAAAGTAGCTCTTAGAAAATCGTAAAAGGTTCTTGGAATGGGAAATATTAGCAGGTTCCCTCTCCTTTCAGATATGGGATGTTTTTGGTTGATGTCTAGAAAATGCAAAAATTGCGTGGCTGGTGATGGAGTGAATGAATATATGTACATGCACAATTTTACACCTGAACTTTTCTGGGGTGATATTCCAGTAGCATTGTATATATTATACTCCATACAAATACCTAGGTTCCAGGGTGGAATATGTGCCCTCGAGCTTTTTAAGAGATAATAAGCGGCGCATTAACTGATTAGGTCGGGGTGGATATATATTGAACTAAGATACTTGATGATACACCAATTCTCCCCTTTACAGCTAATTTACCCCTTGAATAAGAAAGAGAAACAATCAATAGCAGTTTCATCATTCTTCGATTTAATTTTAATATCAACGAATCTTCCCAGTTGAAGTTGATCAAACCTCATATAATGACTAAGCGCACTCCTATGAAATCACTACCACGGACATATTTCGCATCGGTTCCTTAACCCCGGATCATCAACCAAAGCTATTCGAAGCTTCTTTCCAGCAGTCCCTATTTCGACAATATATACCTCGACAAAAGGATTCGCGAGAAATTACAACGAGGCTCATATCTAACTTTTATTTATGTTTCAATAGACAACTTCTTCGAAATTTACCTATCATGGCCCCGCCGTCCCCGATCCCGATACCCCTCTTTGCCCAGACACAGCTCCAGCTCCTACAGCAAGAGCACGAAGCCGAAATTTCTTCCTCCTCCCTCGCCAGTACATCTGCCTCCGTATCTCCTGCTACACGTCGCATATTACAAGCAACCGGTTATGCGTTGACGGGGATAGTTCTGGCGCAATGCCGAACTGGTCTTGGTGGGCGTGTCGTGGGCGAGTTCGCTGCCGATTCAGCTGTTTCTGGAGGAAAATCGAAGTCTGGAGAGGATGGTGATATAAAGGGAGGCTCATATGGGGAACCGCGACTAGGAGGACATGGAATTCGAGTTGGGGATATTGTCCGTGTCAATGACATTGGAGGGTCGAATAACAAGAAGGTGGGAAAGGACAAGGGCAAAGACGGAGGGAAAGCGGGATATAACCCGAAAGGACCGGAGGGTGTTGTTACTCGGGTGGGCGAAAAAGGCATCTGGATTGCGTTCGGACAGAGAGGGGGTGGCGGTCGATCCAAAGAGGATGATGAGGATATTGAGGAACTGTGGGGGAAGAAGCTGTGGCTGTATGTTGATTCCTTACTTTTTCATTGGCCGCGGGACTTTCTCGCAGGAGATTTAGCATGGAATTTGCGGCTTCATGATGGCTAAGACGGGCTGCAGCATCAAACTCGCAAACGATGTTACGTTCAGACGGTAAGCAAATACCCGCCATGACAGAAAAAAGCCAACTGTATGACGCTGATGACATTGTCAGCATGAATCAAACGATGGAAAAGATGGCTAAGATGCCAGAGTCAGAGTACACACAGTTCATGCGCGTTGCCTTTGGCCATACGACCCCGTTCCAAGTGGACCAAGAAGCCGCTGGACCAGTTGACTTCGTTGACTCGACTCTGAATGATTCACAAAAAGAAGCGATTCGATTTGCTTTGGCATCAAAGGACATTGTTCTCATCCACGGACCCCCCGGAACGGGCAAAACCCATACTTTGATCGAACTAATTCTTCAGATGGTCCAGCGGAAACTTCGCGTGCTGGTCTGTGGACCTTCCAATATATCAGTGGACAATATTGTGGAGAGACTGGCACCCAACAACGTCCCGGTTGTGCGCATAGGCCATCCTGCCCGTTTGCTGCCGTCGGTTCTCGAACACTCCCTAGAAGTGCTCACCCACACCTCCGAAGCTGCTGGCATCGTCAAAGATGTCCGCAAAGAAATCGACCAGAAGGTAGCCAGCATCCGCAAAACCAGAACTGGGAGGGAACGACGCGCAATCTATGACGATCTCAAAGGATTGCGGAGAGAGTTTCGGGAGCGTGAGTCGAAATGTGTGGACAATCTGGTCAGAGAGAGCAACGTTGTTCTGGCAACACTTCATGGAGCCGGAGGCCATCAGCTGAAGAACCAAAAGTTCGATGTTGTCATCATTGACGAGGCTAGTCAAGCCCTGGAAGCCCAATGCTGGATTCCATTATTATCGGCGTCAAAGGTGGTTCTCGCTGGTGATCATCTGCAGTTGCCCCCAACAGTTAAGTCTACTGTCCAAAAGTCCAAAGATGCAGCTACGCGAGGAAAGACAAAGACTGGCACGCCGGATGTCAAGGACGAGGCAGGAAACCCTGGCGACAAAGAAGTCACCAAAAACATCTCTCTGGAGAAGACTCTGTTTGATAGACTACTCTCTCTTCATGGAACAGGAATCAAGAGAATGCTAACTACGCAGTATCGGATGCATGAGAAGATTATGAAATTCCCGTCAAATGAGCTATATGAGTCCAAGCTAATTGCTGGTGAGGCAGTGAAAGCACGCCTTCTCCAAGCTTTACCGTATGAGGTGGAGGAAACCGATGATACCCGGGAACCCGTCGTATTCTGGGACACCCAAGGCGGTGATTTTCCTGAAAGGACTGAAGACGCTGAGATCGGCAAAAAAGAAGCACTTTTGGGTGAGAGTAAGAGTAACGAGATGGAAGCCTTGGTCGTTGCAAAGCATGTGGGAAACCTAGTGGAATCGGGCGTGAAACCTGAAGACATTGCTGTCATCACTCCATACAATGGGCAGCTTGCCGTCTTGTCTCAGATGCTTCGGGAGAAATACCCAGGACTTGAGTTGGGGAGTGTCGATGGATTTCAGGGCCGGGAGAAGGAAGCTGTTGTCGTCAGTTTGGTGCGCAGTAACTCCGAGCATGAAGTGGGATTCTTGGGTGAAAAGCGACGATTGAACGGTATGTTCCCGATCTTCATTTTTTGCCTTCTAGCTTTCTTCCCGCCTTCATACTCTGAAACCGACGAAGCGCTGCATATGCATATCGATGCAGAAGAGGGTTAAGAAATAGACTAACGATAACCTTCTAGTGGCCATGACCCGACCCAAGCGGCACCTGTGTATCTGTGGCGACTCGGAGACCATCAGCAAGTAAGTTTCAGATTTCAGATTCTATTCCGTTGTGCAACCCATTAAAACCTTTCTTCTGGAAACCTACCCCTTGATCTGCGATCAGGATGCTAATATCTTACCATAGGGGCAGTGGTTTTCTCAAGCGATGGATGGAATTCCTAGAAGAACATGCCGACCTACGGTATCCTGATGCGGGCGAATTGTTGTGAAAGAACGTCATTGATCCATTTCTGGCGGTGTTCCAAGCGTTGGGATCTGCAGCTTCGATGGGGGCGTGCTTTTAGCAGGATCCGCAATACCTAGATGGGCAGTATATCCAATGCTAACGAGTCAGTCTAGACGAGTCTAGCGACAGATGTGCCTCTGCGGGACTGCGACCGGCATCGACATCCTTTTTATGGCTTGACCCGTGTGAAACGCAGGATCTCGATACGATTCGCTACCACCTTATCCATCTTATTCCGTACGCTCTTCTTGCGCCTGGGATCATGGCCCTTCGCGCAGCACATCGTCTATTCGACCCCGATGCTGACCACCTCTGGCGCGTCACTTCGTATTCGACTGTTGACACTGCAGTCCTAATATTGTTGTGCAAGGCGCCACGGAAGCGAATTGTCTTATACGGGGTATTGGAGGCTTCATTTCAGGAATGGCAGAGAGTGAGTGGGATAAAATAAAACAAGATATAAGTAGTGCGACGATTATAAATAGAAAGCCCAGAAGGTTTCGGGGGAAGCTGTATAAGAACCGAAATCCGCAAATCTGATGTAGGGAGGCCTATCACTTCCTGGAAGAGACGATAGACTCCGCAGAAGAAGAAAAGAAAAGTTGCAAGGCCTGCTTGTGGGACGTGAAGAACGGGATGAGGCTTGAGGGGGAAATGCACTCGTACCCGAACGGCAAAAGTACACACGAGCGAGAAAGGTGAGATTCGACCAGCGATTTGTTGAGATGATTTTTCTGGATTCTTGGAATATTCGTCGCCAACGCTTGGACGATAATTCTGATCGATGATGCGTGGGAGAGAGAAGGAGAGAGGAATGGATGTGCTGGCACTTGGCGCCACTTGGTGCGTCTCAGACTCCGTCCTTCCACCCCCGTCACATTAACTCGACCATCCATCACGCTCGTGTTTATCCCCCCGTCAAAACAGGCTGAATTCGGCTGATTCCATTGGGGGTTCTCGTATATCTCACCAGACCAAAGGTGCAGATACAGAATGCCGATGGCATGATGCAACTGATGGCCCTTGACGCATTCCGATGCGATCGCAGGCGAGATAAACCATGTGGTGTTTCACAACCTCACCTTCTCGCCGTCTGAAACTCGACGCACCGACACTTTTTCTCCGACTAACAGCCTAGCAACTGCAACCAAAACGTCCGTTTGTTCTGTCGGCCCACTTGGCTGCCGTTCGGCCTTCGGATCTCTAAGTGTCGTTGTTATTTCTCGTTTCTCTCGGCCTTCTCGAACTAGGACGCTGTGCTAATTTCTTTCTTCCACAGGCCCCTCTCCGTGTCTCCATCTTTTCTTTCTGCAGTAGGAATCCGGCCTGAGACGGTCTGGCCTTAGTCGTATGGCTGCCAATGCCCCCTCGACTCGAATAATCTGAATCCTTTCTCCTCCTCCTCAGGTTCTCCAGCCCTCCGCCTCTCCCCCCTGGCCAAACGCGTCGGTCATGCATCCGGAACAAGCATCGCGCCCCTCTTTCACTCTTGCTGTTAATGTTCTTGATTGACCCCATCATTCTTTACTGCAGCTCTGGCTGGGCCGCTTCATCGGGCCAGAATTTCCAGATTGTGCTCTGAAGCTCTGAATCGCCAGGTCTTGGGGTGGAGATACGCAGACATACAGACAGATTGCTACCTTCTCTACGACGACTGGGACCTTGCCGGCCCCAGGAAGGTCTTGTTTTTTCCACTGCCTTTCAGGATACCTTTTTTTTTTTTTCATTTATCAGTCTCTCGCTAGTCATTTATTATTTGATTTTACATTGGTCTCACAATTATTTCCCGTCTTATCTTAGCTCTAAGAGCCTTTTATTATTATTCTCAATTCTTACTCCTCTTTTCGGCATGACCGCATAGTTGATGATCAAACATAACCTATCCTTTCTTTTGCCTTCCCCTCTTCCCTTTATTTTCAGCCGGGCGTCTACAGCTCATGATAATGATCCCAGCCGTACCTATCGTTGTCAGTAGACTTGATTCTTGCCCCGTTTGCTCTCCTCCAGATCATCGCTAACCGTTGTTTATGCACAGCCTTTTTCGACTCCGCTGAGACACAATTAAAGATAGAAGGATCGGATCTGCGTTCCTAACGACTAGGATCTTGTCTACCTTCCTTTTCCTTTCTTACACTCGTTCGAACACAACACTATTTTGAAACCCATTTCATTCCATCCGACTTCTACACAACTGACACCACAACTGTTATGATAATTAAAGCTCCATTAAGCTTTCATTCGTGCTTGGAAATCTGTGTATGCATGATCTAGTGTGACTGCTCACAACATGTCGGAATCAAGCTTGAGTACAGGGATCGGTTCAACGCGAAGTCACTCGCATAGGACATTGACGCCAGACGCAGCTCCAGCTGCATCAGACCCAGGTCTCGATACTGCTTTACCGCCAATAAACGCACAAAATTCGTCCACCAGCCCTCGTCGATTACAACACCGGTCTCAAACATCCGTAATAGTACGCAACCCTCGAGGACCCAACCGACCACCCTTCTACAACGCGCAGGATTCGATGACAAGTATGGTAGCGAGGAGTCCTCAGATGCATCGCCGGAACGGGAGCACGTTGAAAACAGTAATGCGGAGAATATTCAGTCGCAAAAGGCGAAGCCAGACGAATGAATTCGAGGATACCGCTGAAGAATCTCCGTTTAGAGAGTCTTTTCCTCGGCGATCGGATGCAGGGAGCGAGACAAATTCCTTTCTGGCAATATCCAACTCGTTGAATTCGAAAAGGAGTAGTCCGTTTCAAAAAGAGACTGGTCATTTTGATATCACAGAGGATGCCTTGCAAAGATTATCGCCGATGCCACCCCGTCGACGAAGAGCTACACTTCCAAGCTTGATACTTTCTGACGACGCGCTCGAGTCAGCGCTCGATTCCGGTAAACCAGAGCACAGCCGAGTGGGAAGCGCAGACACCAATAACCCCGAAGATGATATGCGACGGCGTTACCTTCGAACCAAAAGATGTTCGCGAAGTGCGACGAGCCTACGCCGAATGGCAACAGAACATCAATTGTCTCCCATTCAGTGGAGGCGACGGAGTACAGAGATGAATTTCTGGGGCCCATCAGCTCCATTCAGACCAGTCTCAGACAGTGAACTGTCTGTCAGGCCTACCACAGGAGTGACCGTCGCCAGCACGGCAAGGGAATCCGTTAGGAAATCCATCGCGACGTCTGTTGCCCCCTCAGTTGCCCCTTCAGTTGCCCCTTCAGTTGCCCCTTCAGAAGCAACTTCTGTCGCGCCGTCCGCTTTGGAATCTCCTACCCAGCAAAAAATGGAAGTTGAAAGTATACCGCCAAATGTCGGACAACTGATCAACTCCATGCAGGCTGATGACAATCTCAGCCTGGAGCAACGGCTAGCAACGTTGGAGGTTAAACTCATTGATCTCGAGTTTGCAATTGCCCGGATGCAAGATCAACGCGTTGAAAGTCCGCCAGCGGATAAATCAAAGCGCAAGAAGGCCTCGACTCCAGATGTGTCTCAGCAACATGCGCGCAAGAAATCTTCCAGCTATTTCCCGCCCACCGGAGGTGACACCTCTCGAAGCACTCCGTCGACGTCCGCAGAAGAGCGTCCTTTGAGCACTGGCACCATCCGTCCCACCAAAACACTCCACCGCTCACAGACCATGCAGACACCATCAACAACGTCTTTGAGTGATCTAAATGGAATCTCGGTCGATCAATACAGCGCTCTCGTCATGCTTCTCAGAAGAGAGCAATCAGCACGAAGGAATTTGGAAAGCCAGGTTACGAGTCTTCAAGAGGACATGCAATATTTCTTCAAGATGGCCACGGACTCGATGAAAATGGGATCAAGGTACCCGATTCCTAGTGCAGACTCCCATGATTTTCTACGTTTTCGTCGAGCGATGGACCGTCCACAATCAGATACCCCTATTCGGATAGACGACAAGATTGGATCGCCTTATGACAGTGATTCTGATTTGGAATCTGCTGAGATGAAAGCGAAAGGCGATATATTTGCACGATCCAAGTGGGATCGAAATCGGATTGAAATCACGGGCATGATTTAGGTGATCATATTTGCTTTGCCAATGCATTACCTACGGCCGTTGACACGCCGTGTTTTAAATCGTCTCGTCTTTCAGGACTGTCTGTGCAGCGCATATCCTTGTTGACAGCATGCATCATCACAAAATTTTCTTCTTACACTCCAAGCTTTGGGAAGACATCCCCTAACCTCCGGTCAGAAGGCTGGCTACTTCCTTGGTTAATGTGCAATATCTTCGAAAGAGGCACTTTGACCTCACCCTCCCCTTTTTCAACCTCATCCATAAACGACTTCTTTCACTTCTCTCCAACCAAATCCTTCATTTTCAGCCGACTACCTTTTTTTCAACTTCGCTTCTCTCGGTATCGTTGGCGACCGCTCATTCCACCCCATTTCTCTTCTCACGACATTTCAAGCAATTAGCGATCTACTTTGTTGTTAATTTTATTTTGCAGTTTTCAAGATTGGACATATACATATTTTTGTGAATAAGAGCTCTACCATTCGAACATTTGGATTTGGATTTTGGTTGTTTTTGAGTGAGCAGGCTGACCAGAAGATGTATACCCTCTGTTCCGAGCGTGTCATGCCATTTATCTATTTTTTTTGCATTCGCATTTGCTTGTATATATTTTGCACGGGCTGCTATATTAGAATTGAAGACTGGAATCTTGAACTGGATTTGTGGAATCTTTATTCAAGATGGATTAAAATGCTTATTTATTAATATTATCGACTGCTGACAGCTAGTTATCCCCAAAAATTCTTTCTATAGAAATAGACTAAATGCAAAATATATCCACATTAAAGGTAAGTAATATAGCACGATAGTACCAATTTAACGGAGGAACAATCACTCCGATTTCTTATGCTCCTCCACTTCTTCGGGAGCAAACCTGATACGCTTGCCAAACACGCAAGGCGTACGGCAGAGGAGCGTGCCAATAGCGTGCCCAATATACGCACCCGTGATGATGGTAATAGGAAATGCTTGCCACGGACGGTCCCTAGAAGAGGCGAGTTAGCTTTCCATCCACGAAGAAAACAAACAAAACAGGCATATTATAGAGAAGAAACGTACCAATCCAGAGGAATAGGAACAGCACCGAACCAAGCACCGAACCCGGCTCCAAGCGCACCACCCCAGACCGCATCGGCGGGTCTAGAGACACCCCAGATCTCCTTCCAGACGGAACCGTCGACACCGTGGACGTAGATGAGGGCTGTGGCGGAGAGAACAGCCATGTGGCCTGCGCAGAGGACGGTCTCGAAGTTATGAGTGGTCAGGGGGGCACCGAAGAGGACGAGCAAGATGGCCAGGACGGGGGTGGCTAGAAGGAAAGTAAGGGTGAGGGATAAAAGGGCAGGCTATGAAGAATCATCTTGTTAGCCTCAGAAACGACATATTTCACCGAGGGAAAAAAAAAAAAAAAAAAAAAAAAACAGAAGAGGTCTAACTTACAATCAACTTGGCCGAAATCCCACCCTTGGCATGCTTGCGCCGGTGACCAAGCTTACCGGCCCTCGCGGCTGATCCGGCACCAAGACCAGGACCAGCGCCGAGTCGCTTCTTCTCATCCCCTTCTCCGGTGGGAGAGCTAGCCTCGCTGCCGGCAGCTGCCTTGGAGGTCGATGAAAGGACCGAGCCAGCCGGCGGCAGACAGACCATCACATATGCGACCTGCAGAAGGGCCAAGGGTAGCAGGTCATTGAGAAGCTCGCCCACCGGGTCGGCAACTAAGTCTTGGAATCGAGCCGCGAAAACTCCGAGGAGAAGGATCGGGTGGATGAGAGCATAGGTCCGCGCGATTTGTGAAGGGAGGATAGCGACAGCCGGAGCAGAGGGCTTCACGGTTGGTCCCTGGGTAGTAGATGGAGTCGACGAAGCACCGGTGGCCGAGCGGGGCGGAGAGGGGGGCGTGGAGGTCATGACTGAGGCATTGATGGGTGCAGAGGCACCCTGGTATTCAACTCTGAAGGCTTGAGGAATTGAACGCTCAGTCGTGCTCAGTCTTGACGTCGAGGAAATCTTGACTGAGTGATTATTTGCTGGGCGGAGGAAGGGTGGGCCCGATGCGGACATTTACTCCGGTGTTTGGTCTGTTTGCTTTGAAACATTGCAGCCTTAATTCTGAGGTGTCTGTTTACAACTACATGAAATCCCGTCATGTTGAATAGGCTTATGAAGAGCATTTAACATATAAATAGTTTTATTTTTTGACCCGTTTTTAGAAACCACACCCGAGGCCAAATCCGATGGGGAAAAAGACAAGACATACATTCATTCGTGACCCATAGCAAGCATAACAGCAAGTGAAGAAAAGAAAACTTTCGGGTACGGAGGGGGCCGGCCTGGCAGCACGGAGAAGCAAGATATACGGCTCTAATGCCATAGCAACCATAGGGATAAGCCGAATCTAGACGAGGTTTTAATCGCAGGATGTAAAACAAAATAGCCCGCGACAGCCCCTCCCAAAAGACACCCAACAGGATGCATAGGTGTTGCGACGAAACTGTAAATGCAGTTCGAAAACACCGTCGATCATAGTTGGCAAATCGATAGGTGGAAGAAAGCAAATCATGAAGAGTGAGAGTGAAAAACAAAAAACGCCTGCTCGACTGTACTGTTGAAACGCGCAGATACCAAAACCAGATCAAGCCATCGCGTGGCAATTTACGTCGCAAGAAGTTCCCAGCCTTCATCCAAAACGACGCCAACCTATTTTGACTTGGTTGGAGGCCATCCCCAGTAAAGATGCAAGAATACTTAGGACGAAGTGGTATCCTTCGTCTCTTTCTGGAGGTCGGAAGTCGAGATTGATTCTGTTGGCGGCCCAGCTGCACCAGCGGCTATGCTGGCATTGTCTCTTTTCTGTTCGGTAGTGGCAGCCGCAACTGGACTTTCAGGAGTGTTGGGCTCCTCGGGGATTGGCGGAGGCAATCCAGAGCCAGGCAATGGGGAAACTGGCGTGCTCAAGATTTCATCTTTTTGGTCCTTGTGCACTTCAATTGGAGCAGGTCGGCCGTTGACGTTGCTTCTTCCACTTGGGGACAGGGGCAGGCTGGTCATAGACTTTTCGTTATCAGAAAGCACAGGGCTTCTAGCCTCTTCTCTGTCCGAATCTCTTCCGCCATCACGGACTTGCGCAACCTTGGCCTTGAATTTCTCAAAAAGACCTCGTTTCTCTGGCTCAGACCCATGGATAGAAGAATGTCCGTTGTTGCTTATTTCAGCATCAAGACTCAGGGGCTGGTTGGAAAGCTCATTTGCAAACTGTTGTAGATCCGATGGTGAACTCCGACTGGCATGGTGCCAACTTCCAATAGAGCTCGTGCTGCGCTCAGCTCCCGGGTTGGTAGCTATCAGTGGAGGTGACGCTAGTCCAAGACCAATATGCTCATTGCTTCGCTTGGATGAACGTGGGAATCTCCAGCTTCGTCGACGCTCCTTGCGTTCTGCTCGGGAAGCATCATCGGTCTGGTCAAAATCGGAATGATCGGTGAAAGAAGATCGTGAGTTCATGGAGGGAGTACGCGATCCATAAGGTTTCAACGAGGTATCCGTTGCAGGCTGGGGTCCACTTTCGTTAGAGTTCGAGGAGTGTTCATGTTTAACGTCTTTCGCTTGAGACGTGGATTCGTCAGTTGCCAATGTCGTGTTGGGCGGTCTGGGGGTCGTTCCTCCCACCTCATTGTTGATCTCAGATGGCGCCCGAGCAGCCTGAAGCATTGCAATCAGATTAGGATCTGAGGTTGCTGCCTGCAGCGATTGGGATGAACTCTGTGCACTTTCACTAGCACTTCCTGGGATACGTTTCTTCTTAAGTCGGTTAGGTTGTCTTGGCTCCTTGTGATCTCCGCTTGGGGGTGGGGATTTGGAAAAGAAACTGGATAGCTTCCGCTCTCTGTTCGGTGTTGCGAGTGTCGGCGGTGGAGAGTATACTGGCATGGGAGCAGATTCTTGCTGACCCGCCTTCACGGTGGACCGATCAGCTGCTGTTTTGGGAATCGGACCGTGGGTTGAGGAATGCACATAGGCAAACCCGATTGTAGCCGGGTTGGACCCAATTTGACCGGAAGAGGGTTGACTACTTTCTTCACGGGGAGGAGGCGTCCGGCTAGCCGACCGAGAATTTTGAGCAGAGGGCGCAAGTTTAGAGGAGTTCACGACGGTAGGCTCCGCAGGCTCTGTAGACTCTGCAGACTCTGCAGGTCTGCCGAGTCGAGAGGGTGGGATCGCAGGTGACATCTTCGAAGGCAGGGTATTACTTCTGTGCACGCCCACGCCGCTGATGGAGGAAGGTGTTCCTGGACTGGGGGCGTTGTTGGACTTGCGCGAATTTTTGGAAGAAACAGAAACGTTCCTGCGCAGGTTTTCATATTTCCGAAAGCTGTCCCTTCCAGCGCTTGCACTCGACACAGAGCGCCTTACGGTTGAGTGAGATGTGGTTCGCGGCGGCATCATACCACCTTCGACTTCCTTCACAGTTTGCTCATCGGCAGCAGTTCCATTCATTCCAAACAAGAAGTGGTCTTGGTTTTCGATGAGGAAGATCAAGACATCCTGACTTAATTTATATTCCTCGGGCGACATGTCATGTTGCGGGTGAGAAAGCAACCCGGGTTGAAAGATGGCGGAGAGGTTTGCCGACGTCATGCGATTCTGCTCTGACTTGGAAGCAAAGACGGCCAGCAGATCAAGGATGTAAAGCAACAACTGCTTGTTCAATGGTGGAAGTTCTCTGATGAGTTGCTGATAAGCTGCGACGGCCCTCGCGTGATCAAAGGCTTCGGACTCTGCTGTTGGCCCATTTCCTTGGACTTGTTTCTGGTATGTACGCAAGGGCTCGCGGAAACGTTCGTAGAATTCTAATGGGACGATAGGTTCGGGAAGCTGGTTCAAGTAGCGACGGAGTACGTTCGCAGCATCGTGAACGGTATACCCCGACCAATCCAGGCCCTTTCCATAACGTTCGGGGGAGTCGAAGACCTCCTGAAGATCCTTGATACGTTTCGCGGACCCGTTGAGACGAAAAATTCCCTCGACATCGGTTGCTGTTTAAAAGACAATCAGCCAACTCTTATCAGACCGAAAGACGATTTGATTGAATATGCGTACCTTTTTCCTTCAAAAACACACCACATTTCGCGACCACGATCGGGACATAACCGTAGATGAAACTCTCGCCACTGTCATTCGTAAGGGAAATGGCGACATTGGCGTACTTGATGCTGACGTTGAGAGGAACACCGAATATTCCCTGGGGTTTGTCTGCTAAAGGCACATCCGTTAGCACATTGGAATGGAAGATAGTTATCTGGAGTGCAGTCTGCAAGGCGAGAGTTGCTGTGAGAGATGGGGCTGTATGAAAAAGCAAAGGGTTCTAATGCGCAGTCGATCGCTGCAGAATTTCTCAAAGGGCAGGCAGGGTGTGCACCCTCTTTGATAAAAGCAAGCAACGACGTCGCATCTGACCCCTTCACTGACATGCAGCGACACATCCATTGCAAAACAGTCCTCCTCCACCGCGAAAACCATGTAGCGTACCTTTCTGTTCCACCTTTCTTGTATTCTTCTTGAATTGCCTCCACCAGGAAGCTAGGTCACGTTTCGATGGCGGGGAGGTCGCGATGGGTTGATGCTGGGAGGCAGTAGGCGGGAGTGACTGGAACGCCTCAGCGCCAGGGTGCGCTTTGCCCGTCATGGTGATAGACAGCGCGGGATAACGGGAGCGCGGAGGAACGAGATGCGGAGGCGAGCGAAAGACGAGAGTTGATGATGTTCTATGAGCACGACCAGATCAGTTCCTCCGTCACCGCCCTCGTGTTCGGCGCGAGAAATCCTGGGGCTGGGACAGCGATCCCAAAATAGCACGAGGGCAGGTCGACTAGTTCACCAAGCGGAAAGAAAGTGCCGCGCCGTTCGAAGAGCACGGGAGCTCGAGGAGGGGGGCGGACTGGGGTGAAAATGTTTCGATCCGAAGTGAGATGTGCGCATTCGAGATGATGATGAGAGAGATTGAGTGATGGAAGAGATGGGATGTGAATGGTGGACCAAGGAGTGGGAGCGAGACAGGGTGGAAGGACGAAGACTGGGGGAAGGAAGGGCGTCCCCGGAGAGGCACGAGCGCGCTTCTTCTGCTGTTCTGCCTGAGGCGATGGGAGGTGTAGAGGGGAAGAAGAGGAAGAGGAGAGGGGGACGAGTCTACTCGAGAGAATGAGGGCCTGCATAAAATAATAATAACCTCAGCAGGAAGATTGTTGGTTTAGATCATTGTCATCATCATCATATTTAGTAAAAAAAAATCTACTCCATACAAGGCAGCTTACTGCGCTACGAGGATGGACCAGTCAGGTGATCCCGAGGTCTTACGGGAATAACGATCATAAATCCATATATCAAGGCTTCAATAATGAAAAGAACCATGGGTGCAGCTCCTCCAAGGGCAGTCGACTTATCATGGTGGAAGGAAGGGGTCCTTTGCACTGGGGATCGACAGGGTGCAGAAAGCACCGAGGGGTTTCGAAACTCTCCTCTGCTCAATACACACATCTGGTATGCGATGTGTCTCTTTTCCCCCTTCTTTTTTGGCTTTGGCCCCTCCTTTTGCCTCCCTTTTCTTTTTTTGATTCCTTTTGTGACAGATAGACAGGATCATATGGGGCGTACCACTGTAGGTTCCCAAATGGTGCGGCAATATGCTCCTGTACGGTTACACTGAGGGGCTCTCATTGCTCATGCAATCCACCCCGTAATCAATAGTTGCGGTTGTTCTTAATTTATCTTTCAGGGCAATTATATTTCCATCGTCATCGTCAGCGACCTCTTCACCATTCATTAGTGACAGTTGGCGGTGGGCTTGGGTCTGTTCCAAGGGACCGCTGCGCTGATCTCTGGGTACCAGGTCCATTTCCAGGTCGGCTAACAGGCTGCTGGGAGGACTAAATCACCTGAAATGCCTTCCTGGGTAAAGGCTCGGTGCAAGTTCATATTAATCGGTCAGCGGAGATGGGCTTTCTGGCTTATTATTCGAAGCCCAGACAATCCCCCCAGAGGGGCACCAAAGTCCAGGCAAAAGGATCGCCCGGAAAGCCCACGATTGTCGGGTCTGGATCTGGTTGTGAGACTCAAGAGTGAGACTAGTTGCTATTATTCCCAGGCTTCCATTGCCTCTCGAATCTCCTTATTCTTCTCTCCTTTCGCCTCTCTCGGGGCTGATTACATGTTCTTTTAGTTGTTTTACTTTGCGAGTTGAGCGTGTGACTGACTGCTTAGTTGGACGCCGTCCTGCTCTGTGGTTTGACTAGTTTCAATTCCTTCAATACTAGATACAAACTAGCTAGATAAAGTTGGTAGATAAAGTCTTTATTATGAACTAGATTATAATAATATCCCTCAATAATAGTACACTGGCCGAGGAATAAAATGATTGTATTGTGTTTCAGGATAAATATTTAGTGATGAAACGTTATCAGCAGGAGACGTTCTACCCCTTCGATTCCCGCTCAGTCTAGATGCCTTTCGAGCATTCATATGGCATTCCCCTCGATAAATCTTACTCTCTGCAGTTCCCATAATATAACGGCGGCTTCAGAGTTCAGCCACGAATGCCGGATGCCTGAGTCCTCAGGCATAAAGCAAAATCCTTCGGCTGACTATTTCTGCCAAACATGCACATCACGTGTGTAATGTCACGTGACATAACAGAGCCTGCGGCGAGAGCTCCGGAAGCTTTGCGGCCTCAGAATCCCATCAATAACAATTCTACTGCCAATTACCTGGACATCTCAAAACACTTTCCCCCTAATTTCATCTAATTTATCTCCTATATAACACAATGGAAGGGTGAGAATTTTCCTTTTCTGCTCCCCCCTTTCTAATTGCAGATTCGATGTTCCGGAAATCTTGCTAACTGTTAACTTCAGTCTCAATGCCTCGGAACAACGCGAGTTCGCCTCTCGCATGGAGAGAAAGCAGCTGAAGGAGTTCATGACCGTACGTTGATTGTCCTTGATCTGAATCAATTCAACCTTCGCTTCCTGGCGTCCCGACGATGATTCAATGTCCCCGTCACCACACGTTATCACAATATCTGTCTTACCGAAACACGATTCTGATTCCTCTCTCCTATAGATGTACTCCAAGCTCGTCCAGCGCTGCTTCGATGACTGCGTCAACGACTTCACCACCAAGTCTCTCATCAACCGTGAGGAGGGCTGTGTTATGCGTTGTGTTGACAAGTACCTGAAGGGCTCCGCTCGCCTGAACGAGCGTTTCCAGGAACAAAACGCCGCCATGATGCAGAACGCCCAGGCCAACCGGTAAATTCGGTTCGAGTGAAGGCTTCTTTTCCAGTTCTGGTTCTATGCAGGTCGCGTTATTCAAATGAGGTTGGCATACCTTGGGGTATTTTTGGTAGATTGACTCGGTATTGGGTGTGTCAGGTTTTGGTTTGGATGGGGAGAGAAGAAATAACAACTCTGCTCAAGGAGAGGGTAATTCGAGACAGTATGCGACTGTTCTCTATGTAACATAGTGATTTGGACGTGGATGGTAGCCCTTGATGGGTTTGATGACTATCATGTGTCCAATCGAAGCATTGGAGGCGTCTGAGCCTACTTTAAAAGCAGCATTGCCATATAATTCAGTGTACTCTGTTGTTATCTCTTCCTTGTAGTCTTCGTATATGTTTCGAAGTCTAGTTATCTGTGTTGATACTTCAAAGAACGCAATTTGGAGATAAACCCATCCTCAAAGCTCATGACATGCTGAGGAACCATGGATATATTAACCTCTTCGGGCTAATCTGTAATCATTCCACTCTCATCGAATATTCTATCGAAACGCCGAGAAGACGCCGACGAGTATCATAGTATCGGCTGTCGTCATCGGCGACCCGGTCTTGGCAACCACACGGGCCAAACACGGAAAATTTTGCCTATTTGGGCGATGGATAGAGCTACTTGAACAGTATGGATAGAGGTTTGGAGTTGAATTATCTTGTTATCACAGCATTGTCTATAAAATATGCAGAGCACTCTGTATACTTTATCTAAGATTGTTGACGTTGATCAGTGTTGGCTGGTATGCAGTCTGCGAGTAATCCGTATAGCAGTTCCCCGTTGGCGCAGGCTGTCCTATCAAGCAGATCCGGAACACGACCGGGAAACTCATTCCCAAACAACATGTGCGGAGAGTAGATGAGGGGATTTTGATCCTTTATAAAACAAATCTCCAAGAAATGTAACCAACAAGAGTCATGATGCGGCTATGCTGTTATCACGGTAGACACGGAAGGCTATCCGTACCCATTAGTCAGTGACTCAATCACTGCAAAAAGTGCCCCTCACCCCACCTCCTCCCCCTCGTCGACTCGTTTTCTCCTCACCAGGAAAACTCCACTCTCCGGCCACGCCCGTTCGAGCAAACTCCTGTCTTTTTAAATCCTTTGCTTCGCGCTCCTCGTCATCGGATTTGCTTGATATTGATCTATCTCTTTCATCTCTCATCGCATCCGTCCATTCTCCTTCCGTGGACTACCCCTCTTCAGTCAACCTTACCCAGCTGTCTTGAACACCATCATGGCTAGCACCGTGGGACAGGTAAGCTATTCCACAATTGCCCCTCCAAACAATAATAAGACCGTTCTAATAGGATTGTTTACAGACCATCACCTGCAAAGTAAGAGCTCCCCACCGACGACCGTCCCAGTGACATCACCAGGATGATTGCAGAGCTTCCCTTCAGAACAACAGACTAAACTTTTATCACATTACAGGCCGCTGTCGCTTGGGGTGCCGGTGAGCCCCTCTCCATTGAGGACATCGAGGTCGCACCTCCCAAGGCCAACGAGGTCCGTATTCAAGTACACCACACTGGTGTCTGCCACACAGGTTCGTTTCCCTGAAGCACGTCATCCAGACTCGAAACTGACCAGCGTGTTAGATGCCTACACCCTCTCTGGAAAGGACCCGGAGGGTGCTTTCCCCGTCGTCCTCGGTCACGAGGGTGCTGGTATTGTCGAGTCTGTTGGCGAGGGTGTCACATCCGTGAAGCCTGGCGACTATGTCGTCGCTCTTTAGTAAGGACATCTCAAGGACTCTGGCCATTGTCAATGGCTAACCATATCCCAGCACCCCTGAGTGCCGCGAGTGCAAGTTCTGCAAGTCGGGCAAGACCAACCTTTGCGGCAAGATCCGTGCCACCCAGGGTAAGGGTGTGTTGCCTGACGGCACCTCTCGTTTCAAGGCCCGCGGCAAGGACCTCTTGCACTTCATGGGTACCTCCACCTTCTCCCAGTACACCGTTGTCGCCGATATCTCCGTCGTTGCTGTCACCCCTAAGATCTCCACCGACCGATCTTGCTTGCTCGGCTGTGGTATCACCACTGGTTACGGTGCCGCCACCGTGACCGCCAAGGTTGAGGAGGGCTCTAACATTGCTGTCTTCGGTGCTGGCTGTGTTGGTCTGTCCGTCATCCAGGGTGCTGTCCGCAACAGGGCCGGTAAGATCATCGTCGTTGATGTCAACGATGGCAAGGAATCGTGGGCTCGCAAGTTCGGTGCCACCGACTTTGTCAACCCCACCAAGCTCAGCGGCAAGACCATCCAAGAACAGCTTATCGAGATGACCGACGGTGGTTGCGACTACACCTTTGACTGCACTGGTAACGTTGGTGTCATGCGTGCTGCTCTAGAGGCCTGCCACAAGGGCTGGGGTGAGAGCATCATCATTGGTGTCGCTGCTGCTGGCCAGGAGATCTCGACCCGACCATTCCAGCTCGTCACCGGCCGTGTATGGAAGGGATGTGCCTTCGGTGGTATCAAGGGACGCACCCAGCTGCCCACTCTGGTGGATGACTACCTGAACGGCGAACTCAAGGTCGACGAGTTCATCACCCACCGCGAGCCCTTGTCCAACATCAACACTGCCTTTGAGCAGATGAAGCAGGGCGACTGCGTCCGCTGCGTTGTTGACATGTCGTAGGTGCAGGATTAGCGGGAAAAAGTGTTTTTCGAGTAGTCTCTAAACGTTGATGTTTATGCCGGCATGATTGAAGATCTTCTGGTGGAATGTATTTAAATAGTCACTTTGGTGTCATGCCGAATTTATGGAATGATAATTGATATCAACACAAACTGAAGGAAGTCGGAACTGTAAACGAGTAGTCAATTGAATCATCAAGATAATGAATCGTCTGGAGAAAGTCGAGGGGTATAGCTCCTACTTATGTATATCCCCAACCTACAGGGTCCTCATCCAAGCGGGGATCGGTCCAAAGGACCTTGAAGATCTTCACTATGAGCTGACTTGATCTGTCTACTACCGGCATTACAGTCATCAGGATATCCATAGTGTATAGCCTCCTGCCTCGCTCCATGATAGCAATTTCTTCCCGGCAAAAATGTTCATCGCCAGATGGTACAAGTTGTACGTCCGGCTTCTCGGTTGCAATGGGATCAACGCTCTGCTAATATAGAAGAACCATAATGATCAGCTGTTTTCAATGCTGTCATCGCATTTGAGATAACCTTCAGGTTTCCATGGACGATCCAGGCGCTCGGAATTCGAGATAACCATGCATCACTGGTGATATGAGAGAGGTTGAAACTTTCCTAAAGAAGAGCTATATGCATTATGGATAGAACGGCCATAAAACATTTCCGGAGAGCATATAATGTCCCAATCGATCCCTAGAAGCTGAAGTACTGAATCGCAATCGCCGATGCTACATGATGGTGAGTGTGGACTTCCGAGTCTCATTTTTCAAAAGCTTTTAAAGCCAAGGGCTGAAGTACGATTTTAGAAAGCTTGTATTCATGAGTAGTATGGCATGGACTTTGGTACACCTGTACACTCTTCATGATCTATAACTTGACTTTCCCAACGAACAGTCTCTGAGAGACTATCAGAATAGACAAGCTGACTAACACCTTTTTGAATCAACCTTGCAGTGATCAAAAACAGACAATTGGAAATATGAAATTAATCAGGGAGAGCACTGGGCCAGTGTCTCCGGTCCAGAAAAATTATTGGTAATTCTTTCTTTTCACCCATCGACCACGAGATGAAATGAAGTTTCGGGTGAATTGGATATTGACTTCACAGGATTCAGCTATGGACATGAACTAGGCATACATGATCAAGAATAATGATAGGTAGCTTAACTGCCGTGTTGATTTGTGGACAGAAGAACCGACAATGGTTCAATTTAAAGGACTTTGAATGATGCAATCTTGGAACTCTTGCTTCCTTTTCGTAGCGACACTACGGCCCGTAGCATGAGCTGTTCATGATGATATTTTTCAAGAGTCAGTTTCGCATTCTCCATCCAGAGCATCACATGAAACGCACATTAACTCAGCCCACATTCCCAAACGAGTTTAAGCTATTATCAAACGACAACAAGTCTCGAGGCTGAACCGATTTCGGCCCCCGAGATCATCTAGGACTATTTGGAGCTATGGATGCTTGGATGAAGGGGTTAAAATACTTCAGATGTCACCATTAGCTCCAAATAGGCCCATATATCGCCAGAGGGTCTAGTTATGCAGTGTGGCAAGACACGCTATACCAAACACAGTATTTGCTGTTGAGCAGGGTCTGTGGCAAAAGAACACGTAAACAAGCGCCGAATAGAAAGTACCTTATCCATTGTTTCTAAGACATGCATGGAGCAATAGGTATGATTGGCTTGGTTGGGTTGGAAAATATTTGTCCATTCTCGCAAGTCCAACTATACTAGTAGAACGGGTAGAAGCTTGATTATTACAGTGCTTGAGTTTATGATTATATATATCTGCTACAGAATATTATGAAAATTCAAGTAGACTATATATGTTAAACACCTTCTCTGTGCCTAAAAGGATATGCTAATCAGTGCACATGCCTATCACTTAATCTAAGGCAGTATAATCCCTGCAGCCAGCCCAGATCCAACTTGGAAAGGCCGCAGACTAGGCTGACGGGACCCGCATTTCTAGGTTTGCCACCAGAGATCGACTAAGCTGGAATGGGTTAGACGCCGAAACGGGACTCCCAGAAGGATTCGACGGTCTCGTTGGGTTGGAGATGCACTGGGGCTGTTGTCAGGGGCTGCTTGATAATATTGTTGTCAAATGATACTGCTACTGTTCATTATGTAGACGGTTTATTCATTTTTGAATTGAAGAATACTGTAACAAGTAGTTCAGCTGCTTCAATCATACTCTCATGTCTTCCAATCTTATTCTCAAGCAACAGTTGCATCCCCAGGACCGCCCCTCAACCAAGGCAAGACCTTTCCACCCCAGTACTGTCTCATCTTATACTCTCCCAGACCCTGAGGCATAGACTCGATAGCATCGGCAAGGGCATTCCCTTCTCCCTTGGCACGCACCTCATCCAGTCTGGTCATGTAGCTGCGCACGGTGAAGATGATAGCCCGGGATCGGGGGAGGGCAGTGAGGGTCTGGTGCTCGACGCGGAGATAGCATTCGTTCAGCGGGGGGTTGTATTTTTCATCCTCGACTTGTTGGTCTTTTTCGGGGTAGAAGTTGTTGCCGTCTGTGCGGAAGAGGTCGGCGCCGTCGACTTGTAGGGACCACTGGGAACGTTAGATGGGATATCTATCTATGTATATGTTTGTTGGAAATACTCACGTTCATACGTCCGATGAACTGGCCAGGCTCCATCCGGGAAAAGTACCGGTCAACACTTGCGCCCAACTTCTTATCATACCCCGGCACAGGCTGGTGGATCTCCCTGACCGACTCGCCGACACGGGCAGGACTCAGAAACCCACCGGGAAAGCAAGCAATGTAGCCACGGAGACGGAACTGTCCGTCAGGGTCAGGACACATGAAGTAAAAGTCCTCTTCGACGTTATCCGACAGATAGCGCAGCATATCGGCGGGGGTGAGGCCGGCCGTGGTGAAGGGGTAACTGGAGCCGGTGGCGAGGTTGTCGACGAGGTTTCCGCGGATCTTGAACATGGTTGGGAAGCGTTGGGGGAGGTACTTGATCATGATTTCGTCGTAGAGTTCTTCGATGGCGGGGTCGACGATCTTGCCGGTGCCGATGGTGAGCTCGGGCTTGTCTTCGACGAGACCGCGGCGTTCTTCGAGGCGCTTGAGGTAGCCGGAGTCGATGCGGATCCAGCTGTCGCGGGTTTGTTTTTGGATTCCTATTTTGTTAGTAGACGATGATGGAAGTGAAGGAAGACATACCCATGGTGACGTGGCCCTGTGTCCTGTATGGCTTGTAGTCGATAGGAGGAGTCGTCTTGAAGTCAAAGTCTTTCAAAGGCTCAACAGCCCAGAAGGGATCGAGCTTGGTGCCAAAGACAGACGCCACAATGCCATTGTCCTAGTCATTGTCAGATGTATTCAGCCAGCTAGATGGAACACATACAGCAGACTTGCCATTGAACCTTTTCACGAGAGCCCTGACGGCCACGAAGCCCAGAATGAGCAATAAAGAAGTAATGACAGTTTCCATTGTGAAGAGAGATAATGAAGGAGAATGATCTGATGTCTGGATGGAAAGGGCAACCCAACCTCGACCTTTATATCTTCATCTCCTCGTCTTCCCCTCCTTTCTTCAACCAACTACACCGTAGACCGCGTACAGCACATCTACAAACAGCCCCATCCCAAGGTCGCATGAATCCTTGCGAGACGATATTGACGACGCCCGATACCGGGAGAGTAGCCAACACGCAGCAACACGTATTCCCAATGTCTGATGCCTGAATTACATCTCAACATTATACAAAAGTACCGATATGGAGATCTAGATTCCAACTAGATGCGCGGGGTAGATGACCATCGAGTGATTATCCCGTGTCTGAGTGGCCGGGACAGGCCATGTGAATGATCCTTGGGCCGTCTCAATATTGAGACGAGGATGAATACACAGAAGTGGTGATTGGCAGGATGGATGTCAGCAGAATGATCACCAGACTGAGGACCTGAGGAGGGAAGTCGATCCTTCATTCTGATACTGGAGGAGCTGACATGTGATCAGCATAGCAGAGCCGCGTTAATCTATTCCGCAGATGAGGCGGATCTCATGGTTATCTCAATAGAGATATTACATACAAGTGTCTGTCATTGGAATCTCAGAGTCTCGAAGATCTTTTAATCTAGATATAGTAAGTGCAGAAGGCGATATCAGACTGATATATGATGTAACTAGTATAGAAGACATCGGCAGTAAGATCAAATAGCATATCAGATAAAATTACATATAATCTTCGGTCACGAATACTGCAGAGATCCAAGGCAGATCCCTGCAATCAGTGAAGAAACATACGCTATTCTGCAATGTCACCTTCATAACGCCTATATTTGAAACATCCGGGATATGCATCCAGCAGGATGATATGTCTTATACTAGATTAGGGCTGGGATCAGCCAGGACCAGCGAATGCGATCAACTCGAATTGGCCAATGGGATGCAAGCCTTCGCTAATACCATTGCCCACAAGGCTATTTCTCTTGGCGGACTACTTTTGATTATTTTGAAATCTTTTTTGTTGTTTGAGCTGGGATATTGGGGGAATATATCTATCAATTGAAATATATCTATATATATATGTACATCTAGATGAGTGAGGAAACTGGCAACCAAAACAGTCGATTCGAAATGTCCAAAGTGCGGATTCTGATTCCGACGATCGACACGCCAGGTCTGCAGCTGACCGTCAGCACTAGTCTGACAGCCTAGGCAAAGCTTAGAGAACTTAGCGTCAGCCCCGTTGCTAGTGATGTGACTCTGCGGGGGCCAAATGCGTCCGAAGTCGGCACGGAATTGATCTGCGCTTGTTGCCCGAGGAGGTCCGAGTTGGATCTAGATGTTGTATACAGATAGAGTATACAGTTCTGAGTATTTATTGTGTTGGTAGCTCTGTATACTTCTATTGTATCTACCAGAATCAATTGAAGATTGAACTATATCACCATGACCAACTCTACCAATACCGCCAAAGTACGTTACCACCATCATTATCATACCCATCTAACAATCGAAAGCCCTTCTCCAGCTACCAGCATGACATCTACATCGCCGGCACAAAAGGCATCAAGCCTATCATGACCACCAACCCCAACCTCTGGGAATCCGCTGCAAAGCAAGTCATGGAGCCCATGAACTTTGACTACGCAAAGGGCGGCGCTGGCGCAGGCGAAACCGTCCGCAGAAACCGCGAGGCATTTGACAAATGGAGTATTATTCCGCGCATGGTGAGGTCGAATACGAAGCGGTCTCTCAAGGTGAAGGTGTTGGGCCAGGAGTGGGATTCGCCGATTGCCATTGCGCCGGTGGGTGTGAATCGTATTTTTCATCCGTGAGTGGATATCCTCCTTGATGTTGAGGATGTATGGGATTCTGATATCTGATATCTGATATACCTAGGGACGGAGAAAAAGGCATCGCCCACGCAGCAGGCAAAATGGGCTCTCCATACGTACTCTCCACGTTTGCATCCGAGAGCCCCGAAGTCGTCGCGCAGGCCCAAGACGCCGCCGCAGGCCACGACCACAGCATCCGCTGGCTGCAGCTATACTGGCCACAGTCTGTCGACCACGACGTGACACGCTCCATCCTACGCCGCGCAAAGCAACACCGCTACACGGCGCTCGTCATCACGCTCGACATCTTCTCGATGAGCTGGCGCCCCATGGACCTGGACAACGCCTACCTGCCACTATACAAAGGCTACAGCACGGCACTGGGCTTCTCCGACCCGGTCTTCCGGCGGAAGTTCCGGGAGAAGCACGGCCACGAAGCGGACGAGGATATCCTCAAGGGTGCGTTCGAGTGGGAGAATACCATCTTCCCCAATCTGGCGCATACTTGGTCTGAGCTGGAGTTTCTGCGGAAGGAATGGGATGGGCAGATTCTCGTCAAGGGGATCCAGACGGCGACGGACGCTGAGATGGCGGTGCAGGCGGGTGTGGATGGGATTATCGTGTCGAACCATGGGGGAAGACAGTATGATGGCGGGTATGGGTCTTTGGACGCGCTGCAGGAAGTTGCAGAGGCAGTGGGGGACAAGGTCGATGTTCTCTTCGACAGTGGTGTGCGGACGGGGGCAGATGTCATGAAGGCGCTGGCACTCGGGGCCAAGGCTGTGTTTGTTGGAAGACCGATTATCTACGGACTGGGGGCGAGAGGACAGGAAGGGGCGTTGCATGTTCTCCGCTGTCTGTTAGCGGATCTGGAGATCAATCTTGGTATTACCGGTGTTCAGAATGCGGTGGACTTGAAGCCGAGTGACTTGCGGCGATATGAAGCCAAAGCTAGTCTGTAGTCTAAATAGCCTTCAAGAATAATCATATATTCAACCCCTATTACAGCATCTATATCCAGTCTCTACTTCCTAAGTCCTCGCCTTCGCCGCCTGACTAAAAACACTATGCCCCCTGAGATAATCCCCAAACCGAATAAACGCAAACGGAATCAGAATCATCACCAAACTCGCAAACCCCAACAAACTCGTCGCCCAATGCGTCCCCAGTCTCCCAAACATCGGCGCCGTAGCCAGCGGCAACAACGCCCCAGAGACACTGCGCGTACAACTCGCCGCGCCCAACGCACTCGCCGCAAACGTGCCATACGCGTCGGCGAGGTAGTTGATCAGCGCCATGAAGATGAGCAGAAAGCCAATGCCAAAGGGGATGCCCGAGAGCATGGGGACGATCCAGTGCACGAGTGAAGTGGCGGACCAGGCGAGCCAGAAGAGAGAGATGGTGTAGAGGGGTCCGCCGAGGCAGGCGAGGGGGAGGCGGCGGTATTCTTCGATTTGGACCCAGGGTTTGTGCTGGGCGCGGGCGGTTTGGTAGATGGAGTCGTAGGCGAGGTAGACGATGAAGGAGAGGAGGGCGCCGATGCCGACTTTTTTGTTAGTTTTACATTCATTATAGTATGTGGGAAGACGTACTGGGGATGAATGCGAGACCGCATTGGCCGGTGGTGAAGCCGTAGATTCCCTGGAAGATAATCGGGTATGCTTCGAAGAAAAGGTAAAAGATGGAATATGTCAGGGAAAGATAGATGCAGGAAAACAGGACAATCGACTCGGAGTAGATCATTCGAATCGGGCGTGTCAGGACTCTCGTCACCAGATCTCGCAGACTGGGCGTGGCCAGGTTGGCATCGTCAGACGAGATGCCATGCGTCTTATTGTGCTTTCGCAATAGCACAGGGCGATACGTCTCGGGGAGAAATACCAGCGCCGGCCACGAAGCACCTGCGATGATCAACGCAATCCAAAACGTCCATCGCCAGGTGATGGTCGAGATATACCCCGAGATGAGCGGTCCCATTGTCGGGCCCAGCGTTGTCGCCTGTCCTGTCAGCATATAAACCCATGATAGCGTGCAGCACCTACAGCCATAAACCCAGCCATCGACCTCCCTCGTGTCTTGGGATCAGAAAAGATATCCGCATACAGCCCTCCAACGACAGCAGTGGGCGACGAAGCAAAAATACCAGAAAACAACCGAAAGATGACAATCGCTGCAAAATTCGGCGCAACAGCACACGCCAGAGTGAAGATGGTATACCCCGCAAACGTCCATATCATCACGGGCCGTCTACCGTACGTCTCGGACAAGGGGCCGAAGAGAATAGGACCGAGGACATATCCGATCAAGTATGTGGTGATGGGGAGCACGAGCTGTTGCTGGTTGGTGATGCCAAAGTCGGCTGCGATGAAGTCGATGGCGCCGCTGGGGAGAGCAGATCCGAGGGTGCTGTTGAGAACAATCACCATGCCCGTGACGAAGACGAATAGTTTTTTCTTCTATCGTGTGTTAGCGTTGACAACTGCAGGGATGGTAACTTACTGTCGTCCAACTGTATGGATCCGGAGTGGTTTCTTCAATCATACTGGCAGAGTGAGAAATGCCTTTCATCTCAGATATTGTATGTATTGCTCAGACTAAGTATCCCCATATCTATATATCCACACCCAATGCCCTCTGTGATATTAGAAATAACAGCAACAGTACAAGCCAGCCGATATCGGTGGACCCCTGCTGGCCCTAAACAGCCCCCAAAACGAGTGGATTTGCATTGCCGATCCGCTTATCTACACTTTGGCTAGTTGCGGCCCGCAGCGGACGTTCTTTTGTGCTCCAGATGGCGTTGTCTGTTGTCCTCCGATGTCGGGGCTGCATACTCCTCGTGGCACTGGACATGGCTTATAACTGCTGGAAACACCCAGTCTGTATCATCTCCAGAGACAGACAGACAGACAGAAGAAACATGGCACAAGAGAAAGACATCTGGTCCGCCGACCTGTATGGCGACAAGGTGGCCCCGTTCGTTGCAACCTCGACTGAAAAGGTCCTCACCTGGCTCGACCCCCAGCCAACTGGTAAGGCTTCCCTACAACAACGATAAACCTCACTAACAAACCAGATGAAATCCTCGACATCGGCGCCGGGGAAGGCCCCCTGACAGCCCGCATCGCCCCCCACGTCAAACGCATCGTGGGTGTCGACGGCTCCCCCAACATGATCGAGCACTTCCAAAAGACCTACCCGCATATCGAGTCCCGCGTGGTAGACTGCCGTCTGCTGGACCAAGAAGCCGACCTGACAAACGGCAGCTTCACCAAGGTCTTTTCGAACGCCGCTCTGCATTGGATTCTGCGGGATCCCGAAACCAGAGCCAACACGATCAAGGGCTGCTTCGAGGCTCTCGAGCCAGGTGGTTTGTTCGTGAACGAGTCCGGTGCGCTGGGAAATGTGGCCGAGGTGCATTCTGCTATTATCAGTGGGCTGGTTACTCAGGGTATTCCGGTTGAACAGGCCCGCGAAGCATCGCCTTGGTGGTTTCCTTCCGTGCAGGCGATGAAGAATCTTGTTGAGGGAGCGGGCTTTATCTGGGTCAAGGGCGAGGCTGAACTCAGACAGACAAGACTGACGGACAATGAGAAGGGTGGTGTTGAGGGATGGTGAGTTTACTGATATATTCCCGATTGATCGATCGCTAATGGAGTAGGATCCGTCTGTTTGGCGAGCATTTTCTGCAGCTTCTTCCGACTGTCGAGGCACGCGATGCTGCTGTCAAGCATGCCGTGGACGTTCTCGAGGCGGTTGGACGACAGCAACATGATGGTTCTTTCACCGTCAATTACATTCGTCTTCGCTTTGTTGCTCAGAGGCCTGAATAACTGCTCGCTGATATGATTTATGATAGTTCTCATCAATATTTACGTCTTTCCTCTTATAGTAGTAGTAGTAGATTCGGCTCGGACCGAAGCCGCATTCCCATCTGGTTGTATGCAAGCGTCGGCTATGATCCGACATTTCGGCATTATCCGTGATAGTTATCAGCAGTATATAAGATATAAACGCAATTCGAGTGAATCAAGTTCTGTAGAAATATTATTACATTCAGTGATCATACAAAATGGGACAAACATCCACATCCATCGTCGACGCCTCCGACGCATCCCTCTTCTCAACAGCCCCATACATCCCCCCCGATGCCATCTTCGCCCTCACAGCAAAATACCTCAACGACACCTCCCCCCAAAAGGTAAATCTAGGACAAGGCACCTACCGCGACGAACAAGGAAACCCATGGATTCTGCCCTCCGTACGGAAAAGTCGAGAAATCCTGACTGCCCAGAATGTGAATCATGAGTATTTGCCGATTCTCGGCCATGCGGGGTTTAGAAAGGCTGCGACGAGACTTGCGTTGGGAGAGAGGATTTTCAATGAACTCGAGAGTAAAGTATGAATCATCTATAATTGTGTATTGAATGAAATGAAGCTGACAGAATAGATTGCAATCTGCCAAAGTCTCTCCGGCACCGGCGCCCTCCACCTCGCAGCACTTCTTCTGCGATACTCTCAAAGCCCACTCCCAGAAGTCCTCATCCCCCAACCAACATGGTCAAACCACCACCAAGTCTTTTCATCGCTCGGCTTCAAATGCCAATCCTTCCAGTACTATGATTCCAGCAGGCGAGATCTGGACTTTGAATCGTACATCTCCACGCTGAGATCTGCGACCCCACACTCGATTGTTATTCTGCATGCGTGCGCTCATAATCCCACCGGCTGCGATCCGAGTAAAGAGCAGTGGAGGGAAATAGGGCGCGTCATTAAAGAGAGACGCCTATTTCCTCTGTTCGACTCGGCGTATCTAGGCTTTAACTCGGGGAATGTTGACGATGACGCTTTTGCTATTCGGTATTTTGTTGATGAGTTGAAGCTTGAGGTTGGGGGGTGTTTATCTTTTGCAAAGAATATGGGGCTTTACGGTATGTATTTCTATCTATATTGATCTGGAATAACCATCTAATAATACAGGCGAACGCGTTGGCTGCGTCTTCATCATCACCAAAACCGACGATACAGCCAGAAACACGCAATCTGTGCTTGAAATGCTGCAACGGTCTGAAGTCTCCAATCCGCCTGCATATGGAGCGAAAATAGCAGCGACCATTCTCGACGATGATAAATTACGACAGATGTGGTATGATGACTTGATAACAATGAGTTCGCGGATTCGCTCCATGAGGCAGGAGTTATATAACTACTTGATTCAGTTTGGTAAGACCTCCTCATACTTTTCCCTATAGGGATGCTGATGATATCAGGAGCACGGGGAACATGGGACCATCTTATCCGGCAATCAGGCATGTTTGGCTTTCTGGGACTGTCGTCTGAAGTTGTTGTTCGATTACGAGGTGAGTTATAAAGAATGACTGATAATGGATGGATGCTAATTGAATAGAGGAATATCACATCTACATGGCGGACAATTCGCGCATTTCCATTGCGGGATTGAATCCGGGGAATGTCGAATATGTGGCTCGTTCGATTGCAGAGTGTTTGAAGTAGTTTCTTATTGTTGCTTTTGTCTCGTTCTCATGCCTACTAGATAGCCATAATTAGTATGATATATTAATATCAGACAGACACTAGATTCCAGACTAAACCACTCATGCTCCTGGACTCCCTTTATCGATAACCGCTCCTCCGGCCTAAACCGCGTCAACTGTCTCAAAAGATCACCCAGGACCTTTACTTCCTCTTGCGAAATATCACGGATTTCACCTTCAACCTCAACGCCAAGTTTAAGTAGATCTTCAACAGCCCGAATCTCTTTGACCGGAGTTAGATCTTTTTGAACTGCACGCCACTCAGAGTCCGGCTCGTCTTGGAACCAGTCCCGACACCCTTCCCAAGTCGTCGACCACCATGGCTCTGGCAAAGGACCAAGCATCAAGACTAGAAAGTATAGATAATCATCGGGTTCATTGTCAAATAGATCAATTATCTTTCGTCCCATTCGAATAGTGAAGAGCGTACAAGCAAGTGCCCACAGATCACTTGCAATACTGGGCGGCTCGCCTAGTAGCAGTTCAGGTGCACAGTAGCTTCTGGGTGTTCCTAATGTTTTTGGTGGATGTGATAGATCAAATGATTCACCAAAATCAATGACGTAGATCTGATCGGTAAGAAACTGAGGGTCAAGATCATAGAAATCAATCGAGTCAACAAGGTATTTTCGTGCAGTTCCTGGCAATGGTTGTCCAGAGTAGGTGGTGACTTCGGATTTTATTGGTTCGCCTAATATTTCAATGACCTTTTCTTCAGATAGGCCATCAAGTCCAGTCATGCGGACGAGCACGTTTCTTGGTATAAAATCTAGAATTGGTTAGATACCATATAGATGCTTAGTATATGGGCGACTTACCTCCATGACATATTCCATGACTGTGTAGTGAAGCCAAGGCCTTAACAGCCTGGAGAGCCATGCTCTGCAATGTTCTCTGATCCTTAAATTCTTGTGTGATAGAAGAAACAGGCGGCCCAGCAAGAGGGTAGACAAAGCACCAGTGCTCTCCATTTGGTCCTTTCATTTTGAATTGATCCAGTGGTAGACAGATTGAGTCATTATCAATCTTTAATTGACTCAATTTGTTGACTTTCAGCTCAGGGCAGTCATCCCCATAGAACCTAGCCATGATAATCTTTAATGCAACATATTTCGGCATTGGGTCCAGAACATGACACAGCCAGACAGTCCCAAATCCTCCATAACCGAGTTTGTGAATCACTTTATATTTGCCACCATCTCCAAGCCGATCGCCCAGGTGAACTGGATGGTGGCCACCGGGTTCATAGTTGAATACCTTCTCTAGATCTCTGGAGAAGCATTGAGCTTTAAATCGAATCCAGGGGTATGGGGATTGAAGCCTGAGCATTTCTTTGCTGGGCCATAGCTGACAAGTTGTGGTAGCCTTTGGTGATTTGCTGAAGACGACAGTCGTCGAAATCAGGTGTGACTGTTCCTTATTTTTCTGACCTGTTGCTATGTTATCAGGGGTAATATATGAAGTCGCAGTGATGGATAATCGAGTACACACCGCAAGTGACAGGCTAGAGAGGGGAAATCGGCGATGTGGGGCTGGATGAAAGGGTAATTAGGATAGTATTAGTAGTAATCCTAAATAAGGGTTAGTATATACTTAAATTTTATACAAGATATTAAGTATTATTTTTATTATAAACTATGTAGTGAATATAGTACCGAAGACGAATGGATATCCACAAAAGCTACTAAAGAATGAATTGTCCGATCTGGGAATATATGTATGGTAGACGGACGATGCTTATGAAACGGAGACAATATGTCTTACATCATTCAACATTATCAACTGGTAATGATATCTTGATATAAACGATAGATAATCAGTAGATTGACACCTCAGGTTCATGACATGTGACCTGTACAAAGTACAAGATAAACAAAGAACCCCGCACGACTTGAGCTCCTCATCAACTCATCCATCTTCAATCTCAGCGATTCCTGCTAGCATCAGAGATAGATCAACAATGGCTTTCAAATGCGAGGCTGTATCTGTGTTCCACGCATTCCTTTTCCTGGTATGACTGCTGCCGTATAATGCTTTGCTGGGCTGATCGTCTCCACAGTGCTCTGCAATCAGCCTCATCCTTGGAGCGTACGTACTCAATCAACATTCAAAAAGAATCTTTCTAACATCATCAAGCCTAGCCTGGTCTCGCAACTCATCTTTCCACCTCCCTCTCCCAACCTCGCTCCCAGCCCTGGCAACACTCCTCTCCCCCCTCACCATCCTCGCCTTGATCGCCACAAAACTCTTCATCCCAGCAAACAGAAATACATCACCCCTTAACCTCTACCGCTGGAGAATCCTCTCCATAGTCGACCAACTCCACTCCATCGCCTCGACCATCATCGCCACGATAGTCCTGACCTACCTCTTTCCAAACAACATCTTCTCGTGCCATCTCGAGCAGCAATGGCAGGCATTCTTCCAGTCCCGAGACGCAACAGCCATCCGAGCAATCCAGGATACATTCCAGTGTTGTGGGCTGCGGAGTATCCATGACCGCGCGTGGCCGTTTAAAGATCGGAACCACGGCGATAATGCATGTGAGCAGCAGTATGGATACAGACAAAGCTGTTTGTTGCCGTGGGGTGAGCAGCAGCGCGTCATCTCGTGGATGGTGTTTACGGCTGCTGTGCTGGTGTGGGCTGTTAAGGTAATTTACCTGGTTCTTTCTTAGTTTATGTTGTATTAATCGTGTGTAGGTTGGCTTCTTCCTGTTCGACCGCCGTCAAGCTAGTTGGATGAGTACGCAGTCGTCGAGAGGAGCGGTGGAATACCAACGAATCACGCAGCCAGAAGAAGAAGAGGAGAATGATCAGAATGGTTCTGCGGAGAATGGAAATGGAAGGATTCTATTGCCCCACGAGAGACCTCATGAGAGAACTGCGTATTCCAATGAGTGGGAGCAGCGTTGAACTCAATTGGGCTATACTTCAATTTCTAAAATGAGGGTGACGTAGAAATGGTGAGATTTCGTCAGGGTTAAATGTTGAATTCAGACTAGTCTATCATTTTCTACTTTGTTAACAGTAGATGCCTCCTTACACTATTTGCGTATATCCTCAATATGACCAAGTTCTAAGTATCATCAACATGGCATGCATACAGGGAAGCAGTGGGGCCTGTTGCCAAGCATTGAAGCGTGATCAGCAACCAGCAGGAATCCAGGAGAAACGGATTCATCTAACATGGTCCGTTTAGACCCAGGCTTAAACATGATTCGTTCGTGGCGGCGTGCCTTTCAACCTGTCAGGATCAATTCAACTTTCTATTCTCCCCTACCCACGAGACACTTGAGATGCCAGCCTTTGTTGGCAGATCGCATGATAGCGTCGTCGACGCTAGTCCCGACAGCTCCTCGCCCATTCCCCACTTCTGGGTTTGAGATGATTGACTCTACAGAAATGATAGAAGAGGAAACGCTGCCTACATATTCCGCCGAAAAGTATTATCCTGTCCACATTGGCGAGGTGCTCGATGATCGATATCAAGTACTCGCAAAACAGGGATATGGCGTAACATCTACCGTTTGGCTTTCTCGTGATCTGGAGTACTTCTGCCTCATTCATCTATAAGGGGGTTTAGACTAAATATATAATACATCCAAATATGTTGCATTGAAAATGTACGTTTCTGGCGTGGAACGAAACCATGAACTCAGCGTGTACGACCGCATCAATTCAGCCAAAACAGACCATCTGGGCAGGACTTTTATCCGCAAACTATTAGATCATTTCTACATTCAAGGCCCTCATGGCCGCCACATCTGCCTTGTCCATCAAGCCCTTGGACTTAGTGTGGATCAATTTCTGTGTTTTCTTGACGGGCAGGTAATGGGCCTGAAAGACCTCAAACCATTCCTTCGACAACTTTTAGGAGTCTTGGGTTTTCTTCACACCGAAGCCCATATCATTCATACCGGTAAGTCTTCTTATCAGCAAGCGACATGCAGTGACTGACTGCAAAGATATACAATTAAAAAACATGTTGCTTCCAGCCCATGAGCCGGGATTCTCTGGTATCGAGGAAGGCGAAATGGAGTACCCTTCACCCAGAAAGATCCTTGACAGCCAAATAATCCACACAAGCCAGATCCCCATTCCAGGTAATGGCTTGCCACTACTTAGTGACTTTGGTGAAGCTCGATTCATAGGCAAGAAACACGATGATGATATCATGCCGAATGTATACAGGGCACCTGAGGTTGCGCTGAAAATGGACTGGGATTGTAAGGTTGATGTGTGGAATGTTGCTATGGTGGTGAGTATTTCTGATTATACATAATATGCTATGCTAACATGGTGGAGGCCTGGGATATCGTCTGACGTAAAACTCTCTTCAATGGCAGGAATAAGGACGACATATTCGATGATCGAGTTCATCTCGCGGAAATGATTGCAATTCTGGGTGCCCCGCCAGTTAAATTTCTCAAACAGAGCAGAGTTCATTCTGTATTCTGGGATGATGAAGGTATTGCCCCTTCCCATGAATTATTATAACCCCGCTAGCGTATCCAGGTAAATGGAAAGATCTGGCACCAATCCCTGATATAAAACTCGAGGGACTGGCAAGTGATATCAAAGGAGACAATAAAGAGGGCTTTCTACGTTTCATGCGAAAAGCATTGATGTGGAAGAGTGAAGATCGACCAACGGCTAGAGAACTCATGTTTGATGAGTGGTTGATGGAGGGGTTGGATCTTAGCAAGAAGGTCAACCAGACGTAAAATGTATATCTCATAGACAGCAAGTACTGTGACATCAAATATACTCAAGATAAACACGCCCTGTTGGCGACATAAATCGGGTGCAGTACCCGAATCGGGATAGACCCGAGATGCCGTATATTAGTCACTACATCATCATAATATCCTCTCCATTCATCCATCTATCAACTCCATCTATCATCATTCTTATCATCCATTCTAAAATGAAATCCAAACGATCTCCCTTGCGGGTCTCTCTACACCCTCGCATCAATTACAACTACAACACCAGCCATCTATACAGAGCCAAATCAACCTCAGTAGAAAAACATCATGTCCTCCCCCCGCACTCCCTTCTCCCCACAAAAATGCTCTGGCGATCACTTCTCGTCGCCACGATATCCTCCCACCCACGCCTTCTCTCAACCTCTCTATCATTACTTACCCACATCACACATCCTCGATTCTTTTTACTAGACGTGAATAAGAATCCAATCTTGAGAAGCATTCTGAAAACCACATTCTACAACCATTTCTGCGCAGGCGAGAATGGGCGAGAAGTCACCGCCACTATCGGGAGAATCAAAGATATGGGGTTTAGGGGTGTGATTCTGACGTATGCGAAGGAAGTTGTTGATGCTGATGAAACAGCGAAAGAGGGCATTCAAAGCGAAAAAGAAAGCTTGAATACCGAGATTGAGGCATGGAGACAGGGTGTGCTGCAGACTGTTGAGATGGTTGGTGATGGTGACTTTTTGGCGCTCAAGTACTTCCCCATCATCCATATATGTATATCTACCTACTAATGAGAATAGATTCACCGGGGCAGGCCCCCTCGCCACACAAGCACTCGCATCCAACAAACCCCTCCCAGGCCAAATGATGTCTGCACTGAGGGAAATCTGCACTCGCGCCATCCAACGCAACGCACGCATCTTCATCGACGCAGAGCAAACATCCGTCCAGCCGGGCATTGACGCCGTCGCTCTAGATCTCATGCGATTATACAACCGAGACGGAGCAGCAACGGTCTACAATACGTACCAAGCATATCTCAAATCCACACCATCCAACCTCCTCTCTCACTTCGACATTGCAGAGAAGGAGGGGTTCACGATAGGCGTGAAACTCGTCCGAGGAGCGTACATCAACTCCGAACCGCGGAGATTAATCAACGATACGAAATCCGATACCGATGATTCGTATAATTCCATCGCGGGAGGAATTCTCACACGCCAATATGGGCCATTCGGTCGTGAGAGAGCATTCCCTCCTACAGATCTCTTTCTAGCAACGCATAATAAAGAAAGCGCACTCACTGCACACGAACTCTATCAACACCGCTTGTCCACCAGGGAACCAACGACCAAAGTGCAATACGGCCAGTTAATGGGCATGGCAGACGAAGTGAGCTGTCGATTACTGCAGTTGAAGAGTGACGGGAAAGCCTCGCCGGAAGTGTATAAATGCCTCAGCTGGGGGACGCTGAGTGATTGTCTTGCATACCTGACGAGGAGAGCCGTTGAGAATCGGGATGCGGTGGGGAGGAGTAAACAGGAATATACTGCTCTTAAGACGGAGGTGAAGAGGAGAATTATGAGTTATTTCAAATCATAGTATATAATGAATATAAACATTATGGTGTGACTCATTAATGGGGCGGTAAATAGGCAGCAATTCTCACCCGACTCAGACCTCAGTAATTATTCTCAACCAAGCCCAACCACCACCAGCAAACATCCAAAATGCCATCGATGAATCAGAAAAAGTTCGTCGAGCAGTTCAAATACGCTCTCGAGTCCAATTTTACCTCCCCATCTGGTGAGCCAGCATTGTTGGCTCCTGATCATCCGAAAAAATGGGGCCAAGAGAGGGCGAGGATTCAGCTGGACGGAGAGGCAAAGGAAATGACTCTGAGTCCAGACAAGAGATTCGTTGCAGTTAGTATTGAGAAGGAGATTCATGTCTTTGATGTTGCTGGGGAAGCGCGTGCCGAGGTGTTGAAGGGGCATGTGGGAATCGTGGACGATATCAAGTTTGCTCCGGGTTTATTCGACAGCAATGGTGCCCGTTATATGTTGGCATCAGGTAGTGGAGGCTATGGTGATGAGCAGATGGTTATTTTATGGGAGCTGGATGAGAATGGAAAGCTTATATCGAGAGAAAGCGAGAAGACATTGGACGTGGATGCCCTCACAGCCAAAGCACTGCAACCTCTTATATCCGAACTGGCAGACAGTCACGGCTGGAATCCAGCTGGAAAAGCTATTACCACTCTAGAAGAAGACGTGAGAAACGCCCTTCGCAACGCCATCGCCATCCACGAGCAAGAAGACAAACATTGCCTCGCCGGCGAACTGGCTTCATTCGGCAGTCCTGCCTTCGGCCCAGACGGCAAGACGCTCATCTATCTCACCCAGAATCACTCAACGCAGGAAGAAACCCGTGAAGCTGCATCTCTTCCCTGCGTCAATATCTGGGATGTGCAAAGTAAATCCCTCCGGCACCAACTGCGCGGCCACACCGACTCTATAATGTGGGCTGCCACAAGCCCAGATAACAAACTAATCGCATCTATCGCATGGGACGGCACAGCGCGGATCTGGGACGCCAGTTCCGGCGAATGCCTACACATCCTCGGTCCCTTCAATGGGCAACTCTGGTCCGGCGCCTTCTCCCCAGACAGCACCCATCTCGCCATCAGCCAAGGCAGCCCAAACACCCACTTACACGTCTACAACATCCACACCGGCACGTCCGTCTCCTGCTTCGACGAGTTCGAACGCTGGGCCCGTTCCATATCCTGGAGTCAAGACGGAAGCATGCTAGCAGGTGCCGGAGAAGGCGGCACCCTATACGTCTGGGATCCGTACACGGGAGTTGAAAAGATGCGACGGAGTCTCGCGTTGGACGATCCAATGATGAGTCGGTTTGCGGGGATCTCTGGGGTGCAGTTTGTGGATGGAGGGAGGAAGCTGGTGTTTCAGATTCGGGATGGGACGGTGGAGGTTTATGACTTTGAGAAGAATGTGAAGCAGTTGTTTCTGAGGGAGGGGGAGAAATGTCCCCGGGCGGGGGTGGTTTGTTCAGCGGATTCGAGGATGCTGGTTGCTTCGGGTGGAGATATTTTGAGGGTTTGGGATTTAGATTGAGCTATAGTCACCTTTTTTACATCATGAAGCTATAGTTGTCTTGTTGTATCTCGGGTTTATCCGATCATCTCGGCAAATGCCGAATGATCTATACGGGAGTAGACCGACACTATCTTTTAGAATACATTATTTAAACAGGAATTCCACAAGAATGAAACATAATCTTCAATTATAATTTAGTTATCTGCATCATCCAATAAAGAAATCTATCAACATGCCCCCCAAATACGGCGTCTACTCCCCCATGGTGACCTTCTTCCACCCCAACGAAGACATCGACTACTCCAGCATCACAAAACACGCCCAGCGCCTCTTATCCAGCGGCGTCTCCGGCCTCGTCATCCACGGCAGCAACGGCGAAGCAACCCATCTGCTGCACGACGAACGAGCCAAGATCATCCGCCATGTGCGGGACATCGCCAAAGAGTACCCCGAGACAGTAATCATCGCAGGATGCAGTGCGAATAGTGCCCGCGAGACGCTGTTGTATATCAACGAGGCCAAAGACGCGGGGGCAGATTATGCGCTTGTCCTGCCGCCGAGTTATTGGTCTGCTGCGATGAGTAAACCTGTGCTGAGAGCGTTTTATGTCGAGGTACCCTCCCATATCCCTAATCTGGATGATGATGAATATTAATCCAGAAGGTCGCTGAAAAATCCCCCCTCCCCCTCGTCATCTACAACTTCCCCGGCGTGACATCCAACATCGACCTCGACTCGGACCTGATCATCGACCTCGCAACTTCCTGTCCCAACATCGCCGGCGTCAAACTCACCTGCGGCAATCTGGGCAAGCTGCAACGCATCTCTGCCTCGCTACCTGCTACCTCTTTCGCCCCGTTTGCCGGGAAAGCAGACTTTCTCCTGCCGGGCCTGACTGTCGGCTCGAACGGGGTGATTTCCGCGCTGGCGAACGTCGTTCCAAAGGTCCACGTTGAGGTGTTGAGGCTCTACCAAGAAGGTAAAATTGAAGAAGCGCAGGACGTGCAGAGAAAATTGTCAGTCGCAGATTGGGCGCTGCTGAAGCTGGGGATTTCCGGGGTCAAGGCGGCGAGTACCAAGTGGTTTGGGTATGGGAGTTCGCAACCGAGAAAGCCGTTGCCGTGGGTTGGGGTTGAGGCTATTCAGGGGGAGGTGGAGAAGGCGTTGCAGGTTGTGGTTGATATGGAGATGAAGTTGTAGTTGTATGCTGTTATGAATACTCAGAGTGAGGGAGGGAGGATCGGCTAATGACCCGAATTATGATTACCCCGCCATGAATTTCCCGCCTTGAGAAGCACCTCAACCATCAGAGCAGCAAAAGATGAAGTTATCTGAATATTCCTGATAACTCGTATTATATATCTATTCTTATTCTCCTGCAATGACAACTCCCCCACGCACCGCCAACGCGTAAGTGCATCTGCAGCCTCGGATCAATCTCCGATCGGCTGATCCCGTTATCTGACTGTGACCAGGTGCGAATCATGTCGGCGTCGCAAGGTGAAATGTTCCGGCAGTCAGCCCTGTCGAAGCTGTACCAGGCATAATTGGGAGTGTGTGTTTGGGGGGTCTGGGAGGAGCCGGTATTCTGAGACGTATGTCTGCTCTATTGAGTGGATGATGGATGGCTGATGAGGTAGACATGTTCGGGGATTGTTGGATCGGATTCGGGTTTATGAGGAGCGGATTGCGGTGCTTGAGCGTGAGTTTTCTTATATTTAATATGGATGATACTGATTAACAGGTGTTCCAGGTGCTTCCTTTCAAAATACACCTGCAGAGCCGGAGATAGCTTCATATCCTGACAACGGCATCAGTCCTGGTAAGTCATCCCATCATATATAGAACCAACTAACTATCTAGCAACCGACTTGACCTCTGGCCCAGCATTCGAATCCCAAGTGAGGTCTCTCCTCGACCAGACTCATCCAGAACACAACGACTCGCAATGGACGTCCGCCAGACCCCTCGTCAACGAAGCCACAGCCCCGACAATCCCATCTCTATCTGAATCTCAACATCTCCTCGATCGCTTCCTCTTCTATCTCGGGGTGAGCCAGCACTTTTTCGACCCGCGCATGTTTTCCGATTCCATGATGCTGCTGTTTCAATCGCCACAGCAACGGGATTATCAGATGCGCTCGACTTGGTTTACCGAGTATCTCCTCGTCATGGCGATGGCGAAACTGATGGATGTGGATGAGCCTACTTCCCAGCCTCCTGGGGCAAATCTTTTCGCAGAGGCAATGAGACGATTACCTCCGCTGCATCAACTGGGTGAGGAGGGCGTTATTGCCGTGGAGATATTGACGCTGGTGACCACGTATCTGCAATGGTGTGATCGGAAACACGACGCTTACTTATATGTATGATCACCATCCTCATAAAGTACTATACTAATTAACAGATTGGCCTCGCCCTCCGCCTCGCCATCGCACTCGGCTGTGATCGACCAGCCCACGAACAATCCTGTCTCCCATCAGAAACCGCCCATCGCGTCCGTCTCTGGTGCACAGTCTACATGCTCGATCGACGCCTTTCCTCAGGCCTCGGGCTCGCAGCCGGCGCAGATGAACGACAACTCTGCTCTGAACTCCCTCGCCACGCGATTGGCTTTCAGTCCCCGGTTGCGTTGTCGATTAATGTCCGTATTGCGCGTACGACGGACGATATCATGTCTTGTATGTCTCTGATACTTGATGATATATAGGTACTAACAAGTCAGCGTTATACGGGAACACGTCCATCACGCAAATAGACCTAGTCCAGAAAATCCAGAAGATTCTGCACGACCTATACGAAACCGGACGATCGTTCCCTCCTGCATTGGTGTTGGATTTCAATCGGCCTCTTCAGACAGTAACCCGGACCGGGGCTTCGTTATACTTGATGCTATTCCAGGCTATCATTCTCTGCGTCCGCCCCATCCTCCTACAAAGGGTCCGTCAGAAAGTCAGAAAACAGCATGACCAACTCCCTCTAAGCCCGGTGCCTGCTGTACTGACCCGACTATGTGAGACATGCAACGAAGCAGCTACTAAAAGCCTGGCGATTCTATATTCTCTACAGCGCCAGCGCACAATTCGTAAGTCTTGGTCTCTCTGACAGACTCATCTAACTTTGTATAGCAAGATACGGCTTCTTCGACCTCGACGCCACCTTCTCCGCCGCCTTTGTCCTAGTAATGATGGGCTTCGTAGATAAAGATCGCGCACGACCACCAGCTCTAGACCAAGCCTTGGAAGTTCTGCGCTTCCTCGCCCGAGCCGGTAATCTCGCTGCAGAAAAGCGGTTACACGATATAACCCAGTCTTGTTCGCGAGTGTGGCCAGACCAGATACAACCAGAGACAACCAACTTTTCTCCCCAGCAGACAGAAATATACGACCCCTCAGACGAAAGTAGGTTGCTAGAAACATGGATGCACGCAGAGGGCACATCCGCACCGTTCGAGATGCAGCCAGACTGGAATTTAGATCTCGCCGTCGAAGCGGAGGGGATATACGAGAGTTTCTACGATCCGACCATGCCTCTGACGGGAGTTGATTATTTGGATTGGGCGGAGATTGAGAAGGTTTTTAACGAGAATGTATAATCTTGAGTTTTTCAAAGTGTATTATGGATGAGGGGGTTGACTCGGGTGTTGCACCCGATATCTCCATCGGTTCGCCATCCGGTCTGATCCCCGCATGTATTTAGAGACATCCAACATTCAACATCATCTCAATTCTTAATCTACTCATATTATCAGCTACAATGTCCTTTGAACCAGAACTCGAACCATCCCCAGCCCCCCTAATCCCGACCTGGAAAGATAACCTCAAAGACCTGACGGCGGGGGCGGCGGGGGGCGTAGCTCAGGTTTTTATCGGTGAGTGCCCTACAAATATATTATAATATAATATAAACTAACAGACTAGGACAACCATTCGGTATGTCGTCTATATCAATGCAGAGTGAAGCTAATGGCCAGATCTGGTCAAGGTGCGACTGCAAACACAGAGAGGGGGAAATGCGATATCTACCACGAGACATATCTGGAGGACGGAGGGGGCGTTGGCTTTTTATAAAGTATTCTTTAACCTTCAACCTGCTTCATAATCGTTCTCTGACAGAATAGGGCTCACTAGTTCCCATTCTCGGCATCGGTGCCTGCGTACGTCTCCCCCATATATCAAATACTCTACTAACAAAACCAGGTCAGCGTCAACTTTGGCGCCTTCCACTACTTCCGGCAGACACTCGAAGCCCATCAGAACAAAACAACACTCTCGACTCCCCAATTCTACCTCGCTGGCGGAATGGCCGGAATAGTAACCAGCCTCATCTCCACGCCCGTCGAACACATCCGTATCCGCCTGCAAACACAACCCCACGGGCATGCAAAAGTCTACACCGGTCCATTGGACTGCGTTAGACAACTCATGCGCCAAAACGGGATAAAAGGCATCTACCGTGGGCAGTGCATCACCCTCCTCCGCGAAATCCACGGCTACGGCGTGTGGTTCGCTACCTATGAAGCGTTACTCGGGTACACGATGGAAAAGCAGAATAAGAAACGCGAAGAACTACCTAACTGGCAGATTGCCGTTTGCGGGGGGATAGCTGGTGAAGCACTTTGGCTGCTGAGTCACCCGATTGATGTGATTAAAAGCAAGATGCAGTTTTATGGGAGTGAGGCGCAGTATAGCAGTGCAAGGGATGCGATGAGGCAGACGTGGAGTGCGGGGGTCAAGGGGCTTTTTGATGGGATTGGGCCGGCGCTGTTGAGGGCGATGCCGGTTTCGGCGGGGACGTTTGCTACGTGAGTCTTTCTCTTTTTGATATTGATGGTGATGCTGATTGTGTAGGGTTGAGGTGGTGAGGAAGTGGTTGGCTTAGATAGTCTGGGATATCAATTGGGATGTATCTATCTAGTCTAATGTCATCTATCCGTAACGTTCAGGTGTTTCAGAAAACTCGCTTTTGTCTCTTGCAAGATGCTTATCATCCTTCGCCGACCACGCAATGCAAGCCGCAGCCGCTCTAGAGGGCCCGACGTTGCGGTGGACGAGTCCTGTATGAGATGTTCCATCTGCAAGCAAAGATACTCCCAATCGCACTCTTCCGTTGTTTTAATATCATCGAGCTCAAAGATCAACGATCGCGGTGCCCGAGACTGCCAGTATCGATCTGGAACAGCCAAGTCCACGACTTGAAATAAAGGAGAAATATCCAAGCAGCTCAGCATATCGAGAATCGTATATAGAACCTCCAGTGGGAGATACGATAGTCGAGACGGTACTTTCTTGGAGGTTCGCTTTTCGATGCCCTTCTTTCTTCGCTGGCGACTGGTGTGAATTGTCTTTGCTACCAGCGGTATTCGAAGGGGGTCTTCACCATCGTGCCCGTGATTCTGGTCCTGCATTGTGCCAAACTTGAGATCTCTGAATCGTGCATAAAGAACCAGAGCAAGACACTCCAGATTCTGCTCCTCACTAGGGCCAATCACAAGCTTGATGAACGACCAGCAATGCATATGGATAGGCAGGCCCGTGATAGCCTGGACATCCGAGGGATCACAGTGTGTTTTGGTGACTGGCACGCTCACCACCCCGTCCTTTTCTTCAGGTTTCCGTTTGTACGATCCAAGAGCAGCAACGCCCTTATTAGAGGGAACGTAGAAATAATCATTGCGACAGGTGGTGCTTTGCGCAATCCCAGAGATCTGGTAAATACCTTCAATCTCATTGTAGATAACTGATTCAGTCAGCGAGATCTGGGTCATGTGTATGGTCGACATACTGAGACGATATAACCCCGTCCATTGGTTTTTGCACTTTTTTGTAAAGTAGCGATCCTCGACCTCAGACGCCTTGCAAAAGAGCAGTCCTTTATGCTTTTGCTCTTCCCATTGCGTTTCCCAGTCCAGCTTTTCAGAGAAAATATAATCCCATTTTCCTTGAACTACCACTGCCCCGCAGACGAGGCAGCAGGGACTGCGGAACATCGGTGTCATCTTTTGTTGAAGTTCGCATATGTACATGGGTATGTTTCAATATCAAGTCTCATTTTGATGTCATGATGAGCAGGACAAAGCAATGATACATCAGTTATGGATATGGTGGTGAGGTGATTCGGAGAGGTCAGTACTGATCTGATGTCATAGCTATCATCATATATCATACTACGATATAAACATACAATAACTATATGATTGATACTTAGCTCCATATGGATTCCGCGGGGACGTTTTCTATCTGAGTGTCTTTCTGTCTGATAATATTGTTAGAGATGCTGATCATATAGGCTAACTTATAGTTTGGGGTATTAATTATAGAATGGATGTTATAAAATACTATCTTCCACTCTAACTGCATTCTGATAAATACAAATACTATTTTTGTCTCTATTCTTAACCCCCAGCTATCGGGCGGTTTGGACCGTTCGACTTTGCCTTTCCATTAAGTGGTCTGGAGTGCTGGGGGATGATGCGTACGTAGTTCACCGTGCATATCCCAAGACACAGATACATGGCCATCCACCTTGTGCGCATGGCGCTTGAACTTCTACTTAGTCACGGCACCAAATGCCCAACGTGGCAAATGTAGAAAAACCTGATCGGATCGCGCCTTGCATACTTTCTGGAAGCTAAATCTTTCTCCTTACTTTATTCATATCTAAAACGTGCGCGGATCTAGGTAACGCTGGTTTACTATTAATTATGGGCTACATATTTCTAAATATTGTTTTCTGTTCCCTACACCTAGCAGTGTGGCTTATATATCGTCAGCTGAAAGGAACGGATTATCTGACTTTCTTGATACACTCTCTGTGCTGAGCATGTCTGTTAAACAGTTCGATCTGTCACTCTAGATCCTGATTTATTCTAGCCTTACTTGACCAGTTGCAAGCATTATTAGCTGGGTTCGCAGCAGGACCACCAGAGTGACTGTTTTCTTGGCCGCCCTTTTGTAAACATCTAGTGGTGTCTTGCACTTTCAGCTTGTCTGGGATAGTGGGCATTGTTTGATTCTCTATAGAGTGAGAGTGGTGCTGTTGGAAGAGAAAGTAAGTTTTCATAGGAAGGGATGGAATGTGGACTGATAGGCTATGATAATCTCGCAATTAAAGGTTATAGGATACTGATAAGATGGCGGTATCTGAGTAAGGTATATTTAGAGAAGTAAGGGTCTAAGACTAGTCTTTGCTAAGTACCTAGAAAAGAACATGCACTATGCATGTAGTTGATATCCTTTAAGGAAGTAGCTTTTACATGCAATATGATATCATTATGTTATATGCACTGAATGAAATACTGCAAGGGAGGTTGGTCTACAATTACATGCTATACTATAGAAACAAATGCTTTCCCTTATTACATAGTCCCTTACTATAGCCTATGCATGTGCCCATTATCCCAGGTGCTCACCGTAACTGTAGTAGGCCTAAGGCCCTATAGTTAGATGCCCTCAGCGGGAATCTATAAGTAAGCCCAACTGGACAGTCATGTCTCATTTACCACGCTTTCCCTGTGCTTGAATTCCACCGCTGAGATATATTATACTCTATTTATACACCCACTCCATAGACCGCCCCAATGGGAGATGCCAGAGCCCCCCAACGCCCGGTGAGCACCATAAACCCCAATTACCTCGGCTTCGACTACATAGGCTGGTACGTGGGCAACGCCCGGCAAGCAGTGTCTTACTTTGTAAACCACTATGGGTTCGAGGTTCTTGCGTACCGTGGCCCAGAGACCGGGTCCTACGTGACGACAGCGTATGTTGTAGGCAATGGGGCTGCGCGATTCCTCTTCACGGCGCCCCTCTGCTCGCCAAATAATGCATCGGATAAGCGCGCCACGCCTGATGAACACCAGCTCTGCGAGGAGATCCACACACACGTAGCCAGCCACGGCGATGGTGTTAAGGACATTGCATTCCGGGTGGACGACGTGCACGGCGTGTGGGAGCACGCCGTCCAGAACGGGGCCGAGTCTGTCCGCGAACCGACAGTGCTGAAGGATGACGGGGGCGAGGTCCAGATTGCTGCGATCCGCACCTTCGGGGATACTATTCACACGCTTATCAACCGGTCGGGTTACTCTCGTCCATTCCTGCCTGGCTTTAAGAGTGTGGAGGGTGGGGAGAATCGGCCGGCGTATCTGCCCAAGGTTGAAATCGTGGAGATTGATCACTGCGTTGGCAATCAGCCGTGGGATGGGTTAGATGGGATTGTCGATTATTATCAAAACACGCTCAACTTCCACCGGTACTGGAGCGTTGATGACAAGGACATGTGCTCGGATTACTCGGCCATGCGGTCTGTCGTGGTGGCGTCGCCGAACGAGGTGATCAAGATGCCGATGAACGAGCCGGCGCAGGGGAAGAAGAAGTCGCAAATTGAATAGTATGCCCTTGATTCGAGAGAAACCGCGTGGGATGAGAACAAAACTAACCAATTGATAAAGATTCGTTGACTACTACAACGGCGCCGGCTGCCAACATATTGCCTTCCGCACAAACAACATCATCGACGCCGTGGAGAGTCTGAGACAGCGGGGCGTTGCCTTCCTGTCCGTGCCGGAAAATTACTACACAGACGTGCGGAAGCGACTGGAGCACATGGGGACCCAGATCAGGGAGGACATCGACAAGCTGCAGCAGTACAACATCCTGATCGACTTTGACGAGGGCGGCTACCTGCTGCAGGTCTTCACCAAGCACGTTGGCGACCGCCCGACTGTCTTCCTCGAGATTATCCAGCGGGAAAACTTTGATGGCTTCGGTGCTGGCAACTTCAAGAGTCTGTTTGAGGCCTTTGAGCGCGAGCAGGTGCTCCGCGGTAATCTGTAACTAGGCAAGTATTAATGGATAAGTTATGCCACGTAAGGCTGCTATTCTATTTTATGTATTCTATCTGATTAAATAGAGAACTACTATTATATGGATATAGACTTGGGAGATCAAGCTGTAGCACTACCATATATATCGCCATGGCTATATATGCACTTGGCATGCTGAAGAAAATTAAATCTTTGTACATAATAGAGGCAAGGGAAGACGGATGTTTCTTCGCCTTTATACAAGATCAGATCTAGGTTGTGAATATGATTGAATTTTTAGTTGTCCAACTCGTGTGTGTGTAACTTCCAGCTTTGCTGTAGATAACATAATTTCATTCTACTCGCAGGCTATATACCAATAACTATATGATGATCACTTGGCTTCTTGCTGATTCTACGGGGAAGTTTCTGTGTGACTTTCTTTATCTGATATGTTGTTGGAGATACTTCATACAGGTTGGCTTATAGACTGGGATATCAATTGGAGAACGGGATGTTATCAATAATCACTATCTTCTACTCCAACCGCATCCGATATGCTATCCGTGAATATAACATCTCGTATTGATTATCTCCAAGGTCTCTTATCTGCGGGGTGAAGATGACCCCAACGGGTGGAGTCAAGATAAGCTTTGATATAACTACACCTCGTATTCAACAGCATAACAGCCAAATACCAACAATCCATTGTCATTGCTAACAATGGAAACCCTCCAAGTCCTCCCCCCAGGCGCAGGATACGGCATCGTCATCGGCATCGGGGGCATCTTCGCCCTGTTCATGCTGGCTCTAACATGGCTTCAGAATCGATATACGAGTTTTTCCACAGGCCAAGCGGAGGAATTCAACACTGCTTCCAGGTCAATCAAGCCGGGTCTGATTTCTGCTGGAATTGTCTCGTCGTGGACATGGTCTGCTACGCTTCTTACTAGTTCGACATTTGCATACTCGTACGGTGTCTGTGGGCCAATGTGGTACGGGGCGATGGGGACGCTGCAGATTCTCATGTTTGGACTGATTGCGATTAAAATCAAGGCTAATGCTCCCGGTGCGCATACGATGCCGGAGATCGTGCTGGAGAGACATGGGAAGATCGCGCACATCACGTATCTCTACTACGGGCTGGCGACGAATATGCTCGTTGGGGCTTGTTTAGTCCTCGGTGGAGCACAGGTCGTGGCAGCGTTGACGGGGATGAATGTGTATGCGGCCAACTTTCTCATTCCTCTGGTGGTGACTGTGTATGTGATAGCTGGGGGTCTCAGATCGACATTCATTGCGGACTACACACATACGGTCATTCTGTTCATTGCGATTCTCATCTTCGGGTTCATGATCCACGCCACTAGTGATCTGGTTGGTAGTCCTGCGAAGCTATACTCTCTGCTGCAAGAGGCATCGCAGAATATGCCCATTGAGAGAAATACAGATGGTTCGTATCTGGCCTTTCACTCAGTCGGAGGCCTCATCTTCGCTTTTGATCTGTTCGTCGCCTCGTTTACCACGGTCTGGCTGGATCAGAGTTATTGGCAGCGAGCGATTGCCTCTCGTCCTGAAACGTCTGTCAAGGCGTATATCCTGGGTGGAATTGCGTGGTATGGTGAGTCTATCTACCTCTATATCATATAATATAGATGATAACAGTATAGGCATCCCCTTTGGCTTCGCAACAGCCATGGGCTTAGGTTGCGCTGCCTTGACCAACAACCCTGCCTTTCCCACGTATCCCCATCCCCTCTCAGCAGCACAGGTTGACGCCGGCCTCTCTGCCCCAGCAACAGCCATCACTCTCCTCGGCAAAGGAGGCGCAGTGTTGATGCTCATCCTCCTCTTCATGGCCGTCACCAGCTCCACATCCGCGGAATTAATCGCTGTCTCGTCTCTTCTCACTTTTGACATATACAAAACATATTTCCGGCCGCATACAGACTCTGTGACCCTCGTGCGGGTTAGTCACTACGCTATCGCTCTCTACGCCGTCGTCCTCGCTGTCTTTTGCTGTATATTAAACGCAGCGGGAGTGAATCTTACGTGGCTCCTCACCGTCCTGGGTGTGATTGTAGGCGGTGCATCGTTGCCAGTTGGGATGATTCTTCTCTGGAAGCGCATGTCGACTGTTGCTGCCATCGCTGCGCCGTGGATTGGGTTTGCCTGTGGTCTTGTCGTGTGGTTTGTAACGTCGCATAAACGGTCTGGTGAGATTAGTGTGGCTTCCACTGGTGATACTACGAATGCACTCGCTGGGAACCTGGCTTCGTTTGGAGTCGGCTTCATCATGGCTGTTGTGCTGAGCTTTGTCTTTCCCAAGAAGAGTATGCCACTTACCAGAGATCTATCACCATCACCATCATCACCAGCAGAAAAAGATACAGACAAAACAACAACTCCCACCCCATCATCAGATCCCCAAATCCCACCAATGGACCCCATCCTCGCCAAAAAAGGAACCAAAATAAGCTGGGCCGCCAACGCAATCTTCTTCTTCGGTGCAGTGATTCTCGTGCCCTTTACGCTCTTCGGGACGGAGTATGTATACTCGCGGCCGTTTTTTACGGGGTGGGTTGTTGTGTCGTTTATTTGGATTTGGGTTAGTGTGGTTATTTGTGTTGTTTATCCGGTGGTAAGTTATTGATCTTGTACTGGGTGAGGTGATGCTAATTAGTGTAGGTTGAGAGTGCGGATGCGCTGAGGAATATATCAAAGGGATTATGGAGGGATATGAGGGGTTTAGGGGGGCGGGGTGAAGTGTAGCTGTACATAATCATTCTAATATCATCTGCTGCTTAAATACTCTCGTCTCAACTATCTCGGACGAGAGCATAACGTACCGTCGAGCACAATCATCAGTGAAATGAAGCCCTAAACTGTGCAGTAGAACCGCAGGCTACATTGATTAGTTCCAGCACTGGATATGCCAGGTGTATCACTCACCCATAGAATCGCACTCCAGCCAAGTCCAGACAACTCGACTTCGCATTCCCCATTCAGCACTGCATCGCCAAACCCGATGCCTGAGAGAAGAGAGGTTAAGAATCGTAGTCTCCGTGTGCGTGTGCGTGTGTTGTATATTGCCTCGGAGGTCGTTGGAGCGATGCCGTCTTTGTCAGAATACATTCGAACATTCGATACAATATGAATAATTGACTGCTTGAAAGAAGAGGAGAAGAGGTAAAGCACTCTGTGTCATCGTTATCTGTCATGTCAGGCAATGATGAACATCCCGCGGTTATCATTATAGATAACAATACAGGTTGGAAGGCTTCATCGAGTATATTGAGTAGTTTGTAGGTTATATTCTTGGGGTGAATATAGAATAACATGCAGTAGCCCATGTTGTTGGACTATGTCACTGTAATCTGCAGTGTCTTTATCTCTCCATACAGATGGGTCCCTCTGTGCTAAATATATGCCGCTTTCGATATATTCTACACACTATCTATCAGCATGTCAATCTGGAGTAATATATATTTACGATGCTCATTTCATCACGTGCAGTAATATCAGTGAGCTTGGCTACTTTAAATTCGATAAGAACATGGATCTTCATTCTCCAGTTGATATTAAGTGATCAGCCAGTATAGCCCTGCTTACCGGCTATTTTTACTCGGATGTTCATCATGCATATCAGAATCTGATACATTCCAAGTGGCTGAGTAACCCTGCTAGGTGTAGTTAAACAGGCTGTGCTGAACGAGCAGGATCTGTCGTCCAGACTGCAACCATTGCCAAGGCCTCTTTCGAGTCTGGAGTTGTGTGTTACCCTCTCGGCTACAGACAGCTCTTGTCAGATTATTATGAAAGAATACTCGGCTGTGGGATGGGGCCTAGATAATCGCATAATAGATTAAACCCACCCTTACCGGAGACATGTTCTAAATATATTAAAAGTCCAGACCATGGCAATTCTCTTGGAAAACCCTTGGTAGAGGCGACAATTGGGAGTGTTTGACCAGCACACACACTCGGCAGATGAAACACGTCTAATAAGAGCCAACCCAGAGTTGATACAGCATCTGTCATGTGAAGTTATTCTTAGTGTGCAAACTGCAAAAGTCCTGCGAGACCCTTGCGGGAGCTGATTGGTCTGACCTGAAACACCCAGGTGGGTCCGTCTGAGTCTGAACTTTAGTCAGTTTCGAGGATGAGCATACCTGCCAATAATCAGGATACCTTGCACTTGTACTCGGTAGTGCCTAGCGATAATTCTCGATTTATTATCGCCAGTAATTGAGAGCAGGCAGTCACTTTAAACGATAAATAACAATTTGGTGATTGAGTCGAATTGCCAACCCAGCCAAGCGATCCGAATTGGGATATTCTCGCCAAGTCACCGCCATGGCCAATAATTAAAACCTGGCCACCACCAGCCAGCGAAAGGACTCTTGGTGGACTCAACACAAGAAAAAAGAGGACTCGGCGGTAATATAAATCAGCGTGGCATACTTGATGCTATCCCTATTTGTCTCCTATTTTTGATTCATCACCGCATACCAAGATCCGTCTACGCCGCATGAGCCTATGAGGGAATACGCCGTGGGCCTAAGGCACGGATACCTTGGAGCGGGGATTACAGTTTGCTGCTTTTTCCTCCAGGAGAAGGATCATCAGGAACACAGCGTTTCTTCCCGTCTTTTGTTTCTTCCTTTTCTCCTTTATCCCTCCAATTCTTCTACTATATTTTTTATAAAATAATCATCATAATATCCCTTTCAAATCATCATAATAATCGCAACACCTGTAATTGTATCCCTAATAAATAACTGTTCCAGGGTTCAGGGTCCAATCGTGGACCCTGTCCCGCTGCCCCTGCCACTGCGGAATCCCTGTGCATTCTCTGATTGGCTGGGGATCCGCTGTCTCACCCGTTATTGGCGGATTTCCCCCAACACAGCCAATCAAATCGCAGCACACAGACGATCTGCCCAGCGATCCGCCCATCCCTCTTTGTGCCCACGTAAGAGTGTGGAGGACACAGGGTCTCTGCTATGTGGCTGCGCCTTTAAACCCCCTTCCTGTCCTGTCGCCATTCTTGCCTGCCTTTTTCCTCTTCATCCCTTTGGTCCTTCGCGATCTTGTCATTCCTTCCTTCCTTTTCTGCTTCAAATTCTCACACCGTCTCTCGTTCACGGTTTCATCCTCTACTCTTCTCTTCTTCAAGCCCTTCGTTCGTTTGGCTTATATTTCTCTGCTTTCTGCTTCCAATCTACCACTCTCCACCTTCGACGCTTCCTGCCATTCTTTTCGGGTCGTCTTATTCCTTTCAATCCCACTATCACAATGAAGGCCTCCGCTGTTGCTGCGGCCCTCGCCGTCGGTGCCTCCACCGTCATGGCTGCCCCCTCCGTCCACGCCCGCGACGATGTCACTCCCATCACTGTCAAGGGTAACGCCTTCTTCAAGGGTGATGAGCGTTTCTACATGCGCGGTGTCGACTACCAGCCCGGTGGCTCGTCCAAGTTGTCCGACCCCATCGCCGACGCTGATGGCTGCAAGCGTGACATCAAGAACTTCAAGGAGCTTGGCCTCAACACCATCCGTGTCTACTCGGTCGACAACTCCAAGAACCACGATGAGTGTATGAGCGCTCTTGCTGATGCTGGCATCTACCTTGTGCTCGATGTCAACACCCCCAAGTACTCCCTCAACCGTGCCGAACCTAAGACCTCGTACAACGATGTCTACCTCCAGAATGTCTTCGCCACCGTTGAGATGTTCGCCAAGTACAAGAACACCTTGGCTTTCTTCTCCGGTAACGAGGTCATCAACGATGGTCCCTCGTCCAAGGCTGCCCCTTACGTCAAGGCTGTCACTCGTGACATCCGTCAGTACATCCGCAGCCGTAACCTGCGCACTGTCCCTGTTGGATACTCTGCTGTATGTTTCTGTCTACTCCCTCTTGGTCTTCTCATGCTAACAAACTAGGCCGACATCAACACCAACCGTCTCCAGATGGCCGAGTACATGAACTGCGGTACTGACGACGAGCGCAGCGACTTCTTCGCTTTCAACGACTACTCGTGGTGTGACCCCTCTTCTTTCACTACCTCTGGCTGGGACCAGAAGGTCAAGAACTTCACCGGATACGGTCTCCCTCTCTTCCTCTCTGAGTACGGCTGCAACACCAACAAGCGTCAGTTCCAGGAGGTTGGCTCTCTGTACTCCACCAAGATGACCGGTGTCTACTCTGGTGGTCTGGTCTACGAGTACTCTCAGGAAGACAGCAACTACGGTCTTGTCAAGATCTCCGACAACGACGTCAAGACCCTTGACGACTACGATGCTCTCAAGTCCGCCTTCGAGAAGACCAGCAACCCCCAGGGTGACGGTGGCTACAACAAGACCGGTGGTGCCAACCCTTGCCCCGCCAAGGACTCTCCTAACTGGGACGTTTCTGACGATGCTCTCCCTGCTATCCCTTCGCCTGCCAAGAAGTACATGACCGAGGGTGCTGGTGACGGCAAGGGTTTCGCTGGCTCTGGTAGCCAGAACGCCGGTACTTCTTCCACTGGAACCGCCGAGCCTGGCTCCGGCTCCGTCTCTGGTAGCAGCTCCAACCCCGGCTCTGCTTCATCCGGTGCTACCTCTGAGGGTGCCGCCGCTGGTGTTCTCCCCAGTCTGACCATGGCTCCTTTCGTTGTCAGCGCCGTGACCATCATGTCGACCCTGTTCGGCGCTGGTCTCATCTTCGTTTAAATGCCGTTCTGGAATTTCAATTCTGATCAGAATTTTTTCCCCTTTTGCAATGGTTTTTTATATTTTATTCGTTTCTGTCGGTATTCAATGGGTTCAATTGGGACATGTGTTCGCAGTAACGGCTTGTCCGTGGCGTTAGCTCGGAAACATAGACTGCCGACAGGAGATGTACCAAAGAATTTGTACAGTTTTAGGTTGGCTGATGTTGGCCGTTTTCTTTGGTCTCTTCCTGTAGACTATTAATCAAGGAAATTGAAAGTATACCGGATGATTGTTCTCTTTGTAGTATCCACTTCCAATTGCACCGCGGCGTTGAGGTTGTCGGCCATTATATATCCGCCTGCACCGCAATGCCTGTCTTAATTCTTGATCAACACAACGAGCCACATTGATCAACATTCGACATGTAAATCCAGAGAACTTTTTCGGTAATGATCAAATAAACTCGATCTGATCTGAGGCTGCAAAACGATCGACAAACATGATCTCGGATAAGAGTTATTAAGCTCGGGTAATAGATTTTTCCTATCATTTCTGAATCCGGAATCGATAAACAACTTGCACTCAACAGCGACAAGATGAGACTACTCACATTATTCAGCCTTGTCGCAGCAGCGAGCAGCGAATTCACCTGCATAAAACCCATCAACCCAATTCCCGCAGGGCCTCCCGGCTTATGCTGTAAGGAAATAGTCCAGGCGCCCGTCCTAACCTTCCTGTACACCGGCAAGACATGTATGTCATCTCCCTCGAAGCGATGCTCTACAATCTCACCCAAACTGACAATTATCTCGCGCAACGCAAGGCACCCACGCGAATAAAATCAGCGAAGCCGATAATGGCAAAACAACATACAGCTCCTGCGAGGATGGTGAGCATGCCGTGTGCTGCGATCCGGTAAGTTCTATTTTGGAAAGTCAGCAAGAGGAGCTGAGCTTAGCATTGTTGCTAATGCGATTAATTATAACTAGCTCGTCACGAAGCTGAGTCAGGCGAGTAATCCTGCTTGTGTCTTACCGGAGTCAGAGGCTTGAATTTGCTTGAATGCTTGGGATGGTTCGTTGGGGGCTGTCAGCTGTGGCGTGCATGATCGGGAGTAATCAAGCTTTGTGATTGTCAGATTTGCAATTAGATATGCCAATTATGTTTTTGGGAATGGCAATTTCATGATGACATATCAGGGCGTTTGTCTTTTGGTCAATTGGTCACAGTCAATAAGATGCACGAGATAGACGGTGTCAGGGGCGTGATACCTCAGGCAATCAGGCATTAATGTGATTTCTTTAGGATTAGCGTGTGTCACGTGTATCACTGTCATGACTCGAATTTCGCGATCATCAATCAATCGAATATCATCATCCATCGATTAATCAATGGTTAATCATCTTTAATATCTGATTCAAGCCAATAATGATGGCTTCATTTGCATCAGGCGCCCGGTCCATGTACCGGTTTTCCGTGAGTCGACTCCGACCCCCGAGGGCCACTCTTATTGATTAAGTCTGATTACAGGGGCGGAATATTCCACGTTGATTATTCTCAGACAGTGTCGGATAGTGCCTACTGCCTGCAGAATCTGCATCGAACAGAATCACTTCTGACGAGAAGATATACTGTGTTTGATACAGTCAGCTATCTCCAATGACCAGGAACAACCAATCGGTCCGCCTGTTTTACTGAGCAAACCCACTTGGGTTCGAACCACCTGGAATAATGCCGTTTCGTCTTTATGACAGACGTGGATGGGACGTTGGTAGACAAAGCTATGCCTCAAACCACGGACGTCGACCGATGAAACTTGCTATACTTGGCACGTCCCACTCGTCTAGACTCGGAGATAACCAGAACAGCCACCACCCGATTTGTTTATCGGGGGCCCTGGATGTGGTGATACTTGGGGCTAGGGCTGATTGTCTCCATCCAAGAATGTCAAGCCTCGCTGGTGTTTTGAGATGGACCACTCATGTTGGAGCGTGCCCTCGTGGCGTGTCCACTTTTTAATCTGCTCAAAGCATTAGCTTCAATATATCTCCGTCCTTCAATATGAGCCCTAGTTCACCATTGTCTTGTCTGACTATGTCTAGGCGCTGGTACGGGGGTTATATGAATGCCCTCTATCGCCGCGATGGTCTGTTGGGATTTTCTCTAACAATTATCGTTCACTTTTTCTTCTTTTTTTTCTTCCTTTCTTTCCTTTCGGCAACCTCGCCGTTCGTTCTTTTTTGGGCTGCTGCTGGATCAGTTTGACCCTTTCCTTCTTTTTGAACCTTTTCATTCTTTTTACTGCCCTTTGTGTCAAGGCTAGCCTTGTGCCCGGTAGAAAATGCGTTCTTTCTTAGCCGGTGGTGTTGTGGCCCTCAGCTCTCTCTTCGGAGTCGCTGCGGCCGGCACCAACTCCTCTGCGTACACCGACTCCGCCTCGGGAATGGAGTTCCAAAGATGGTGCGATGATGACACTGGCTTCTGTTTCGGTATTGCTCTGCCTGAGACCGTCAAGTCCGACTTCATCGGTCAGTTGGACGTGCCGCTTTCCAACTCCAAGGGATGGGGTGGTGTTAGTTTGATGCCGTCCATGTTGTCGTCTCTTATGATCGCTGCTTGGCCCAATGGTGACAGTGGAGTTGCAACTATCCGTAAAACCACTTCCTACGCCAACCCGGATGTCTTCGACGGAGATGCCAGCGTTGTTGAGATCCCTGATGCCACTTCCGTGAACAGCACCCACCTCACCTATACCTTCCTTTGCAGCGGCTGTATTCTAGGATCCCCCTCGACCTTCACTGCCGATTCCGATACCTACTTCTTCGGCTGGGCTTTGAGTAAGACAAACCCTACTACTCCTAGCTCTCCCTCTTCGAAGCTCCAGTACCACGCCGCCGGTTTCGGTACCATGGAGATGCTCCTGTCCGAAGCCAAGTCCTCCAAGTACTCTACCTGGGCTTCCAAGGCCAAGTCGACCAGCACCTCGGGATCCAACAGCGCTGCCTCTTCGTCGGCTGCTTCTTCGACTGCCAGCAAGAGCGCCGCTCCCAGTGTCAAGCCTACAATCTCCAGCTCGACCTATGACTACATTGTTGTCGGAGGTGGTCCCGCTGGTATAATTGCTGCTGAGCGGTTGGCCGAGACCAAGAAGAGTGTTCTGTTGATTGAGCGTGGTGCTGCCTCTACTGTACCAACCGGTGCCAATGACACGCTTTCTTGGAACGACACTCTGACTGCTTACGATGTCCCCGCCTTGGGCAGCTCTATCTCCTCCCTTGGTCTGCTGGGCGACTACCTCTGCGATGACACCGCTGGCATGGCTGGTTGTGTTCTCGGCGGTGGCACCATTATCAACGCCATGTCATACATCTACCCCCAGAGTGCTGATTTCGACGACAAGTGGCCTTCTGGCTGGAAGTGGAACGACATCCAGGATGCCGCCAAGCGCATGTATGAGCGTAACCCCGGTAGCATGCTTCCCTCCGCCGATGGCAAGAGATACGACCAGGGCTTGTACACTGTTCTCTCCAAGTTCTTCAGTGGACTGGGCTGGAAGTCTGTCAGCTCGCAGGAGCAGCCCAATGAGAAGCACCAGGTTTTCAGTTACCCATCTTGGTCCGTTGGTAACGGAATCCGTGCTGGGCCTGTGCGCACCTACCTTCCTCTTGTTGAGGATCTTGACAACTTTACTCTCCGCCTCCACACCAAGGTCCGTCGTGTTATTCGCAGCGGAGGCAAGATCACTGGTGTGGAGGTTGACACTGCCTCGGGTGGCATTGAGATTATCAACGTCAACGCCGGTGGTAAGGTGATTCTCGCTGCTGGTTCCATGTCTACTCCCCGTGTCCTGTTCAACTCTGGTATCGGACCTGTCAAGCAGATCCAGACTGTTAAGAACGGAAAGACTGGAATTACTCTTCCTGCCCAGAAGGACTGGATCAGCCTTCCTGTTGGATACAACCTCAAGGACCACCCCATGTTCACTGTTACCGTCAACACCAACAGCAACTTCACCCACTTCAACACCTCGAGTGTCATCCCCGGTCCGAATGAAGTTGTCCAGAAGCTCTTCGCTCAGGGCTCCGGTGCTATGACTCAAGGTGGTCACCGTTTGCAGTTCTGGACTTCCAACGTGGGAAGTGACGGCAACACTCGCTACTACCAGGGATCTTGCAGCACTAGCGAAGACGGCGTTATTACCATGAAGCTGTATCTGACCCACGGAGCTACCTCCTCTGGTGTTTTGGGCATCGACGCTTCTGGATCGACTGTTATTCAGTCCGACCCGTGGCTCCAGACCGATGCTGACAAGCAAGGTGTCACTGAGTTCCTTAACGAGCTGATCAGTGGCTTTAAGAACTCTACCGACGGCTTCTACATGCCGGACTACAGCACTGCCTCTGATATTATCGGCGGAAAGACCAGTGGTGACCACTTTGTCGGAACCACCAAGATGGGTACTGATGACGGCCGTCGCAACGGATCTTCGGTTGTTGACACCAACGCCAAGGTCTACGGTACTGAGAACTTGGTATGTAACAACTAAACCTACTCATTTTCTTTCGCCCACTAACAAAAATAGTTCGTCGTCGACGCCAGTATCCACCCCGACCTTCCCACCGGTAACACCCAGGCGATCGTCCAGATCGCCGCCGAGGCCGCCGTCGCCAGAATCATCAAGCTGGGCAAGTCCAGCGCCGCCGTTTCTAGCGTCGCTGCTTCTTCCCCCGCCGTGAACACTGCTTATGCTCCTTCTTCGACTGTGGCTCCTGTCACCCCCAACGCCGTCACCGTCACCTCGACTGCCTGGACAACCACCACTGATGTTGTCACTGTCACCCAGAAGAGCACCACCACTGTCACGGCATCTTCTCTGAACTTTTCCTAATCAACTGCTGTCAGATTTGGTCTGATGGACTTGGTTGATCATGAGGGGTATATTTTCTTCTTGTTGTGTATATATAAATAGATTTGCATTATCATTCCAATACTGATTTTATATATTGTTTTCTAACTTCAACAAACATGGATGTAGAACACAAGGCCAAACCCTTTTAGGACCCCGCCTTGCAATTCTCACCTCATAGCCCAACCGATCTTCTCGTAAACAATGGACCGCTCTATAACACTGATTGGCCACTAAAACCACTAACGCATGAGTTAAAATGACTCATGCTCACTCATTCCACGCTTAATTAATCCTACCCAATCACATCTCCTTCTCCATCCCCGCCAAGCCTCAGCCCCACCCCCATCCAAAGTCACATGTTGTCCTGCACTGCCTTTTGTCTCCTTTATCTTCTCCTCCATCTTCCCTCTTTCGGTTCCTCAATCATCGCCTTGGAATCAAGGCCAAGGCACCGCCCAAATTCCCCTCCCCTTTCACTCACCTCAAGAAAATCAACGGGTCCCAGGGCCCGTCCAAACAATACAACCATGTCGGCCGCCGGAGCAACCTGCATGCCAGCCCCAAGAGACGCCAGCAATTGTTTCTTCCAGCCGAACCAGCGCTGGGGGGTTAGGAAGCCACCGTGGGGTGGACTCGGCGGAATGGATGGATAGTTCGTTATATTTCAATGATGATTTTCAGCAGTTTGATGCGGATGCATCGTTGTTGGGGATTGGGATGGGGGGTGTGGTTGAGGGGGTGGATTATTCGGCTTTGTTTGATATGGGGTCGTTTGGAAGGGGAGGGGTTGGAGTATATGATTCTTCGCTGCCTCAGATGAGTGGTGATGGCGTTTATCAGTCGAATGTCGAGATACAACGAGGTTGGTACCATCACATCTAGTACCTACCATCTACTAACACAAACAGACCATACCCAGCCATCTCCAGTCCTACCAACACCTCAACCCTCCCTCCCCATCCCAACCACAGCACCCACGACAACCTCCAACTCACCCTCCAACCACTCAACTCCCTCAGAGTCTTCACACTCAAGCCGAGTAACGAAACGGCAACTCAACACCATGGCCGCGCGCCGATACCGCCAGAAACGAGTCGACCAGATGAAGAGTCTAGAGATGGAGCTGGAGAAGGTGCAGCGGGAACGTGATGAGTTGAAAATGCGGTGTTCGAAGTTGGAGGGGGAGAAGGACGCGATGAGGTGTTTATTGAGTAAGAAGTGAGTAAGAAGTGAGTAAGAAGTGAGACAGTGAGCATGAGGATGCATGGAATGGAAGTAAGGGAGATGGATGTACAGTTACGGAGAGATGGAGGTGAAGATGATGATCGGATCTACAAACGTATGAAGGAAAGTAAAGTTTACTAAAAAACGAGCGATGAGCGATCGAGTTTTTTTGTAAATCAGCGATATTCTACTGGACACGAACCGTGGATGCGTTTAATGAGTTTTAATCAAGAGTACAAAATGCCTCAACGAAAAGAAGCAAATAATGCCGCACAGACAAAAAAAGAAGGTTTGGAACCGCCCAAAAGTCGAGACCGGAAAAGCTTGACTGAGCTTCTTTTTTTCATTCCCCTTTCTCTTCATTATTCTGAGGATCATATTTTCAATATTATTGAAACAGAACTAGAGTCTGGATATATTCTCCTTCTGGTCTAATATATTATAGTTCAAATATCGTCATAATTAAACATGCTACATGCTCAGCCACCTCCAACAAAGCTCGCTTGTGATGATCTGCAGAGCTGCTGACTTTAATCCTCACAATAGCCAGCAGGGTTACATTGAGCTTCCTATTCTGTCGTCTGCACTGTACTATGATATAATATCCTCTAAGACAAAAACACACAATAGTACCAAAGCCAGTAAGCGCAGGCAGAAATATTCCCGAAATGATGCTGTGGCTGGTGCGGGAAATTGTTGTGCCTGTTTGTATGAGGGAATTTGCCGGGCCATTCGTTCAGTGCGGCTGGAAGAGGAAAGGGGAGGAAATGGAATGGCTAATTTCCTGCTGGATTAGTGACAGGTGAAGAGCTGTAACTGTAGCTGGTATAGTGCTGTTGTAGCCGAGGTGAAAAATCCCTCATGGTGATGATTTTGTTGGTGATTTGGTACTTTGCATGCCATGTTTTGTGCGATGAGTGTATTCAACATGATAAAAAGAAAAGACAGAAGAATACCAACAAAATAAAAAGCAAATAAAATATAATAAAAAGAAGCAAAACAAAAAGAATAATAGTAGTGACAGTGGAGGAATAAAAGAAATATCATCATCCTGAATTAAAGACTAGCAGAACCAAATTCCGCGGTGGCTGTGTAGTTATCGATTCTCCCAGAACCTCCAGCTCCATCTCATCTCCATCCAACCTAACCATGTCATCCCCCTGAAAAACAGCGTATAAATTCCTGCTCCTCATCCATCATGTTGTCTTCTCTTCTCATCATTTCAAGGGATGCTCATCAACGGTCAGAAGTGGGCTTGTGAAGCTTGTGTACGCGGCCACCGTGTGACAAGTTGCAAACACCATGGTAATCCTTCCTTTCTAACTTTCCCTTCCTCCTTCTTTTTGTTTCCCACAAATGCTAATAATACAGATCGACCGTTAATCCAAATCAACAGAAAAGGCCGTCCCTTTTCGACCTGCTCCGTCTGTGGCTGCACCCCTTGCGAGTCGCCCGAGGAGCACGCCAAACTCAAACGCGAGGCCGAAGCCAAAGCTGCTTCTTCTTCTTCAAAAGTAGATGTGATCGAAAACGATTATTTTCTGGGTCATTGTCGTCTTACTGACGATGGTTTCCTTTTTCGTGGTTTCTTAGAAAGCGATCTCGTCGGGTAGATGTTCGCGTCCTTCGACTGGCTTTCTTCCTATTGCGCCTCGTCCTGTCGCCACCACTGCTGCTGCCGATAATAACAGTTTGAATGCGAATGCAAATGCAAATGCCGTGATCGCTACCGCGTCGACTTCGGCCCCGGCTGATAAACAGCGTCTGTCGTGTCGACCGGTTGAAGCTGTCGGCAGTGATGGTGGCAGTGGTGATGTCTACCCACCACTAAGCCAAAGCCAGTCCTTTCCTCCCTTCTCTTCCATCGCCGATATAAACCTGCCTCTGTCCATGGCCAGTCCATTAGGCGATGCAAACGGCGGCATGTCTTTCTTTGATCCGTCATTTGCGGAGAATGCGTTTTCGCTACAAGACCTCGACGGGTTACCGGATGAGGCGATGTTGCAGGAAGACTGGTCAAGCCAGTTCTGGCTTGCTGAGGATGCGGTATGAACAAAACAAAATCTGACCTGATTTGACTTTGACTTTGCTTTTGGCGAGGTAGTTTTGTTTGTGATGGGCTGGTCTGGATGACTGTTAACGATTTATGACTAGGTGGTCTTTTGATTAGCGTTGTGCTTTTGGGGGCGACAGTATGGTATAGACTGAGGATACTTACGGGTGGCATCCGATTGTGGACTACAAAGTCACTGTATCTAGACATGTCAAATTCATACTTTGCTATCATATCACTCTCGTGGCTGGACTTTCTTCACCCTGCCGTTGAGGCAGCTGGAGGGAGGTCCGATGAGCTTTGTTCATATGCGAGAGAAGGATATATACAGACACTGTTTCATCAATTTTCTCCTCGATTCTCCAACTGAGGTTATTCACAGACAGTCAACAGCGTGTGTTATGAACTGGGGCCGAACTTGTCCCACGGCGGAAGGAGGGTGATCAGGGAAGCCCTAACTAGCCCTACTTTCCAAATTGGATAGACTGCAATTCGACCTACATTTTTTACCCTGTAGCTAATAGTATTTTTTTTTGTTTGTTCCGCCAGTGTTGAATAAACAGAGAATAGTAAGATGGGCAAGCAGCATTTCCATCCGGAGGCCCTCTCTAAGGATGTCGCTCATCCTAGGAAGCCTCCGAACTGCAATAACCACAGCCTCCAATTGACAGCCCAAGGAGTTAGCACGATCATCCGCAAGAAAGTACGCGTGATCATCTTCATAATCAATAACAATGTCTATAGGATTGAGCGGCTCATACTCTATGATAAACCATGTATAGGAGATGAAATAACCGATTCGACATTGAAATGCGTAATGCACATGTCCTATGAATAGGTAAACTAAGCAAAAGATACGCTCCAAACGCTCCCCCAATGATGCAAACTATAAACCGAAGGAAAGAATCAGAACACCAAAAAAATATACATAGCATCTCTACACCTCTTGAATATAGGCTGCAGGGACACTCTTGGTGACTCCGCCTCTTTCCACATCGGCCCAGCCATCTCCACCATCCCGGTTGACCAACACGAACCGTTCGCCTTCGGCCATGCTCCATTCCATGTCACTGCGTGCGTCGTATTCGTACAATGCTTCTACATATTGCACTTTCTTGGCTCCTCGTCGGGGTGCAACTGCTGGTCCCACGCGCTTGGCTGCCGCGCTGCCAGCCACAGATGCGGACGATGTCGAGTATGTCGACTCAGGGCGGTTTGGAAACGCAGGACTAGCGGAGGGGATAGGTGATTGCGTAGGGGTTTCTTCGACGTAGGAGGCTGGAACAAGACCTTCATGTGGGCCAGCTCGCACACGCAACCACCCAGAACCATCTATATTCAGTTAGCATATTTCTTCTAGCTGAATAACATGCAGCTTACCGTCTGGCTCGGTAATCACCAAATCATCACCCTCTTGTACATCAATCTCATCCTCTCCACCAGCCTGGTAGGAGTATAGCATCTTTCCTCTCGGCTGACTAGGCTTGGTTTCGGTCGGTGGTGGAGCCACATATTGTGCAGGCGGTGGAGCGAGAATTCTGTTCCTTTTTGCAGTAGTAGGCTTGGTCTCAGCAACCGGGGTTGGTGCATCTTCTGTTGGGCTTCCTGCTGCCGGCTGGGTAGCATTGGACATTCTTCGGTTCGCGCTGGCTGCGAATCCTGAACTCAAAGAATTCATGGTATCTTGTCGAGTGAGAGATGGTGTACTTGTAGATCCACTGGGCTCAAGGTCAAGAGCTGGTGTGGCGTTGGCGTGCTCTTGACGCTCTGCCTTCAGCTTCTTCTTGTCTTCCTTGCTCTGCTCTCCTGGACATTCCGCGGGCACTTTCATTTCACACTTGCTGTGACAGGTGTATCCACAATCCCGGCAGTCGAATCCTTTAGCAGACAGTCCCCAGATACGTTCTCCACAGAGATCACAGTTGGTTGGAATCTTGAAAGTCTGCGATCGGAAATTATGGTTCTTCGCGCCTACGGACAGATCTCCTACCACAGACATAACGGTTGAAGTTTCAACCTCCACTGTCAACCGCTTACGGTCCACCTCATGCAGGGCTTCTTGCAAGAAAAATATAGCACGGACAACGTCAACCTCATTGCGGGTATCCTTGCCCTGTTGCACGCTGACCCTAACCTTCTTAGCGGTGTCGACTTCTCGCTTCTTTTTGTCTGCCTCGACTCGCAGTTCCCGGACTTGCGTCTTGCTCTTACCAAGGAGATTGCGGAGGAATACCTTGGCGGATTCGTCGGTAATAATCGCGTCGTCATCATGCCAGATCGGACTAGGTTCAAAGACCATGTCGGCCGGCTCTTGCGACTGGGTGACGTTATGACGAAGGAACATGAGCGAGTCCAGATGCGGTGTGTTACGAGGAATTTCGGCCAAAAGGGTTGACATATGTCCCATGCTGTTAGAAAGGTAAGACTTTTCCAGTTGTGCTGCGAGCGACCAGATCGAGTTCAGCTTGGCGACTCGGATTTCGTTGAGATCTTGCAGCCCCTGGAAGAACAATTAGCACAGAATGCCAAGAAGCCAATTAATATACTGACATCTAGTAGCTCCGGTACGTATTCATGGTAGAATTTCTCTTTCAACTTATTCGTGACGTTGATACTGATGAGGTACGTGTTCTGCTCTGTTAGTGACTCCTAGGAGCAATCGCCACACATCACTCACCTTGACATTGTTCATTTCCAATATTTGCTGCTGATATGCGGCCTGGGCCTTTGGCTTACTGTGATCGAAGGACGATTCCATCTTCTTCCGCCGCGCTTCGACCTCCTGACACGCCCCGTCATATTTGCCCTTTGCCTTCTTGAGATCACTGAAAGAGGCGTCGCGTTCCTTTTCCAGCTTCCCATGGAATTCCACATGGCATTTTCGCAATTCATCGTACTGTGCAGCCGATTGCTTGAGCGGTTCTGCAACCTGAACGAGGAGGTCTGTAGCAAACTTCTCACGCTCGGATGCGTGCGCTTCGACGGCGGTCAATTGCGTGGTCCATGTCGTCAACGAGGCGCTTTCGAGGGAGCCCGGAGTCATCGTAGGAGTGTCTCCCACACTGAGGCTGCTAATTTTCTTGGCCTTGCGCTCATGGTACTTTTTGCACAGGCCGCTCAACTTGGCCGAGTATTCCTTCTCGATCGCACTCCTTTCTCGGTAGAACTGTTGTATTTCCTCCAGCCATGATATTCCGTTCGTTGTCTAAGAGCTTGTTAAGTATTTGGTTCCCGGCGTGTGTTTGGAGGAACCGCATCGAAGGAGCAGGGGTGCGGGGAACGTCATCGGAACATACCCAATTGTTGACCGGCTTGAACGAGTCCTATCGATTCCAGAGTATTAGATAAATTTTAGCAGAGCTCCTTGAAGAAGAATTACCTTCAACTCAGCCCCAAAATGGGGAGCGACCTCTGTTGCCATGTTTGGGAGGTTTTATCAAGAATCACGGCGCATGAGATTCCCGCCAGGATACAATGCAAGACAGCCGTTGAAGTAATAATAGGAGGAGCACTTTCTAGAATAACTGATGTGGCCGCCAGCCTCCACGATTAATCCCGCCAACGACTCTGTGCAACTGAATGTTGTTGTATGATCTCCTGATTTTCCAGCAGGAAACAAACAATCATTCGCTCTGCCTGGTGAAAGCGATGATGCGGAAGCGGGGAAGATGGCTGGGGGGTTCCTGTGACAATACCGAACGGCGCCTGTCAGGCCACGCTGGCCGGGAAATGGCTGGACTGACGACATTTATTGGGCAGTATTACCAGATATTACCATACCATACCATAGCAAGCTAGGCGTCAACCGCTAAGCGCCAGCCGCTCGGCTACCTGCCCAAAGGGGATTAGTGCCCTGGTGCTCTGTCCGTTGGGTTTTTTGGCCGTCATCGCTGGGCTGCAGATTGTCATATTGACATTGCCATTGCCTGCTAATTCCCCTGGGGTTGAGACTCAGTGGCGTGTTTTGTCTCTTTTATCAGAAATTCGCCGGCGAAAATTCCATAGCTGCCACTCAGCTAGCGAGACTTTGTTCTCAATTTGTCTCGCGCATTCACTCACCTCTTTTTACCCCGCTGGAGCAGTCCCCCTCCATTTCGCGACTGCTGAGATCTTCAAACAACACCGCAACGTTTTCTTCTCGTTTAATTTTTGACAACTAGTTGTCTTCAATCCTTCCACCATGGCGTCCGAACAGCCCACCGAGCAGCCTACTGAAACTCAGGGTGGTTCTCTCGCAGACCGCATCAGCAAGCCTGATGAGTCAAAACCTTCCGGTGAGCAGCTATCTGCTATTCCAAACTTCAGCTGGATCTTTTTGTATGAATGCTAACTCGCCTTTCTCCTCATAGAAGAAACCAGCGGCGACCAGACAGATGGCGCCCCCAAGGAATTGGGTGGCTCTGACCTCCACGAGCCCGAGTACAACGTCGAAGTCAAGCTCAGCGATCTTCAAGCCGACCCTAACAACCCCCTCTACTCTGTGAAGAATTTTGAGGACCTTGGAATGTGGGTAGTGGATATTCAGCTAGATACAAGCTTTGGACTAACACGATTCGATTGACAGCGACCCGCGCATTCTCCAGGGACTGTCAGCCATGAACTTCCGAAAGCCCTCCAAGATTCAAGAAAGAGCCCTGCCCTTGCTTCTGAGCAACCCTCCCAAGAACCTGGTCGGACAGTCGCAATCCGGAACTGGTAAAACGGCTGCCTTCGTTCTCAATGTTCTCAGCCGGTTGGACCTTTCGACGGAACAGATGCAGAAGACACCCCAAGCTTTGATCCTTGCCCCGACCCGCGAGCTGGCTCGTCAGATCGTCGGTGTCGTTCAGGTTATGGGACAGTTCCTTACTGGAATCGCTATCGGAACGGCAGTTCCCGCAGACTCTAACAGCCGCCCAACAAGATTGGAGTGCTCCGTTGTGGTCGGCACACCCGGAACCGTCATGGATATGATCAAGAAGCGCATTATGGTTGCAAACAAACTCAGAGTGCTTGTTTTGGATGAGGCAGACAACATGCTTGACCAGCAAGGTTTGGGTGACCAGTGTATTCGTGTTAAGGGGTGAGTTCTTTCATAGATTTGGAGAGATGGCCATCTAACTGAAATTCCTAGCCTTTTGCCGAGAGACATCCAAGTGGTTCTCTTTTCTGCCACATTCCCTGCCCACGTGCACCGATATGCCTCCAAGTTCGCGCCAAACGCCAACGAAATTACCCTGCAGCACGAGGAATTGACAGTAGAGGGTATCAAACAACTTTACCTCGACTGCTCCGATGATGAAGACAAGTACAGGACCTTGGTCCAGCTCTACGGTCTCCTTACTGTCGGTTCTTCTATTATTTTCGTCAAGGTCAGTGCGATTCAGTTGTCTGGTTTCCTGCAATCTAACGTCGTATAGACACGTGTTTCTGCTCTTGAGATCGAGAAGCGCATGGTCGCTGAGGGACACACTGTTGCATCGTTGACTGGTGGTATTGAAGGATCCCAGCGTGATTCCGTCATTGACAAATTCCGTGCTGGTGAGGCCAAAGTGTTGATCACTACCAACGTCCTCGCTCGTGGAATTGACGTTTCGACTGTCTCCATGGTTATCAACTACGTAGGTGCAGCCCTCCAGAGGTCTAGATACGCAGGCTAATTCTTATTCTCCAGGATATCCCCGAAATTCACCAGCCTGGTGGAGCTGAGCGCCAGGCCGACTTCCAGACCTACCTCCACCGTATTGGTCGTACCGGACGTTTCGGTCGTGTTGGTGTTTCGATCTCGTTTGTCGGTAACAGAGAGGAATGGAACATGCTCAACCAGATCCAGCAATACTTCAACACCAGCATCCAGCGTATCGACACCAAGGACTGGGACGAGGTGGAGGACATCATCAAGAAGACGATCAAGAGCTCCCGCTCCCAGTCAAACTATGGAAAATAAACAAAGGATGTGTCTGATGGGTTTTTATGTTGTCGTCTATGCTTCCGGTTATGTGATGGTTTGATCCGCGAACATTAGCCACCTGTGCCAGCATGCCGCTAGGCCGAAGTCAGGCGACTTGCTTTGAGCAGCTTGGTTTAGCAAGGATATGCAATGCGGTAATGTGCGAAGAGTCATGAAATTTTCTTTGTTAAAATCAAAGAATGAATAATAGATACCAATACAACGATCTAGATCGATTTACTGATTGTCGATAAGATAGTGGAGTACTCCGTAGCTGACTAGTGTATTATGAATATCCCTGTTCTCAGTTTCCATTAAAAGATTACAAAGTCAAGGCAGTCTATTCTGAATTCTACATTCCAGTAAACCAATAATTAGAATTTGACGTCATGATGTTCGTAACAGGGCGTGCATTCCCAAGATTCAGAAAGGGGAGAGTGGAGAGTGATGATCTGTTCTGGCTCGACCCCACTGTGGCCATGGCTATCCGGGGAAAGCTATCGAGGTCGATCAGAGTGATTAGTGAACAGATGAACGGATGAACAGATGAACCGGTAAAAGATAATTTATTCTGTTAATATAAATATCAGAATTAATATGGATCTATTAATAAATAGAAGAAACCTGTACTAGTACCTGAGATAGGCTGCCTGACTGATAAGGTAGAAAGATAAGTCATCCGATATGCAGTGCATCCAAGGAATGACAACAACCCCTCTTTGCTGCTCCCCTCTTCCCCTGACTTCTTAAGCTTTCTCTCGTCCTCTTTCATCTTCTTCCATCTTCTTTCTCTTCACCCTCGAGAACTTTCTACCTTCTACTTCTCGTATCATCCTCTTACTGTCAATATGGGTGACACAGGCACCACCCCAGCAGAAGTACCTGCAGCACAGCTGCCTAACTCGCCCAAACCTGGGTACAGCACACATATTGTCGTATGTGAATTTGATATCCACAGAAAGGCAAAAGAAGAGACCGATGCTAATGTAACCTGCTAGTTAACCACCTACCCCGGCCAAAGCGGCATCGACCCCGTCCCGCTCGAATGGGGAGCTCCCGACTCCAAGTCCCGCGGACCCGTCGTGGTCTCTCGCAGCGGGCCGTTGCTGAAACGGCGTAATGCGATGGGAGCCCACGGCGGCAACTACAGCATCTACAACGCACTCGCCATCGCCTCGGGAGACCTCGACCCCAACTTCCGCCCGGATTTCCGCAACAGTGAGCCGATCTTCAAGTTCCCGTGGCAGCCGGCTTGGGCGGACAAGGAGAAGATCGTGTCGATGGACCCGTATGGACATGACATTGTCAACCAGTTCCGGGAACAGCTGGATGCGGGGTGGGATATTCGGCCTACGATGGCGATCACCCGTGCCAACATGAAGCTGGCGGAGATTGGAGAGGCGGTGCGGGATGGGAAGCTGGGTGTAGATGGGGATATTGTGGTGGACTCCACCGGTGAGGTCCGTGTCACCAAGGTGGCGGTTGAGCCTGTGTGGTACTTGCCTGGAGTTGCGGATAGGTTTGGTGTCGACGAGGGAACACTTCGTCGGACGCTGTTTGAGCACACGGGTGGAAGCTACCCGGAATTGATTACTCGACCGGATCTGAAGATCTTCCTTCCTCCTATTGGCGGTCTAACGGTTTATATCTTTGGTCCTCCGGAGCGCGTGTCGGATGAGAATGTCAAGTTGGCTCTGCGGATTCACGACGAGTGCAACGGCAGTGATGTGTTCCAGTCTGATATTTGCACTTGCCGACCATACCTTGCATTCGGAATTCAAGAGGCAATCCGGGAAGCGCAGAATGGAGGCAGCGGAGTGGTCATCTACTTCCGAAAGGAGGGACGTGCTTTGGGCGAGGTGACCAAATACCTGGTGTACAATGCTCGCAAGCGTGGAGGTGACACTGCCGACAAGTACTTTACTCGGACTGAGAACATTGCAGGTGTCAGAGATGTAAGTATTTTCTCATCTACACTTGACAGAACTAACCTCTGCAGATGCGCTTCCAAGCTCTCATGCCCGACATCCTGCACTGGCTGGGTATTAAGAAGATCGACCGCATGCTTTCGATGTCCAACATGAAGCACGACGCCATCGTTCAGTCGGGTATCAAGATTCACGAGCGTATCCCCATTCCCGACGATATGATTCCGAATGACTCGCGAGTCGAGATTGACGCCAAGATCAACGCGGGCTACTTTACAACCGGCAGGCAGTATACGATGGAAGAGCTTGCGGCCGTCAAGGGACGAGGCTGGGAGAAGTGGGAGGATGTTACGGTGGGTACTCTACCAATATGCTATATGAATCTTGCTAACTTTTTCAGCACTAATCGCCTGCGTCAACCTGATTGCCGTTATGATCTATGGCTTAAGAATCTACGTTTACATGAATGAGTTGCATATGATCTCTATGTTGTCATGCTTTATATATCGAAGAGTGTCGGGTGTTGACAAGGGGAGTTGGGGATTTGCATAGCAGCAGTCATAATGCATAAGTAATGAATGAATTCTAGCAATGAAATATCTTGAACACCCATTTGTCCGGATAACAGATACTTAGTCTCTCGGGTTCTTTTCCTGCCTCTCCCGACTGATGCATAACACCAGCACAGCAGAAACACGACATACATCAACATCTCATTACTGATACTCTATCCTCTACTGGAGATAACTTGGAACCCGGCGTCTGGTGTCCCGCCGTAACCGCTTCAACCACCCCCCCGACAGTCTCAATCTCCCCTCGCAAGCAAAATACCTCACTTTCCTCTCCTAATCTAACCTCACTGGCCTCACCGGCCTCGGCACAAACTCGAAAGCCTTTCTCCTCACCCGCGAAGAACGCGCCCAGCTCATCGCCACAGCCAGACAAGCCGTTGACCCAGACTTCCCCCTCATGGCAGACGGACAATTGAACTAGCCCGCGATGCAGAAAAGCAGGGACTAATTGTCCACTTGTTCTGCCTCCGTCGTATTTCGGGAAAGCGTCAAACATCAACGTCGTGAAGAGGTTTCACGCAGACGTTGCCCGCCAGATTAGGCTAGCTATTGTACTGTATAAAGTAACTTCTCCGTTTATGCAACGGAGTAGATGCCGACTCGGAGACAATCACATCCATCGTGCACGAGTCCGAAACACAAACGGTGGCATGCCGAAAAAAAATCGGCGAGATCTCACCAAAATCACCCGACTCGCAGCCAAATTCCCACCGCATACATTCGGCATCTACGGGCAGTTTGATTTCTAATTGCGGGTCTGGCGGTGGGTTCGGCGGGGTGAAGTTCTGCGTTTGCGAATGTGTTTCCTCGGACGGCGGCGAGAATCTACGTTTTGTATGTACAGGGCAAAGTAGACGAGGCGATGGAGGTGTGCGTAAGGCTGCGTTGGCTTAGACGCCGTGTAAGAGTGGATTGCGACGACCAAGTCTGCGGTTTCTATTGATTCTGCAGAGGAAGCGGGGATTGAGCATGCAGGGAGTAAGTTGAGGCCGAGGACGCCGTGTGACGAGGCGGGGAGGGAAGAGGGTGGATAGGCAGATTATGGGGTTTCTGCAGTGGAAAGTAGTGTATAGCATGATTACTATGAGAGAATAGAATGAGATATTTCAATTTCACCGAACGCCCTCCGAGTCATCTTCTTGTTTTGGGGATAGCATCAGCCCAGAAGCAGCCACAGCCAACATGCCGGGGGACCTTCTCGATCAACCCACGGTCGAAACAAACCCACAGCATCCTCTCCACTGTCGAACATGCATGAGGGATTTGATGGCCAAACTCTCCTCACACAAGTATCATGACATCAGGCCATACAAACATATGCATGGCTTCACCATCGGCGAAACCCCGGCGACTTGCACTCCACAGACGGCATGGCCCGTTGCAATAATTTCCGACTGCCTGTTGGCTTGATCGAATCCACACGTGGAAAAGCTCAGGCCGGCGAATGCGGGGGTGGCTATGGGGAAGTGTGGAGTTGGCCGGAGAATATACGGAGATTTGGTCAATGCCAATGCTAAAGGCATCGGTCCGATCACACGGGCTGTACTTGATTCTCGGGTTGACGAGGATATATGGTATGTAGAAGGATATAAATATCAATGGACGGTAAGTAATTAGAGAGTAGTTGTAGACAGACAAAAAAGAATCAAAATGCGTCTTTCTCTACTTGTTTCTGCGGTTTCTTCGCTGTCTGCGGCTGTCGTGGCGGCAGACTATTCCGGTCCTCTACGGCCTCAAGTGCATTATTCTCCTCCTTCGGGGTTTATGAATGATCCCAATGGGCTTTTCTTTGATCAGAAGAAGGGTGTTTACCATCTCTACTATCAGTGTATGTTCCATCCATAATCCATGCATCTATCGGAATATACTGACTCTATAGACAACCCCAATGCTACTGTTGCCGGCAACCAACACTGGGGCCATGCTACCAGGTATTCTCATCTGCCTGTACTATATGATCTGTATTAACCATACTGAAGCCCCGATCTCTACCACTGGACAAACCAGCCCATCGCCCTCGCTCCGGACTCCCCCGACCACTACATCTTCTCTGGTTCAGCCGTGATTGACAGCGAGAACACCTCTGGCTTCTTCCCCAACCAGACCGACGGCGTGGTCGCCATCTACACCGTCGACTCTCCCGAGGTGGAGAACCAGCACATCGCCTATTCCCGCGATGGAGGCTACACCTTCACCAAATACGCCAACAACCCTGTTCTCAACAGCACCTCAAAGGACTTTCGCGATCCCCAGGTCGTCTGGCATCCCGAGACAGGCAAGTGGGTGATGACGATTGCCTACGCCCACGATAGGGTGATTGGATTCTACACATCGCCTAACCTGAAGAACTGGACGCATGCGTCCAACTTTACGACGGAAATCGTCGGCGAGGAATTCGAGTGTCCCAACTTGGTGAAATTCAACGTTGAAGCGGGCAACAAACACGCGCTCTTCATTTCTGTTAACCCCGGTGCGCCGCTGGGTGGTTCGGGCACTTTCTACGTTGTTGGTGACTTTAACGGAACGCACTTCAGCACCGAGGCTACCAAGGGCGAGCTGATTTCGTTCGGAAAGGATAACTATGCGGCGCAGTTTTACTCGGAGCTTCCGGAGAAGAGCGATCCTATCTCCATCGGGTGGGCGAGTAACTGGCAGTATACCCAAGATGTTCCAACAGGTCCATTGGAGGGATGGAGAAGTGCAATGACTGTGCCGACGGTTCATCGTCTGGTCCAGGTTGATGGAAAGTGGGAGTTGAGCAGCCTTCCATTTGACATTTCGTCTGTTCAGGGTGATAGCCTGGCTAGCAAGGATACAACTGGCGATGATGTCTCTGTCGATTTCTCTACCGTCAAGTCCAACGCTGTCTACTTTGACGTCGCCATCAACGATATCCCCAACAAGCCAACAGGCGAAGTCACCTTCAACTTTACATCCTCGACATCCCGCGACTTCCTTGACGGCGGCATCCATCTGGACACAGGCCTTTTCTGGATCAACCGTGCTGGTACACTGAACTACACCACTGCGAACAACCCAGACTTTACTCCCACCGTTAACACGACCGTTTCACCGTTGGGCGACAGTTTCGCCTTTTCGGGTGTGATTGACCGATCCGTGTTTGAAGTGTACTTGGCTGAGGGCAAGTACACTGGAACCGTTGACTTCTTCCCTTCTGCGCCGTTGAACAAGTTGACTGTGTCGGTGGGTGAGTTGAGTCAGAAGACTACTGTGCATGTTGATGCGTGGGGATTGAAGAGTGGATTTGCTTGATTGTATATAAAAGAATGATGATCATTTCCTTTTCTTCCAAGTATTTCCACAGATACGAGCCAGTAGATTAGGCATCTATCTGCTCTGACCAGTGAGATGTATTGTTTTTAATTCCTCACCCAGCCTGATAAACACAAGGCTCTGTTTAACAAGGCTATTGTACAAGGCTATCATCAACAATGCTATTGTAACAGGCTATGATGTAGCATTGCATGATACTACCCTGTTCATCCCACCATCAATGCCAGATAATAATTGACGCTGTGTGACTGCATATATCAATCACTCTTTATCGACACAACCAAGCACACCCACCATCCCCAATCCAGTTAGCCCACACACTAAATTAGATCTCGCAAGAGATTAGCGTCCACTAGCCCTGCTACCCAACACCCTCAACACATCTAATTGGCCATCCGAACTACACAAGTCTCCACTACTTGCCAATCCCATCAAAACTAGAAAACTAGACGCGCTTAGCCTTGCTGATACCTACCATTTCTGTCCAACTATTGGGGCCAAACCACCCGCCAGGCTGTTAATTACCCGATTCAGACATCGGTCGTGAACTGGTTTGCAAGGCTGATGGGCAACTGGTGCGACACTGAGGCTCTTGAGTCACTTTGTCCAGCACTAATGGGTTAACCTCGTATCACAATCCTTGTGGGAGGTGATTAGTTTGATTAAGCAACTAATGGTTCGACTTGGCTTAAAAGGGGGCAGTGCCCTCTGCTTTTCAGTAGTTTTCATCTTTTCACTTGTGACTTGAGAAAATCCTGCCATGAAGAGTATATTGCTTTTGTCGCTGGCTGCCTTGTCGCAGACGGGTGCAGCGCTGTCTCTCCATGAGCGCAGCCAGCCTGCTACCCTGGGTTACGCCATCGAGCGGAAATCCAGCAATGTGAATAGCAGACGGAAGAGAGATACGTCGTCTGTTACCATCAACAGCGCTGTACGTTTCCCTCCTATTTAATTAATTATGCAGTGCTAATTTGTGAAGAACGATCTCGACCTCTACTCCTTCAACTTCACCCTCGGCACCCCCGGCCAACCCATCTCCGTCGGCCTCGACACCGGCAGTAGCGATTTATGGATGAACGCAGTCAACTCGACCTACTGTAGCGGGCTGCACGAGTCGAAATGCGACACTTCTGATAAATTCGACCCCAGCAAGTCGGATTCGTACAAGGTGCTGAACCACGGGTTTAAGATTCAGTATGGCGATAGTACGGGCGCGGAGGGCGACTATGCGACTGATACGCTCAAGTTTGGGAACGTCACGCTGGACGAGTTTCAGTTCGCGGTGGGGTATGTGACGAGTACGGAGTGTGAGTGCCCCGGTTTATCTGGATAGATTAATGAGGCGATGGTGCTGATGATGACAGTGGGCATCATGGGCATCGGCTACGAAAGCCTCGAAGCAGTCGACCAAACACGCACCGCCGGCCCCGAATACAAGAACCTGCCTCAAGCACTCGTCAAAGCAGGCTACATCAAGTCCCCCGCATACAGTCTCTGGCTCGACGATCTCGAATCCCGCAAAGGCCAGATCCTCTTCGGCGGCGTCAACACGGCCAAGTACTCGGGCGAGCTGCACACTCTCCCCATCATCAAGGAACATGGCGATTACCTCGAATTCCTAGTCAACATGACCGGACTTAGCTTTTCGAATGGAACCAAGGAGACGAGTTACTCGAAGGGATTCCCCACGCCTGTTTTGCTGGATTCTGGTACGACGCTTTCGTATCTTCCTGATGATGCGGTGGAGGATATCCTCAACGATGTCGGCACGTACGACTTTATGCTGCAGACGTACACGGTTGACTGTGACATGCGGAGCACGGGGTATAACCTGACTTTCGAATTCCCGGGATTCAGCATGACCGTCGACATTGCAGAGATGATTCTCGAAGCAGAGAATGGCATCTGCATCTTCGGTATCGACTACCAGGGTAAAGAAACCGCCGTGCTGGGCGATACTTTCCTGCGCAGCGCCTACGTCGTCTACGATCTCGGCAATAACGAGATTTCCATGGCTCCCGCCAACTTTGACCCCGGCGAGGATAACATTCTCGAGATTGGCACTGGCTCGTCTGCTGTGCCCACTGCTACTGGTGCCCCGACCGGTACTGGGACGAGCACTGCTGCTACTGCCACCGGCACGAGTGGTGCCAGTGAGACTTCGGAGGGCGCGGCCATGCCCATGATGACGGCTAGCCCTAAGCTTATGGCTGGATTGGCGGGTGCTGGTCTGCTGCTGGCTTTGTAGATGAATATGACATATTGCATAATAGACGGATATATGACTGATAGAATAGTACATAATGCAAGGACAATCTAACTGATACCCTGATACTATCTTCTACGCGATGCAATAGTAATAGTTTACTCCTACAGAAGACAAAACCAAGCCCGCCGGTAATGCCCTCAGGCATAATACTAAAGGATAACCGCTATAGGACCAACACTAACGATCCACAATATATCTTCCAGGCACTTTAATCGAGGGAATCTGCAACATCGCTTCATCCGAGTTCGATTCCAGAGGGCCTCTGGCCATGTAAACACGGCATTTCTTGCGGGTTCACTCGATCAATCTCCGGGTTGTCGCAGGAGTAAACATTGATGAAGTTTTCGGTTTCTGTGTCGTCGAGGCCAATTGTGACGGGGGTGTTTAGTGGTTGTCAAGGGTTTCTGTTAAGGCTGCATCCGAGTAACTCTATCACATAGTGCTCCTCCGTCCATTCAGGAAGAGGAACGCAAGGTCTATATTGCGTCTGATAGAAAACTGAAAAGGTCTGGGTGCTCAGGCCGTCATAAATAGTATTCTGCTGGACGGCAGGCGCTGCACGCGAGACCCCGCAGCCAAGAGGTGAAGGGGGAGGCAGTGTCGGATTAACCACCTTGGCGAATACCGCTACCCGACTAAAGAAAGAAGAGCGCTGCTCATGATTTTGCTATGCCGATCCCCAGCTGGCAACAAGGCTGACCTTTATTATGGCCAGTTATAGCCAGTTATGGCCTCGTATCGTCCCTGCTGGCGTGGTGGGGAATATCGTAGAATTTCCAATCATATAGCCTCTGCAATTTGCACCTTTGCATATTTGACCTCAGAACTCCAGAATTCACTGCCTCGATCCCCAGCGACAAAATGTCTGGCTCCCAGTTCGATCCAACACGTTACTACCACCTCACCAACACAGTCAACAACACCCGCTTAGCCCTGGGCGGCAGGGTCACTGAACCTCCTCCCCCTCTCTCCGTCATCTCGACGAGCTATATAGCTCGGAAAACTGGCAGCTGTTTTACGATCATGGGGTCTATTTCATCCGCAACCTGGACTACGAGGCGCGGTATCAGTTGGGATTGAACACGAGCGATCAGTCAATTCCATCCATGATGGAGACAGGGAGCGCGCTAGGCATGCAGTGGAATATCACCCAGGCTGATAGTGGAATTTGGGAATTGAGGAATCTGCTGGTCGGGCAGGCCAATGTGCTGGCTCTAAGTGAGAATGCGAAGAGGCAGAAAGTGCCTGTGATGAACACGAATCCGACAGAGGGGAAATGGACGATGGACATTAACCCAAGTGAGAATGTGCATACCACGGACTCGATGATGTCTCCGTTTCCTTCAATAGAGGTTGGTGCTGTTATCCACTTGTGGGTTGACATGCTGACATTGGATGATAGAGCCCAACAGACTCCGCCTCGACATCACCCAGCAGTCTCAGCGGCGGCGCCATAGCTGGTATAGTCGTCGGCTGTGTTGCCGCTGCTCTAATAATCCTGGCTGCTCTGTTCTTCTTTTTCCGGCGCTCTCGCCGACGTCAAGCCGCCCCAGCCACCAAATCCAGAGATGCTCCGGCTAACGACCAAAGCACGAGTCAGAAATTACCGGAACTGGAGAGTAATCTCACGGTAAGAGCTGAATTGGATGCCACTCGTCAGACTTCAGAGTTACCGGCCTACAGGCACGGGTGATGAGTGCAGTGCAGCTGCATTATAGTATACATGTATGCCTAATTACTGCTGTTGTTTTCTTTTTTAAAAGCGTATTTTCTGGCAAATATACTCCCTTTCGCTTTTTACTCAAGGGTGTGTTCTTAATCAAACTATTCTTCAATAGACATGTTTCAGTTCTTCAAGTAAGAGGGTAGAGAAGAATAAAATGGTTGTCTTGTGGAACTCGTTAAATCTTGATGGACTGCTACCTGTTGGCAGCGGAGATGAAAGGCACGAGCTAATGGATTTCTGGTATACACAACGTCAAGTACACTGGTTACCTATCCTAAGGCGTATATGATTGAACTGTCAGGAATGTATTCGTCGTGGTTGATATGCAAGAAGGTTGTCTAATAATTATTAGGCATGAATGTCAGGCATGTAGAATGTGGCGCTGGATCTGGGAGATGCAAACATATTATGTTTCAGAATGGCCTATCAGTGCACAGGATAGAATAGGTAGTATATGATAGTCATAGTACATATAAATCATTTAAAACAATCAACTGCTGAAAATCCAAGCGAAAAACAACAATTTCATTCGGAGTCTGTAACAGCCAATCAGGGCACGCTATCCAGGTCTAGTGAAATGAAAGAAACATGGCCAGAAAGATGTCCAATAGCAACGGTATCATTATGTACATCCCAACTACCATAGAGAAGTCTGTACTCTGGAGGGAGCCATATAATTTCCTCCCGCCCATTCAGTATCCATTGACCACGGATGAATATCTCACCTTCTGTATCCGAATCCAAGCTCTGTATCTCTTTGTTTTTGAAGTGATCGGTCAAGTCTTCTATAGCAAGGGAGCCTGTTTCCACATCCCAAGCTTTGAACTTCTCTTTCTGCCTTGCACGTATCATTTTGCTATCTGCAGAGAATTCTAACTCCTCAAATTTGAGACCTTGATTCGGCTCCAATATCTCTTTGAAGTCTCCACCCTGGGTGTTCCATACTTTGAGGTTGCCATCGAAAGACCCGATTGCCACTAGGTTTCTGTCTGGAGAGAATGCTATTTCTCTTACTATTCCTGAAATACCAGGAATACTCACTCTTAGATTGCCAGTGCGTGGGTCCCATAGCTTCAATGGACCATCCACGCTTCCTGTTGCTACTTGTAGACCATCTGGGGAGAATTTCACTTTAGCAACGACGCCTGGAAGGCTGTTTGAGTGGCAGTCTGAGGGTTCATATGCGGTGTTTTGTAAGGTTGCATCCCATAGCTTAACTGTGCTATCGACTGACCTTGATGCTAACAACCGGCTGTCTGGGGAGAACTTCATAGATACAGTCCAGGATGAATGGTCTTTCAACGTCTGTTGAAGAATTCCAGATTCAATATTCCATAGCTCAAACACTTTATTATCTAGAGCCAATGCCAGCAGCTCATTGTTTGGAGAAATATCGATTATCTTAATGGACTTGCTCCTGATCTGGCGCTTAAGATCCCATGTAGCTGTATTCCATATCTGAACAGTGTCACATTCATAATGTTCAAGCGAGGCAAGAAGCTGGCGATCCGGGGAGAATACTGCAGAATGGACAGTGGTAGGTTTGTTAGGTGGCTCCATTCTTTTTTCCAATGTGCCGTTATTGACATTCCACATTTCAGTCGTAAAATCGGTAAATTGCAGCCATATAAACTCGCTGTTGGAATCAAATGATATATTCAGAACTGGACCTGAGGGCATGTGTGTCCATTTCTCATTCCATTCTATCGCATATCTTGCCCAAACTGTGACTTTGGAATCTTCTGACCTCGCGGCCAGGATTTGGCTGTTTGGTGAGAACACAAGTTCGAAATATCCATCATTTTGGTAATTCAATCCTTGAACCCTATTCCATGTATTCGTGTCCCACAGCAAGATCTCATATCCTGTCCCCGAGGCCATCAACTGTTCGTCTGGCGAGAGTACTATGGCATAGACTGGACTTTCATGATTTAGAATCTTCTGTAGAGCACCTGTGGCTGTATCCCACACTTTGATTGCACCATCAAATGAACCCGATATTACCAGCTGACTGTCACCAGAGAAAGTAACACTAGAAACTATGCTTATGTGCTCTAGGGTTTGCAAAAGTGCACCCCATTCTTGTTCAACCTTTGGTGACTTTAAGATCCAGCTAGGAACCTTCCCTTTAAACATGCGTCTGACAATGCTTTTCTCGGGGGTGAAGATGAGTGCTGATATGTAAAGCTGGAGGGGCGCCATGGCAGCAATTGATAGGTTTTTGAGAATAAATCGTTTTGCATCTGATAGAAAACTGAAAATGTCTGAATATTCTTGCACCTGTGTTTTCTTGATTAGTTTCTTGTCTATAGTAATACGGTTCATCTTAGACAGCATACTTGAGGAAGTGATGATAACTGATCAATAAGCCCTGCACTCTCTGGGAAAATTCCCAAAAGACTCATTGCTTCTAGCCAGTGGAGAAAGTGCTCTTTAAAGAAATGGAGGATATTCCATATGTCAACTGTCCTAAAACAACCTTCTGCAAAGTGGTGAGCCCAATATTGGCATGCGTATCGGACAGAGCGCAACGGGTCAGGATTTGGTGTTTCTATTTCTTCAGACATGGTTCCAGGGCGTTCAAGCCGGTATATATCCTGTTTCAATGTATCCTTCATTCCCTCCAAGCACTTTTCGAAGATCTGGTAGTGGAAGGTGCGGTGGATATTGAAGGCGCAGTCAGAACCAACAAGACTTTCAGGCCCGGTACATAGACGTGCAGAATGCTCGAGCAGATAGTCCTGAGCCGATTGGTGGATGAAATAGACAGTCTCGCTGCGGATTGTGAGGAAAGACTGGCAATCCTGGACAATTCGCTGCGCCGCGTTCTGACCCTTTAGATCCTCTGGCAGTGCAAGCAGTTCAATCTCTGACAAGGTCAATGGACGACGAGCAAGCATTGCAACTGCCAGAACTTGTTTGCACCAAGCTGACATGAGTTTGGAACTCAGAGCATGATCCAGTCGCTCAAGCAGAAACGTGTATAGATCCTGTAGATCGCGAGGAACATTTTTGACAATCTCATCCCACACAGGTTTAAATAAGATATTTTCCTCACACAAGCTATAGAGCCCCTTGAAGACCAATGAAACCCAGATGAATGTGTTGCTTGCTTTGTTTTGCAACTCTTGCCCGATTCCCTCGATATAATCATCAGTGAAAGTGGCGTTCCGATGTTGGAGCTCCTTCTTTAAACCAGACATCTTCCGTTTGATATACATGTTGATAAACTCGGAGCGATCACGTTGGTCAAAATCGATGATACTGTGGGATTGAATGGGGATGTTCTGCTTGCTTTGCGGAATTTCCACCCACGGTCGACTGGATAGAAGATGTTTGATTTTGGGGAATTTCTGTTTGGTCTCGATGAGAAAAGAGAGAAGCTGGCTCCTGGTTGCATCTTCGCATTCGTCCATGGCGTCAATGACGAAAACAGTCCGGCTTAGGGATTTATCCGCCAGCATTTCCTCGAGAATCTCTCGCAGGGTAATAAAGGCGTGCTTGTCTGTGATGAGTTTCTCCCCGGATTGAAAAACCTTAGATTGTATATAAGGGAACAGCTGGGGTTGTTGAAGAAGCAAGAGCCATATGAGACTCCGAAGGATAGACACACTGGTGTTTGCTCTATCGTCGGTTCTCTGGCAGAAGAAATACAGAACCACCGGAGGGTCAGGATCAGAGAGCCCTTGTCTCATCAACTCTTTGATCACACCCAGTAACAGTCTGGTCTTTCCTGTTCCTGCTACCCCGCTGATCCACAGCATCGCTGGGGATTCTTGGTTATCCCAATCTGCGAATTGCTTGTATTCGGATGTCTCGAGAACCCATGAGTACAGGTCTTCAATCAACTCCTCTTGTTCCTGGATGCCTTTGATTTGATTCCGTGGATCAACACCGCGAATGTTTCGGAGACATTTCCCATAATCCTCGTGCTCTCTCGTTGCGTCATCAGTAATCTTTTTTCTCATGCGCCAAGACAATAAACTGGCTTCTATGGTAGAAACAGACGCTTTTTATCTGGTAAAAAAGCATTGACTGGTACAGGCCGAGGATATCTTCATGGAGATCACTTCCCAATGCCTCAAGAGGTGTACCGGTCTGGATGTCTTTCTTATCCAAAAGCTGGTCTGTGAGTTTGGTGTATCGGTCCATTCTGGAAGAAATAAACGCAATGCCATTGTAAAGGCCTATTCCTGCTTTGACGGGATTTGCCAGAATCTGAATAACATAGCCTTTAGCGACGTTCTTAAGGAGAACTGCGGAAGACTTACATCCAGCGTAGAGGAAATCACCGCCCAAGGCAGCGAAGTCTGGGGGGTGTTTTTCAACGGGATTTCCACAATGGCCATCAAGGGCTTCATGACTCGAAGCACTTCCTCGGATTTCTCAACCACGGCCTTGGGTTTTTTTATCTTTTCCAGGCCTTCTTTGATGATCATTCTCATTTGCTCTTCTTGAGCAGACAAGGGCTGGCCAGCATCCGGGTCTGGAAATGGTACCTTTCCAGACGACTGTCTCAAAAAACGCTCAGCGACCAGTTGTTCATACGCTTCAACATATTTCTTTTTGCTCTGGTCATTCTTGAGGTTCTTGTAAGCTGTGTACCAAAGGGCATTATGGATAGGAATCCCGCACTGCGAATTCTGGCTCGAAGCATCGGACGCTGCTGTAATCCGAGGGGTGAAATTGTCGCTATCTGTCTTCGGGTGCTTCAACCTGTTCCACAATCTCGAAAGGCGTCCATCCTTTGATGGTACCATGTTGGGATCGAGCTCATATAATTTGGATGACAACAATAAGGGGGGTATGAACGGCGGCAATTCCCAATTATGTTGAAGGAGGGTAGGAGTTCGAGAGAGAAAAATTGAAAGGTGACTGGGAATTGGAAGGGCTCTCCGCTGAATACATGTGGGCTGATGCGAATGGCTGGTATTCACATACCCTGGCGCTAATTCCATACCCCTGTTCTGTCCATGGCGGTTGGGAATCCAAGAGGAACTGGATCTACGCCAATGAAGTCGTGTCCTGGAAGTGTATTCACCCTATTAAAAAGGGTATATTCTTAAGGTAATTAAATTGTATATGAAATTTATTAGAGGTACTCTACTCAATTCGCTAGAAATTAACATATCCTCATAACTGCTGTTCCATCACACTATCAAGCCACTGTGCCTAGTTCTGATAATTGCTTTTTTTTCCACTGTAGCTCTATGCTTATGTCTGCCAATACAGTGTCTACCTTTCTGACTGTAGAGTCTGCTACAGACAGACAGCCTTCTACATCTAGTTGCAAGGCTATCGTAACACGAAAGCATACTACGATAGAGTTCCTGGCCTCGAAATATCTCTACAATGCCTGACGTGGCAAGGCTGTGTTATTCCACCACGAGGCTGAGGAGCCTTGCTAAGAGTTTCAATCCCCTCTCCAGCTCATAATAACAAATGATCTTCTAGATGCCACTCTTACGCATACCAAAACTATCAACACACGCCTGGCGATTCATCCCGCTCCTCTACACAACCAGCGCAATCATCCTCACCAGCTTCCTCAAACACGACCACAACGGCTCCAATGACTCCACCGTATCCAGATACTTCGGACCAGGCGCATTCTGGGCATGGGTTATGACTTCCATCGTCATTCTGGGCACCTACGAAGGACGCTTCTATTTCACCTCGCCATCATCTGCACCTGACGAACTGGATTCACTATGGAAGTCAGAATGGAAAGCAATACTCCGCGATGCCCAAGGCTGGGATTACGGAAATGATATCGATAACTCTGCGGAGATATCGAAAATAGATAAAAATAAGGGAGGAGAAGATTTATATTCCATATAAAATACTCTATTAATATATATAATAAGATACTGATTCCCACTATGTTTGGTGATGAACCATCACCATAATTTCGCCTACTATAACATTACCAAATAATCCAATAGTAACCTTTGCTCTGCTCCAACCAATGTCTCCCAGTCATCTACTTCGCCGAAGAGCTGAAGTGACCAGTCCCACTTTTTTTGACAGCGGAAAGCTAGATAATCAATTCGGCCCTGCTTAGGGTAGTCCATTGGAGGACTAATTCATCGATGGTATCCAACTCATCACTGTTCCCTGGCTGGCTATGTCGCCTGTTTCTCAAGTTACAGAAAGACGTAGACTCGTCGTCTGAATTGTCAGCGAAGTTGTCAGCGAAGATTTCACTTCGTGGCCGGCTCCAGGATCTCGAACGGTAGTTGGGCTCGGGTAGTATGTCAAGAGCGTTGTTTGGTTCTCCATTCCAATCTTTATGAATGGAACTAGCATCCGAATCGGAATTGTTGGAATTGAGTCGAGAGGGAATAGCAGGGGTAAAGGGGGACTTAATCTCTTTGCCATCATGCAGATCGATTTGGTCTGGCTGAGAATCATCAGGCCATTGATGGAACCCCCCTCGTCGAGTACTGCCACGTCTTGGCTGGCTTTCAGGGCGTCCTCGGGGCACGCCAAAGTCATCCATAGCAAAAAGCCGGGGCTCGTCGTCCTCAACTACTGGACTTTGATGAGGGCTGCGTGAAAGGGGATTCCCCTGAGTATGAGGAGATTTCTCGGCATGTACATATTGTCTGCCTCGATCTCTCTCTCGCAAACGTTGATCTTGTAGTCTGTCCTCCTCTTCGGCCATTTTCAACAACTCCAGGCCTACACTGGCCTCGGCATCGCTGTCGTCACTGTATGTGCTATAGTGCACTGAACCAGGGACAGTGATACGGCCGTTATTTTCATTTTCCGCATTTGCACACAATGACGCTTGGAGCTCGATTTTGAATAATGAATCCCCACCAAACAGCTGAGAAAGCTTCTGTCTGTCAATTGACTGGAATGTCCCTGCCTCATCTAAGTGGACATTAACGACTCCGTCGCGGATGCGCTGATGTCGACTCTTCTCCAGGGTTGATTTGCTTGAATCAACTCGTTCAAGCAAGCCCTTGATGAGGCTGTAGTACTCTATGATCTCTGTGGGGAATAAATCCTGGGATAGAAGAGGAGATTTAGAAGAAGTTCGTGGAATACTCGTACTGGAAGCAGCGAGTGTGATAGTAGCCATAGACTGTGGATCATCCTTTCCTTTCAAACATTGGATGGTTTCTGCAAGCTGAGTGTATTTCTCATCGTTGGCCTTTTTCTCTTGCGCGAGAAGTTGGACAAGATCTTTCTGCTCTTTCAAGGCGAGAGGTTCTGACTTGCTGCAAGATTCATTAATATCAATATCTCTGCAATTGACACCCAAGTTGCCGAGGGAAATAACGGTAGCTTACCGGCGTATCTGGCCTGCATAGATGATAACATTCAGCATCAACAACACCGTACTTTTCAGCCTTTCCAGATTACCCCGCAGCATATCGAGCTCTCTCTCCATCAGTGCAAGTCCAAACTTTCTCGTCGCTCGAACCACTGGATTTTTGCTTTTACCGTCCTTCTGATCCTGGACCGTATGGTCGATCTTATCGAAGACATTTTTACATTCATCCAAAACTTGCTGCGCGGTCGCGACGGCGTTGGCTGAATACAATTTTGTATCCGCGTCCTGGTGAAGATTGTGTCCCAGCTGTTGAAGGATGCTGCAAGTGAGCGAGACATCTGTAGACAAGCTTTGTATAGTTACATTGGACTGCTTGATCTGGTGGTAGAAGGTACACAGCTTGACAGCCAATTTGCTGCCTAGTTCAGCGACTTGAATGATACTCGCTGCGATGCCAATTGCTTCGAGTCCGGACATATTTGCTGTGTTGAATACGCTGGATGGGTATAGTCCTCAATCAAAACAGAACTTTCTTGTCATCGGGTAAATGATTTATGACAAGTTACTACGAAGCGGTATAAGAAGTGTCAGCTGTCTGATTGTAGCCTCATAGCCTCGTGCACAGCCTCCCTCACAGCCTTGTTGATATGGGCGATCTGGCAATGATAAGCATCAAATGATCACTTATTTGGCAATTTCTCTCAGCATCTGATAACTCTGCTTAGAAAACACGATAAAGTAGAATTTCCTCTTTCTACTTTCTCAATATACCCATCTCCCTCTTCAGACTATGTGGTATTCGAAAAGAATTATGTGTTTTTGCGTCCTGTCTGACAGCCTGGGATTGACTGATTTCATAAATGGGATAATGTATCACCCCAAGGCTTGCTGTATATATAAATATAGTAAATGAATCACTTAATTTGACCTATTTATTTATTCTTCTTATATATATTTTTTTGTTACCCAGCTCTACCATGTTACTGCCATGTTATATCCTATATAATATGGAGTTAAGTGCGCAAAAGTTATAGTTTCAAGAGTTCTAATTAATATAGACCCTAACTAGTGTGTCACACAAGCAAGTCTACTCATGAGTGTAATGAGTAAGAGTATAAGTAGTAAGGCAAGTTTAAGTCTAAAACATCCTAAAACTCTACTGATAATACTAAAAAAGCTATCTCCTAAGCTTAGCTAGCTCATCTTAGTTTACTATCTATGTGATAATCTTGCAACCAGGCCAACCATTGGTCCTAGGTTAAACCCCGGAACATTGGATATCCACGCATAGCCATAGCCTGGATAAAATAATATAACTATATAATTAGGTTTCCTGGTCTTCTTAGAGTCAGATATAGTCTTTAGGTTATATAGTATAGACTATTTCAGGAATTTAAAGCTAATTATCAAAGGTAGTTACGCTACATTCGGCCAACGCAGTTGGACGGTCCCTCAAATAAAAATAAATTACTCGCATTTGATGAGCCAATGGAAGAATCAGGGCTCTCTGATAATCTTTCTACTTGTAGTTATGGCTCCTTGCCTTGTGAGTCACCGCTGTTTTGGGTAGCCTTGCGTGGGATCTCAGTTTTACGAACGTGAACACGTGCGTCTGAGCTGGCATTTGACCAGACTTGGTAGTATAAAAGACCAGGTCGCAGAAGGCGAATTCTGGTCAATAAACCATTTTTGCTTCTCTTTGAACCAATCATACTTGTTTTTGAGTCAGATCTATCACCATATGATGGCCGTCGATGGCAGAACCCTACAGCATGACTCGAAAACAATTAAGAAATTTTACGAGGTGGCGTGCTTGTTGCACAGCCTGAATGTGGCAAGAGGTGACCGTATCAAACAAAACCTTCCTACAGAGGATGACGAATATAACCTGTCGAAATGTAGGCGAGAGTTCGCCGACGCTTTGGCATATATATCTGTCAAAGAGAAGGGCGGAGACACGGTGACCGCAGTCGCACTTGGAAAATCAGACGAGAAAGTCAAAATTTGGATCGCCATGAACAAGGAAGTAACGGACAGGGATCCTGTATGGGCCTTTTTGGACAAAGTGCTCCAGGAACTCGACCGCATTGCAGATCAACAGAATAAGTCACCCGACCGCAAGAAGCAGGAGGACATTCTCCGAGACTATATCCTTAAATTCAACAAGAAAAAGATATACAGTTACTACACGGGTGCCCTATCCTTCTGGAACAAAATCAGTTCTTCTGCCTCGGCACCTAGAGGTAGGTCTTTCCAATCCTACGGTGCTTTATACATGTCGAATTGACTGGACTTACAGATGATGATGATTTCATAGCCTTAAAGAGCTGGGTACAAGAAGCGTTTTATAAAAATGCAGTTAAGCTACGGGCAGATGACATGGCAGGCCTTGCCAAGAAAAGCCACATTCTCCGTGAACGCAATCATGGATTGGATGTATTGGGCGCCTTAGAGAGGTTAACAACCAAAAGTGACGCGCTAACCACGGCGTACGAGCGGCTACATAAGCTGCTTTGTAAGCTTGGGAAGCATATCACTTTGTATAGGAAATTGGTCCGAGCAAGGAAATCCCTGCGCAATGATTTCGCAGGAGGATATTCAATATCCCAAGTACCTCATTCTCCTTCTCCTAATGAGTCGGAATCATTCCAATCCGATCTGGCGAGCATAGCAGGCAGTATATTCCCAGATAACGACGGACAAAATGCGCTTCTCAACCACGTTCACAGGTTTTATGATTCGGGAGACTTATCGCAAGAACTGTCTCAGAACTGCAGTTCACCTCGTCTAGTACACGCAGAGATCAAATTAATTGATCATTTTGATCGAACTTCATCGCGGTTTCTAGACGAGAATGATCCGTATATCGGATGCAGCAAGCCTGCATGCTACCTGTGCTTCAGCTATATACGCAACCATCCTCGAGGATATGCTCTGCCCCCATCACACCAAAAGCTTTATTCAAGATGGCGTCTTCCAGATGTGCAGGTAAATGACCCAGACTCTTGGAAACGATTCGAAGACCAGAAAAGATTCCTGGTTGACACAACGAAAACGCTCTATGAGGATCTACGAGCCGAGATTCGAATTCAAATAGGGCCCTGGGGAGCGCATGCAGATTCGACCGCAGGGGCAAGCTCAAACGCAGCCATACGTGTACCCATGTCGATGAAAAGTCTTCGAGAGATCGGGCTACATCGAGCGCGTCAGCTTTCAGGGAACAGTATGTTATAGCATCAAGATTCTAGTCACAGACACTAGCTAACATAACTCGGTTATTGAAGAAAGATCAAACAATGAAGACCGTGATAACAATGGCCTTTTGGATGGGGACGAGATAGTGTTTAAGGGAAGGCGAGGAGCTTGCGTTAGTCAGAAAGCCATACAGTCACCATCCTAATCATGTTCTGCTTTTTTATCTTTTACACAATCAGATAATAGTTCGATTAATACAAAAAATATGAAAATGAAGCTGTCATTATTAATATAAGGGAATGAAAAAGTACTAGGATATGGAATGGTTTTGTTCCCTCACACAGGTCTCTGTTGAGTATAGCAGAGCAGTTATATATCTTCGAAAAGAGCTTGTATACTTAAAATTGGAGCTAAAGAGACACACCTCCAACATCACTATCGCCATCATAACTCCCCTCAAAATCTTCACACTTAAGGTCCTTATCTTCAACATGTGCTGTTACAAAAGCAGGCTGTTCTTTGGTTTCAGAAAAGACAGGACTAACAGGGCTGGAAGGAAGGCTTTCTGAAAGCTCTGGATAAGATAGCTGCTGATCCTGGTGATTGTCTGAAATATCATCAAAGAATGTAGATAACTGGCAGATATCATCCCTCGCTGATGATTTCGTCTCCTGGTGTGAATGGCGATCGATGACAAAATTTTCGACCTCCTCGCGCACACCCTCTGTCATTTTCCGTAGAATTAGCTTTTGCTTACTGAAACGTCCACCGGCGAATTCTTGAAGCTGACTGATATCTGGCAGGCGCCACTGGAGATCAATTACTTTGGAGGTTGATCCTAGGACGGGTCGAGTCGGGTGTTCCTGGGCGTATTGGGAGCAGAGGTAGCAACTGGCCTTACTACATGCTATGTATTTATCGCGATTATCATAGAAGTGATTTCCACCGAGTGTGTCAAGATAGTCCAGGATGAGAATCTCAGGATGAACTCGGGTATGTATTGTCTTTTGGTAATGTTCAAGCTGCAGGTGTAGGTTATGCTGTGGCGCAACCTGACGAAGCTTGTCATGGAACTCTTCTGCCCGCGCCGAGTTTGAGAACATCCGATTTGCGATTCCGTCGAGGCCCAGCTTCTTTTTGAGAAGCGGTATCGGAAAATGTTTGGAAGGAGGTATGCTCTCAACCACTGGCTTATCGCCGAGGCCTTCGAGTATTGTAGATGCTCTGTCAAATAAGATATGACTCATTTTTATGGGCTCGATTAACTCCATCAAGAGTCGATAGAGTCCCTCAAAAGATTCTACATCGGATTCGTCTTGGCTCACATAATTGTGTAAAACGTCGAACATCTTATCGTCAGACGCGCGACAGCATTCTGTGGCGAGCCACAGCATGTCTGTTCGAGCCAAAGGGATGCCTTCTTTGAAGAAGGTACTCTTAAACCATGATTGAAAGGCCAGAGCATGCGCTTCATCATCTGTAACTCCGTACATTAGTAAATCGCTCATCGGTGGTACATGTTTCCTTACCTTCCAGCTCTGAAGACTGTCCACCCATCTTCGGTAGACAGATGTGAGCAAAGTCCTTGAGGATCCGATGGTAACACTCAAAGACCTTGTCTTTGTGCCTGTCCATAACATGGGCTACTATTTGAGTCATAGCTTGTTGTTTTCCTTTGGGACCACGGCTACCAATCACAAATTGAAGGAGACTTCCCAAAAAAGGAACCACATCTTCATCACAGGGCTCGTTTCCTGCAATTATGAAAGTAGCCTGGTTGTCTCTGTTCAGGATAACTCCAGCCAGGTCGCTGCCCATTTTGAAGGCACCTAATCGAACAATGGCATCGATAAGGTCCCGAAGACGTCGAGTAAGAGTAATGCCACATCTTTTCTGCGAATCTATGGATCTTTTGACTGAGAACTGTTCGTTTAAAGCGCACAGTAATGAGAGTGGCTCATAAAGGCGACGTAGCTCCTTTGGTTTGTGGCTCATGAAATCTTTCGGAATGGAAGATGATGCCATAATTTTCGAAAAAGGATTACTCGATCCTTATCTTTCCTGCTGGATAGTCAGTTACACCTGCAGCAGCGTGTGTGAGAACAAGAGTTGCTCGGTTGTATAGAAAATCACCGGGACTCACAAGTTTTTAATATATCTGACTTGATGAAACGATAGACTGTATCACAGAAATAATTTACCGTGAGGTGCAAATGGCGTAAATGCCTCTTTAATCTGCCAACAACTGGAATAGTTTGAGGTCTGTCATTGTCTCGTCATTATGGGAGGGGGATGTGAGGCTGAACATCTGACTATGTTGTATTCAGTTCTGGAGCCTCGTTGGTTCTTTTACACTCTGATTGGTTCCTATGGGGGCATGAATGCCTCGACGGGATAAAAGGAATTTGCTATAGACCCCTAGGATCACTCCCCGTGTCTTCTGCATGGCCAGGTTGGCTTGATGCGGCCAAGTTTCCGAGTTAACTTGCTACAACCTGCATGAAAAGCATCGATACCCAAAATGTTTATTGATTCTCCGGTTGGAGCCAACAGATGCAGAAGATGGACCCTAGTGCAATATCAAAAGTGCGATGCAGCGTTCGGCCTGTACTCTCAACTCATCTGGCCGAGCGCATCATAAGAAAGATCCTTGCGCTACGTATTCTTACATGGAAAGAGCTCGAAAAATGGTCTATTATTAATTGCGCATTCAATCTAACCAGTTTTATCTCCAGTACCGTGGTCCTGGTATTGATTGAGATAGGGCAATTACAACAGCGACCTTTACCCGACCTCTTGGCACTGTGATTTGGCTATGCATTACACTGTTTATCAGGGTGGTCTGGACAGGCGTAAAGCGTACATCATATGAAATACATAAAGGTGACTCACAACAGTCTCCTTGCAGTCCTTGGGAGTCGCATACAAGGCTGTGGGGTATGAGTCATAATCGCCTGCTAGTTAAACAATCATTAAGATCTAAGGTAAGGTTGTATGCAGGTGATAAACTAATTAGTCTGCATTTTGGGTAAGATAATTACATCCCCGTTTATGCTTCTTGATTATGCATGGTAGCCAGCGAAGCACCCTTTATCGGTGCAGCGAATCAGGAATCCTATCTGGGATTGCCTATTGAAGGCTACGTGCGCCCATGTGGTTTGTTGGAAAATGAATTAAAAAAAAAAAAAATCGAGATTCGGAAGAAAAAATGAAAATAAAATAAAAGAATTAGCGGAAATTTGAGCCGCAAGGGTAGCTAAGCATGGCACTATAAAGAATCTATAAAATCCACTGAGGGTTCACTATCAGCCACAACGTATCACATACGCATCTACCGTGTCACCCAGTGCTAAGATGTATCCCACGCTAGCCGATGTCGACTGTTACACCCATACCGGTAGGAAAGAAGCGAACACCGATGGGAAGACGCTTGCTAAGAAACGCATTAGATTATGAGGTTGGAAAACGCCTCTTCAATATGTATAACGTCTTGCAAATACTTGCATCCTCACCTAAGGACAGAACAGATGATTCCATCGTAGGTCAAGGCTCTCTTTGTCAACAAAAGCACGCTCGGATTCATAATCGCTAATAATCAGTGTTAGTCCAAGGCTGATGAGCTTGTCCGATCAATGAACTATGACTTCGCGGCTGCTGTCACGGCCTTGAAAGACCAAGGCCTGGATCTTCCTCGCACCGACTTAGTTGGCGATGAAACTTACGAGGCTATTCTTTACAAGTTCATGGGATACCTTAGATTGAGTGAAACCTCTAAGGATCAGTTTATCCTGTTGATGAATCGACTCCCACGGGTACAGATCCCGGATAGCAAACAAGACACCCAGCCTCTTCCGGCTGTCGACGGGTATCTTGGCATACAGGACAAGGCACCGGCTGCTGTTGGTTCTGTGGCTTCTGGAAGTATCTCGGAAACAGATCCAGATAACTGGAAATATACCTCTCTCCTATGGGAAAAGGGTCAAATGCATAATACGACGCCGGTTTGTACCGAGACCTGCCTCAGCAACTTCCCGACCAGGTTCCGTGTCACTATTCAGTTTAAGGGAGTGCAAGGCTCAGGCGATGCTAGAAATAAACGGCTAGCAAAACACATCGCAGCGAGAGCTGTTTGCCAAGCCCTAGGGTTTCGACCTTCGTGATGAAAGGGGTATTGCGAGAAGTGCAACGTACTATCAAGAGCCACCGGGAAGAGTTGGCACAAGCGAGATCAGTTTTTTATGCATCTAGAAGTTACGGCAATCAAAGTGCGAGAGGTGTTTCCGAGGTTATGAAGTTCTTGAGTAGAGCATTAATAATATTACAGCATAATTATAAAATCGATCGAGCCTGGGATAAGACTTCATTTCTAAATTGTAGGTCGGTTCGCCGATTAGTAACTGTATTTCTTCACGACACACTACCTTCGACAGGCTTTATATATATGATGTAAGAAGACCGTGGGATGATATGCAAGCCAAAATCCATTTATATTGCGGAGTAGAACGAATGTAGAAAAAACCCAAGTCCAAATACTCTAGAAAATGCTGGAACAGTCTCTGTCTGGAATCAATCTGCTAGAAAGCGCTGGCCCTCGCGTAAAAGACGGACAGCGTTTGCCCTGCTCGGATGACGCTTGTGTCGAGATTCTCTTGTCCGTGAGCAGTCGCAATTTTGAAGCCATCAACCGAGTTGTGACACTGAGCTGGTTTGTGGTGCTGCGCCTAATTGAGTTGGGGGAGGAATATGATGCGAGGTTTCCTTCGGATGGTCCGTGTCGATATTGTAGAGAATCAGATGCTGGAGAATTGGGAGGATTCCAAATCTTTCAGCCAAAATCTCACAGTTACGGAATTTGGCGAGTGAATCAACGTATACTGCACCGAAAATGCTCTTGACGATGTCAGACAATGCTTTGATATTTCCAAGAGCGCTCAGCCGCGCCCAAGGGTATACGCCTTGCTCCCACAGTTCGTGCCGGATGATGTCCACTTCTGCTAACTTTTGTGTAATCTGGGAAAATACGGCAGACATGCCATCCTCATTCCACTTGATAAAATTCCAGAGATGCACGGGATATTCCTCCCGGCAGGTGCTGATATTCCGCTCATCATTAGCAACAATTGTTGTTTTGCCCAACTTCCTATGAAACGAAAGGCACACAAATGTCAAGAACATCTTGTTCGTGACGGCCGACTTCAGAGACTGTAGCCTTCTGGGACTTAACGATGCATTCTGGCGGTGCAGGTAATCGACGACAACCCATTCGAGGACACTCATACCGAGGAATGCAAGGCGCCGAAATGATGTTGTTCCGGAGAGACCTGTGCAAGAAGGGTGTGTCATGGCCTCTTTTGCCAAACTTTTGTCCATGAAAATGTAGTCAAGTAGTTTTTCCAAGTCCATAGTCGCAGCAGCAGACGCAACATTCTTTGGCCGTGTCTCCGCGTATGTGCCATCATGCAAGGACGACGTACTCCACGATTTGATTCTGGGAACCAGTTTCGCCAAACATGCAGCAGCATTATCTATTCCATTATCCAGAAAGGCCGCGCCTGCCAGTGCTTTCACCATATCCGCCAGGGTTGCTGCGCCTACCAGTCGAGGGCTGTTACTCGTTCCTCGTTGAGAGAATCTTCGATATAAAAGGGGGAGTCCATCGTTTGCCGTTGCATGATCTGGTTATGAGGAACTTGGGGAGATCTGACTGGCTGATAGCCTGTGCTAGGCCTGCGTCAGATAGAATTGTCTGGCTCACTTGCGACAAGAGGCCTTCGTGCCACAAAACATGATGCAAAAACAATTGCCTCGCTACGAGACACTTGATCATTGCGTCTCCAAGAAAGGCCAAGAAGCGGAAGTCAGATCGATGTTCAATGCTTGTGGGCCTGATTGCAATCGCCAGTAGATCTATTCGCCGAAAGGTCGCCGCAGAGTCTCCAAACAAAAGACTTGCTAATCTTTCCGCCACCAAATATACGCCAACCTCGTGGGTGATGCTCGGGATCAGAACGGCGGCCTGGGTGAACGTAGAAGGGAGTCTATCAACCGAGTACTCTTTAACAAGCAACGTATTCTTATCGGCCTTTAGATTCATCTGGAGCACTCTTTCTCTCGTAGATGCCTTGTCCATACTTGCATTCTGTCTTGCGTGGAGGAAGTTTCGGCACCTTGTGAGTGGCTGCATCTTTCCAAGCGCCGACAGTAACATCTCAGACGTATCAAGTGTGTCATCCTCTGGTAGTGTCCACGACTCGACAACAAGAGGACGACACAGCCTCTCAAGACAACGCAATAATCCAAGCGACATTGGAGGAATGCGGTTGCGCAAGGCCTCGATGAGACTTGTTGTTCCCCTATATTCTTGGACAAATTCCGCGACCACATTACTTTCTATATCAGGAATGAGGAGAAAGACGTAGTCGATGTCATCGCAAGTCCAGGTGCCTCTGTTGATCGACTGCAGGATTAAGTTTGTCGCCTCCTGGCAAACAGGAATTTGAACATTCGCTGCTTGTCCCGGAGACAGAACCGCTGTGTAAGTCGTGCAAGAGCTGATGTAGAGAGGAATGCGAATCTCGGTCGTGATGCTGGTGGGCAGAATCAAGAAGAGTTTAATTTCATGCATTTGTGGCCGTATGATACGCAGTTCGTGGGAATAAACCTGGCCGTCAAGGTCCCAGATACGAGCAAGATCCAGCCAATGGTTTAATTGATCCGCGATAATATAATGAGACTGCATCTGAAAGTCCTGACCTAAGATATCTGACGGCATGGTGGGAGCGAGATGGTCGTTTACCAGTCCGGCTCGGTACAAGGCCTTATACGCCCGCACTGCCGCATCTTCCCGGGCACTTTTTTTATTCGGCCATGATGATGAACTGGTAAACTTATGAAGTGACGGGTCGAGACAGCTGGGCAATCGAACAGTTGCCTGGAATTCACCGCTGGCATTAGGTTCGCAATGGAAGAGTGGCTTACTGTTCCCATATGCCTGGGTGGATAGCTTTGCAACAAAGACATATAGATAACGGACAGCATCACCCATCGCCAGTAGGGCACTGCATGGTCAGAAAAGCTGATGATATGGTGAAGGGTCCCTTACTTACCCTGTGCTCGCAATGGATAAAGACATGAGCTCTCTAATATGGCTGGCGGTGTCATCGTTCTCAAACTCTCGCACAAGCCTTTCTTCATCCTGGTATTGTTTTATTAACTCGTTCTCTGCTTTTTCAATGCTGGACAAGTATTGTACGTCAGCGTCATGATTCACAATGACGATAAACTTCGCCTTTTCGGCACGGGCACGTCCACGGCGCTGAATGAATGACTTCAGGTTCAGGGGACAGTTGAAGTTCAACACCGTGTTACATGCCGGTACATCAATCCCCTCCTCCAGAGCGTCCGTCGCTATGATCAAGTTAATTGAGCGTTGGCGAAACCGCTCCAGAGTTTCTGTCTGACTTTTAATATCATGCAAATCTCCAAGATTTGTGCTGCTATGTTGAAAAGTCGACATGCCAACAAACGTACCGCAACGGAAGAGGTTTTTGGTGTCCGGATGATCTTCTATTAGCCATTTCAGTGCGAGAGCAGTAGCTCGCTGGCTGACGAACACAAGTCCACAAAACTCGTTGCTGTACTCTTGCACGAGAGCGCTCACAAGGCACTGGCACATCGGTGAGATATCTTCCGGCTGCATTTCAGAAGTGTATTGCTCCAACACGCCAAGCGAACACAAGGCCTCCATTGCATGCTGTTTTCCAGAATTGACTATATCCGTTTTCTCGGCGTTGGCTCGCATTCCATCTTTGAACTGAGTAATCGATGCTTGCATATACCTTGTGGCGGCCCAACCTCCGAGTTCCAGGTTTATCTTCTCTGACGACTGGAAAAAGCGAGACATTTTATCTGAACGTCGGACCTTTGGTTCCTTTGCGTTGTAGGTGCTTTCTGTGGAGGGAAATAATATGGTATGTAACTTTGCCAGTAATGGTGGTGCAGGTTCGGCCTTGGGCAGCGTGTTAGAGGATTGATGGCATTCAATGACTGGCCTGTTGGTGAACTGCAGCAGCTGCGCATAGAACTGGCGAGGCATCTTGCAGAGGCTCCCCAGATTCTTTTCTACCGTACTTCATTAATCGCGATCAGCGTTGCCGCTCTAAGCAGACGATCAAAGGACAGCGGTATCATACTGTAGAGTGGAAGCATCCGACAGAACTGGAGATGCGGTGAGCCCTAAGACCTTCGGCAGAGGATGAGCACACTGGTCCCCTTTTGAGTGGTAGAATCGCTGCATGATTTTATTGGCAGGGTTGTTTTTGGTGCAGTTATGAGCTGGTTGCTATATTAGCCGTTTTGCCAGGCTTTAGTCGTTATTGTCCTATGCAAAATACTTGCCTTCATCAAAGACCAGCAGAGACAATCGATCCATTCGGATGTAGCCATGGAGCAGAGCATCATACAAAACTTGGTACGTAGATATAGCAATTCTAATCCCCGAGAGAGCGTCATCCCATATTGCTTTATTGCCCCAGTGATCAACATGATCACTGCTGGTAAATGACCTGCACCACATAGGAGGGACTCGAGTGCTTATAGTCTTCATATGCTGCTCGCATATTGCAACTGTCGGGCAAAGAAACCAATTGATCTACAATATCAACTATAGCTCACTTAAAGAAGGTCAGGCACATACCTTGTCTGATTCTTGTCTATCTATCTCCAGAAGCATTCGCATTATTGCTCTGTTCTCTCTGTTATCAGCCGGACTTTGCTTCTAATTTCATTCTCTGTTTACATTTGCGTCTTCCCTGTGCCTGTTGGCATCTTGCCATATGTTATTACTCGCCCTGGCCGTGGAAGATGGTACTTACAACTACCACGATATTCTGCACCAAGCTCTCATTGAGCATTTCCACTTGATATTCTCTTGCCTGAAACTGCTGAGTCTCCATATTGTCTAAAATGGAAGTCAAATTGTAATTTGGAGCTGCTATCGCTTGAAAAAGTTTCAGCTAGAGAATGTGTTTTGAAGACAATTACGACAGCTGGATGAGAGGCTGTGAATACTTCTAAAGTACCCTGGATTCTTTCTTAAAAAAATAAAATAAAATAAAATAGATAAACAGTTCGACAAGGATAAATTGTTAGTCGTAAGGCAGCCATACACCTTGTACGTCAGCCTCATGGGATAGTATGGAATTACTACGTACATTCTAATAATCAAGCGAACTCTCCCTGTTCGTCCCATTGCAGATCGGAATGAGCGAGATATTCTGTGAAGCTAACGTCCTCCAGCCTGCCTGAACAGGTGGCATTGCATGCATCGTACTTTGTACCCATACAATCTCTACTTGTGTTAATCCTACACCAATTTCTCAGCGCTAGAGCCTCGTAGCAACTACATCAGTTTCTTTAATACTCCAGGATTCGGTGGCGGGTTTTTTTTTTTTTTTTTTGCTTTATATTATCCTCGTTTACAAAATTTATGACCGGCTTGAAGTATGAGTCTTGGTTACTCTAAAATCAATCTTGATATGTATCCTGTGATTGTCGGGTTGTGGATATTTCACTAATTCTCCATTGGATTTTATCGCTGCTTATCAGAAATCATCGAAATGATGGGACAGTACGCATGGTGTTTCCAGAATTGGACCCGACAAAGCCTTATCCTGGGTGTAAAAAAAATCATTAAAAGGCGGGTAATAAAGGCAGAGGTTAAGAAGCATTCAAGTATAATTAATAGATAATAGAAGTTCACGTGCCTGGTGACGTGGATAGCTCGTGCTCAGGCTGGTGCGCAAGTGGTGGAAGTCATTTGATGGGCACTTTGGTGCTCAAGGCTGTGGTGGACCCGTATCCCAACCCTCTTGACTGGATGGATGAGAAACACCGCCCGAATCATGACTTGCAATGCCGTGATCGACGAGATTTTGGAGCAAAGCTAGTTGAAAAGATTGTAAGTAGAGCTCGCTTGGACCGTTACATGCTTTAATCTAATATATTCTCCCAATCAGGCTCAAATTGGTGCAATTTTGCACCATGGACTCGCGGCTTTGGCTGCAACACATCCCATCCTGATTTCGAATCTTCGCGGGAAAGGTACGGCAATTTACATCGCCTTCGTACCAAAGTCATGATAGTACGAGTATCCCAATAGAACTGCGATTTTCTGCTCTGCAGAACTTCCTAATCCGGAAATCTGGTCCACAGGAACAAATTGAGTACCTGGAAGCTTTAGATAAGTTAGGGATGGCATTATGCTGCAGTGAGATACTATCCATCTCTTCGTGCAAAAGTCGCCTATTTCACTAGTTCTGCTCGCACATACTGTGTAGTTCTGCATCATCTCGTTTCTCGGTCTCATACCCTGTACAGTCATTCTAGAATGCAGACTCAAGGAGGCTTAATGCATCAAAGTACTTCTGCACTCCCCTCTGTGGCCGACATGGTAAATTTGGATAAAATCTGACAGGTGTCACTATATTGTGTTACCTTCTGAAAGACAATCCTAATTCCCCTTCTGTCGTGCTTCCTGAGGCAAGAAAGATTTGCTCTGGTGCAACCGGCCGCAATGGTGGGCATGTGAAACCTAACACATACTCCAATATACCTTGTTCGCGAAGCTTCTCAACATAGAAGCTGCATGAAATTATCGAACTACTAAAATCTATCATGCAAAGATATCGGGTGAAGAATGCAAAATGCTGCAGTCCTACACTGCAGCTCACCTCTGGTCATCCAAGCTCGTGCACCAGCTGCTCGCCAGGGTAAACCTGCAGGGGTTAAACCTGCAGGTCCATACAGCTGTCTCGTCGGTGTGTCCATCTAAACACCATGATTATCCGTGGACTGTTGGAAGCTCCAGGGGCGAAATAGAAGCAAAGAAGGTCGTGCATGCTACCAATGCCTGTGCATCCTCAACCTTGCTGGGACTGTTCGAGGCATCTGTAGAGCCCATTCCATCTCACGGAAAAAAAATCGAAGCTGAACTGTATTCATATGTTGGTAGTGTTCCGGCTGAGATGGGGAAGATTCTATTTCTGGCTGTGTTGTTTGTATGTTTTGTTATAGTGAAGTTGGTCTGGTATCTCATGTCTAGATATACTGGCAAAGCGCCCCCAGCACCAGCCTTTCACAAAGTATGGCTATAATGGAATGACACTCTTCATTGCATGGGCGCTATCAGCTCTGACCATCCACCTTGAAAACATCAGTTAAACAACAAACACTATCAGCATATGCTCATCCTCCTGCAAACATCCTATCTCTATCTCTCTTTCTCTACGTTCCTCGAACACGGTCGGGAACTGAAACTGGCAGCCCGCGATGCAAGCTACATTTTGGATTTGCAGTCCCTTTATCGTCGGATAGTTAAGCGAGCTTGATCAGGAGGTGGCGTTTGCTACAACGATGGTCTCGGTTGTCTGCCAGTATATCTATGGACGGCGGTTGTCTACTTGGGTGGTGAGGGGTTGTCATAGATGGATGTTGGCTTGGTGGGAGCGACTCAGGGGAAAGAAGAGTCTGGTTTTCGTGTAATTATATTTTATTTTAGACTACTAATAAGATAGATGCTACCTTGTAGCACTGTGTACAGTAGCACCTGGCCGTACTGGTGGGTTGGACACTGTCAAGTGACACGATGTATATATATTTGACGGTACTCTCCAGCATTGCTTGGAGATCACGAGAAATAAATGATAGACGATAATAATTACTCATGTGTCAACTTCAAATCTCAAACGGAAGAAAAGCAACTGCCTAGATGAAACAGAAATGACATTCCTCACAGCCATACTAAACGAACCAATGCAGCAAGAGTAAGCCCTACTGCCAACAAACCAAATCCTGCATAACCAGAAATCAAATCCCGCTGATAAACCAATTATACCTAAGGTGAGAATCCCCACAGTAATCAAAAAAAACCGAAAGAGAAATCAGGGTCTGCTAGCGAGGTTCAGGCTCTGTTGGGTGTTGGCTTGTTAGTATAAGGCTGTGCAACCCGAATCCTTCGTGGCAGTGTTGGCCGTCAAAATGTTTCCAACAATATCTTTTCCTCTCCACAATTGACGCGCATTTACCGGCTTCTGATCTGTGCGTCGGGATTTAATGGACTAGTTTACTCTCAGGATGCAGGGCAGCAGTGCAATTAAACTCAGTCCCACCCCCCATACAATACAGCCTTGCCCTACTGCTGACAGGTTGGACATGAGGGCGCAGTCAGGGCAAGGTATATAGGTATGTTGAATTCCGCTATTGAATTCGATAGATGAGACAGAATAATCATATTAATAATTTTTCTTCAATATGAAGTTCCTTTCTGTCTTATCTGCACTCGTGGCCGCGACCGTCGCGGTCAACGTCAACGCCCCTCTCCCTGTTCCTCGATCTACAAGTTCACTATCCGATATTAAAAACGGCACCTTTACACAATATCTCGACCACGAACATCCTGAAAAGGGGACCTTTGAACAGCACTACTGGTGGAATGCAAAGTGGTTCCAGGGGCCAGGGTCGCCGGTTATCTTGTATACCCCCGGTGAACAGAATGCATCTTCCTCAGTTGGGACATTGAAAAATGATTCCTTGCCGGGTTATTTGGCGCAGGAGCTGGGTGGCGCTGCTATTTTGATTGAGCGTATGTCTTATCGTAACCTATCTATGGTAATGACCTCAACTAATGTATCGATAGACCGATACTGGGGCGACTCGGCACCATACAAGCACATGAACGCGGAGACTCTGCAGTATCTCACCGTGAAACAAACCATTGCCGATTTTGTGCATTTTGCCAAAACGGTTGATTTGGAGTTTGATGAGGATCATAAGAGCAATGCGGATAAATCGGTATGTTCTTCTGACAGAATACTTACTAGATCTGAAACTAACAAAGACAGCCCTGGATCATCACTGGAGCAAGTTACTCTGGTGCCTTGAGCGCCTGGATTGAAAAGACGGCCCCTGGGACTTTCTGGGCTTACCACGCCTCCAGTGCCCCTGTTGAAGCAATCTACGACTACGTATGTCCCCATCCCTCTACTGCTAAGACCCATCTAACAGAACAGTCACAATACTTCCTCCCCATCAAAGAAGGACTGCCCAAGAACTGCAGCACCGACATCGGCCGTGTGATCAACTTTATCGACGCCGTCTACGAGTCTGGTGATGACGCCTCCGTGCAGGAAATCAAGGACTTGTTTGGTCTGGGCGAGTTGAAGTATTTTAATGATTTTGCTTCGTATGTTCTCTCTTTCTATTGATGTATGGATATATCTAACTGGGTACAGTGCAATCAGCAGTATCCTAGGAGTCTGGCAAACAGAGGACCTTTCCACCGGAAAACATGAGTATTCTGCCATTAACGAATTCTGTGATGCTATCGAGGTACCTATCCCTCTCCTCTCTATATTTACATCAACTAACATGGATAACCAGAACGTAAATAACAAAACAACAACCCTCCCCGGTGCAGAAGGCGTCGGTCTGGAAAAAGCACTACAGGGCTACGCAACTTACTACAAGAACGAAATCCTTCCTACAGCATGCCAGGACGAAGACGAACCCATCTCCGTTTACTGCCTCGACACCCACGACCTCACGAACCCCATGTACGAAGACTCGGGCGAGACCAGAGAAGAGCGTCTGTGGCAGTGGATGCTCTGCAACGATAACCTCTTTTACTGGCAGACGTATGTCCTCGCCCACTTACTTCTTTTTATACAAAACTAACGTGATGTCTAGTGGAAACGAAAAAATCTCCCTCGTCTCCCAAACCATCACATCAGACTACTACCAACGCCAATGCAGCCTCTACTTCCCTCCCGTAAACGGGTTCACCTTCAACAGCGCACAAAACAGATCCACCTCCCCCATGAACACCTGGACATCAGGCTGGGATGACACCAACACCACGCGTCTGATCTGGGTGAATGGCCAATTCGATCCCTGGAGGGAGGCTGGTGTATCTGCTGTTTCGAGACCGGGGGGCCCGCTGCGATCGACCGCCCAGGCGCCGGTTCTTGTTGTCCCTGGGGGCCACCATGGGTCTGATATGACGCTTGCCAATGCGGAGGTTAATAAGGGTGCGAAGGCGGTGATTGATACGATTACGGTGCAGATGAAGGCTTGGGTTGGGGAGTTTTATTATGCTGATAATTAATTTGGATGCTATTTGTTATTGGTAGTGTTCTGTTTATTTGTGAATTGTTCTGTGATTTTAAGATACCATGTACCTTATGATATTTATGATTAATTGAGTTTGATTTTGAAGATTAGTTTGTGTGGAAAAAAGAAGAACTGATTGATAAGATGACATCAGGTGGAGGCGCCCCTCTTCATGGGAGTGGTTCGGTGTGTGATTGGCCAGGTGGACTGGCTGGACTCTAAAAATACAGTTACCGTACCATACTAGCCTACCAATACAAATGTACCTAATTCCGCGTATTAACCGTAATACGCATACCACCGCGTCGGATTGCCGGAATCGCCTCATCCCGCGATCATACGACGCCCACCGCCGAATGCCGGCCGAGCAAAGGCAGCAGTCAATACAGTCAGACTGGCTTGAACTTCTCTCTTCAGATATTCGATGGTATCGACTATCGTGTCTTCACTGCTATTCGTCTTGACCAAGTACTGGTTACTCTCTAATAAACACTCAGGAGAAGTGGGTTCAGTGGCAACACCGAGCAAACCACGGAGCTGCTGTCCGCGTACCTCGCCCCAACGTCGATAAGATCTTCCAGTAGCACCACCGATGGGGTCCGCCCCATTGTGTCACCATATGCAGTCCGACCAGTTTCAACGTTGACTTTTCTTTTTCCTTTCCATCTTCACTCTTCGACACTACCTTTGAACGATTGAATATTGATACAGTCTATTCTTGACTGATCAGCTATACTCCACAGTTCCTTCCTAGCCTCCTGCCTCTCGACGATCATCGGCACTGAAACTTAAGCCCGCAGCTAGCCGGTCCTGGACTTTTTCCGCACACGTCAGGTACGCTGTTCAGGCAGAGACTGTGCCTCTTTATCGTTCATCGACTCGATAATTATCGACTCAATTGTTCTGAATCTATCGCCGTATATTCTTCACTCCCCATGATTCAGCCTCTGGCTGCTGGTCAAAATGCCCGTCCCCGCCATGGATAGTGACTTTCAGCTGTTTTCCCCCACTCAGTCGTCGGAGAGGAGAGGGTCAAATACAGATGGCATGAATTTCCCACAATCAACCACAGACGAACAGAGTCAGGATTGGACACAATGGATGCGATGGGATGACCAGGCGTTTCCCGAACCCCCCAAAGACAACTCAAAATCTCCCTTCGATCTCCCCCTTATGTCACCCCACACCTCTCTAGGACAGCCCGGTAGTGCGCTGCAGTCAACCTTCTCGCCGGATATCTCGTTTGGCTTCACCAGTCTCCCGTTTGAACCCCTGCTCGGAGACGGCAGTATGCTCTCTCAGACAACGTCTAACGATGGAAGAACGACGAGACAGCCAAGCTCCAGCTCTCCCATCTCTGCCGGTACCACTCGGAAGCGCAAATCGAGTAGCGACGAAGATGGCTCCACCGTAAGTGGTTTGGTGCAGAATGGTAAAAAGATGCCGTCAAAGAAACGAGCCCACAATGTCATCGAAAAACGATATCGTGCCAACCTGAACGAGAAGATTGCCGAATTGAGAGAAAGCGTGCCCAGTCTGCGAGGCGGATCGAAGGATGCAAATGGAAACACGCAGGATGACGATGATGATGGAGCCACTCAGGCCAGCAAGATGAACAAAGCATCCATTCTCGCCAAGGCGACAGAGTACATTCGACACCTGGAGATTAGAAACAATAGGCTCGAAGATGAAAACACAGCACTGAAGAACCGACTACGACAAGTGGACAAGGCCGCTGAACAGACAGTAACATCCGCCGCCTCAGTGTCATCCCCGAGCAACTACACCGAGTCAGGGGCTAGTTCTTCTCCCAGCGTATTTTCACACGCCGAAGACATCCCAAGTGACCATTCCCCATCTTCCAGCCACCCACCTGAAGGCCTTATCAAGGTTCCTGACTCTTTCAAACGCATGCGGGAGGCCTCTAAGCAAAACAATGCTTACTCCCAGTCATACATCCAGTACGAAAGTCCTAGAGAAACTTCACAAGAAAGCGGTGGCCGTCGACGGTTCAATTTCCCGAACAAATACATGGTTGGGGCCCTTGCTGGTCTCATGGTCCTCGAGGGAATGGGCACAGAAAAGGATACCGAATCCACACAGAAGGGGCTTTTCGCCGTCCCGCTCAACCTAATCAACAATATCGAACTCCCATCGGTCGGCTACTGGCATGCAGTCCTTCGAAGCTTTTGGCTCTCGTGGCATGCAAGAGCCATTTCCCATTTCCTTGTCCTCGCCACCCTGGTCGTCGGAAGTGCGTTTATCGTGTTTGTATATCTCTTCAATTCGCATCCAGGTCGCACCTTCACCAAATCAGCACCCGTATCAGACACTACGGTCTTGTCCGCAACAAACTTCCGACGACAGGCCTGGCTCACTAGCATTCAAAGCGTTGGAGTACCACGCCACACATTCTTTCACGAGTGGTATGTAGTCACCTCGCGATGCATCGAGTACGTCCTTAGGTGTCTCGTGGGATGGAGATTCTACTCCTGGGCCACTGGAGTCACCGAGGATGATGAAAAGGGTCGAGTGAAGACGTGGGACATTGCAATCGATGCACAACTCGCTGGCGGTGATGCGGAGATTAGCAAAAGCCGGTTGGTTCTTACCATTTTCGCCGCGGGTACCCTACCACGCAGCCCAATGAGAATGATGTTGAAAGCCCTTCACGTTCGCCTTCTTCTTTGGAGAGTGGGCAACCCGGGATCATGGAGTTTCAACATTTCCAATGATATTGCCCGTGCCTTGGCCGGATATCAATGGGAGCTTGCTAGGAAAAAGCACCGATCTTTGCCTAAAGAACACCCCGACGCTCTGCCAAGTCATTTAGCTGCTTTGCTAAAGATTGACCTTGACGATGTGATGCTTGATGCCATCGTTCAGCGAGCAGCAAATCTCACCTGGAACCGACCTACACAAGAGGGGGCTGATGATGACGAAGCCCTGCTGGATGTTGTGGAAGAGGACCCGGCAATTCAATCTTCGTTGGATGCCCTTGCTGCCTGGTGGTCTAGTCATATATTGCAGCGTGCGCTCTTGAAATACTTTGAAGCAAGCTCAGGCTCCCCCGAGGCAAAGAAGAGCCGAGACATTTTCAAGGCTCAAATCAGGCTTGCACTTGACGTTGCTCCACAACCCTCTGCGGCTCACACCCGTGCTCTGGTCATGAAGGCAATCTTTTTCGAGCAAGACCGTGTCGAGAACATTGGAATGGTTTTAGCAGCGCTGCCAAGTGAGAAGCGCAAGGGGAAACGAAGTCGTGCCTCGAACTTCTTGGATTCTTCGCTCCCTGTTTCCACCCGTGAAGAAATATCGATTGCAGTTCGCTGTGCTATGATTGCCGCTATTTTTACAGCCGAAACCAATGGCGACACATCACTGCCCCCATCTTTCAATATGCAGAGGGCTGTCAAGTGGTTTAATCAACTTCCTCTCGATCCAGTAGAGCTGACGCTTCTTGGATTCGCTGCTGTTTATCACTTGCTTCACGTTCTTGCTTCCGACACGGATTATTTGTCTTCGTCGGATTCGTCTTCTTCGACACCCTTATCCAAGACACCTAACTCTTCTGCTTCATCATCTGCTGATGATGAGGCGGATGAGGATCCACACCCAATGCGCGAACGTGAATTCTCACCTCAGTCAATCCCCAACCTGGGCCGCGTGGCTTCCGAATTGATGTACTGGGCACGGAATGCCTACAACCCTGCTTTCTACGGGTTTACTCCTGATTTGGTGGCATTGATTGAGAAAGAATGCACTTTCCTGTGCAACAGCGCTGGTATTAATGTGGCCGACTATTCCCATGTCCACGAGGACAAACTGAAAACCAAAAGGAAGAAGGACAAAAAGAAGAGGAAGTCGTCCAGACAGTCATCTCGACCTGAGAATTGCCAAGGGAAGCAGCCATCCAAGAATGAGCCTGCCTCCCCCGTCACCCCGGCCGTATTAGGCAGTAACAACGGTCGTCGGGTTGGAGAACGCACAGATATTCCCAATTGGTCTTCGCAAAAGTTATCAGCTTCCGGTTAGTGACTGGAAGCTTCTACATCTTAATCTTTTGTCTTTATAAGTGATGCACATAGCCCTTACGAGTCTGTACTACTTTGGAGGAATGGTTGTTCGGTATGCTTTGAGGCGTTCATGGTTGCTCTTTACTGCTCTTTATATTTTCCCTGTCTGCCAGGAACGTGTTGAATAGAGCTCATTTTGACACATTTCCCCTCATAATTTTATGTCATAGACATGTTATGTCGCTCGCAAGAGCTAATCAAATCCTTTCAACACGAATGGACCCTTCCACGTGTGAGACAATTCCTCTTTCTTCGACATCGGATGCGATCTATGGAACGACAGATTTCTGATATGCTCTGTGGACAGAGAAAGCCTCTCATGCCTCTCATCTATCCATTCATCCTGCCAATCGGTCCTGTACTTCCGCGCTTCCGCGCTTCCGCGCATTTACCATCAATTCTATCGACGGATTGTTTTCTCAGTGGTGAATTACCGCTTGCAGCTAACCCTCAGGTTCTAGATCGCCCAGTGACCCGCACTTTTGGCAGCTATCGTCCATGGATACGACCTGACTCTCCCGCTTCTTTCCATGTTTCATTGCGTGGATGTTGCACGCGGGTCTGAGACAATGTACTCGGTCCTTGTTGAGAGGCACCTCCCTTTTAGGTACTGGTCGCTCTTAATCGGTCTTTTTGGATAGTACACGTCATTGTTTCACACCCGGAACCACGCCGGGCAGTCTAAGTTTGTACCTCCAGGGCGTGGTCGACTGTTCCGTTTCCGGACACAGCGGCCGCTTTTCGGAATCAGCCTTTTGTTTATGTTCGAAGCCACGCACACTGTTTACTTACTGATCAGGCCTCTCTAGCAATAGTCTATCAATCGGTTGATCAAAGCTGCCTGGCGTCGAGTGTTATTGATTCTTTAGCTTTACACACCATCCGACGATAAGTATTTGTCGTTTCACCGGATTGTGACTACGGTAGTATTGGGAAGACTTTGCCATCACCAAATAGACTTTTCGTCAAAGTTTGACGTCTGAGGAACAGCCGGTGTTCTATCGTCTTGGCCTCATCGTGTCTCACTTCTTGACAGAGCAGCGTCTGTGCCTTTCATCCGATCCAAAGATCTACAACGTTGCGACTATTTTTCAACTCTATTCAGCATACCACTTTTACTTAATCTCTTCGACCAGAGTTTGACTCATCTGCTTCAGGGCCGCGGAGATTCAATAGGCTTGATTGCGCAGTCTTGTAATGGAAGACCGGCAAACGATACCCACCTATGACGAAAGATGGCCATGTACATAGCCCATGCCTATTCTCCCCATGACTGCCAGGTTTACTGTTGCTGACCGGTGACTGACATAGGTGGCACTTTCAACTTGATCTGAACATGTACGCTGCTGCCTGTAGCGTACCCCCCACAGCTGTCAGTGGGCTAAAATTATGCCGCTACTGATGAATCCAGGCAGACTCACGAGTTTGACGTCTTGTGACATGTTTACCCTAGAATATTCTAATTATAAGACAGGCTGTCGAGGGTGAACTGCACAGGCGAAAGACACGCGATCATGATGATTCCAACTGTTTAAGCAAGGGATACCTTGACAAGGCTACAAGCGGTTCGAGGAATGTTGGCTGGGATTTTTTCTCTCTTATCGATCTTGTTTCCGTTTTCGGAATTTCTGTTCCATCGTGGCCCGGAAATGTAGCACGGGAAGAGCCCGACACCAAGGCACCATGGTTTACAAATTTCTCGATCAATTACTCATGACTGTGAGACACTCGATTTGCTGTTGATAGTGAAAGGGCTGATGACAAAGACAGCGTCTGTGAAAGGGTTGGTTGGTGTTATGATCTACGCCTGCCGACATTCCGTACAGAAACCTCACCTGATTAAGCTTCATTCCCCACATTTTTTTGGTGGTTTCCATCCTGTTTCCTATTATCATGGAGACACTGGTGTTGGGGTGTTTCCCTTTTTCGGAAATGTTGCAGCTCGTGAGCTGGAAACAGGATGGTGACGGCATCGTCAGAGGATAGAATAGAGGCCTATGCTGCCTTAGAACTTTGGTTATTTTTAATGCTTTCCCCGCACTCTTGGTTTCAATATTTTGAAGCTTCCTCTCTTTTCCCTTTCGCTGGAATTGCTCGGATGATCTACTTGGCCACTTATCTGGACGTGCAGCTGCTGAGCTGCTGAGCGATCCTCTCGATATATACTTTGAAAGGCTGAACTATTGAGTGCTAGAACTAATGCGATGGGGGTGGAACAAGCGTATGAGGGATCCGGGTATCCCCCGATGAACCCAGCACTGGCAGCGCCTCTGCTTGTTCTGGGAGGGGCGATTCTCGTGATGTTTCTATGCCGCAGCTACATCCGACTTCGACATCGGCAACGGCTTCGACAAATCCTACAGAAAGACGACCAGAGAAAATTCGCAAAGACCAGCTCTTTCAACGCCAAGCTGAAGAAACATGTTTTGTATGCGCCGCTGGGTTCCGTCCGCCATAGTCGTGAGTTTCAACTCATGGGAAAGCTTCACATGGGAACGATTCCTCTACGGCTAGAGACTGCGTTGTTACTCGGGTACATTGCGCTGAACGTTATATTTTTCTTTGTGCTGGTCGACTGGTGGGCGGAATTCGGAGAGAAGATGTATCAGCTCAAGTATGCAGCAGGCCACTTGGCTGTGATGAACTCACCAGGGCTGGTGCTAACAGGAGGTCGAAATAACCCTCTCATTCCATTGCTCGGAATCCCATTTGATACGTTTAATCTGTTTCACCGTTGGGTTGGGAGATTGATCGCAGTGGGAGGCGTCCTTCATATGAGTTTTGTGCTGGTAGGCAAAGTTCACCATGGTGAGTCATGTCTGCTTACCGACTGGAATGTTCATTAACCATGGTTAGCGGGTTATGATGAAATAACAAAGGTTATCTGGCATATGCCATTTTATCAGTATGGTTTGGTGGTGAGTAATTGTTTTCTGATCTTAATTCGCGCCAGTCCTAACAATGATAGGCGCTCATCGGATTCTTGCTCATATTCTTCCAAGCCATGTCACCAATCCGACACGCATTCTACGAAGCCTTTCTCCATCTCCATATTCTTCTGGCGGTTATGTCTTTCGTCGCACTGTGGTATCATCTCAAGGGTCTCACGCAGCAACGCGTGCTTCTCGTGACGTTGGTTTTATGGGGTCTTGATGTGCGTGTCTTATGTATCAAGGTGGATAGTCGGCTGCTAACGAGCGGTAGAGAGTTGCACGATTTGGAAGTCTCATCTGGCGAAATTGTGGCAAGAAACGCACGACAGCCACCGTCGAACTACTTCCCGGAACCGTTGCTCGCGTCGATGTTGCGGTTGCACGGTCCTGGAAGTTCAAGCCCGGGCAGTACCTTTATCTATACATGCCTTCTCTGGGACTGTGGACCTCACATCCATTCTCGGTGGCATGGACATCGTCACAAACAGCGGATGTGGACGAGAAACGCAACTCGAATGAGTCGTTTAATACCCTCCTTGAAGGGCAACAGCGAATAACGATGTCGTTTCTTATCAAAGGACGAGACGGATTTACGAATAAGCTACTTAACAAAGTCCAGAAATCCGAAGATGGAAAGCTCAGCGTAACTGCATTAGCTGAGGGACCATTTGGTGTGTACCTTATCTTGTTTGGATTACTTTACTAATATAATCCAGGCGGTATTCATTCGTTTGATTCTTATGGGACTGTTCTGTTGGTTGCTGGGGGAATTGGCATCACACATCCGATGTCGTATTTGCATCAGTTTGTCAGTGGATTTAGTGCCCGGTCGATTGCAACTCGGAAAGTCAGCCTGATTTGGGTTGTTCGTAGCATTGGTGAGTTTATTCTATCATTTATATAACATACGTCAACTAACCTGTACAGATCATCTCACATGGATTCAATCCTGGATGGCGTCCATCCTGAGCCACCCGGCATTAAATGTCCCCAATGAACACAAACAACACTCCTATTTCCAATTCCCAGACTTTTCGCTATCCATTCAGATCTACCTCACCAACACCGAGTACAGTAACGACGAGTACATCACCGCCGAAAGCCCCTGGGCCCATACCGCCCCGCCCAGCGTCCCTGTCAGCATCAACTGGGGCAAACCGTGCCTGCGACAGATCCTGGAAAACGAAAAGACACAACAAGTAGGCGCCATGGCAGTAAGTGTCTGTGGGCCGGGAGGACTAGGTGATGATGTGAGAAAGGCTGTTCGGGATAGTCAGGGAGAGAAGACTATTGATCTTTACGAGGAATCATTTTCGTGGTAAGGCGTTAACGTTATCTTTACTTTTTATTTTTTTATTTTTTATTTTTTTATCTTATTTAGCTTCTATCATGTGTATATCCAAGCTTTTTTTATGCTGGGGTATTCTTTATGTATCTATGTACATTTCTAGTTATGTGATATAGTTGAGGGTTATATTTCTTCTGCATATTTTACTTGATCCATGGTATCCTACTCTGTCTGCTGTGGACGAATACTGTAGGCGACATCGAGTTCAACACCAGCCAGACAGAAGATGCGCGACTATCTGCTGTCAAAACACCAGTACGTCCTTTACTAAAACGACAGCTGACGCCATATACAAACTACTCTGGTCTCTCTTCTATAAATTCTTTTTTACACCGCTAACCATGGCCGGATACGCGTGGGGGGTTGATTACGAGCAAGACGACACACGACACCAGCCTACGCGATACCCCGAGTGCCGCGAGAAATGAAACGGTGGCACACCACTTCTTGAACGTCAATTCGGAGATAATAAATAGAGTCTGCTGGTGGATAATATGGCCATTTCTTGTGGTCCTGTGTACCACTGCACCTTGTGGATTATGCAGGATCAGATAAATTTAAATGCACGACATGAAAGACTCCACATCCACAGTATAGGGCTGGGAATCAATTCCAGACATTCGGGTTGCGTGGGCGTACTCAGTCGTGCATTCAAATCTGCTTCAACATTGTAATTCTATTACTTGATGAGTATTGAATTGCGATACCCTCATCGTCAGCCCATCTCGGACGACACGAAGACTCGTCTTGGCCTTCAATCAATCCCCAACTGCCAAGCAGTCTGTCCAGCCTGCCGCGTCATGGTTGAAATTGGCGATACTGGCCATCGCCGAGATAGACTCAATTAAGACTCGGATTTAAGCTTAGTTTGGCTTGTGGTGCGTGGGTTTCTGCACCTGCGATCGTCACGGTCCCACTGCGGCGGGCAATGTCTTAGCCGGGTTTTCTATACAAATGGTCTGCTTTGACGGGATGGGTCAATTATTACTCTGATGGGTGTTGGAATCTCCTATTTTTGAACTGACTGTTTTGAAAATGAGGGTTACGTCGTTGCTGTCTCTGGCGGCTTCGCTGGGAAGTGTCAGGGCTTTGCCTTCGTCTCCCTCGGCCTCCGCGTCTGCGTCTACTGCATCGGTCAAACTTGACTACTGCACCGTCGTTCCAGCTGCAGGAAACGCATCGCTCGGATACTATAAGTACCAGAACATTCGATTTGCCGCCGTCCCTACTGGCGACCTCCGTTTTGCCAAACCCGAATGGCCCTCCGTCGAGACGGCCATCAACAATGGATCGCTGGCTGATGGCTCGGTCGACTGTTCCTCGGACGAAGACTGCCTCTATCTAGACGTCTGGGCTCCCGCCAACAGTGCTAGCAAGAAACTGCCCGTTCTTGTCTGGACATATGGAGGTGGTTTTACCGGAGGCAGCAAGTCGGAGAATACCCCAGAAGGTCTCTTCGATCTAAGCAAGGACTTCGTCTTTGTCGCGTATAACTACCGCCTGGGATTTACGGGCCTAGCAACCGGCCCTACATACGAACATGAAGGAGGAACATCAAACCTGGCACTATGGGACTCTCAGCATGCCTTCCAGTGGACCAAGAAGTACATCAGTGCCTTTGGTGGTGATCCGGAGAAGATCACCGCAATGGGTTTCTCCGCTGGTGGCTCGGAGGTTCTCTTCCAGCTGACTCGGTTTGCTGGCCATGCTGAGCAGCTGTTTAACCAGGCTTATATCATGTCGCCCGGTTATGTGCCAGGGGCTGGCCATCACCATGGTGAGAACTATTGGCAGAATGTCTCGTCGGCTGTGGGCTGTGATGGTGGCCATCTTGACTGCATGCGTCAGGTCAACTTTAGTAGCTTGTCTACTGCTGCTAGTGATGTTCAAAGTACATATAACTACCAGCTTCAGCCTCGCGTGGACGGTGACTTTGTCGCTGACACTTGTAAGTCCCCTGAACAACGCTATTCCCAGATTACCAGTTGCCGTCTAACAAATCCAGACGAAGCGCAACTCTACCAAGGCCGATTCAACTTCACCGGCCCCCTAGTAATCAGCCACGAACAACACGAAGTCAATGGCCAGGCATACTCGGGCATCAACACCACCGCCGACGTCTCCAAGTACCTCCGCATCTTCTTCCCCGCCATCACCGACGACGTCGTGGATAGACTTCTCGAGCTCTATCCTGAATCCGACTACTCGAGCCCTGGCCTCCGCTTCTCTGACATGAAGCAGTCGTTTGATCTGACGGCGCACGATTTGGCCGTGACCCATGCTCTGGATAATAATACCTGGAATGCAATGGTTGCGTTGGGACAGGCTACTCATGGGACTGACCAGAGTTATTATTGTATGTTTTCTGCTACCTGAAAGGTGGACTATATACTGACATATCAATAGGGTACAGCACCTACAGCCTCAGCTCAAGCAGTAGTAGTAGCTCTGGTGGCATGGGTGGTATGGGCGGAAGCACTTCTGTCAACTCCACCGTTGCTGTACGTTCCACTCCCATCCCATTTTCAGTATAAGTTTCTAACGGAGTAACAGAGAACCATGCAAAAATATCTCCTCTCATTTGTTCTTACCGGTAACCCCAACACCAAATGGGCGAATGACAAGATCTACTGGCCCAAGTATGGGTCTAACGCCACGCAGCTGGTCTTTAACACGACCATGTATCTGGAGGAGGATGATCTTGCCAACGGGGAGAGCTTGTACTGGAATAAAGTCCTCTGGTACTAGCCTTACTGTTTATATGTGTATAATAACTTCTGTATGGCCTATTCAGTATCATAATTATGATTCGCCCTTTTGTCCTTCATAGCTTAGCTTAGACTTGTACTCATCCAATCTCGAAGAAACATTAACCCCATTCCATAACTCTCCATCTCCTTTGCCGCTCTTCTCTGGCATACCAACTTGCTCCAACGCAAACGACGCCGCAACAGAACCATAATAAGCGGCTTCAACAATACTCTCCGTCTTGAGATAGCCCACGGCATATCCCCCCAGAAAAGCGTTTCCCGCACCAGTCGGATCAACCACTTTGAAGTGTTGAGTTTCGCCTAACACTGCTTTATAGAATGGAGGTAACCACATAGGCAAAGTGTCGCGACCACAGACAAGGCAACCATGCTCACCGGCTCGAACGATAACGATACCTTTCCCGTCTGCCCCAATACCACTATTCACGACTCGCGCTGCCATATCTTCGATCTTACCCTTGTCAACGACACCAATAGCTAACGGTGACTCCCCAAACAAAGCAGCCAGCTCAATATGATTAGGAGAGAACACGTCGACAAACAACACTGCATCCAAACACGCTTCTAGGTTCTCCTTTCTGCATGACGGAGGGGCAGGTTCCCAGATTATCAGGGGTTGTTCTGAAATGCCTTTTTTCTTCCTCAAGTCAAAAAGTGTAGAGACGTGTTGGGCGATGTTATGAGGTGTCTCGAGATAATGATACACCATCGAGTGTAGGAGTCTTGTGCCCTCCAAACTACTTTCCCGGACCGAGAGGAAGGGGGTTGTATACTTGAAATCTTTCGCTAAAATTTAATTAGTCAGCCCAGGATCATTCTCAGTGAAGGGGGGCTAAGGTATTCGCACGTCCAAACGTCGTATCTTTATACTCCAACAACCCTCTCATCGACGGCTTATCCGCCTCCCTTTCCACAACCAGCGATATACCCCAGCTTTCTAGCCGGTTTTTAACTGATTCTGGGAAATCATTTCCAACGTGGATTATCCACCCTATGCACTGGCTATGTGGATGGGGGAGGAATAATCGAGCGCCCAGTGTTGCTATACCATTCATGTTAGGATTTATGTATATCATATCAAGCTGGGGCGTGAAGCTAGTGAGTGCCAACCGTATGCTCCAGAGCCACCGATGATATCGATTAGTGGGGCTTGGTTTGGGAAGCGGATCTCGTCGAGGATTATCAAGCCTAGGCTTGTGAAGGAAATGCCGTGTGTATCCATAGTAGAGGGTTGAATTTAAGGAGGCAATGCCCAGGAGACTATGTAACGACTGTTTGTTGTAAGTTGGAGTCTGGAGTTGTCACCATTTTCAAGATTGTCAGTGGGGTAGCTCCACCAACACGGAGATTACTTTAGTGGCTAATAATATACACTCTACTTTGTAGATAATCAGTATCATGATTGATTCATTATTGTCATGTTTTATCAAGCTCATAATTTACAATTGAACAGATCACAGCTTCGACTGCTTGATCATGTGCAGGTTGACGGGTGTCTTGGCCTTTCCTCGCAGCAAAAACTCCTCGATGTTCTCCATTGCCAGCGATTCAAAGCCCACGTGTGTGTCGACGGTTCCACCGGCATTGTGCGACATCATCATCACACGAGGATGCTTCGCCAGTCGGGGGTGCACGTACGGCTCTGCTGCATGCACATCCAGTCCGGCTGCGGTGAGGTGTCCACTGTCCAGACTCTGGATGAGGGCTTCCTCGTCGACCAGCGATCCACGAGCAATGTTGATGAATCTCGATCCCTTCTTGAACTTCTGCAGTCGCTCCGTGGTGATGAGAGTCTCACCCGCGAATGGGGTTGCGACGATGATGCAGTCCGAGTTCGCCAGCAGGTCGTCCAGGTTGGCAAAGTAGGTAGCTTCGACGGACTTTTCCTGCTCGGGGCTCTTGCGGAAGAGATCGTTGTATTGGATCTTCATTCCGAAGGCGGCGTAGGCTTTTCTGGCGATCATGAATCCGATCTGACCCATTCCAATGATGCCCAATGTGCGGTTCCGGGGGTTCAGCGCTGTCAGGGGAGAGTTCTTGTGTGCGTCGAGGAAGAGCTGAGGGTTCATTGAGTGTGCGGCCTGGTGAGACCAGGCGAAGTTTCGGAAGACAGAAAGGATCAGGTAGAGAGACATGTCGGCGACGGACTCTGATGATGCGGCAGCACCGTTGCAGTAGATAATGCCTGAGCTGTTAGTTTAGGAATTGAATACAGGGTACGTGTTGAGCTTACCATGCTTTGCGAAAACATCCACATCCGCCCAGTCGTAGCCAGCACCCGCAGATGCCATGATCTTCACCGACGAGGGCAGCAATGGAATCAACTCGGAATCCCATCGTCCCATTTCACCACCGGTGTTCCAGAATGGGCGGAAGATGGCATGGAAGTCGCCCCAGCGACGTTCCTTCAGTGCACGAATGAATTCATCTCTCTCGCGCTCAGCGGCGGTAGGCTGGATAATCTCGAATTCAGAGGCGAAGCGCTTGTATATGTCGTGGTTGTACTTGATGTTGTCGCCAATGTGGAGGACGCGAAGTTTGGGTGCCATTGTTGCTTTTGTTCAATTAAATATCGAGTATTATTTCGTGAATTGTTTCTCCAACTTGATTGTTGGTTGTCGATATTATATGAAGCTTGGTCAATTGCCGTCAAATGCCGATTGCCGATCTTGGAAATCCGATACGCTCGTTGAATAGCCGTTGCCTGCCGATCGCTGCAGGACAGCACAAATGCTTGAACAGGTTAGCTGATTATTGCTTCTGTTTCTTTGGTCGATCGTCTTGTGTTATGCTGTGTGTGTGATTGTGCTTCTGTGGAAATGCGGGTTCGTCGAGTCGGAGTCGATTCCCGACTCTATCGCTGTTTACATAGTACTGGGGCATGTCTGACCCAGCTATCTCCGCACTGGATGGAGTCATTAATAGAAAAGTCCAATAGCAGTCATAATAAAGAATCACCGACTTTGACAGTATGCCAATCAGGATAGTATCTCCAAAATTGTAGTGCGAATAATCCAGACTTTCCCCAGAGTTCCACTGTTTGTCATGCGGGGTCGACTTCAACCCTGACAGCGGTGACTTTGCCATTATATGTATATTACGATCACATTCAATATATAATAGTCATTGGTGTAGACCCTATTATCTGAGTAGGTATACTGGCCGACACCCTCTCACTGATGTTGGTCCTTGGTGACCTAGGTTTCTGGGTATGTTTATCGGAAGCATCCCGAAAATGTAGACAACCATCGGAGAATTAGGACAAGACCAGGAAATTGAGATATTTGATTGAGAACCAATCTTAAATAAACTGACGAGGAGCTTTGCATACATCCTCTGCGATCAGCACACCTAGCAAAATGCCAGGGAGCCCAGCGAATAGCATCTAGATTGATAGTTTCGTGTCACCAGCCTAGAAATATCTTCGTCCTCATTTCTATTTCACTTTGCATGCTGTGATACCATCCTCAGAAGATTCACGATGGCTTCTTTCACTGCTTTTGAGATTATATAACCTTCCCGCAACGACCAAAATATCTACTGGCATTACGGCCAAGAGGGAACATGGATACATTCCACGTGGATATTCTAGTATGCTGATGCTATTGCCAAGGAGCTATGATATGACTCTGGCCTGACAGTGTATATATGGAATCCTCGATGCACACGGTGCTGTGGTCGAGGATAGTCTAATTTAATCCCGTTGAGATGGACAAAGAAGATATCAATTGTTGTTCATGATTACAGTAGAAAAACTCTATCAAACTCAGCGACAAAGCCAATCTTTGTTTCCTCTTTGCATCGCGTTTTCTTTGAACCATCACCATCGAGTCCCGGAAGACTGACCGTCCAGGTAAATTGGTCGCCAACATACCTGATATTTACCAACTCAGCGTCTCTCTGCCGATCAGACCACATGACCCTTTTCCAACCACGCGCTTCATATTTTTGCACAGCAATCTGTTCTGATGGAGTTAGATTGACGCGTGCTATAATCTGCATCTGCCTTTGGAGAAGTGTCCTCTTTGGGTACAGACAATATGCTGTGTCTGGGGTGATAATATTCATCACTGCACTCCCATAGAAGCTGGTCAATATATGCACAATGGCATTAGTTTCAGTCAATATCAGCTGGATTTTATGACCACCCTTCAGATAATCAAAACACTATAAACAATTAGCACTGACCTTGCCAGATAAAAGTGGCAACTTTCCTGGCTTCCATTGTCATAGTAGACCCTTCTAGAAGGGTTCGCACCATGCGTTTTATACCCCTCTATCATGGTCAAGTAGTCGTGCAGAACTCGCCAACCGCCATCCACAACAAAGACATCGATGTCGCTGCTCTCCCAACGCTCCTGGGCGAAAAACTGCAAGGCCATACTGCCGGATATCACAGCCCCTGCCAATCTCATCTGCCGACGGTTGGTTGATTGACGAATCGCAATAATAAATCGTTGACATTCATCCCAGTAAATATCTTGTCCCCGAGCGCGGCATAGAACTGTCGGCATACCAACCGCAGCACAATCATATCTCGCAATTCTAGAAATGAGCAAAAGCTTTCATAAATCGGGAAGTTGTTGAGAGAAAAGACTCGTTGGAAAGTGGTTTTGGGATGATTCATGTTGTTGAATATCATGATATATGCATATATTCCAATTCGCTCGCAGGAGATGCTATTGTAGTGCTGTAATGCAATGCGATTTGCAATAGATAATATGGATAGAGCCTATTAGACACCCCCAAAGAGCTGTGGTGCTGTGAGGGTTTTTGTGGCCGACGTGGCCACTGGGTAAAATGTATTCAATATCATATATCCCCCCTTGCATACCCGAGATACAAGAATTTCGGAAGAAACAACTGCACAGGTAGCAGTAGTGAAAAAATAATTCAACTTGAGTACTACTAAACTTGACTATAGATCTTGAATATAGACATTGAATATAGAAGAGCATTTAAAATAGAGGTGAGAGCGCAAGTCCGAGGCTTGTTATCCATGATAATTGAACTGGTCGGTCGGTCAGGTATGTTCTCCAACAATAAGATATGGCATCATGAGTCTTATCTTATCGTGGAGGTTGCCCCGCACTGCCACAAGCAAACATCGACGAACGCTTTTCTCCTCAACACCACGAATCATTCAGACCAGCGCCATCTCCTAGATCAGCCATCATGAGAATCCTCTGTCTCCACGGAAAAGGCACCAGCGGCCTCGTCTTCCAAACCCAAACAAGTAAGCCCCTCTCACCCCCAGTCTATACCAATTCCCCACGGGGTCCCTGACAAAACACCAACAATCTAGTATCCCTCTGCCACTTCATCCCCAAAAGCCTCAACATCGAATACGACTTCGTCGACGGCCCCTGTCGCGACGCCCCAGCCCCCGGCGTCGACCTCTTCTACCCGCCCCCCTACTACGCGTTCTGGAAAGAAGCCACCGCCGACGAGATCAGCAACGCCCGAAAATGGCTCAGCGACCACATCGCCAAATCCGGTCCCTACGATGCCGTGATGACCTTCTCGCAGGGTTGCGCCCTTGCCTCGAGCTTCCTCCTCCACCACCAAAAGGAACACCCCGACCTGCCGCCCCCGTTCAAGGCGGCGATTTTCATCTGCGGTGGGCCGGCCCTGGCGGATTTGAAGAGTTTGGGGTTTGAGATTCCCGCTGAGACGATTGAGCGGGACGTTACGTCGGGGAAGCTGCTGGCGAAGCAGGCTGACTCGTCGGCGATTTTGGCAAGTGGTGCGGATCGCTGGGCGGGTGCTAGTGGGGTTACTGGGACGGAGGAGGGATGGCGGAGTGAGATTAAGGGGGAGCTGAAGATTGAGATTCCTACTGTGCATGTGTACGGTGAGAAGGACCCGCGGTATGTGGCGGGGGTTCAGTTGTCTGGGCTCTGTGAGGAGTCGAAACGGATGACCTACAACCATGGAGGAGGTCATGAGATTCCCCGGAAGGAGGAAGTGAGTCGTACGATTGCTGGATTGATCGTGCAGGCTTTGAGACAGTCATAAGGGAATCAGGCAAGATGATCAGTCTTTTTTATTATATATATATAACTCGACAAGACTATACTAGGCATGCATGCATATATTAAGGAATGAATATATAGAAGCGCAATACATAATCAACCCGGAATTATCCCTTCACATATATACTCATCTTATCTCATATCGCTGTCCATAAAGATTATTCTTAAAAGTCTTCGGCTTTTTACAAAGCATGGCAAGATCCAGAAACCTGGGTCTGGGGAGGTCCAACATCGACAGTGTTTCTGCCAACAACAGTGGTGACGCTGCCATCGATACCGTGGAAGGTGCAAGTTGCGCCTCCGAGAGAGGAGATGTGGGAGATGCTCAGGGGGTTGTCTTATTCATCCATTAGCAATTGTCCATGAACAACACGAGGGGGTAAGACATACGAATATCAACGCTGGTACCATCTGTGGGGAATTCCTGGGAGAAAGAGGCGTCGGCAGCACCGATGAAGGTGATTTGAGCCTTGAAGCCGTTGTCGGCGTTGGGTGCTGGGGCAGCCAAGGCACTGGTGGCCAGGGCAATGGCAGCGATGATCATGGACTTTATTTTGATGAGATGAAAGATGTAGTTGAGGGGGTTAGGGATGGATGTATTCCTTGTTTGTTTGCTTGATTGATTGATTGTGAGTGATGATGAGGATGGATTCAGCTCAATTTCCTCGACATCAGTCCGGTTTATATAGACCTGTCTTCTCTATACTTGGGAACTCCGGACATCGCGATACGAGGCCGATGCCAAAAATGGATGAGACATTCGTCATTGACGATGCATCTTTACTCGACTTGCATCTCATTCATTCCATGGACAGGCAGGCCTGGTGTTGAGGCTCCCAGGTCCAGATGCAGTGAGGCTCCGAGTGATCGTAATGGGAATACCTAATTCGGCATCACTGTCTATATTTTCCTGCTTATATATCTAAATATATCAGCCCGATACATGGGACGGAACAAACTCTATTAGCTATTCGTTATACGGATGCGGAGAAAGTCACCTGGAATGATTGCCTGTAGTTGTGAGGTGCCATGTCTCAGCCCTATACGGACTGTATATACGAATGCCTTTGCAACACAGCCACCATTCCCAGGAGTGAAAATTCTCCGAACGTGCATCTGACTCGTCCCGATCGAAATTCGATGACGTTGATAACTGATTCGTATTGAACATCCGTACGTGAGATGCCAAGGGATCCCGGGTCAGCAACAACTCATTCCACGGAACGTGACGAACCAGAAAGGTAAATGGCCATCACGAGATGCGAAGCCCTAGTCGCGGATAGTATTCGTCGAGAAAGTTGATGATGAATACAGTGTTGAGTTGTCAACTATCAGCCTGGCTCTTTTTCGTATTGGTGGGATTGTTGACCCGAAGGCGTTGTTGGGATGAAATCATAGATGCATCGGCTTTTTTATACAAAAGTTTATGCTAGATGATTTGATCCATTTATAGACTTGGAAGTTTAGCCTGGATAGAATGACTGTTTTCTATAATGACGGTATGAAGGTGAGTGATAAAAAACCATGGAGAAAGACCTGATCCATCTGGTTGACAGAAGGATAAACCAATAGAAGGTGTGTTGAACACCTACCCTGACCACAGCCTGACGCGATATTGCTGCACGGCTCTACTTCGCCTCCACACTCGCGTCCACGCTTGTGTTAGTACTCGTTGACAGCGGAGTTTCTGTCGTCAGACCTGCTCGCATCTCCGCATCTTCCATCCTCAACATGGAATGTTTGCCGCTTCCGATCCCAAACGCTCGTTTCACAGCCTTCCAACTTTCTACCAACCCCAAATACACTACCACGCATCCAAACACAACTCCCCATTCCCAGCCGATGCCTTTGTGTTTGAAAACTAATCGGTTGACCACTGGCAGGTAGATCACCGGAAATGCAATCACGAAGCCGGCCACCACGGCCCAGAATAGAAACCGGTTTCGCCAAAGCGATGGGAAAACCGAGAACTTGCCTGCGTACCGCGCAGGATCGAGGTTGAATAGAGACCGGGAGAAATGCTTCACTTCCCACGCCGTGACTAGCAACAGAAAAGTCAGGGTAGCGTATGTTGTAGCCCGCGCCCGGAAAACAGCGTTGCAGCTGTCGTTCCATCCTTCATTGCAATCATCCCCCATATCAGACGAGCCAGAGCCTTCTCCATATATGACACATACAAAAGCCACCAGGCACAGCGATCCCATAAAAGTTCCGTATATCATTTTATCAACAATAAGCTCGCGGGTAAAGACACCAACTTGCAAATCGTGTGGAGGGCGATACATGATGTCTGGTTGGGCCTCTTCTAGCCCTAATCCTACCGCAAGAAAGGATGAAGTAATCAGATTTGCCCACAATATCTCAAGAGGTGAAAGTGGAAATATCGAATTTCCTGCCGCGTCCTTGAATGCGAGAGCAATCAGAAGTAGAATAACTTGAGCAATGTTTGATATCAGTAAATGCATTAGAAACTGTGCAAAGGTCAGCAGATTGAAACTAACGCAGTGAATACTTCAGCTTACCTTTTGGATGTTATCAAACAGCCGCCTTCCCTCCTCCACTGCTCTGACAATTGATGAGAAGTTATCATCCGTCAATACCATGTCTGCGGCTTCTTTGGCGACGTCACTTCCATTCTTTCCCATAGCTATGCCTACGTCTGCACGCTTCAGTGCCGGTGAATCGTTTACACCATCCCCGGTCATGACACAAAAGGCATTCCGACGATGCATTGCCTCTACCACTCGAACTTTGGTGGAGGGGCTGCAACGTGCAATTACAAGAGGCAACTGTTCAATGGCATCAATCTCATTGTCGGATAATTGGTCGAATTCTTCGGCCGCCATAACTAATTGACTAGATTTGACAGCGGACATGGCATCCAAGATCCCGACCTCAGACGCTATCGCAGTAGCAGTACGGATATGATCTCCTGTGAGCATGTGCACAGTTATGCCAGCCATTTGGCATTTCCGTACTGAGACAGCAGTTTCGATGCGAGGAGGATCATACAGCCCCACAAGGCCGCAAAACCTAAGGCCAGATTCGGCTTCATTGCGTGGAGATATCTGCGAGTCGGCGTTCATTGCCGTCTTCTTGTATGCAGCACAGAGAACACGGAGACCCTTACTGGCCATCCTATCAGCTGTCTCTTTTATTTCGTCTTTCTCTTTCTCGGTGACGTCCAGACCTGATATGACAGCCTCGGGTGCTCCCTTCGTGTAAACTTCATTGATATGTTCAGCTGAATTTCTGTATACGACTGTCATCCTCTTGATTGAGGAATCAAACGGGTACTCTGTAAGGAGCTCCACCTGTCGGCGCTGGAGTATATCTGACTTCCCATAGCCAAATCGCATTGCCAGAACATGAAGGGCGATCTCCGTTGGCTCCCCAACGGCTATCCAGTTTCGCTTCTCAATTCGATCGGCCTCCCCAGTAAAAGACTGGGCGTTATTCTGTACAGTTGACAGATTACACAGAGCGATGGCTGTGAGGAAAAGGCCCAAGGCAGTATTATCACCAAATACTCCGGGTTCAGGGTCGACTTCATCTAGTTGTACAAGACCACTCGTTGGATCGTATGGATTGGTTGTTTGATCGACCGTTAAAGTCCCTGCCTTTGGAATCCATGCGGCTCGGGCGACCATTTTACCTTGCGTCAGAGTGCCCGTCTTGTCAGAGCAGATATTGGTTACCCCTCCAACTGCTTCCAGGCACTGTAGCTTTCGGACGATAACGTTTCCCTTGGCCATTTCCTTGGTTCCGACAGCGATTGTTATCGTAAGTACGGCAATCAAAGACTCTGGTACAACGGCCACAGCAACACAGATTCCATAAATCAAGACCTCCCCCTCTATATCCCACTTGCTCACAGAGAAGACTATTATGGCCAGGAGAACGGCCAACGCAAATAGAAGGAGAGCGAATTTGCTCAACTTAACTTGCAATGGCGTCCCAATCAGTCCGAGGAGATTCTTAATAGTGAACTTCCCATGCCTCAGTGTCCGAACGAGTATATTTGAGTCCTCCGCACCTTTCTTGTCTTGAAGCAACTCGGCAATTCGTCCAACTTCTGTTAGCATTCCGGTAGCAATAACAATTCCACTAGCCCTTCCCTGGGTGGTGTTGCATCCAGAGTAGACCATGTTGGTCCTATCACCGATGGGCATATCTGGAGAGGAAAGCGTGACATGTGGTGTCTTAGCAACCGGTAATGACTCGCCGGTCAAAGGCGCTTCGTCCATGGCTGCATTTATTCCTTCGAAAAGCCTCATATCCGCAGGGACAATATCTCCAACCGTCAGCTGTACTATGTCGCCCACAACGAGGGATTCTGCCTTGATAGATACAACTCGGCCGTGACGCATGACTTTGCATTCTGGGGCGGATAGTTTGTGCAATGATAGAATGGTTTTCTCTGCCCGGTAATCTTGGATGAATCTAATAACAGTAAGAGGGTTAGACAGGACTAAAGTTGGTAGGGAAGGTCAACCCTACCCGACAATTATGTTGAGAAGAATGACAGCCGTAATCACACCTCCCTCGATATAATCATGGATTCCAAAGGAAACAGCCATTGTTATCACGAGAACCTGCATGCTTCCGTTAGTATGCAGCTCAGAGTAAGTAAGCTAAAGAATAATGATCAAGTAGCTTTGTGGAAATTATCATACTAAAGTGAGACTGTTGGAAACTTGCCTCAGCAGTATTTTCCAAATTGAGAGAGACTCCATCTCTCGAACCGTGTTAGGTCCATCTCGCTGAAGCCGAGTGGCTGCTTCTGTACTTGACAGTCCATTTCTAATGACTCATCAACCAATGCTGCTACCAAGAGAAAGCCATTATGGCGCTTACTGGAGATCAACTTGAAGTATCGAGGCAAGCAGCTCAGGGTCGACGGTATGAGCAAGCTGAGACGAATTTCGAGAAATCTCTTGGTCTGAATCTCCAATTTTTATACCTTCACTATCCCGTGACGGAGCAGGGTCTGTCTTTTCAGCAGATAGCGTGACCTCTATGTCTCGAGTCGGTTGTGTTGTGGTTTTCTTCGTGTAGGAACATATAGGAGGCTCCGTCGATTCCTCGACATCAGCTAAAGACGTCTCTATGCCCATTCAATTGATAATCTGTGTCACCAAGGGGAGGCCCTTAACACAGGTTGTTCAGCGTAGCAAAGAAAGAGAAGATGGGGTTGACTAGTTTTCAACAGATAGTTAGAAGTGCACACGGCCATTTACCAGGATGGATCGCTTATCACCTCTTATACCTTGAAACTAAAACAGTGAGCGAGACTGACTACATTCTCAGCATGTGAGGGGTTGTCACGGTCGACATCTCAATCTCCCATATTATTGGGGAACTTCCCGGTTTTCATCTTGGCTGGCTTAGTGAAATCCTTGGATCATCACGATTCCAGCTATGGGTCATGTAGATGAGAGGACTCGGCGCCACTAAAGGCTTGGAAAGGTGCCGGGAGGCCACGCGATTGGGTGGTCAAGAAGCCGAAGGAAGGCATATCAGAGGATTCATGATGACGATAGGTCTTGGTGTCGATTGTTGTTGAAGGTGAGGGGTAAAAGGAGTCTGCTTGAATGCACGACCAGACACTGCGATGCTCATCCTACTTGGGCATTCGTCGACGTCCACGAGGACGCGTGGCAATGGTGTCTAGTCATTATACCCATTAAATATAGATTAGGATGATAGCCGAGAGATGACAACTCGAATCAGAGATGTTTGTTGATGGGGAAATCACGGCAGAAATGATATCGAAGGGGAATGGTTTAGCCTTTTTGCTAAGTCACTCTGCTTCACTCGGTGGTTTTCTCAGCGATTTCAACATCCCTTTATCTCTTGATCCTCTCGGTATAATTCTGATAAAACTCAATGGTAATTAATTCCTCAATGGCAGATAAAGTCAACCAAATTTTACGATGGTTGTCAAAATTTTCCCATCCCAAGGGCTTTGAATCGAAGCTCAAGCAATGATATATATTCCTACGCAAAACTTCCAGGATACTCTTGAAAAGATCACGGATATACTCTTAAGATTGTAGAATAATACTGTAGTAAATAGTATAATTAACTGACAATGAAACTTCATAACAAAAGAAATGATGCTATTCACTGTGCCGAGAACTGAATACAAACCAGCCAATCAGCGACCAGCCCGCATGTGCTCCACCGACTGCCAAAAATTAATGCAAGCGAAGAATCATGGCTCTTCTCCATCACCACCAGCAATCCCTCTTCTCCAACAAAGGGCAATCCGTTTTCAACACGCGCAATACCAGGAAGTCGCCCTCATCATCCGAACTCGCAACAGAATAACTTCCTCCCCGTCACAATGGTTGGACCGGCTGTCTCCCTTGCCCCTCTGAGCCGTACCGACGGCTCAGCTTCCTACCGGTGCCCTTCAACGGGCTTCAATATCCTGGGCTCTGTGAATGCTCCCGTCGAGCTCCCCGGTCGTCGCGATGCTCAGAAACCGGAAGAGGCCACCGTCGAGGTCTTCGTCAAGCCCGGTACCGCCCCGCCCGGCGTTGGTGAACAATACGTGAACCGCCTACTGAAAACCATGCTGGGGAAAATGGTTTTGGGACGGGAGAAAGGCTTTCCTCGGCGTGGTGTGGTTGTCACATTGGCAGTTGTTGGTGGTGAGAGTGTGGCAAGAGGTGACTCGGTGAGTAAATCTCTGTCCTGGCTACTTATCCCGTGAAGTTGGGTCTGCATGGGCTGGTAAATCGAAGCTAACGATCGAATCTACAGTACCTGACTATCCTGCCTTCTCTCATCCATACATCACTCTTGGCTCTGTTGTCAGCTTCGGTTCCCTTGTCAATGACTTTCACCGCGACCGCGTTGGCGGTGACTGCGTCAGGGGAGATCATTCGCGACCCGTCTTCGCAAGATGCCAAGACTGCAGCATCGCTCCATGCCCTGGCATTTACCTCAAAAGGCCACTTGTTGTTGAATGAAAGTCAGGGAGCCTTCGATTTTGATACTTGGGAAAGAGTGCATGAGCGTGCATTGGTCATCTGCCACGGGGGCTCAGCCACTAGTGCGGATGGAGATATTGCCATGGCCGAAGATGCGGATGGGCAACCTCTGGAGAACTTTGTCCGCGAGGCTGTCGAGGATAAACTTCATCGCGACTACAGTTGGCAAATCGATGCGGTTTGAGGGTTGTGATCATGTCTACCGCGGGTAGAAAACACATGAAATCAAGTGACGAGTGACTGCTACGAACTTGGATGCTTGATGCTTGCTTCCTGCCACAGGTTGAAGCGAAGGAGTTCTGCGACTTGGTGGCTGCTGTGTCCGAGCACTGACTGCATTGTCTGTCACACGAATATCACGTCTTGGCTTGGAATCTAACGAATCGCATGTCTGAACCACTGTGGGAGGACACACACATCTTACGTGTTAGAAATGCATCTTCCGCGGAGCACCAGCCTGCCGCAGGAAATATCAATCAGCCATGTGGGACGGGGTTGGTGATACCGAAAGGCCAAGCCTGATTTCTTGGATACGAGCCACTTCGGCCGAGTCCAGCTTTAGTTGGTCTGAATACAGACAACTTCGAGTCGCAATCATATCTGGAATTTACGGAGATCTAGATATGCATTTTAAACCAATAGTATATGAATGATATGAATGACATACCAATGATGAATGAAATTAAATTTACGTGGCAGCCTGCGGTGCGGGAAAATCACAATGATTGACTGGGGATCAACGTGGCCGTATATAAAAGCATGTCCCCTTGCAGGAGCAGGTTGAATAAAATTCTAAAAGCGCCGTAGCGAGTAGGACAAATTTGGCGATGTTATCTGTGGTTACCGTAGCAAATCTGTAGATCTTGGATTGATCAGCCAGAACTGGTGATAGATTCAGGCTGCCGATCCAGGCGTCTTTCCACCGACCTGGGATCGACCCAATTGCAGCCTTGTCCATTAGAATCAGGGATTCCTGCCTGGAATTCCCCCGTTCTTCAAGACTGGCATCTGCTGCAGTCGATCCAACTATCCAGCAACACTGCAAAAACCAGGGCGGAACGATCCTCTCCGCCTCACCTCCACTCCCATACCATCGTCTTCCTCCATCGCCAGCGTCATCATCGTCATCAACTAGACGCATTTGGCGAGAGTGGGAGAGACCCTCTGCATCCATTAGTTGCTCTGGCCGTGGAAGACCGTCGAAGCAGCGATCTCATTTGAAATCACACCTTCAAACCCCTCTTTTCCTGTCATTATTATCATCATCAATTAATTTCTCCGCCAAACGCCGTTACATCCGAGTCCGGCACTTTTTTTCGATTCTTCCTGATTCCCCATCGGCTGTTCTCCTGCCCTTCCTTCCACGGCCATCCCCCTAGGAGAAGAGGACACAAAAAAACAAAAACAAAACAAAAAAAAAAGAAATTAATAGAAATTCGACACCTCATCTTCCATGGCGTCTTCTTCCTCTTCCAGCCATGGCATTTTGAACCATCCTCCACCCTCTCACAACATTCCTTCGCGGACGCCCGTTCCTCAAACTGCTGATTCGGACTCTGCTGCCCCGTCCTGCGCATCATCTTCACCGTCCGCACCGGAGACATCCAGCCTCGCCCCACCGATCTTAGCACCTCAGACTCAGCTCGCTCAGTCTCATCTTTCTCAGCTCCCTCCAACTCCTCCACCCTCAGCTTCCACTGTCGGTACATCACTCCTCCAGGACTATGCCTTCAATATAGACCCTTCTCAGACGAGGAACGAGACTCACACGAGTGATTCCGCTGTCGGACCCTCCAGCTCCAGCAAAACCACATCGCAAAAGGTCGAGCGCACTCGGGGAGACACATTGCCTTCATCTCCATTTCTGGCTTTTCGCTCCAAGGCATCGTTGGGTAATCATCGCAAAAACGCCCTTTCCAGCGACTCGATCCCTCGTCAAACCATCATGAAGGCGCTAGCATCCCGACAATCCATGTCGAATAACAACAACAATCCTAACATGCCGCTGGCGGCCTCTCTGGGGCTTCTTCCCAACAGCTCCAATCCCAGCCCTCCGGAAGACAAGGAGCGGCGATCGAGTAATCCGTCGTCGCAAAAATTATCCGCTGCGCTTTCCAACTTACAACTCGGTCAATATTTAGAAAACGCCCCTTCGAATGCCCGGTTGGCCCTGCAATCTCCCTGTTTCTTCCACAAACGATTCGATGACGCCGTAAATATCCAGAAGGTGCTTGAAGAAATCCAAGATGACGAGTGGTTGTCCCCGTCGCGCTTGATGCAGACGGCAACAGGAGTGCGTGAGGTTTCAAAGCAACTGCAGCGACGACCCATAAAACGTGCGGTAAAGACCGTCATGATTGTTACCAAGGCGAGGGATAACAGCTTGATACCATTAACTCGCGACGTGACCGAGTGGCTTCTCTCCACACCTCGATATGGGAGCGACCTGGGTGTCAATGTCTACGTCGATGCCAAGTTGCGCAACTCCAAACGGTTCGATGCGCCCGGGCTTTTACAAAAGGAACCTCGGTACGAAAATATGCTGCATTACTGGACTCCAGATCTTTGCTGGACAGCTCCGGAGAAGTTTGATCTCGTCCTCACCTTGGGAGGAGATGGTACCGTGCTCTTTACTTCATGGCTGTTCCAACGCATCGTGCCCCCGGTTTTCTGTTTCTCCCTGGGCAGTCTGGGATTTTTGACTAATTTTGAGTTCGAAAACTACAAAACCCATCTGAATGCCGTCATGGGCGATGTTGGGATGCGAGTCAATCTGCGGATGCGCTTCACTTGTACAGTATTCCGCAAGGATAGGAGTAAGGGTGCCGAAGCGGGCGCAGTCGAAGAAGGTGAACAATTTGAGGTTCTCAACGAGTTGGTCATCGACCGGGGTCCTTCGCCATACGTGTCAAATCTCGAACTTTATGCCGACAATGATCTTCTTACTGTGGTGCAAGCTGATGGCTGTATTTTCTCCACACCGACCGGTACGTTTCTCAATTGAGATTTAAAAACATTCTCAACTAACATTATTCCTCAGGATCAACCGCTTACTCCCTCTCTGCCGGTGGTTCACTCATCCACCCATCCATCCCCGGCATCCTACTTACTCCCATATGTCCGCACACCCTTTCTTTCCGCCCTATGGTCTTGTCCGATTCATTGCTTCTTCGCATCGCAGTTCCAAATGGATCTCGCTCAACTGCCTACTGCTCTTTCGATGGCAAAGGCCGCGTGGAGCTTCGTCAGGGCGACTATGTCACAGTAGAGGCTAGTCAGTACCCCTTCCCAACTGTGGTCTCAGGTAGCGGAGAGTGGTTCCAGAGCGTCCAGCGGGCACTACGCTGGAACACACGGGGAGCCGTGCAGAAAAGCTGGCACGGCCCCGAAGGCGATGCCGATTCATCCCCCGAAGATGAAGAATGGGACATTGACACCGATGCCGGCCTAACCGGCACCGACAGCGGCGTGGGTCCTAGTGAAGATGGGGATGCCATGCTATCCACCAGTCCTATGAGACGACAGATGAGTCTCCTGAACATGTAGCGGGCTACATTTATTCCTACCCGCTTCTCGCATACATCTTGGCCTTTGTTCTTTGCCACATGCATATACAACAACTAGCATTTTAATCATGCGGTTACAGAAATCGGTTTGGCGCTCAGGGTATATTTTATTTTTCTTTTACAGGAGCCGGGGACATTGATTTCTTTCATGGCATTTTCTATTTCGGATAGCGACGGCTTATATATAGATTTATCAGGGACATCTGCGACTTTTGGAGATGACAATCTTTACATTATAGAACTTTTATTTGATGGGGAATATATTCACTTCTGTGTCAGCGAATGTTTGTTTTTTCTTTACTGTTCTGGGTTTGTTTGCCCTGGTCCAGAATATTACACTTCTAGAATTTGTCCAAGCATGTTATATTTTATCAGAACATTGTGAAACAATATACTGCTGGTTGATCCTTCAACACTTCAATCCAATATGTCCTATAATCCGTATACACCTGTAGGTATTCGCTGATGATATATATGCTTAAGCTCACAGAATCAACGTTTTCACCTGACTCTGACCATGCAATCTGGTGGTGACTCTTGACCCGTACCAACTCCAAAGCCAGGACCCGGTGTGTACGAGGAGCATCAAAGCCAGCCAATCCCATATATGCAGGCGTTTATCCCAGCCAGGGCGTCAATCGTCAAAATCCTCCTCTTTTGTCGCTTTTGTTCTAAAAATCTCAATCACATGAATGCCTACCAATCACAGCTCTCGGACAGCAGAGCTGCCAGGGCCTCGAGGTGCTTCTTATCCTCATCATCGAAACCAGATGGCTCCGCACAGTCGACATCAATAATCGCAACCGTCTAATTCATCAAACCAGACAAAAAGTCAGCGTAACAATCCATAAACTAACCAAAATCTATCCTGGAAAAATAAGATACTAACCTCCCCATTCGCCAAAATCGGCACCACGATCTCACTCCTACTATCCGCATCACAAGCAATATGGCCCGGGAAGCTCAACACGTCTGCAACGAGGACCGTCTCGCGCTTCTCGGCGGCGGTACCGCACACGCCCTTTCCGAACTTGATTTGCTGGCATGCGGGCTTGCCCTGGAAGGGGCCTAGGACGAGGATGTCTTTCTTTGGGGGTGTGGGCGAGGGGGATAAGGTGGGGAATTTATCATCGCGGATGTAGAAACCGGCCCAGTTTACGGAGGAGGAGGGGGAGGGGAGAGCGGCGTAGGCATGCCAGAGGAGGGAGGCGACGTTGGAGAAGTTGCTTTTATCTGTAAGTTGCCATGCTGTCGTGTGAATTTGGCGACATTCTCACCTAACCTGTTGTGTTCAAGTCAGTATGTTTCGAATCTTCAGTCGCAGTCGCAAACGAAAACCACTTACCCAATTGCGCTGTCCATAGACCAATCCCTGCGCTTGTTCAAGAACCTGGGTGTATACTTCTGTCTTGGACAGTCCAGGCTGGAAATAAGAAGAGTCTGCGTGAGGCTGTTGAGTTTGGAGCATTAGCATCGGTTGCTGGATAATCGCAACGTATCGCATCTGTCGCGGACTGCGACGTTCTCCAAATGAGGGGTTTGAGAGTCATATCGTACCATGATGTTGAATAGTGATAAAAAAAAATAGCGCACAGTATTTCAGAGTACTATATCAGGTTGAATTGACGCCAGTGATCGATCGACAGGGAGCTGCTGCGTTGTGTCGAGGATGAGTTTGAAGCTTTTTTTATTACGTCTTTGTTCGTGGGATTCGGGGTAGACGGAGTTAAGCAAGTGGGGGGAGAACGAAAAGGTCCACCTAGGAAATTCTTGGATGTTTTATAGAACAAGTTGAGTAGAAAGATGTTAATATGAATAGAATTGTTGTATGGGGTTGAAATAAGATAATGATGGTGTCACAAAACATCGAGATGGCATCAACGTGAAGATGTCTTGACATTTCGACTCCACCCCGCATCGACGATCAGTGTATACATTCACCAACAACCCCTCATTCAAGGATTGTACTTATGCTTCAGATTAAATATTACAAATGCATCAGCCAGGATGATTGCCAAGGACAGACACATTGACTCCAAATCGTCGGGTGCAGTTACTTATCTCAGTGTTGCTCGATAAGCCTGGATGCTTATCATGAAATCAGTATTTATTCAGACACTGCCTTCATGGGCTTCCTTTGACTGCATCTCCAATACAATCCCTATAAGCAGAAATCATGCACGCTGCCAATATCGCTCTTTTATTCATTTCCTGCACCTTCGCCAGAGACATCTTCTTCCCTCCCATCGCAGGAGTCGCTGATTCAAGACAAGTTCCGCTCGGTGTGGATGAGACAGTCGACATCATCACAGGCAGTCAATTCTCGGGCCTGACAACTTTTGCACATGTCCCTTATGTGAATTGCTTCGTGGATGCTGAAGCCAAACACCAGCCATACGATATTGCCTTTCTAGGAGCTCCATTTGATACGGTACTTTCTCCATATCGTCTGAGTCGTTCAATTCTAATCATGTTTACACAACAGGGCGTCACCTCTCGACCGGGTGCCAGATTCGGTCCTACTGGAATCCGGCTCGGTGCTCGACGACTTAAAGGATGGAGTATCTACACAGGCGAGAATGTACTGGACAGCTGGGCTAAAATTGTTGACTGTGGGGATGCCCCGTTGACCGTCCTCGATAATACTGTTGCGTTGAAGCAGCTTGATTTGGCACACAAGGTAACTGCACCCAGGCTTCGTTTAAAACATTCTCGATGGGAGTAGAACTAATCAGTTTCATTGCCATTGCTAGGTCGTTTCTTCCCGTCCTGCAAACACTAGCAGCATATCGCCTGTTCCTCGTATCATAACACTCGGCGGAGATCACACCACGACATTATCGGCTTTGAGATCAACAGAAAAGCATTGGGGGCCGGTATCGGTTATTCATTTCGACAGTCATATTGGTGTGTGGCTGCTGTTCTCGTCTTGGGCGTCGTTTAGGCTAACCTTTCCATGTAGATACTTGGGATCCTAATGTACTGGGTATGTCGACGGCTTTCTAGCTAATTTTGTATTGCTTCCACTGAATACTTGCTAATAATCATTGGAACAGGTGGTGGAGTGTCTCACTATGCGTACGTATATTCATTCCTAATTTCGCTTTCCTACTAATCAATCCTCAGCGGCGTCAACCACGGCACGTTCCTCCACATAGCCCATGAAGAGGTACATACCTACATCACATATACACCCCAAGAAATATCTAACAAAACCAGAATCTCATTCGCAACACCTCCATCCACGTCGGCATCCGCGCCCCCGTGAATCGTCCCAAAGGCGCCGACATCCGCAATGACATCCGCTGCGGCTTCGAGATCATCAAAGCACGAGACCTCGACCAAATAGGTATGAAAGGTGTTATTGATAAGATTAAGGAGCGTGTTGGTGAGAGTAGAGTTTATATCTCTGTTGATATCGATGTTTTGGATCCTGCTTTTGCGCCGGGTGAGTTTGCCCCTTTCTTTCCGCGTATGTATAGATGGAACTTTACTAATTGGATGAAGCAACTGGGACTGCTGAGCCGGGTGGGTTTACCACGAGAGAACTTCTGTCCATTCTTGACGGTCTGCGTGGATTGCCTGTTGTTGGTGGTGATGTGGTTGAGGTTTCTCCCATCTATGATAGCGCCGGCGAAACAACTGGTTTGGCGGCGGCTGAGGTTGCGAATTCTTTGCTTGCACTGATGATTGCTGTGCCTGTTGTGCCGTGAGTGTATACAGCTGTAACTGTAGTTCGGATGTTAATGATTTAATGATCTATACGATATGGGCAAGACGAGCTCATTGAATTCACATTTACCTTATATTAATACATATTTCTGTCGCTAAATTCATAAAGCTATAGGCTATAGACTATAAGATAATATAGTTGATTTATATCAATGGATGGGTAATTATTCCTTTTTCGAATCGACAGTCCCCTCAACCACACCTCCTGACTCTCCCTCGGCCTTCTCACCTCTTAGCACGCTCATACCACCCGGCCCGGTGAAGTGTTTTCGACCGGTTGTCACCCAGGTCACGGCGCTGATAAGTCCAATGACACCGATGGCAGCTGATGTATAGTTCATCGAGTCTTTGCCGACCGGATAAGTTGTAGGGAAGTTAAAGGTTATGGCAGCAAAGAGAAGGAAGAGGAGTCCAAGCAAATTAAGAGCGATAGAGACCGGCAGGGGTAGGGAGAAGGGGCCGTTAAGGTGTGTCTTGTGACCTGTCATGTATCCCATGAGACGACTGAAAAGAGCGATGGCATATGAAACGTCTGCATGATTAGCGGCTATTCAAGAAGGCAGGATAGAGAGGAAACTTACAGAAGCCTTCCGTAGCGATGGCAATGACTGTTTCAAACCCAGTTGTGGTGCCAAAGTCAATGGCGTCCAACGCGAGTTGTACAACAAGGGTGAGAAGGACTGCGTTGACAGGCACCTGGCGCTTGCTTTCCACCTTGGAGAACACCTTGGAAAATGGGAGACCCTGGTCCCGAGCAAACGCATATACCGAACGAGATCCTTCAGCCAGAAGGTTGTTTCCAGCGACGATGACGATGACGGCAATCATGCTCGATAGAATGCATGTACCGGCTTTGCTGCCGGTGGAATCATAGAAGATCTGGATTACAGGCACACCAGTGGTCGTGGCGGCAGTTTCTTCGATGTCGCCAATGCAGAAGCAGAGGGTCAGGAGGAAGGCGAAACCGGTCACGGCACCCAGCACGACGGAGAGGATGATCGCTTTGGGTGCTTCCTTGGAGGCCGATTTCATTTCTTCGGTCATGTGGGATGGCGCATCGTAACAGCACATACCGAAGCATGCCTGCAGAATTCCCACAATGGCAGCCATGGAGGAACCCCAGCCGGTGAAGTTTTGGAATTCCTGAAAAACGAAAGAGGGAGATTGCATGTTATCGTTGGTAGCAAGGATTGTGATCATGGTGACCAAGAACGAGCCAACGTTCCAAATCAGAATGAAACGAGAGAGACGATTGAGAAGATGAGATCCCCAGATATTGATACCGGTCGACATGAACGCGATGAGGTAGGCTACTAGCACTGTCTGCCAGCGCTCGATTGTGTATTCAGGGAAGACCAGATTGGCCATACCGAGGACGAAGTTGGCACCGATGGAGTTATTCGTTGCTCCCATAGCGAGAATGCCTGTATATCGTCAATTATTGAATCACGCAGCATCAAAAGGAACGTACCGATAAGCATAAACCAGCCACTAATATATGAAAGCCCTCGTGCAATTTTTGGAGGAGCTAGGGCAGCAACCCAAGAATACTGGCCACCAGCGACGGGGTACATGGAGCACATCTCTGCCATGGGAATAGCAACCGCCAGAGTGAGAAGACTGACGGCGATGAAACTAAACACCATGACTGGAGGTCCTCCCGATGTGACACCCACGATGAATACACCGCTCAACGCTGTCCATCTGTCGGAAATTAGGCAAGAATGACTATCGAGAAGAGCGAGGATACTCACGAGGTGACTATGCTGAAACTAAAACCAATCATGCCCAGCAACCCAAAGGATCGCTTGAGCTCTAAGAGAAGTCAGCAATCTATTCACTGTAAAAAGAATTATCTGGATGTAGAAAGCAATCTTACCCTGCTCGTACCCAAGACCCTCCAAACGGACATCTTCATTAGTTGTGTCGTGAAAGACCTGGTTATCCTCATCTTTCTTCATGATGGCGGTTGTATACGCTGGCTGAGAATGTGACGATCAGGGTCTCTCCCCAGAGGAGTCAATCGCCTTTTAAGAGACCCGAGCGCCATCTCCAACTTTGCCCCAAGAGCCATACTTCGTGTTTATCGGTAGCCAAATGCCTGTCGAGTATAAACGGTTGGCCAGATAGCCCGACAATGGCTGATAGCGATAAGATAGATGCACTAAAGGCATTTCCGCATCGAGAAAGTTGGCGCGATGGACGGTGGAACCCTCGAATAACTGCGGGGAAGACACGCCGGCTGGCACCGACATCAAGCCATCGTTTATCAAGGATGATAGGGATGTTTTTCTGTCGAATAAATCGAATAGCTAAAATATTAGCGACATTTAATGACAGCCATTTGCCATTGGCATGTGTCAAGCAGTGGCGCTTATCGTGAAGGATTCAGGGGTTGGCTGGCTTCGGGTTATTCTTCAACCCAGCTAGCTTCATGGTTTCAGAGACAGGATAGAACATGCTGTGAAACCAAGCCTGGTCATTTGGCTATGGAAAAGCAGTCTGTAACAGCAGTCCTAAACTTGAGAAGTGGTACTGAGTTTGAGTATCTCATAATTAAGACCGGACAAGCTTTGATCCATTCGCAGTGAATGATGAGCCTTGGTTCAAGTGTTGATCGAATGGACTTGTCATGTTCCGCTTTGGGTAATAGGGTTAGGGTTCTGGGGGTCAGGAGGAGAAACAGACAGCTTCGTCTTCTCTAGATGATATCTCCATGTTACTGATCTCATGCAATACTCGTTACAACACACACCGCTGATATCCGACCACGTGTCTACGATTGTATATACGAGGATGATAGGATATGTTAGCACTAGGGTACTGATGGTTGGCTTTAAGTGATCCAACTAGTATGATTCGATGCTTCAATATCAAACCTTTTTGCTGGTTTTCCATCGATATTCAGCCTTACTGAATGATCTGTTCCTCTGAGCTGCCATGACTCTTCCACAGCTATAGAAATCGCATCCATTGGCAAGATCAACATAGTTTACATCTTGCATATAAAACGCATGTCGGCGAGCCTGAGGAGATGCCCGAGCCAACGTGTCCCACGAAGGTCATTGCTTTTCGTGGAAGTATTAATTGACATTACACCGTCGCATCATGTCTATATTCTCTTTTCAGATCTACCTAGAGCCCGCAATTCACAATGTCTGCTGAACGTTTATCTGGAAAAACCTGTCTGGTCACCGGAGGCGCTGGTGGTTTAGGCAAGGCCATCGCAACCAAATTCCTGAGTGCCGGCGCCAACGTGGTCATCTGCGATATCAACGAGGATCGGGTGAAACAGACTTCAGAGGAGCTGTCGACAAGAGGGCCTTTCAAGGCTGTCGTTACCGATATCACAAACTCAGAATCCGTCAAGTCACTGTTTGACACAATCACGACAACATTCGGAAAGCTCGATGTCCTCGTCAACAATGCCGGGATCATGGATCGTTTTGATCCTGTGGGAGCCCTCGACGAGAACCTGTGGAACAAAGTAATTGCCGTCAACCTCACTGCTCCATTCCTCCTCAGCAAACTGGCTGTCAGCAACATGCTGGAAAACCAGACATCGGGCTGCATCATCAACATTTCATCAGTGGCTGGTAAATCCGGTTGGTCTGGAGGTAAGTCAATTCGAATAACACACAAGAACCAGTCCATCAATGCCATTCTAACTTGACCCAGGCGCCGCATACACAGCTAGCAAGCACGGTCTGGTCGGGTTGACCAAAAACACGGCTGCCTTTTATGGGAACAAAGGCATCCGCTGCAACGCGTTAATGCTCGGTGGTATGTCAACGAATATCGGTGATGCACTTCGGTCGGGGATTAATCAGGAGGGACATCAAAAGACCACGGATATCACGCGGGGTATTAAAGCTTCATTTTGCAATGTTGATGATGTTGCAGAGCTTTGTTTATCCTTGATCGGTACTACTATTGTCAATGGTGCTTGCATTGCTGCAGATGGTGGATTTAGTGCAACAGTGGGTTGATTTCTGATATAGCAGTTGTACATACATACAGGAGAACACATAAAAATACATAAGCTGATACCCGATTACTCCATCTCACTCTTCACATTCTATTATATCCAACCCACCCTCAAGACCCAACAGGTCGAAACACCAACTCACCCCCCTCATTCCGGATACTCTCCCCCAAATCCACAGACGCAGATTGTACACCCCCATGCCGATCATTCAACTGCGCATGTAACATTGGCCTCCCCTCCCCTCCTTCCAAAGCTAGATGAACCTGCGATGCGCTTTTTGTAAAGGAGTTATCGCCCCAGTGGAATTTCCCTACCAACACTTAAATATCAGTCTACTTGACCATGTACTGCTAGAAACTAGGAAAGGGAGACGCACCATTCACATTACCCAGATACTTATTCAGATCGATCTCAGAATACAGCCATGCATTCTTGCGGGTTCGGCAGTTTCCGGTTAGGATGTGGTTGTCTTTGAGGGTGATGTTTTGGGATGATTTGTGGAAGGCCATGGTTTTAGTTTAATGTATATTTGAGTTTTCTCTTTACGTATCCTGGTATGTTTTGTATGAATGTCAAGGTTAAGGAGAGTTAAAGTGGAGCTGACTGTGTTGGTTTTATAGAATGCAGTACTGTGTTTGGCCACTTTGTTTACGTCATTTTGGGTTCATATTGAGGCGAGTTGGGAGTGATGTTAGGTGTATTGTTAAATATATTATTCGACTATTTTAATTATCATAATATCTCAAGTAGAATGTCTGATGGGGGATAGGGAAATACCCATTGTTGCTGTTGATGATTATCGTTCCAGGCAGACTCGTGACGTACCTGCATAAGCAGTAAGCACTTATGGACTACGTACCATGTCTACCTAGCTGAAAAGACCCAATATTGGTATAGCATCAAATTTACAGCTCACCATATACCCATGCTTTGGTCTCATCTAGACAATCGCAACGTAACCCCCGCAGCCTAAACCCACTAAATTAATAATATGGTGTTCAGTATCGGAGGTAGTGGATATAAAATCCTAAGTCCGCTCAACTGTTCAAGGTATATAAACAAGCGATTGCTCTTACCTTCAGCTCCCAACTCACAATTCAATTCAATTTATTCCATTCCATAATCTCCAATATGAAGTACGTGCAACTCGGTTCGAGCGGTCTCCGCGTGTCGCCCATCTGCGTCGGCTGCATGAGCTATGGCGAACCCAAAGGACAATTCAACTGGTCCACACCCGAAGACGAAGCCCTCCCCGTGCTAGACCACTGCTACCAGTCTGGTCTCAACTTTTTCGACACGGCCAATATCTACTCAAACGGTGTTTCGGAGGAGATTCTGGGCAAAGCGATCAAGCAATTCAACTGGCGCCGCGAAAACGTCGTCATCGCGACCAAGGTCTGGGGCCCTGTTGGTCGTGGTCTTGAGAATGCACTCTTTATGAGTGAGGAGGAGAGAGACAATTCCGGCTACGTCAATCAGTACGGACTCAGTCGGAAACATATCTTCGACAGCATCGATGCGAGTTTGAAACGGTTGGGTCTTGAGTATGTGGATCTATTGCAGATTCACCGATTCGATCCTCACACGCCTCCCAAGGAGACCATGGAAGCGTTGCATGATGTCGTCAAGTCCGGGAAGGTGAGGTACATTGGGGCCTCGTCTATGTGGGCGCATCAACTCATGGAGTACCAATACACCGCGAGGATGAACGGCTGGACCGAGTTCATCTCTATGCAGAACCTGTACAATGCTCTGTACCGGGAAGAGGAGAGGGAGATGATACCTGCTTGCACCAAGTTTGGAATGGGTATCATTCCGTGGAGTCCCATCGCCGCGGGAGGTCTGGCACGGCCGGTCAAGGCCCTCACTGAGACGAAGAGAGGAGGGGGCATGATTTTCAGTCAGGGTATTTCAGAGGCGGATACCAAGATTATCGAGAAGGTTGAGGAGATTGCGAACAGCCGTGGTGTCGCTATGGCTACTGTGGCTGTGGCTTATTGTCTGTCCAAGCCGTTCATCACGTCACCCATTCTGGGAATGAGCAAGAAGGAGAGAGTGGACGAGGCCCTCCAGGCGCTTGAGCTTAAACTCACTGAGGAGGAGATCAAGAGTATTGATGACCTGTACGTACCAAAGGCAGTGCTCGGACATAGGTAGTGTGACAGCGTTTGAGCTGGAGTGTTGAACATAATATGAATTCTCCATTGACTGAATGCCTTATCCCATAAATATCCTTTGCCAAAATGCCAGTGCTTATTCGTTGTCTGTGCTTTTTGATAATCTGGCCAGACCTACTGTCTACTGGTTGTAGATATGAAGTAGAAAACATCCAGCATTGCCCATTGGATGCCCCATCACCCTACTGCGTATTCTGACGCGCGTTTTAAAAAAGAGAGGCCTAAATCCAACCACATAGGCTGAGCAATCCGAGTGACTGACAAATAATAGAATGACTCACGCCAGCCGTGATAGTGTTCCAGAACCCAACCCCTTCTTTCCGAATGTAAGCGAACCGGGACCTCGTAATTCTGACAGTTTGAATGAGCACTAGGGCTGAGAAACGATGTCGTTGGTTTCCAGATACCGGGAGCTTGGGACTAATGCAATGTGATTCCGACAAAGCGTTGGCTAGGAAGAAATGATGTTCACATCGATCTCATGCAGGCCGACCATGAATATGGCAATGATATCCCTGAATAATTTCCTCAGGACGACCGGACGTTTTTTCCGGTACTGTGGGGAAGGTCTGGATGAGTTGGTGAATAGAGTAGATTCCCCTGCATGATGCAGTCACCTTCAGCACGAGGATGTCCAGCTCTAGGCCATGTCTTGCATCGCCTCGATCACCCGTACATAGATAGGCTGCAGAAGGTGACGAGTGTGATGAGTTGACTCAAAACCGGTTATGGGGACGACCAAGTATAGAAAACATCCTCGGCCAAGGGTCATCCGAAATTGAGCCCAGCACGCGTGACTGATCTACCGCAGACGACCGTAGTAAAAGCTCAGGATAGGACCCAAATCCCGAGCTCGTACTCTTAACTTTAGATGGTCTTCATCAGGGACCGACAATCCCGGTGCACAGTCCCTCGGGGGGGGTGCGCCTTGTGCCGATGCCTATGCTGCAAGTTAACCCATTTGGACGGACCGAACCTTTGTGATGACGAGCTGGAACACACACAGAAAAAAAAGGGATGGAAGATAATTTGTGGCGTCTTCCAAGACGACAGCCTTGTTGGAGATGACACGGTGGGTTGCCTGTCTAACCGCAGGCAAACAGAATTCCCGGGAAGGGGGACAGCCAAGAGGCCAGATTGCCTCGATTAAGAGCATTTTTATTAAGATCCCGACTGTGATGTCTTGTATCAAGGGAGCTTGTGTGCATTTGGATGGATCTTATTGGGGGACACGGAGGAAAAAAAAAGCAACAGCTGAGGTATCATCCAGTAGGCGATTGTCGCTCAACACAGTGTGGGATGAAGCAAGAAATCCCGGATGGCCAGGGGTGGAGGATGTCGGCTGATCCATCAACCAGAGGGCGATGACGCTATCTGGAACCATTTCATCACATCCTCAAGTGAATATTCAAGACCAGAAGGGGGGTTAATATAGACGTGGTGTTTCAGTTGCGTAGTAGCTGGACGATCGCCTGTGCATTGGAACATTTGCATGAGGGCTGCCTGGATCTGGGGATGATAGTCACCATGAAGCCCGCGACTAGTGAAGCAATATATGACCTGCAGAAAGTTCGGCCGTTGGTCCGTCTAGTGGCCTTAGTTGGCAATGGGCTGCCAGTCGCCGTCCAGCATGACTCGGGCAGATCAACCGATGCTCTCCACCCACGATGGAAGCAGGAAATCGGCCTTGATTCTCTTTAGTCACCCGAGTCTTGCGTGTGGTTGCAACACTAGATAGTAGATAGCTCGCTAGTCAGATAGTTCTGCTGATATGCCAGTGGTATGTTCCTGCCTGGTGCTTAAAAGGATATTCGTATCCGCTGCCTCCCAGTCGTGCATTTGCAGCACAGACATCGAGAAAAAGAAAGCAAAAAATAGCTGACTCTGACATGCGAGTGTACAGCCCCCATGTTTCTATTTGTCTTGCACACCTTGCCACTTCTCTCTTTGACCGACTGATCGCCTGTCATATATGATCAGACCCCGATATAACAATCCTTCCTGCTCCCACACGCTGCCCATATCATATCATCGCATTACTCCATCTGGGTGGATGCAGCTGCCCACTAAGCGATAGTGTCCGTCCGGGTCCTCAGGAACCAATCAGCCACCAAAGTTACCGCCTATCAATATCTGCTGCCATTACTGAAAGATACGGAGAAAATATTACAGATTAAAAGAAAAAGAAAAAAGGCAACAAAGAGCTCTGCAATATCTGTATGTGATCCTTCTGATTTTTCATTCTATTCTTATTTTATCTCATTCTTTTCTTTGTTTGCTGTTCCTCTTTGTCTATCGGATCCCCCTTGCGCAGGTGGAGTCGGTACCGTGGCGTATTCGTACCGTACCGTACCGCCTGCCCCTCCATGGATGCCGCTGATTCCCGCCATGACGCCATGTCACGTTTTGTTCTGCCTTGTTTGTGACAGTCTGCTTTTTCCCCGCAAACTAATCAATTTGCTTTTTAGGGAGGGAGTTGTAATATATTGTTTGTGATTACAAGAGTAGATGTGAAGGAGGGTTGGAAAGGGAACAGAAACGAAAAAAGCAAAAAAAGAAGAAAAGCAAAAAAAGTGAAACACAAAAAAAAATTAACCATTGAAAGAGGAGGGGAAATCCATTGCTAATCCTCGTCTGCATTGCCTGACAGTAGTGGGCGAGGGTGATTCTTTGGGCAACGAAAAGCGTCGCAGAAGAGACAGAAAAAACATCAGAAGCAACAGTTAAAACCCGCTCAATGGCTGCCTCTCCACCATCTTCTTTCTTCTCTGCCTCTTCTTCTCCTCCATCTCCGTCCTTTTATCCTTCTTCCCACAGTTCACTCTCTCCACCTCTCCTCAGTAAGTTCCCATCTTCGATCTCGACGGATACACGTACCCTCACATGTACATCCATCCAATCCCCGCCTCTCTCCATCTCCACCTTTCCCTCTCATCCATCAATCATTCTGCCCCGTCATTTTAGCATTCCAAGACTTCGCTGGCATTCCTCCTCAATTCCTTCCAACTTTTTTTTTCTTCCCCTTCCCTGCCCTCCTCTTTGTTTCTTTGCAGTTGAAACAACCTCCACTTGACACGTGTGTTGCACGGCTCTCGTCTCATCTTCCATTGCCTCGTAAACGCCTTATGCTGATCGCGTGCTCTTAGCCAATTTCTCTTCTTCATCACGGCCCCTCTCGCATCGCTCCTCTGATTTACATGCTAGAGACCATTTGGAGAGCTTAATCACCAAGCACGGTCACCCCACACCCGTTTCGTTGTCATCGCTCCGGGACTTGACAGCAACTTCGTCTACATATAATCCCCCCTCACCACTCTCCCGTCCGACTTCTCCGGTCTCAGACACTATCGATTCTTTGGAAACTCTGTCTCTCTCCAGTTCGACCACTCGACCAATCCCCATTCCCAAAAGGTCTTCATCGTCACACGAGGACGACCTACCCGTCACCCCTCTCACAGGGCGCTTCGACAAAGGCGACTACTTTCCGCACCGTGACCACCGGCGCACTCCAGCCGACAGAAAACCGGAGATCTCAAGACACAAAAAAGCACACAGCCGACACGGTCCTCATTCATCACATTCCAAACGTTCTTCAAGGATGCGTGCCGAAAGCTCGACCTTCTACTCCCCTGTTTCCCCGGCCATGTCTCCATCTGGACGCCCTTCTTCTCCACAGCCATCCAGAACACAGAACACGACCAAATCAGTGCCCTCCTTCCATCTTGGAAGCCTTCCTCGATACCACCCAGCCGTGTACCAGCAACAAAGCAGCTCGCAAGGCTTCACAGCACAGCAGCCTCCCTCGCCGCGGCAAACTCGCCAGCACACTTATCGGACATCATCTAGCTCGCGAGAAAACAGTATGTGGCAGTACCGAGAACTCGTGGAAAGTGTAACCAGAACCCCCACAGGATCACTCGGCCAAAGCCCATCTGCCCCAAGATTAGACCCCCTTCGCAGCCCAGGCCCTGTCACCCCCTTGACGTTGGAAGAAGCAAGCGGTTACCTCGCCGGCGGTGCAAACAATTCCGATCCCTCTTCAAGGGACACCGCCGCCGCGCCAGATCTAGTGGAAAGACTCCTTGCCCGTGAAAACGAGCGAGCTCGACAGAAGAGCAGAATGACTGCCAAGGGCCGGTGATAACTTCAGACAAAATATCTGACTGGATGCTACCACACGAGCCCACGCAGTCAATTGTTCACTATCTGACACTGCACGAATTTTTCTTTCTGTTCTCCCATTTTGCATAGCTGTTTTGCCCTTCATTTACATTCGCATTGTTGTTTTATATTGTTATGACCAAAAAAATCCCGCGGTTTGTCAAATCCCGCGACCTCGTATGCAGTTGTGCATTCGACATCGTGTATTTATACCCCACATAGCCCTCCTTTCATTCATCACTTGCATTTGCAGTGTACGATCCCAGCGTTGATTCGTTGGGATCTTATTTCAATTCACCCATTGTTGTTTGACACCAAATGTTTTTTTTTTTTTTTCCCCTTGAATTTTGTTGGGCAGTTGTTGTTTTTTTTTTAAGATATACTTTACCCCCCAGACATTTCGGGGCTTGAGAACAGAACCAGGCTGTTCCATTGTTTTAGAATGAGCTGTTTCAGAGAACTACGAAATAGTCCAAAATATCAAAGACATTTTCGTCGCAAAAGTCATATCAACATTTATCACATTCATAAACTCTAGTACCTGTGATCGGCAAAAAAAGAAGCCCTCCGGAGCTGGTTCTTTTCTCCCCGAAACCCCGAATTTTTGCGGGGCGCACTTTTTTGGCTGGCCGATCCAACAGCGAACAAACATCTTTTGCTTCTTCTCCCTCCGACCACATTTCTTTCCACTTCCTTTTCCATTCTCCATTCAAAGATCTTCTTTCGCTCATTCCAAGGAATGGAATAATTCACTACCCCTCTTCCCACCCCTCAACCCCACCAATTCATGGCCAATTGAACCGATTTATACCTTATCCTCGCCGTTCTCGTCCGATAGCGGAGCCCCCCCGGCTAACGTCACGCATTTCTTTTGGCCTCGTGTGCTTGCGCGCCTAGGGAACACCTTCCACAGAATTGAGGGGGTTGTATATAACAGAATTTCACTCGCATTGTCGCAATTGGCTACAGCTACACCGACCATTATGGCGGGACAACCAGCACAACAAACCGCAGCGGGAAGCGGGAATAATGCACCGGCGCCGGCGACGGCCTCGAAGGGTAACTACAAGGCGTTCGTCGCGGGGGTTTTCTCGGGAGTTGCGAAGCTGAGTGGTAAGTTTTCTATGCTTATGAGGGAAAGAATGAATGGTCGTGCTAACGAATTGGTTAATTTTAGTTGGACATCCGTATGTATACCCGTCGATTCTTTGCGCCGAAATGAATGCATGAAGTAACAATTGCGGAATAGATTTGATACAATCAAGGTTCGCCTACAGACAAGTAAAGATGGACATTTCAAGGGTCCCTTGGATTGTGTGCTACAAACCGTCCGGAAGGAAGGTGTGCGTGGACTATACAAGGGAGCTACTCCTCCGCTGGTCGGATGGATGATGATGGATTCTGTGTGAGTACCTAGTTGGTTTATTGACCGGAGATTATTTGTGGCTAATTAGTGTAGTATGCTTGGTTCCCTAACCTTTTATCGACGAGTACTACTCGAAAATGTCTTTTCGAAACCGGACCTTCGTCGTTTGATCCCGTTTACCGGCGGTCGTCAGTCAGATTTAAATACGTTGCCTAGTGTTGGACATGGAATTGCGGGTATCATGGCTGGTACGACGGTTAGCTTTATCGCGGCTCCTGTGGAGCATGTCAAGGCACGATTGCAGATTCAATATGCGGCGGATAAATCGAAGCGCTTGTATAGCGGGCCGATTGATTGCATCAGCAAGATAGTGAGTATTCAAATGCTCGATATCAGTCCTGCAGTGGTTAACCCTTGCAGCTCCGCACACATGGCTTGACTGGCCTATACCGTGGACTCTGTGCCACGATCCTCTTCCGCTCTTTCTTCTTCTGCTGGTGGGGTTCCTACGATGTCCTGACTCGACAGATGAAAGAGCGCACGAACATGTCGCTTCCTGCCATCAACTTCTGGGCTGGTGGAATATCCGCGCAGGTATTCTGGATCACGTCTTATCCATCCGACGTGATCAAGCAGCGTCTTATGACCGACCCGATGGGCGGTGCATTGGGCGACGGTGAGAGGAAGTTCCGCTGGTGGAAGGACGCGGCGGTTGCTGTTGGTCGCGAGAGAGGATGGAAGGGATACTGGCGAGGCTTTGTGCCTTGTTTCTTGAGAGCATTCCCGGCGAATGCGATGGCATTGGTTGCCTTTGAAGGTGTGATGCGGACGCTGCCATAATGAATTCAGCAAGCATTATACACCAAAAAGTGAGGACATTGTCGATAGAATAGATTGTATATAGAAACCACCATGACCTAGATGAAAATATACCAGATCGAGCCACAATTCGAATTGTCTACTCCGTCGATAAGCCCACTGCGACTTAACCAGACGGTGAGTGTCTCCTGCGATATTCCGCTTTCGGCCGTTGTAAGGCCAAATAACCCCAATGCAGATGGACCATCTTCAGGAACTAGACCATCAACTCGAATCTTTTCTGAGAGCAGAGGCAATATTTCTGAAACCTTAGGAACCGCTGAAGAAAGTGGGGTGTTGAAAGATTGTGCAGACCCTGTCGATCGTCCTCTTGGGCCCGTGTGTCTTTTTTCGGCCAACACTCCGAGAAACTTTTGTCAACTCGCCATCATCACCATCTCCTCTGCTCGACCAGGAGAGAGAATCACCAACAGGGGAACACACGGTTCTCGTGCGCTATGTCTGGTCGCCAGTCCATGATTCATCTTGCATTCATCGCTGGCTAACGAGAAGAACGAACCAGTGTCTCCTCCGCCGGTCCAGACCACTTGGCCCCTCGAGCGTTTCGGGGAAACAGCTTCACACCAGACACACCACCACCGCTTCAATCCTCTTCGACTCCTTTGACGGCCACAATGGCCGTCGCACGCACCATGCGACGCACAAGTCCCATCACATTCGTCTTGGCCGCTCTCCTGGCGTTTGGATTCCTCACCTTCCTCCTCTCGCCCTCTTCCTCTGCTCCCTCCTCCGCCTCCGCCGTCTCCTCTCAACAACGACAAGAAGACGCTGCCGAACACCCTCTCTCTCCTCCGACGAAACCCTTCCTCAAGTCCCAGCCCGTCCGCGGTAATGGCCAAAAAGCCCCTCCGCCCGTCGTCCACTACAACCTGAACAGCCTCACCAGTACCAGCGACTCGGTGGCCAACGGCGAACGTGTGCTCATCCTTACACCGCTGGCCCGTTTCTTCCAGGGATACTGGGATAATGTGGTTAAGCTGAGCTACCCCCACGAGCTCATCTCGATCGGGTTCATCGTGCCCAGGACGAAGGAAGGAAATGCAGCCGTCGCCGCGTTGGAAGACGCCATCGGAAAGACACAGTCCGGGCCTATCGACAACCGGTTCGCCAGTATCAGTATCCTCCGCCAGGACTTCGACCCGCCCATCCAATCGCAGAATGAAAAGGAGCGACACAAAATGTCGAATCAGAAGGATCGTCGCGAGTCGATGAGTCGCGCTCGCAATAGTCTCGTCTTCACCACCCTCGGCCCTAGTACCTCCTGGGTCCTCTGGCTGGACGGCGATATCATCGAGACCCCGCCTACTTTGATCCAGGATCTCACCAGCCACGATCAACCCGTTATTGTCCCCAACTGCTACCAGCGGTACTACAACTCTGACACCAAGAAGATGGACGTCCGTCCGTACGATTACAACTCGTGGATTGATAGCGAGACCGCCCAGGCCCTGGCAGACCTCATGACCCCTGACGAGATCCTGCTCGAGGGGTACAACGAGATGCCCACATATCGGTCCTTGATGGCCTACATGGCCAATCTGGAAGCGCCCGAGCCCAAGCGGAGAATTCCCCTTGACGGTGTGGGTGGAACGGCCTTGATGGTCAAGGCAGAAGTCCACCGTGACGGTGCCATGTTCCCTGCTTTCCCTTTCTACCATTTGGTTGAAACGGAGGGTTTCGCTAGGATGGCACGACGGCTGGGATATTCGGTGTCTGGATTACCGGATTATTTTGTGAGTACCTATCTATCTTCCCAACGTCCCTTCTGAACAGGAGCTTATAGTTTTTGAAAGGTGTATCACTATAACGAATGATCAATTCAGAAATTTATCAGAAATATGTTCACTTAAATTGTTCCATTAGACCTGTCGTTTTTATTTTGCTAGTTTTCAAACCACACATTATCAACCCTGCTTCGTCTCTCTATTTCTAATGGAAATGGACAAGGATGCGAATCATCTCTTTCTCAGTTAGACTCTAGTCTTTCCAGCACAACTAGGCTACTTGTTTGTTTTACGTGGCCTATTGGCTTTGGCGTTTGGTTGGGGTTTTTGTTTATATTGGATATTGTATCTGATAGACTATTAGTCGGGGGTTTTTATCTATCGATGTATTGAATGAAGATTGAGACGCATCGAGATATCAAAGATTTATAATAGTACGTTGGAGATCGTTTGGAGTACATTCTGATATTAGAAACTATTAATATGAGTTTCAATCTTTTTTTCAACTCAATTAAATGCTCTTCAAACACTTTTCCAGGCTACATATATACGGAGATGTCAGGTCATATTCCAAGTCAGGATATATTTAATCCCAGGAGATTCTGAATCCAGGTTAGTGAATGTATCAGCAACGGACGGAGAATACTTACGCAAGCATGATACCCGCGCCCACGGCCACGGCCAGAAACTGAATGATGGTATGCTTAATCTCAGCCTTCTTATCCTTGCCGGTTTCCAGCAGCTCCGGAATCACCGAGACTGTCCCGACATACAGGAACGTTCCCGCGGTGAAGGGAAGCAGCATATCACCCCAAGTCAGACTTGTACCCATCAGACCAGCTGGTGAATCCTTGGCAAGGGAGTCCTTACTACCGGATCCACCGAGTTCCTGCACGGCAATGCCGATGAGGGTACCCAGGAAAGCGCCGATGGCGGTGACGAACTGTGCACCCATTGCCTTGCGCTTTGAGAAGCCGGATTGGATCAAGAGGGCAAAGTCGCCGACTTCGTGGGGGATTTCATGGAAAAAGACAGCAACGGTGGTGGTTGCGCCGATGGTGGGGGAGGCGTAAAAGGAAGACGACATGGCGAGGCCATCAGTAATGTTGTGAGTGAAGTCTGCGATGAGGTTGAGGTAACCGCCCAGCTTGACACTGGGGTTGATCTCCTTTTCGTTCTTGGGTTCAGAAGCAGATTCTTCCTGCGAGTCGGCCGCGGACTTGCGCTGCTTCAATTCGCTGCCGTTCGTGTTCTTGGACTCCGAACCGGTTGTCACGGCGTGGTCTCCTGAATCCGCGTGTGCATGGTTCCCATGGGAATGATCATGGCCTCCTTCGCCGCCTGTAGCAATACGCAGGGTTTTGTCCATGGCCACGAAAGTGAAAAAGCCTACCATAATACCAAGACCCAAAAGAAGGTTCCTGTTGGGCTCGACCATGACAAAGCTCACATGCTCCGGGGAATCCTCCCCAAGGAAGATTTCGGGTAAAAGATGGAACAAGGTATCACCCAGAAGTCCACCGACGGCAAAAGCCACCATGACGGACAGGGACGATGGATCGATGTTGGGAGGGCATAATGCCAAGAGGAAGTCTGGTTACAATTAATACAGGTTCTAAGAAGCCACGATATTGGGCAGCATACTAGGAGGCCCCGAGATATACACAGTGGCCAAAATTGCGTTCACTGCAGGACTTCCAGGGAACAGAATTGCGAAAATTCTAGAGGTCAGGCTGGCAGTTTGGGGGCTGGTAGCACGCTTATGCTCATTGAGAGATTCCACAAGAGGGCATTTCTAATTGATGTCAACATAAGTAATTATTTGAATAGATTGTATTCACAAAAATCAAATTCCAAACGAGGCAGATTTGAGAGCTATCATCAAATATGGGTATTTTACCTGCAGTTGTTCCTCGATCTGGTGTACAGACAGTTCGCTGACGGGGATGTCGCTAGAGCTATCAGAGCTGACAATGTTTGCAGCTGCTAGAATAGAGAAAAGAACAAGGCCAAGAATAAGGGCCAGCGCAGTCCTGCGCGACGCAGGGAAGAATATCAACGCCATTGCAGCAAGCATGCAAGCAGGACGAGAAACAACGGCAAGACGAGGGGAAGATAAATAGAGGGAGCTGCGTTTCTATCAGCCGGTGTCGGGGAGAGGAGAATCGGTGCAAACACGCCAAGGCTGGCAGTGCAAACACCCAAAAGTTTCCGTTGGAGAAATCGATAAGAGATATTTTATTTCCTCATCAACCACCGCCTCATCTCCCCTCATTCCAATTCAGTATCAAAATGGGTCGCATCTTGCAGAAGAAGAAGCTCAGATCTGGCTTGACGCCAAACAGGCCGAAGAAGAACCTCAAGCGAAAGGATGGTCATAAGAAGGTCAATGTGCTGGGCAACGCCATTATCGCAGAAAATTGGTACGACTTCCGCCGCCTGTCGAAAAAAGAAATGAAAAATTGCAAGCACAGCATACTGATCGCAACTATACTACAGGGACAGAAAGTTGACTCTCACTCAAAACTATCGTCGCTTGGGCTTGGTCCATCGTTTAAATGCGCCCACCGGTGGTAGTGAAAAGCGCCCAACCAAAACCGGTGTCGAAGTGCAACCAAAAGATTCCCTTCACATTAGAGGCAGCGGAACTGCCGACGCCCAGGAATTCGCACTTGGAGAGACAAAGGTCGAACGTGATCCGGAAACTGGAAAGATTATCCGTGTGGTTCGTGACGAGGACAACATCGAAGTCGCTGGTCGCACAATCAGCCGTGCAAACCCATTAAACGACCCGTTGAACGATTTGTCCGATGGCGAGAGCCGTGCTCAACCGCAGAAAAAGAACAAGAACAGCGACGTTGTACAGAAGCTTGAGATCCAGGCATCGAAGGAAGAGAAATCGGTCAGTCAGAAGAAGCCTCGCCATCAGAGCCAGAGGGAGACGGAATGGATCACACGATTGGTAGAGCGACACGGAGACAACATTGGCGCCATGGTCCGCGACAGAAAGCTCAACCCGATGCAGCAGAGTGAGGGTGATATTAAGCGGAGACTTCGCAAGTGGAGAGCGGCTCAGTGATTGATATTTTGGTGCATTTATAACCGGCGATTTTGGCGTTCTAGATGGGTTTGTCCTTCTATCATAAAAGTGCTCATATCTTCTCTGGGACCGGGTTATGTCTCTTCATCCATACTTTTGCAGGCCTGATTGTACCATGTGGAAGTCATGCAATGGCATCTAATGCATATAAATATACCATTTGACATTTCATTCTGTCCTACAGTGCTGCACTGGTTATGTCTTTCAAGAGCTTTACGAATCTACTCTTGTCAGGTTGGTTGCTTTTTACTTCTGATATCAGCTTTGCCAATCATCCACAAACTTATGTAGGAGTAGAAGGATCTCTGGAACTAGATGCTGGTGAGTTAGACCAATTCCAAGTATCAGAGTGATACAGTATCTGTAATATGGCAGTAGAAGCTCTAGGCTTGGCCGTGTTGCCTGACTTAATACCACTACGCCTAATGAGGAAATTGTGTTGCTATTCAAAGAAGCGAGATTGCGCGCTACGCACAACACTCTGCACGCGACTGTCTTCCTCTTCTCTGTCCCCTCGTCTCTCGTCTCATCTTGCATCTCATCAACCCTGCTCACTTACTGAGCTATCTGTCCTTTCCTATCTACACTGACTTGCTCATTAAAAAGCTCCGCCTCTATCTAGTCCATTGATAGAATATCAAAGCAACGTGATGTTCTTCCAGATTTTCCAGCTCTGGCTTCTCTCCTTCACGCTGGGCCTTTCTAGGGCTCAGATGAAATAGTGGGGTTTCTTCTTTGCGATTTCTAAGATAACATTCAAGACTAATAGTTCCTTGTCTAGCGAACCGGATACCAATTCCCTCTTCTGCTCAAAGCCCGGAGGAAGCTACTGTGCCAGTGCGTCCCTCAAGGGCTCGACTATGATATCCTGTGCCTCGTCCTCTTTCGCACAGATCCGTTCCTGCAATGTCGAGTGCGTATAAGGATTTGATTTCCTTGGATGAGGGGGGTATAACGGCTGACCTCGAGCTTGCAGGCTTGCTAAAATCCTTCCAGGTGGCTACGAGTCAACTGCTGTCTGTTCGTGATTTCTTTCCCGTTTTCTCTCTCTGTGATCTTCTGCCAGATACCTCAGTCTCTAACATGAATTTGAGTCAGGCTACGAATCATCCCCTGACTCCGGCGACGCTGTCTGCGCCTTCAACGGAACTGGATACACTTTGATCGGCTCAAAGATTCATATCCCCGAGACTATTCTCTGCGACACTGCCAGTCCCGAGATTGAGCCTGTCTCCCTCCTGGAGAGATCCATCCCAGAAGATGAGACCAAAAATGGGTCTCCCATGCAGACTGCTACCGGAACCAGCATCCCCCTTTCACAGCTTTCTCCCTCTGCCAGTGCCAATACTGCTATCCCTCCCAAGCCCCTCATTCACAAACATCCTATCTGCTCGAACCCATGGCCATTCACCAAGGCCAGCCCTACCGAAAAAGCCGCTGGTCCTGGACTTCTCGCTCCTATGTTATTCACGGCCACTTCGAACAGCTACGAGACTAGTATTCCCTCGCAGTCGTCGAAGGTGCTCCCGTCAGTCATCGAACAAAATAAATCTGGTGGTATCTATACTCCCATCACAGATGTCGTCACCATCTACAATAACCCCAAGACAACTGTGTACATAACCTCGATTGGGGCCACGCGCACCGTCACCATCTACCCGACATCCGGGATGGATGGTATGAGTAGCCAAACTATTGGCTCATCGCCTTCGGAGACTAGTATTAGTCTTGCCGTCTCGCAGGTGGTAAATCAGTTGGATAAAGTGTCGTTGATGGTAGCCTTCGGTTGGTTTGTGGCGGGGTTTGCGGATGGTGTGTTGATTTGGCTTGCTCGGCAGATCTTGTCTAATGTGTGATTTTCATTTCTATGATCTGTGGTCTTCGTTGGGTTTTCTGTTCTTGAGATTTTGATCTTTTTCCCCTTTGAGTGGGCTTGGGAAATACTGTTGGGAGTACCTGGGATATGTACAGTGTAAAGTTTAGTTTTGCGGTTTGTCTTGAGGCACAGAAAGAAATGTTTTTCAATAAGAAATATCCATATCGGATAAGCAAAAACCATGTCATTTCGTTCAGTGGCTACATATTCTCATGATGATTCGTTCACGTATCCCTGCTGAGACACACGACCGTGGTCCAACACAATGTAATATTCCGCATCCTTGATGGCCTCTAGCCGGTGGGCAATGGTGATCACTGTAGATTCCCTCATTTCCTCCCTGATGATTTGCTGTATCTCAAGTGACGTCTCATGGTCAATCGAGGCAGTCGCTTCGTCCAGGATAACAATTGGACTCCGACGGAGAACTGCTCGCGTAAGGCCAATGAGTTGCCGTTGTCCTTGGCTGAGGTTACGGCCGCCAGCTTCGATGTGCGTTTCTAGATTCCAGCCATGTCGACTGCAGATACGATCCAGTACGTCGGAACACTCTTCTTCGGAATATTCCTCAGTTGGGTCGAGATTCAAACGGATACTTCCAGGGAAAAGAACAGGATCCTGGGCAACGAAGGTAACCCGGGTTCGAAGTGCTTGGGTGCTGACTTTCGCAATATCAATGCCATCCACAATGATACGGCCTGATTCTGGTCGGATGACACTCAGAAGTGATACCGCCAATGTGGACTTCCCACTTCCAGTTCGGCCTATGATGGCAGTTGTCGATCCCCCAGGTATCCGAAGAGAGACGTCAGTAAGCGAGGGTTCCAACTGGGGAGCATATCGAATCGTCACATCCTCAAACGTGATGTCTTGGCCAAACCTAGGCCACGATGCTGGAGGTTCTATCGTCCCTGCTGTTTCCTGCTCAATATGGAGCAGCTCGTCTATTCTCTCCACGGAGACAAAGTCCATTTGCAGCTGGCCATATTGCTTGCACAATGCATGCGTAGATGTAACAAAGTTGTTGGCCGCGATCAACGCAAATGCAGCCAGTCCAGGAGAAACATTTGTATACAGGGCCAAGGCAGTCAGACAAAATATAGACAAGCCTGACAGTGTTTCAAAGCGATACATCAGCCAGCTCTGGAGGGACCAATAGAAATGGTCCATTCCCTGGAATTTATCCACAACTTCGATCACCCTGCTTTGGAATCGAGATTCTGCGCGGAAGGCACGAACAGTTGTCAATCCATGCAGCAGTTCACCGAAGTTTGATAAGAGGGGGCTCAATGATACCATCTCCAGTCGCCGCAAGCTTTGCGATGTAGGGAGGAAGTGTAGGAATACGATAACAAATGCCGCAGTAAATACGAGCGAGAAAGCCAGGAAGCTAGGCGTCACAGAAGCAATGACTAGAATAGAAGAGATCCAGGTGATTGCTTGAAAGGCAATCATCTGGAATTGTTCGCTGATATTACCATCAACAACCCCAATATCTGATGTAAGGCGATTCATCAGCCGACCAATTGGAGTCACATCGAAGAATCGGAAAGTAGCATGGCTCACTCGCTCCATCACCTGCCGGAAGAGCGTTTTCCCTGCGCAGTAAACTATAACAACCATCAATATCTGTGCGATTAGAAGGGTGACTGACTGAAAACTAGCAATCACAAAGAATGCTAATATCCAGGGTCGAACATCATCCTGCGGCGAGGGCAACAAATCAATAGGGTTGTTAGGTATCGAAGATGTATCAAAATTGGACGCTTCTGATAGAGCTGGCTGCTTTGTCCATTCGCTTATCAAAGTATTCCCGCTCGAACCAGCGTACTGAAATTTCAAGATGACTTGATTGTATGCCTCTCCCCATTCCTTGAGAAACCAAGATTGCCCAATCGATGTAAGACGATGCACGGTTAGGATCAAAATGAGCACTGCCCACCACCTATATTTCCCAGATTTTATATAATTCCAGTAAACACGCGTTTGTACTCCCCACTCAGCTCGATGTTCTTCTTCAATAAATTTATCTGGAACCGCAGAACTTTCGTCCAAATTTGTTGTGTTTTGAAATTCCGATTCATCGATCTCTGGGTGTGGCTCATGTTCAATTTCGTGAGCTGAAGCGTTGGAAGAAAGTGCGTCTCTGTCATATAAAGTTGCCTGTCCATCGTGGATATCAACCATCTGGGTTGCAAAGCTGCGAACCATCGCAGTACGGTGGGTAACGAGAACGACTGTACGGTCCTGCATCAGAGGGCCAGAAAAGCACTTTCGGACTACAATCTCTGCCGTGTTCTGATCAAGGGCGGATATAGGGTCATCAAGTAATAATATTCTCGCCGCGCTGTACATTGCTCGGGCAAGAGCTACTCGTGCCTTTTGGCCTCCTGAGAGACCAATACCATTCTCGCCCACAAAAGATAGGTCACCGTGTTTGAAATTAGAAAGGTCAGGAAGCAAGGCGCAAGCATCTAAGACTCGCTTGTATCGTTGTTCATCGTAAGGCGATGAGAATAGAATATTATCGCGGATGCTCATGCTTTGGAGCCACGGTGTCTGAGCACAATATCCAATCATTTCATTGGGAATATGGCAAAGACCACTGGTAGTATCAAGTTCACCAAGAAGAGCTTGCAGTAGAGCGGTTTTTCCAGCGCCGACCTTTCCACAGACGACTGTCAGACCTTGTGGAATTGTTAGGCTAATATCGGAAATGACCGGTACCACTATTCCCGGCCAAGCAAACGAGCATGATTCCATTTCAAATGGAGAAGGATCTTGGTGGGATTGGGGTGCCTTGGCTTCTTTATCTGGCTCTGACATAAAGTCTTCAATTCTTTCAACGGCAACAGATGCGTTGATGAGCACGGTTATCAGGCTAGGAATGTCTCGTAGCCGAGTTTCCAGCATGGTAAACAGTTGCAATGCAGGAAATATTATGTCGACACGCAGTGGATGGCCGGCCAAGAGTGTATAGGCATATAGGGCCAATACGGGAAACACTCCACTAGCGAAAGCGTTGATAAATCGAATTAAAATGGTCCACGAGCTGGTGATGATTCGAAGGTTCAGTTCGGATTGCCTAGCCTCCATTACTTGACGGAGCCAATGGTTTTGCCATCCGTACCAGCGAAGATGACGGAGTGCTTCCACAAACTGTGAAGAGATTTGGAGTCTTGCATCTGTCGCAGTTCTCCTTATTCTTTCCCATCCAAGGAGGATACGGGTGATCAATGCATTCACGATCTGAGCAATCAGAACCGCTATAACACCCAGAAAGCATGACGGCCCGAATAGCTTCCAGACGAGGACTACCGCGATTATAAGCCCAATGGGCTTATCGACCAGGGAGTCTACTTCCCAAAATCGCTGAGCCACTTCGTAAACATCCCCTCGCAACAAGTTGAATATTTTTCCCATTGACGCAGCCTCTCTTGGCTTTTCTTTATTTCCTTTATTCGCCATTCTTTTTCGGGGGATGAAACCGAAAAGCCTTTTCCGCTTGGACTTATTTGTCTCCATTTCTGGATTGGCATTATCGTTCATGGCTTCCACTGCTTCATCTCGAGATTCCTCTTTCCCACCATTCACTTGAACACCAAATATGTTCTTCCGTGACAAGGCTTTCTCGTAGACCATCATGATCATCTCGCCCCTACTCCTCTCATAGGAGCGTCTACCATACCAGAGGTTCAAAACTTGACATTGCGCCGCAACAAACCGAAGTAAGAGTGCCAAAAAGGCATATGTCAAGGGAACACGTTTCGGGCGTCTGGGATCGCTCATCGCCTGCAGGAGTTGCTGCAACAAGACTGGCGTTGAAAAGTCTGAAGAATCAATTAGTACAGTCCCCATTTAGGATTTTTCCAGTGTCATACCGCAAAGCATTTGCACTGTTGAAATAAGGATAACAATCGTAACATCGATGCCATTGGCTTGAAGCAATCGCCTGATTACAGATCCCCGAAGCTTCCGAAATTTCTCGTGTAGCCGGTGATGCTGAAACTCAAAACCTAGGAACCACACATCCTCTTCATCAAGTTGTCTCATTCTTCCTAAAGATATCAATGGTGCCATCCAGGACACGCTAAGAAACTGCCAGAGTCGCAAATTGTCCTCTGGGCTGCGAAAATCGCTAGATGGCACCTGGCCGACAGCACCGATTTTCTCGCAAGGGAGGCATGGTTTGCGCATTGGCATAAGAAGAATGGTTAACAAGGCAGCCACAGAAGCGCTTATCGCAACATAGTGACCAACAGCTTTGAACTTCGGACGAATGTCATCATTGATAATAAGGAAAAGCTCTACTACAAACACTGTAATAAAGTAAACAAGCATCAAATTTGGACATGTCCTCGGACGCTTGGCAACAATCACGAGAGCAGTAGCAGCCTAGCAAGCCATTAGTGAGCTTTTCTTGATAAGAATTAATGAGAAACCACTTACCCAAGAAGAGAGAAGGATAATCGAAGTCGGGTTCAGTCCTGGAGAGATCAATTGAACAGCTTCAGCTGCGATTCCAATAATCGATAAGGCAAAAAGGGTAATGATCCAGCCTAGTCGCTGTTTTGTTTTCTCTGGCGGCAACTCAGGGTACGCTGATGGTTCCTCTGAAATAAACTGCTTGGTCCATTCTGGGCGCCATCTATGAAACAGTGGGCCAAGCACGTAGACAATCCCAACTACTAGTATCACTGCAGCTGGAATGATGGCAATATATGGCATGGCACAGGGCAATAGCTGAGCATTGGCCGAGTCCTAGCGAGAGTCAGTGATACCAAGTGGCCTCATTCAAACGTGTGTGCGTACCCATATTGGATAACAAGACTGCGAAGTGCCATCTTGATGACCCAAAGGAATCTGAATGTCTTTACTTGACAAGAGAAGTGGTGGGCTATGAGAAGCCATGATACATTTGGGGTGTTGGTGTTGTTTCGAGCTCGTGGTCGTTCAAGGGTGAAGGCGGCTGAAAGTTAATGCCTGAAGAGCAAGGCAGAAGTACGTAACAAAGACCTCACCTGTTGACGTTGACGCTGATAATACCCAGTATGTCATTTAAGAAATTTAATCTTATTGCATTGGGCTTTTTTAAAAAAAAATATATATATATATATATATCCTATCTTACGCTTGGGAGGTGGCCTTATGTCGTGGGCAAAAGCAGAAATATATATCCAGTGTTTCAGAGCCAGGAGCATTTACTATCCGTTTCACACAAAATTGTACCAATGTTGTTGAGTATTAAAATGGTGCATTTTACTGACCACTTATCATGAGAACTGGACACGGGTAGTTGCAAATAGTGCAATCTATGAGGTGGAATGTCGATTGACAATATCCTGGGCTATGTACATGACTTAAAAGATAGGCGTCTAGGCTTTTCGCTCAGACGCTGGTACACTGACTCGGTGTACGATTCGCACCCATCTTCTCCTTCTCCATTCTCCCATCCCATGCAGTCCTACACTGCGTTCTTCCCAGTCCCGCATGGCAGCCTTTCCCTTCTCTTTCAGTTTATCTTTGGTGCTTGGCTTGGCTGAGTTCTTCGACTCGGAGACAAGATCTCCATAGCCTGATGCGGTTACCTCCTCGTCTTCATCCTGAGATGTCGTGTTAGTGGAGTGATCCCACACCCAACCCCCGACCTCATCGTTGGCCCCGCTGCTTTCAGTGGCGCTACCAGGGATCTCGAACCCGACACCGGTAATCATGCGTTCGACAACCCATTCGCGACAATCTAAATCAAGCTCCCATTTCTTGCTTTTCCAGGCCCAGCCAGAAGGTGCTCGAACATCTTCGAAGAACCGACATCCTCTAGGCCGATCCCCCGCGATTCGGTAAGGTGAAAGTGGATCATATGGCATGGGACTGAAAAGAAAATGGTCCCATTGCGATTCTGCGTATGGTACAAGCGATCGATATTGGAGCTCAAAAATTTCCACCTCACGCTCTTCTGGGAATGAATCCAAGGAAATCTCGGCCAGTGATCCCAAAGTAGACATAGTCGCAGATGGGGTAGATAAAAGGCCTTGTGTGTCCTTAACACTAGGAGGACATGCCAATGATCGATTGGCCATTTCATCAGCGACATCACTCACAAGACTCTGGAAGATTTCGTGGAATCTAGGATGGTTCGATAAGATGGCCGCATTGCCACCCACGAGGAGTATAAGTCTCCATGGGAAAAGGTGAGAGGCGGGGAATAGCAATACGGAAATGATAGTCGATACGAGGAAAGTTGCTGATGAAAGTTTCTCATTTGAAAAGTCTGTCAGTGGAGCAAACATTGATATAGTCGCGTCGTGTAAGTCGGAGAAATCGGCCATGCAGTTCTGTAGATCACGGAGATTCCTAAAGAAATCTTTGGACGTCTCAGATGCGGGCTCAATGGTCTTTGCAGGTGCCAGTGCTGGGCCTTCATAGGAATAATATGGAGTGGTGCTAGATGTTGATGTTGAGGGAGGTGGAGGATGGCGAGCCAGAAAAGCAGGTACCATCACGAAGAGTAGGAATATGGCGATAGGAAGGATAGCAAGAAGATGTGGATCTAGACATATGAATGAATAGACAAAAAGGAAGGAAACGGTATGAGATGGTTTCTTCCAGCTGAGTAGACGCTCAATTTGATTCTGAAATGAAAACACGATTCCAATTCTACATAAGTCTTAGCTATATTCACAAAAATAACGAAGATAGCCATTTCAAAGCTTACCTTGCATTGAAACGACGAAAGTTGTTGGTCATTAGAGGAAGACTGAATGCAGGTCGCTCCTGTGCGGAGATGGGCTTGTCGCCCGCTGATACCGATTCATCATCAGCATCATCTGCGGGGATAACCTGTTGCAGCAGCCTTGACCGCCTCAGTCAGTCTATTTATACCAAAGTGAAGAGTTTAAACAACATACTTGGCAAAGAGCCGGTCCTGTAACGAGTGCCGAGTCACGGATGCTGACCTCTTGCGCTTGGAGTCCAAGTTCTTCAAGTCCTTCTCCAGACTGGCGTTTGATAGGACGGGTATCGGTTCATTTCGGTTGACAAAGGCGTCGGGCGTTGATTCATCCATGATGCTCCCTAGGAAGACCAGTAGCAGGAAGTTGAAGAAAAAGACATGCCTGGAGAGCGGATGGCGAACTGAAGTTAAACTGGTCGGCTGTTCCTGTTGCAAGCACATGCATGAGGGGAAAGCCGAGTGCTGTAAGGGCGTGACCATACATACATAAATTACATACCGCCCCCGAACGGATGAACGTAAGTTTGGTATTGTTTGTGTTGTTTGCAGCTGTTGCTTCACAGCAGATCAGGGGGAAATGGGCGATCTGTAGGTGCTTACAGTAGTACTGTTTAGGTACTAGGCATTTGAGGAATAATACCTTTTTTTTTTCCTTCCTGATATTTGAATAAGAATTTCATCTAATTATTGGCAGAATATCGTGACCAAACATCCCATGCTTGTTTCCCAGATAAGCCCCCCTATTCCTCCCGTTTGCTTTGTTCTTCTTGGGCGGTGGATACTGCTACCTATTTTTTTTTATATGGTAACTTTGCCCAACGCCAAGACCAGTAGAACTGCTGCAGCAGCAACACCGGACAGAGTTTCTCCTTCTCCAAACCACCGTCTGGATCCCGGCCTTGCTAAAATTCCCCTGAGGGGGTTCGTAACGATATCAGCAACGATCTGTTGTTTGAAGATCCGGATACCCTTTCCAGATCTTCCTTTCCATCCTAGAGCAGACACTGCTGTGCTCGAATCCCCGCAATGGACCGGTAACGACCGTTGACGGGTCGCGCGACGGTTGTTGGTCAAGGCTCTTTCTTTTGTTTGGATATTGACAAGCCGTTTTCTCCTGAATGCCATTGCGATCGGATCTCATTCTAGGGTTCCTATCTTTTTTCGATTTCTTTTCTTTGTTTCCATTGGTTTTAGCGATATCCTCTTCTTGAACGTGCCGCCATCACGTCAAGAAATAAGAGTTTGAGGATGTCGGCCAATGCATCTTCCCAGCAGACTCCTGGGAAAGGTCAGTCGCGTAAAGTCCAGTCAAGGGCTTCCAATCTTTCTCGAAACGACGACTCGGGGTCAGGAGGTAAGCTCTCTCTATGTGGAGATGTCTTTCAGCGGGATGCTGCAGTGGACGAAGACTAATGAATTTCTATCTTCACAGCGGAGGCCCCCGCCCGCAGACGATTGCAAAAACCTGCCTCGGCGATCAATCTACATACAGAAGCCTACTCCCATTCCCCTAGAAGCGCGGCTGCGTCGCGGCTTCACTCCGTGAGCAAGAGACGGTTATCAATTCGAGACCAGAAAGTGCCCCAGGGTCCGCGACCGCAGGAACCCTCACGAAGAAGGTATACTGGCTAGCCACCTGGATTTTCTTTTACTCTCATATTCCTCGCGTCCTGCGCTCTACCCTGCTGGCTTTTCTCTTTGATCCTAATTTGTGCTCTTTTGTTTATAGTAACCAACCTGGCTCTTTTCTTCATTCCGGGAATTCGTCAATCGACTCCACGAACGACTCAACCCACAGTAACAACTCCCGTGTCAGCCTTCGATCTACAAGTATGGGCAACCTCTCGAAAGTCGAGCAAAATCAAACTCCACCAGAGAATGTAGATTTTCTCGCGCCGATCAATTTCGATGACTTTCACAATAGCATCATGGGCGAGCCAAATTTGAGCCATTTCCCCATGCCCGGTCAAGGAGGGCCCGGGCCAGAAAACGAAGCATCCGGGTTCCAGCCTACGAATCCATGGGCAAATAGAAATGACGAGAATAATGCACCTGGGCGCGCCAAGCGTGACTCTGTGCGGCGAAAGAGTGAAGTTCCTCGATTGGCAGGTCAAAATACAACAGATTCAGCAGGTTCTCGCCCTGCGGGTGGTTTTACGGCTGCTCGAGCTCGCCGTCAAAGTCTTACCCAGAACCCTAATGGGAATGTTTCACGGGCACCACGGAAATCTATAGGGCCGGGTTCTTTACCGTCAACTGTTACTGCTCGGCGACCGAGTCTCTCAGCCAGAAAAGCTAGTGCTGATACGACCCGAAATGAGCAAGCTAACAATCTTCTCCGTCCACGAGTGCAAAACGTGGACACGAATAATGCAGACGAGAACAAGATGCCTTCCAATCTCCGAAATCTCAAAGCCAAATCGCTTCAACCCCCATCCCGTGAACCTCGTGATAATTACCTGACCACGGCTGGGGTGACCGATCACTCCCGGTCCTCCTCTACAAATGCAGTTCGGACGCCTGTTAAGAACCCATCGGTGGAGATGACAACTCCATCCTCGTCCTCTAGAAGAATATCGGTCATGCCGCCGCATGCAACGGGCTTGGGAGCTCGCACCATAAGTCCTACAGATGCGCGGCGGATGAAGCGAATGTCTACAGTACCCCAACCTCCTATGCCCTATACTCCTCCTACTCAAACCGACCCTGTTCCCACCCGTCCGCGATCATGCGCTCCATCACCTTCCTATATACCGCGAAAAAGCGTCACTCCTTCATCAAACCGAACCACGCCTGATCCCAACCGGAAATCCTACAGCTCTGGTCTCTCGTTGTCATCTGGGACAAGTTATAACTCTGCAAGAAACTCCGGTGGCTCACTCCAAACAAGGTTGTCCCAGAATCAGTCCTCATCACGGCTTCCCACCCCCAAGCCTCGGACGGAACAACCTACAGCAGCCGATGAGGAGGAGGTTCCACCAGTGCCTGCAATCCCTAAAGCCTACGAGTCTCCCAAGGGCGAACTCGATCAACCTACTTATCCGGTCTCGACCAAGCCAACATTGCCGGTGGATGGTGGTCTCTTCAAGTCTAAGCGTGAATCAGACTCGGATGCATATACAGCCTCTAGTGCAACTGGTAACGTTACCCCGGATGTCTCCAGTCGACGAGCAACGAAGACTCCTGAAGCGAAGTCAAAGACAACGGCCGGTCCTGTGAAGAAAAATTTGCAGCCGTTGAAGCTGCCGCCCTTGAACCTGCTGCCCCTCGGCACGCCGATGACGAACAAGATTGAGGCACTGAAGGATCAAAAGGACGACAACAAGACCACTACCCCCTCGAAGAACATTGTTTCCAAGACACCTAGTACCCCGATGACTGCATCCAAAGCAAACTTTTTCTTTACCCATGATGATGACGAACCAGTGCCATTGCCCCAGGCGAGAAGCAGCACGTCGCATTTCGCACTGAGTTCAACCTCGACTGCTGGTCTCAGAGCGGCCAGTAGCTCTAGCGCTCTCGCATCATTTGACAACACACCAAGCGGTACTAGAACGATGTCTCCCTACGTTTCTTACACACTGCCGAAGAGCAACAGCGAGTTCAATTACCTTGGCCAGAAAACTAGTGCCGATCACTCCAACAGAGCATCGCAATCGTACAAGTTAACCGGCCCTCGTCCTCAGACTCAGTCGTCTGCTTTCTCCACTGCTGAAACGATTAGCCAGATGTCAACTCCGTCGGACCCTGACAACAACAGTGTCTCCGGTTCATCTCTCCGGAGTAAGCTTGCATTGACTAGAAAGCGCAGCAATTCCAAACCCCAGCAATTACAGGACGCAAACACTGACCCTCCGAAATATGATAAAATGCCACCACCCAAGATCCCAGCCTCAGCAACGTGGAACTCCTTCACAACGATAAACTCTTCGAGTTCTAGTCTTAAGCCCGGGCTCCTTAAGTCTAGGCGGCAGTCGTCTATATCTAGCGCTAACACCGCGGCGATGAGAAAGCCTAGCTTCAGTAGCGAGCAAAGTCTTGCTTTAGAACCGAGCCCATCAAACGACTCCGAAAAAAGTGAAATCTCACAAAATCGTCCTACTTCGTCATCAATTCTCTCCCCCGTCCACAAAATCATCAGCTCCGCTAAGTCAAGCGCGGCGGCAAACCCGCGTTCGCTTGACTCCAATTCCGACCCAGACGCTATTGTTGGCGACGAAGAGATGAGGAGACTTGGTAGCAAACGGAAAGATTTTGAGAGCGCCGCTAGGAGCTTGGATGAACTACGTCGTAAGGCCGGACCAAAGGACCGTGTCAGTCCGGCACAAGCGTTACGGATGGCCAATCTCAACATATTCGAGCGTGGAGAGATCATTGACTTCAAGGACATCTATTTCTGCGGCACTCAAAATGCGAAGAAACATGTCGGTGATCTCCATGCGCAGGCGGCAAACTTTGGTTACGATGATGATCGTGGTGACTACAATATTGTCGTTGGAGATCATCTAGCGTATCGATATGAAGTTGTTGACGTACTTGGTAAGGGAAGTTTTGGTCAGGTCGTCAGATGTGTCGATCACAAAACAGGCGGTCTTGTGGCAGTCAAAATTATCCGGAACAAAAAGCGGTTCCATCAACAGGCTTTGATTGAAGTGAATCTTCTCCAAAAGCTGAAGGAATGGGATCCTCATCGATGTCACAGCGTGGTGAACTTCACGCAAAGCTTTTATTTCAGAGGCCATCTCTGCATTTCGACTGAATTGCTTGGGATGAATCTTTATGAGTTCATCAAAGCACATGATTTCAAAGGCTTTTCCCTGAAGCTCATTCGTCGGTTTACCAAGCAGATGCTCAGTACATTGATCTTGCTGCAAACAAAGAAGGTGATCCACTGCGACTTGAAACCGGAAAATATTCTTCTTGTCCATCCAATGAGCTCCGAGATCAGGGTTATCGATTTTGGCTCCAGTTGTTTCGAGAATGAGAAGGTGTATACGTACATCCAAAGTCGTTTCTACAGATCTCCAGAGGTCATCCTGGGAATGTCGTACGGTATGCCTATTGACATGTGGAGTGTGGGATGTATCTTGGCCGAGCTTTACACTGGCTACCCGATCTTCCCTGGTGAGAACGAACAAGAGCAGCTTGCTTGCATCATGGAAGTGTTTGGTCCTCCAGAGAAGCATTTGATCGAAAAGAGCACTCGGAAGAAGCTATTCTTCGATTCTCTGGGAAAGCCCAGGTTAACTGTCTCCTCCAAGGGCCGACGCCGCCGGCCAAGCTCCAAAGATCTCAAGCAGGTTCTGAGATGTGATGATGAGGCTTTCCTTGATTTCCTTGCACGTTGCCTTCGGTGGGACCCAACGCGTCGTATAAGCCCCAACGAGGCACTGAGACACGAATTCATCACTGGAGTCAAAATGCCCGTTCGGTCAAGAACGTACACGGCTGCCACAAGCTCACCAAACAAGCGAGTGAATACACTTTCCACCCCATCACGACCCCTGCCAGAGCCACCTGGCACAAGTCTCAAGAACGGTAATTTCGTTCGCAGCCGAGATGTCTCTGGCAACTCCCCCGTCAAGGCTTCCATGGGAAAACGCGCTGTGAGCGGTGTCCAGCCATCGACGCCCGGCAAGCGAGGAGTTACCAACCCTTCCGTGCCTGGATCGGGATTGCCCCGGGTTGCGACGAGGAGCATCAGTGGAAAGCCTGACCTCGCAACTGCCGCGGCAGCGACGAGCTTGGTGGGTGATACCGTGACTCTGCAAAAGAATGGAGCATAAGACAGCTGACCATTTTTGCAGAGGACCAAATAAGTTGGGCTACATGAACCATCGTCTCCCTTTCTCTTCTCCCTTCTTTATTTATTGTAATAATAATTTTGTTTTGACTGTCATTAAATTGCATACACAGGTCGGAAATGTCTGCGGTTTTTTGCTTCCCCATCATGATTGAATTGAACTGGTTTAAACTGAAGAGGTGGACGAGGCGGAAGTGTTCATCTTATACCCTTGCTTGAACATCTGCATGCTTTGTCCTTATGACTATTTTCTTTTTTTCTGCAGGCTATGTGTCTGTGATACTTTTTACGACCTTGAGAGCTTTGTTGAAACCATCTTGCATGTACCTGCGCCCTTCTTTTCATCTTATGTTATTTTCTTGTTTTCTTTCCCCTTCATCCTTTGATGTCCTGAGACTCAGTGCATCGAGGCAGGCCATTTATAAAACTTTTGTACATTCATATCCCCTATTTTTATCTTTTTTCTGAACATGTTGCTTTGCGATTGAGGGTGTTGGAGAAGACGGGGTTTACGTTATGAATCAGATCATCTTATACGAATTTTTTGCTTCAAGAATAAAGCTGCTGTGATATCTGGCACTATTGCTCTGCGATAGATGGAATGTCATGGATCATAGAGATGCATCTCATTATTGAGGATGATGTTGAATTAGCTGACGCGTCTGTTTTACTTTGCAAATATAGCCATTGAGTAGTAATTGAGAGTTGTCCTGGACAATCAAAATATCTGAAATATTCATGATAGTCAACAACAATGCTCTATTTGAAAAAAATTGAAGCCATCTGTGTCTAATAATATCCATTGCTGGTGATAAACGCGATAAGATCCGAGGTGCGGAGTCCGTTCTGGAATACCTGGCCTCTTATTGTTTCCGACGGCCATCCCTCCTCCCCTTCGCTGCAGAGCCTTTTGCTCCATTGACACTCGTTCCATCTGCCTGTTAATTGACTTTCCTTTTCTTTGAGGTATTTCTGCAATTTATTCATGCCTTAATCTGTTCCCCAACACTCACTCTGTGGGACTGATTCGTGATGAATGGGTTCACATCGCACGACCTCGATGAGGATGCCTTTGGGGAAAAGTCCGGACTGCAGGGCGGTTTGAAGACTTTCGATGCTTTCCGTATGTTTAACTTGCTCTCTCTGGCTATTATGGACGATCCCTTGTTGCGATTGGATTGGGGTGTTTTGGAAACAGATGACTGACTATCGCACACCGGATTCCAGCGAAAACAAAGGCTTCCTATACCTCGCCATCTCGTAGCGGAGGACAATGGACCGTCCTCATCCTGACTATCTGCACCTTCTTCTCCTTTTCGGAATTTCGCACCTGGCTTAAAGGCTCGGAAAGCCACCACTTCAGCGTCGAAAAGGGCGTCTCCCATGAACTCCAACTCAACCTCGACATGGTCGTCCAAATGCCCTGTGAAGCGCTGCGCGTGAATATCCAGGATGCCTCGGGCGACCGCATTCTAGCCGGCGACCTGCTGACCAAGGAAGACACGAGCTGGAAGCTGTGGATGGATAAGCGCAACTATGGCACCCATGAATACCAGACGCTGAACCAGGAGGATACCGGTCGTTTGTCGGAGCAGGAGCAGGACGCGCATGTTCACCACGTGCTTGGTGAAGTTCGCCGGAACCCGAAGAAGAAGTTCCCTCGTGGGCCTAGGCTGAGGTGGAGCGATACCAAGGATTCCTGTAGAATTTATGGTAGTCTGGAGGGCAACAAGGTCCAGGGAGACTTCCATATCACGGCGAGAGGACATGGATATCATGAGTTTGCGCCTCATCTCGATCATGGTGGTATGCTTATTCAAACTCCCCTTCGTTTCATCTGGATAGATCAACCAACTAACATTATACAAAAACAGCCTTCAACTTCACCCACATGATCACCGAGCTCTCTTTCGGCCCTCACTATCCCACCATCCTCAACCCTCTCGACAAAACAATCGCTACCACCGAAGACCACTACTACAAATACCAATACTTCCTCTCGGTCGTGCCGACCATCTACTCCCGCGGTAGCCACGCTCTGGACACCTACTCCAGCTCACCCCCCTCGCTGCACAACAACCCCAACAAGAAGAACCTCATCTTCACGAACCAGTACGCCGCCACCAGCCAATCGGACGCCCTCCCCGAGAGCCCGTACTTGATCCCCGGTATCTTCTTCAAGTATAATATCGAGCCGATTCTGCTGCTCATCAGCGCAGAGCGGGGCAGTTTCTTGTCGTTGCTCATTCGTCTCGTTAATACCGTGTCTGGTGTTTTGGTGACTGGTGGTTGGCTTTATCAGATTGGGAACTGGGGTGTTGAGCTTGTGAATCGGAGGAGACGAGGTGGAAAGTCGGAGGGTGTTCTCAATGGCAGACATTATGCAGATGAATGAATATAAATTTTGATGTTTTTTGTTATTTTAGATATTGTCTTTATATCCACCTATATACTATTCGGTATTGAATCATGCCTACTCCAAGAAAATAGTAACAGTAAAGTTCATCATATAGATATCTAATCCTACAAATACGACTATAAAACTCTCCAGGATATCCGCACACGCCTTTCATACTCCGTCCGCCATGCCTGCAACCCAGTTTCCCTCCATAATGGGCTGACGAAGAAGACAAAAGAAAAGAAGGGAATTGGCTGGTTTGGGCGCTCAAACCTCGAAGATTTCGCCCATACCCACACCAGCTCCTTCAGCGCCAGCTCGGCTGTCAACCAAATCCAATCGCCAGCCATTCCAATCCTTGAGCTTCCGCTTGATTTCTCGGACCCATTCGACGCGCTTCCGAGCTTCTTCTTCCGCCTGTGCGCGGGCAAATTCTGCCTCGTCGAACTCGTCATCGAGGTTCTCTTCCGAGAGTAGCTCCAGACTACCCCGGGTAGCAGGTGGATGTTGTTGGTTCGACGATGCACGGCCACGACCAGCATTGCCACCAGTGAACGCGGCAAATCCGCTGGATAGTACAGTCGAAAAGGACGAGTGTTGTTGCTGGGCCAGACTGCGTCGTCGAGAGTGGTCACCAGTACCACCGACCAGATCAACGTCGTCAAATGCGTTAGCAGCCGGGTTGGCGGCATCTGGGGAGTTGACACCATTGTTATCACCGGAAAGCTCGTGTCGCTTCTCCTGCCACACCCCACGGCGGAGATCAAAGTTCTCACCCTCAAGTTCGCGAATCCGACGCTCAAGTCGAGATCGCTCTTCGTCCTCGAGTTCATCTAGGCCTTCATCGTCCGCGCCGGTCGCGTCGCGCTTGCTAACCCGGTCTCGCTCTTCCTTGAGTCGAAGGTTCTCATTTTCCAGGTTTGCTAGTCTCTTGCGGAGGACTGCAGCTTCTTTCTCTGTCTTTTCGCTTTCCCGGAGTCGGGCCTGGTGGCGTGACTCGGATTCTTTGTGTAGATTTCCTAGTGCCTGGAGCTTCTTCTCTAGTGTATCAGTTTTCTTCTCAGACTCGGTCTTTCCTTCCTTCAGCTCTTCAACCTCCCGCTTCAGGTTATTGATCAAAGTCTCTGTAGAGGTCTTATCCACGCCTTCCTTGACTGCTTTCTCAGAGGCTCGTGTCAGTGCATTCTTGCTATCTGACAGTTCCTGTTGAGACTTCTCAAGAGCTGCTTCACTGTTGGAAAGCTTCTCCTCAAGAGCTGCTATCTGTGACTCATGAGCACTGCTCGATGTGGACTGGGAGGAGAGCTGGGCGCGTAGGTCGGAGATCTCCAGTTCCATAGACTCAATGGTGGCAGCCTTAGATTCCAATTGCTGTACAAGATCTGCGGGTGGCGATTCTGATGGGCCTGTGTTGCGATGTGACCGTGTTTGCAGGTGTGAATTCTGTCGTTGAAGGGAAGCAATTTCGTCTTTCTGTATCGAACTGTTAGTAGATGATCTCGCTCCGTAAGAGGTGGTCTGAGCTCACCAATGCATCTATATCCGCTGCCTTTTGCTCTGCCTTTTCCAGCTTATCCTTCAATTCGGCAATGTCAACACTGGCCTCCCGGAGGTCCTCTAGTTGATCCTCCGTCTTCTTCCACCTTCCAGTTCCTTCCTCCAGCTCCTTCTCCAGTCGTTTATTATCCTTTTCCAGCTCTTCAATCCGCGTCGATTGTTTACGGTACACTTCCTGGACGGAATCGCCATCGGCCGTCAAGGGAGGTAGCGAGGGCGACTTGAGTGCTGCAGCAGGTGACGGGGAAACGCTCCCCTGGGAAACGGAACTTTTGCGGAACGAAGATGACCGCATCTTGGACTGGATCGAGAGGGACGGTTGTCGACCATGGCCGGCGCGCGGGGTAGCGTCTAATTTGGCCGGCTGAGCGTCAACGTCGGATCCTGGAGAGGTTGGAGCTTCGGGCATGGGCTCGGACGGTGATTCTGCTTGCTGCTCGGGCTCATGTTGAGACTCGGGCTCTTCCGACTTCTCCCTTCCTGCTGACTCGGGTTCATCTTGTTTCTCTGCTACCGGAGTCTCTTCCGCGGGGGTGGCGGCTTCGCTAGGGGTCCCTGCATCTTTTGGTGATTCAGACTCCTTTAGTGTGTCGGTACCCGCGGTACTCTTTTTGTTGGCCTTTTTCTTTTGTTTCTGGAGTTGCGCTACCTATTATTTCGAAGAGGGGCTGGTCAGCAATCATCTCCGCATGGTGGACTGCGCGGGAGAAACAAAAGAATACATACTCTCTTTTTGGCGGCGGCAAGCTTCTCAGCCTTGACGCGCTCCTCGTCGTCGGCCATGATTGCGTGTTTCAGATGGGATGAGGGGGGTGAGATGGTGCTTTACAAGTGAAGGTATACGGAGCACAGGACAGCTTTCCCCGAACTGACGGCGGTGCACGGACCACGTGTCCATCTCCAGTGCTGGCCTGAGTCAGGCCTTTGTTTACGTCGTCCAACCTGGAGATACTTGATCGTGACTCGTACTTGATGAGTGAATGGAGGATGGGATGGTTTTTTTCTGCTCTTACACGATGCTTTACTACTATTTTTCTTTCTCATGGTGAATCTCCGAATCTTGCCACTGAGAAATAGACGGCGATTGCCAGACAGACCATGAAGATCATACAAAAATCACGGTGACCCAACCAAGCAAGGCCCAACAAGTCAAGAATAATTGCCTCATGTACGCATTGTGGAGGACCAGTCAAGGTGACACACGTGGCGGATGGGACTCAGTCTGTACCTAAAAGAGGTATCACATATCACAAAACGCTACCCCTCTGCAACCTGCATGTTCGCAGAATTTGTCGTCGGAAAGAAGAACTGCAGATTTGGTTCACGAACTTCACTTTCCTTCCAGAAGAAATGAGATAAACTTCCATCTATTAACTCCTACCATCCCTGAAACAGAAGCTGTTAATTCCCACTACCTGCACCAGGGCTATTTCTAGACGATCGTCTTTTTGTGGGGATGGCGAGCGAAAATCAGCCCAAAAGCAAGCTCGAGATCGCGCTCTTCCTTGCCGCTAGCAAAGGGTACGATTCGATTGTGCGACTCCTGCTCGGCACCCCCGGCGTGGTTTTGGACTGCAGAGACGAAGATGGCCGCAGTGCACTTTCATGGGCTGCAGAAGAAGGCCATGAGACAATAATCGAGCTCTTGCTCTCAAATGGGGGCGTTGACGTCAACTCGCAAGATACCAAGCTTGGTCAGTCGCCCCTCTGTTGGGCGGCCAAAAATGGGCATGAAGGAGCTGTGACCCGACTCCTGGCAAACAGTGAGGTTGATCCCAACCTTCCAGATTTGGAAGGCCGCACGCCATTATATTGGGCTATCCAAAAGGGGAGCCCAACAGTGGCACTGCTGCTCATGATGAGAGGGGCCGACCCTAATATCAAAGATGCAACTGGCCGAACACCGTTGCTCTGGGCTGCGGAGAATGGTCACGAGGAACCCGTCAAGATGCTCATCGAATCCGGAAAAGTCAGTGTGAACGACACTGACGATGGTGGACGCACACCTCTCTGGTTGGCTGCCCAGAATGGGCATTTCCCAGTAGTGCAATTGCTGGTTCGAAAAGGAGCCAACATGGAAGCACATCCCCCGGCCGATAATGACAGCGAGAAAAAGGTGGCGTGTGGGACTCCGCTATACCTAGCTGGTCGAAAGGGACATGTTGACGTGGTCAAGTACTTGGCTAAGAAGGGGGCGGATATCAACACGCTCTCTGGGGACCTGGGCCTGCCCCTGTTTCTGTCCCTGGTTATGTATGATAGGAGCAAACGGGGGATGAAAATGCTACAGGTTCTGCTTCGTAGAGGGGCCGATGTCAATGTGAAGGACAGCTCTGGCCAGACAAGCTTACATATCGCAGCTAGGGACGGCGAGATGGACCTGACTACTTTCCTCCTGCAAAAGGGTGCGTCGGTAGACGAGTTATCCAATGACGGCATGACACCTCTCCACCAAGCAGTGCGCAACGGGCATGACAGTATAGTAGAGATACTACTGTCCAATGGCGCAGATACCGAAGTGCAAGACGAAGCCGGCGACACTGCCCTACACTTCGCAGCATCCAATGGCTCCAGGAAAATAGTCGATCTGCTCCTGGAAAGTGAGAGGACGGACATTGATGTAACCAACTTCTCCGGAGAAACCCCACTGCACAAGGCTGCCGAAAGAGGTCATCGGAAGATGGTCGACTTTCTGATCCAAGAGGATGCAGACCTTGACATGCAAGACGATTACGGGCGGACTCCTTTGCATCGGTCAATACCAGTCAAAAGCCATGTAACGAGACTGCTGGTCAATAAGGGTGCCGACCTTTCCCTAAAGGACATGTATGGACAGACTGCACTTCACATGGCAGCCAAAGCTGGGTTGAAGAATGATGTGGAGTTCCTACTTAGCCATGGAGCGCCAGCCGATGTAAAAGACAACAATGGGCATATGGCACAAGATCTGGCCGCGATGGAAGGAGAAACGGATATTGAGGAGCTTTTGAAGTTGATGGTAATATCGGATGAATCGTCGGATTGAGAAACTGGGAGAATTTGTATAACTGTCATGGAAAGTATTTCTGTCATGAATAATAGCATGAAACAAAATGGCATTATGTTGCTTCACTTCTACATCACCAGAGCATGATTATATAAGGACTAATTTGAAACTACACTTATATCTCACAATAACAAAACAATCAATTGTTAATATTATAAGTCACAACGAATGGTAATAATCAAAGCAACAACGCCTCCGCCCTTCCGGCATCATTCTCTAGAGCGCCGCGGCTCTAGTCTCGTATGTGCAATGCACCGTCGTCATAAAGCATGTCAAGCAAGAACAATATGAACAAATTAAAACTATGGGCATCGTAATAGGTCCCAACGCCCCCAGTCTCGAAAAAATGCAGGTTGAATGCATGAAAACAAACCAACGCCCAAAAAGACAACGATTAGAAGACGTAACTGGGGGTGATATAAAAAGACATCAAAAGAAGTCATCATAGAATCAGAAGTAGAATAACACCAGGTTAAACTTAAAACTCCATAGAGTCTGCAATCTCTTCACTCATAGCCCGAACAGTTCCTTTGCTACCAGAACGCGAGCGGAACTCTTCGTCACTGAGTAGGTAGGTGTCGTATTCATCGACAGGGCGCAAGGATGGTGAAGGCTCTTCTTCAGTGTCACTGTCCTGTTCTCCAACACCAGGACGCTCGCCAAACCAGTACCGAGCCCGTTTGCTCGAGCTCAGATCAGGAGTCAGGTATTCGTCCTCGTAGGTTCTCTTGCCGGTCGGGGTAGTGGCCATAATTTCGGTAGGCGTATGGCTCAAAATCGGGATAGCACGAAGATAGAGGTAACAAACGCGCTTCCGAAGTCGGTTGAAAAAGAAGTAGTGCATGCTCCAAATCGCTCCGTCATCGGCGTCCGACGGATCCTCTTCGGGAGAGTACGAATAAGCAGAGCACTCCTTCAGTGACATTTGGCTATCCACAATGCTCCACATCCTTGGGCCCCATGTGGAAGATGCGCTCGAGTTGTATGATCCAGAAATGGTAACCGGCGATGGAGGCGTGACATCGATCGTTTCCCGCGGGCGGAGATTAAACAGAGTGGAGTCGATTGTGTTCATCACTCTCTTCACATTTCGCTCGCGATGGAAATCTGTTGGACGCAGGACATGAGAAAAGTCGTAATCGGGATGGCTCGCGTTGAGTGTTGCGATCAAGTAAGCGAATGTCCGTCTACTAGACTGCTCACTCAGGGGACCAAAAGGACTGGATCGGGACAGATTCAGCGATGCAGCGGCGTCGGAAGCGTTGGGAGGAGAAAGAGATGCCGATAGCCGAAGAACCGATTCATACTGGGATTCAAGCGACTGTTCGATGTTCTTGTATAATTTCCGATCGGCTCGAGCAGCCTTGGTTGTGTACAGATCGCAGCCCCCGACAATGTGACAATCGGCAGTGTCGAAGTTGAGAGAACTTGTAACATCCTCGAAGTCTGGTAAAGGTAAATACTATCGAACAGAAATGTGTCAGTATATATACAATACGAAAGCCGCCCAGGGCTGCAACGTGAAGAGATGAGAGTCGCGAACCTTCATCCTGGCAAGAGGCGGTCAGGAGATAAGACAGATAGGTTGATCGGGAAAGTGTCAGAAGTAGATGCGCCACTTGTTGCGACAATCAATATCAGGGATTCAAATTCCGGGAGAGTGAAGACAGATGATCGATAAATATTGTCCGCGAAACAGCACGTTGTCAACTGCAAACGTTGCCGATCGGCGATAAGAGCGAATGAGTTGGCTGCAGACACGTCGTCTACACTGGACAAGGATTAGGATGCAATGAGGGGTCTAGCAGGAGATTTTCCCAAAATAGACGACCACAGCAAACAGGCAATCAAGAATATGAAGATGAAATAGATGAAGGAGGGGGGATGGGAGATGAACAGCCATCCGGCAATTGGGATGGCGTTGCGCGTTGCGGCTGAGGGGAGAGCGGATCACGTGGCGGAGTTCGGGCCAGTGATATCACGCACCTACTTCACGGGTCCGGATAAGGAGTTGGGAGGAACCAAGTGGTGACGAAAGAATGTTGGGACGGCAAAGACACCCTCTATATTCCCAGCCAGAGATTCACTAGAGCCCGACTTTGGACAGATTGGCGACCACATCATCTGAATCCTGAAAAGCAGTCAACATAATATTAATTAGTCACTGGAACTCGCGACGGTAGAAGAGAACGCCTATGTACGGTCCAACGCCAGTATATCTGCCTCGAAAGCCCAGAAGCGACCATCCAAAAGCAAAAAAAGAACAGAACAATAACACGCTAGCTCGCTCGCTGAAAAGGCTGTTACATGATCTTCGTAACCACATCGTCCTCAACCTGAGGGAGACCAACATTAGCCCCCGTCTCGATGATAACAAGTGTTCATATATATCAGACATGAGATAAAGAGTGAATAGGAGAAGGGATGTGGTTTCAGAAGAGGGAATGACGTAGTAGGTGAATTAGATGAGACGTCGGGGGATGTTTCAAGATGGATGATGCCAAGCAATCGAACGAGACAACAAGAGCATAGAATAGGGGAAGCAGAAGACAGGCAGGTCCAAGGAGCTTTCGGCGACATTCGATGAATGGTTGAAAGTGCTCCAGGACCTGCCCACTCCTCGCCGTGTGGGAATGAACACAGGATTGTAGGAACTGACTCACCTCCATATCTTCCAAGCTGTCCTGTTGGCTTATACACCTGAGAACATTCTTCTTGCTACTCTCCTGCATTTCTCCAGCCAACAACAACTCGTCCAAAATGAAATAAGCCTTTTGGAAGTTGAAAATGATGTCCAGCTCGCAAACGTTGCCGTAGTACTTGTCCATTTGTTCAACGTATCGGTGCACGACTTCGAGGGTAATCAGTTCGTTATCGGTGGAGGCACATCCGGCGATGAAGAAGAGGGACGCATAACGTCGGTAAACGACCTTGCTGTCTAAGATTGGGGAGATTAGATGAGTATAAATCTATAGGGGGAGGGGTCATAACCATACCTTTGTATTCGAGGAAATTGCACATCCGCGTCCGGCGCGAAAGAACAAGTTGGGTCACATCCTTGATGATCTTGGCCTTCTCCTTAGGAGAGAGAGTTGTGAACCATTTGGCGAGGCGCTGTGGAAGAATTTGCCCGGTCAGTTTTGATGGAGCTCCATTAAGTCGGGTGGGCCACGAGACGAACCACTTTGCCCTGTCTCGACAGCAGAATTAGGTAACTGGAGGGGTAGCGTCAGTAAATTTCTGCAAGCCAACATCTGTCCGCAGAGCCTCACTGGATTGCCATGGTGTACTAGCTTGATGATGGTGTGTAGATGATGGAAAAGAGGCCACAAATGATTTTTGTGGACAGTTCGGAGATGAGCAACAGGCCGAGTTTGGAGAATTATTATTTGCACGGGCCGCGTGGGCGAGGGGGCTTTTGCCCCGCAGACCATCAGGGACGACAGAACATCAACTCAACAGAAGCAATTCAGCGATTTAATTGTTTCTGTGGCTCGTTAATGATTGTTACCAGGGCTTTACTCTTGGTTTAGAAACTTTTATCAGGATAGAATAATTGTGCAACGCCAGCAACACCAACGACACCAGCAACACGACTGTCATCACCATCACCCTCAGTGAGTTCTAGCCCTTACAGCGAAACTGATAAGAACAATCAATGCTGACCTCAGACTAGGTATATAGGTACATTGACTCATATTCATTCTCCTACAGCCTCAATTCGACCATAATAGCCCGTAAACTGTATCGTATCGTGCGCAGAGGGCAACAGGCACCCAATCGACATATCGTTCTCTTACGTTGGCAATTGAGAGATGATGGTACTGGGCAATGAATTAGAAACACGTCAGCTTCGTCGAAAGAAATACAAATTTGGGTTGGCAATATGGCGTTGCTACACTGGTGCGCTGCGCCTATGATTTGGGGGCAAGGCTGAAGGCGTCCATCTTCTACTAGCCCCTCCGACCTCGACAATATGAGATATCGAAAGACCTTGATTGGTTACAAGGCTGAGTCTTGATATTCTACTGACATTAAAAAGCAATATATAGTCATCTGCTGAAAACTGTACAAGTCTTACACTCCTTGGAGCATTGCTCACAAATGACAGACTGTCATGGTTAATGTACCTGGATTTCCAACCAAAATACGCCCTGGTTAAAGGCAGAGGTGCTCAGCAAGTCAATACTAATTTCCCTGAGAAGAGGTACATACAACCGAGGGTCATATGGGAATACCTGACTTGTCCCTGAAAGAGGATTCGGGCATATGGGAAGGTCCTCTACAATTTTAACATGATGGTTACTGCATTCGTCTGTCCTGAATATATAAAGTGGAGCGTTCAAGCGGCAGAAAAGTCAATGAGTTGCTCTATACCAGATCTACATAACCGACATGGACTTGATACAACATCGAAAATATGCACAACCAGTTCCTTCCAAGCTTTCCAAGGCCCTTACGCTAAGTGGATTAAGTCTCAATTAGCGACTTCGTCACGATGCGCTGTATAAGCTTTGGGCCGCATGTTGCCGCTGCGGTGACGGCATCAGGGTTTCATGTCGGATAATGGCGGGAAAGTACGTTGTAGTTGCAAATCTTTCAGGATGCATTAATAATAATATTTTTCTTATGAACAGTAATAATATACTGGTTGTTATTATCCTTTAAGGTGTTCTGTACGTATGCTCTGCAGGTAGCATCGTCGTATGTAGCTACTTAGGTATATATGTAGTGCTAATATGCATTGGCGCCCGAAGCTATACAACAACCAGTAGCGGCAGCCTTTTCAACCCACTAGTTTAAAGCCCTGAAAATTCTGCTCAATAGTCCATACTGATCTACCTGCTAAGATATTGCCTCAAACCACTTGAACTGGTGATTCATCCTGTCCTGGTGCTGCCGTGGGATTCTGGCCAGGCTATGACGTAGAAGATTCCCATTCCAATCGTCATCACATCGCCGGGCATTCCGGAACATATAATCACACTCACCCCCCATCCCTAGAAAAAGCAGCTGTCGGATCAGAGCTCCGCCTTGATAGAGTCCTCTTTGCCTAGAGTCGATCAGATTTTTTTTTCTTACCATCTACTCCATTTCTCGATCGAAGAGACACCCGTTGCTCCCAATCCATCACCAAAACAAGCTCTCCGCGCGACACGACACCATCAGAGAAACACCATCAAAATGGTTTCCAAAGTGGTGCAGATCGTTCTGCGAGTCTGGGAGGTAAATCTTGACTTCCGTACATCGTATGAGATGATAATCCTAATCACTTGAGGTTTCCAACAGTTCCTATGGACGCTCCTCGTCATGGCCCTCGTGGGTAACATGATTTCCGAATCGTTCGCCGGAAACCCCTCCACGGTCAATTACACCATGTTCGTCTCTGCGTTCTCGATGTTCACTCTTCTCTACTTGATCCCCGCCACGATCAAGCCAGACTGGGCCATCCACCCAATCATCGTGATTGCTCTGGATACCCTCAACGCCATTTTCTTCCTTACCTCTGGTATTGCGCTGGCCGCCAAGTTGGAGGCCCACAGCTGCAGCAACGACGTATGTGCTTTCCTATATCAAAACTGCATCAAGCACGGGATATCGATCTAACATTGGCATTTTAGTTATACACCCTCAACAATGAGATCACCAACGGCTCTGTACACCGCGAGAAGCGCTGCCGTGAGGCCCAGGCATCGACTGCCTTCCTCTGGTTTGCCTGGTTTGGTTACACCTTGTCGATGATCCTTTCTATCATCGGATCGCGTGGTGGTGCCAACCTCCGTGGACGCACCGGCCCTGCACGTGGCAATGGACGTCCCAGCATGGCCCAGGTTTAAATCAGCGACATGGAAGAGAGCGTATGTTTCCACATCCCAATGGACGGGTATTACAAAGCTAATACGATAATAGTGACTGGACACCACAAATGTCTCTTCCACGCCTGGTGCCAAAACCGAAGCTCGACAACCTTATGTGCTATCGTATTTCCATGAGCTTCAACGATAGATGAGGACGACATGAATGGACGATGACGCATGATTACTCTCAACGCAAGCCTCTCAGTACTCGCAAACTCGACTGAGGGATATGCTATAATAAATTAATGATAAAAATGGGTGCCATGGGGCATGACTTAATTATACCACCCCGATAATAATACTTTGTGATTTGAAGGAGTTCAATGGTCGGTTTTCTTGGACGCTTGAAAAGGGACTCGGGAATTATTACCATGGCTTCATTGTGGAGATGAACGCTCGGATAGGTTCATGGATGGATAACGGGGTTGGTGTTGGTGTATTTGTTATTCTGTATGGATTATACTGTAGTATTTAATCGGTTAATTCTATGGAGTTATTTGGATCAGCTTTGTCCTTCACATTCTACCATCTCATCTTTATCCACATCGCCATATGATATCATCTGTGGATCCACGTGTAGATCTGTACACCCCCACCTGGATTGCGGCTGAGGTTTGTCAACAGAAATTATTCAGGAGATCGTAGTATTCGCAGTTATAAATTGATGATTCCCTCGTCCCTCCATCCATCTTCTCCATCTTCTCCATCATTCATCTTTCATCATCCATAATAGCAACCACCACATCCAAACGAAGCATTTCCAAGCAATCCATATACAACACCAAAATGAGCACCCTCAACAAGTCCTTCACCCTAACCATCGGCGGCACCCCCATCTCAAAGCCCTTCGAAACAAACGAATCTCGCACTTACGCCATAGTCGGCTCCGTTGAGCCAGCCGTCTTCACCCTCAACGATGGCCTCCTCGAGTCCGGCGACTTCTTCCTCGGACGACACCTAGTCGAAGACCGAAGCCTGCTTCCTAAGCCTTTATTCTGGTTCCCAAAGGGAGGCGAGGACAAGGAGTATATTCATCGGACTGAGGTGGAGGAGCTGGAGGATGATCACCTTCAGGTGAAGAATGGGGGTATGTTTATCTGTTCCTTCTAGGAGATTATTGGATGGTTGGGATGATGAATACTGATCGTACATGCAGGTGCCCATTTATTTGTTGACGAAGGTAGGATTTATGCTAATTTGTTGGGAGGTGAGTATATGTGTTTTGGTTTTGAAGCTATGGAAATGAACTATGGACTGACTCTGGACAGATGATATCCCGTCTATTCGGGTTAACTGGCTGTGAGATGTGATTGCTCTCCGAGGGTCTGCATATGGGTGGGATTGTTTATATTCAAACGAAATTTCCCTGTTGCATATGATATCTATTGGACACTTTGCTATAGATGCTCGACTTGAAATAATTTGATAGCCGTGGATTCTATTGTGGCTTTGGTGTTTTCTTTTGTCTGATAGATGTCCTTACAACCTCTAGATTTCTTCCGTTGATCAACCTAAATATAAACCTAAATATAAACCACAACGACTTCTAAAACAATTCAAATGAAAACAGTCTAATATAAAATCTACTCGAAACCTTTCTCGTGGCTGAATTTTACACATCCAGTCTTGCATATGCCCACTGTCCTCGACAAGGGCCTTGTGCTTGGAGACCCCCCTGATGAAAAGGCCATTCGTATGATGCAGATGACAGGGCGGAATGAAGTTCAGCGCACCACCTCTAAGCTGCTGCACTTCCAAAAATTGCTTCAATTCATTGAGCGATGTGAGGATATAGGGTTTGAGACGACTGAATTCCTTGAAAATCTCAGTGTGTCTATCGTGGAGGTACCGGGACGTGCAAGAGGTGGCACATTCCATAGACTTGTCTTTCCATTTGTGAAAGGACTCTGTCTATATTTGAAGACCACGGCAAGAAGTCGTTCTCCAACGCTGAGAGCAAATCTTCATTATCTAAGCCATTGAAGCCTACTTAACCGAATATGTGGCAAACGCACCAACGGCACCTTCGGATTGGAAGCAACAATTGCCAAACAAACCTTCATCTCTTGACTGTAGATGTGGCGATTGTGGCGCGCTGCGTAGCTTTATCCAAGACCCTAACCGACATACTGGCGAAGATTGCACCTTGAGTTGTTCGACTTGATTCAACATTTAACACAGATATCCTTCAAATCGGCTCACTGCACACTCCACGCGTGGTGAAAAAAAAAAAAAAAAAAAAAAAAAAAAAAAAACAAAAGATACGAGGCAGACTTGAATGCACGGTAACGGAGAGTGGCTATAGCAAATACACGACTGAGTAACGTGCTCAAAGAAGCTCCCATTGCCGATATAATTGGAGAACAATACGTTCGGGCGTTGTTTTCACGTCCTAATCTACAATTGCCGACTCTTGCGTCTAATAATATCAACGATTCTCGCAATGCAGCACTGTTTACCGCGCCGAATCATAGCCAGAATGGGGGCTCTTCTATTCCACAGAAGCGTTCCTTTGTCGACCTCACTTGAAGTATATCATCGGCATATTTGCTACTAAGAAAGGCCTCATTTAGCCAACAGTTCCTCTAGTAGGAATGTGCGATACTTCTACGGGCAATCGCAATCTGCTATTTGAGGTGATGCTCTTGTCGACAGGGTATCCGATCCTGGTGAAGGTCAGTATATTCTCAACTCCGTATGATAAGTCCTAACGCCGAGCGCTGTAGTGCTAGTTCCAAGCATTAATAATGTTTCATTATTAATTGAGCTTTACAATATCGACATCATTTGATTTGTTGCCATCACTATTCTCCTACAATCATTCTTAAATAGAGCCATTGACCCCATGATCGTGTTTTACAGCATCACTCACAAACCACCCCATCCACGCTCACCAAGAAAACCACCATGACCACCAACAGAGCTGCATGGCAGGAGAAGCCCGGAGTCAAACTCGACATCCGGGCTGCGCCATACACTGCACCCCAGGAAAACGAGCTCGTCGTCAAAGTCCACGCATGGGCCATCAACCCCATCGACAAAATAACCCAGGAAGTCGACCTCAGCTTCGTCAAATACCCCCTGGTCACAGGCATGGACCTCGCAGGCGAGGTAGTCGAAGTCGGCAGCAACGTTGAATCCCGCTTCAGCAAAGGCGATCGCGTCCTCGCAATGACCGACGGAGCCCTTAGCGGCACTCCCTCTCAGAGCGCCTTCCAGGAATACGTCGTCGCTCACTCGGTCCTCGCATCGCCCATCCCGGACGCTATATCCTACCCCGAAGCGGTGGTTTTCCCGCTCACTCTCGCGACAGCTGCTGTGGGTCTCTTTCAGAAGGACTTCCTCGGTCTCCAGCTCCCCTCTACACCCCCTCGCCCGGCTACCGGAAAGACAGTTCTCATCTGGGGCGGTGCTTCAGCCGTCGGATGCAATGCGATCCAACTCTGCACCGCGGCAGGATACAACGTCATCACGACCGCCTCCCCAGCTAACTTCGACTACCTGAAGAGTCTCGGCGCGAGCGCCGTCTTCGACTACAAAAGCCCAACCGTCGTCGAAGATGTCGTGGCAGCGATCAATGAAACCGACCTTGCGGGCATCCTGCACGCAGCTGGATCGGTGGCTATCTGTCTCGAGGTCTCTGGCAAGGCGAACGGATCTGCGTTCGTGGCTGCGTCTTTGCCGATTCCCGAGGATGGTCCGGCTGGTGTCAAGGGGAAGATGATCTTTGCGAATACAATCAAGGCGAATGAGGTTGGGCCGGCTGTTTTTAGGGACTTTTTGCCGGAGGCTTTGAGGAATGGGTCGTACCGGGTTGCTCCTGAGCCGTTGGTTGTTGGGACGGGGTTGGAGAGTATTCAGGAGGGACTCGAGGTGTGGAGAAAGGGTGTTTCGGCGAGGAAGATTGTCATTACTCGGTAGTTGGTCTTGTTTGTACATAATTGCATGAGTTGATTGTTTTGAGAGGCGTGGATTCGTTATCATTATATAATTCTATAGTACATAATTGCAACCAACATAATTCTATACAGACGTCAGTCGTATCCCGCGAGATGAAAGATACTCATCAAGAGCACCCGCCACCCCAGACGGTTCAACCATCGCAACATAAGTATCAGGTCGTATCAAGTAGGCAGCGTCACAGACGAAACCAGCGTCGTGATATTCGTTCGCCCAAGCAAAAACATGCAACGGGATCTGCTTTCCCCTGCACCATTCCACCAGTTCATCATTTGCAGTTCCATAAACATGAACCTGCCATGTCATCTCATTCAGGCTCGTGAAATTGTCCACACCATTCACAACAGCCCATGGGAGACGGTCACCACCATACACCCAGCCCGCTACACCCTGAGCTAGCGGACCCTGGCGGTAATTCAACAACATCTGCGAAACACGAGAGAATATAAACTTCGGGACGACCGGAATGCGAATCGCAACGGGGAGAAGATAAGGCAGGACCCATTTGCGAACAAACGTCGCAGACCATGTACTCGACGTAGCATGCGTGAAAGCAGTATCTGTAGTTTCAACGAGGATCTGCGCAAACGGGCGACGTTCGGCCTCGTACGTATCGAGTAGAGACTCGTCTGCTCGACCTTGTAAGACCGCGGCGATCTTCCAAGCGAGGTTGATGGCGTCTCCGATTCCGGTGTTCATGCCCTGGCCGCCGGTGGGACTGTGGATGTGGGCTGCGTCGCCGACGAGGAATGCGCGGCCTTTACGGAAGTGGTCTGCGACGCGGTGGTGGACACGGTAAGTCGAGAACCAGTTGACTTTTTCGACGTTGATTTTGAGGGCGTCGATGGCCCGGTGCGAGACGTCGGCGAAGGTGAGTTGTTCAGGGCGATCCGCGCGCTCGTCGCTCACGGTACCCGCGAGACGGGCGTGTCGGTCTTCGCTGAGGGGGAATGAGATGAGCATATCGGATTCGTTGAGGTCGGTATGTGCTTCTCCGTTGAATGTTGGTCCGGTGCCCTCGATGTCTGCGACGAAGAAGACTTGCGGGTAGGTGCCGCCTGAGAATCCGATATCGAGAGTATGGCGCACGGCGGATCCTCCACCATCGCAACCGAGGATGTAAGAAGCTTCGAACGATTCCTCCTGTCCGTCTGGACCCCGGAGTCGGGCCTCGACGTGACTGTCATGATCAGAGAAACTGAGGAGCTCGACGCGGCGCTCAACCAAAACGCCTAGTGCCTTCAATCGCTCCTCGAGCATCCGCTCGTGCTCGTATTGCGGGTAGATGTAAACATATGGGTAGGGAGTGCGCCCTTTGCCAACGGCCTCGAATGCTATCCGTGCCGCATGAGCGCTGTCCGTCCAGATGTTCATCGCCGTAGACTTGACTGCGTGCTGTATCACGGCCTCAGGCAGACCCATTTGGCGATACAGTTCCAGCGTACGAGCATGAACGGCGAGGGCGCGCGAAGTGGATACGCATGCCTCGGACTTGTCGATAATACGAACGTTGACTCCCTGCGCGGTCAACCACAGGGCGGATACTAGACCTGTTGGTCCAGCACCTGCGATTAAAACTTGAGGTTGGGACATGACTGTCCAGTTGCTTGCAATGTCAGTTGTGGTAGATGAGTATGAGGTGAAAGTATACGAACGTGAATTGTGTAGCCAGCATCATGCTTTATAATGCCATTGATAGGCCTCCAGTGAGTCACTGTTCGGCTATGCTACAGCCGTATACGAGAAATCAAGCTCTCTGAGCCTCCTTGTTTGGGGGCAGTGTGATGTCGTTGAGGTCAGCTGCCCTCGCATTTATGCACTTGATGATTCAAAGGATACGAAAAGAAGCCGGGAAATTCTCGCCCGATCGGGACTGAAAATCGCGATGACGGCGAGTGGAGATCCCGATGGCCCGTTGGTTTACTCGGCAAGATAAGATAGGCAGTTTATTTATAGATCGTAGTCGTAGCAAGTATCTACTCTAGTTGATGATGCTGTAGTATTAACCAAACGAACTCTGTACAGACCCATACCTAAAAAATGTCAGTAAATCTGCCAATTAACAACATTGCACAAGATACACTCACCCTTGCGTGCATTGACTGCCAAGCGCAACACTCCCACTCCTCATATAGCAAATCTTCGCGTGCTGACACTCGGCGGTTGTACAATTCGGACTTTTGTCACTTAATCTTCCTTGAAGCTTGTTGTGTAAAGTCGCAAGGCTAAGGTCCGCCTCCATTCCCTCAGTTACACGATGCCAGAATGTTGCATTCAACGGGTCCTGTGCATCCCATCCAGCTGCGGAACCATATGTTTCACGCGTAGAATATTCGAAACTGTACGTCGGACCCGTTTCACTCAGAGAGGGATAGTCAGACACGTTACTGAAGAAGGTGTACGCTTCGTAGATGTTGAAGTCGCCCGTGTCGACTTCATACATCCGGAACCCACTGTTCAGGTTCGTCAGGGGAGTCACACTGGGCCCGATCCAGCCCGTCATCAGGGCCGTATTTCTATCTTGTACGGTACCATTATTGGCATAGTAAATCATAAACTGGTCTTCGTGTGAATGGCCGAAGAGGACATTGGCGATAACGTGTGGTGAGTAGCGGTCCACAATCTGGTAGAAAAGATTAGTCGGGTTGGGAAGTGGATTAGAACCATCCCATCCACTGAGAACATGGCCGATGATCCAAACACGTTCGCCAGCATCTTCTGCTTTTTGGAGTTCAGATATCATCCAGGAGAGCATGCCAGAGTTGTCTGGATTCGTAGTGTTGATAAAGTTTAGGTAATTAGGCTTATACCAGAAATCTACAATTATTAGTTAAGAACCATAACAAGTCATGTATTCTTACCAGTGTTGAAAGCAATGATGCGCAGTCCATAATGAGTCTTGATCGAGTAGCCACTATAGTGTGTTCGTGCATCAGCAGCGGCATCCTCATCGAGCCATCCCTCATGCAACCAGAGCCCGGCAAGATGCTCATAGTTCCAGCTTTGTTGCTCTCCAAGGCGCCCTGGCAGACTGTGCGGCGAATCAATATTTGCCGGAGTGCTGTCGTGATTGCCCAAGACCGCGAAAACAGGGCCGGTAAGGTAGGACTTGAGCATCCCATACACGCTAGTCTCCTCATACTCGGTATACGCCTGAGACTGCTCCGTCGCCGGGTCGTGAGAGACCAAATCTCCAGTATATACCGTCCAGGCAAAAGAATCCTTGCCATCACCGGTTCCAGTCAACGGTCCGACTGCCTCCAATGCAGCCAGAGCTAGGTCATATGGCGCGTCGCATCTGAAAGATCCATATGCAGGGGCGGGAAGAACAATCTGATCTTCCGAAGCAGAATTGTATGAATTGCTACGACAGCACATGCCAGATGAACAGTTTGCTTCTGATTTCACCGAGTACCGCGCGTCCAAATGAAAGTCCGATAAGTGCAGCACCTTCACCCGCTCACCACTGGCCTGGGGCGCACGCGCATTTTCCGGCTTTGGCTTGGGGAACAGATTCGTCGTATCAAGGGGGCTTGTAGCTGGTTCGCTACAGAAAGAACTATCTAGCGAATTGCATATATAATCACCGTCGAGACCCTGGACATCCGCATATGCCAGGACTTGTGTCCAGATAGCACCAAATGTCGATGCTGCATAGTTTTCCTCACATGATGCATTGGATTTGAACTCATACTGTTTGCAAAGTGAGATCATAGCATCCGGTATCAATGCAGGGGCATTCAGAGAGGCAGGTTTGGCAGCAGCCAAAGCTGTCTTGCATTTGGTACAATTGTTGGCTGCATTGCCGCTGATGATGGCGGTCACATTGGCAACCACGCCTTGAATCAATGCATTTTTCTGGGTAGTAGATAGATTTGATAACGGCTCTGGGAAGAATACTGGGTCCCCTGACTTAGCTGGAATATTCTTTGGGTCTGTCAGATTATAAGGAAAGGTAATATTCAAGACAGGGTCATGAATGACTGGCTGGGGCTGCTGGGTGGGTTTTGAAGGCAGATAATAGTACGAACTATGGAGCAACAGTGTCAATTCAATAGATCGCAACTCAATTAAAGCTTAGCCTTACTCACGAGAACGCCGCGGTCGGAAACCCCGCGGGAGCAACGTAGGAAGAAGCTCCAGGAATGTTTGAAGTCGCAGAAATGCCACTTGAGAGCGATCCCAGGGCCGTCAGGACTGCCTGCATCTTGAAGGTACTTGACCACAGCATACCGGTGTAATTGAGGGGAGTTGAAGGTGGAATCTCCTCAGGGAGTGCTGAGGAGAAAAAGCAAAACCATTTCCCATAGCCGGAAGATGCGACATTAATATGGGAGCACGAGCAGTCTAAGAGCAATAGCGGGATGCAAGGATGGCTGATCTTCAGCTGGCGATGCAAAGCACGTGGGGGGTAAGTCTTGGCCGACTGGACAACACTAGCATCTCTGGCGATAATTGATAAGAGCTGCATCTGGATCTTCTTTCATCCATCTTCATTTTGATTGTGTTGTTGATGTCAGAATGAGCCTGAGATATATATCCAGGCATCCATCGGAGAACACTGGCCGCGAGGATGCAGCGAGTCAACAAAAACAACAACAACAACAACCACCACCATCAAGATGAGACTCAGCATTTTCATTCTAATCTTTAAAATACTAACAAAATTCAGAAAAAAGAAATGTCGCTCTCTTCTCCTCAACTCTCCCGTCGAAATCATCTACGAAATCACCTCATGGCTTCCTCCAGCATCCAAGCTCTGTCTTGCCCTCACCTGCAAATCCCTCCTGGCAGCCATTGACGACTCCAAAGCCCTACGTCAGTCCCCCGATTTCCAACTCATCCAAAGCTCTCCGGACCCGTTTGCGATGGATAAGAACGAGGATTACTGCAGCCAGCGATTCTGGCTCTTGCATTATCTCGAGCGAGACACGCGGTACACCGGACTATCCTGGCGTTTATGTCACGATTGTCTAAAGCTGCATCCTCTCCACGAATTCAGCAGCAAAGAACGGTGTGGCCTGGGCGTGCTGACAAGGGGATATATCAAAGTCTGTCCATGCTGGAGACTCACCATCCGCGAGGTCCAAAGGATCTTTGAAACATTACACCAGGATAAAACCCAAACCCTGCTCCTCCATGATTGCTCTCACAAATGGTGGTCCTCACAAATCAACCTCAAAGTAACAGGCTGTCTCAGCAACGACTCTCCCAAGCGTCTCATCCTCGAAACAAACTTCGACCTGTACTGCACTTCTTTCCCGAAATCCTTCATGGAAAGCACCCAGCCCGTCTGCTCGGAAAACTTCCTCGCTCACTACCTGCGCGGCTACTTTAGCTCGGACACCCGTCCCAGCGCAATCCGCGATCCCAAGTCCAAGACATGCAGACTCTGTCGCACTTCAGTAACCTGTCTCCAGCATGATAAGATTATCAATTCATACAGCGGGAAAGACACAATCCACCATAGCAGATATCGATCGCAGAGGGTCCTGCCTGATCTGCTTGTCCCTGCGAATCGCCAGTCTTCTCGTGCGTTGTTCGAGTACGCCTTTCACTTTGCGAATAGTTTATATTCGGAATTGAACAGTGCGAATGAAAAGAGGAGATGCTTATGGTCAAGATCATACTTGAATACTCTCTGTGGAAGTAATCCACGCTATGGGGTCAGGTAGGTAGGAATGAGCGACGAACTCATGTGCTGGGTAGGTGTATTAACCATTTCGCTCTGGCTTTTCATCTTTCTTGGTCTATATTCCTGGCTATATCTATACATTATACATATATTCCCAAATCCAAATAGCGAGAAAGAAAGAAAGTACATCCATCTGTTCTACATAACTACCATATACTTACACGCAACAACCACCAATCTACCAGAAAACCGCAACACAATAAATACTTCCCAATCCAACCTAAATGTACTACATACCAACCTTATCACTCCACACTCCATAGTTGACACTTCCTAGTTCATAAATACTATGTAGACGGCCCGGCACCTCGGATCTCGGATCTGCAAACGTCCATGTCCATCATCGCCAAATGCAAAGAAGCCAAGCTTCACGATCGGCGCTGTAGTCTGTAGTTAGCTCGGGCCAGATCATGATGTCATATACGGTTCATTCGGATATTCCATTTGCAAAATACTGGACCAGAGTGCGATTCTACATGAAGAGAAGAGTTTTCAGTTTGGGTCTTGTGACTTTCTTCTGTGGAGAATATTGAGACGGAAATGAGGAATGGAATCGGGGAATTCTACTGCAGAAGTAACATACATCTACTGAATGCTCTTGAAGTGTATATAGCAAACGATTAACCACTATTCACAAATTGCGAATCATCATAAATTAAAATTATTATATTATTATTTTCTTCTCAATTTCATCCACAATGCCCGTCCTCCCCTCCCTCTCCGGCTCCTCCTTCGACACCGACATCCGCAACCGCCATCTCATCTACGATTACGCCGCCCAAGACCCCCACGGCAACCCCGAGAAATGGCGCTATGAGATGTGGTTCTACAACGACGACCGCATCGTATACGCAATCCACGGCGGGCCGATGGCAGGGCGAAAGAACTTCCAAACAGCAACGTACCAATGTATTCGGCCCAACGAGCTGTGGCAGTGTAACTGGCTCGAGGAGACGGGGACGATATGTTCGTTGGTGTATGACATCCCGCGCAAGCGGATTACGACCCTGTTGGGTTTTTCGAGGGGGCATTGGGAGCGGAATGGGGAGGCGAAGGGGGATAAGCGGAATGCGGAGGATATGGAGAGGTGGAGGGGTTTGGCGAAGATTGGGATTCAGACGGAGAGGACGCTGCTGAGTGAGCAGGCGGATATTGTGGAGGATTTTCGCGGGCCGGGGGATTTGGAGCCGATTGAGATGGGTTGGGCGACTTTGTGATGTGACCGATGTGATGGTATTGAGGAATGGAGGATAAGTTGATAAGATTGTGATTGTTGCGATAATGGATTTGTAAATTGGATATGGTTGAGGTAGCGCATCGAAATGTGACTGTACTTGTAATCGTCTTTAATATTGTAGTCTGGTTTAAGCTAGATTTAAAGTCCATAACGGTAATTAAATGATATAGCCAGTATTCCTCATAAGAAAACAGGTAGGGGATAAAATGTAAGATATATACAGGTAGCTTTTGCACCTGACAGATAGGCGCTGCAGAGCAGCATTCCAGTATCGGTATATAGCCCAGCAGTGTACCATGCCTCATTAGGTCGGGTTTCGTGACTGCACGGGAGGTTGGCAAGAACGCCTTGTTAGTCGTGTCATCGTGATGACGGTCGACTTGTTCATTGCAATTCTTTGCAATATTATCGAAAATCCTTCATATGCTATACCTTGTCGGTATGCCACCCATAACGGACACCACTTATTAAAAGCCTTCCCGGAAACAACCTCAACGGCCAGAAGATATAATCTTGTTGCGTGACTAGTCGATGCCAGATAATCGAATGATCGACAGTCTGTCGCCGTAGGTTGGGCGGGATATCAAGGCGTGGTAAGTCCAGCAGAGAAATGGGCGATGGAATCTCTATTCCAGTGGGATTGGTGTAATTTGGTGGTATTTTGTAAATAAATCAGCCATTCGAGCCCGGCTCGCACATAGCTAATCGTCGGAGCTGGAGGAACTGCCTGACGAGGGAGCTTGAACACAGACGAGGTTGACGTCGATTTCATCTTTGGTTTCGGGTGGACCACTGTCGTACGAGGGGGCTCGACTGAAGATCGCGACGGCGACTTGCTCCGCCTGTTGGCTGGCTGTCAGGCCATCGAGTAGAAAGTTTCTCCAGGGGCTGTCACTGTCGCCAGGAGTTTGGATTGTTGCCGTGCGGTCAGCGACGGATTCTTGGACGAAATCTAAAACCAATTAGCAGAGGTAATAGCCAACGATGATATTCACATACAATCAACCCAAATGTCCTGCACATCCCACAAGGACGGTGCGCAGTTTGAAAGTGCAGGCTTAGCGGCAAGCATTTCATGAAGGACCGCATCCAGTGGGTACGAGTAATAATTCCCGCTCGTAGCCAGAGCGAAGATGTTCCCCTTGATCAGATCGATCAGATCCCTTGAGCATCGGGGTCCCCAAATATTATCACATCCATTGTTTCCTCCCCCAGGTGTGCCGGTAAGATTGCCCACTCGCATACCAACCTCGGAAGTGCGGTTGGCGTCGATCACCGAGCTGTTGATCCGAGGGTTGGAGTCATATCCGAGCCAGAAGGCCGACTTGGTCATCGGCCCACGACCTTTTCCTTGCGAATTGACGTCGAACGCATAATAGAGGCTAACATCCTCGAGAAAGAGAGGCGGTAAAGAGACCGATACGGCTGTCTGGGCGAATGGATCGATACAGCCCATATCCCAGAACGTACAAATCTGAGCCAGGGATGGCTGACACGAGGCCGCCAACACCAACAACACCAACCAAGGTCGAAACCACGACCCGATACCAAAACTAGCCATCGAAGACATTATATTCACGAGCGACCGGACCGGCGTGACAGGCGCGACTATGACAGGAAAGCAGCGGCCAGCACAACTGGCATGCTCCCCAGCCGGTGTGTTGGAGAGGAAAGGATCGAAGGAACGGACGGAGACGAATAGGAAGAAAGTCGCAAGAGGGACAGGAAGGAAGAGAAGTCGAGAAAGCCAGAGGGTAGAAAAGCACAGATTCCTACGCCAACATTGTCGAGCCAAAATCTCACGGGGAAACCAAGGAATCCAGGGCAGTGAGCGAAAAAAAAGCCCCCCGCAGCGCTTACAGGCAGTGTCCGGCAAGTTCAGGCTCAGGCCGCCGTTTCTGGGTGATTTGAGATTTCCTCTTCCAGGCGAAAGACGCAAAAAAAGAAAAGAGAAAAAAAAAACTTCGATTAATTAGGCCGGTGAATGGAGTCGTCTTAATCTTGGGTTTCGTCCTAGCTGGTTTGAAGGGGGAGGTTGGTGGGCAAATTCCCTGATTTCAGGCGGCCGTGGAGGTTCCCTTGTAGGAGAGAGAGCACCAACAACCGAACACAGAAAAAGGACTGAGGCTTAGGACTAGAGAGATTCAAGAACCATTCGATGATAATATAACAGCAACTTATTATTGCACCAGTGAGAGCGTCGGGATGCGCCGACGACTCCAAGGCGCTTTTGTCTGTCTGTAACGCTGGGGGAGCGAAAGGGAGGGAAACGCAGAGGAGAAAACAGGGAGGTGGAGACCCGATTATTGGCCGCCGGACAGGGTGTGCCTGCGACACTAGGCTGCATTGGGCCGCGCTAGTCGGGGTCCCCTGTTTTCGTCGGCATTCTTGGCGTCTTGGCCCGACGCGCTAGTGGCCAGTCCCCGCAGATGCCGCCGAAAGCGGAAGGAGTGGGATGATCTTGAATTTTTCATTCATTTTATCAACTATATTATATTCTTATATTCAGATAACTTATATTTAAAAAAGTACAGAGTAGAGATAAAATAATTAGAGTGGGATAAGTACAGTAGCACATTCGAGAATGAAATAAAGAAAAAATAATACATTAATGATTTGATAAGTAGTACAGACCCTGAACCCTCTAACTAGTCCGATGCGCTACTGGACTAGTGTTCCAGATTGAACCCTGAAGGAGGAGCCACTCGATTGCCACCGTTGAATCAACTCACTGTTGTTCGTGAGGAATTCTTATCCTCAGCAGATCTTCCATATGTCTTCCCATACAGAGTCGATCACCCGATGATTTACTGTCTATCTGTCAAGACTATCTCTATCTATATATACTCATGTGTAGTCTGTCTATTTCGAACAGTTGATCATAGTCCTTATTGGATACTGTTGATTCAGGAGATAGTCTCCAACGGCGTCTTTAGCTAGAACTATGCTCTGCTCCTCTCTGCACCGCACATTCACATTTACCAGTCGGGCTCCGTACGGAATCCAATAGACATGTGGTAGTGCCAAGCCACACTCATTCCAGTCGCTTTGGATATGCGCACTGAACCCGTCATTATTGATGGTCGTTATGACTATAGCCTGACTATTCGCAATATTCCTGAATTTCCTGTCTGTCCTGAATATCTCCTGGCATTCCTCACCCTTCACATGATACGGGGTAGTATCTGCTTCTCCTCCAGATGCAGGAGCAGCAGACAACTAGTTCTGTCGCAGCACTAGTTCTGTATCACTCTCTCGCCTGCCCAGTCTGATGAAGTCATAGGCGCTAACCATCCTATCCTAACTAAGTCCTCTAGCCTCAACTGTCCATTTATGGGAAATTGTGTCAAAATAATTACCGCTTTGGGCCTGGCGCGATTCACGGCGTCCCAGCTTAATATCCGACTTCGCCGGCGGCCAATCGGCGCGAGTGGTTCGTTTACCGTATTGCGCCTTGCGTCATGGTGTTTTATCTCGTATGAATCGCTATGAATTGTGAAAACTATCAAGACAAGATATCCAGAATGCGAGACTCATATTATCATTACCTTCGTGATCATTAGCTATCGGCTATCCTCATTTATTGGGCACCTCCACAGCTACACAGTAGTTCGTCTCCACTAGTCTTGAATACCTGGGTGCTTCCTCTCCAGAGCTCGAATCCGAGTCCCAATGACTCCCTGCGCGTGCACAATTTCCCTCATGAGCTTCCGAATCCTCGCCAGCTCTCGTGAGCGATTTCTCTCTGCGGTGTCTCGGATCTTGCATAGCGTATCTAACTCGGCAGCTTCCAGATCAGTCATCCGGGCGCGGGGTTCGTTTCCATAATATCTTTCCGCATTCAACATCCGAGTCACGGCCTTGACGAGGGGCAACGCTGACCCCATGTTAAAGGTCAGCCACGCAGCATGCTCGGGCAGCGTTGTCCCCTGACGTCGTCCCCAGACCACGTCCATTGCAGCCGCCCGCTGCGTGAGTCTTTTCAGGCTGTTTTTTCCGTCCGGCACCGCGGCCACGTTGGCATTCCAGTCCATCGTCGGCGGTGTCACGCCCTTGCCCTCATTCCATAACTCGTAGGCTTCTAGTTCGGGGATGCTCATTTCGGATTTGGCGATGCTCTTCGGGTCGCGTGGTTGGTTGGACGCCAGCTTCCAGCCTGTCCAGATGGTGAGGTGGGTTCCGTCCTGGATGACCTTGGCGAGGGATGTCATCTTTCTGGCTGTTGTTTCCAGGTCATCGCTTAGCTCGGGCACTGGCAGGATTGCCGATTTGGGGGAATCTGTCATGTCTGTCGTAGGTTTGCCCAGCTCAGTCTCATTGGCTTCGAACATTTTCTCGTCCCCTTCCAGATCGTCCAGATCATCATGGAAGCCCTTAACGTCGTCCATCACGAAGTCGACGATTTTCCCACGTGATAAGATAGCATCCTAATAAAAAACACACAAGCTCATCAGTCTCAGCTCTCATTGCATCATCCCAAAATCTCGATCCGAAACGTTAAACTTACCCAAAGGGCCCGAGTTCGAACGGGTTTGAATGCAGTGAAACCCGAAAACAGGTTCCTGCCAATCGTTGCCCACACCGGTGGATGCCGTCGACGATGATGCGTCGGATGTCAAAGCACATAGACAAGGGTGTGTTGCGTAGGTGACTGGTGGCTGGAGAGTCTGACTGGTGACAGAGCTAAGCTTGTGTGTGAGCTCTGTCGAATAATATCAATGGCTGATGTCGATCCAGGGTGAAGATGTGATATCATTCCATCATGGGAAATATGACAGGTCTGTTTCTGGTTGGAGCGTGGAAAATGTAACAGTTCTATCACTTTGTTTTGGGGCTGATCGACAGGTGTTTCAAATAGGAAAGTTAGAGATGTTGGTGATGGGTTCTGAGAATAGAACAGAGAGGGATAAAGCATATTAGACAGGATCTTCAGCTTCAATCAAACTCTTTTTCCTTGATTGCGCTGTTGCTGGGGAATTTGTTTCTTTGTCATTTAACAACGAAAGTGATATTCATTAGCATTGTTGAGACGGTTGCCTGCAAACCCTGCAGGAGCTTTGGCTGTCTTTGATATCGATTTGAAGCTATACAGTGTTTGCAAAGCCTTGTTTTCTATATAGTCAAAGAAAACTATTCAATAGCTTAGAACAAATAGTATCTATATTATTGTTTATCATGAGCACATCTAAAGTACTAATGGATAAATCTTTAATGGTGCTGGTATCGATAATGCTGATTGCCCAAAACTGACTGGTTGCCCCTCCCTCTTCCTTCCTCTCCCCAGCTCTCTCACATCTTCACTTAACAGGCACTCTCCAACCTAATCTTCTTTATCCTGTTCTCATTTTTATATCTTTTATTGCAGGTTGTTACCCTTCATGACAATCATGACACAGGATAAAGCTCCTGGTTGTCTCTTGGTAGCCCCCACCTTTCAGCTGAACAGCTGTTCCAGTCCATGCAGCTTACCTGACTTCTTTCAATCTTTACCACTTAACATTCCCCTGCAGCGGAGAAAAAAGCGATCCTTCATGACAAATAACTGGCGGCAATGAACTGCAGCCTGAAAATCATTGGGACTAATTACGGCAAATACAATGGGCTTGAGGATGGAAAATACAAAAAGGTATCTGCCTTATTGGCCCATCAATCGCAAGATGGGGGAATCAGGTATGCTAAAAATGATGGCTACGGATCCAGCAATGGCAATATTTGCCCGTTTTTTGCGCTGACTGTGCTTACAGGATCGAGTTCCCTCGCCTAGTCCGTTGAACGAGTTCCAGCGAATCAGACATCCTACGATGGCATTGGCAATGCGCATCGTGTTCAGGAGATCTTCCTGTTGATAATAAGCTCCCAGAATAATTGCTTGGGTTGGGGACCAGTAATGGCAGCACGATTCTATACTGAGAAAGGTGTGCTTAGGGCTTCGAGGATGTTGGGATAAGATCACCCTTTATTTGTTTTCTTTAGCAGGAATTGGTCTGCTTATAGTAAAGAGGATTTGATGAAAACAGCAACCCGCTTTTCAGCCACTTGTTTGATAGGATTGAACCCCGCACAGCAGGGCTGGCAGATTGGCGCCTAAACAGACAACTCACATCCTGGCCTTATCTGGAATACTAATGACTCGGGGTCCACAGTCTTTAGCTATTGGAAAAGTCACCGGAGATTCTCACACAAGAGGCTATTCCCTGTCTTATCACACTCACAACTCAGCTTGTCAAGTCATGGATGACGACAATGGTCCAGTGTCAGATTCTCTCAAAAACTCATTGTGTGAAACATGCAATGGTCTCGATCCCATCAACACCCTGGCAGGAATATCAACGTGGGCTTCAGGTGAAGGGAGGGTTCTTGGGACTAAGGACCAGTTGAAGATGAAAAAATGCCCGCTATGTCAACTGATTCTCACTGCTATAACCCCTATGTATCTAGTTTACCCAAACTATCAGTCACAAGGGTCGGTTACTTGCAAGCTCAATTCCAACCCACCCTACTTCTCGGTGAGAGATTCGACGATAGGATCAGGAATGATTCAAATGAAGCGAGAAGATGCAATCCAGGCTCGCCGAAATGCTGGCTTGGGAAAAACCAAATCAACACAGGATGAGGGAATTGAAGACCGAATGTTGCTTCGTCCAGTCCAGCGGGACCAGATCAATTCCTCTCTTGTCCGTTCGTGGGTGGACAGTTGCATACGCGATCATGGCTATCACTGTCGTCCTGGTCGCCACAATGCCCCCAGAGATGACCTGGAGATAAAGCTTTTTTTGATAGACGTGAAAGAAGAAGGGATCGTTGAGCGAGTCGTGACTGGAAAACAGGAAGTGGAATACATAGCACTGAGCTATGTATGGGGACAAGTTGAAGTATTGCAGACGGTGAGCTCAAATCTGGCTACATTACAAAGACATGGAGCTCTTGATTCGGGAAATACATCGATTCCACAAGTAGTCATTGATTCAATGGCTCTGGTTGAGGCTATTGGAACCAGATATCTCTGGGTAGATGCATTGTGTATCATCCAAGATTCCCCGGACAAGAACGAGCAGCTGCAGATAATGGATTTGATATACATGAGAGCGAAGTTGACCATAATTGCCATGGCCGGTCATGGGTAAGCTGGAAAGGGCCAATAATCTATGAAATATGGGGCACGAAGGCTGACGCTGAGCATCGGCCCTTGGTGTCGGGGTCAATCAAAATCAAGTGTCCTGGCGAGACCGAATTTAGGGATATACAGGACAGAACTGATGAAGAGCAAGGCATAAACCAATGCAAAGGACGTGAATGTCTGGTATTTCTTGGTGAAAATCATCGCCTGGTAAAGCATTTGGATAACTTGGAGAGAAGGATGAGAAAGTACCATGTCGATAGTAGCAGACCATCTGCTTCTCTGTTGCGCCGACCTAACCCTCATCTACAATCAGAGGATATCAACCATCTGACAATCTTGCAATTTCATGCTTCTACTATCAAGTTGGGCAGCCTTCATCTTGGAGAACCTTATCTACCTCTTACTGAGACTCGCTAGCGGTGCTGATAACCCGTATATCGGATTTCTGCCCATTTATGATGAGAAAAATCGACTGTGCGGTGGTTTCCCCAGTGCCTCAATCCCCACCATTGCACCCGATCAAGTTCAACATTTGCGAATTATCGCACTATGTTCAAATTCGGCACTCCCTGCTAGACCATACAGATGGGTTGACCCACATTTCTACCCAGACATGATGCAGGATGGAAAGCTTGCCTACTGGAAGAACCCGAAACTTGTTTGTGAATGCATTCTGGGAATAATGTTGGTTGAAGTCCATGGGGATATAGCAGAGCGTGTTGCTGTAGGGCTGATACACCCAAAAGCATGGGCCAAGGCGTCTCCGAGATATGAGGAGATCAATCTTGCATAATGAATTACCGAATGAAAATGGTTATTTTTCACCTCATTCAATGTTGTACAGGGAGTCAGAAAGTCAGAAAGGCATCAACTCTTCCCAAACAGGAAGGACGACGTGCTAACTCTAGACACTAATGAATATCTAACTAGTCAAAGTCGACTCTAATCACCACTCTACGACCCTATACTAGCATCAAGTACGGCTATAAGGGCACGCTGCCGCATATGGTGGCCAGGTCTGATCACCCGGGCATGCTTCGGAATTTACTCGAAAATGGTAAAAGCTATTGGCACCAATCCGCTTGGTGATAACAGACGCACGGCACGGCCAAGACACTGATTGAACAACGCAGACTTCAACATCAACATGTGGGATGAGTGCAATGACATTACATATCCCATCTTCTAGTGAAAACACCTATACGTTGCTAGTGCGATTGATGTAGGTTTATCTTGATGCCAATGCAAAGGTAGACTCACACCACTGCATGCTGTGATAAGCAAGTGGATAATGGGGGTTATTCTCATGCTTAAAACCTGTATGGGCATTAAGCCGGCTACAGGGTGAGAATGGATAGACACCGCTCCATCTGGCAGTTCACGGTGTTCATACTGACATGGTCAAGATGCTGCGAGGGATAGCTGGATTGATTCGACATGGCATCAATAACAGATGGCTTAGGCATATATAGTGCGTGCATGTAGTAGACAAGATTTAAATAGAGCTCGTCCGTTCTGAATCATGTGTAGAAAAAGTAATAATATCATTTGTTGAAGAAATCAACTGATCATACTATAATACAAGGGGCCAATATTTGAAATCCACCCCGTCTGCCACCGTTCCCCATAATATACAACAATATTTTCTTCGTAAAACGTCCTCGTGGGCGTACTTCATCTGCAAATGGTACTCGTATAACTGGAGCTGAAAAGATTATTGAGAAATGCGATGTCGAAGTGGTAGGAGAGTGTCCATGTGTCCGTGTGTCCGTGAAAAAGAAAGGTCCAAAACGCCAAAACTCCGCGCTCGAATGCTGTCAAAATGATGAAAGATTGTTTGTGTGTGCGCAATGTCGATTTGATTAGTGGTCATCCTCCTCTTTGATGCCATTTCCCTGCGCCCAAACGCGCTTCCAGGGACCGTCGGGTCCGATAGCTCCTGCCTGGTCCTCCCGCATCCCTTCGAGAACACCGACGATGCCGCCGTTGCGCAAGCGTTCCAAGACGATGTTCATGCCCTGCTTGCTCTTGAGCACAGCATCGCGGGTTCTCTTGACGCCAATGAGCTCAATCGTCCGTTGAATGCCGGCAGTAGACAGGGAAGAGAAGAATCCTTTCTTCGGGACTTCCTCTTCCGCATCGGCCCCTTCACCCGCCTCCGCCTTCTTCCTGCCTAGCAGCTTGCCCTGTCCGAACTTCGACCGAAACGTAACCGTCGTCTTGACGGTGGTCTGCTCGTTCCTCTTATCATCGAGCGAGAGACCCTGCAGAGCCTGAAGCTCGCCGTCAACAGGCTGACGCTGATAAACTTGCTTTTCCACCACGCTGAGGATGCCAGTCCATTCCATATTCCGGGACTCGGTTTCCATCCAGCCCTCCTTGGCGTCGACGACGGTCGTCTCCAAGATGTAGCTCTGGCCGGAGTTATCCGAGCCTCCCATGCCCTTCGGGAGCAACTTGAGAATACCCGAAGGAACCTTGGACTTTTTCAGATGCAATCGGGTGGTATGAAGACGTTGAGTCTTCTGGTCGACATAGCGATCGATGACATCGCTGGTCAGGACATGGCGGGAGTACGGGTTGGGATAGCGAAGGAAATAAGCAAGCGACACGGCAGGGAAGGAGTAGTCGTAGGTGAAGACATTCTCGAAGAACTTCATGATGACTGATTCATAAAGCAGGACAGTTGAATGTTGAATGATTGATAAGATGGGTTGAAGTAGGAGAGAGCTGGCGTGGCGTTGAGACTTGAGACTGGGGATGGCAATGGCTCTCGTGGACGAAATGCCCTGGTTCTTAATTCTTTTTCCCGGCGTTTGCTTCCGAAGCTCCGTTTTTGATTGTTTCTGCCGGCTTCTGGCGCTAGCCGCTTTGGGAGTGCGGGGTTTGACGCGTATCACGTGATCTGCACGTTGGATCCAATCAGAGGCAGGGAATTCGATTCTACGGGAGCCTATCGTATGATCCGTTTTGCATAGCAGCCCAATCGAATGATGCAACGCTGGATCAACCACCCTTGATGCGAATAATCGTATTCTATCCCTGTATAGATGATGATCATGATATCAACTCACTGCATCGGACGGAGGACACTGTACCGGAACGGTGTGATGTACTCTGTACATACCTACGGAGGACCACCATGTGAGAAACTCTCCCGGTCTAATTGCCGAGGAAAGTCTAGATCGTCATGATGTTGCATGCACTTGATGTATCAGGGGTTATCATTGCAACGTGTACCCATTAGCATGGCCATGTTTACGAGTCTTGCTGCGAGATATTGTCACTCTCACTCTGATGTTTGCTGTTGGGTGAAGATGCAGAAGACCAAGACCAAAAGACGGTCTACAACCCCAGTTTATGTGCCTCCACTGTTCCTGTAAGGACGTCAAAGCCCGACTTTTGTCCCTGCTAGTGTGTTTTAATGGCTGAAACGCTGGAGCGGGGAAGGGAGAAGCTTTGATATCTCCACGAAGTATACGCAAGTGGCTCTGTGCTGGATATATATTCTGGCTGTCGAGATAGCATGATGGGTAGCATCTAAGCAGCTCTCCCAGCCACAAATGTTTAGCGCGATGCTTAATACTACAAATTTATAGCCTATTGATCCATCGCTGCTTCAATGTTGGTTTACCAAGTCCCAAGTATCTCCTGGAATTTTCACTGAGATGGATGGCGAGTCGTGTGGACTATGCCACGCATAAATCCCCTAACTCCATTACTGAGCCAGCACTCCTCACCGTCAACCAACTCATCGATTGTAATGACCTTCTCAAGGCAAAATCCCTGAGACAGCGCATATCGCCTTGTTGTACCCCAATTGCCGCCACTCGACAGCGGTGGTGTGATCCATTCTGGACTGGAGTCTTCGGCCTGACCATCGGACACGGCAGGTCTCCGTCGAAAGTACGGCGTAGTGATGCTGCCTTCCATAACTTCTCCCTTGGGATTTACAACCAACACTTCTATCGGATCCTGGGGTGAAACAATCCCAGCCCGGAGCCGTGCAGCTGTGTAGTCATCGCGTGCCGTAGTCTTGTGTGTTGTGAAGCCAGACGGGGTAGTAGGCTGCGTATCGACATAGATGCGCCATGTGGCTGACTGTGAACTCGACGAAGAGGGTATTAAGAGATTCAACGGGTCAATTGATGCTGTTGGATTCACGTCCACAGTACATGTTCCATCACTATCAATGGCAATGCGGAGACGCCATGGCTTTGTCTTGTCGGAAATGAAGGAATCGAGTACTTGGACGAAACTATTCAAGTCCCGCCGAAGAAACTCCAACGCCTTTTGCCATTTAAAATGGTTTGCAGCATTAATGAGACGGTCGCGATGATAAGGAAGAAGGTAATATGGGGTCTTGAGCGGATCGGGGTAGGAGTTTGCGGCTCTTTGAGCGACCACGCCGGGAAGCGCAGGATCGTAACGAAGGGAGGAGATAATCTGGAAGGATGGAGATGAGTCTAATGACTGGAGAGAAGCCATTGCAACGATATTGACGCGATTGCTATCTGGTGTTTGTTGTTGTGGACAATGTCGTGTGTCTTGTCTGTTGCTGTTATTTGTTAGCCTTGGGATTAAACTGACTGCCAGAAACACAGCAGAATCAATGCCCTTCACGTCGAAAAAATATGTCAAGTCTCTCAGACGTGGATAAAGACAGCATGTATAATTCAACAAACAGACCCTCTCAGCTCAACACATCGTCATCGTGGAAATCCTTTTTGCCTGCGGTGATGCCACAGTGGAGCTCCTCCAAGCTCAGCAACCGCCCTTGCGCCCGTCGTGATTGGCCTCGAGTGCAGCTCCGAAAGGCGCTGGTCGCCGGAACGTCGAAACGCATAACTTTTCAGGGCCGCATCACCTCTTCTTCCCTGACTACTCCTCCCCTCTACGCAACACTTTTGCCTGCCGACTGTTCTTGCCGTGCGTTATTCAGAATAGGTTCGTCTCATCCTCGGTTTGTATCCATTGCCTTTTTATTCTATTCTGCTCCACCTTTTTACCTGGCACTGACCCTTGGTTTACGTAGAATAATAGAACAGATTACACGGTCATCATGTCGAGCGAATCGCCGTTACCCGAGGCTGCGAAGAACGTGGTCGTTGACACTACTTCTCTTCCAGCATCCTCTACATCGTCCGTGTGGGATCGAATTTCGAAATGGGTCTCAGAGAATAAGGCTCTTGTCTATACCGTTGCTGGTGTTGCGGTCGTCGTGACCAGTGCTGGTGTCGTCTACTACCTGTCCGACTCGAGCCGGCCAGCAACTTCTCCTGCTTCCGCAGAGAAGAAGAGGGCTAAGACCCAGAAGCGGAGAGAAGAGAAGAAGAAGAAGGCTGAGGAGAAGTCCAAGTCCGCGTCTGTCCAGGACGGTATGTTGACCCAGATGCTTCGCGTCTCCGATTAGCAGACTTCGAGAACCGGACTGATGATGGTTTCAGAGCAACCCGCAAAGAAGACCGAGGAGCCTGCCGAAGAGCTTCCTGAGGTTGATGAGGCGACTGTTGGTGAATTGTCGGACGAGGTGCGTTACTGAAGCTGATTGGCTATGATTATCCCGTGTGACTGACGCTGATCTTTCCGACGACAGACCAGGAAAAGCTACGCCGCAAAGCTCAAGGCAGCCGGTAACAAGGCTTATGGATTGAAGGACCACACCAAAGCCATTGAGCTGTACGGAAAGGCCATCATCTGCAAGCCCGACCCAGTCTTCTACTCTAACCGCGCTGCCTGCTACAATGTTCTGTCCGACTGGGAGAAGGTCATCGAAGACACCAGCGCCGCCCTTGCAATGGACAGCGAGTACGTCAAGGCCTTGAACCGAAGAGCCACTGCCTACGAACACCTCGAAAAGTTCAGCGAAGCCCTTCTCGACTTCACCGCAAGCTGCATCATCGATGGCTTCTCCAACGAGGTCAGCCGTGTCGCACTGGAGAGATTGTTGAAGAAGGTTGCCGACAAGAAGGGCAAGGCCATTATCGAGGCCAAGGGCCGCAAGCTCCCCAGCCCGACCTTTGTCTCCAACTACCTTGGAAGCTTCCGCTCGAAGCCCCTCCCCGAGGGTCTTGAAGAGACCGTCGACCTGGCTGAGGAGTCTGGTAAGGGTCAGCTGCGCAAGGGTCTGCTCGCCATGGCCAAGAAGACCGGTGACGGTTACGAGGAGGCTGCCGCAGCCTTCGAAAAGGCTTTGGAGCTCGGCGACTTGGGTGAATTCGAGGCCCTCGCTCTCAACATGAGAGCTACTTTCACATACCTTGAAGGCAATGCCGAGTCGGCCCTGGCTGATCTGAACAAGAGCACTGAATTGCAGCCATCTCTGGTTCAGAGCTACATCAAGCGCGCCAGCTTGCACCTCGAGCTCGGTAAGTTCTCCCGAAAAATTTGCGCTACTTGATCTAACGAATCGCAGGCAACAAGGAAACCGCTGCCGACGACTTTGAGCTCGCAATCACCCACAACAAGGATGACCCTGACATTTACTACCACCGCGCCCAGCTGCACTTCATTCTCGGAGAGTTCGCCGAGGCCGCCAAGGACTACCAGAAGTCGATCGATCTCGACAGCAACTTCATCTACTCCCACATCCAGCTCGGTGTCACACAGTACAAGATGGGCTCCGTTGCCTCCGCCATGGCCACCTTCAGAAGATCCGTCAAGAACTTCGAAAACGTTCCGGACGTCTACAACTATTACGGTGAACTTCTGCTTGACCAGCAGAACTTCTCCGAGGCCATTGAGAAGTTCGACAAGGCCGTCGAGATGGAGAAGCAGAGCAAGCCAATGGGCATCAATGTCCTTCCCCTGATCAACAAGGCTCTTGCACTCTTCCAGTGGAAGCACGACTTCTCCGAGGCCGAGAACTTGTGCCAGAAGGCTCTGATCAGTAAGTTGTCGCGATTGTTACCTGTCCAACTACGGAAACTAACCCGGATATAGTCGACCCCGAGTGTGACATTGCTGTCGGAACCATGGCTCAGTTGCTTCTGCAGCAGGGTAAGGTGTCGCAGGCACTCAAGTACTTCGAGAGAGCTGCAGAACTCGCCCGCACTGAGGCCGAGATTGTCAACGCCATCTCCTATGCCGAAGCCACCCGCACACAGCTTGAGGTGCAAGAGAAGTACCCCCAGTTGGCTGCGCGACTACAGGGCATGGGCGCCGGTATGGGCGGTCCTCCCGGCCTGTAAACAAGACAGCCGCAGCGCAGTTATCGGAGCAGCTTTACTAGGCTATCCGATATGACAATCATTTTGAAGAGTCCCTTTTTTAGATCGAGGTCCTGACCAGACATATGCGGTGTTAATTTTTCCATTATTTTATTATTATCTTTTTTTGTGTCCCGGTTTCTTTCCCCTTCTTTTCCCACCATGCATACAGACCACGGTGCATGATTGTCTGATCATCTGGTTCTTGTCCGGTCTCTGCTGATATGTTCAGGGCGTCTGGGCCATTTTTCCTGCGAGTGTAATTACTACCATAGGTTTTGTGATTTCAATATTTCTCCCCTTTTCCTTTGTCATGCCAAAAGATCCCTGTTGATTTGGATTTTCTTTTCTTTTCTTGTGTGTTTTTTTTCAATTCTGGACCGGGCGGTCTTAAGGGATGTTGGGACATCTGTGATGGAGACATGTACCTTACTATCTGGTTGGGAAGGTAATGATGGGAAAGAATGTGTACCATAGCGAATGGATGAGTGAGAAGAGAAGAATTTTGACGTATCTTCCAAATTCCTTCTTCTATATGGCTTGGATCGACGGCGTTCCCTGGATACGAAAGACCGCCGGAGTAAGCATGTCCAGGCGCTTATCACCTGACGGCACCCCCACTCTGACCCGCCTATCAGTTCCCCGTACCGCAGCAATTGGCGTCATCGTTGGGCGTCTTGTGATGGTGATCCCCCCAAATAATCGTGCTATCAGACAGGTCCGATCTGTACTTCAGGAGACTGCTGTGTCGTTGATTCCGGCTCTTCCCAAGTAAGATAGATTAACGGCAAACAAATGATTAGTTAGGTAGTTAGTGAATGTGTACAAGTACGACCTCTCTCCCGATAAGACACGCCGCCAGCATTACCCCATATTACTCACTCCTTTCTTCCTTCCTTCCCTCTTATCGGGCCCTCGGCTTCAAATACACTTACTCGATCAACCCTCCATCACATCACGGCAGGTGAGGGGATTTCTTCGTCTCTCCTCATTTTGGGTACCGATTAAAAAGTGTCCACGTCTGCTGGGCAAACGAACCAGTGGTTGTGCTCAGTCTCGAACATCCACCGTGCCTGCTTCTCTGCCTGACAACAGCCGTCCGTTGACCTCAGGCTGATTCCATCAACCTCCTCTTACCCCTCCCAGGCCCCAACTCATCATCATCGGCATCATCAACCTCTGTGGCCTCGTCATCATTTGACGCCCATTTGTCTTTTTTCTGCCACCTGTTCCTCCTTTTATTTTATCGAGCAGTTTCAAATGCATGCCATCTGTTGACTCAGCAGTACCGTCCATGTCATCTTCCCCTCTGGAGATCTAGGTATGCCGTTGCCTAACCTCGCTATCACCACCCTTTTTCCTACGTGGTTCATTCCTACCCATCTTCTCTATTTCGTATCATCTCTCAGTCGTTAAGGAAGGTGCTGTTGCATCTTGTTATATGCAGCAGCTGTTCTTGATGACTTACAGTTACCAGTTGAATCCAGTTGAGCAACGTTGACTCCCTGTCCCTCTCGCTTCGAAAGCCCCCCTCTCTGAAACCAATACAAACATGGAACCTCAAAGGCAGGGTATGTAGAGCTCTCGCCACTGAACAAAAATCCTGACGATGTTCTGTTTTTGCTAATATAAACGTCCATTTCTACAGCTTCTGTGACTCTTCACCCGCTCTTCCAGCCCGATTCCCTACCGTTTCGCTCTTTGACCTTCTTCACCGATTCCGACTCTTTCAATATTGGCCGAGCCTCGAAGCGCGAAGCGAAAAACCTCGCACCCGCCCATCATAATGCCTGGTTCGATTCTCGAGTTATGTCTCGGAATCATGCGAAATTGGGAGTATCCATGGACAAACAGGTACGCTACTCGGGTCCTGCTGGTTTTGTGTGTTGGGGTATCTGTATACTAAGTGTTTTCTTCAGCATGTCTATATCCGTGACGGTGGCTCCATGCATGGCACCTTTGTGAATGACAAACGAATCCCCGTTGGCATGGATGTTGCTCTCAAGAACAATGATATCTTGACTTTCGGAACCGAGGTCAATCGTGGTACTGGTGAGTTGCTTCGCTTGCACGTTTCGGTGCAGTTGGCACCACTGGACCAATACGTATTAACACCCTTCAACAGAAACATTTGCACCCCTTAGAATTCGCTTCGAGAGCGAATGGTTTGGTTATGGGTGGGTAATTTCATCTATTATGGTAGCAACTCCGCTAACATAATGTGCAGCGATGATAAAGTACTGGCGTTGAAGCAAGCAAGCAACACTTTCTGTGTCCCCGATGATGACGATGATGTTGTCGAGGTCGGTCCAGCGAAGTCTTCGACCACAGAGACATACGGAATCTATATTGATTCAGACATCTCGGACACTGAAAATAACCCACACAGGGAAAACTCGACACCAGCTACATCGCCATTAATCAAAGACATGCCTTTGAACTTGGAGGAAACTAAGATTGGGAAGGATAGCTCGAGCACTAGTCCAGAAAAGGGGTCTAGCGGCACAACTGCAGACCATTCGAGTGGAACTCAGAAAAGCCCTATTGTTCTTGATGAAGAGCAGCGTCTTGTGACACCAAGAATGACTCCACCAGTCGCTAGTGCCCCTGCGGACTCGGCCAACGAATCAGATGATCAGTCTGACTTCATTATTAAAAGTCCAGGCCATAGAAGATTTGGAGAATTCCCTGTGGAAGATGACTCGGATGAACAGTCTGATAAATGGGATGGGGACGAAGAGGGCGTTGGCTTAGAAGATGATTCGGCGGACCAATCGCCTTATGAATTCGATGCAGACGAATCTGACGAAGAAAATAATTCGGTGATATCGACTGACCTTCCAAGGCTCGCTTTATTCGGGGGTCCATACGACACGAGCAGTGAAATAGAAGATGCAAGCTCTCATTTTGATATCTCGGATGAAGAGTTCCAGTCAGCAAGCAATCCCAAGCAGAAGGCCGCCGAGAGTGACGCCATGCCTTTGCCATCAGCTGACAGAGTTGATACTTCTGCTCCTGACGACTTCAATTCTACTTTACAGCCACAGAGCGCTGATCAGGCTTCGGGTCGTTTTAGCGAGCCTTCATACAAACCATCGCCGCTTCTGCCGGATTGGGATACAATCTCTAAATCAGTTGCAGCTGCCAGCCCTGAAAGGAGACTTTTCCCTCTTCATAGCTTCCATGAAAACGGTTATATACCGGCTACTGAGGAATGGAAGCCACAGAATACGTCAAATACAGCGTCCATTTTGCCCGCCAGCAGCCCGTATGGACCTCCCCAGGACTTTTTTAGTGCCCCTGCACCATATACTGACGGACCCTTTGTGAACAGTCGGCCACTACCCATGCCTCTTGGTATTGGAATATGTAGGGGCGTTCCAGGACTTTCGCACGCCAGGGATGACACCAAAAACCGCATGGCCACGGAAGTTTCTACACAGGCTGAGGAGCATAGTTTCCTGGAGCAGTCCCTGGACACACCCCAAGACGAGCGACGATCAAAGACTCGCGTTTCTATCGCTGATATTGTTGATACATCACTGGAGACCCCGGATATCCAAAAAGCGCCAGTGAAGAGGAAGGCGGCCGAAATGGAAATGGATTCATTCGCATCAGACGCTGCTGCTACAAATAATTTTGCCTCCTGTGCTGAGTCTAATCCTCCTGATACCAAACAACCCCTGGAGGAGTCCATTGATGAGACGTTCTCTCAAGATGCTCAGCCGCAGGTCTTGATAGGTGACCTGAAAGATTCATCCACTCAGCTCACCGATGCTTGTTCTGTCGATGAGTCCAAGTCAGACAAGGGCGACACCTTTGAGAATGAACGACCGAGCAAGCGTGCTAAGACTACCCACGAGCCATCTAGTGGAGGATTCGCTAGACATGCTGCTACTGCTCTTGTGGGTGCGGTGGTTGGTGGTCTGGGTACCATTGCGGTATTGGCTTCTCTTCCTCCAGACTACTTTGTCTAGGCGGCACAGCCATGGCTTTTGAACGACATTGAAGACCGTCATGATCTTTGCTTTCAAGCTCTTGCGTCTATTACCTACAGAACGGATGGTGTTTTGGCGCTTTCTAATTTTTTTTCTTTTTCTTTTTTCGTACTTTCTTATCGGCGGGAGTCTGGTTGCTGGGTGTTGTGATGGAACATTTCGGAATTGACCACATTTGGGCCCATGGTGCTTTGATGTATTCTCCTATTCAGGCAGGTGATAATAGCCAATAGCTCTGTTTTATTCTCTGGGCAGGTAGACGGGTATCAATTTCTCATGTATTCTGCGTGCGACCCACTATATGATGATCAATGTAGACAATATACCCGAATGCCACTCTGTCCAGCAAGGCAGAGACAACAAACGGCATCCACACTTTCTCGTTCTGTTCGCTGATAATTCCTGCTCCTTACTCCTCTTCTTAACCCGCCATGTGTAGTGACTCGTGTGACTGGACGACATGCAGCTGGTACCTCCCCCTGAAACTAGCGTCGATGACTTGTCGTGGACGCTGGGTGGTTTGACCCTGAGCACCATGAATCTTATTATTCTTCTTATTATCATGGTTCCTGTTAAACGTATCCTTCCCCCCAGTGCATCGGTAGTAAGGCATCGATCGACCATGATGTTGTCGTGTGCCTGTCAGCTGACCGGGGGGTTCCATCCTCCCTCGAGTCTGTTGTGCTTCTTTCTTCGTGCAACACCAATCCTCGTTGCTTTCAACCATCCTACGCACCCATAGGGGGGTAATTTCCCGAGATGCCTGCTCCGGCTATCGATAATCGCTGTTCGTTCGATCTCACGGGCTGCAGAGATGTTTACTGGCATATCACCTTCCTCATTTCCTCTTCTAAGCCACAGCATCCACCAGACCGTAGTTCGGTTAGACAAACAGGGCGTATTACCGCCGTGGTGATGCCATCCCAGGCCAAGTTGTAATCCTCCGTCCAGCGCGTGATTGATAGCGGGTTCTTGCAGGTCGCTAATATGCAGCCTTGAGCAGGTAATAATATTTTCGCGCACATTTGGTGTCAAGTTCCTACGCCACGTTAATGTCCGCTGTTATGAGCACGGCTTCTACTCCATGTCTCCATTTCTTGCTCTCAAACTTTCCCTTTTTTTTTTTTTTTTTTTTTCTAAATAGGGACTTCAAGTTTACGATTCCCTGAGTGTTGATCAGACTTACGTGTGCAGCTACTGGTGCTTAAATCTAACTAGTCCAACCCAGTTATCCCGGAAAAAGAGAGACAAGACCCTGCCGCCGGAAGTACATTCAGTCCATACATCGCTCACCATTGGTGCATATTACTTTGCTTATACGATGGCTGTGTTTCATATCACACTGGGAAAAGTTGGCAGACATGCAGCTGTGCTGGGCCGCAAAATAATACCGGGCTGACATTGCAGATCGATTGGCCAAATGCAATCTATCTCCCGTCGTTTGACACTCCAAATAATTTTTTTTTCTCCAACGAGAAAATAAGGTAGGTCTTTACGAGTTCCTCCGCACTCGAAATTCACAATATCGCAATGGGGCGAGTTTCCACCTGTCCCGTCCTCATCGGATACCTGCATGAAGGTGCAGCATGGCCTAGATACTAGAGTTGCAGTACTGGGGTCTGACCACGAGACCTGCGATTTGCGATATTTTCGCGTCTCCTACTCGCTGTTTTATCGGCAATACATATGCTTTTGGTCCGGTTCTCCGGTATTTCGGGTGGGCATTCATTATTGCTAGCCAACCTTGTCATCCTCGCTCATGCGAAGAGCTGCGATAATGCCTGTTTGTTGGACTTGGTTCCTATTCCTCTGCCCCCTTAGACGGCCTGTTCGGACTTGATTATCAGGACCAATCCCGTCGCACTGACACACAACCTGCGCAATAAGATTCATTATTTTGCTGCAATGTAAATGCTGGAGAAATGGCGCAGTCATTGACATATTACGTGTTTTATTCTGGGGCCAGGGTAATAACAGCACCACCACTGACCTCATTTAGTTGGCTGAGCCATATTGTTACAGCTTTCTACTGACCCAGTTTTTGGTCTGTTAGGTTAATCCTCTGGTGATCTTTTTACTACGGTGATTGACCAGATCCTTCTACACGAGTAAGTGCCTTGACCGCCAGTCAACATTCCAACATGAATAGAATTGAGACAAATTCCGGCTTATGGTGACAAATTCAACCCTCTGCTTCGCTGCTCCATTGAGCATGCATCAAATATTAGCCTGGGCGGTCTCCATATGAGATATCATACTCACATGCCACCCTGCATCTATCCGTGGTTGGCAGGAAAAGAGCTAAGCTGGGAAACATGATCACTGATCTATTTGCCTGAATCGAGCCTGACTGAGCACTATAGCGGTCAACATTGCTGCTAATACCTGCCGATCTTACGATTGTTCGAAACTCGAGTAACACAACTCTCGGTGGCGGCCATGCTTATGGAGATATCTTCCGTTCTACTCAGCTTCCAACCTGGTTTTTCTCAAACCAAGACCTCGGTCTACTATCGATTTACTCTATCTTTCTCTGGTATAATATCACATAACCCTGTTTTTGCTCCTTTCAATCAGCGTCATGTGACGTCGACGTCGTACCATAAGTGAGACTTGCACCAATCGTATCCTGCTAGCCCCGTTGGCAATCTCGGTATAGATCGAGGCTGCCTTAAGGTTCTCATCTGATCGGCTAGTTTCAGAGGGAAGGCCTCGTGAGTGCTTACACGCCGGACAGGCATTAGCCGAGGATCGTCCGATGCATCTGGAGATGATGATGCGGCTGTTCCATAATCCCCGGACCATGCCGCATTGTCTGATCCTGTTTCATTGGATATCGCTCATCTAAATCAATAATGTGACTATCACCGATGTGACCGAATATTCTCGCATCGGATGTTGCAACCACGTCTTGCTGATCGTTGAATACCCGCCGAATGAAAAACCGGGATGGCAGTTCGGCCCCTCCAAGATGAGGTTCAAGTTGGTGACTCTGCCAGATGGCTAGTAACACGGCCTATAGCAACGTAGTTTTATTACGTCTGTCGACGGGGAAATAACTGTTTGGGCTAGACAGGGAATAGCCCTGTCCGATTACAGGGCAAGGGCAGAACCTTGCTTTTTTAATTTCTCATCTGATTGACCCATTTATGCCTAACATATTAATGCTCAGGCTTTGATTCATTTATTGAGAGAAGTTATATTTGAGCTCTTCCTGATCTAACTTTATCTTAATCCAACTTATCATCTCCAGCCAGTTTTCTACTATACTTGACCTTCGATTGCTTTATATTTCGGGTTGAAAAGCACCGTGTCATCACTCAGAATGCCCAACCAAGCTCATTCACTTGATCCAGGATGTGTTTGCATTCGTGGACAAGCAGTTCGAACATGCCCAGATTGCGCAGGGAACGCACCAAGGTATGCGCTGATATAGGCCTTTTCTGGTGTCTAAAAGTGCTGATATCTGGATAGGGGAACGATGTGTAGCGGCTGTAATGGCAGTGGGCTCAACATATTCAATTGCACACACTGCAATCCGGCAGCTTTGTCTACGGCAGCCAGGTGTACCACATCGTCTATCTCGTCTACGCCAGAGTCATACACACCCTCCTCTTCTTCGTCATTGAGCAGAAGCTCATCAACCGCTGTCTCCGTACGAAATGAACCAGACACAAGCAGATCTTGGAACCGAACTGGGGATGGATCAGGTGGCTCTGGAGGAGGAAGGCTCGGCCCAAATACAAATGCAAATACCCCACGAAAAATATGAATCCAGTGCTGGCATTGGTTTTCTTGAGTGTACGAAGCTCATGGTGAAGAATGAACTGGGATGATTTTGCATTGACTACCACGGATTACCGGGTCATCATGGCCTTATTTTTTTTGGCGAAAGAGGAGAGTCACTCGATATATAGAATGTTCGACATGCATTGGATGACGGCGATTTTTGTCTTGAAGTTTTTCTTGGGTGTATGCTGTTTATATATGGCATGTGCAAAGTGACTGGCCAACCTCTTTTTGTGATTTGTTTTTGTCTGCTTTTATTTTCTTTTTGAGTTTCTCATGGCATTAAGATGCTTACTATCGTTGCAAAATGAAAAATTTTGGCAAATATTTTGATCCAGTTGGCCACAAGGACGTCAGATATTTCCAACCTGATTTCCCCGGCATCGACTGCGATTGCACTGTCGCAATAAATTAATTCCTTGATTATCCTGCATCGAATTAATTAGAATGCCCCGCCATCAAGATCCACTCCTTCAAATCCACCAGCTTGTCTAGAATTGACCCATCAGTTCGCCCGTCGGATATCCCGAACACATCCCCCGCAGTTATGACGCGGTCTGACCTCTCTGAAAATATGCTACTAACGAATTGCCGTCTTTGCTTTCCAGCTTCAGAAACCTTTAATATCCCTGTTGTTCACGAATTTTCAGCTCGTTCGGCAATTTAATCTACATAAAATAATTCAACGCAAGTCATGGCATTGTCCTGGAGTAACCAACCACCCCAATCGCGGGTCCCGTATGCAATCCCTCAGCTGGAGGGAGAACGCATCACGATTCCCGGCAGCAAAGGCGTCTTCCGGATTCTCGCATCTTCTAAACAAACGAATGGTCTTATGGCTGTTTTCCAAAGCGGAGCAGTTTTGTCTGATGCACCGGGGTTTCATTACCACAATCACGCGCACGATGTTTTCTTGGTTACCAAGGGGTACCTGAAATTGTGGAATGGAGATAAGTGTCGAATTATGGGACCTGGGGACTTTGCTTATGCGCCTCCGGTAGGCTTACTATGATCAATTTACTCTATGGCTATGGATTTTTATCTGACAATCATGCTCAGACAGTCGTTCACAACCCTGAGATGCTGGGACCGCATACAGAGATCTACGGCTTGATCACGCCAGGAGACTGGGTGGATTTCTTCCGCTACGTCTCTGAGCCGTATGAGGGCCTCCTCGTTCCCGAAAATGATAACCGCGACTTGAAATCACTCTTGATCCCCAAAGTCATGGCCGCCAAGGAGAAATTCGACGTTGTTTTCCAGCCAAACTATCAACCACCGGAGTTGGGAGAGTGGGATGAAACGGATGAAAAGTTGCCTGATTCTTCACAGCCATTCTACCTGCGCGCCAACACAGGCCCGAGATGGATGCTGGGAGGCGTGATGTCGAGACCATTCCTTACCACTACGCAGAGTAACGGTGTCTGTGCCATCTCAAGTATCGAGTCTTCCAAGGAATACGCGCCCACACTGGTTTCAAAGTACATGACCTTCCATGCTGTCGACCACTGTCTATGTGTCATCGAGGGAACATTGACTGTACGATTGAAGGGCTCCCCCGATTCAGTCTTCCGGGAGGGCGAGACGGTGGTGATTCCAGCTGGACAGCCGTTTGCTTTGGGCTTTGACAGTAAATATGTGCGAGTCTGGTCATTTGCTGATGGGAATGGCATTGAGGCGTTGGTTCATCGGTTGGGAAAGCCGTTTGAGGGGGCTGTTTTGCCGGATCGGCAAGTGGAGGGAGAATTGGATGCGAAGAACGTGGCTTCTGTGGCTGCAGAATTGAATGTTGATATTGAAGTGTAAATAGTTGATGGTTGGGTTGTAAATAGACACGATGTGTATGACTTGAGCATTCTACATACAGATTCGTTCCAACAACACCTTTTTACATTGATACCTGTGTCTACACAGACACTAGGAGAGTATCCTTTATAACCAGGCTATCCAATATTTAGAAATAATAAGACAAATTAAACGCCAATATATGCACCCCACGCGGGGTAGTCACGTGTGCAACAACAGCCGGTCGCGTTTGCCGTCGGGAATTCCGGCTGTTTTCTTCCTCCTTTCTTCACACCGCATACATCATAGTCCAACTCCACCAGGCAGTAATTGCTGCATCATATTATCCAGGGAAATTGGCATTGATAACCATGAATACCAGATGATACCAGATGATGCAACAGCAGCCTCAGCCATCGTCTCCTGTTAACACCGTTGTGGATGATGACCGTCCACCGCGGCGAAAGCGGCCCCGGGCTGCTCAAGCCTGCGACAGATGCCGGTTGAAGAAGTACAAATGCGATGAGCAATATCCCTGCTCGCATTGCAAGAGTAGGTCTTTGGATATTTTCTGCTGGTGGCACTGATTCTAATGGGCTTTCACTAGAGAGTGAAATCGATTGCGTGTATCAGGGGAATTATCGGCAACGGGAAAGCGGCCGGTCCGCGAGGTATGGGGTTTCAATTACACTGTGGCAGTAACCAAGAACCTGAAGAGCCTGACAATTATGGAATCGCAGTTATGTTCAGGATTTGGAGAAGAAATTAGATGAGTTGAATGCGAAGCTGCGCGTCGCCGAGTCCGAAATTGCCACGCAACCTTCCCCCCAGTCACAAAAGGTGGTCGCGACCTCTGGGAGCAGACCGGTATTCCAGGCTGGCCTTGGTGCGACACCGTCCTCCATGCCCCCGAATGGATCTACACCGAGAGATGAGGAGCAATTGGTGGACGATCACCACGAAGGCTCTGCGGATAGTACCGAAAACGAAATCAGCGAATTGAACCAACACACCAATGGCATTGAATTCCATGGCAGTACATCTTCGGCAGCTTTTTTGGGTCATCTACAGAAGGCTCGTGAGCCGGAACAGCCTCATCGTGCGAGTGATGCGCCTTATTCTGTGGTTTCCACCCTTCACAACTCGAGTTTCTCCCCTTCGACAGTTGGACCTGCGTGCCCGGGGCTGCATGAGCAGAACTATTATTTTGAACAGGCCCACACGTTCATGAATGGGTATTTTGAGAACATTCATTTCATCCACCCTTTGATCGATAAGGAGGATTTTGTAGCACGTTCACATGATTTGTGGTTCAACCGAAGCCAGCAGCCGGAACCGAGTTTTGTCGCACTGTATCTCAGCGTACTCTCTTTTGGGTCTCTGGTGCGCGTTTGGGATGAAGATAGGCTGAGTGGTCTGACACGCTTTGAATGGAGTCGCAAGTTGTTCTCCGAAGCTCAGATGTATCTGAACTATCGGCCGTTTTCAAATGACCTAGATACGGTACAGTGTTTATATCTTATGGTAAGTAAGCGAGCCGTGGAATTCATGATCGGAGACTTATCAATTTCGCAAAGGCCAAAATATGCCAGAACGAGCTTAACCCTAATTGTACGTATATCTCGGCTCGATTGCCCCCGACAGCTCTAACCGTCGCTGATAGTGGCCTACATGTATCTGGGCCTTGCAATACGTACGTGTCTAAGTGCTGGGTTCAACAGAGAAGTTCGTGGCCCAAAAGATCAACGCTCGAGCTGGATCTCGAAGACATGGTGGTAAGTTATGGTGACTACACTTTACTGATCAATGGTTCTGATGAATTGCTTGGCAGGGGTCTTTTTTCTCTGGAAATGTCAGTCGATTTTAAACCCTCTTTGCTTGAAGGTTACTAATACTTGCTATAGAGAAATGAGCTTTTCAGTCGGACGTCCGGACACTTTGGGCATGGATGAATATCACAATCGTGCTCTTCCCGAGCGAGACGACTCTGAGTACGCAATAATACCTCATATGGTTGACTTCGCCCAAATAATTCGGAAGGTGTCGATTCAAATATACCATTCTCGGATCACTTTGCAGGACAAGTTGCAAATTGCCCTTCAAATCGAGACCGAAATGGACAGGTGGGTGACTAGACTGCCTGATAGACTCAAGCCAGATATATGGGGGGATCGGCCATCTGGTGATGCTCTGCGAGATCCCAAATGGGCCAGACGACAGCGACTTGTCTTGGGTATTCGTGAGTTCTCCTCAATCAGTTCGTCTTTCCAACGGATCGAGGCTAAATTTTGCAGGTTATTGCTATGTGAAAATGCTGTTGTTCCGTCCTTTCCTAAGCCATTTCACCCGCAAATTACGGCATACACCAGCAGAACTGGAAGAAACTATTGCCAAATGCTTGGACTCTGCCATTAAGACGATCGAGGTTATTCATGATATATATCGTATTCATACATTCTTCCGTTGCTGGTAGGTCCAGACTTCTCGCCACTCTACGGTCTCAGTATGAACTAACATTGCCAGGTGGTATAATACCACATACGTGATGTTTGCTACATCGACTTTGCTCCTTCCAATGTCCAAGCTCGGCATGTGTTCGGAAACAATACCCTTGTCACACTCTGTTGAGATGGCAGTGGAAATTCTAGAAGCCATGGATGAATCAGTGGTGGCTAGTAAATCGGTAGATCTCATTAAGAACTACCTGCGGGAATTCCGAGCGTCGAAACCCCAAGCTCCAGCAGTGGAGACCCTTGGCAATGCTAGCGTAGCGCCGATGCCGACAGATACAGCTCCCAATCAGATTGAGTTTGAGATTCCGGTGCGTCTGCCCCATTATTCCGTGATAAGGTTAGGTGTTCTAACTGTCTGATAGGAGTGGGCCTATGGATTCGGGTTTCCTGACTACTCTTTTGAGGGGATTGCCAGACTGTTTGATGACTTGGGAGGACTTCCCATGTTAGATAACTGACATGTCGGTTTGATTAGATTTGAAGCACCTGTATTCGTATCGAGTGTATAGTGATATTGCTTGGATAATCTATTATTATCTTAATCGAACGCCCATTAAATACCAGAAATCAATCTAACAAATGGATAAACGGCATCTATAACACCGAGCAACTACCAAGTGTGGATCTCCGCCTCCTAGCTGACGCTTTACCAGAAAACAAGCTGGGATTCCTGGCCACGGCATTGTCGACTTCTTTGATGGCATCGTATCCGTAGAGCCAGGGCTGAACCTCTGGGCAAGTCCTGTGGTGTCCATGAGCACGTGAGCACAGGGGAGGAGGACAGTGACTTACCACCGGCTGGGGAAAGCTCCCACAATCTCTTTGCCCAACTGCGATAGGAACACCTCATCTCGTTTCTCCTGCTCCTCGCCATTCGGCATGTGGAAGTCGTGTCTCTGCTCAAGGGTCAGATTGAATTGACCAGATAGAGTGATTCAGTGCTTACCTGTTTGAATGTCTCCCGAACAATGGCTTCACCTCTTGATTTACGCATGCTCTCATACAGACGGAGAATTTGCGGTAATTGCGACTTGTTCTTCATGTGTCCTAACAAGAGGCCAAGGACAGCGCCGTCCTCGAGAGACGAATTGGCCCCTTGGGCGAGGTACGGAAGCATGGGATGACAAGCATCTCCTCTGTTGTATCGTTAACACCATCCAGAGCTGCATGGGCTGAGAATAGTGATCACTTACATGAAGGCCAGATTTGAGGCGTCGTTGATCCAGCTCTCCATTTCTCCGTCTGTCAATCCATGTCAGCTTGTTCCTTGTAAGCTAAAGATGAGCCGAACTTACGGTGCATCAGCTTCCACTTATCAACGCTGTTTACGTGGCTCAAAAATCGTGTCAAACTGTTTGTGTGTTAGCGTCTGCTGATATTGGCAGGGCACGACTTTCTTACATAGGGTCCCAGTCTGCGAAGAGTTGCCGCATCTCATCCACCGATCCAGCTTGTCTGGACACACCCGGGGGAAGGTTGTCTGGCACCAAAAGGACAAGATTGAACATCCGCCCTCCTCGAAGCGAATATGCGACTGCATGTGCTCCAGGACCGACCCAGAAATGTACTTGGGGATTCTCAACCCAAGATTTCAAATCAGGGTCTGAAATTTCGTCTGCTGACAGCACGATCCGGTATGCCAGATCCCCCGTGGGGAGCGGCTCGTCCTTTTTGCCAACAAAGCATTCTCGACAACGCGACCACAGACCATCAGCGGCGATGATCAAATCACTGCTGAACTGTTTTCCGGAGACTGTGTGCACGTTAGTTTGGTCAAAGTCGATTTTCTCCACCTTTTCGTTGAGATGGAATGTGACCCCGAGATCCCTTGCGCGGGCAAACAGTGCCTGCTGCAGGTCGACCCTGTGCAGGTCAATGAAAGGGGCATCATATTTGGCTCGGATATTCTTGTCGAAATTGTTTTCATGCGCAAGGACCTGGCCAGTGTAGCGGTGTACAGTCAAGAAAGTTGGCTCTGCCGCTGCCTCCCATAGTGAAGACGGGAGTTGCCAGTATTTGAAAAGGCGTGAAGCGTTCGGTGTGATTTGAAGACCAGCGCCGACCTGTTTTGGATTAGGGGTCTGATATACGGATGACACAAGTATCACTAACCTCTGCGAGCTCCTTTGCTTGTTCAATTACCTGAACTGAATGCCCTGAGGTTGCGCACGAAATCGCCGCTGCGATGCCGCTGAGACCAGCTCCGACAATCACAATACGGAGGCGTGCTTTTTCAGGTATCTATGATTTAAGATTAGTTCAAAGTTCAGTAACAACACGTGAGGCTTTTTTCTTACCATTTTTTCGTTGTTCAGGTGAAGTTGAAACGGATGATTCCTCAAATCCAGGAAGAAAGGGATAGAAGAAACCCCAGGTTTGTTGATAGTTAAATCACGTTGATTCTTATTACCGAGAGCCGCCCATATCCCCTAGCATCATGCAATAAATATCATCAGCATCATTGGCCTGTACAGGCCAGACACTGGCAATGCGCACTGAAACACCGGATCTGTCCCGAAGGTAATACTCGGAAATGCCGAGAAGTCGGACATTCCACTCCCAATTCAGCAAAACGAGCCGAGGGTGGGAGAATCTAATTCTTCAACAGCTGAGCGGGTCAAGACTGGTTTTATTTTGTGATTGATGTTCATCTGGCACGAGTTGCGGGGTATATGGTGGCGTTGAGCTGGATTTTCCGGGGTAGTATACCTGAAGCTCACTTCTGAGGAATGTCTGCAGCTAACATTAGAGTCAGAGACCAATGAGATCGAAGGAAGATTGGCCTGAAAAAAACTGTCATTTTGGCTTTGCATGATTGGCATAAACGAGTAATGATCTACTCCTTCAATAGTCCCATGACGATGATGCGTCATCTCGAGTGAAGGATTCTGATGAATGCAGAAATGATATACCAAGCATCTTTAATCCACCGTTATTTAAACGTTTGGATATTGCAAATAATTAGGACTTGATGCACGAACCTAACATATCCTCATTTTGGTTTGAAGAAATGCCTCATGAACTGGCTACCTGAACTGACGGACTTCAGTCCCAATAAGAGTCGAAATAATGTCCATCCCGTCGTCTACGCAAAGGAGAGGAAGCGATCGAAGAATGGTGAGTATCCCTCAGAAGAGGCGCGTCCGTACACCCGTTGGGTTGAGCTTTGATCATCATAGAGTGTATTTATCACGCTAATTCACTCAAAATAAGGCCCAGGAGCAATGCGAGATACTATTCAAACATGATACAGAGTTAAACTGCCGTGATTTGCCAAGGTCAAATGTGAATGATGATCAGACGTGGTCCCGACATGTACCCGACGCGTCCATATCGGGCCCTCTTCCCGTAGCGAATAACAGCATAGAATGAGATGAAAACCTTCTCTATTTACCAGGTTGTTCTCCTCATTTGAATCAGGGCGGCTGATCTACCGTGTTACGCACAAGACCCAGAGAAATGATATCAAGGCGTCCGTCACCCGAAGACTGCGCGTCCTATCTTATATCTAGCGAGTCCACCCTTTTTCAAATAAGAACAATATCGAGTTAATGAGGTCTGCTTCAACAGTCCACGGAAGAACATGGATAACATGGACCCTAAAGTATGTCATCGGTGCCTCTAGTTGATTCGATACTAACCTCTACTCTTATAGTTACTTCCTCGTCGAGTTAAAATCGCTGCACTCATAAATGCAAATGTGTATGTCTTTTTGGGGAATATGTATGCCGTATGTATGCATCTAATCACCGCATTTTTGCATCCTGACAGTGTACTCTAGTCCGGAATTGCAACAGGCTTCGAGTCCTTAGAGGCAGACTTTCACGTTCCATATCAGAAGTTGTCTGACATTCTCACCTGGGCGGTTCTTGCTATGGGCTTGTGCAATTTATTCTGGATGCCCCTTGCCATGTGTATCGGGAAGCGTCCTGCCGTCTTGGTGTCTATGGTCATGTCGCTGGGTGGGTTTATTTGGACTTCAGTGGCTCAAAGCTATGGAAGCTTGATCGCAGCAAGGATATTTGCCAGTTTGGGTATGTTTTGCATTTTATCTTTAGTGTTGCGCTAACATGATCAGGATATGGATCTATCGAGTCTTTAGGCCCTAGCATACTTGCCGGTATGACCGATTCCTGTTATTTTTTCAGCTCATCTGACTAAATAGACATCTTCCACGAACACCACTATGCGAGCGCCATGGCCAGCTATGCATTATCTCTCGCAGGAGGCTCTCAGATCGGCCCAGTAATCGCAGGATACCTCGTAGGTGCCCGAGGCTGGCGCTGGTTTTTTATCCTTTGCATCATCATCCAGGCAGTGAACCTTGTCGCGTCATTATTCATGCTTCCAGAAACACTATACGAGCTGGATGACAATAGTCGACCACCGTCAGATGGAGAAAAGGGCACATCCAACCACTTTGAAGCATACATTGAGAGCCAACCTTCTATGGACTATAATGCTTACTGGAGGGGGCTGTGGAATATCAGTCTGTCCAAGGCAGCTCGGCAGAGAGGTCCCCTAAAGCACTTTGCGTACCTTTTCGTCTTGCCGTTGCCGATGCTTTTGATTCCGGGTGTATTCCTGGCATCTATTATGTACGGTGTTGTCTTGGGAGCGTAAGTCATCTTCCTGCTATGCTATTGTCTCTGCTAAGCCATCAGCGTGGTCTCTATTTCAACACTTGAATCCTCAATTTTCAGCGCCCCGCCGTACTACTTCACATCAGCCCAACTCGGCCTCTTCACCCTGAGCAGCTTCATAGGCATCATCGTCGCCTTCCCCATCGCTGGCCCGTTAACAGACTACCTCTCCCGCTGGATGCGTAAGCGCAACAACGACATCCACGAACCCGAACACCGCCTCCCCACCCTCATAATCCCCTTCCTAGCCTGTCCCGTGGGCTTAATTGTCTTCGGCTACACAGTCGCACATCAAGAACACTACACCCGGCCGGCAGTTGGCGCTGCCCTCGCCGCATCAGGACTAGCGATGGTCCCCTCCGTCATGTTATCATATATTGTCGACTCGTACCCGGCTACAAGCGGAGAGGCGCTGGTATTGGTAAACGCAAGCAAGAATGTAGTTGCATTCGGTCTAGCCAAGGGGTCAGTTTCCTGGATGTCGATGGAAGGCGTAGATAAGATGTTTTATGAGTTTGCGGGGATTCAATGGGCGGTGATGATATTGGGGTTGCCGCTTTATTTCTTCGGGAGGTGGGTGAGGAGGAGGACGGGGAGGTTTGTTTATTGATCTCGTCTGAAATGTACATATATACAAGTCTGGGATTTTATGGAAGATGAAGAAGGCTATCCATGATGTTATATACTAGACATCAACCTCTCCCGACAAACAATAGCCAAACATCGAATCACCTCTTCCATTTGTGCAGAAACAGCCCATCTCGATGCAAACGTTTTCAAGCCCGTCTGTAGAGATTTCATCTCATTCAGCAGATGTATCGAAACCCTGTTCCCTTCACCAAGACACCGAATAAATCCATCCCATCCAAACTCTGACTCGGACCCAGAATCAGCCCACACATCACCCCAACAAACATCTCCATCGGGTATACAAACCCCCTCCCCATGAACGAGACAAACGGCACCAAAGACCATGGCAGACGCAAATATCGCCGCAGGGATATGCGGTGCATGAGCCTGACCGAACGGAACCTGATCCAGCAGACGGGATATAGCAGTTGCGTGTAAAACCGCACGAATTGCATCTGCGCTTTTTGCCCATGTATCGAACTCAAAGGGTCGAGTTCGAGTTTGGTGGTTGTTATGAGGGTGAGCTGCCCCTGCGAGTGTCTGTGGGATTTTGTAACAGTCACAGATGTGTCGATAGAGCATTGACGAGGAGATGCATAATTCGAGGCAGATTGTATGCCAGCGGATAAGGAGTTGGATGGGGGTAGGTAAGATGGATGAGAGGTTGGAGTGGTAGAGATTAAGTAGAGCGTGGATAATCTGCTTCCTGGAAACGATACCGAATACAGGGCCTGTGGATTCGTGTACGTCAGAGACAAGAGATTGGAGTCCTTCCATTAGGACTGACAGGGAGAAGTTTGATAACTGCATTGGTGTAGATGTGTAAGTGTCCGAGAAGAGAGCGACGGATATTTCCGAGAGTGGCTTTTGTACAGTTTCAGTGACTGACTGTTTCATCTCGACAATCCACTCATTTGCCGTTTTCGCTGAAAATGCCGAATCGGAACATGTTGAGCTGATAGAGTTGATTAAATGGCGCGCACTAGCCGGAGAACCAGATGCCTGTGATATCAATCCATCGAGGATGTAATGGCCGAGAATCGCGCGTCGTTGGACTTCACATGCAGACCAGTTCTTCCAGGCAGTCTCCTTTTCAGACTCAGATGCGTGTACTGGATCTGGTATTTCGTCCGCTCTGATATCCTTGACGGCGTACATCCCACACGTTCTCGCCCAGTAGAAGCCCAGTCCGTGGAACACTAGGGCCGTCATTCTTATATGTGTATTACTAGACAATAGAGCGTAGGTCTGTCCCAGGAGTGCCGTCAGAACAACCTGCACCCCATCACATTCATCACGAGGCCCTCTCAGCCCGATGAGCGTCTGCCACGACGTCGCAACAGCCGTATGGCCCAGTCGCCAGAGAATCTCTCCTTTCTGCACTGAATCCGGCAAACAGACGAATAACGAGCCCAGGGCTACCATGTTGAGTAATAAGGGCGGAATAGTTTCACGAGTGCTGAACGTTGGTTCATGGAGAACGGGGAAAGAGGGGGAAACTCGATTGAAGAATTCATGAAGACAAGCGTCGAGAAAAGCGGATGTTATACCTGTATTGTGAAGGTCTGAGTGTAGCCTTTTGGAGAGGTCTTCGATGAGCGTGTAGATTTGGTGAATAGCTGTTTTTTCTCCCCCAGATGCCCGATGAGGCGCGATATCAGCTATCGTCGCCTCGCTCAGATTCCCCTGTACAGGAGCCGCACTGGGCAAATCTGTAAACGGCAACGGAACAACAGACGCCATATGAAAATCCGGCATAAGCCACTCCAGCAACCCATCAGAATCCATCCCCAACGTCGACTGATGCCCAAACGGGTCGATACTCATACACTCATCAATGTGCATCGAGGAACCCGTCAGCTCTCCATGATTATTTCCGTTGGCCGTCGACTGCGGCGTATCCGGTACCGGGGCTGTCTGTGGAGGAGTAGGCGTAGGAGTCGAAGTGTCCGCATGAAGCTTCATGTGCCGACCCAGAACATCCTGACGGCCGAAACTGCGTCCGCAGTGTTTGCATTGGAAGGGTTTTGTGTTTGTATCTTTATATATTCATAATTAGGTTCTGGTTTTGATGATTTAATGAGATCGATGTGATGTGCTTACGGGTTCGTTCGTGTCTCTAAGGCGCGTTAGTTATGCTGTGGGAGTGAAGTGGGGAGTGGGGAACTGAGCTAACCGTGAGATGCTCTAGTTTTGTGTATGTTTTGCTGCATTGAGCACAGTGGAATCGCTTTAATGGGGATGTTGATTTGGATATTGAGGTCATATTTGACATATGATGGAATATCTGGGATGAAATGCAATACGTGAAGGTGAAGAGAAGAGGAGTTGTGGAGAAGACGGAGAGAAGTGGGGGAGATCTCCGCATTAAGGATTTACTACTCTAGGTGATTATTCTGCATTACTCTGGATAAAACGTGAATAATACATCTTCTATATACTTCATCATAACTCATAATCTAAATATGCGATTGCCATTTAATCTCCTTCCCAACCAACCCCTCTACAGCAGGAATTAACGGCCTCAACGCATGTCCATAATCGCCCCCGTTCGGCGTCCTCAATAACGTATGGATATGGAACTTCTTCGGCTCCTCATTATTCAAAAACACACCGGAGTGGTGATCAAACTCGATGAGAATAACAGGACTCTGAATGCGATAGTAAAACGGATCCTCATCGCCATACCCGCCAATCCAGCAAAAGTGCGTCTCGTACTCGTACTGGCGTATTTGCTCGAGTTTCATCTGCCGCGCCCGCTTGGGGAGGTAGAGGAGGTATTGTTCGAGGATGCCGTAGAGGAGGGTTTTCTGTTGCGGCGTGAAGGTGGAGGCGAGGATGCCTTCGTAGGGCACTTCGCGGTTGTCGCGGTATGCGCCGCACACGTGGCGCTGGTCGTCTTTGTTCCAGCGGCCGGGTGGCATGGCGGGATCGTGCATGTGTTCGTAGACGCGGGCTTTCTGCTGAAGCTCAGGAGTGAGGGATTGCATGAGTTGCAGACCGAGCTTTTCTTCGACTTGCATGATGCGGGTTCCTGCGTGCGGGCCGGAATCGATCTCATTCGGTTCTGCGCCGGTGAACCACGGCGAGGCGATGATCTGGCTCTTGTAAAGGAAGATATTCAGACAGAGGTGGTGGCCGTAGAACGAGAATCCCCAGGGTCTAGTGGTGGAGGGGTGTCCGAAGAGGACGAAGTTGTAGGAAAATTCGTTCATGACGCGGGTAGACTCGACGAGTTCGCCGAGGAAGTGGTTAATGCGCATTGCGTTGACGGCTTTTTCGTAGCCTTCCGGGGAGAGAGTCGTCTTGAGGACGTTCATGATGGCGTCGCGGATGGAGAAGCTGACCTCGTCGAGACGGAGGCCTTTGTGGCTGAGGAGGAATTCGGGGTTGGACCAGGTGCGCCATTCGGGCGAGTCGATGTGGTATGAAAGTGCTTTTTTCTGGTTATCGTCGAGGAGGTTCTGCAAGGCAAGTGTTGCATCGACAATCTCGCCAATTGGGACATCTTCGTCTTGGAGAGTGAATAACCCAGGACGGACGTTGCCTATCCAGCATCAGCACCAATTCATTCACTCAACGTCAATCAATTAATTGATTATGGTACTCACCATCTGTCGTAACACCCTTGAACGGCTCCTGCAACAAATCCAACCAATGCATATACAGCCCATGCAGCCACGGCGGATTATGCAGCGTCTTAAAGTCGTGGGCGTATTCATGCGCATCCTGCGTGCGCATCACCTGAAACCGTTTCAAGCCCAAGTCAGGCAGAAATTGGCGATACTCGCCGGTGGGCTTTTCCAGAGACATGACGACACGATGTGATATGAGACAATTGAGATATGATAATTGGCAATTCCGAAATAGTGAAAGAGGGAAATCCGGGGTTAATATATGAGAAGTGGCGAAGATCCCCACGGCGGAGAAAGTCACCCCACAGTGTTTGTGGGGAGCGGTTGACGGATTATCCGTGGAAAAGATTTTAGCAGCGATTGTTCAGCATTCGAAGAGATAAGATAGAGATGACTATGGAATTATGGAAATGGGGAAATAAAGAGATGTTGGATAATATTTAATGGTTCTGGTTATTCGGATCAAAGCCATGATAGGGAAAGACGGCGTTTGAAGGGATTCGGAATTCCCGGGGATGCGGGGAAGAAAAGAGATGAGAAGATTAAGAGAGAATGAGAATGAGAATGAGATAGTCTAGTCTAGTTGAGATACTCTGTCTAATGTATATTCAAAATGTAGGTGATCTCTCAGTTCACGCAAAACATCCCCATCACCACCCAAACACGCCAGAATGTGCTGGTCAGGACGGATCAAGATAGCCTGCTTGTGCAGCTTCATCACCTCTGCCCACTTCTCACTGCCCTTTCCAGGCTGCAGTTCAAACTCTTTTCCATGTACCATAAGTTGAATCTTCAATGAAGAAACTGTAGGTAATGAAGAGCGCACCATGCTAAGATGGCGTTCCCAGTGAGAGGCAAATTCAGCATCAACTAGGAGAGTAAAAGTGTCGAATGGACACAGATCGAGTGTTGAGAATTGCTTTGCTTTCACTTCTTCTTCACTCAATTCAGACACATACGACGAGTCAATCGGAGGAAGCTGCACTTTGTCTGATAAAACTCGAATCCAAGCATGTGGCAGCCTGGCACCTGGGATACAGACAGGTTCGTAGATGGATGCATTCTCTGGGATCTTTCGATCGCCATAAACGTATCCCACATGCAGTCCCAGGTTGTCGAAATGCTCTCGCTGTCCTTCAATACCTTCATTAATCTCTTCCATCACTTTGGCATCTTTAAGGTTGCGGTAGAGATTCTCCCGTGCAATTTTGACGTCTGGATCTGTAGTTCCCATCGTCTTCAGCAGACCGAATATCTGCTTTCCGTTCTTGACGCTTTGTTCTGAGTTCACCAAAGCTACTTGTCGTCGATCGTATTCATAGCTATCTAGGAGTCTATCTCCTCCCCAGCCATGATGAACAGCAGCTAGTTTATATGCCAGGTTATGCACATCTCCCAGGCCGCTGTTCAGTCCGAGCCCACCAGTTGGAGGGAAGGAATGAGCTGCATCTCCGGCTCTGCTGGTGTTAGACTGTAGATGTACAGAAAGTGATAGAGAACGTACAAGAAAACACGTCCAGATCGATACGATTTGGCCACCTTTCGACTGAGAATCCACGGTCTGTAACTGAGGACGTCGTAGGGAGTGTCTCTGCCAATGGCCGCATTAACAGTCTTGCGACAGAGTTCTTCATTCCACGATTCGACTGGATGTTTCGTAGACTATATCGTCAGCTATATCCTAATAAAAAGTGGTACACTCACATCAAAATTGCAAATCAACACTTGATTCCCAGACAGGTCATATCCAATAATGAAGCCAGACACTTCGGGGTCCATAACCCAGTGCAGCATGCCCACTTGTTGTCCAACAACAGGCCGCAGATTCGCATTGATATGGATGGTCATCATTGTTTCGACTACCAATTAGTATTCATCTAGATACTCAAGAAGAGAAAAGATAGCTCACGCGAATCCTCTCCCTCACACTCAATTCCCAAATGTCGTCTGACAGCGCTCTTTGCGCCATCACACGCAACAACATGCTTCGATTTAATCTTATATTCCTGCTTCGTATTTCGATCTTCAATCGTCGTAATCACATATTCATCAAACTGGATTGTCAGTAAATACCCATCTCCTATATAAAGACTAGCTTACCTCCTCACACCGCATAAAGGAATGATTCTTCCGAATCTCCACCAAACTGTTCTTCTCCAATCTCCTCGCCACCAAATCCTCAAATGCAGGCTGTGGGATATTATGAATCATCTATCATGGTTAACCACATCAATAAACACAAGCTAGAGAAGGGAACTTACAGCAGGCGTCGCATCCAAAACCCCCGGGTCCATACGCTCATACGGCAACCTCCCCACCTGCTGTCCACTCAGACTGGTGATGAAGTTGACCCAGTACGCATCACTGCGTCTGGTGCCAACATTGCGGATCGTGTTGACGTCGAGCCCGAATTGGCGACATAATTCGAGAGAGCGTGGGGAGAGAGCGTGTGCTTTGGGAGCTGCGAGGCGGGTGGGATAGCGTTCGGTTATGAGGGAGCGGACTACCCCCAGTTAGATGATATAATATAAGATCGGATATATTGGCATATAATATGGGATACCTCCAAGTTGAGCTAGCATAAATGCCAGCAAAAGACCAGAGGGACCACCGCCGATGATCAGGATTGGCACGTGGTCAATGTCTTCTGTTACGGAGGGAGACATTTGGCTGAATATACAATTGATACAATATACAAAAGACAAGACAAAGAATACAGAAGATAAAAAGATGATATAACAGGATATAAAAACGAAGGTAGAAGATCTGTGTGCTTATCAAGTGGGAAAGAAGCGGGGAAAGTGGGACAATCCTTTGTTCCCTCTTGGTGAAACTGATCGGCATGGCCTTTTCTGTCTTGGTTCATACAAATAAGCACTTCTGATACACTTTATCTTACCACTATCAAGATGAGCCTAGCTTTGCCTTCTTGATTAAGAGGTCAGATACAATGAATATAGTGATACAGAATGATAAAGCTCAATGTCAGCGATAGTTCACTGATCAGGGACGCTCTGTTTCTTAACCCATCAGAGCATGTATAATAGATATAGCAGTGTATCGGCTATCATAGCGCCGCTGCATGTCATCTTCTAGCGGCGACAGTAATAACAAGTACTGGCTGATCTTCCTTTAAATCAAGGCATGGGGAAGTTTGCAGTTGGAGGTGAATTGGAGGTAATGGGGTCACATGATGATATGAAGACCTAAGAAATAATAGAATATTTTATAGAAAGAGCGATTCTAGGACTGGTAGAGTATATGTGAGTATATATGGCTTAAATGGCCTGTTTGATGATCAATTCTGGATAGTCTGCAGTTGATGTACAAAATAACGACAGAAGTACAGCCGTAAGCGCCAGCTAGCTCAGGCAGCAAAATTTGGCATCGGGCACCGGTGCTGTATATATAGAGTACGCGTCGCGTCAAACCATCCATCTTTATCGCCAATTCAACCACCAACATGCCCAAAGATCCTATTTTCAAGGGTCTAGGAGACCCTTTGGGGGTGATTCCCCTTGACTCTATTCAGCCGGGGGATGGACTGACCACCAAGAAAGTTGATATGACAACATTAACCTCTTACAATCTTCTTCCAAAACAGCAGAAAACAGTTCTCGTTCCTGGTGGGTGAATAACAAGCGCTCTCTCTATCTCTTTCTATATATATAAACGACGCTCATCATGCCAGGCTCCCCCAATATTTGGAGTCCCCCCCAAACACCAAGAAAAGTCAAACCAGACGCAGGCTTATACCCAATGGACCCTAATCGACACGTATTCCCACAATGCCCACTCGAGCCACTCTTCCGCGCCATCGCCCTCACACAGCCAGCGATGCGTATGGACGGGATTGATCTCGTGACAGATCGACGCAATCTCCGCCTGTTGCTGGGGTTTGTCAGTGGGAAGAAGAGCCCATTCCGCATCGACGTCGAGGTGGTTCACCACACTGTACTATTTTCATGCTGGACGCCAAGGGCAGTTACATATATAGACCGTTCTGCGGCTGCGGGGTACGGGCACGAGTTTGAAAAGGCGTCGACACGACAGCCACGGGGCGTGAGGGCGAGTATCATGCATAACCGGGTGATTCGCTACGTGCTCGGTGGTGTGAGCATCATTCTGCGATACGAAGTCGACGGCTGCACCGGTTCTGGCAATGACATCCATCGGGGGATGGCTGTATCGCGGAGCGAAAAGACACCAACGGGGTATACGGTATGCAGGGCAGGAAAGATGGTCGCTCCATCGCGCATTATCGAAATCAAAACCGGACGGGTCGGGAAGAACCTGGATGTGTCGAAGAATATCGAACAGCTTTGGTTCTCGCAGACGCCGATTCTCTGTGAGGGGCATTATGACGAGACCGGTAGGTTTACCAGTATTAGCAAAAGCAATGTCTTGAAGTTGGGAAGGTTGGAGAAATGGGAGGACGGCCATCAGGAGCAGCTTACGAAGCTGGCGACGCTGCTCAGAGTCATTGTTGAGATGGCGAAGACGGAGGGTTGGAATAAATTCGCGCTGGTTTCATCAGAGGGCGCATTGAATATCTTCAGCTTGATAAATCAGAATGGTAAAGGTTTGCCTGTCGACCTGCATTCTATGTGGAGTAGCCAAGATACTGGAAAGGAGGCCTGAATAGTATCTGATCAGCCTTCTAGGCAGCACAGCAGAGTATCGGAAAGGTGATCCTAGCATTCTGCAGTAGTATCTACCATTGCTTCACTGGTTAATAACTATCAATAACTGAGTATCAAGTGAAGTAAACGTAGCTTCCTGATTAAGAGTGAATCCTCAGGCTGACTTCCTCTTGTCTTCTTCCTTCCTTCTCCCGCTTTATCTTCCTGCAACAACACTCATCAGTGGCATCTTAGCGCAGTCAATAATTTACTCTCTTCTCAGCATACTATATATATAATGAATATATACAATGGCTGAGAATCCTCACACATGAAACCCTCTGTAGTCAGGTGGAGATTCGAAAGCAGCTTCTGTGAGTATCCAAAAAGAAGCACAAATCTGAATAAGTACTCACCATCCATTCATCTTAGCAACCAACGCCAACCAGTCATGTTTTGGGAAAACCTCGAAGAAATCGAGGCAGGGGGAGATATTTTCCCATCACCATCCCTCACACTTCAGGTACTCTCCAGCGCAGTGATCTGAATGTCATAGTTGCTAACATTTCTGGTTTTGATTAGAGTCTGTCTGAGTGGCATTCTTCTGTTAACTCCAGTGATGCCGTTTGTCAGTGGTCTCACCACTATATACTCTTCTTGAGTTCTGGGCCTATATGGCCATAGAGTCTAAGTACGTGCCTGAGATTTCACCATTTGTCGGTATCCTGCTAACATGTTTTCGTGAAGATACGACGCGGCTGGGCAATACTCAGCCACCGGTGACCAAGTGCAAGGCCAGCGATGGCTGGAAGCCTATCGCAAAGTGCGATCATTACGAACGGGTTCCATCTACCTATCGACGAAGGCATTCAAGCATCCAGGATGAGTGGCAGGTGGAGAGCTACGTGAGATGATAACGCAGATATTATGGGCACAGGCGGATGCTTGAGGGAGAGATGAAGACAGGGTAGATGCTCTCGAGCTACAGAATCGATTAGAGGAACGCAGGGAAGAAAAAGAGTTATGGATGTTGAATATAATTAATTAGTAGCATCTGCACTTTTGCTAATATAAGACCCAAGAAAGAAACCAGACAAAAGAGCCAGGCTATGTATCTTTCCTGCCAGAAGATCATGTGCACTTTTGAATGTCAGACACAAACAGAGTACCAAATGAACATTTGAAACAGATAAGATGTGAGAAAAGAATTCATAGATCATGACCAAAACTACCGCCTGCGCCGAGAATCCCATGTGCGCCGTTGACTATGCAATTTTGTGTTGTGTTGTTTTATCTCGTTTAGCTGGCGACAGCTAGCTGTGCCACCAGATCAGATGCAACATCCAGGAATGGATAAGGGCTGGTGACTTCCTTTTCCTTGTTTCGGAATCTCTTGCTAATCGGGTGCCATTCCGTCTCGCCTTCTGCGCGGATCACATTTTGGTATCCGTCGCACTTGAAATCGACCATGTAGTTGGTTTCCTCCAGTTGATACAGTTGGATATCGACGAAAACCCAGACTCCGTACAGCATCCGTTGTGCTGATTGCTGTTGTGTGGCAGAAGAGGGGATCGAGGTGCCGTCATGGTCCGGAGCAGTAAAGTTCTTCTCGTCAAAGTCCATACTGGTACTGTTGAATCGACGGCGAACTTCTTCAAAGTCGCTTCGGCTGCTTCCTGCACTAGTCGAGCGGCCAGGGGCTTTGACACCTTGTTTCAGAAGACGGGCGCGGATGAACCAGGGGTCTTTGGGAATGTAGTAATCGGGAGACAAGTCGGGGTATTTACCCTGCAACGGCTTCGGTTCATCCTCGGACTGCGGATCTATTTGATTGCCTGAAAATCATTAGATCATGCAATTACATAGTATGGCTGGATGGACTTACCTGACTCGACAGGTTGGATATCCCAGACACCACCCTGTGCTAGAATAGCTTTGTAGAGATACAACATCGCTTCGTAAGGCTGATTGCGAGAACGGATACCGAACTGCCACTTTCTTGATCTTTTCGGCTGATGCGGTGCGGTACGGCCCTCCGGTGGTTCGAACCGCAACTTATCCAAATCAATGATACTACGAGAGTGAGGTTTCAATGCTCTTGCTGTAGCTTCCCGCTGCTCGGGTGAACGTGCTTTGCGAGACTCTTCCGATTCATCATCAGGGTTGAGACCGCGCCGTTCTTCAAGCAGTCTGTCCGCATCACGGGCCCGCTGCTCCCGTTCCCGAGCTCGTTGTTCCATAAGCTGCTCGTGGACGTATGGCAAACTCGTAGGCAGAATTCTGACATGGCTGACACGCACTGACTCCGGATCCTCCGGGTCGGGTTGAGGTAACTGGGCAGGCGAACGATGCGGCTCACGTGGTGCTGGAGGGGCGGCAGGGGCAGGGGCCGGAGGAGCTGTACTGCCCTGGGGACGAGCAGTCTCTGTTGGTCGGGCAGGTGGAGGTAGCGATGTTCTTTTCTGGGTTTGAGGTTTAGAAGGCGAAGCAGGGGTATCCATCGGATTGTCATCCGTGGGTGCTATTGAGGTTAGCAATACCATAGGCAGATGAGTTTATCAGAACTTACAGCTCGTTTGCATCATTTCGTTTTCAACAATGATAGAAAAGGCATCCTTGACGGCGCTGGGCTCGGGGTGTCTCAATGCATCTTCGATATCATCCCGGGCATAACCCATGCTCCGCTCTAGTTTAGAGATGGCAACTTGATGAATTTTATGCTGCACGGACAAAGGCTTTCCAGGTGCAATCTTGCGAGGGTCAATAGACTTGGTTGGGTCCACCCCAGGAGCAATAAATTCTTCTGGTGGTGGTTGTAAATAGCTAGGCAAGCCTTGAAGGAACCAGGGGTCCTGGCGGATTTCCGGGATAGTAATTCTGTGAACGGGGTGAACCTGCAACATCTGTCTAATCAACCGGGCAGCCCCAGAAGAGATATAAGCCGGCATGTGAAAGTTTCCAGCAGCAATCTTCTTGAACAGGGCCGGGATATAATCATCATCGAATGGCAATCTCCCAACCAACAGCACATAGAGAATGACACCACAACTCCATACATCCACCTCGGGTCCCGCGTAGAGCTTTCCTGAAATCACCTCCGGCGCCGCATAGTTCGGACTACCACAGCTGGTTTTGAGAAAGTTTCCATCCGTCATAATGTTACTTAGACCAAAATCGGCAATCTTGACGTTCTTCTCGCTATCGATGAGCAGGTTCTCCGGCTTCAAATCACGATGCACAATCTTATGACGATGACAGTATTCCACGGCACAAATAATCTGCTGAAAGAATTTCCGGGCTTCGGTATCGTTGCATCGGCCTCTTCTCACTAAATAGTCGAAAAGCTCTCGTTCGGCATATTCTAAAACCATCACAATGTCACTCTTGGTTGCAATCGTAGTGTACCTAAGGAAAATCAAGTCAGCCCTCGTTTTATATGGTATATATCATCCAGATGATCGTACAGTTTAATAATGTGAGGATGTCGCAACAGCTGAAGGTACTGAATTTCACGTTCCACGCGACCGACCATGTCTCTGGATAGCAGCTTGCGGCGGGAGATAATCTTCAGAGCGACCTGACGACCACTGGGCTGGTGAATCGCCAGCTTTACCTTACCAAACGACCCCTCACCCAGGATCTTAATCGTCTGATATTGATCGAGACGCTGCATGTCTCTCGTGGTCGCCGGGGACTGCATCGAGGCATCGGCGCCCTTGCCGGTCGGTCGAGGCGGGGGCATTGCCATGGCGGAGGGATTCTTGGTCTTGGGCGAAGGAGCAGCAGCAACAGCAGCACTGGCACGGTCACGCTGGCGATCTCGTTCGACGGAGGGCAGAGAGACGGAGAGGTCTTCGTCGTCGAAGGCGGCGGCCATGATTAATTATTGCTCAGCTGTTCTGCGGTTCGGGAATGACGGGCGAGGACAACGTGACGTGATGGATTCTCCAGTGTGGCTCCAGATTTCCGACCGCCTGACTGTGTAGGTTTTCTGTTTGGGTATTATTTCCAGAGTCGAATTCTGGAATTGTTCGACACGCCCAGTGAAACTCGTCTTCAGGAGACTCCCCACCGCAGGACAGATGGATGGTGGAGCGGTGGAAGGTCAGAGGAATTGTTTTCGACGGCGGGGGAGGATGGAGGAGGGGCGGAGGAGGTGCTTGCAAACAGCCACGTCAATGGAGCGAGTGGAGGAGACAATATGCAGTCGGAAAAGAGAGGACAAGGATGGAAGATAGACAATCAATGGAGGGGCAGCGATGGAGAAGTGCAGGATCAGAGGACTTGGCAGTGTCTGGAGGGTGTTTTGTCTCATTCTGGGTCTCTGGAGAAGATCGCCGAGGCCAATTTGGCGATAGTCTCAGCTTGTCCGGAAGAGGAAACTGCTCACTCTTTATCAGCTACACTCTCTAATACTCTCTATGATGATTGTCTATATTGATATTTGCATTGAATTCTCCGATGCATATTATCCGAGGCATAACAATCATAATACCCTGTCAACTGATAGTTACGGCTGATTAGTCCCATCAACTAATTTATCCCAATCCATAAGGAGTATTGATTGTCAAAATACCAACTGCCGCAGTTCATCCTAACAATTGACTCATATTCCCTGTCTGTATGGCTGCTTGCATCCTTAGTCCTATTGATTATCCCAGTTATTTATCTATTCAGTCTCAATTATGGTTGTTTTGTCTCTTCTGATAGTTCAACAATAGCATCATCCAGCACAAACACCAATCTTTACTTATAGATACACATACTCTGATCTACTATCCAACGCTCATCATAATAATACCAAATAACCTCATCTACATCCGAGATAACACTCCCTGTACTACTGCAACTAATTCCATCGTCCGTTTCAGCCTTGCGGCGCAGCACCTCGAGTGACCACAAACTGGCCATGATGAACCAACACTTCTCTTAATCCTTGTCATATTCAACATGGCTAGCAGTTCATGCGAGGCTGTGTCGCTTTCGTGCATATTTTCGCTGTCTTGAGGGGTATTTGGTCGTGGGAGATTAGGATGGGATTGTTGTATAATTAGCTGCTCCCTGGCTGGGCTTTCTCCTTTTCTTTAGCTTCATAGATCTGTCTGTCAATATGAGCGCATTTTTCCTTTTCATATTATTTCTCGCCATCGAGAATGCCACTGGCACAGCTCTGCGTTCAATCAGTCAAGATAACCATCTCGCATTTCCCCAAGCACGACAACTCTCCGCTGCAACTTCAACTTCACATTCCAAATTGAAAGCTCGAACAACTATATCAGAAGTCCTCGCAAGCAAGGCCAGCTTTGACTATATCCATGAAAATGACGACAACACCGAAACTGTGTTTGCGACAACATTGAATGTGGAATCGAAACAACCGATTCTGGTCCTGGAAGATGTAGAGCCGTGGGTGGAGGATATATCCTGCTCAGAGTCACAGATCCGTCTGGCTTTCAGTTCTTTCAAGGATATTGAGACCTTCTATTATTCACTCGACGCTCTGCGTGATTTTGTGATTGTCACAGCGCATGAAGGCTGTGATTTGGACGGTGAGAGAGCCACGCATCGGTATGTCTGATCTCTGAATAGTATCAGAATAAATCTCTTAATTCAAACTAGGGTCATAGGAGTCAGACTCGATAATAACGACTTGATTGTACTGAAACAACCACTCGCATGGCAAGAAGCATTCCACTCTACCCAAGTCTCCTTTTCTCGACGACACAAATCCGAGATCAAAAAGCGTTCCAATGTCTTCGCCAAAAGACAGCAGGAAGAAAGTCCTTCAACAACAAAAGTTATGACAGGCTCTGGTGCAACACCGACAGTTACGTTTCCTGCTGTTTCATCTGCGACCTCAGAGCTGCCATCTTCGGCCACCGGGTCTCTCGACAAGAGCATCGTTGATCAGGTCATCTTTCCGCCAAAGGGCCCTGTTGTTAATTAGTTCATGTATGTACATTCCCTATCGGAATAGAGACATGGCTGACTGACTGAGTCCTAGCCCCCAAGGCGTCACAGTATCATGCAAAAACTGCACCTTCGAAGGCTCAATCGAAATCAGCCAGGGCTCATTCAACATGTCATCATCAGATGGCATCACAGACGACATCAGCAATACAATCGACTTCTTCGAACATGGCAGCGTGGAAGTCATCGCAAATGATATGTTTGCTCAGATTGAACTTGGCCTCGACCTCTCATCCAGCCAGAGTCTGGCTTCATTGCCGATATCGCTTCCTACTATTCCGCTTACTCCGTTCGAGGTATGCTTCATCTTCCATATGGAGAAGCATAATATTGATGAATTGTATATCTAGATCCCAGGAGTTGTCGCCTTTGGACCTCTGATTCAACCGCAGCTTAATCTCAGTCTGAGTCTGCAGGGGGAAATGGGATTCACATACGGCTTTAACCTTTCTGTATGTCTCTCCTGACTGTCATTTCCAACATACTGATCATATTGAAGGTACCCGATGATTCGAAAATCACTGTCAACATGACCGATCTCTCCAGCTCTTCTATATCAGGCTTGTAAGTAATTCCCAACCTCAATTATCAATCAAACCCACAACTCACACATTCCACAGCAACGAAACAACCTTCCACGCCCTCCCATTCCAGTCTTCCTCAGCCATCCTATCCCTCATAATGTCCGCCTCATTCACACCCCAAATCCTCCTCGGAATAAGCACAATCGCAGGCTCCGCAACAGGCGGTATCGGCGCCTTTCTCAAACTCCCCAAACTATCCGTAAACATCACGCAACTAAGCAACGTGAATGAAAACTGCGAGGCAGCATCCGACCCATCAACCGACATCAGCTCAGCACTTGACAACGTCTTCGGTAATCTAACCAGCATCGTCCCCTCCGTGCAGGCGAATATGGGCGTTTTGGCGGAATTCGAGGCGGAGGTTGTTGAGTTTAGTGCTAAGGCCGCGGCGCAGTATGTGCTGGCTGAAACGGAATATCCATTGCCGACGGCTTGTTTGATGTTTGATGTGTATGGGGGAAAGTATGTGGCGCCTTCTAAGGCGTCGAGTACGGCTGGTGCGACTGGGGGTTCTGGGGCTGCTGCTGAGGGGAAGGATAAGGAGGGTGGTGCGGTGAAGGTTGGGGGGAGACTAGATTTGGTTTCGATGGGTGCTGTTATTGTCACCTTATTTGCTGCTGTGTTTTGTGCATGAGCTTAAAATGAGCCATGCTGATGAAGTAGTAAATATGGATATGGATATAAATTCGATTATCATACTGGTAGAGTAAAATGTCAGCCTCGTAAAGCTAGTTAGTAGAGCCGAAAAAGAGAACGGAATATCAGCCATGCTGATATCCATTAACCCAGAACCAAAGATACATCCTCCAGGTCCAATGCCTCCCAGTCTTTTTTTTGGACATGCCCAATCGCAAGACGGTATGCCACTCCCTCCTTCCACTCCACCCAGAGCACTTCATATCTCTCCCATGATCTCAAAGGAAACGTGCACTTCTCTTCCTCCATATTGAAAGTCTTTGCATAAAGTTTCAATCGATAAATGGCAACCAGCTCAACTTGCGTCCCTGGTTCGCCATCTGCCACATTCTCGGGAAAGAGGGCTAGCTGTTCTTCATTGTGCAGGTGCAACTTTCCAATTTCATCGCCTGCTCTGGTGCATAGGTTTAAGATGTTATATTTCCCGGATCGTTTAGCCCAGATGTGAGCTTTTTTCGTTTTGCAGAAAAGATATGTCGTTTGCTCGGGTGAGAATGGTGGAGTGCAGTCTTGGATGTCTGGGACTGGAAAAGGAAAATACCACGAGTGACAATAATCTTCTTCGGGCATGCCGCTGTATTTGAAGAAATAGTCACCACAACCATCTGGATGAAGCCACGGTTGATCCTCTGCCATCCTGTCTGCAGGCACATCGTACCGAGTCCAACCCGCCGGCAAAGGCTTCGTGAAGTCTTTGTAGGAGTCGCGATTCTCATACCATGTGGATCGGATTCTCCGTAGTGGGGAGTCACTTGGGGATTTGCTGGTATACCACTCGGTTATTGGAATTGTTTCTGATATCGTATCCTGTCGGTGGTTTATATTAGCGGCTTCAGCACTAGTGTGTACCATCCCCTGCCATCCAGCCCACGACCAAGACGGCAACGCCAATTGAATGTTGCTGGATTTTTTTGACTGGCGTCTTCGTCGGAGGTTTGTGTGACTCCAGTGCGGTTTCCAACCTAGAGCTCGATCGAATAGCATCTCTGGGAGCCCATGGAGAAACCCACCAGTAAAAGAGCGACTTAGTACGGAAAGGATGCCTTGGAAGCCTGGGAGAGCATCCTCGTCGTAGATTATCTCCTGTCTGTTGTAATTCGATATCGTGTGGCTAAGCGCCTCTATGTCCGGAAAGCCAGCCAACATAACTGCCAATCGCGGGTCAAGGTAGCTGTAAACCTCATCTCCGGGGGTCAACTCCTCATGCCATTGGCTACACTGACACTCCCAATGCACCGCCTTATTATGAAAAAGGATCTTTCTCGGAGACATTTTGTAGTCTTGGTATGTCCGACCATCTTCGTAGTATGGAGTACCTCCACCGATCGAGAATAAGGTCGTGTTTCGAACGATGATTTTCTCGTTCCCAAATGGAATGACCCGTTGTTCTAGCTTCCGAGGAGGAGAGACATCTTTCAGTCCTGGGATTCCATCCTTTGAGTGTCCATCTGCAGCAATAAGGGTAACAATGGCACTTGCATATATCGCACCGATGTTGTCTGACTGAGCTTCCGTGGTGGCACTATGTCCGTCGACAATACACAGGCCATCTGCCCAGAGATAACGTTCCCCAATTGCAGAAGTCAGGCATATGCCGTGTCGAATTTCCGGGGATAGATATTTTGATATTTCCGGATTCTCCAGGCCAAGAGGCTCCTGAAGCTTGACCATGTCGTTAGCGTCCACCTTGAGCACTGGAGGTTCTCCATGACTGTAGCTTAGCGCGACAAAAGGACCACAATCCTGCCCAGGAATAACACATTTATCCTCAACATCGATAAGCCAGGCAGGTCGTGTCGGCCAGATCTTCATGGGGTTGTGGCACTTCGCACCATGAGACGAGAGACACTGGGTCTTCCACCGCTTGACGATATCGAGATCAGCCCAGTCAGGATCTAAAATACGACCAGTCCCGACGTGGCCAGGGTCGGAATCTTGCTTGACAAGTAAAAGGTCCCAATAGATGCCAAAATCAGACAATGATTCGATTATGCAAAGGCTTCCTTCTCCATAACCCTCTCTAATTCCCATGTCATCGCATTGGCGTTCATCGCCGCAATATTCTTTGAATTGCTCCACCAGAGGAGTGTGTCTGGGACATTTAGAAGAAGCTGCATCCTGACGTCCTAGACTGATCTCATGTGTAGATTTGGGATCTTCAAAACGGCGCCAAATGTCATTGCAAATCTTGCAGTCGAAAAACTTATCCAGCGCTCCCCCCTGATTGGTGCTATCCAAGCTTTCTCCCATTCTTCTCGCTAGAGTATGCTGTCACTGGGTTGGTAGAACTGATTTCAATGAGTAGGAGAGTCGGATGAATTTTTTTGGTCCATATGAGATAAAAAGAATGAGCGAACTTCAGGTAGAAATGTTCTGCCTAAAGACGCCTCGTTTTTCATCCATTGTGCCCAGCCTTGTCTGCGAACATCAGCGCTAAGCCCAAAGGACTTATACGTGAACTGTTCTTGCATTGACGCTTTACAATTATTTTAGACGGAAGCACCGAGTTGAGTGGCCAAATTGCAGCCAGCTAGTGATAGAGAAACTTCGTCTGCTCCTTTCGAGCCTTATCCGCGGTACAGCGCATATCACTTCCACTTTCCTCCACTTGGGCTTGTAGCTTCTCTGCCCAGTAATCTTGCAACTATAGCGCGCCTCCTGTAACATCAAGAGAGGCAGCCACAGCAGGCGCTAAAGAGTGCGGGGTATGCAATCGGATTGTAGTGTAGCCTCTGAAGGTATTAAACAATTGAGAATTACCCAACATGCAGATAGCCGCCAAGGGATGCCAGGTGAGCTGCAGTTGTGATTCCTCGCTCTATCCCCGCTATCATGAGGCAAAATGCCCAGCTCTCTCGTATCATGCAATTGTACAAGAACAGTTCACTTATGGACCTGCATCACCCAGGATGTAGACCAATCACATTTCGACGGTGCATGAGAAACATGACCTAAATTGAAGCTAAGTATGTCGACTTGAGCCAATTTATTCTGCACTCTAAGAAATAAAGACGCTCTCTCTGACAGTAACAGCACCAGACGCAGAATACTGCTGTCGATGAAGTCGAAATGAACCCAAATAGGAAAGGCGGGGGTGGAGAGTCGGGCACCCAATTCGGCTTAGCGCGAGCCCGAGGTCGGGGAGCCCGAATAGGAATGGCGCAAGGCTGAGCGAGAGAGAAAGAAGTGGGAATGACTTCCATCGCAAGACAACATCTCTGCTGACATCCAAGTGTCCTTTATTCTCTCTATTCCAGGCAGAAGCCGCTGCTAAGTACCACCTCGTACGACTTGGTTCCCCCTCGTCGCGTCCCCAGGCTCTGTTTGACTTTCCTGAAGGTTATCTTATCGGAAAGCCCCCAGGCAGAACTGGTCGGCTACTTTCATCTATATCGCACCGGTTAAGATTCATCATATTTTATCATTTTCCGTGGATTTTATTATCTCAAAATGTCTGCGGACCACCTTCTTTGCCAAATCAACAACCCTCACCACCGAAATGAGTGGTTTGACTTTGACAATTCGTTTGAATTCTCTTCGGCCTACCTGGACAGTGACCCGAATTCAGTCAATGCCATCTCTCCCAAAGACTACGATTTGACTTGCAATGGCACAGACGGGCTGGACTGGAATCAGTCATCTGATCTTTACACCCAGTCATTGTTCTCAGAATTCATCAATGAGGAGCCACCACTAGGCGATTGTGTCGGCAATGCATTCGACAGCGTCGGCCCCATCGCAGACGCCAACTACATGTTCGATCAGACTGCTGCACCGAAACAGCAGTCTTTCGCAAAATCCAATTCAACGTCGCCCGAGATCTCGGAACTTGAGCAATCTATCCATTTTCCTTCTTCGTTCCGAGAAATGGTCGAGGCGCAAGCAGCAGTCGACCACCGTTGCGCCTCGAAAAAGGAGAAGCGCAGAGAAGCAGCGATTGCTATACACATGCAGCGTCTTCATGATGCCCCATCGCAGGACCTAGACCTTTCTTCAGACTCGAATACCAGCTTTTCATCTCCCTCCTGGTCCGATTTCATGCAGGAGAGTGTGTCTCCCGCTTCTGCGCGGGTGAGCCCAACAATGACGCCACCGTCCTCTGATTCAACCGAGGCCACTTCTACTCCTGCTTCGTCTGGCACTAGCCCTGGCAATGGGATGGAATTGGTACTTGATTTGAATCTCAATGCGACTACAGAATTCCCCAAGAAGCAAAAGCCGCGCTCACAGGCTCAAAAAGATAACTATATCAAAGCTCGGAAGTATGGAGCTTGTGAAAAGCACAAGAAACAACACAAGCGGGTATGTTGTCTGGAATTTACGGTCCCATTGTTTAGAACTCTTCAAAAGGAGCTTGTCTGGGAAACATACTGACCCTGTCCAGTGTAACTGCCTAGAGAAGAACATCGCGAGACTCAATGTCAACGAAGCAGCAATTTTGGCGACACCGTCTGTTTCAGGACTTCCGAGGCAACCAATTATACACGGCAATGGACTTCGATCAAAGCAATCTATATTGCCACCAAGGGAGAGCCCAAGCACACCATACAATTCTCAAACACAGGCACAGGCAGTTGTGGACAGGAATCGGGTGGACAGACATACTTGTCACAACACGGTTCTCCCCTATCCTCATGGAACCGTCGACAGACTCACGTGCCACAACACTGTTCTCCCATATCCGCATGGAACCGTTCCACTGGAAAGGAATTTTGCTCGTCCTGTTACAAACTCTGCTGTTCCTGGCAACATGGAGCAATTCAGAGTGAAAGTTCTACCACAGAACAGGAACACCAGACCTTTCGCTGGCGTCGATCGATTCAAATGGGGTCCAGGGACTGTTCAAATGCAGTCCACAAACCAATTACAATCACTACCTGGATGCCTGGAGATTTCTCCCACTCAGGGACATGTCCCAAGGTCGGTTTATACTGTGCCAAAGGTTCATGGACCTGGAGGTCCCAGAATCAGTCGCAGCTCAACCGCCCCGGAAGATCTCAGGCCTCTCGAAGGACCGTCAGCCAAGCCACAACAGAAATCTGTGGCAAAGGCATCGACTTCTTCCAGCAGTGGCTTATTTCCAATCACTACAAATGGTGTTTTCTCCAGTATTCGGTCTGCTGGTGGAGCCATTCAACAAACTGTGCTATCTTTTGCCTCCGTCTGGCAAAACTATACAAACCTTACATCTTGGGTTGGCGCCTATGTTGGCAGGGCTGTCGTTCGTTCTTGCAAGCAAAGTTTATCCATTAAAAAGGGCTTGGAGCTTTACTAGGTGAAGCTCAACTAGAATCTGGTTGGAACATGTTGGAAACATGCTCCCACCAGCTTTCTCATTTTCCGGCCTTTGACTTGTGATTTTATGGTTTCTTTTTCTGTTTTTAAATTTTGGTCTGTTTCCTTTATGTGAGACAAGGAATACCCTCATATGTTGTCACTTTAGTTATTTTATCTACGTTTTTTTATGACAAGTTTATTCTTTTTTTGGATGATACTCTGACGGTGGCCCGACGCCCAAAACAATTAATGAATTGGCATTACTATCCCGACTGTGGTTCAGAATCCATAAATGAGCTGTAAAACCACCACGTGGTATCGATCCATCCATGGTCCTGTTGTCGGAGAGCGATGATCAATAGCAACAGAGAGAAACGATCATAAAAGAGAATCATAAATCTCTGAAAAATGCCTCCAAATATCAACTGTCTATCTGAATGCTTCATGTCCCGGTTCACCTATATACCAACTCCTGTATGGGCGGATCCAGCCCCGCTGCACTGAAATGAACCCGCTGGGACTCGCCCGATCCCGCGGGGCACGACAAAGAAACTACAACTACCGACTTCTTGGTGAAGGCGAGGAAAAGCATCCTCATTCGCAGGCATTGACGCTCTGCTATCACCTCTTTCGCATATCTGTGATTCTGTAAGTGCTCTATATCGAATTGACCCATGTCAATTTCCGTTCATCGGACAGCCTGGCCCGAGGCAATGAATCAGACCGCTAACAATTCCTTCCCCCCGTAAAGATTGTCGGTACTAAGCACTCTTCTCGTCGCCAGTAAATTAAAAATGGCTGGATCTCATTCTTCCGAGTTTCATTTGAGATTATCCAATGTTGAAGGTTTCTTTCTACAGGATGAACCGACAACTGATCCTAGTAGCTTTGACTATGTAAGTCTCGCCATATCTAGCACCCCTATTCCGTATATCCAGTCTAATCCATGACTCAGGTCAAATCCAACTTTGGTCTCATCTCTCGTAGCTACGGCTCTGATTCTGAGTCGGACCCAACTGGTCAAAAAACGCAATGGGAGCGATTCGCGGATCAAATCAACGCATTGAACCGCGATAGTCCGCCAGGCACCTCCTACAGAGTCCTCTACCTTGGCCGACACGGTGAAGGGTTCCATAATGTTGCCGAGCAGCGATACGGAACCGACTTGTGGGATGTAAGTGATTCGCCTTCCCCTTTCCCGCTACATATCTATACTAATTGACAATTACAGTGTTACTGGTCCCTTCAAGACGGCGACGAAAATGGAACCTGGGTTGATTCTCGTCTTACTGCGGTTGGTATATCGCAGGCAGAAACCGCGCACAAGGCATGGGAGAAGCAGATTGAGCAGAATATCCCCCCTCCGCAGTCTTACTACGTGAGTCCGATGAATCGGTGTCTCGCTACGGCGACTGTTACTTTCAAGGGGTTGAAGATGCCGCTTACGGAGCCTTTCCAGCCTACCATTAAAGAAGTATGTTTTTAACAACCACAAGAACTGACAACCTAGGAGTTAAATACTAACACCTCCACCCCAGCTCCTCCGCGAAACAATAGGCCTGCACACCTGTGACAAACGCTCCCCCAAATCCACCATCGAAGCCGAATACCCGCTCTTCAAAATCGAGCCTAGCTTCAGCGAAGAAGACCCCCTATACGACTCTAAACTCCGCGAATCCAACACCGCCCGTGATGCACGGTTACTCGAATTCCTGCGCCATATCTTCGCCACGGATGCGAATACGTTCATCTCGCTTACTGCGCATTCTGGTGCGATCACGAGTATCCTGGAGGTAATTGGGCATCGTGAGTTTGCGCTTGCCACGGGTGGGGTTATTCCTGTTGTTGTTAAGGTGGAGAGGGTGGCTGGGCCTGCGCCGGTGAGGAAGATTGATCCGTGGGAACAGGCACCTGTGTGTAAGGTTGATCCTAAGGTTAAGGGGGTTGTGGGGAGTACCGTGGAGGTTTTGGCGGAGGTGTAGGGGGTTTGGAGGTAATTAGAGTCGCGCGATTAATGTACTGTTGAATTTTAGGATATCGGGCGGAGGACAGCGTGTTCAAATCGATGCTGATAAAGACAGGACGTTGATATGATGTATATTTCAGTATTGTACAAAAGTCGAGCCGTGCCTGTTCCACACAGGGGCTCTTTTGAAGGTCCTTGAAAACTCGCGTCCATCTTCCATCGACCCAAACTCTTCCAAGAGAACTCCTTCATATGGGATAAAGAGGAACCAGGGGCCGTGTCTTCTCCTCGGACCGCACAGACACCACTGTCTGTTGCAGGAGAGACCGCGAGGTGGGAAAATGTAACAACCAAGATGCTGATATATCCGCCAGATGGAGAGTGCTTACTAACGGTCTAAATAATACAAGACAACGCCAAAGGAAACCATCGCTTTGCCCGAAAAAAGGCTTGTTGAGACAAATAAAACAGGGGGAAGAAGAAGAAGATTACCAGCTGTAGTACTGGTTCTGGGCGCTGATTTTGCGGTCAGGCAATTGGGTCCAGAGCTTGGTCTTGCGCTTGCGCAGGGCCTCAGCCTCACGGTCCTTCCACTCCCGGATCCGGGTGTTCTCCTCCTTCAACACGACGGACAGGGAGGTGTATGGCGGACGGAGGATGTTGATCTGTCCTCTAGCACGGTGATCGTAATCCACACCGTACGGACCTCGGTTTACCCACGCTTGGGAGATGTAGATTGATGATGGGTCGGTGATCCTCTTGCGCTCACCAGACTTGAGCGTAACGGTAAGGGGCTTCTCCAAAGCGGACTTGCCTTCGGCGGGAAGACCCATACCAGACCGAACCACGGCGACGTTCTTCGCGTGCTTGAGATGGTCGAGAACATCCTTGGCCGCTTTCTTCTTGCTGAATCTCATCTGCAGCATGGCCTCGTCGATGTTCTTTCCGGCAATCTGACGGGCCAGGGGTCCCAACTTCTTGATGGAGGTCTTGAACCAGTGCGACTTGGACAAGGACTCCCGCTCTGTCCGCATAATCTGTTCTGCCTTCGTAAGACGACCACGACGTCGAACTTCCTTAATCACCATTTTCCGTTCCCAGCGAACGCGTGCTTGAGGGCGAGGGTCAAGGACCGCCTGCATGCCGGTCTTGTTCCGTCTCTCAACAGAGTAGCTAACCTCCTCTTCTTCTCCTTCAGCGGGCTCGGCTGCCTGTCTGCGGGCCGGAGTGCGGCCTGACGCCATGAGTTTAGGGGATGCCTCATCCTCCGCGAAAATCGAGTCAGCACTCAGTCCACCCTCTCGTTTCATGGGAGCTGTGGATCGGCGGGTGATCTTGGGTTTGGCGGCAGCATCGGATTTTCCGCCGAAGAAGAAGTTCTTGATGGAGGAGAGGGCAGAAGGCTTCGCTTGGTTCTCTGGCTTGTCATTGGGTCCATTATCGCCATTCTCTTGGGCACGACGGCTGACGGTATAGGTCAAGGTGCGGCGAGGAACGAAAGTCACACCTGGCCGGGCTACGATGGGTTAGGATTAAGCTGTGACTGCAGAGGAAAAGGAGGTGTGCAATTCCAAGAATCAACTCACCGGACCGGATCAGATGCCCATAAGGGTTGATAGCAGCCATTGTGGCCATGGAGACGTGACAATCGACCGGGGTAGAGTCACTGGACGTCTGGATGTTTTGGAGACCAGAGAAAAAAGTGTCGGGAAAGCCTCTTGGCTGCGCAGTGGGCCTGTCGGGGACACCGTAGTGTTGAGCTGTGCCACAGCTGACTCAGCGTATTGTACCGTAACTCGTGACAATACCGACCACGCTGTGGCGGTCCACGCAGCCCTATTCCACTGGCAAAAGCGCCAGTGTCTAGAACGCCCCAAGCATGTGGCTGTAACGCCAGAACCGGTATCAGGCAAAGCCAACGACGTAATTGGGTGACACACGCTGTGCCGTCCCGACATGCGCTCGTTCCGGTTACACAATCCGACCTCAGTCGAAGGGAGTCGAGATTCCGTCCTTTTGCGTCGAAGAAAGAAAGCAGAAGTCATCGAGTCTTTTATCGTCCATTCATTTGACCCAGCTCTCCGCGTGGTTGCAGCTTGTCAAATCTGGTCCGTCTTTTCTTAGCAGCCGGTCGGTGGCTGTGGTGCTGCTTTTTCTCTCATGCCGAGCTCTCTCTCTCTTCTGCCTCTACCAAACACCGGACAACAACCGTCCCATCTCCACCGCGCTGATCCACTGGCCCTCATCGTTCATCTTTCTTTGTTCTTCTTCTCTCACCTCTCTTTCTCCTCTCTCTCGTCAGCCCTCCAGGAACACCACCTCGTGGTTCCCACGTTCCTTGTACGTTGAACATCCTCGTCTGCTCCGCCTATGTCACCGCCGCTAACCCGCCTTTTTTTCAGATCCCTACCTTACCTGATCGGCCGACCTGGATAGCTTCTCTGCCCCCTCTCTGTATTTGCTTGTCTCCGCTGTCACGTTCCTCCATCCTGTCGCATCGCCTGACGCATTCGCATCTTCCCCAACCATCCAGCTTTGGTATAAAACTATCAGTGAATTTATCTTTTCATTCTATACTTTTTATTTTCTTGCTATCTCCGTCGTGGGTTGTCATCCACCGGGGAAGGATAAAAGAAATAAAAGAAAGAAAAAAATAAAGGGAAAAAAAAAATTCCAGTTGCAGAGCTAGGATATAGGCTGGGCTGGCCGGTGCAGGAATGGACTCGTTGTTGAGGCATCTTACAGTTGACCTCTAAAACTTGAATTCTCTCTTCCCTATTCTTCCTTTGAGTCTTCATTAGCGCTCCTGGGCCATTTGATTCCACTTTTTTTCTCCAGGAAAAAAAAAAACCTCTTCTTCCCCACCCACCTTTTTTCCCCATATTCAGGCGTGTCTTTACAAGCGACCTAGAACATGGACATCAATTCACTTCTCTCGCCGCAGGACGCGAACTCGCAATCGGGGCGTTCAACGCCCGGTGTCGGTCCTGCAACCGCTGTCAACCCACCTGCCCAATCCACAGGACCAGTCCCAAAGCCTCGAAAGGGTCGCACTCCCAAAGGAATGACTTCATCTCCGCTTGCGCATCAAGTTCTAACCCCATCGCGCCTACCCGAGCCATCTCCGCCTTCTGCTGGGCCGAGCTCTGGAGGGAATGGAACCCCAGCTACTGACCTGCCTAGCTCTAGACAGCCCTCAACGCCCGGAATGGATACGCTTGCAGACTTGGCGTCGATGCAGACCCATCAACCTCCGCGCTCCAACGCTCAAATCTTGCGAAACACAGAGTCCTACGAGAGCCAGCTCTCTCCCTCTACTATGTATCCGAATGTCAACCAGATCTCGCATAACACACCAAGACCCCGCTCGTCATTTGACATCGCAATGTCCGAAGGCCCGAGGGAAAGTGCTCGGCGGAACTATACAGACACGTCTTTGGTACCAAATGCGCAGCGGCTAGCAACGGAGTTGTTTATTCAGATCCAAGAAAACCCCCATTCGTATGATGCGCATGTCAACTTCATTCGACTTCTACATGCAGGGTTTGTCAATCACGTGTATCCGCCGAACAACCCCGATACCCATGGCGACCCTCGGAAATACGACCTCCTTAAAGACATGAGGACGGCCCGAGAGGAGATGGACAAGCTCTTTGCCATGGGTGAGGATCTCTGGGCCGAGTGGATTCAAGATGAAAGTATGTTGGCGCATACCGTGGATGAACGAATTGCGGTGATGGAGCTGTGTCAACGATCTGTCGAGGAGGAATACGGCAGTACCAAGCTATGGGGTATCTATGGAGAATGGGTGCTCTATCTTTACAAGTCTGCACACAGCGAGGTCGGTCAAGGCCACTGGACAGAGGAAGATAAACTCATTGGTCGGGAGGTCTTCTCCTGGCAATCGGTGCTGGAAGTATGGCAAAGAGGTGCCGAGGCGACGCGGTGGAGGATAAATGATAGTCACATGGTGTGGGACCGATTCCTGGACCTCCAGATACAGGACATCGCGCGTGATCCAAATCAGGACAAGGTAAATCATGTGAGAGGGTTATTTGATATTCGACTCCAAACTCTTCATGCTACCTGGGATCAGACCTTTCAGCTTTTCTCTGGGTTTGTTTCCGCTTACTGCAATGCTAATTACGAAGAAATCATGTCGGAAACCGTGATGCACGCGAATGGGATCAAGGACAAATACATTCTCCGCGAGCCGTTTGAGATGAGGCTTAGTAGCGCGGCTGAATCCGGTGATTTGGCTCTTGAATGGAGCATCTTCGCTGAGTACATCGACTGGGAGGTTAGTCGAAACAGACGGAAGCGTCAAACTACTTTCGATCTAGTCAATGCTATCTACCAGCGTGCTGTTTTGCGATTTCCTACCGACAACAACATCTGGGAGGACTATGTGATGTTCCTCATTGATGAGTCCATGCACGGCAACAAGAATACGACAACAATCTCTACCCTTGATCGCGCAACCCGACATTGTCCGTGTTGCGGCACCCTTTGGTCTCAATATCTCCTCAGTTCAGAAAGAGAATTACAGTCCTTTTCCAAGATTGCCGATATCAAGCATAAAGCAACAAGTACTGGTTTACTTGATGCTGGTGGGATGGAAGAGGTTCTCAAAGTCCATACCACATGGTGCAGCTACCTGCGTCGGCGGGCCTTTTTGTCAGAATCCACGGATGAAGATTTGGATGTTGCTGAGGTTGGTATTCGATCCGCCATTGAGAGTGTTCAAGAGCTTGGTGAGAAGAAGTATGGTCGGTCTTATCAAGGTGACCCGCTCTTCCGCCTCGAGCGTATCTACATTCGATATCTTAGTGAGAGCGGCAGTTGGGATAGTGCACGGGAAACATTTAAAGGCCTTGTCGGACGCCGTGGAAACAGCTACGAGTTTTGGCTCACGTATTACGGATGGGAGTTGATCTCATGGAGCAAGTTCGTCCAGGGCGAAGCGACTGCTGATGCTGCGAGACGGACCCCTAACCCTAGCTATGCTACAGCGGTGCTGAAACAGGCCATTAAAAGAACGGATCTGGACTGGCCGGAGAAGATCATGCAAACCTATGTCGCTCATTGCGAGGATTACGAGGACTCGGATGAGTTACAACTTGCTGTTCTAGAGACAAGAAAGGCGACGAGAGCCGTCAATGCGCGGCGGGAGAGAGAAGCAAGGGAAGCGGCAGCCTTGCAGGCTCAACATATTCAGCAAACACAAGAAGCACAATCGATAGGCCACACGGAGAAAAGGAAGCGCGATGATGAAAAGGAAGTGAATGGTGTGCCCAGCAGCAAAAAGGCCCGTGCAGAGGAGCCGGAGTTGCCAGCTTCAGAGCCAGAGCCCGTTGCACTGCAGAGAGATCGTGAAAATGCTACAGTTGTAGTCAAGAATCTACCTCATCACATCACTGAGCACAAAGTTCGGCAATTCTTCCGCCATGTAAGTTCCCTTTTACATTTGTGTGTGTGCTTGTTGTTGTTTCCATCTGACTTTTGACAGTGCGGTATTATCAATGGTGTCAAAATGGTTGCTGGCGAGGATGGTAACTCGGAAACGGCTATCATCGAATTCGATTCCAAAGATGAGGCTCTTGTTGCCCAAACCCGCGATCAAAAACTGCTCGATGAAAATACAATCGAGGTGCAATTGGAGTCTGGGTCAACGCTATTTGTCACCAACTTCCCTCCCACGGCTGATGAAGCGTATATCCGTAATCTGTTTCGCGATGTGGGTTAATTATAAGTGTTTGTTTGAGCTATGGCTGATTTTCCTCCAGTACGGCGAAATTGTTGATGTGCGCTTTCCTTCTCTCAAGTACAACACCCATCGGCGATTCTGCTACGTGCAATTCAAGGCGTCAAGTGAAGCCTACAAAGCCACGGAGCTACACGGGTCTACAGTTGGCGACAACTTGCAGCTAGTTGCCAAAATATCTGATCCTTCCCACAAACAGGACCGTCATGGTCCGATGCATGAGGGACGAGAGGTTCATGTATCTAACGTCGACTGGAAGGCCAGCGAGGGAGACCTCAAGGATTTATTCTCAAAGTATGGCAAAGTGGAGGCAGCGCGGATTCCAAAAAAGGTTGATGGCGGAAGTAAGGGCTTTGGCTACGTTGTCTTCTCTTCCAAGGTAAGCCAACTTCTAGTCTCGTCTCGCTCAGTTGCCCTAATCATATTTCTGTTCCAGGACGAGGCAAATGCTGCCCTTGCCATGCATCTGCGAGAATTCCGTTCTCGGCCGCTACAAGTCAAGCTGTCTACCCCCCAAGGGGCAAAACGGAGTGCCACCACCGTCCTGTCTCATGTTCAGGGGTCCCGATCACCTTCTGTGGAAGCTAATGGTACCAAGCATCCCAACGATGTGGAAGCACCAGCTGGTGAGCGCGCATCCCGCACGCTTGGGCTCATGAATGTTCCGGATACGGTCAACGACGCGCGTATTCGTTCGCTCGTCGAACCGTACGGCAAGTTGATCAAGATCATCTTGCGACCGGATCATCAAGGCGCCATTGTTGAATATGCGGATGTTCATCATGCTGGAAAGGCATCATTGGAGCTCGAGGGTCAAGAAATTGCTCCCGGGCGCAAGTTACATGTTGGTACGGTCCCTGAGATGCTGAAGCAGTCAGCCGAGAGGAAAGGAGAACGCACACAGTCAAACAAGCCAAAAGAGAAGAACGCCGGATTGTTTCAACCGACGGGTCCTATCAAACGACCTCCGCAGCCCGGTGCACGAGGAGGCAAAAGAGGTGGATTGGGAGTGAAGCGAAGCATGCCTCCGCCACCACCGCCACACAGCGCGTCGAGTGAGAAGGAGAAGGATTCAGGCAAGACGACCACGACGACGACGACAGATATTGACCACCAAGCTGACGGTGGGAAAACGAAAAAGAGCAATGATGACTTCCGTGCGATGATCCAGCGGAGTCAACCGGAGTGAACTTCAGGCGCATAGGATTGCATGACCGGTTTGGCGTTTCTGATTCCAATCGCTTACCATTTTTCATCTTTTCTTTCTGATTTTTTCTTCTACTTGAGCGGGTGCTCTTCTTCGTCTTTTTTTCATCTTTTTGCATTTTTCTGCCCCCGCATTTCTTGTGTTTCAGTAGTATCATGCTATATCACCATTTGATTGGCTTTGCCTTGCAGCTTGACACTGTGTAGATTATGGTTCATGTATTTGCTTTCTGCATGTTCTTCTCATCTTTTCTTGTGTTCATCTTGTGTTTCTCGCCCATGTGTCTGGATGACTTCGACCGGGCATGCTGCTATGACATGTGATTGTTTCCAGTCATCTTGTTGTTCTTGTTTCTTTTTTTGTTTTATTTGTTTCTATCTTCATTTCACCTGCGACCGTTCGGCCGGTGGACATGGCGACGACCGTGATGACTCGAATTGTTAATTGCTGTAACCTTTATATTGGTCATGTCGCATGGGACGGGAGAACCGGGCAGGGCTCGATTGGGGTTGCTGCGTTTTGCAGATCTGTAACTATTTAAGAATATGACAGTTGATTGACTATATGCAGAGTGACTAGTACACAGGTGGAGAGCATCCACTGCAAAGCTTCAAATCAATGTAGCTTCAAGTAAGGATCGTGAAAAGTGCGTGTTACAAAACATACAAAATCACTCACTCCTGCAACTGGAATGCGTGCATCCCTTGATTCTTGTCTGCCTGTCTGTATATATACACACCATGACCCCGCATCGAATGACGCTTTGACCGGAAGTTCCCTGTTTTTGCATGGATCGTCGCGCTATTTCATGATTTTGAACGGCGCAAATGGCGGTTGGATTATGAAGGCCGGAGATATTTCTGTATCTTCTGCTACTGGTGATTCTCCATTCTTCTGGTGATCGACGGTTTGGCAGTGGAGGAGCTGATGAAGCTGGTCCTAGACACAGGATGAACTGTACGAGGTATATTCAACTGGAATTAGAGATGATAATCAGGAGATAAATGGGGATTTCAGCACTGGATCAGATGATTGTCTCGTTATCAACATGTCTGGATATCTGGAGGTGATGCTGATGAGGTGACATGCCACCCTGTCACAGCCCTCCTTCGTCCATTCCGCACTTTTTTCTCTCTTCCTCTTCCTCTTCTCATTTTCATCCTCACCACATCCTCCCCTTCTTCTTTTTCTTCTTCTTCTCTTCCATTAATTTTATATCATCATAAATAACTTTCCAATTCCCGGTTTGACACTCTGATCGGGATCCACTCCCGCAACCTATTTTCTCTCCAGATTTCCCCGATCGACGAAGCTCCCCTCCTGTCCAGCTGTCAGCTGGCTTCATCCCTCCAACCTCCCTATTCGACCGGAATATTCCCTCATCAATCATTCGATAGTTATATCAGCCAGTGCTTATATCCCCTTGATCGATTATTCCTTTAGTTTGACCCAAACAAATCGGTTAACTGGTTTTGTGCGCTTTGCGAATTGCGACGTCATCACTACAACACTACTTCTTCCCCAGCCGCATATACAAACACTCCACACACACACACACACACACACACACACACACACACACACACACACACACACACACACACAGACACTGCTTTTTAGCTAGTATCGCAATCATGGATTTCCATTTGGTTCCTCGTGGTGAAGATAGAAATTATACTGGGTTTCTCACTAAAACTATTGTTTACACGGGGACGTTGATCTTCTTTCTAGCTTGTAAGTGTTCTCGCGAGCAATGCTGTCGCAGCCAGGACAACGGTTCTAACATTCCCTTGCCCCCAGCATTCGGATTGACCATTTCCTCCATCGTCATTCCAAAATGGGTCAGTTATGAAAGCGAAAAGGTATGACCTGCCCTGCCATCCTACTCAAACAACGGATGAGACGGCGATGCGGTCGGTGCTAATGTTGCAGCCTGGATTCAATTACTCCTACGGTCTCCATCGCCGCTGCTCCTCACTCACGAATACCTGTGAGAGTTTCCCCGAACAATCAGAATGTCATGGCGAAGACCGGTATTTCTGTTCCATGTGGCGCACGGTCGGGTTCCTCATGTCGTTTGCGGTTGTGTTGCAGGGAATGGGCGTCGTGGCGTACATAGTCGTCTTGTCGGGCGGAAAGCGACTACGGGAATCGGGATGGAAGGGTGTCAGTTTGATGATTGTTCTGTCTGCTATTGTGCAGGCTTCTAGTATGGCGATTGTGGTGAGTGACGCGATTCTGTTTCTTGGTCTTGTTCTTGATCGTGGGATGGGATATGATCTAACTCGAGCAGGCATACCTCTACGACAATGAAGAACGGTTCTTTGTCGGCTGGAAACTCGACGAGTCCTGGGTTTACTGCACGGTCAGCTGGTGTATCAGTCTTGCCTGTGCTGGTATTCTCATCATCGCCGTGCATATTCTCCCATCTGAAGGAGGATACGAATTGATTCCGGATCACTCTTAATGGTCACAAATCTAATAAAAGAAAACTAACGAGAAAGCCCCCAAAACAAAACAGCAAAAGCACTTTCATACCGTACGGCAAGTTGATATCGCTAATTAATAAACGGTTGTCCGTGCCCCTGCAGGTTTCCCTAATATGTGATTTGATTTACGCTGATATGCAACGTCATCTGCTATGCCTTATTACGTTTTAATGTTCCTCTTTGAATATTGCTCTGTTTACGGCTGGTTACTATGTTATGCTTCGGTCTGGTGTTCTGGCGCTTGTGTGTATATATCCTGCCTAGAAGGTGATGACGAGTAATGTTTATGATTATATTCTGCTGATGTTGGTAGTCATTCTATCATTCTATACAATGTACCCAAGAACCTAAGTATTAAAGGTATTTAGTGACGCAGATATGATTCAAACAATACTCCAAACATAATACAAAACCCAAGAGACATGAAACCAAATAAAGCAAAACACATACACAACCCACATAAAAAACCCATACGAACAACCCCAAAAGAAAGCAAGAAAGCAAGAACAAAAGAAAAAAAAACAACCAAATCACCTATCCAATCTTCTGCACAGCGCCCCTCCTACTAACCCTCGAAACCCTCTTCTTCCCCTTCCCCTTCTTAACCTCCTCAATCCTCACCATCTCCCCCCGTCTCGCCTTCAACCTCACCCCCTCCACCTCCCCAACAACCCAATCCCGAAACGTCGGCAGAATCTCAATATCCGGGAACCGAATGTCGGCTTTATCATCGCCCCGCTTCTTCTGATATTCCATACCGCCCCGGATACGGTGGATGATGGCCCGGATGTCGTTGAAGGATTTGTTGGGGCCAACTTTTGCGCGCAGCCACGCGGGGACGGGGGAGGGCGTTATGGTTGGTTTTTTGCGTTTGGGGGGTGTTGGTGATTCATCGGTTTCTGAGGATTCTGCTTCTGCTTCTGAGTCTGAGTCTGAGTCTGAGTCGGTATGGGCGTTTTCGTGTTCGTGTTCATGCTCGTCTGGTGAAGATGTAGGCGTAGGTGTAGGCGAGGGCGTCTGCATCGCTTCATCACCATCCAAACCAACCCCCTCCTCGCCCCTCATAATCTCCCTCCTCCTAAGTACGACCTCGAAACACTCCACCCCGCCCCAAACCTCCATTCTACCCAATGAATCCATCAACAGCTCGCACTGCGTAAACGGCCACTGCGCGGAGCGGTACCGTGCGCGCTGGTAATGCTTGCGACAGTAGTGCACCCAGATGTGGGAGGGGAAGAGCTTGGTCGCGGTTTTGTTGCGGCCAAAGATGTGCGAGATGACTTTGCGGGTGTTGGGGGAGGAGGTTGTGGTGGTGGATGAGGAAGTGGTGCAGGGGTTGGTGAATTCGCAGGTTGGTTCGTCTGGGGATGAAGAGGGCGGTGGTGATGGTGATGGTGATGGTGATGGTGATGGTGATGGGTGGTGGGTTTCTGGGGATGAGGGTTCGTAGGTGGTGTCGTCGTCGTAGTCTGAGCGTGGACTGGGGGGTTGTGGGGAGAGGGACATTTTGTCTTTTCTCTCTGATTCTGATTCTCTGTGTATTGTGTTGACGATGGTTGTAATGTGATTGAAAGATGATTTGAAGGCAGATGAGTGGAAGAGGATAGAGATATTTATATGAAGAGAAGGAAATCTTCAGAGTCCAGGGAAAATACCAACAAAGTAATCATACAAAGATCGATATCGATAGACTACAATGAACTGACCAATATCTACGTATCATGCTGAGACCCTTCAACCAAGACAGTTGACTTCCTTTGAAACAATTGATTCATTCTTTACCTTTCCTTCCATTTAATCTGGTCAATGGACCAGCCCGAAACAATGTACTGGCATGTCTCCCAGTTATGTGTACAAGAGAAACCGAATATAAAACAAATCCAACCAACGCCGCGTTTTACTTATCCTTCCCATGCAATCCCGTGCTTACCAAAAGCCATCCTTAAAACATTTCAATCTGTAACAATCTGGAAACCATTGCGCATAAATCTTTGGCCACATCAAAGACATCAGGAAGAAAAATATCGAAAGAGAAAAAGAACAATGCATCATGCAATCATATGGCATAGCCGGTAGAAATTGTTTTTGGGACATACTTGCGCACTGCTCGTTGCGGGTTGCTACATCCAATGTCAATTGTGTTCAACTCCCGGCTCAAAGCATCCATGCCAGTGTTGCTGGCCATCACAGGATAACTTTGATTCATCGGTTGAGTTATGGGCACCTTGGACGGAATGGGCGGCCCTGGGTTGGCGGGTGCGTACATATTCACAGGAGAGCGAGAGCCCGGGGATGGTATCGGTGACACAGACCCTCGAGGTGATCTCGCAGGATGGCCTGTGTTTGGCGAGGTATATACTGGTCCATTTCCATAACTATAAGTCTCACGTCCACGAATAGTGTAGTGGTCCCGAGGGGGCGTTCTGTCCATGGGACTGGCTCCCCGATGCGTATAAGACTGGGGGCGACTCCAGCGGTTACGGTCTCCAGGATACGACTCTCCATCAACAACCTGGGGCTTGAAGGTTACGCGGGGCGGCCCACTTCGATAGGATGATGCTGGAGGGCTCACGGCGGAACTGCTCTTTGTGGGAGAGTTCTTAAAGCGTACAATCACTCCAGGCTTTTTGGTCTTCCTCTCGGGTTCCGGCGCCCAGGTATCCGAGGGAAGATGGTCAGAAGGATCTATCTCTCGACCATTATCATCAATGATTGGAACCGGCTCTCTGGACGTTTCCGCTTCACTCCGCATAGCTGCATGCGCCGCTTGTGCCGGAGTATCATATGCTGGAGCTGGATTGCGAATAACAGCAGACCGCGCGGCGTTAGGGTTAAAGGTATCATACGAGTCCGGGGAGAACGGAATGCTAGACACTGGTCGTTCTCCTACTAGTGGCGGCTGTGGGCTGACTGATTTCCGTCGGGGAACGATCCGGTTATCAGGACTTGCCGACGGCTTTCTTCTGATGACCATCGAACCTGCATGTTCGTTCACGGGCGAGGGCGAAGGCGCGCGTTCCACAGGGTATGGTGGCACAGGGGACGGATCACGGACCTGGGGAGGAAGAATGATATCATCTTCGAACAAAACGCTTCTTCCCCGGCTAGCTCGTCGTTCATTTACGGCTCGATCCGTTTCTTCCTCTGCGATCACTGGATCATACCCGGCCACCAGACTTGGCGGAACGGGCGGGCCGTCCGTGTGTAGGGGGTCTTGGAGCGGCCCCGGCTCTGCGTCATAGTAAGAAGACTGGGATAAACTGAGATCATTGGAAGCGCGTGGGGAGGGCGCGTACTCTGGAGAGTAAGCCTGATAGGATGGTGTTGGAGATGGTACCATCGGCTGACTAGATTTCACCAAGCCAGATCGATGGACAGGAGGTGGAGGTGGAGGGCCGTCTTCATCTTCGTCTTCCACGCGCGGCTGCATCGTTGCGTACTCTGAATGCATATCGTCACGGCTCACCGAGTTGCGGAAGCGGCTATGGTTGCTTACAAGCGAATTGCTGTGCGAACGGTAATGACGGCTAGGTTCTGGCTGGGGGTGGCTGTATTCAGCTGGAGGATACTCGTGCATGCTGCCGGACGACCGAGGCGAGTATTTGGCGACTTGTCCATACTGCACCGCAGCCGGCTCGGGATTGTATTCGTACTGCTCCGTTGACGCAAAAGGATAGTTATGGCGTGGACTCTGGCGAGGTGGTGCTTCATACGGGCTTCTTGTTGACATCATATCAACGGGCTCTGAGGGATGCTGCTCTCTACTCGGAGGAAGCTCTCGTCTTGAAGACCGATAGTCGACGGCCGGCACGCTTTCAATCTCGGGCTGTTGTCGTTGCTGAACAGGACGGGGCTCGTAGTCCTCGACAGATGGTTCACGGTAGCTATGATGAATATCTTGGGTATAACGTTTCGTTACAGGAGGATGGACTGGGGCAGGGTGATGCAATTCTTTCGGTACATCACTCGGGGCGTCGTAACCCCTTATAGGGCGAGCTGACATATCATGCTGAGCTTCTGGAAGCCCGGAATGGCTACGGGGTCGATGCGCATAATCCGCAGCAGCATGTGCGGTGGGTGGCTCATGAAGTGTCGGCCTAGCGGGCAGAGGCTGTGTTGGGGCTGGTGCTGACGGGACTTTTTCTGGAGGCGGAGGACGTGCAGCTAGCGAACTAGCAGGATCAGATGGTAGCGGCCGCCTCTTGACCTCTTTCAATTGCCTGGGGCCTGAAAGCGATGACGACGAGCTTTTGGTTGAGCCAGATGTTGCTGATGCTGGGGCTATTGCTGGTGCCGATGCTGATGCCAATGCTGTGGCTTTGGCGTGGATTTTCTCCGCCGTCTGGCCGGTGCGTCGTTCGATCACAGCCTCATCCTCGGGGCGTGTATCGTAATAGGTCATTTCAATGCGCACCTCTCCTGCATATCTTCCTTTGGATTGCAGCGGGTGCCACGAGTCACTTTGTCCACCTCCGGGGATAATCACCTTAACGAGATCGATCCAAGTCTCTCCAATCAACTCCGTCTTCTTGTCGTCATTAAACACTGATACCTTGAGCCTGAAGTAGTCTGGAGACTCGTGGACTGTAAACCGAAGCTCAGAATCCCTATACTGATGTTAGCTTTTTGACTTTCCATCCAAAACAAGGGATGTGATTTACCATCTCGGTGTTTGTCCACCGCGCAAGTCTGTTTCTGTCTTTCTTGCCTCTTTACCCAGTCGAGCCGCACAGTAGGGGTTCTGTTTCCCCATAGTTTTTCTGTTGGGCAAGTTCTTCGCCCGGTCGACAATAGCGACCAGAGTCCCAATGGCGGGGCCATCGACCGACATGTCGGCGAAGATGCCAGCAGCATGATTGAGCTGCGACATGGAAAAATTGGACAATCTACCAGTCATGATGGAGGATGAAATTACACGATAAGAATGAACCGTGGGAGAGGATGGACGAATCCAAAGAGACTCGACCAAAGCCTCTAGGAGGAAAAGAGAGAACAAGGGAGGGACCGATGCGAAAGGAAAGGATGGACGAATAGGCGAGAGAGATGCAAGATGAATCACAACGAAAGCAAAGGAAAGGAACCTGCGGCGAAGCAGGGCGACTGGATAGAGACAGGGGAAGAAGAAGAAAAACAGAGTCGAAGGAGGAGAAGAAGAGGAGGAGTTGGAGGAAGGGAGAAGGAGAAACACAACAATTATCGATAAGGATGGATGGATCTGGGCTGCAGGTGGGGTGTTGCGTTACCGTACCATACCAATACGCTCTGTATTAATCGGGGGGTTGGGGTTTGGTGGCTGGCAGTGTGTTTTGCCGCCCGCTGATTGGCTGGATCGGGTGTTCCTGCATGCGCGTCTTCATTAAATCCACTCCGTTACATACCGTTACCGTTGTTGGCTCTATAACATCATCCGCTGCCAGAACAGGATCTGATCGCAGTCAACACCACGAAACAATGCACCCTCCCTACTCTTCAGCCCTCGTTGACATGATTTTCACCTCGAGTCAGTCGACAGGCTCCACTTCGTGTCATAAGCGCGTCTCAATGGAGGAAAAAAAAATAATGCCTGACGCCCCATATCCGCTGCCTATCTCGGTCTGCGATCCACCCCCAGCCACCATTGTCCCACTCGGCCTACATCCAACTCTTCTTGCACCGTCCAGAACCCCCTTGAAGCTCTCAAAAGCAGCCAGTTTCCCATAAAACATGCATCAATTCTCTGATCATCGGCGGACTAGGCTTTCTGGCTCCCGGGCAGCTCCCTGTCGTTGTTCTCCACAACAAGAGCTACGTTGGAGACGACAAAGCATCCACCTATTGCGCTGTCAGCCTGTCACCGTACATTCCAAGGCGAAGTGGCTCCATCGCAATCCTGGAATCATTTCAGGGCAATCAATCGTATAAGCCATTGTCTCAATTGACCAGAATGAATGGATCAATTCTGTTGCCTGTGCAGTTCACGGCTTCAAGCTATGGCCGGTTTCTATATTAAGACCGGCTTATCCGACTCCTTGGCGGCGATACCTCGGCTTGAGCAAATTCTTCAGTTGCTATACTCAAGGCTGCTACGATAAGAATCATATCTTCATCACCTCACTTTCTGCTTTGTTGCTGGTCAACGTCCGGTATGTCTGATCGAGTGTCAGTCACTGAGCCACGTGCGTTGCTATGCGCCCTGCGGAATCTACGCCACGAAGCAACCATCGGTATGTATGTCCCAGAATAAAATCCAATTATGCTGGCAGTCTTTCAATGTTTCAAATTGACGTATTTTCTAAGCCAAATCATTCACACACCGCATGGCAAGATAACTACAACTTGGGCGACAAAACATCGGAAGCCCGGCCATCCGATATGTACCATCCACAAAAGCAAAGTGAAAGAAATTGTACCCTTAGGCAGATTTCGTTGGGTTAGAACCGTCTCTCTTCGGCTCAATTCCGTGGTTTGCCCATCAAGTGCTGCAGAAAGATCGAACAGATAGGTTTCTGAACATCTCACAAATATCGTGATCTCTCATGTGTGATATCGAGTCAACCATATTATTCCGGTCATTTTTCATACATCTTGCAATCATTAACATACCGATATGGTGTTCCAGCCCACCCCTTCGCTCCAGGGGGATAGTCCAAAAGGTTTTAAACGCTCTGACGCCTAGTACACGCCCTTCTGACCTAGAACGTGCCTAGGCATTGGCAAAGCGTATTATGGTAACATCCGAATAAGAGTAGTAGCTGGGGTCATTACCAGGTTATCCCCGAATCGAATATTTAGTATGTTGGAAATCTGTTTGCTCACAGGATCACAGATATTTTGATCGACTCGCGAAGTCAGATCCAGCTCGCTCTCAACGACAAACTCACCTCCCTCGGATGAGTCTGAAAGACTAACTGTAGCGCTCAGATCAAGGCTTTGAAGTGCCTGCATGATTTCATTTTCGGAAAGAATACCAGGGGCGTAGTTCAGCAGAGATTCTTTCGGGGAATTTGGGCAAAGGTCGAGTCGAGCGAGCACATTGCTGCCGCTCTCCTTGCTTGAGGACCTAGAGAACTTGTGGAAAGAAGGACGAGCAAGATACACAGTAAATAGAAATGCTGGTCTTTATAGCTACCTAACTAGCAGTAGCAGTAGCAGTAGCATTCACCTGAAGTACTTGAAAGGTAGGTATGGGTCTTACCTCCCCAGGCTCCAATGAAAGCACATTCACGCCATTCACTAGCCATTCTAAGGATGGTCGTTTCCCATACTATCGATTTCAGCCAATCAATTGCTGGCTCTGTAATTTTCAACTTTACAGGCTCAATCACTTCTATGGCAAAACATAATGAAGGACATAAATGAATAGATATAGAGAGTTAATTATCAAGTGAATAGTTTCCAGTCAAATCAGGTCAGTTAAACATTGACCGTGCTGATTCTGGACCAATCTTGTATTGTAACTCAAATACTAGCGGTATTTATTACCCAATTGGGAATCGCCGATAGTGGACTTTTCCCGATGCGATTTTATCAAAAAACTTCAAGATCCGAATTTCATCGTCCATCAACTTTTGCACTGCCAGCCACGCAGGGCGAATGAGCTGCCGCTTGCATTGACAGATCATTCTGCTCGTGCGATTTATTTCATATCTCAAGAAAAAAAAATACTTAATCCACTGCAGCCATGGCTGCCCCCGTCGTCCCCCTCCCACAAGTCAAGCTTCCCGCGCTGCCTTCGACTCGTTTGACACCAGAGCAGCAATACTGGAAGACCTTCAAGAATCCCCTTCTCATTCCCTCTCCGGCCAACGGGCCCATCAATCTCATCACTCAGCCTTCAGCTCCGTCCTCCGCCTCCGCTTTTCCTTCCCTCACCCAACCTCCCGATGTCTTCACCATAACCACCGGCGCCCGCGTTCAGATCTATTCCATCCGCACAAGAAAACTCCTCCGAACAATCACCCGGTTCGATGACACAGTCAGAGGCACAGACGTTCGTCCCGACGGTCGGGTCGTTGTGACTGGTGATGATACTGGTGCGGTGCAGGTGTTTGATGTTGGATCTCGTGCTATCTTGAAGACATGGAAGGAACACAAGCAACCCGTCTGGGTGTCCAAGTTCTCGCCTAGCGACCCTACCTCTCTTTTTACGACTAGTGATGACCGAACCGTTCGATTGTGGGATCTTCCCAGCGAGAGCAGTGTTAGGACTTTCCAAGGACACACTGACTATGTGCGAAGTGGTGGATTCATGCCGGGCTCGCTGGCATCTTCGGGCTTGGTGGTTTCTGGTAGTTACGATCGGACAGTGCGATTGTGGGATCCTCGGGTGGAGGCTCGATCTGCGATGACTTTCAAGATGGGTGCCGCGATCGAGAATGTTCTGCCTATGCCGACGGGCACAACGGTGCTCGCGGCCGCCGACAACAAGATTGCAGTGCTGGATATTGTGGCCGGAAAGCCTTTGCATATGATTCAGAGCCACCAGAAGACAGTGACTTCGCTTGCTCTGGCCTCGAATGGAGAGAGACTGCTCAGTGGTGCTCTCGATGGACACATGAAGGTATTCGAGACTACTGGATGGAACGTTGTGTCTGGATCCAAGTACCCGTCCCCTATCCTCTCTCTCCGCGCCATCACCTCTGGCCCAGCTCAAGAAGACAAGCACATCGCGGTCGGTATGCAGTCCGGCCTTTTGTCGATCAAGACCCGACTCTCTGGACAGCAGAAGATTCGTGAGAAGGAACGGAAACAGGAAATGCAGGCCCTGTTGGAGGGTAAGCTGGAGGAGCATGACAAAAAGGTCGCCAAGCAAAATAAGCAGCGCGGATCGGGCTGGGACAAGAGACTGCGTGGCCGGGACTTCATTGGTGAGGGTGTGGACATTGTGATTGAAGGACAAGATAGGAAAAAGCGCAAGGCTGAACAGAGCTGGGAGTACGAGCTTCGCAAGGCCCGTTACTCAGCTGCCTTGGACCAGGTCCTGAATTCAAACGACAAAACGGCACAGCTGACACTCTTGACTGCCTTGCGCCATCGCTCTGCACTCCGAGCGGCCCTCCAGGGCCGGGACGAGGTGACTCTGCAGCCAGTGTTGCAGTGGGTACACAGGAACATTACCGAGCCGCGGCTGGTGGATTTCAGCGTCGAGGTGGCTATGAATGTTTTGGATATCTACTCGGGCAACTTGGGCCAGTCGGCCAAGATTGATAAGATGGTTGAGAGATTGCACAAACGTGTGCGGGATGAGGTGGAAATGGCACACCAAGCCTGTCAGACCAAGGGCATGCTGGATATGCTGAGAGCGTCGTGAATGTGATAAGACTTGCGAGTTTTCATAACGACCTACACGGCATCTGCGCATCCCCAGTCAACGAACCCAGCTTGGATGATGAAGCAGTCGATCCGGATTCAGTCAGACACACTCCGGACTACTCAAAGCAGAGTCCAGGCCGGACAAAAAAGCAATTGCAATGTTTGTTCTAGACAACATGATACATTATTAGGATACCTCGGATGGAGTTTAGGGGTTACAGGAATCGACCCAAAAATGCAGTGTGTAAATATAATTGTATAGCGCAATTCATTCCATTGTCTTTGAATGTACTTGTTCATCATCATCACTTCAGCTTGGAAAAGCCCTCCCCATTCTCCGGTGGCTGCAACCAATTCCTCGCATCATAATCCCACCCCTCACCTCCCTCGATAACATGAAAGGTATACGCATATCGACTCCGAGGACTAGTGTTCTTCTCGCTCTTATGCAAAACATTCCCATGAATCAACACCAACGACCCAGCCGTGATATCAAGAATCTCCAATTCCTCCTCAGTCGGTCCCTCCGTCTCTTCCTCCTCCATCCCCCTCGGCAAACCCGGCCCATCATTCTCAATAAACTCCGTCCCATGCCCATTCTCCTTCCTCACAAACCGCCTCTTAATCGCCCCGCCCTTCTTCCCCCGATGCGAACCCTTCCAAAACCCCAACGTCGCATTCCCCGGCCTCGCATCCTGCAGAGCAAACCACCACCCCACCGCCGAAGGCGGGTTGGTATACAGAAACTCCGAATCCCGATGCGCCGGCACCGCGCCCCCAATCGACGGCTGCTTGCAAATCACCATACTCTGCAACACCCGCGGATCCTGGAATCCCAGAGAGCTTGCGATGGCCGCATTTCGCTCTGAAAGACTGACTTTCTCGAACGGCGGCGAGAGCGCGTGCAGTGCGTGTCCGATCTTGTTAATACTCAGCTTCTTCGGCTTGAGGAGGGTCGGTTTCCCGGTTTCCGGGTCGGGGGTGGCTGAGAAGGCGTCTGGTTCAAAGAAGAAGCGGACTTTGTCGCCTGAGGTGAGGAAGTAGTCGTCGCCGACGTGGGCTTGGGTGGAGTCTTCATCATCGCCGGTTGTGAATTGCGTTAGAGGGTGAGATTCGAGGGGAAAGGAGTCGAGGAGGGAGTCGGTTTCGGTGAGGAGAGAGGTGACTTCTTCCGGGGTTAGGTAGTCTGGGATGATAAGGTAGCCGTTTTCCTGGAAGGAGGCGAGTTGGGAGGGGGTGAGGCCTGCCATGGTTGTTTTAGCGGTGGTGTTGAGTGAGAGATGAAGAAGGGAGAGGGAAGATGGGTGAGTGCGGGGAGAAAATGAAGATATCAAGGTGGGGTTTATCAGTGATATAGACCACGCAGCCAATGACATGCGTGCTTACAATAGCTTCATTCCAAGATAGACACCATCAACAGCATCATCATTTATCATCACATATTACCCTTATCAGTATCGAATAATATTGGAAACCCACCAGAAAGGTTCACCCCCAGACCGACCCTCCAAGTCTCGACCGCAGAACGACCCTAAATTGCATCAGACTTCGCCATGGACGGATATGGCCGCTGACTTCTCGTTCGACCACCAGCTATCTCAACCTCAATCTTTTTGCCTCAGGGTTATTGCCGCTGGTATATGTGGAGGCGGAGAAATGATGTCAGATGGGATCATGGTTGCCACTGGTGGTATATAAATCGCCAAAACATGATTTACGAACGAAGAGCTAAAGATATTCAAGTCACGATTTACGATACGGCTTAACAAGAATTCACGACGAAGCAGCTCACCATGTCTGACAGCTACAGCAGTTCCTCCTATTCCTACAGCTCCATCAGCAACACCACAGATGGCACGACGACCACTGGCCATCGCTACACAACCACCTCTCTGACCAACCCGGACGGTACGACCATCGTGCGCACCGCCCGTCAAGACCTAGGCCAGCCCGCCATCATCGAAGAACGACGCTACGACCGCACAGGCCAGGAACAGCTCCTCCCAGCCCCAACAGGCACGACCTCGGCAGGCGGGATCAAGCGCATCACCGATCTAGACGAGGAAAAGACAACCGGGTCGACGGCTCTTGACGCGGGGAGCGCATATGGGAGTGCGGCGGGGGTATCGTGGGATGGGGGTGAGGATGAGGTTGGACGAAGGACGTACGATACCGGTTCCCCTTTTGGTGCTAGGACTTACAATCCGCGTTTAGGAGTTTACGATCAGTCTAGGGATTATGATTCGGATGGAGTGCCGCGACGGTATCGGGGAAGGGTGGATCGGAATGGATATACGAAGACGAAGGGGGAGGAGAGGGAGTATGAAGATCCCAATACGGGGGCGAGGTTGAGGCGGTTGTCGGATGTAGATATGTCTGAGGTTACTCTCTAGATCAGGGGGATTATGAATATAAATATATAATAAACTATCACTATACTGTCATGCTGTCGTAAGTCGTACTGGTGTAGCATCTTTGATGGAGATCAATTAACTATACCCGGATTCTTCCCTGGCTCCATCGCTCTCTCACCCCATCGACAATGTATGGTAATTGGTAAGCCCAGTGACACAGAATCCCGGCCACAAACCCGATGGCATCGTTCTTAAACCCAACGAGAAAGCCCACGGTGACCATTATCACCGTCCATCTCTTCTTTCGCTCATCGTCACTAAACACGGGTCCAATCTCCTGGCTTCCCTCGCCAATGATTTCAGATCCATGCTTTCCGCTATCCCTCGCTCCTGAGGTATTCAGACTCTCCCCGACGCTGGCTAGCTCCAGTCCAGCAGCGATGACCATGATTCCCAGGAAAGCCGCAGGGAACAGTTTCAACAGACCGACCAACGACTCGCCAAAGAAAATACCAATAATCAGCTTCAACGCTCCTAGAAAGACCACACTTGCACCCGAACGAGCACCAAATCGGTACTGAGCTGCTAGTCCTCCGGAACCGTGGCATACAGGCATAGCCCCGAACCAACAGCCTATCAGGTTCATTCCGGCCACGCTCAAGCCAACAGCAGTGACGGTCGGCGTGGGGACATTCGGAAGTAGATCACTTGCCAGATACACGACCGCCACGACGGAGTTGAGCGTGGTGAGAGGGAGCTGGCCGATACCTGCGTCAAGTCCACCAACGACCCAATCATGCGGTCTGGGGATAACAAGCCATGGATGCCAGAACTCGAAAGAGGGCAGGCTGGCAGACACAGCGGAGCGGGCGATGGCAAAGATCAAACCGAGAATAAACACCAGTAAGGCATAAGGGACATTTCGATAGACGTTGGTGGAAATGAGAAAGACAAAGGCCGCAATGGCCCAGATCAAGTTATCTGCCCAAGATGGATTCACCCATTTGAGCGAGGAGAGGATATTCCCTCCCGATGCGATGATGAGGGAGAGGCCAGCTCCAACTTGGATACCCTTGACGACAGGAATAGGGATGGCATTGGCAAACCACCGCAAGAGCCCCGTCACGCTGAAGATGAAGACGCAAATGGCGACGAAGAAACCCGCTGCAGCGATGGTTCCTGGAGAAAAGGATCGGGCGATGGCAACGGCAGCAATAGCCTTCATAGGCTGAACAGGAAGGGGGATTCCAAAGAGTAGACCAGTCAGGATATTGAAGATGCCAGAGAAAATGAGCGTGCTGGATAAAGAAACGGTTCCGTTGATGGCGAGAGTGATGGCGAGGGGAAGAAAGGTCCCTAGATCGCCTAAAGAACCGGAGATCTCAGAGACATAATGGCGACGAAAGGTGCGGAGATTATGGGCGGAGATGGTGCGGAGATTTTCAATATTCATGATGATAAAATAGGATGAGATGAAGAAGACGACGGAATGAGATGAAGAGATGAAAGGAGGAAGAAGGGATGGATTTAAAGAAAGTTGGAGATGCGATGAAGTCCGCGGAGAAAAACCCCGCTCGAGCTGCAGGAGATCATTTGATTATTATCGATCGATATTATCACAGTTATTGATTGTCGATCTCGATATCATAATTAATATAATCGATGAATTACAAATGCCAGTTGAACAAAAAGCAACATCTTCGCCTCCACAACATCCCTCCCACCAACACATTCCACATTACACTCAGACACGACATGCCCCCAATCAACAGCGGAATCAACTGTCCTGCAGACTCAAAGTCCGACAATCCAGTGACTTGATTGACACGGATCAAATACTCGATGATCCAGATGGAGAAGATGATCAGCCCGATGGAAAAGAACAGCAGACTGATTTCCACCCGACCGCGTTTCGGTCGTGAAGCAGCAAAAGACGCTTCGAATCCATTGCGAAAGCGGCGCATGACAGCGACAGCACTGATCCCGATTAGACAGACGCAGGCGATCAATCCGATGATGGACAGTGTCTTTGCTAGAGATCGAAACCAGCCGCTGATCAAAGAATGTCCGAAGAATGCTATCTCATCGCAGGCTGGATTCCTCATGCGATCCACGCCGATGAACCAGAACCAGCAACTGTAGGACGTGAGAGCCAGATAGAAAGTGATTCGGAAGATACCAGAGACATGGCTGAAATGGGTGATGCCATCGCCGGTGAGGCTGGAGAGAGATCCGCAGAGCAGAAACAGCGTGATGACCGGCTCGATGACTTTGGTCAGTTCGGTTGCTTGTTGACACAGACCGAGAAAAAGGGAGGATTGGATGAGGAGATTCACAATTCGAAAGGTTTCTTCTTCTTCGGTGTTGAAGAGAGTCACCACCAGCGTTGCAACCCATTGGGCGTAGAGACCAACGCGGACTCCAACACCGTACAGATCAGCATTGCCTTTCCAGGAACATGAAGCCATTGAGTGATATGATCAGGGATATCTGAACTCGGCTGTAGATTTATATCCCGACAGACTGCAGGGTACAAGGACAAGGCTGACTCGTATCCTGCTCTTCTCGCTTCCTGTCACCAATCATCGATTGCATTTATATTATTTGAGGCTATCCAAGACACCCCGGACAGGTCTGGACCTGAATACGAGCGCCTGGAATACGAGATCGCCTGATCCTTGCCGATAAGCACCGTCAAGCTGGATTAAGAATATAAACTCGTAACTATTCGAGAAATGAAATCTGACAAGACAAGCCAGAATACGAAATGAATGCAACAGTCGTCGAACTCGCACAGCGAGCAGCAACATCATGCCCTATCGAGGGCAATCCAGATCTCTACGGTCTAGGGATTCGACTCGGTCTATATCTTCAAATGTTCACCGCACAGATTTCTGGACTATCCAGTGCCATTCTCCCCATCCCTGATAGTATCGGCCAAGGAGTAGTCCTCTTCGTCCTAGCAACAGGAATAGTACTCTTCCGACTAATTGAGCACCGCGAGATCGAAGCCGTCGAAGTCTTCATCATGCTGAGTCTGCTGGTCGCCCATCATGGCGCTTGTCGAGTACCATTTTGGAAACAGCCAATGACCATTTTCGTCTATCTGGGCGAGCTGATCTGCCTGTTGGCTCTATCTGCTTGGTTCTGGTTTCGCGGTATGGATATGCTCCCGAGATCGTGCGTGGATGATTATGCCTTTTTCTTTGCCAAGGTTAGTATCTGGCATTGGTTTCGGAAGCTCAATCAGGCTTTTATTGTCATCACGATCGTGGGTGCTGCACCGGGCATTATTTACTACATGTCCTGTAAGTGTCAATTCCTGTGTGTGAAAGCCGCTGACAGATCAAGGGCTGTTTACGCTCACCGTCCTCCGGATAATATACGGACAACAGGTCGACGAAGATCATGAAATGGCAACAGGATCGCTTGAGTTTGTGATCAACGCCGGCGTCATTGCCTACGTCGAGTTGGCTATCAAGTGGAATCATATCTCCGGTGTTTACGACTTGAGCAGTCCCGGCCAGTATATGCCGTTCTTCATTGCACTGGCTCAGCTCTTTACCACATTATATCAACTTGGAAAACATGGCCTGATTCAAGAATATGCTGGCGATGGTGGTATGCCTCTTCCCAAAATTATGCATCCTGGCTAATAATCTAGGCGGCGATTTTGAATGCCCCCATAAAACGGCTACGGCAACTGATGTTGAACTCGCCCCAACTACTCATTAAACCCGTCTGATAATAGCCGATTCGTTTATCATACTATGTACATATTCTTATAAAATCATATCACTCCAACCAGCTCTCAACAGCCACCGCAATAGCCTCTCCCACCCACTCATCCAAATGAACCCCATTATCAAACCCATGCTCCCCATCCCTCAAAGTCAACACAATATTATCACCCCCAGGCTGCCCCTTAAAAGCCCCCCTCGCCTTCGCAACAAACTTCTCACTCCCATCCACAGGAACAACACTATCCTGAATCCCATGGAAGATGGAAATCCCACCCCGCGGAATCCGCACCCCAGGCTGATCCAGCCTCTCAAACGGATACCGCAGTTCCCGACGCGGGTCGGCTTCCGTGTTGCGTTCATAAAAGCGATGCAGATCTCCATTCTGCGCGGCCGAAAACATGAGCGGGAGGCGCATGGGTATTGGTGAACTGCTCACAATGTCCCCGGGTTTCATCTGAGCCAGATGTTCCTCGACCGCGTCGTGGCTGAAGATCTGGTCGAAGATGGGCGTGGTCCTGGGTTCTCGGAAATGAGGCGAGCCCATGTCGATGCAGGGGTATGCGGCTGTTGCGGCGCGGATTTCATCTGGGTGAGCCAGTGCAACGCATACGCTCAGCAAACCGCCAGCCGAGTCGCCGGTCGTGAGGACTCGGTCGAGGTCGAGTTCTGTCGGGGTAGATTGAGACGCAAGCAAGTCCGTCACAGCAGACGAATGAAGCCAAGACCAGAAATCCTCGATGTCGTCAAAGAGTTCAAGACTAGTTGCTTCGGGAAGGAGTCGGTAGTTGGGGGAGATGATCACGGCATTGTGTTTGGCGGCGAGCTCAAGAAGCCATTCAGGGAGCCAATCGAGGAAAAGTGAGTCTCCGGTCATCTACTTCATCCATTAGCAACTTATATGCAAGGTAAATTCATGCGCTCAGATCGCTGACCAATCCGCCCCCATGGAACCGGACAATAACCGGCCTCTTGCCAGGAACAGGGGTTTGAGGCACTAGAAGATCAGCTCGGATGCCATGATCGCCGACATGCTTGTAGTTGGTCTGGATGAGGTCAAACCCGGCCAGTTTATTCAATGCAGTCATTGCGAATGGTATGATTATTTCAGATTCAGAGAATAAGAGGAATTATTTCAATTGAATGATCGACAGAGCACGAGGGGCGAACTAACTTATATACATACACCTCAGTCTATAGAGTGGATCTGTTTGTCTTGTTTGACTGCGATGCAAACCCCGGATTTCCGTCGACTTAATTTTGAGTCTATTAAATCCGAGATTGTCATAATTACTTATTCATTATTAATCTGGATAGTACACTTATTATGAAGAGTATTATGAATACAAGTTATATGCATTAGCAAATCTATCTTTGCTGAACATAGTCGAGCGAGCCAATCGTGTCAAAGTGGACTGATCTATAAACATCGCGAGATAGACGAAGGAGCCAGTCAGAGGGCGGGACTTGGATGCACTGCCAGCATCACCAACAACAGATTGCAGGCAGCTCTATATCAATTGAATATAAATACCTTTAAATACCTGTCCAAGTTGAATCAATCATTCAGTTCAGTCATATTCAACCATACCCATCTCTCGTCTTTTATCATGAAGTCCTTGTCTACAGGCCATTGGGCAGTCTTTCTGTCACTTCTATCGACTGTTGCGTCTAGTCCAGTCACGAGTACATCTAGTAAAATGATATATAATTGGGATAGAATTACTCCCTCGACAAATGTCAGTTGGGCTCCTTGTTTCAATAATTTCACCTGCACCAGACTACAAGTCCCTCTGGATTATGGCGATGTCAGTCTAGGATCTACCGCAATTGCCTTTATCAAGTATCCTGCGAAAAACATCACCAAAGATACTCAGAACATAGTCATAAACCCAGGTATGATCATTCCCTTTCTCTAGCGGCTAAAAAAACTAACAATGGGCAGGTGGCCCAGGAGGTCCAGGAGCAGACCCTTCTCTCATATCTTCTTTGACCCAAATCACCGGTCCTCAGCACAACATCATCGGTTTCGATCCTCGTGGTGTCGGACATAGTGGACCAACCGTGGACTGCTGGCCCGGCCATCCTGAGAAAAGAGCTCAATTCGAGAAACTGCTCTACCCAGAAACCTCCAACGCTTCATCCACCGCTCTGCAGAGGCAATTCTACTCCGCAGAGCTATTCGGGGAGGCGTGTACCCCGGTAGTGGGAGGATCGAGAGGAAATGCCTCTTTTATCAGCACGCCCGCCGTGGCGGAGGATTTGTTCACGTATATCAAGGCGGAGCAAGTGGTTGCAGGGAAGCCAAAGGAGGATGCGAAACTCGCCTACTATGGGGCTAGCTATGGTACCGTGCTGGGAGCGACGTTTGCACATCGCTTTCCCGACCATGTAGGAAGGATGATCCTTGACGGGGTCGTGGATCCAGCCGATTATTATGAGCTGGGGTGGAAAGAGAACCTGCATGATACAGACAAATCGCTTAACTCGTTTGTCCAGAATTGTTACCAAGGAGGGCCGAAGAATTGTTCGTTCTGGGGTCCTTCGGTTCGGGATATCACTAGTCGGTTTGATGCGATATTGGCGGACTTGAAGGAGAATCCTAAGCCGGTTCTTAGTTCTGCGGCTTGTGATCTTCCCCTGCTTGCCACTTATTCGGATCTGAAGCAGCTCGCTCTTCAGGCATTATACATCCCGGTCACATACTTCCCTCAGCTGGCTGATGTTCTCTCTGGTCTAGAGCGAGGGAACGCGACGGCCTACATGAATGCTGTGGCCGGATGGTCTATTCCAGCTAACCCGTGCAATAATGGAACAGCCGGAAGTACTGTTGACGTTAACACATTGATAAGGTGTGTGGATGGGATTGGTAGTCACAAGTTCACCAATCTCAGTCAATATCGGGATTATGTCGAGACGTTGACGAAGCAGAGTCGGTATTTTGGAGAGGTCTGGCCGACGAATGCTCTGGGTGTCGCTTGTAGATCGTTGGATGTTGAGCCACCAAAGAGTGCAAGGCTCGAAGGTTTGTGATATCATCGTGATATATGGCAGGATTGTGCATTCTAACCACAAACAGAATCCATCCTTTTGCGCAGAAACACGAGTTTCCCAATCTTGTTTGTCACTCAGAAGATTGATCCTGTTGCTCCGAGTCGAAAGTAAGAGTATTCTCTTTCCCGGATGAGGACTATTCATGCTAACAATTTGCAGTGCTCATAAGATGTCAAAAGTTTTCTCGGGGTCTGTCGTTCTGACTCAGGACTCGGTTGGAGTAAGTCTTTTTATCCATTTGTATATCAACTCGCTAATGGCCATGTCGTAGCACACTGCTATCGTCAGTGCATCAGAATGTTTGACTGAGAATATTCAAGCCTATTTCAGTGGTCAGCTTCCTTCTGCCAACACGACCTGCCAGTCAGATATGGTACCATTCCAAGTTTCTTCCGGCGTTTCCATCTCGTGGTGATTGGCTTCGATGTTGGATTGGTGTATATGCCGTCTTTCTATGTTGATGATATACAGCCCTAGCTGTAATCAAGTTTAATTCGTTTCTCTATTCTTCCTGTCTCTTTTATTCGATAAGTAAGGACCGCATGTGTCTGGTCATCTTCAACATGGAGAAATGCATCTTGTACTCCTGATTCCGAATTTGCAGCTTCGTCCTCAATGGAGATGATCTGCTTCAGTATAATAACAATCAACCTAGAATCCCACGGCCCCTCGCGATGTGGCCATGCCTCGAGAAGCCTCAGTCCCTGCTGTCGCATTCTCGAGTCACAACATTTATCACATGCGAGCAATAATGGTGGAATGATTCCCATGTCAAGTACGAGGGTTGGTCGGGCTGGGCCATCCTCCCAGAAGCTCTGAGCGATCCGCACGCATGACGCCAGGATATTCTTGAAGTCGTCGGTATAGATATCATAATTTGGTTCCTCGGTGCCAGTAAGACTGGTTTCTAGTAGGATCGATAAAGTCTTCTCGTGGAGGTGAATCAGGTCGATTCCTCGCTGCTCTTTATTCCCTTTTAGCTGTATCTTTGACCGTTGTAGTCGCACCATGTACTCCTCCAGTTGGATGCGAAGGTGCAGCTGCCTTTCTCCTAGGTCGGGGTGATGACAAGATAGACGCTCTTCAGAAGGGAGTGAATTGACGGCATTTAAGAAGTGGGTGGCGCTGGATAACAAGACGTCAAACCCTCTTCGTGCATCACTTAGTGTCTGAAAGTCATCGGCACCCTCGATTTGGCCCGTTTCACCGGGATAGAGATTGAGGCGAGGTGCCTCGATGCCAAAAAAGACAGACTGGGCATCGAGCCGTGCCATGGTTTGTGCTAGAGAAATCTCAACATCATCAGACCTCAATGTCCAGATAGACGAAGATGAATCCCGTGACTTATCCTGAATGATCAAGAGTCCTTGTCGAACGTGCATAAAGGCCAAATCATATTGACCTCGAGTCAACTCCAGCATCACAAACAAAAGACAGCACGTCAAGACCACCTCGCACAATTTCGGATCTCGCGAGTGACGACGTATATTCAAAGCAGACAAAGACCGTCCATACTGCTCGAGAGCGAATCGATGGCCATGGCTGCTCAGATCTTCCCGCGAGAGTGGCACCCCTCTCACCTCCAGCTCCTCATGCAGTGCACTCAATCCCACCACGGCATAGTTGACTGCTTTTTCTGAATGGCACATTGGGAGAATCAGATCGCTCCATAGACGACAGTCGAAAAAGCCCGTCATGTTGGGGATGGTCCATTGTTGAAAGAAGGCAAAGCCTCTTCTCTCGTCTGTGGTTTCGCCGGGTATGCTCTTGTCTATACGATATAGAGAGAGTGAGGGTGTATCATGGCTTTGGTTCCCTGGGACTGGTCGATTTGTGCTATAGCCATCGCATTTCCAGCCTGCAGATGTGCAGTTTCGACAAGAACCAGGTGTTTCGTCGCATTTGATACGTCGTGTTCTGGATAGCGTTAGTATGCGGAGACGGCTAGGATATATAACGACTAACCGACATGTTCGACAGCCTGAGCGGGATCGTTTTGTAAATGCTTTCTTTCTTCCTGAGACCATTTTATTTGGATTCCAACTCCTTTGAATGATATAATATAAAGGAAAATTGATTTTGTTGAGCGTCGAGATGCTGCTTACGCTTTACCGCCCCCATCTTATCAGCCTCTCCACATGATGCCATCTCCAACTGCAACTCCACCTCAACCAACACTCCTCCATACCTTTCCAACAACACCCCAATCCACCAATTGACTTCATCCAATCCCACAAAATGGATCCCGACGACAGCGTCGCGGATAAGCCCCCAATCTTCAACTACGTCCTCTCCTTCCTCCTCGTCGGCGTCGCATGGGGCTTCACGACCCCCTTTATCCGTCGCGCCGCGGCCGACTTTAACGCACGACAAGAAGAACATCAGCAGCGAGAACAACACGAGCAAGGACAACAACCCCTAGCGACCGAACCCGAAGGCGAAGAGCAGGAATTACAACCGCAGCATCACGACGACAGCGACAAGGACAGTAACACGGAAGATGAAGTCGACCAACCACTCTCCGGGGCAAACCAGTCTACAACACCAACACCAGCATGGATGAAACAAACCCCACAATCATCCTGGCTAAAGACAAAAGCCATCACGATATTCTGGACGGTCGTGAACCTCCTCCGCACGCCCGCGTATTCAATTCCCCTGATCATCAATCTGACGGGGAGTATTTGGTTTTTCCTGCTGGTTGGGAAGCACGGTATGTCGCCGCTTTTCACCCTGCATAAATACGCATATGCATATGCCTTCGATTATAGATTGAGGTGGCTAACTTTTCCATCTTCAGAACTCTCCCTTACAGTCCCCCTCGCCAATTCAAGTGCGTTCCTTTTCACCGTCTTGGGGGAGTGGTATGTCGAGAAAAAGGTCATCGCGAAGGAGACATGGCTTGGGTTGATGCTCGTATTGGGGGGGATAGGATTATGTGTGCATTCAAAGAACCAGACTGGATAGTCTTCTCAAATAGTAGGTAGTTATAATATGTCATTTATCAATCAATTGGATAAAAATGAATGCAATCGATGTAGAATAGCTAGGGATAAAAAGAAAATCAAAAAAGAATGCATCATCCGTGAATCGAACACGGGCCTCATCGATGGCAACGATGAATTCTACCACTAGACCAATGATGCTGCAGTTGGAATCGGATAGGAATCTGATTCGCTGATGGATATTTTCTTTTAAATATGCTTTATAAACCAGAGCCGGAAATAAATAAAAATAGAAACACCACCACCATCTACAGCTAACATGTTCAAGGCAGACATGGAAATGAACAATCTAAGTCATTAAATCAAGCATTGTATCTACATGGTACATTACAAACACTCTAAGTAGACATACTGTGTACAAGCCAGTCAAAACACATCAAAAAACATATGAAGTCACCAATGACTTCGCAAACGTCAGGATTCATGAGACATTGTTTTCATCATACCATATCATACCAGACTGATCCAGCAGTGGTCGAATCCATACATCAGTATGGAAAGTCGAAAGAGCATGCCGGAACAGATAGACAAAAGAAAAGACACCTCAAATGCCGAATTAAACACCACGGAACTGGAAGAAGTTAGTAATTGATTAATTTGGCCAATGGACGAGCAAGCTTACCATTCGTACAACCAAATACCACATCGCACCGCAGAATTTGATCATAGAGAGAACTGCCACACTCCACAGGACAACACCCATGTAGATAGAGGCGCGCTTGTTTTGTGTGCTATCGTTGTCCTTGCCACCAAACTGTTCCAGACCCGCTGCGCTCAACACAACGGCTCCCAGGGCGAAGTTGCAGAATACCCACGCCAACACGACTGCACTTCGAAATCCCTTGTAGTAGTCGGCTTGCTTGTCTTCTTCGGAAATGATCTCAACCTCCTTGGGCGGCTTGGTGGCGAATGTCGCCAATTCGGCTTCATACTGCGCGTTCAGGTCGCCATCGTCCTGGGGGATGTTGACATCAACCTTGCCGCCGGGCTTCAGGTTGGCCGAGGGCAGCTTTTCTGCCTTGTCATCTCCCTTGGTACCCCATGTAATGTCATGAGTGTTACAGAAGGCGTAGATGTTCAGCACGTTGATATAGGTTGGAGTGAGCAGGATGTATTGGATGAACTGTGGAAGTTAGAATGATATCCGGTTTCACAAAAATAGGAGACTTACCGAAGTAAACATGTGCCATGGGTCGAGGAAGATCAAAGATGCCACAAACCACATGACATACGTTGAACCAATGGAAACGATGATCGTGAAGAACTGGTAGTTGGAAAACAGTTTGCCCACGGTGAAATTGTCCTCCGAAACTTCGGTCTGGATCGATTTGACCGTCACAAAGATTGCTGCAAATGCCAAGTAGATCATGATACCAATCCAGAAATACACCATGGTCATGTAGAACTTGTTCGATCCACCGGGGCGGTTACCCAGAGCTAAAACAAAGCAAGTAACCAAGGTCGCGAGATAGAGCCATTCAAAAACCACACCAAGCACTTTACCAGTTGTACCGAGTAGTTGCGCGTCACCAAGGTACGTTGTTAGAATGTGGAAAACCAAGAAGAAGTTGCCCTGTGAGATGTTAGTGTTGATACTCGATAGGGATTCAGGATGAGCTTACGATTCCAAACCAAGCAAACAGCATCGCAACAGTTTGGTAAACGAATTCAAGCATCAGCGCCATCTTTCGCCCAACACTATGGTCGCTTCTCCAGATCTGGTAGAAATGGGCAATAGCGTAGACGGCGGCAAAGAAACTACCGTTCAACCACCGACGACGCTGAAGAATGAATTCCGCCATGCGGTCCGGGACATCGGTCTCTCCTGTCGACGATTTGACATACTGCAGCAGCCAGCGGCAGTTGCGCTTGGAAACGATCTCAAAGCACAGAATTCGATCCTCGGCCAGATACATGTTGGCAGTGAAGATACCGGCATTGGCACCGTGCATCTTCTCACCAAGGAAATATCGCTCAAGTGGACCTTGACCGTTCTTGTCGTTCTGCAAAGCCACGTATCGGTATGCGGAAAAGGCACCGGGAAGCACAGTGATGAATCCAAAGGACGATTCCAACGGCTTGTCCAGAATATTGCTCAGCTTGTACTCAAAGTTCTGCCCAGCGACCAGCGGGTTGAGCAGTTTCTTTCCGTGAGACAACATGACCTTGATTTCACCGCAAGCTCCTCCACACATAGGCTCAACATCGAATGCCTTCCACAGGTGATAGATGGAGTCCTTTCCGGGCTTAGTTCCTGCATCCAAAAGGACACAGATGTTGGGTTCCAAAACACGACCAAAGCCCGAGAAGAACCAACGGTGCGAGTTGATCTTCTTCTGGTTCTTCTCCTTCAGACAAAAGATCATCTGAACAGGGGGCCCAGACCGGGGCTTGACCGAAACCTGCTGCCCCTTCAACTCCAAACCCATTTGAGTGGTGTACTCGTAAATGTGAGATGTGACATCCTTGCCATTGACCTGCTGCTTTGCAATTCCATCTTGGTAGACACCCAGACCAGCCAGCACAGCTCGGGTACGTGGATTGATCTTCGCACGACCATCACTAATGACGCAAACCACAATCTTTTTCCAGGCATCCTTGCCCCAGGTCTTGCTACTTGTCCGCGAGCACATGTACTCAATGTTCTTGAATACACCGATCATTGTTCGGGCGAAGAGGAAGTCATCCTCGTTGTACATGGTGACGACAATGAAAAGCTCCGTGTGTCGGGGCTTCGCGAAGAGTTTCTGTCGCAGGGTGAAGCGCTCCTCGAAGAAATCATTTGGGTCACAGGTTGCGGCGGAATAACGCATGTGCGTGAACTCATCACGACCCGGTGGCTCGGCGTGAGGAACCTGGTTTAGAAGTTTGGGTGCGATTGGGCAGTCCAAGACAAGGTTACCGTTAAAAAGTTGCACTTCCTTCACTGTCTTCCATCGTCGCAAAGGAGCGGGACTCGGAGTGGGTGCAATGGTGGGATCATCCTGGTAGTCTTCTGCATACTCATCACCATAGGGATCCGGCCCAAAAGGGTTTTCCGGCTGGTGCAAAATCGGAACACGGTCATCCGGCTGATGAGTTTCATGGTATTGGCCTATGTCATAGTCTTCCTGTGGCGTTACCGTGGGCTGGTAAGGTTGAGTGTAGTAGGCGTCATGATGGGCTTCGGGGTTTAGGGAGTACTCGTGGCCGGGGTGGCCTTCATAGACTTCATTGTGTCCGTATGAGTTGTGAATACCTTCTACCGAGTACTAATTGGGCAAACGCAGAAGTCAGTACTTGACTGCTTCACTCATTCTGGTGGAACTTACCGTTGGCTGGTCTAGCAGTCGGTCTGTCGAAGGCATTTCCAAATGACGCGGAGGAGCATAAGGGTTATCAGATAGTTGGTAACCAGTCAATGGGTGACCCGGAGAGGGTGTTTGGTCATTCCGATAGTTGCTCATCATGGGAGAGCGATGTTCTTCGTCCCCATAGGGATCTCCTACACTTGAATGTCAGTCGTGCGTTCGCCAGGCGATTTTGAGCGATCAAATCAGGAAGAAAAGAAGAAAAAGATGCAGTAGGTTCGAAAAGTAAAAACTCCGTGAAGAATAATCATGCGCGACGCGGAAACTCAATCCCCATCGACTACGGTTTCAGGTCGCAATTGATGCGGAGATGCGAAACGGCGCAACGACCAACAAGCACAACAGCAGAGATAAGCGGACGACTGACCTAGACGATTGTAGGACATGACGGGCAGTTGAGCCTCGGAATATTAATCGTTCCAATTATCAAGCGGCCCCTGTGAGTTCCTGGCAGGGGCTTGCAGAGCGAGATTGCGCCAGGAGCGCAGGTGGAAAGTTAACGTTGGCGAACCGTCGCAGCAGAGGACGGGCGGAGTGCTTTCTCGGCGTTGGTTTCAGGCACGAGAAGACGAAATGAAAAGGGAGTCAGAGAGAAGATCTGGAGAGCAGAGAAGAGGAGGGGTACGCGTCGGTGGAACGAGGAAAGCAACGGTAATTAAAGTAAAATGCAACGATGGGCTGAAAGGAAAGCCTTTTTGTGTTGGTCCCGTGAGAACGACGGGACTTTTTTTGTGCAGCGCCACAGATCGATCTTTGGTGCTTTAGTGGAGAGAAAAGAGGAAAAAGAAAAGGCGAGAGGAGAGGAAAAGAGAAGCTCGAGAAGAAGAATATTTTAATGCAGCTTGGCGGATTCTTTTGTTGACGAGGCAAAGGGACGATCAGTTGCGCTGAGCTGAGCTGAGGAATTACGAGTACGACATCACGCTCTACACTCTCTGCACTCTCTACACTTAGACCACTCCTACAACACAATCAGATTGATACAATTAAATCAAGGCGCTAGATTCTGCTAATTCCATTCATTCAATCCAACTGAAAGATATGATTCTCCCCTGAAACGTCCCTCACCACCATCCATGGACCAGCTGGTGCTGCTCCACCGCTACCGTCACTGGGCCAACGACAATGCTCTTCATCCTCCGCTGCCACGGCTCAGTGTATGACTGCGCCCCAGTTCCACCGTGGCTCGACCCTTGGATGATCGGTTTGATTCTTTTTATATCTTCACTGGAGCCTATGGCACTATCCAGCCCTATCGCTGAGGCACGAAGAAAAAAAAAGATGAAGATTCATGACAGAAAACAGCTGCCTTGAGGCGACGTCATCCGCCACGATTAGTGGGGATCAATTATCATCACTAAGGCTTAGACCATTTGACTATCGGAGATCAACGAAGAAGATACGAAGTACGATGAGAATGGAGATTGATAGAAGAAAAATAATATTGATGATATGAAGATGCCTGGTAGGATCAGCATTGATGTATTTTCAGTGTTGATTCTATCTATTCTAGGGTTGTTCTTATATCAATTCCTGGCACGAGCAGCATATCGCATAGGGATAATAGTCTACTATGAATATACCAACCACCAACTCGCTATAGTTTATGCGATTAAAATACTGATAACGATGAATATCTATCTATCAATATCAAGGAAATATCTTCCAATACAGGATACAACTTCTGTATGCATTCATGAAGAACAAGAAAATATCGCCTCGCACAGACCACGTGCTCTTTATCGATAAAGATTTTGTGTCAGACCCCGCCAAAGAATCACATCGCTCCAACACTCCAGCATCTCTCAAATAGCTATCCAATTGTTCCCCAAGACATACAGAACAATTCCTAAAAATGGCCTCCAACAACTCCTCCGGACGCCCCGTCAACGTCCTCTTCGTCTGTCTCGGAAACATCTGTACGTATACACCCCCGCGCATGTCTCACTTCCACAACCCCAATTCTAACCACCCGTCGCCACTATATAGGCCGCTCCCCCATGGCCGAAGGTGTCTTCCGCAACATGGCCTCATCGCACCCTCTTATCGCGGAAATCGACTCTGCCGGAACTGGCGCCTACCACGCCCTCGAGCCCCCCGACTCCCGAACCATGTCTACCCTCCGCCGCCACAACATCAAGAACTACGAACACGCCGCCCGCAAGATCACCCAGGAGGATTTCCGCACTTTCGATTACATCTTCGCCATGGACCAGTATAACCTGCGTGATCTACTGAGTGTGCGGGCGTCTGTCGTCAAGAAGTTCGGCGAGGACCAGGTTGCCGATGTGCGGTTGTTTGGCGACTATGGTGCTGGAGGGAAGTTGCATGAGCGGGTTGGTGGGGGTGAGGTCGTGCAGGACCCGTACTATGGTGGTGCCAATGGGTTTGAGGAGGTTTATCAGCAGGTGACGAGATTCTCTAAGGGGTTCTTGGACTTCTTGAAGAACCAGGGTGCGTCGGATGAGTAAGGTCGTGCATGATGTGATGCATGGCTTCTGTTCTTTTTCTGGAAGAGAGGACAGGGTTGATGATGTTAATACCCAACAGGTTCATAGATTGATCCTTACACTGATAGACAATAGATCGATTGTAAATATCTCCATCTGTACTACCACATAAGAGTACAAGAATACAGTCATTTATTAATTTTTATCCGACATAACACAGCACATTTCATATACAGTACAGTGATACCTCAGATCCCCACTCCAACCCCATCATATAACCAATGCCTTATCTATTGGCAGTATCCAGCACCGTTCTGGATAGTGCAGTTCTGGTTGGTATCGCAAAGTGATGCCTGGTGGAATGTGCCGTCATGGTCGCAGATCTCGACCTGCTGGCGACCATCGGAACCGGTCGAGCATCTGTATGTGCCAGCGTCACAGGCAAGGACGGCCAAGGGGGCCAAGAGGAGGGTGGTGAGAAGAGCGGTGAACTGCATTTTGATTCTATATAGTAGAGCGTCAGTTTGAGTGGATAGAGAGGGAGGAAGATAGGATGGACGTACAAGATAGGTAGCAGATGCTAGACAAGTGACTTTATATGGGGTATCAGGAGGATAGGAGATGATTCTGGAGGGAAAAAAGCGACAGATCAATTGAGCACAAGCAGGTAGACAGCGCACCTTTTATAACACCTCGCACAAGCAAACAACACAAATATTTGTCCAGGAGGAGAGCTGCTTCTATCCTACGATCGTCAATGATCAACAGCGTCCAGACCGAATATTGGAGAATAGCCCTGTCAGAGACCGAGACTCCATAGCCTGATAGGAAAAAGGCCAAGACGAATTGTGACAAGGGAAAAAAAAGCTCCGCGGCAGTATTAGTGACAGACCCTGCAGCTAGGACTTAGGATGTAACATTGTAGCCCCCTATCTAGCATCCAATCGGTATGGTATTCAGGCGTTCGCTTTTCTTTTTTTTGTATACGGGGGTACGGGATAGATTATTACCACGATGGATTCCATTCCGGATGTGGTGATGCTGAAGCTAATGCGTGCGTATGTACTACTTCCTACTATTGCTTCTACTAGGTGCTTCTGGATGCGCTAGCCTGTTCTAGAGTGTCTATTCCCAACAGTGCATTATCTATTTGATTGGCAGAACGCAAAGGCCACTGTCTGTCCGGGACATTTTGGGTTAGAGGAGTGAGTGGTTTTTTTCAGGTGAAATGTTGTCTGTTGAGTTGTTTTTATGGGGAGATTTATCTACGGGGTAGATTGACTTGACAGCTGAGGTGCTTGGATGTGATTGGTATACTTGAGCTTCTGTCGATCCTAAACACTATTTTAGCCTTGGATTACGGATAGGGAGCTGGTATATTTGGTCGGCTGGTGGCCTGATAGATAATGGGCACATGCAGTGTGCAGATAAAAGCAGCTGCAATTGCCACGGACCCTTGACCAATATATGCGCAGAGTGCTGCAGTTTCTCCTGGTGATATGGAGTAGAAGGTACCAATGAAGATCCGATGGTCAACCGTTGTCTCCCTAGACCGTCTGGTATAGGGGTCGGCTCTTGTAAGCTAGTGATATTCAATATTGTACAGCAGTATTAGCTGATAGTAATGTACAAACCTCTCCAACGGAAAAATTAATCTACCATTGAAGCATCCACAACCGTAGCATCATCAACGCCATAGCTCATACCCGTTCGCTGATCTTAATGGCAGTCCGGCATCCAAATCGAATAACGTCGACCAATGGATCGTATGGCTTCGCCTCTTTCGAGTCATTCTCAACCGCATGGTCCAAATGCTCTAGCTCCTCGTCCCGGATTCTTCGGAAGGTCGCAAGCATCTCCTTGAGCTCGTCGTCCAGCTCTTCACCCCGAAGCTTCGCCTCAGCCTCCCACGACAAGATTTCCCGTACTTGCTCATTGTAGTGTGACCCAATCTCCGTCTCCACAGCCTCGGTACATGCCATTGCTGCTTCACGTCCCAAAGCTCCCGTCGACCAGCCAAGAAAAGTCGCCGCAGCCTCCCAAACCGGATACATCGCCGTCGGTCGAACTTGGTGCTTCGCAATGAGCTGGTTGAAGGTTGTAAAGTGTCCTGCTTCCTGATCGTACATGTGTTTCATCAACGGTCGAAGGTGGGGATGTGAGCGCACGACTTGTGGTGTTTGCGCGGTGTAGATCAGAGTTGCTGCCAATTCGCCGGCTTGGTTGACTCGTAGGGCGCTGTCCAAGAACTCGCGCTGCCGTTTATCCAGGACATACTTCTTGGGGCTACCAGAGCCTGACGATTGTCCATCGGCGGAGAGTGTCGAGTTATTTCGGAGTTGAGTATGTTGCACGGCAGACGGAGCGAGGAATTCGAGAAATAAAGGCGATGTAGGTCGGATTGCTGCCCGAGAGTGCGCCAGAGCACATTTCTGCAGAGCCAGTAGGTTCTTCATGATAGCCCCGGCGTTAGAAGCGTCCTGATTCTAGAAAGACGCACGAACAATAGCCCTCGACCGGAAGCCGAAGTGGTCCAACTCCGGCTCAAGCAGGGCGCCGAACAGACGCGCGCTTACGGCAGGGCTTGGCAAGCCATCCCCGGTCTGGACGTCACCAACCATTATTGGCCTTGCAAATCAACGACGGCGGCTTCAATTCCATTCAACCACTTCTTCCTTCGTTTTCCTCCCTCGACCCGCCACACCTCCCATTCACCGTCGCACGCAACCCTACTCTATAGCCTCTTGTTCGAATTTTTTCTATAATTTTTTGCTGTCTACTCGCCGATCTATACGTTTATATACCATTCTCCCTCCCCATTATTATCACCCACGCCTAGCCAGCTTTTTCCCGATCCTTTCTTTCGCGGCCACTCAGGGGTCATCCATTCCTTGGCCTAGACGGTCTTTCTTGCTTGAATCGGCGATTTCCTTCGCTTAATACCGTACGGCGGTCTCGCGCAGCCGGGTCGAGTTTTTATAGCACCTGACATTTCAGGCAACACCCGCGCAAATTCACTATGGCCGATGATCTGGACGCGGAGCTGCTCGCTCTGGCGGGTGACTCCTCAGACGAGGAGGCGTCCCCTCCCACAAAGCAGACAGCAGACTCTCCTGCTCCTTCTGCCTCTCCACGCTCACCAGACGCACCATCTAGCATGGCTCGCAAAGGTATCGCAAAGCCTGCTCGACGTAGTCGAAAGTCGAGGAGAGATGACGGTGAAGTGTACGTTCCTTCCAATCATGCTGCCTTGTCTTCTCGTCCGCGCGAGTCACCCAGACTGACAAAACTCTCTCCAGGTCCGATGGCGAGTCCCACGATTCTCGGTCAGTCAGCATGTCAGAGTCAGATTCTGGTTCAGATTCTGAGGGCTCAGCGCCTGGCGCTGAAGATGAGGGTCCTATATTCCCTTATGATAAGCTCTATTACTCGTCGAAAGACAAAGAGGACATCATGGGGATGCCAGAAATCCAGCGTGAACAGATTTTGTCCGAACGAGCACAGCAAGTCGATCGCCACAACCAGGACCTGGCTCTCCGCCGTCTTTTAGCGTCCCGTGAGCGTGAAGAAGCTCGCCAGGCGAAAAAGAATAAGCGAAAGGCTAGTATGGCAAGTCTCGAGGATGGGCAGCGTAAGAGCTCGCGGCAGAAGACTACACTCGGTGGACGCAAGGTTGGAGAAGCGTCGGATGCTATAGAGGCCTACAAGAGACAGCGTGAACAGAAAGGGAAACGCGACGAACAGCGCCGCCGCGATCCCGTCAAAGACCAGAGGTCTCGGACAAAGGAGGACATCTCTGACGACGACGCAGAAGGAGATAGTGAAGTGGAATGGGATGATCGAGACCGCTCCCCATCTCTCCCGAAGGACGACCCGCCTGCTGAACTCCGGGATATTCAGCGTACTCGTGTGGGCCGGAGCAACTTTGCACAAGTCTGTTTCTACCCTGGGTTTGACGATGCCATTTCTGGTTGCTATGCTCGAGTCAATATCGGTCCGAATAGGGACACTGGTCTGAATGAATATCGCCTTTGTTTGATTAAGAGTACGTGAGCAACAATCCCTTTCCCCCATGCCCTGACTAACCGTGGTTTAGGATTCAATGAGGGACGGCCCTACGCTATGGAAGGATCAAACGGTCGGTCATTCGTTACGAATCAATATGCAGTACTCGCACATGGCAAGGCAGAACGTGAATTTCCCTTTATTGCCTGCTCGGATTCGCCCTTCAGCGAGGTGAGTTCACAAATATCCGTAATCACCAAATCAAACTAACGATCTTCCAGGCCGAATTCAGCCGTTACCGTCAAACTATGGCCGTGGAAGACTGCAAAATGGCAACCAAGTCAATGCTCGCCGATAAGGTCGCCGACATCAACCGTCTATTGAACCACAAGTTCACGAACGAAGAGTTGAACGAGAAACTGCGCAAGCAAGCGGGAGGATTGGACTCGAAAACTCTGGTCTTCAAACGCATGGAGACTGAGAAGAATCTCCAGGTTGCCAAGGCTGCAGGCGATGAAGCTGAGACTGAGAGGCTCCAGGCTAAGCTGAACGAACTCACAGGGCCAAAGCTCGCCTTTGGAACCACCGTTTCTAAGCCACGTGTTGAGAAGCAGTCTGAACATGAGCGCCTTGCCGAGTTGAACCTGCGCAACCAAAAGCTCAATATTGAGAGCGTTCGCCGCGCACAAATTGAAGAGAGGAAGGCTAGTCGAAAGGCGGCAGCCGCAGTTGCTCGAGGAGAGCAGACGGCAAACCCATTTTTGCGGGTCAGAACTCACGCCAAAACCCACTACGATGCCAATGGCAACCCCAACACAGATGAACCTAAGAGCAACGGTGATGCCAGTCAGGATGTAACCCCCAACGGTGGAACAACTACGCCCCGCCCATCTGCCACACAAAAGAAAACGACCAAAGGTGGTGTCGCGGCCATTCGTCACCGAAACATGGATGATGAGAACATTGCCGCTTTGGATCTGGAACTAGACATTGAGATCTAGACGGTCAACACCCGACAGCCAGACCGCTGGTTGTCTACTCATGTATCATAAGATAAGGATAATCGGCCAAGAACTCTCATGACCCGCCAACTGCTATCATTCGGCCATTCATTTCGACCAGGTTGAGCAACCGGCATTACGAGTCCATTCTTGCTGCATTGACATAATTGGGATGATCTGATTTTCGGCGCAATACCATTCGCATGGGGTTTGTATTATTGAGCAATGAGCATTAAGAGCAATAAAATCTTTGCATAGGCGGGATGAAACGATCTGTAACTACTTTAAGCAATCTACAATCTACAATTCCATCGGCGATAAGCCCATCTGTAATTCTAATCTCCATCCATCACGTGTGCTTAAGAGAATCACGGAACGCGCGTGGAACGCGGGGCGCGTCGTCCGGTTGGATTCTCCGCCCTTGAATTGCAACGCTTCTGGGCAACCTGTCGACGACCTGTCAATGCCAGGCAATTGAGCCCTGGCTTTCATATCACACTTTACACGATTAAGCAATGCTTTATATTTTACATTAATGACGAATAATTCTTATTTCCAAGCGAGTTAATCATGTCTGCACCTTCTACGCCACGATCGACGCGGAGCGCGTCCCCAACGAACTCGCCTGGGATGCTCACACCCGGACAAAAAATCAAAGCCATGCTAGCTGAATTCGACAGCGATTCAGAATCAGACAGCGGAAAACCGAAACAAAAACCCGCGAAATCCATCTTCAACACCAATGATACTCAACGACAGGAACCCAGCGCAGATTCGGATGGCGACGATGGCAGCGATGAGGATGATGATGATATTGTCATGCCCAAGGGCCGGATGGCGGCTCGGATGCAGGCACAGGCAGAAAAGGATACATCCGAGGAACCGAACCAGAAAGAAACGGCTTACGACCGCGTATTGAAGACGATGCGAGCTGGGAAGGAAGAGAGCAGGAAATCGGGAAACGATGCTGGAGAAGACGATGCGGCGTCATCTGAAGAAGAGGATCTCCCCAAGGCTGGACCGAGGAGGAGACTCAATGCATCGAAGAAAACAGCCCAGGAAGATGATGCATCGGATCGGTCGGCGTCTCGAGAACGCTCGTTTTCTCCTATGTTCATGTCCTCGCCTACAGCGCAACGCACCGAAGATCGTGATCAGAGTGAGGAGGATGAATCAGACGATGAAGCGCCACAACCTAAGGATAAAGCTCGGTTGCGTGCGCTGGTTGCTCAGAAGCGCAAGGAGCGCGAGGAGAAGGAAAAGATCGAAGCGGAGAAGAAGGCCGCAAAGGCAGCGCAGAGAGAGCAATTCAGCTCCGAAGTTCTCTCTGGAGAGGACAGTGAAGATGATGGTGCTTCGGGGCACAAACTGACTCAAGAATCGCGTCCTGCGCGCAAGGCCAGCAAGAAGGCCTTGGAAGAGATGAACCGCGAGACTCAGCGAATGAGCAGAAACATGCAATTAGCTCACCAGGCGCAGACCAAGAAGAAGATCACGAAGGAGAGCTTTTTTGCACGATTCAACTTTATGCAGCCAGAGGAACAAAGTGCGCCAGCTCCCCCGGCGGAGAACTCGTCAGCGACTGCCGGTTCGCAAAATTCGTCTGATGCTGAGGCTCAGAAGAGCAAGGAAACCCCACGTACATCGCCTGTCCTGGGGCCGTCAGATAAACCATCCGATCACGATCCTACAAAAGCCCAGCCGGCAGCATCGACAGAAAAGGAGGCGGTCGATGAAGAGATGACCGATCTTCCCAGCCTGGAGGGAGTTCTAGCTGGATCTGCACCACCAGAGCCCAAGGCTGCGCCGCCGCAACCCGAATCTAAAGTGACCCGCCCAGAAAAGACTAAACCCGAGCGAAAAGCGTTGACAAAACCGCCTGTTCGCGTTCTCATGTCCCGACAATCAGTAGCCCAGCACCAGAAAGATGATTCTGGTTCTGACGATGACTTGGAGGTTGTTACATCGCCTGGCAAATGCCGTCGGATTGCAGCTTTCGAAAATCTTCCCGCGAAGAAAGCCCAGGAATCATCCGCCATGTTGAAGCTGAAAGCCCTAGCTCATATTGGCTCCCCGACTCGACGGACGGCGGGCATGACTCCGGCTGAGTTGTCTGCCACATTGTTGCATCAGGCCAGACAACAAGCAAACAAAGAGCGGAGCGAAAGAATCGCAGAACTTAGGGCCAAGGGCATCATTATCGAAACGGCCGAGGAGCGCGCAGCTATGGAGGACGAGGTCGAGAATCTGGTGGAAAAGGCGCGAAAGGAAGCCGAGGACATTGCGAAGCAGGAAAGAAAAGATGCTAAAAAGAACGGCGAAGATGTCGACGATGAGGAGGATGATGATTATGAACTTTCCGGTTCTGAGGACGAGGGAGCATATGGTGAAGATGAAGATGAAGAAGAGGAGGAGGTGCATGCAGCTGCAAAGGAAGAAGGAAACGACCTGGTGGATTCTGAAGCTGGCGAGGACGAGGGCGAGGATGAGAATGAGGAAGAAGAGGATGATCGAACTGAAGTCATGTCAGAGGCTGGAGTACCATCTTCGCGTCGCAAACGCCCTACCCGAGTAATTAGTGATGATGAGGACGACGAGGAAGAAATCCAGGCACCCAGAACACCCTCCAAGCCGATCGCCCAACCAGTGAACAATGTCGAGCGCCCTCAAATTCCAGGCCTAGAAGGAGATGGTATGACCATGGGCCTTACCCAGGCCTTCGCTGGCACGTTGGGTGCAAGTCAAGATGGCTCTCAGCCAGAACCATCCACTATCCCTCTATCATTGCCTGACCCCGGAGCGCCAAACTTCCAGGAATCAGACTCACAAATGATTGTAAAGGATAGTCAAGAGCAGCGAAACGCGACACCTGACCTCTTCGCCGGATATGCCCATTCTGAGTCCCGAGTATCTGAATCGCCTGCTATGCGAGCCATGTCGCAATTCTCCCAACCCCCGGAGCCAACACAAGATGCCGGGTTCGTCTTTTCACCATTTGATCCGTCAAAGCGCTTCATGGGTACGCCGCACTCGACTATCGAGACCGTTGTGGTGGGAGACCAGTCTCAGAATGAATCCCCGATTGCTCACAGAAAAGGGAAGCTATTGCGGCGGGGTCGAGCAGCCGAAGCTTCTGAGGAAAAGGAGGAAGGCGATTTCGAGATTGAAGCTAGTGCTTTTGATGTCATGAAGAAAAAAGCGAAGAAGCCGAGTACACCATTTGACAGGAAAAAGAGCAAGGCCAAGGACGTGGTGGAAGACGCGGCCGAGGAATCAGAGGACGAGTATGCCGGTCTGGGGGGTGCCAGTGACGACAGCGAAGATGAAGAAGATGCGTACGATCAACAGATGATCAACGATAATAGTGGAGAAAAGGTCGATGAGAAGCAGCTGGCTGCACTGAATGCGTATGTTCTTCCACTCAAGAATAGAAAGTATGGATATTAATTTGTTTGCAGGGTTCACGATCGAAACACCGATGAAAAGCAAGTGGCCAAGCTGCTCAAGGATATCACTACAGGAGCTCTCAGGCGGCGAAAGAATGCGGACGACGACTTCGATCTGGATGACTCGGACGATGAACTCCTTGCCCGTCGACGACAGAAACAGAGAGAAAACGCCCGTATGCGCAAGGCACTTCTCGCCGATGAAAAGGTTGGCGAGATCGCCGAGAACCCCAAGAAAGCAGCATTCTTCCGAGCCATTGAGGACCGCGATATGGATGATGATGTTGGCTTGGACTTCCTTGATTATGAAAAGGAAGGTGCCTCTCAGGAAGAACCATCTCAAAGCTCTGAGGGACAACAGAACTCAGCAACCGACGAAAGCAACAAGAGAAAACGTCCTCTAGAGCCGTCCGCCGAAGACATCGCCAATCGCCCTCCACCACATCTCCGTCGTAAGCCAGCCAGCGCCATGTCCAAAAAGCCTGCTTCTTTGGCAGAGATCCGGGAGACCCTTTCCTTCCTCACGGAACGGCCTGAATACGACTCATTCCACGAGGACGCATCGATGGATGATGCCCCTGAACAGGAAGAGCATGAAGACGATGAAGACCGGGAACGCAGTGAAACTCCCGACGATAAACGGGAAACCAGCCAGTCAAAGGAAGAGTTCACCATCCCCAGTCACCCGCGCCGCACCAAAGGCCATGTGGTTGACCGTCTCGCTCTACTCCGACAAGCATCATCCAACTCGGCGACATCCTCATCGGCCAACTCTCGTTTTGCGTTCCAGGTTGGCTCTGGAAATGATGCATCCGACATTGGATTCCGACCACCCTTGCTTCGAAAGACAACGACAAGCTCTTCGTCGTCCAGCACGTCGAAATCTAGCGCACAGCGAAACCCCAAGGCACCTCCGTCTGGAGGGTCTATGGCCAAGAAGGGCGCTGTCAACTATTACACTGCTGCGCGGGAGAAGGAGCGCGAGAGGGAAATCCGATCGAAGGGTCGATCGGGATCGAATGTTGCTGCGCTGTTGAACAAGCATGCTGGGAACCGACTGGGGGCTTTGGGAGGAAAGGGACAGTGGGATTAATTTCTGTTATTCTATTTGATGTTTGATGTTTGGGTAAGGTGTTTGGGAGGCATTATGGGAGGATTGGCGTTCGCATGGATACAAATGCGGGTTGATACTGGTAGATATGAATATATTGTTGATGCACTATCGTCTATATACCGTCTATCTAGTCTATTGTGGCTGTAGATATCAGTTATTGATATCTCTCCAGAATTGGAAACAAATCCATCAAAGAACTGATCGTTTTGACTCCTTCTGGAGTACTCCCCTCATCGCCCGGAGGAAGATAGTAACTATCCCAGCCGGCATCAACAGCAGCCCGATAGTCCTTGACATATTCATCGCCAACATGAATACAAACCCAGTCATCGACAGAGTCCGACTGACCATCCAATTTCCGGGCTTGTCGTTTGGCGATGTCAAAAATAAGCCGGTTGGGCTTTTCTTCACCGGCTTCGTAGCTGGTAATGATGAGATCGAGATCATTTACACCATCACCATTCTTATACGCAGACGCAGACGCAGATGCAGATGTAGACCTCTCCTCAAACCCAGGCAATCGCATACTCGACACGCCCTGATCAGCCCTCAAATCACCCACCTTCAACCCCAACGACTTGAGAACCGCCGGAATGCGATCATCCGAGTTCGAGACGACGCCCACAAAAACCCGATCGAAGCCAGCCAGCCCACCACCACCATGCCCACCACCATGCCCACCACCATGCCCACCACGGCCCTGTATCTGCCTCTGTTTGACCTCCCTCATCTTCTCGAAAAACGGCATCGCACCGACACAAAGCGCATATCCCTCGTCACTCGCGAACCGATCTAAAAGCCGCTCGATCAGTCCATCCGGTAATGTCAGCGTGTTGGGGTCTGTGTTCATCGCGCCCGCGAAACTCGCCCGGATCACCTCCTCCCACCACTGTCTGGGCCCGCCGTAGGTGCCGCGGAGGACGTCATCGCGGCCGTAGTTTGGTCGAGCGGCGGATTGGGCTTTGAAGGCGGGTTTGAATGCTTTTTGGAGGGCGTCGGAGGTGATGAGGGACTGGGGGAGGTTGAAGGCGTGGGCGGTTGCGGCGTATTGGTCGGGGACGGGGAGGCGGGGGTGGAAGATTGTCCCGAAGGCGTCGAGGGTGAGGAGGAGAGTTCGTGAGGGTATTCGTGTCATTGTATTATAGTATTAATTGATAATATGGATGGATGAGGTGAAGTAAAGTGATTGATGAAGAGAAGATGGCGTCAAGAGTGGAGAGAGAAAGGAAAGTCGGAGATTAAAAAGCTCGGAGTTGGAGATAAGCATGCGATACAGACTCAATTATGAGGCCCGGCATTCATCAATTACTCTCTTCTGAATCTGATATTTGAGACTCTGCTGACTCTGAACCTTGGGCAAAATGTCAGAATCGCCTTTATGTTGAGTTGATCTGTCAAAACTTATCTCGACTTCACTTCTTCGACGTCACCTCGTCCGTTTCTGTCACATCCGTCAAAACGTCAACCGTCGTCAAATATGCATTCCACTACTTGCAAATGCAAGGATCTTGACTCTAAACAGAAACTAAATCCTTCTCCTACGAATAAACCGCTCTCAGCCCGCCGTGATGCCCTATCTCCGAGCTCCGATGACGCGTCCCGCTATAGACTAACAGCCCACGTCGAAGCTCCACAGGATAAGGGATATTTCTTTCTTATAAACCGTTGATCTGCTCTGATCGTCGCATTTGACATTCTGGATCTGTTATCTGTTTGGATTATATAGAGTGCAGATTAGATCGTGTCAGATCAGTCAGCCCATCATGGGTTTCTCACTGCGCTCTCTTATCCTGCTAACCTGCATTTCGACTTCAACTTCAGCATCAGCTTTACCACCTTCATCATTAAAAGACTCTCTGACCTTCCCACCAAATGCAAACCACGTCTTCAACGCTATCCAGGACTCCATGCGTCAATGGGGCTCCTCTCTCCACCACAACGGCATGTCCTTCTTCCTAGCCACCGTGCCTGCAGGAACCCAATTCTACCATGGCGACGCATCGTCAGACCCAGTCACAGGCAGGGAATGGCTGGCCTTTGAACCCGAGCATGCAATGGTATTTGCCAGATCTCATCTTGGTCCTCCTCCTCCCCCGTCTGATAAAGCAGATGGTGAGAGGCAAAAGCCGCTATCACCACCACCACCACCACCCAAAGACGACGGCAATGACGAACCAGGCTGGCTGCACACATACATCGCGGCGAAGAATCTCCGCCTCCTCTACGTAGACGGAATGTCCGCCGCCAAAACGACAAACGGCACACTCGACCTCCAAGATCTGGTTCTCTTCAACGGCACACTCGGTACCGAGAACCCGATGCAGGAGCGGGCGCGCGCAGATCTATTCTGCAAGATGGCGCGCGAGACGTGGGGCGATCGTCTGGATGGACTGCTTCGCATGGAAGCCGGGTTCGAGATTATCCTCTGCTCGTTTGAGCGGGACTTGAAGGAAGTGCGCGTGACGCAGACGAAACGGCAGGAAAAGGGTAAAGGTAAAGGTGGAAAACCTGGAATGCCAGGCGGAGACACCTGGATCAAAGCCATCACGGCACGATACGGTGGCATCGGTGGTGATCGCGTGCGCATCAACCAGGAGGACTTCGTCACGGCGTATAACTACGGGCTAGATCTGTTCCCAGGCAACGAGAGTAAACTCCCGCGACTCTCGCATCTGCCACTGGAATCCCTCCAACCCATCCGCGCAGATCTGCACAACCTCATCATGAACCACGACACAGCCGAACCGTCCTTCAACTGGCAATCCATCGCCGACATGGTGGTTGAACGCTACGCCCACAGCCTCCACTACCTCATCTCCCCCTCCATCACGACAACCTCCCACCTCCACGCCGAACTCGAACGCCTCCTCGCCCCATTCATCGACTACAGCGCCCGCAATGTAATAGTCGAAGCAGACCGGTGCGCAAACCAATTCATACCCGCCCAAGCACCCACAGAAGGCACCGCCTCCCGTGCCGTGCAATCCATCGCACACACCATCTGCCAGAGCCTACTTCGCGCGTGGGAAGAAACGGACTTTGAAGACGCCGTGGCAGGGCTGCGCAATCTGGTGGAGTATCTGTCGTGGTCGACGTGGAAGGAGTGTCGGGGGTGTGCAGATAACGAGGTCTGTGTGATTCCGATCTGGCCGATGGGGACGGTGGAGGATTATGAGAGTCCGAAGTGTAAGGATGCGACGAAGCCGGAGGACGATGGGACGAGGTATTGGGGGGGCCATGGGCCGCCGGGGAGTAAGCATGGGCGACATGGTGATGGGAGGCCTTATAAGACGAGGGAGGAGCTGTAATGTAAGTATTGTCAGTGCATGTTAATGGATGGCAGAGTGGATTATTCTAACTATATTCAGTTGAAACTGTAAAGACATCCAATATATTTCTATTAGACTATTAATATTAAACCTCAGTCATTACCATTTAAGGGATGTTAAATGAATACAGCTTCTACAAGTTATCAAGGTAAGAAAAGAAAGTAAAATCTGAATGCTAATCGTGATAGTATTACATTGATATGCCAACCAATATGTGCAATTAAAACCTCTATCTGCCACAAAAGTACAAAAACGGAATGGTATTTATAAATTCTCATGCGAATTCGTTGCCGCGTACACCAGCCCAATCAGACAATGACACGGTCAGGGAAGCTCATCTTGTTCAGATAAAGAGCTCACATTTACAAGCTCTCGCCAACGGTCTTGACGACCTCACCGACGGCCTGGCCGAGGCCACCGAGGCCAAGGCTGGCGAGGAGGCCAGTGACGGGGTTGTCGAGCTGGATGAGGAGAGCACCGGTGTCCTTGCCGGTGACGACGATGAGGTTGTTGACGTCGCCGGCGATGTCCTTGACGAGGTCACCAGCGTTGCCGGCGGTCTTGATGACCTGTCCAGCAGCCTTGCCGGTACCGAGGAGGCCGAGGTTAGCGAGGAGCTCAGAGACGGGGCCGGAGACCTGGACGAGGAGCTGCTTGGAGTCGGAGCCGGTGACGGTGAGGATGTTCTGGGCCTGAGGGCCGAGGTCCTGGACGATGTGGTCGCGCTTCAGGTTGGCACCGAGAACACCGAGGAGGTCACCGACGGGCTTGCCGACGCCACCGAGACCGAGACCAGAGAGGAGACCAGAGACGGTACCGTCGAGCTCGATGAGGAGAGCACCGACACCCTCGCCGGTGACGGTGAGGACACCGTCGACGGCGTGGCCGACCTGGGTGACGAGGTCACCGACGGAGGCGGCGGAGGCGACGACGGCACCGATGGGAGTGCCGACGCCGGGGAGAACGCTGTTGACGGTCTGGGCCACCTCGGGAGAGACCTTGATGAGCAGCTTCTTAGCGTTGGGGCCGGTGACGGTCAAGACGCTGTCGACTTCGTGGCCGACATCCTGGACGATCTTGCCCGAGGGAGCAGCAGAGGGAGCAGCGTTGGTGGCAGAGGGGATGAGGTTCTTGACCTGGGAGAGGTCGGAAACAACAGGCAGGTTTCCGAGCAGCTGAGGCAGATCCTTGAGGACGGGGAGGTCGCCAACGAGATCACCGACGAGGGGGAGGCCGGTGGGAGCGGCGAGAGAGGTCGAAGCCAAAGCGGCAACGGCAGCGAAGAATGAAGCCTTCATGGTGATATATTATGTATCGGAAAGAAATTCAAAGAAGGTAAGATTATATATAGCAGGGATGCTAATATGTGCAGTGCGGTTAAAGAAAGACTGGAGTGGGAAGGAATGAATGAATGAACGAATGAATGGCTTGCTTCCTGGAGACCAGAAGAGCAGGAAAAGACGAACGATTTTATATTCGAAGAAGAGATTATCCCCCTCCCCTTTCGGCCGTGTTGACGTCGATTGCGAGCCCAAGAAGCGAGTGGGCATATGCAGGAACCAAACAGGACTATTGAATGAAGCCATTATGGATAGCCTCGTATGGGGTGGAGAGGGTGGAGATGGGCGACGGGGGCTGGAAAGGGAAGATCGTGCATTATTTTCATGTGCTGCTGCTGATTCCTGGCAGGATGCAGATTGCCACGAGTTAGGCAATAATAAAGTACAGACTATTGAAGATGAGGTTATTGCGAGAAGACGCGATATGCAGGCAGTCAGGGATAAACAAGCTTAAGCAACCAGCCATCAACGTCACCAGCAGTTGAGGATAAAGTAAATTGCATTCATGTGATTGTTCGATCCGAGTCGGTCCTTACATCCACTTAATATCAGGCAGTTTTATTATCATACGGGGATAGACGGGAGTGCTGGCGACTCCATCCGGCAAATGAAGCTATCCAGATCGATCAAAAACCTGACTCATGGCCATATAAGATTCAACTAACAAACGAACCATCCACCCGGAAATTCAAATATTCGATAGAATCAATAATGTCACTGAAGCCATGAAGCTATTCCCTCTCATCCATGGAAAGGAACGAAAAACGTTGGCCACAGTAATTAAACGCTACTGTCGATCGTCATCCCTGGTGTCGCCTACAGGAAATAATGCGCTCCACTGCCGGCTCCACCGATCAGCCGCGCAGCCTGTTCCTTGCATCCGAGTGCTGAATCGCGGCCAGTGAGAGGCTGGAGGAATCATATTATGGTGTATCCTTGCTGCATTGAGAGGTTATGGTGTGGCTGCTTCAGGAGAGGCTTTTCGCCTCGTAAGGATTAAGGAATAGGAGAAGATGAGCAATGATGAGCCCGAAAGTGCCGGATCTCTCGGATCGACGATCAGGAGGCAACTTTGAAGGGACTTTTGGGAAATTAACTGTGACTATTGAACTATCAGAGTTTGATTCTGATTGTAAATTTGCGATGGTGATGTTGTAATATTATTGTGGTGTTGTAGTCATTATCTTTCATATGAAGTTGTACAGTTATGCTATGCAGTTATACAGTGTATACAGATGATAGAATATCAACAACAAATATATAGAATAGCAGATACAACAATACAAAAATATCAGAATATGAATATTCTGCAAAAATAAAGTTATTCACGGAAAAGAAAGGAGAAAAAGAAATAAGAAAAAGAAATGAGGCTGTGGTGTTTAAGTTATCTTGATATGACTGATCATAACGCTGATGTGATATAGATAGAGATAGTGATAGACATGGATCAGCATTCTTCACAATTGAAATATTGTTATGATTAAGTATTATGATTAGGTGTTATAGGATATTGATTTTGTTGAAATGGTTGACTTTGAATGAAATGCAAATATATATATTCTCCCTTTCTTTCCAACTCAATATCTACACTAATCATCGACCTTTATGACATTTGGCTCGTATTTGTTAAAGAAGGACTATTTTAGGATTATTAAAATATTATGAGAGAAGTACTTTAGCCATAAGAATAAATACTGGCACTGCCTTGTTAATACTTAAGCTGTTTACCTGTCACTAGATATAATAAGTAAGAGTACTACTTCAGGACCATGGCCGATAAAGGAGATTTAATTCTAATATATTAATATCTCTTGGAATAAACCCCTATTACACTACGATTGTCCAAATCTCAACGTGACTTCATACCACAATTTCCAGCTTTCTTTGCCTCGGGTTTCTTAATCCGACCGCGTATATCCAAATCCATCGATTTACCCTCATTCTCTGGTCGTTTAATAAATCTTGCTCAACACTCCAGCAGTATGAGGACAGAAATAGAGACTCTAGCCAGCCAGTTTTGCATCTCTCACAATGTCAAAGCAACAACTACTCCTCTGGTCCGATAGCACTCAGGCGTCTCCGGGATTTGTTTCCCGGAGAAAAGCCCAACTCCCATCAATGCCTCATCTCCATCATCTCGCAACACTGTGGAAAAATGCCACCTCGATCCCTTACGTCAAAGTCCGCCCGCAAGCATGTCACGACAGCCTGCAATCCGTGCCGGGACGGGAAAGTGAAATGCGACGGTGTGCGGCCGGTTTGCAGTAACTGTCGGGCGAAGCAAAAGGGCTGTAGCTACCGGCTGGCTGATGATAAGCGCAAGTAAGCAGAGAAGGACTTTCACGGAGACAGCGTGCTGAGATGTGTTTCTAGAATACCCTTGCGAACGACGATCACCGTCCTGGCGAAGAGAATCGATCAGCTATCGCGCTATATCCAGGATCGGGGTCTGGAGGCTCCACAGATGGAAGAAACCGACTATCTGACGATCAAGGGCATTTTTGAGATGGTTGATCTGACGCTCGACGATGCGCCTTCAACTGCATCTGACTCTGGTGGCCTGGAGGGTGCTCCAGATAAAGCGACCCTCGACGATCATACTGCGAATACTGCGGCAGGGTCATCGCAGTTGGAGACCGCGCATTCAGAAATACCCGAGCATTCTCACCATCCCAGGATGCCGATGTTTTCTGCCCCTGTCCTGCATGATTCTCCGAATGTGGCGTCTGCGCTGCTCGAGCTGGCGGAGGCGGACCTACGCGGGAACGAAAGTGCGCTTCCAGCAAACGACGAGGAAGAAGAGGAGGATGAAGTCACGAACCAACTGTCGTGTCGCTTGGGCAAACTCCAGGTAACCCATGGTGGGCAGTTGCGGTATTTCGGATCCACGTCGAACTTGACGTTGCTGGATATACTGGTGGATATTGCGCCTTCGGATCAGAAATTGGTCCAGCAAGAGACGCGAGGCGCGCTGGAGAATGCGGGCCTGGGGATCACCGTTGATGAGACTTTCGAGAAGCATCTGCTTCAGCTGTATTTTACCTGGCACGACCCTTGTTTGCACGCCGTGGAGGAGGAGGTTTTCTGGAGGTCGAGGGCGCAGAAGAGGTATGATGGGGCTGACACGACGTATTACTCTCGTGCGCTGTCTGAAGCCATGTGAGTTGCCATTCCTGCCAACTCGGTTCTCGTCGTTAATGAATTAGGTGCGCGGTTGGAGCCACGTACGAGTCCAAATATCATCCAGACCTAGTGACCTTTCCCCGATCCCTCGCCGAGTTCTTCAGCGATCGGGCCAAGATTCTACTCGAGTCGGAGTTGGAGAACCCTTGCCTGGCGACGATACAGGCCCTGGTGATCTTGAGTGCATATGAAGCATCGTGTACCAGGGACACCAGAGGGTGGCTATACAGTGGTGAGTGAACGCCCATCAACCCTGGCCTTCTACTGACATGTGCAGGAATGGCGATGCGGCTCGCCTTTGACCTTGGACTGCATCTTGACATGACGCCGTATGTGGAACGGGGTACGATTCCGTCCATGAATTACGAGGTTCGCCGGACGACCTTCTGGGCCGTCTACATGAGTGAACAGTAAGTAGTCCCTTTTTTGCTTTTTTTTATCACCAGCTGATTTTCAGATTCTGGGGATACTATCTAGGTCGACCGACTCGGAGCCCGATGGAGGGAGTCACCGTGCCAAAGCCCGATTGGAATAATTCACCTCTCAAGTGGACTCGGTATGGTTCTCTGTCTCTATCCGGGAACATGGCCAACCTCCCGAATCCACTGGGGATGATCTGCTACCAGTGGGTTTCATTGTATGAGTACATGTTACCACTGACGGACCTTTTGTGAGTATTTCCAGGCATCATCTCAATAAATCGAGCTGACCGTCTAGATACGGCTGCGATGAGATCTCGAAACACCAGCTTCAAAAGCTTACCTCTGATACCGTCGAGAAGCTGAGGTTCTGGAAGGCCAGTCTCCCACCGCAGCTGAACATCTACGAAAAGGCACCCTTTTTACAGCCGCTCCCTCACGTCCTGGCTCTGCAGTAGGTTATCTTCCATTATTTATACCAGATTCAGCACTGATACTCGAAGCATGCAATACCACCAACTCATCATCCACTGCCACCGACCCTACATCTCCCGCCACCACATCCAGCCGCAACCCCCGCAAGGCCCCGGCTCCTCGCACGCCCGCATGATGTGCATCGAGTCGGCCATTGCCATCGCAAAAACCCTGACCCTCTACGAGCGCCACTACAGCTTCCGCCGCGCCAACTTCCAAACCGTCTCCTTCATCTTCTCCGCCGCGCTGATTCTGATCTTCGCCATCGTCCCCGCACGCGGGCAGCACGAACACGACCGGGAGCTCGTCGCCCATCTCAGCACCTGTTTCCGGGCCCTCGATGAAATGGGCAGTCAGTTTGAGAATGCACGGCGGACGAGTGCGTTTTTGAATACGCTGCAGCGGGAATGGCAGACTCGGCGGCGGAGTCAGATGGCGCGGGGCGTGAAGAGGAGCTTTGATTTCTCCCACGAGCCGTGGAATGACAACACGATTGCCAGCCTGGGCGGCTCTACGGAGGACTCGGGATTTGGGAGTGAGGGGCGATCTGGGTTGGGGTCGTTGGAAGAGTCCTCGTTCGCTGTCGACTTTATGGAGCCGGATCTATGCAATATTCTGCTTAGTGAAGGGATTCCTCGATCGTTTGTATAGGTAGCTAGATACTTGTCTGCCTACCAACCGTCCCATCCAGCTTACGCGTATAGTTACTCTTGTACTCGCGTAACACTCAACACTAACGATAAGCTTCATATATTCTACCTAGAAAGGGGCCTCTATGAAGGACTTTTAGACAGGTTAAAGGCTAACCAAGCCATCTCCATTGCTATTGTCTGTATGGCGCAGTGTAGCTTATAGGTTAACAACCGTCTTGATGACCAGCTGCGACTGGGCATCCTTTGTCTTCGCGGCTGTCTCGTAGGCATCCGGGATCGAGTCCAGCCCGTGGAATCGATGCGTGATGAGCTTGCGTATATCGGGAGTCACATCTTGACGGGCCACCGCGTCCATGATCTCAATGGCCCGGGGATAGCAGAACGCATAGCGCCAGACGGACACGATGTTAATCTCTCGAGCTGTAATCTCTGAAATCGGCCAGGTTTGGTTCGCCGTTCCCATCCCTATCAGGACAACCTTGCCGCCATTGTCTGCCGCCTGTGGGAATCAGCGCTGTTCTCTTGGAGGGGGACAGAACATACGTATATGGACGCCTGCACACAGGATTCCACTCCAGTGCACTCCAACACCACATCAACCCGTCCAACCTCATCGCCTTTCGGCCAACGTAACTTTCCAATCTGCTCAGCAACCTCTTTCGCGATCCCCAGTTTCTCTTCCAGCGTAACACCCCTCTTAACCGTGCTGGTAAAGCCCACATCCGCAAACCCCTCCCTCACCGCGAAATCCACTCGTCCGGGATCAACATCAACAATCACAACAGCATTCCCATACTCGATTTTGGCGACAGCAGCAGCGAGCAACCCTACAGCCCCAGCCCCAAACACCAAACACGTCTGCCCCTTCTGCATCCCCGCCCTGTTAACCGCATGAATACACACCGACAAGGGCTCCAGCAGCGCCCCGTCATCACAGCTCAACGACTCTGGCAGCCGATGACACCATCGTCCCGGATGATTCACATACTCCTGCAGCGTGCCCTGGAAATGCGGAACCGAAGCCCCACTGCTCCGGAACCGAAGCGAGGAACAAACATTATACATGCCTTTCTTGCATTTCGGACAGTTTTCGCAGGGCACGCCGCTTTCAATGGCTACTTTGTCGCCGCGTCGTAGGGGGGTGGTGCTCTGGATTTCGTGGCCGAGTGCGACGATCTCGCCGGCGGCTTCGTGGCCGCCGCATAGAGGCTCTTGGACTTGAATCGACCCGTTGCGGTGGTAGGTGTAGTAGTGTACGTCTGAGCCACAGAGGGTTGTGGAGCGGATGGCGATTTGGACTTGGTCGGGTTCGGGGGCGGAGAGGGGGCGTTCTTCCAGCTGGAGGGTCTTGGGGCCGTGGAGATATTGGCCTTTGCTGGAGGTTGCGGCGGACATTGTGGAGATGGCTAATACTGTGTTTGATACAGCGTGGGGATTCATGAAGTAATAAGGGAAAAGTAAGTAGATGGGGGGAATGAATTCCGATGCCTGTTGGAAAATGCGGGGATCAGAAACCGGGGAAGCTGTTCCGGAGGAGAGACTGACGATACGGATTTGGGCTTGCAGATTATCCAGCAATTGGAATATCAGTGTCTAGACGGGCAGCTGTTCCGGATACAATGCAGCCACAGCCCTTGGAGAGCCGGAATTCATTGTCCGGATGGATCACTGCTATATATTGGTCTTATAAAGACCATCGAACAAGAGAAGATTCAACCCACCAACGCATTACTCCAGGATATCATCATGTCTTCAAAACTCAACATCGGCGTCGTCGGCATCGGCCGAATGGGCCAGCGCCATGCTCTGAATATCCTCCATCGCGTCCCCCGAGCACGTCTTCTCTGCGTGTGCTCCCCCGCACCGCATGAGATTGAATGGGCACAGCAGCAGCTCCAGCCGGAGGGCGTTCAGGTGTTTGCAGACTTTGACGAGATGATCGCCACCCCGGGCCTTCAGGCAGTGGTGATTGCCTCCTCGACCCATCTGCATGTCATGCATACTCTGGCAGCCATGGAGCGCGGCCTGCATGTCCTCTGCGAAAAGCCAATCTCCACGGATGCGAAAGTGGTATGTGTCTTCTTCTTCTTCTTATAAGGGTCATCTGGATTAACTCGCACAGCTGGAATCTCTAATCGAGAGAACCAAAACGACACCCACCACCAGGTTAATGGTAGCCTTTGTCCGGCGCTTCGAGAAGAACTACACCGACGCTCGATCGAAAATCGCATCCGGAGTCATTGGACAACCCCTCGTGATCCGCTCCCAGGGCACCGAGAAACTCGACAAGACCGGCTACTTCATCGACTATGCCCGGGTGAGCGGCGGCATCTTCCTCGACACCGTCATCCACGACATCGACCTCACCCTATCCTTTTTCGGCGACGACATGGTGCCCAAGTCCTGCTACGCCACGGGGCTAATCTCCCACCACCACGAGATGGCCGAGTTCCACGACGTGGATAACGCCGTGGGCGTGGTGGAGTTCTGGGACGGGCGGATTGCGCACTACTACCATTCCCGCACGACGCTGCACGGGTACGACAACTGCACCGAGATAGTGGGGACAGAGGGCAAGATCGGGATCAATCTCATCCCAACCGTGAACAAGGTGCAGGTGTCGGGGGCGAATGGCATCGTGTGCGAGGCGTTTCCCAGCTGGATGGATCAGTATCAGGAGGCGTTTGTGGCGGAGATGGATGCGTTTGCGGAGGCGATTCTGGACGGAAAGGAGCTTCCGTTGAAGTTGGAGGCGGCGTTGACGGGGTTGAAGATTGCGCGAGCGTTGCAGGATAGTGTCGTATCAGGGAAGAAGATTGAATTCCATGAGAATGGAGAGCGGAAGTAGATAGGATAGAATCCAGGCGAATCTTAAGAGCTGTTCATCTTGATGCGGTGCAGGCCAGTCACTATCATGTTAGTCGGTAAACCAATACCTGCAATGTGAATAGATCAATTCTAATGTCATCCAGGATGATTGTGTATATCTCTATATCTCCATGTATTCACTTTCACTGGGAAATCAGCATATGACAACACCTGTTCTACTGTTGATAAGGTATATTATAAAAGACCATTTACTCTAAACATCCAGGTCAAAAGGGTAAAACCAACACTTGTATATGCTATATCATGAATACAACCAAAAGGCTATACAGACACTTAAGCTACCCTCGGAATCACACGCGCCTCGACCATCCGGTCAAAAGCCACCTTGTACCCCAGCACCGTATCAATCGTCTCGTTAAAGCCAACCGCCCTCGCCTTCTCCATCGAAAAGTCGCGATGGAAATCGAAATCAACCAGCATAAACCGCGTATGTCCCCAATTCTGGCGCTCCAGACGTCCCGTCTTCAACCCATGCTTCTCAACCAGACCCTGCCACTCCTTCAGATGCCCCTTGACAAACCGCTCCATACTCTCCTTGTCGATTGGCTTTTCTTCAGGCTCCACACCCTCAAGGCCAAAGTACGCGCAGATCCCCGGCCACACGTCCGCCCAGGTAATCACCTCCCCATCCGCGGCGTTGAACACACTCCCATTGCCGCATTTCTGCCGATTGACCGCGACGTAGATCTCCAATCGACTCAGCAGATCCTGGAACGTATCCATATGCCGGGCATGATACCCGTGCTTTTCCCCGGGGAACGGAACCTTGGCTCCGGCGCCATACACCTCCCTATACAGAGAAAGGTACAACGCGATCCCCTGCGCCATGTTCATCGCATTGCTCCCCGGCACAAACCCCACGATCCCATCGGGCCGGATCTCCGAGAACGTCCAGGTACAGCCGGGCTCCTGGGACATTTTCGCGAGCACATCGTACTGGGCGTAGTAGAAGATCTTGCTGCGGTAGGGCTCGGGGATGCGCGGCAGGTCTTCGTGCAGCGGGGGCGTGATGGCGATTTTGTCTGGGAATTCAACGCCGTACGCCTTTCCGCCTGTTTGGAGGACGATGCTTGACACTTTTTTGGAGACGGCGGTGATGGCTTGCACGGCGGTTGTGAGCAGGGCCGTGTTGACGCGGAGAAGGGAGTCGTGGTCGTTGGTCTGGATGTATGCTGTGTCGCATTAGCTTTGCCTCGAGAGAAGGGAAAGGAGAACTGCATACCAGAGAAGAAAACAACATCCACATCTTCGACGCTGGGGACTTTCTTCCGCAGCTCCGTCACGACCGTCTCCGTCGACGCGGTCAGGTCAATCCCCGAGACGATGTTGAGTCGAGCGTCATCAGGAAGAAAGAGATTCTTCTTGTCGACCGGCCGATTGCTGAGCCCGGTGATCCGGGCAAAGGTCGACGGGGTTGGGTAGGAGAGGCATTGTTTCATCAGCGACCAGCCGGAGATACCGGAGGCGCCGAAGATGAGGGCGTGTCTTCCTTGCGTGGCCATTTTATCTGATTGTAAGAAGCGAAGTAGCTGATTGTATGCGAGTTATCACTTCGATGGAAGAGAGGAAGAGGGTTTAAGTAGTTCGCATGGCTTGATACTGATGGACGTTGTCCCGGGATTCATTTCGCGGGTTTATAAGCAGTTGGGGATTCATATCGCGTGGACCCAATTTTGTCTCGTTTTTCTTTCCGACAAGCTTTCTCTTTTCTTGGCCAAAGAGGGGTTGATATCATATGGAACGGACGTGAGGAGTAGATTGTGCTTGTTACCGGATGTCATCCAGGTATTGCTGTCGTTCGGAAGGTATTTCGCGGGATCTATTGTTCTACAACAGTAGTCCGGCTGACCAAGACTGGTGTATATTACAGCAGGGATTGTTACAAAAGCCTAGGCAGTGCTATGGAAGACTCGGGGTAGAACACTATACTACAGCAGGTCTTGACGAGATCTTAAGCTGCTTTCAATTGAGATATCTGACACGTGAATATACACAGATACAAGTAAGTTGCTGGTCGCCTACTATCCATTCCATCCTGCCGACGATCAAGTAACAACCTCACAATGCTCCGATTCAACCTCGTCTTTAGCAGAAAGTTCCACTACTGGAACTTCCATGCGGGCCATCCGGTATGCCTCGGACCAACTCATATCCTTCCCTGCATCGTGTTTGATCTCAAACAGCCGATCTACCTGTTCCAGCGAGAGATTGGCGGTTTCAACATAGAAATACCAGATGACCGGGATGAAGAGGAAGTTGAAGATGGCGTAGAGCATGTAATACTTCCACCCGATACGTTCAATCCCCGTCGGAGTGGCGACGACAACGACGTAGACGAAGAGCCAGTTGACGGTGGTGGCGAACGAGGTGCCGATGTTACGCATCTTCTGCGAATTGATTTCCGCCGGATACATAAAGGGGATGGAGAGAAGCGACAGGCCGTAAAAGACATAGTACGCGAAGATGAAGACGACCGCCAGGATGGACATGCCCGCGTTGTCGGGGCCGCCGTATCGCAATCCAACCGCCACGAGCGCGAAGCAGATGCTGCTGGCCGTGACGCCCATTAACAGCAGCTTCTTTCGGCCGACTCGGTCGATGAGAAGAGCGGCGACGGCGCCCCAGACCATCAGGGAGATGGAGTCGCAGGCGGAGAGAACCAGCGCGAGCCGGTTACTCAGCCCAACCGACCGCGTCAGGACGATGGGAAGATAATATGCGATCACGTTGGTGCCTCCGACCTGTTGGAAAATGGCCGTCCCTGCGCCCAGGAGAATCCTCCGCAGGGTCTGTTGCTTGCTGTCCGCGGTGAAGATCTCTTTGAGCGGATTCGACTGCTGCAGTTCCGCCCCCTGGTGAAGACTGGCCGTCTGGCTCTGGATTTCCTCCATCACCATCGGGTCGTCGTAGGGCTTGTCCAGCAGTCGAGCATAGATATCCTGAGCCTGGCTGGTGCGACCTTTCATCAGCAGCCAACGGGGCGATTCCGGAGCCACCGATATGAGCGCGATGGTAATCAGAGCAAAGAAACACTGAAAGGCAAGAGGGAAGCGCCAGCTAACAGAGGAATTCGGAATATATGTAAAACCAAAATTCATCCACTACACAGTCAGAATCGATAGTTCCAAGGGATCAAGTGGAGATACTCACGTTGCTAACCACAATCCCAAAAATATTCAAGACCAACTGGAGGACAATGAGTTTCCCCCGATCTTTTGGCCTGGCCGTCTCCGACTGCAGAACCGGGCACGCAATCGTATTCATGCCATTGCCGATTCCGGCCACCACACGGCCAACAATCATAGGCGCCATGGAGTATGCCGCGGTTTGCACAATGGCGCCGATGATGAGAATGCACGACCCGGTCAGAATGCATCGTCGCCGCCCTAGTTTGTCTCCAAAGAACATGGACACTAGCGTGCCGATGATACATCCAAGATCATAGCTGGCCACGATCTGGCCTTGTATCGTGGTACTGGGGTTTCCAAAGGTGTGGAGGAAATGTTTGTTATCGAGCAGTCCACCAAAAACACCCTGGTCATAACCAAAAAGAAGAAATCCAAAACCACAGGCCGCGGTGATGCTGAGCTGGAGAGGCTTTCCTCGGGTCTGCTGGAGAAACATGCTTAGTTTGAGGGGAAAGAATAAAGATAGATAAACACCCGGGGGGATCCATCATGACGAGATGCTTTTATAGACGGAGTCAATTGTGGGCATCTCCTCCACTCTGGGGTATGCGCAGATCCGGGGTACACTTGCCTTCGGTATTCCTTTCCCGGTATTGCAGTTGGATAGAATCGCGTATATGAGTATTTGAGACAACACTCCAGTGCGTCTATTGAAGAATCCCCACAGCCTCGTATTGCCCCTAATCTGTCTGGACAAAAAACCAGCCATGAAACATCTTGGGGTTGTAGTCGATCTCGGACTGAATTTCCGGGCAGTGGGTTTCCGTCGAGCCCTTCAACCCCGCTCAGGTGGAATATGACATGCGATCATTGCCAATGCGGTGCGGATTGAGGGGGAGGAGATCAGTTGGCTGGTAACTGCTGCTCGGGCTGCTCACTCGGTGGGACTGACTGTTCTTCAACCCATAGAAGTTGAATGGGGGCATCGACGGGACGCGCCTATCTTGCAGAAGCCATAAATGGCAGTGTAACTGTGGTGTACTAGAGACAGCAGCTTCACCTCCTGAAAGGCACAAACACTAATGGCACCAGTGTATTTAAAGACAACATTGTCCTGCAGAGCAAGCAGGAACAGGCTGACTACCTAGCCATCCAGCTTGCTCTCGCTGTGGCGGACGTTCAGACAGTCTTCGTCTATGTATGCATGCACGATAAAGACTGTGCCCTCGGGCTTCAGGTCCAGGATGAGACGAATAATTCTTGGACAGCTTATGGAGATAGACGTCTGTTAGAAAGTCAACCACGAGAACCTTGTTAGATGTCAGAGGGCCGTACAGACTTCTGCGCGAGAGGTCTATAATGCATGGAAAAATCAGAAAGGACTCAGCCCCGATGGTATTGCGGCATGCTACTGTGCCCACCAAGACGTCAGCTCTGGCTGCCAGCCAGCGTCTAGCTCTATTGTTTCTGGCTTATGCGGTACCTTTGACGACCAAACGTCGAAAAGTTTTGAAAGATAGAGCAACTTGGAATCGCACTAATCTCTGGCATGTGATTTTACTTATTATGAGCTATATAACAACCTGAATTGGAGCTATCCGATAGTTACCTAGACACTATTTTGCGATGATCAACGGGTAGGTCACATAGTAAGAGTTAAGTATCTCTAAATGATGGCCCCAACAATCAATCATGGACGCCTATTTATCGCTCTGATATATGACTAATTGTCTAACCAATTGATGGCCTACAATGAGTATGCATGCAAGAACGCATGATGATAGGTGAGATGATTGAGTATCAAGGGATGCAAGGGGAAAATAGAGGGGCCCGCTATAGTGCGGGGAGGACCTTTCTGGGGCGCCCGCATCCCATTAAGTGAGGAAAAGTCTCTACTAATCTGTATAAGAATATATTACTTTCAGCCATGTTTGGTGGTGGTCCTAGTATGCTGTATATTATATAGTGGCTTACCGGGCCGCCCCGCAGAGGTAAAAGTATATCTTAGTGTTAAATGGAATTGAGGGAAGATCTATGCAAGCGTTAATACAAATCCCTCTACTTCACTATGGATGGGATATACATTACTTATTAGACCATATAATTCTGCTATCATCTTGACAAACGACCCCAGACGGAATAAATATGTGTAGCTGAGTTTTTAACAGCGGAACAAGCTGTTTGCAATTATTGCAGGGATACCTGTTTTGTTACAGTATCACTTGATATAATAATGTATTTGATGTGAAGAGCACAACTGGTAAATACCCAACAATATTCAGCATTAGTGGTAGGCTGTAAGAAGTAGATCATCCCATCCTAAAAGGTAATGCTTGTGATAGTGCATGTAAGAGCATTTCTTAGCTCACTCTACCATGAACAACTCATCACACTGACAACGCATAGTGATACTGAGCTACTAGCCTCACTATTCTTGCTGCATCACTTGCAAGCCTCCTCCACCCATACGGATTTCTCTGAGCCATGTAGAACCATGCTGGACTAATAGCCTGGCCCGCTTTGGCCGCATCACTTGGGCAGTGGCCAGGTTGCACGCTGCTCAGGACTCTCAGGGCAGGGCCCCTCGTATTGATTGGCTCTGGGTCATACGGAGCCCTCGGATGCAAGCAACGGGCAGTAGCTCAAGTGCATAAAAGAACATTGGGCACGATGCAATGTTGAAGCCCCAGTAGCCTATGATAGTCGTCTGTACACAATACAGCTCGCCCATTGTTCGTAAGAGATCTTCACGATGCATATATCGAGCCTGTATAATGGAAAAATATTACGTCTACTATTATCTAATAGGCTCTAGATGAAATTATGGACCAGTGCTCTAATAGATAAGGCGGGGCAGTTGGCAGCTACGTGCTACCCCCCCGAACCCTCTGATACTGTTGCTCAAGTTTCCCCGCTTTTCAATTCCAAGGCTGTATATATATATATATATATTGCTTTGAAGCACCCTCTCTATAGGTATAACCTAGACTCAAATTGACTTCACGGAACAACTCAAGATGATATACTTTCTCACCTTCGGAAACACGGTCAAGTTGCAAACGGCGCTTAGACCGGGAGGAATCATCACATTCCAATCAGTCTCAGCCTTGGATACTGACTCTCCCGAAAATAGCGGCCAAATTGATATCAGCCTACTTAGTGACGGAGGTGACAAGCTTTTGAATCTATCTCTACGGCGAAGAGAGGATGCCATTGTTTTCAACAGCCAGGCTAGCAATGGCCCTTGGGGTCTAGAGGAGACAGTGCCATTACAAGACTCTTTCACCACCCCCAATTTCACAATCACTGTTTGTGATCACGGTGACAGATATCAAATCCTCTCCGGCTACCGGACCATACGTTACTCCAACAAGCGGCTGAGCGACATTGCTTCGAATGTTGTTTATGGCGCCAACGAGAATAAGAAAGTCTCCTCTCTTATATTGGCGGTCTGTACTTACGAGAGCATGGAAGAGCTTCTCTTGAGACATAATGCTGTCCATTCTGCAGTCCGGACTGGCGATGCAACGGAGGGGTATGCTCCGAATCATGATTTGAGATGATCACCAGCTTATCGCCTTGCAGTATTCTCGCGGAACACGCAATGCCCAATGCTACCTTCAGTCACAGGGTAGGCCTTATCGCACTACCAGGACGACCAAAGAAGAAGGACCGTTTAGGTAATTATGTTGCCTGTGAGATGGCAGACACAGATGTACGACTAATATACAACCAGGCTTCGAATACGCAGAACATGGCTATCTGGGAGACGCGATTGAGATTAAGCTAGCGGGTGGGAGAACCGAAAAAGCTAAAGATCACCAATTCAAACTGCCTAATGGACTCTACCTGACATACGGGGAGATCAACGGCCTTGCGGGTGACTTTTATGGAACTTATAACCCAATTAGCGACGGGAAAACGCAACCAGAACAATGCACACGGTTCCGCGATGCATACAACACGCTTGCGGGCGAGAACTCGCTCCAACCTAAAGAGGCCAATGACATCTTGGGGATCTTACAAAAGGAAGTCGATGCTGTAAACAAGGCACTTGCTGACCATGAAGATCCGTCTGTCGCTTACAGCAAGCTTCCAAACGCAGACGTGGCACTCGAACGGGCTACCTGGAGAAGGAAGGGGCTACCTGGATACCTAGGGCTCGCACGGATTAACTGGGATCATTTCGGAGGGGACGCCCGCACCGCTTACAACGCTGGCCACGAGGCGGCTCTTGATGAAGCTGTCCGCGGTAATTTGGATACCGCATATACTTTAAACGCCTTTGCAGACCATTTCCTGGAGGATTCTTTCTCCGCAGGTCACCTTCGAACCCCGCGTCGTGAGTTGCATTCGAAGTGGAACGTTACGGCAGATCTCTGCGCCAAGGTACGAGCTCTCTGCTAGCACTGGTTCCATTATATGCTCGCTGACAGTCCTTGATTTTGCAGTATATGCACGATGAAGATTGTGCGATTGGGCTTGATGTTCAAAACATAGGAGGTGAAAAATGGACACTATACGGTGATAAGCGAGGTCTTGACACTGTGAACGAAGAGAGTAAAAGACGCTGCCTCGCCGCAATTCAAGCCTCCGCGGATGAAATATACGATGCATGGAAGACCCAGATCAAACCAGACAGACAGAAATACCGAGCGTGGGCCCATGCACCAACTCTTGAATCTGCTAACGGGTCTCAAACGCTGGCTGTGCTGTTCACGCCCGGCGACAAAAGACGAGTCAACATTAAAGACCGGCGTGATCATTCGTATACAACATCGTGGTGGTTCGCAACTACGGCAGCCCAATGCGCGAACAGCGGTCGCTGGAAGTATCCAATCACTATGTAAGCTCGCAACTTATGCGGAGGATGCGGCTCAGCTGGATGATCTGAGAAATATTGAGTGTATTCTCAAGTGTCTGGGGTGAGATATATGGATAGTTATGATTTAGGATGGACCACAAGTGACTCGCAAGAAGCGTAAATGTCTGTTTGGAAACAGTGATAAAATCTCGGGACAACTCTTATTAAGCCTATTCTTATTACAGTGTGTCACAGTAATCCATTAAATAATTCATCTTGGTTCGGTCATTATCCTGGGGCGAGTCCTAACAACAGGAGCCAAGCAAACTGGGCGGCCAAATATAGAGTCATCATATCAGAGATCTGGGCAGGTTACTGAGTTGAACAAAAGTCAAAGATCCTGCAAAAGGTATTCCATGTAGTAGGTGGATATTATTTAGGTCGACCTAAAATCCCTATCTAATGAGCGGATGAACAAGTGTCCTCATATACCATTCCCATATACCACAATGGTATTCGACATACCATATGACATGACCCATGATTCCTTCGTAGCGTCACAAGTATTAGGCCGCTGTTGTCCTATCATTTCTGCTTTGCGGCTCTTAGTGTTGCAGGGGTCTGTAACACTAGGTTAGGCTACATTTAGTCTTTTTTAAGGCCATGAATGGGCGCAACCCCAATGCCTAGACCTATAATAGGCCCAGTAGGACTTTTCTAAAGCCTATTTTATATAAAATTCTAGTCTTAGTATTAGACATGTCTATGAACAAATGCTTCAATTAAAATCGAAAATGAAACCAGACAATAGAAAGCAGTGGCCAGAAAGATGATGACAAAGTATTTGGATTATTGAGGGGGTGATGTTGAAGACCTTGAAGCGGGTAAGATTACTAAATGTGGATTATTGGTAGGAATGTCTATGGTTCAAGATGCGATGATAAAAACTCAGTATTTTTCCTGTCATTAAATAGTTTGAATGAAATACACTACAATAAGGATGAAAATTTTACTTTTTCACAACAACTTCATCCATCCGCAGAGAAATAGTCCTCGCGGAGAATTGTGTTCCCAACACAGCTATATCTTACCTCACCCTCCTGACATGATTCTTGGCCATACAGACAATTTGTTCAATTTACATGATCAAAGCTGCTGTATAATCACAGGCATATGCAGTACATGCATAATTATACCTGGCAAATGAAATCTCTTGTCTAGATCTCTCTGCACTAGACCCACATGGACTTACGCAAACCAACCCAGCGCCAACCGTAATTTGGTCCAGGAACCCGATGCCCACGTAAGGCTTAGCCAGAGAGACGCCACAGCGTTCTATAAATGTTGTCGCCGGCCAATCGACATCCAGTCCGGCCCGCTCAACTAGCAGACGCAGATCCCGATTCGCTCCATGTTGGCCAGCATGCATTCGTCACCTCGAATGCTGTGGATAGTTTCAATTTCTGCCAGGCTCAGGGTATAAATGCGATACATTGCAGGCGCAACGATGTATTTCATTCAATTCTGACAGACACTCTTTGCCAACTTTCTTTCCTTCATTCCATTACATTCTTTCCGGGTGGTTGAACCATCTATACTTTCATTCTTTTATTTACACACCGAAGCCAGTCCTTCGTTGACCGTGTCTGCGACACTCATTTCACAATGCATTTCTATAACCTCTTGACTACTGTCGCCTCATTTGCACTGGCTGCATCTGCCCTCCCTCAGCCTCAGGGCCTGTCTATCGGCACCACCATAACCACCAGCGCAGCCTCTACAACCACCTCCAGCACCACCAGCAGCGGAGGCGTCCAGATCGTGAACAACATGAACGAGACCGTCTACCTCTGGTCCACCTCCAACGGCGGCAGCGAAATGCAAACCCTCGAAGCCGGCGGAAACGGCTACTGGGAGTCCTTTGAGACCAACTCCGACGGCAGCGGCATTTCGATCAAGATGGCCACCACCGCGAGCGAGGCCAGCGTATTGCAATTCGAGTACACCAAGGACAGCTCCATCGTCTTCTGGGATCTGTCCTGCATTGATCTGGACGTGGACTCGCTTTTTGTCGCGTCCGGATTCTCGGTTACCACGAGTGACTCGACCTGCTCTACTGCGTCTTGCGCGGCTGGTGACAGCGACTGCTCGGATGCGTACCAGGAGGCAAATGACGAGGATACTTATAGCTGCTCGTCTTCTGCTACTTTCACTCTTACCCTTGGCTAGGGAACATTCATTCTACATCTTCCTGGTGGATATCCTGTTGGATATATTGAGATAAAAATGGTTGAGCGGGAATAACTGGTTTATTCCATTACGAATCAGCCTAGAAATGATAGCTATGCGCGATGAAAGCAAAATTCTCTGAATTCATGAATCCATCACTCCTAGAATTACCGTCAATTTGGTATGCCCGAATAATAGACACCAGTTAAATCAACAGAAAACGTAAATCCTAAGTAAACCCCTCCATGGAGTCAAACGGCATGAATCCAGTCCCCTCGAGACACCCGACGTATTCACACTCCAGCTCTCCCTCCTTCAGCACACTCGTCTCCACCCACAGGCCAATCTGTCCCGTCGCACTCAACGGCCCACCAGGCCAATATGCCTCCATAAAGTCGCTTCTCAACTGCACATGGCCCTTATTCTGCTGACCAAACCGCAGCATGTGATTCATATCTGTGAAATAGAAAAACTGCGTCTTTTTATTATAGTTCAGTGCCGCAGGCGCTGAGTCCCGGAATGTACCACCCTCCGGATAATAGCACAGACGAGCGTCCAAAATCCCCGATTCCGGCGGTGCAGCAGTCAAATCGACGATCCACTGCGTGACGAGCTGATCGAAATGTTTGAACCAGCACTCCGTTTCCTCGGGGGTCAGATGAGAGTGATCCTGACCCTCGACGACGAAACAGATATTCTCGGGGAATCTGGTCATGTGGACGCGTCCAGGGCGTACGGTTCGACAGTCAGAAGATAAAGCACCAGCAGAAGCTCGACTCAGCGCGCCTTGTAACGGCGTTTTCATCCGATCCGACGCTTCAGCTGACATCCGATGTCGATAACAACCCCAGTATCCAGTCTTATCACCGACCGGGATACGATCTCCCAGATGGCCAAGTCCGATGGGAGTAGTCTGATTAGTTCCATGCTGCGTTCGGCTGCTATGGGGAGTGATTATTTCACGCCACATGCCTGCATCAGGCGGAAGAGAGGACCAGAAAGCAGAGACATCCGGATCTGTCCACCAGGCTTGGTAGTCTGGGTGGGATTTCCAGTAGGCTATCCAGACTTGGGTTTTGCCTGAGTTGGGCGATGCACCGCCATCTTGAATCAGCCTCTCGACGGAGGTAGGGGCGTGTTTGATCAAGTTATCGAATTGACTGATGAGAGATGATTGTCTGTCATTGGGATGCTCGTCTTGGAATTGAATTCCAAAGAGAGAGTAGACAAACGAGCCGGGAGAAAGTCGTACGCCCCACATTTTGGTAGACAATCTGTAGTCATAAAGCAGCAGAGATGAGGACTTGTGAATAGTTGGGAAAAAGGGAGATGTCTATATACTAGAATATCGGCATCATAGATGGTCGCCACTTACGGAGGTTCAACGTACGCGACACTTCCCTACCAATGAGCTGCTGAGATTATCAAAGAAAGGTTTATAAAACTGTCTATCATTATTCCCCTCTTAATTCTCTATCTAATCACAATGTATACGGATATTTTGGACAGCGCTAGGCTGAACCAGCAATGTCTTCTCTCACTGTTACGGACCCTCGTTTAGTGCCCCGCCTGAAAAGCTTAGGCTGCACTGTTCTGGACTAGCCCTTCGTTATATCAATTCCTGCTATCTCCAATCCATCGTATTCATTGCAAACGTTTTGCACCTGTAATCAAATCTGGACGATGGTGAATTCGCCCATTTCAAAGCTCTCGCCTGAGCTGCTGGCGAATATCTTCGAGTTCCTACCTCCGGGGACTGCCCTGTTGAGCTGTCTCCTATGTTGCAAGAAATGGCATTTCCTTGCCCAGGAAATACTCTATCGAGATATCGTTCTGAACAGTTCATCGGTGGCGAATTTCGTGCGACGAGTTCCCAGCACTCCTAGCACAGATGCCCTCGTTCAGTCCATCACCCTCCAAGTAGATCCACTACAAGCGGACGCAGACGAAGACCAGAATGCCATTGCATACGAAGGCAGCCGAGCCACACAACAGCTCTGGCGCTCTTTAGACAAACTTGCGATACGAATCCAATCCATGACCAGGCTGAGCAGTCTCTCTATCTTCCGGACACCGGCCCCGGCATTCTCTTCGTTCTGGATCTCGCAGACCAGTCTCGCGAAAATTGTCGATAATCTACCAGAGACATGTACGAGTCTCGAAATCGACACGAGAGATAATGACGATGGTGCCAAGCCTGGCTCTGTGCACTTGTGTCTTTCTATTCGCCGTGTTCTCCCAAGACTCCACTATCTGCGGCTCCGGCTGAATAGAATTTGTCCTGAGATTTGTGGTGGCTTTGATGCGAACGAATCAGATATCAAAGACTCATACAAACCGTCCAAAGCACCCAAGTTGAAAGAATGTATCATCAACTTGACACTTCGTACGCCCTATCCACTTTGCTCCGGTATATGCGGAGTCTCGCCGCCTCAACCGAGTGTGGCCGTGATGGTTACGGCTCTCCAATCACTTGTCTCTACCGGGAGCGCACCAAATCTTGAACAATCGCGCGTGTTGGATCTACAGGGGCAAGAAGGAGCAGATCCTGCCTCCTATCCGTCATTTATTCGTCGCGATATACTCTCAAATACCAGCAGGATAGTACCTATTCGAGACATTGGTGGATTTATCAAGCCCAGCTGGCTGATTCGTGTGCCGGATTCCGAGGGCGGAGATTTGGTATCACACCTATGGGCGATTGAGACCGTCGCAGAAGGAAGAGCCTGGCAGGAGACAGAACGGGGGACTCGACTCGCTGCTCCGGTTATGAGGAAGAGGGGGTTTACTGCGTATTTACCCGTGGAAACAAGAGAACGGTTCGTCAAACGGACGAACTTGACTTGTATGTTGTGGAGCAATGAGAAGGTGGCTGGGATGAGATTGCTGGAGAATGAGGAGAGGGGGGTGCTAGAGACGCGTTCAGTTAGGGAGAAGATCCCGAATGGTTGGATGCACCTCGAGAATGATGGATACGTGTTGCCGATTGAATGAGATTCATGTGTATTTGTGTACTTTTTTCTGGGGTTCTCAATATACGACTGTCATATAATCCAGTTGTATTCTACTCTGTGTTACTTATTATTAATAGTAACGAGTTAAATCTTATTCTCTAACTACAACTATACAGAAACAGAAGTTGGCTAGAGAGACGCCTAAAATGGCGACCAAAGTAGCCATTTTCGGCCGCCTGTTACCCGTCAATCGTTACATAGTTAATAAGTTTTAAGTTAAGGTTAGGGTGTCAATGAAATAAGTTAAAATTTTAACTTAATGCCAAGACTGAAGCAACTTGACGAGTTTCGAGTGCTGGATTCGAACAGAGCCAAACTTCCCTCGTTAGTCACGCTACCCTTTGGAGTACTTAGTTTAAAGGAATACTTAGTACTGGTGTGACATAACCAGTGAGCTCTACAACGCTGCAGTAGCTGTGGACAGTTCGACATACAGTCAGAAGCTGTCTTAGTAGATAGCGATTTATTATCCATTTGAATAGTCTGATCTAATGGTGTTAGTTGAAAGCTTCAAGACATGCTGGGGATGTGGCGAAAGCGGACCGCTCGGCCCGTCGGCCGTGAATGACATCAACTCAATAATATACTTAACTATAATATATAGCTAGTCAGAATAGTCTTATAAGCTTAGGGATGACTGCCAGCGGTGTCAACCTCGAACTTTAAAGATCCATACTGGGTGTGTCCACTGGGGCTCCATGCTGATTGGTCCTTACACCCCGGAAAAGGAATGTTGCATGCACAGTGACATGAGCTGACCCAGGGATATGTGGTCTGCATCAATTTCATGACGTGTCAATGCATTCGGTTATAAACCTACTTCCATGACAAAGGACACCCAAACTATGCTTCTTTGGCGTTGTATCTATAAAATAAGAATAGGTTGAGTCACAGATGACGTGCCTCTTTTCACCTGTCCTCTGATGCAGCTGTTAAAACACGACTATTCTTTTTATAGCCAGAAAAAAAAATATATCAGCAAGCTGGTTTAAACAACCACTATATCACAGTTGCAGGATCGTTGTTTATGTACTTCAGCGCTATATTAGCTTATTTGTGTATGATACCACATATTGTATAATTTTGTATTTATACTCCAAGAGTACTGATAGACATGATTTTACCCAAGTATAGGCCGTTAATAGACATCTTCAAGCACTACATCATAAAAGGATTTCATGAGAATATGTATTCTATAATCTGGTTGTTCAAGCATATGACATGCCTTCGATCCACTTGGTGGGAATGAATACGGCATAGTAAGGCAATTGATAGTATGCAACAAGGGGTGTTGAGACCAGGTCAGACGTCATGATGTAGGTGAATACTTGCAAGAACTTTCAAGGATTAGGCTCTAGTATAGGACTCATATCGAGTGCTGAATGCGGAGAATGATGTAGATGAAGACTTGAAATAACGATCTAGGCTCTACTATGGGACTCATAATGAGTGCTAAATGCGGAAAATGAGGAGTATCCAGTTGGTCTGATGCGTTCATCTCCAATTTTTCATGCATATATGGACTGTAGCTAAGTACGGGTCAACATCCTAGTGACGCAATCCCCATTTACCTAGTAGGATTTGATGCGCCAACTCCTACTGTTCTGAAAAGATATATAAAGGTGGCTAGTTACAAGACTGTGTATGACTGAGTATCAAGGCCTCTTTCCGCTTCTCTGAAATTGGATTTTCACTTGTCTCTTAAATTCAAAACAAGTCAGCCAACTCGACGACACCGCTCTTTGAACTAGACACTACACTCTATCTCAAAGCTTCAATTTGACCATGTCATCGATCCCCCTCAGCTTCGTTGGTGCTGTCAATATTGCTGTGCGCCTGGTTACGGAAAAATATCCAGATGCTCAGCTCCTTGAGGCTTTAGCTACCACTTCAAATAATTCTTATGTGAGATCTCCGGTGTTTTCACACTTGAGAGTCATTTTCCATGTTGAGGGTGGCACCGCCTTTATCGACTCGACCGTCTGGGGTGAATTCGGTCCCATTTCTTATGTTCCCGAGCCTTGGGTTGGTGATTTTGTTATCCCATGGCCTGTTCACATGGATACTCGTGAGGCAGACGACCTTTTGAAAAAAGCTGGCTATACCGCGCCATATGATAGCACGCTCCTGCGCCACCCGGTCTACCCTGGCCTTGAAGAGCCATATTATATTTTCCGTCTGCAGACCGAGGAATTCATTTTTGTCGGCACCAACTCTAAAAAGGTTTTCCCGGCGGATCAGGGGACTTTGGAAGTGGTGGAACGTTCAATCTCGACCCTGAGATCACTGGGTGAATAGGCTGGATGCCTGTGTCGCTTGCTGTCTGTGGCTCAGCTTTGGAAATTGGCCACTGAACTAAATAATCCGGGCATACTATCTTTCCACTCATTTCGAATTTGTGTGAGTACTTGGGGGATGGTGTATGGAGCACTCATTATGTCTTTCCGTGTCTCTAGCTGTATTTAAGTCAACTAGTTAGCTGTTTTTTATAACACAAGGAGTATGCCACATCTTAATTTGTTCACTTTGAGCGTATGTTTTACTCTTATGATATGAATTAGCAAATGTAGGTGGTTATTCCGTGTTATGAGACCGTCCATTATTACGAGGCAAGCCCTTGTACAAGTCTAATTGAGGTAGTGGAGGCTATATCAGAACGGCAAAAGTGACTGGAAACGATTTTGCGACATTTCCAGTTACTTTTTTGTCCAATATGATTGTTTATGAAACCTTCTAGAATATAATCAGCTGACTCATCTCGATTCACCACGTGGGCTAACCCAATCGAGTAGTTGGCACCGAAACTCTTCATCTTCTCTTCACCAGCCATCATGTCCCAGGCTCAACAGCCTAAGATCTGCAGGAAGAATCTTCTGATCTCCAGCCCCTTCCGCCCCTGCAATCACATCACCCGAGCTTGTGAGCCGTGTCATCTGCGCAAAACCCGATGCAATGGACGACAGCCATGCAAGGGATGCCAGCAGAATCACCAGCCATGCATCTACCGTGCAGGAAGCGCCCGGATGAAGAAAACTCGTCTACAAGAAGCCCGAACTGAAGGAGTTGGGCTACTGCCCAAGCCGTCGACGTCGGCAGCCACCTCTGCAGAAGCAATCTCCCGCAAGTACGCATTCCGAGCGACTTGGTCCAGTTTAAGCTTCATCAAGCTCTACGGGTTGGAATCGGAGTGACGGATCAAGCTTACATTTCGTTGCTGTTGAGGTCCTTCGTCACATTTCTGTTTTATTCAGAGGATTTATGAACGAGATTAAAGGAACTCAAATGGCATTCAGCCATCTCAGAGTACCAAGGCTCCAGGTGGGTTGGAAAAATGGGGTCTGGAAAGATTTATGTTTTCCGTCGAGTCGAGCGGTGACTATAACTCGCCAAAGCGCGTGGAAGCACACTTCCCCAAGGAAATGGGGATATCGTTTATCAATTCGTATTTTGAATTATGCACCCGCAAATGCCTCTGTTGACTTGTTCTGAGATTACGGATACTTGGAAAAAAGCTGTGGGAACCGCCACGGCCAAACAAGATACTCAAAGCGCGAGAGTTACTATATATGGTTTTGGCTATTGGGGCACGGATGTCCATTATCCCAGGTGACAGATAGTGATAACGTGAGCATGCACCGTCTGCGACTAACTTTCTGGACGATTTCTGCAAATGAAAAGATATCAGCGCTGTTCCTCGGCCGCCCATCGGGTCCCCGAAGACCAGATCGACACAGGATATCCAGAAGATATCCTATTACAAAATGCTACCCTGGAAGCAGAGCAGAATGTAACGGGCCCTCAAGATCCAAGAATCTGTTGAAGCGTCGGTCGATTCTGCACCAAGTCTAATCAACCTGGCGCTTGATGTCTACTTTTGACGATTTCCATATAACCGGTTTAATGGGACTACGGACACTTTTCTCGCTTCTGCCTGTATTACTTTGCTTTGTGATGTCTTAGACTCGAAGACTACCACTGAACATGCGAAAGCCGCATTCATCACTGTAGAACGGGGAATTCAATATCTGGACGAGATCGAGCATGTAGGACCGTTGACAGGCAAAGCAATCAGCATGAATATCATGAAGGTCGCCAAAGGTGCGTTGGTCTCGATCGGCCATTCTTTTGAACCAGATCAAGCTCTCGACTCTTTTCCATGGCTGCCGTCAGTTCTAAGGCATTTGTATTTTCTAACTACCAGAACAGAGAAGGTCTGGAAGTGACAACGCCTAGTCTGTGCCATTGGATGACAAATGTGGAAATTCGACAATGTTCAGTCAGTCATTGGCCAATACTGAAGGCCATGGGTTGTCTGGCTGTGCATTCGAAGTCAACTATATGTCTTATTGGCTTGAAAATGGATTTGACGTGGGCAACGTGCCTGAAAGTCTTTTCTGATCTTTCGTCAACCTACGTATGCAATCTCACATACGATAGAATTCTCAGACACCACATTCCCATCATCCCCCGATCAATTTTCTAATCAATCAACAGTTCGAGTGCACGAATAATTCCCAAAGTTCAATCCTCTTCTCAATGCTAGCCTCTATTGAGGAACAGTCTGATTGCCCGTAGAAATTACGGAGCAATTCTTCAGCTCGCTTCGACGGAATCACATCAGTTCGATCCCGCACCTGGTTTTCAGGAGGATCGGGAATGTTCTTCTTACTAGGTCGAAGCTTTCGCAACATGCCAATGACGTCTGTCCAATTCGTCTGTTCTGCAAAGGCGAAGATTCGCTCCGATTTCACAGCTGGATCCAGCAAGCCGATCACGCACAGGCGAGCTACGTCTTGGACATCCACGTACCATTCTGGGATTCACCAGTCGACACTGTTATGGGGTGATACAATACAAGGCAAAGTACTTACTTTCAGGAAACTTTGCAAAAGCCGATATGTCTCCCTGTAGAAGCTGGCGCGTCGCGCCTATGGTTGAGCCGTGGATTTCAGGGTGTAGGACCTTGCCGACCTGGAAGATCATATTAGCGCTGTTGGTGTGCAGCAAATAAGCTTACATCCAAGCATGGAAGAACGATGTTGAACACAAAGTCAGACTGGTGCTCTTGAGTCCATTTCCACGACTGGGCCAGTCTTGGATGCTGAATAGACTGCTACTCCCTCATCTTTTGCGGGCGTTTTCTCATCCCACGCTGCCTTGACTGCTTCTCAGTTCCAGGTGTCTGGAGTGGAATTAGCGACCGCTGGACATTGTGACAATGGCTAATCACTGACGTAAACCGTCCGCCAATTCGCATCCGAAGTTATCATATACGATGCAGAGGAAGAGGAGACCAGAACAGCCCGGTTGAAGGAAGCCTGTTTGGCAGCTTCTTCCACGACGTTCAAAGTAGCCTTGAGGCCCAGGGAACCACAGCTTCAGGATTGTTGCCGAGCGACATGTCCGACGCTTGGGATGAATTGGCATGAATATGAGGTCAACATAGACGTTATAGGCGACATTAGACATACCAGGTGAACGACACCATCAACACTACGTATCGCCTGCTCCACCACCCTTCTCTCAAACAAAGTCACAATAGAAGTCTCGAACAAACCCTTTCCATCTCTGCTCAAAATTGATTCAACCACGGCTTGGACGCACGAATGGTGCCCCGCACTCGAAATTAAGGGCCAACAGCTGGTCAACCACATGGGAGGCGATGTAACCATTCGCGCCAGTGACGAGGATTGTGGACTCTCTGCGCAGAGCGTATGACGCGACCACCGTTTTTCTTCTATTGTTTAGAACTAAGATAAAAATGGAACAAAGATAAAAAAAATCTTTTCTTAACTCCAGCCAACAATACCCTTGACTTGTTTACAGCGCTAAGGTTTATCAGGTATGTTTGCGGAAATGTGGAGACCTCTTGATAAGAATTGCCCAAAGTCTGGCGGGATTATCGGAATTGGAAAACTGTTGAAGTCATCTGGGTCTGATCTAGAATTGGAATTGAGTTTGCTTGATATGTATAGCTATCATCGACTGTCGACTGTTGTGCTGGTGATATAACTATTCCCTCTCCCTCCCTCGCATCTTCCATTCTACACTTACACCCCATAGAATAATAAAACAAAAACAAACCACCAAAATGACCATCGCCTTCCCCATAATCAGCCTAGACAGCTACAAGCCCAAGCCCGCCCGGCACTTCCTCTCCCTCGCAAATCGCCCAACAAACTCGAAAAAGGCGCCCTCGGCGCTCTCTTCAACCACCTCAAACCCGTCAACCCGGACCAGCTCATCGGCGACTGGGACGGACACGCGATTAACACCGAGCACCCGTTTACGAAGGAGCTGGACGCGATTAACTGGGCGGGGAACTCGTTCGACGCGACTCGAGACGATGATGTGGATCTCTATCCGACTGTGATTTTGCGGAATGGGCATCGGGTGCCGTATGAGGGGTGGGGGTTTGCTAGTGTATGTTACATACTCTCCCTCTGCCTTGTGGGTTGGTATGGTTGAGATGAGGCTGACGTGTGATAGTTGCGAGAGATTAAATATAACGGGGTTGTATCGTCAGCGCTGATCTATAACACTCGACCGGCGTTGGTGCACTTTCGCCATGTGAATGACCGGGTGGTGGCTGGAGTGATGGAGTCGAGGGAGTTTGGGAAGAATGGGAACTTTTACTTTTACCTGGTGAAATAGATTTACTGGGAGGATATGGAAAAAGATTCTTGTCTAATATTTATAAAATATAATTACATTTAATGATAATAAATAGATGGTATTGCCAATGAAAGTAATCTGCATTTGCTACATCACGCTTGATATTGAACCTAGTTCTGAAAATCCCTCTTCAACAGTTCAGAAGGAGGTAGAATCCCCTCCTGCTCGAGAGTATCAAACGTCCTCTTAAACGCCTCCCAGGTATCCTCATACCCAGTCCATCCCAGCTTTCTCGCCTTGCTCATACTAGCAACACACCCCCATTCACGACCAAGAACGAAAGTCAAAAAGTCCCACGTCGCCTTATCCCAGGCCGTCTGGTCGAGGCTGTACTTGGTTTTGAGAGTCGACCACGCCTCATTGACATCAGCCCGTTGAGCCCATTTCTGGGGGTCGATGGGGAGGTCGAGGGTGGGTGGTTTTGCGTTGATGGCGTCGTCGGAAATGCCGAGTGCCTTGGCGTGTGCGACGATGGGGTTGCTGGATTTCAGCTGGTTGGTGGTGGATTCTCCTTTGTGGCTCTTGGTGGTTGCTGCGTCGAACATGTTGTCTGGGATGGTGCAGCCGAAATGCTCTGCGAGACGGGGCCAGAGACTCTGGAACGATTCGGTATCGCCGTTGGCGACGTTGAAGATGTTGTTTCCGGCCCCTGGAGCTGTGGCAGCCCATAGACAGAATTGGGCGTGCAGCTCTGCGGATGTCCAGCAGTTGAAGGCAAAATAGTTGAGTTTATTGCCGGGGTAGATCAGCTTTGATCCAGGCAGCGCCTTGTTCACAGCACAGTACAGGCCAATAGCAGTTGCTTCGTTCATGAAGTTGTTCTTAGCATAGCCGATGACATCGTTTGGAAGTGTACAGATCCACTCCCAGTTGTTCCTGGCTGCAGCTTCTTCTAATATCCTTTGCTGGGTATAGTAAAAGTTGGAGGGCCACTTTTTGCCGCCAACATTTCCTTCCAAACGAGGATCAGATTCAATGAGAGGCTGCTTAGGCAAGCCCAGATGAACACCATAATGCTTGAACCCACAGGTAAGAACGAACCGTTTGAGCTGCTTGGTTGCGCCCGTGGTTTCAAGCGCCTGGATGAAGTTGGAGAGTAATGCGCCGTTGACCGCAGCCGCTTCATCTTCATCAGGCCTGGCTAGATAAGCGCAGAAGTAGACATAGTCTGCCGAAATGCCAGACAGAGACTGGGCCATTTCCTCTGCCGAGCCCTGGAGATCAAGACAGACATGCTTGATTCGATCGTCTTTCAGGGATGGTTGACTTCGGGAGAGAGTGTAGATTTTGGAGTATGACGGGTCTTGGAGAAGATGGCGAACAATTGCATTTCCGGTGATACCTACACTGTAAGCAGTGAGTTTTATAGACGAAGAAATGAGACATACCGGTCGCACCAGTGACAATAGCAGTAGGCATGTTGAGTTTTATTGATCAATCGAATTTGATTATCCGGTTGATATTGGATGGAGGGTATATATATCACTGCCATTTCCGTGGTTGAGTTTAGTTGATGTCATCGACTCGGGATTTGCTCATCTGCAGGGCGCGCAGGCGTTATTCCAGCTAAATCCGGATTGCTGCAAGTGGAATTACATCTGGATGAGGTTTCTAGAAGGATTACTGACTCGAGTTAGCTGCATATTTCTGACTCGCTTAACTTTGGGGAGAAATACTCAGGCAGGTCAATTGTCGAGGCTGTTTAGGGCTGCTGAAGCATCAAGAGAATCCGCATTTCAGATGTATCCCATTAAGTGTTATTTCATCATTTCGACAGTCGTACATGGAGTAGTCACTTGATTTATTGTCAACGATGATGGCTAAAAGAGTCGTTGGATGGATGTTGATGGCAAGTCTTGGTGTTGAGTTGAAGTACAGTTAATGCCTGATGTATAAGGCAGTGTACAATCTGCATAGCTATGCACAGATCAGTCAGCGCATATAATTATGCCAACTATCTCCACGTGGGAACGACTGAAGTTGGCCACCACAACTCCAGAAACTCCAAAATTCCCAGAAAGACCAAACTCTGGATAAACTCCGATAAACACAATATCCAGAAACATCATATCTAGGCAGAATTACGCAGATCCAAATGTTTCAGACTCCGCATCGGCCCCCGGCCTTCCCCCGCGGCAAGTCTGGTTCATCGCGGGGGAAAAGATCATCTCCCATCGTGGGGATCGGATAATACAATACCAGTTTGCTGCTGTTCTACACTATTCGATTAATCATCTCCGATGCTATTGCTTGATGAGGTTAATATCTACGAGACTACCTATGAGTGGTATGTACCCCACACTTGGCGTTGAGAAGCTTTTCTCTAGTCTATCTTCATCGCCTTCATCTCATCAACACGACTCCAAGAATGACAATGACAGTGCAATAATACTGACCCTGAAAAGAAAAGAATATCAACAGAAGGAAAGAGATATGATGTGATCCCCACAGTGGGTGTGGGAACTCGGTGATCGCAGCACGGAAAAGACTTCAACCGCCTGTTGAGCAGGATAGACGGCACCATCGCTCGGGGATAACGCCTCGACCAGTGCTGTCCATGGCTTTTAAAAGCCCTGTTCCCCGGGTTCTACTGGGTTCATCATTCTCATCAACTAAAACCATCTCTATCTCACAATGGCGCAATCACCAAAGGATCTTAGAATCGCCATTCTCGGCGCGGGTGAGTCGCATGTCTGAAGAAGTGAATGAGACTTGCTAACTTATCCAGGCATGGGTGGATTGACCTGTGCCCTTTCGCTGGCGACTGAAGGATTCAAGAATATCGATGTGTATGAGTATGCGACCGATTTGGGCTTTGTTGGAGCTGGTATCCAACTGGCTCCTAACATGGCGCGTGTTCTTGACCGTCTGGGTGTGTGGAAGGGTATTGAAGCGGAGGCTGTCAACATTGAAGATACCAGCGTTAGAGGTGGGTTGTATTTATCTGTTTATGAGGACAAAGCTAATGAGAACAGTCGGCGCAACTGATACTGAACTCGCCTACGTCCAGCTCAAGTACATCCAAGAGACTTACGGATACCCTCACATGGTCGGCCACCGGTCTTCTCTGGCCAACGGTCTCTACCAAGGCTGTCTCGCTCACCCTGCTATTAAATTCCACTTTTCGACCAGCGCCGACGCTGTCGACCGATACGGCCCTCAGCCCTCGTTCATGGCTATCCCCCGTCAAGGCGAACCGTACCGAGTTGAAGCCGACGTCGTCCTCGCCGCCGACGGCATCAAGAGCAAGACCCGCGACGAGATGTTGAAGAGACTCAACATCAACGCCGGTATCAAAGACACCCACCAGGCCGCCTACCGGATCATGATCCACAAGGAGCAAATCAAAGACGACCCCGAACTGCTGGCCCTCATGGAGAGCACACGGGTGACGCGCTGGATTGGCGAAAAGCGTCACATCATCGCCTACCCCGTCTCCAACAACACCATCTACAACCTCTCCACCACCCAGCCCGACACCAACTTCGCCGCAGCCACCAACGCGACCTATACCACCCGCGGAGACAAATCCGCCATGCTGAACGTCTTCGGCGACTTCTGCCCCATGGTGCAGCGCATGCTCAACTACGTCCCCGAAGGCGAAGTCTGCGAGTGGAAGCTGCGCGTCCACGAACCCCTCCCCACCTGGGTGCACGAGTCTGTCGCTCTCGTCGGCGACGCCTGCCACCCCACTCTTCCCCATCTCGCGCAAGGCGCCGCCCAAGCCATCGAAGACGGAGACGTGCTCGGTGTCGTCCTCAGCCGCCTCCCGGACACCAAGCCCGAGTCCATCAACAAGGCGCTCCGCGTGTACGAAAAGGTGCGCAAAGACCGCGCCTACGCCCTCGTCGACCTGGCCGCTGCGTCTGGACGAGCGCTGCATCTCGGCGACGGCGCCGCCAAGGAAGAGCGAGACCGACAGTTCGCGGCATTGAAGCGTGGTGATGGCCCCGTGCCGGATAAGTGGGCGGATGCGGATGTGCAGAGGGAGATTTATGGCTTCGACTGTTCCAAGGTGGCGCATGAGTCGTTTGATGAGTACTTTAACGCGCTGTAAGCTAGACTGTATACTGATGGATTTATACGAAATGATGCTGAGTATTTAGGTCTACAAGTCGAATGGCCAAACTTACTTAATTATATAGATTATATAGCGTTCTATTTACTGTCTATTACTTTCTATCTTCACATTTTTCACCGTTTTCACCTTCTTCGCTTTTTTCACCTTCTTCATCTTTTTCGCCCTTTTCACCTTTTCTTTTAGACAACATCATCTTCACAGTGACAAAACACACCAAACCAGCCGCATACGAACAGCCCGCAAAGACAATCAATCCCCAATACTCCCCTTGACACCGACTCACAATCTCCCCCGCAATCGGCACTCCCGTGAGCGCCCCAAAGCTAACAATCGTATAGACAGTCGTATAGAACCGCCCATAATCCTCCGTGGCACACAACTCGCCCACACAAACCGGCACCAGACTGATATTACTCCCACTGCCAAACCCAAACAAGATAGCGAAGACGATCGTCGCAGCCACGTTCCCTCTCGCAGCCATCCACACGGCCAGCACGGCGACCAGGCAGAAGGCATTCGTGATGATGAGCGTGTTGAACCGCCCGACCCGGTCAGCCATGATACCGGGGATCCAGCGGCCGAAGAAGGACGCCGCGTTGAGGAAGACGATCATGAGCGAGGAGAGCTGCGTGGACATGCCCTCGTGGAGGGCGTACGAGGCGAGGTACTCGAGCGGGATGAAAAAGCCCCATTCGATAAAGAACACGCCGATGGTGGTTAGCGCGAGCGGGGTGGATTTGAGAATCGTCAGATCGGGAAGAATGTTGCGTCTCGCTTTTGGTTTCTCAGAAGGAGGACAGGACAGGAATAGCCCCGGGATGAGAAGCACCAGCGTGATCAGCCCGATCGCCCTTGTGGCCCAGGCAAAGCCGATTTCTGGCCCCAGATGCTGCAGCAAAAGTGGGAACATGACGCCTCCCAGACTGCCGCCGCCAAAGGCAAACCCTGTCGCGGCGCCGCGGTTCTCGTGGAAGTAATGCCCAATCGTGGCGACGGGTACGATGAAGATGAATGATGTGCCCATGCCGCCGATCAAGCCGACGACGAGGATGAAGTGCCAGTATGCATAGCAGAAGCCGAGACAGACAAACATGATGACGAGAAGGGTTGATCCGATGACCATGAGGAAACGAGGGCCGTGGACGTCGAAAATCGGGCCGATTTGGATGCCGCAGAAGAAGACGAGGAAGTTGTATAGACCGAAGATCCAGCCGATTTTGCCGGAGGAGAGGTCGGCGAGCTGGTGGGAGGCGATCCAGGCTTGGTAGATGCCGATGCTATTCATGAGGCCCAAGCCGCCCATGATGGAGCTGAAGCTGGCGAGGAGGATCAGATGAGCCTTTTGGATGCGCATACTGAGAGAGTTGTATAGGATTAGGTTGTATGGGGAATAGAGGTTCATTGTGTAGAAGGTACAGATAATACGTCTTTTATATTCTATCTATGAGTCAATATGAAACACAATCATATGAAAAATTTTCTTCTTCTATATTCTCTGTTCTATATTTTCAGATGCAGCAGTTGTATACGCCCTCTGATTGGCTCGCCCAAATTGGCCGAGATCCATCGTCGCCTTCAACCACTTCTTCTCGATTCTCCGTCTCATCCTCTTCAACTGTCTATTCTATTCCTATTATTCATCTGATATCATGTCCAGACCGTATCGCTCCAAACGGCAGCGCCCCTGCGATCAATGTCGCCAGCGCAAACTGGCCTGCCAGACCGACGGCGGCCTGCCTTGTCTGCGCTGCAAAACGGCCGACCTCGACTGCACGTTTGCCCATCCGCCGCCCAAGAGGGCGAGGACCAGCAGCCATCTCGACCATCTCGAAAACACTCCGGATCATACAGATCACAGTCATCTATCCGATCATCCTACTCAAACGACTCAAACCGACTACTCCGTCCTCGACACCCTCTCCCCCGCCCACTTTCTCCCGGTCGGCCATGCGCCCACGCAGTTTGTGCAGTCGCTCGACCAGCTCGACGGCTTCTCTGCCCAACTGTTTGGCGCCTCTGCTGAATCGGATCCCTGGCTGTTGCGCCATTGCTCCTTTGATGATGCCGGGGTCAAGTGTTTCTACAAGGTCCATTTCCGGAATGCAGGAGGGGTGCCCACGGCCCAGAAGATTCCTGTCCATTTTATGATCGCCGCCGAGGACTTGGCTGCCAAAGCAAAGGAGGAGACACGAGTCGCGGTGGTGACTCGCGATGATCTGAATCAGCTAGTGCCGCATGAGTATGGCCGGCGATTAGTAGCTCTGTATGACGTTTCTTCTGCTTCTCTATCTGTATCTGCTAACTCTTCAGCTTCATCAAATTCGTCTATCCGGCTCTGCCCCTCATTTCCCGGTCTCAGCTGGGCTTGTCTTCGGCCGATCAACTGCCAGACATTGCGGCTTTAGATCGCACCCCGTTGCATCTGCTGACTGCCATCTATGCTGCTGCTCTCCCCTTTGCCGGCCACGATGACTATCTCTGCGTGCTCAACACCTACAGCCCTCCCCCCGTCGATCGACTCTGGCGCATTGTCTACGAGCTCGTCGCCGAGGAGATCCACTCCCCCCACCTGGCCGTTCTGCAGGCGGCCCTGCTCTATCTGCACCGTCCTCTGGATGACAGTCTCTGTGCCACCGCCGACTCGCCCTTTGTCTGGTCCTGGGTCGGCAGTCTCGTCGGCCTGGCCTGTTCCCTCGGTCTGCACATCGAGTGTCGCATGTGGGGGATCCCAGGTTGGGAGAAGCGTCTGCGTCGCCGACTCTGGTGGGCCGTCTACGCCGAGGACAAATGGCGCAGTCTGCTCATGGGTCGACCGCCGTATATCCATCGCGAGGAATGGGATGTGAGCGAGCTCGACTCGGCGGACTTTGTATACTCTCGGCAAGCCGCGGCCGCCACCGAAACAGAAGTGCCCTTTCGATACTTGGTCGATCTAGCGCGAATTGCAGAGGACATCCACTCTTCCTTTTAGTAAGTTCTTGTCCAAATGGCCATGACGCATACGGAAAACGCTAATGGCAGCACCCTTCGCGCATCGCAATATCTCTCCGAAAACTTCAGCGCCTCCAACGACACGGGCCGGCCGCTGCTCGAAAAACTCAATGCCTGGTACTCCTCTCTCCCAGAGTCCTTCCGGCTGCCGAACTGGAGCAAATCCGTCAGCGGTCTAGCGCCCTACCCGACTGCCATCCACTTCGCCTACCTCCTCCTCGTAGTCTTCATCTACCGGGCCCTGCTCCGCCCCATGGCCCGGTCCTCTAGTCCCCCGCTGATCTTTGACGTGGACGAAATGCCCGCCTCTGCCTCCACCCTAGCCGTAGACGACTACTCTATTCTTGATTTCGCCGATGTCCCGGACATCGAATCCTTCCCGGTAGTGGACCTCTCCGACGCCCATGGGACAGGGGAGACAACGCTAAACGCCGCCGAGCGATGCGCGTCGATAATTATCAGTTTCACCCGACGCTTAACTGCCAGTGACTTTACCGGTTTTTGGTACTCATGTACGTCTTCCCTGCACCACATCACCTCAATTAAGATATCGTAGTAATAAGATAAATCACAAAACAGGGTCCCGCATCGGCTTCGCCACCGTCTCCAACTTCACCATGCTCCTCCTAGTCCAAGCACCGAATTCCGAACGCGCAGTCAAGGGCAAACACCTCGTCGATTCCTGGCTCCGCGTCCTCAGGTGCCAGAGTCTAAGCTTTCCATTAGTCAAGCTGGGCCTGACCAGGTTGGACGCTATGCATTGGGCGGGGCTGGGCCAGACGTTTGTGCTTCCGCAGCATGTGCAGGACGTTGTTAGTGTACCATAGTATATATTTTGAATAAACAATCCGTTGGAATTTATTTACATTTAGATTTGCCTTTGGATTTAGATTTAGATTTAGATTTGAATTTGGCTTTGGCTTTGGATGTCTGTCGGAAATCTGTGATCGAGTGACTTCATTTCGCCACGGCTGACTGGTATTTCGGCGAAGGCGACGGCGACGGTCGGCGAACTTGGATCCACATTAACCCTAAGAAGAAGAAAGTATAAAAAAACAGAACTATATAACAGCCAGCAACAGTAGCAATATCAATCAATCAAACAATCAATCAGACAAATACTGAATATCATTATCATTCATATCATTTATACCATTTATATCGCCTACAAGACAAGAACAAACAAAATGCCCAAGGATCTCACTCTCAACCCCCTCCACCTCTTCCACCGAAAACAACACCAACACCCTACTGCCTCAGAGTCAGGCGCAGATTCAGCGAGCCAGATTACTCTCATCCAGTATGTCTTCCCCATTAATACTCCTGATATATGATAGATGGCTAACGAGAACAGAGATAAAGAAAAGATGAAAGAGAAGAAACACAAGACTCCCCCGACGGGGTATAACGGTATGTTCAATTCCCTATTCTATGATTGTACGAGTGAGATGCTGATCGTGGATGTAGCGGGGGATATGTGCTTTGGGACGTGCTGTCGGTGATTATTGATCTTTTATGGTTACTGGGTTATGATTTTGGTGTATTGGGTATATTGGGTATATTGGGTATATAGCTTATAGTGTTTAATTTGATTGAATTTGATATGCGAAGTATCTATATCGAGCCATGTTGATGGTTATGTAGCAGGATATCGAGTACCCGTCCAATCTCTCCATGTCGACTAAGCTCAGGCATTACCGGATGGTACATCGACATTAAGGGCTTAAAGTTTGTATTCCACACCATGTCCTCGGAGTGTAGTTCCATCACATTTCCTCATTAAGGGCCATTCCTAAAACCGTGGAGCCCACGATTGAAGGCTCAAAGACTCAGGACTTTGCAGTGTGGGGGAGGCTTCATAGAGGGTTGAGTCCGTTCAGAAAAAGGTCATCGAAGAAGAAAACCCTAAAGTGTTCACGTCTGGTGGATGGTGTTTCGTCCGGGTTGCTTTGCTGTCTGACTTTATGATGTGATTTTTATCAGTAGGTATTCGTCTGCCACTTTCATAAATGGAACTGACCTTCTCCGGACATTTTTTCTTTTGCCAATGTTCTTCAACGACCCTAGAATTTCCGTGTAGTTTCTCCCGGAAACTCCTGTCCGCCGCACTGACAGCCACTAATGGAGCCTTTTCATATGCCTAAACGCCCGTTTAATTTCGGCAACAGTCTGTAATGTGAAAGTCGATGTTAGTGCTTGTTGGGTGGCAGGACACAATGTTCAGTTGGTTCCGGTCATAACGATGGAACCGATCCATCGGCCAATGGCAATTGCTCCGTAGACTGGGTATTGACTGGGCAAGAAATATAGTCAACAGTTGATATGTATCATGCCCGTTCAGTCACAAACCTGTAAAGGTAATCTATATTACATTTTCCGAGGTAATTCATTGCTAGGTATATCCCGCTCCCTTTCCGACTTTAACGCATAGACGGTCATCTTCTCCACCCGTGGGTCTATAGCCCCTCAAATACCTTATCCCATGTTCGAGGATTAAGGACTCCATCTAACCCAGTGTTGCTAGAAAATAAGAAAAACCAGGCGCATAATGGTGATGATCAAGGCGCAAATGGCACTGGCTGGAGTCATGCCAGTAAATAAATCAGCCCCGTCTGGCTTACTGTGCAGACAGACATTTCGTTCCGAACAAGTTCGGTGAATGCCTATAATCAGTACGTTAGATCACTTTCAGGTATACGTGACTAAAATCAGTTACCTCGAGTGGAGCAAGTCTTCCGAGTAGTGGCAGATCAGAATAAGCGGTCGCCTTCGTTCCTGTATCAAGCTTAGATTCCACAAATTGGAATGATCGTAGGAGAAGTAGCTCTGGGCACATTCTTGCCGCCATGGATCTGGCCAGGAGCTCACCGGCCCAATCGCAGGTTTGGGCGACTTGTAGCCACATGTCAGCTGCTGTTTGTAATTGTCTGGACACTGACTGGGCAGTATAGAGGAGCATCGTTGGTGCCTATATCCAGTCAGTCCAGGCCTAGTTCTCTTGCTTAACATGAGATATACATACCTTTGTTCCAACTCAGTGGTTGCTTCGATTTCCATTTCGTCTTCTGTACGCGTCGATGATGATTGCTGTGTCGAGAAGTGCGAACTGTGGGATTTTCACCCGTCCGAAAGTCCAATATCCTGCACAAACCCGGCGGATTGCGGGAGTTGTTGTATTGTCCTATCGTGGGCAAAATACGTTACCAGTTCCTCTGGTAGAATCTGGTTCTAGCCAGCATCTGTGAAATACATAAGAAACCAGGAATCTGACCTCCCCCAGACCCATGACTGAGAGGCTGCATCATCCGCGTGTGGATGATATGGGCATCATTGATGATATCCCATCTGCGATACCCCATAAACCAAGTAACCCACCCATTGACCATACGATGGAACCGGACTTTCTGGCCAACTGCCACAATCCCATAGACCTCATGGGGTCAGTTTGCAAGTATCTGGCCCTGATACATGACTGGCATGTATCTTTCTAGTTGGCAAAGCCTTCTGCATAAGATGTATCAGTGTAGGAAGCAAATGAACAAGCAGGGAATGCGTACATTGATGTCAAAAGTACCAACCAACCAGGAAGATCGTAGTAAACGTCGACTCCCATCCTCCTTTGTCATTCTCTGGCCTTGGTCAAAGAAGATCTTCAGCAGGTAGCGCAGCTTTACGCAATCAGCTGCCAGCTGTCATGACTTGCTCAACTGAAATGATATCCAGGGAGATGAGCGAAACTGGTGGTGTAGGATTGCATCCCAAACGTCGTGACAGGCCGCATCAGCGTGCTTCGTACACCAGTCTGCCGGGTCCAAGATAGCATCATCTAGACTGACAAAGATGACGCGGACATATTCCCTGCAGATAAGTACAGTATGGAAAATGCACGCTGATCTGGGTAGTGCCAATCCTCTCGAGGTGTTCCAAGTGGAGGACGCCTAGTAATTTGTGAGCATGAAAAATATCAGGGTAATAGTATAGAATGACTGACCGGGGCTTATGGGGGATTTGCATCTGGGTTTCTTTTATCTTTCGAATCCAGAGACAGTTGTCGCAGGCCGATGAGAGGAGGATATTGTTGTATTGGTCTGAAATAATGGCAGAATCTTAAATTGCAGAATTGATGATATATAAATAAGAGTCGGAGTATATACGAATATGACTAGGAGAAGGGAAGCAGGAGAGAAATGATAGTTTATATCCAGCCAGAGGATGAATGTACTGCTATCATTCACGGGGCCATCAGCCTGACATGATTTTTGTTTGATTCAATAGAGGATTCATTCTTTCAGTGACTGCTGCTACATCAATGATATCAATTTGCTATTTAAATGTCTCAGTTGCCTATACAAGCAGCCATATAATCAATTCAAAGAATGATGAACGAAATGGACAAAAACGGACAAAATGAAGCCAAAGATAATATTCTGCCGGGCGGTCTACCGCATGCTGCCTCCATCTGACCATCCCATCCCATCTTTGTCTCCAACCATCAACACCATCATCCATGATGCCATGGCTGGATTCTCCGCCGCGGTCTTGCCATAAATGCCCCCCATAGTTTGTCTTCCTTGTTTCTTTTCCATTGTCCATCGCTGACGATCACAGACTCCATTCCGCCCTCCTGCATCTACCCGCCGAAATGCCAGTCCGCAATTCGCCTCTACCCCTCGTTTTCTCCTATCCCAACGCGCTAGATCGTCTAGAGACAAAGATGATATAGATATCGCCGGTGAAGATGAATTATCCTTTTCCACACCCGTCGCATCTACGCGTTCCGCCCCGCGACCTGGGACCCAGCTTGGATCGGCCCCGCGTCGCAAAGAAGTAATCGAGGATTCAGAGGACGATGAATTACCCCAAGATGCAGCACATACCAATCCATCCACGGATAACATCTTCGATGAAGGCACTCCTGGCAGCCCTACTGGTTTCGCAGGTGAAATCGAAGCGCAATTCGACGCCCTGTTTGGGTCTCCCGTTGATCGGTCAAAGAGACGTCGGATTTCATTGAATGCAGAAACCCCCGTTGCGCACCGTGCAAAACCGTGGGAGGACCACATCTTGTCATCTTCTCCTGAACGACCCTCATCATCCATTGATGATGTCCATCCCTCGCCAATTCCGCATCGCGTTATGCAGATAGGATCAGAGCATCGGCCGCAGAGACCAGCAACTGCAACACCGCAACCTTCAACACCAGCCGTTATGAAATCTGGTTTCCGGAATCATCCTCGTTTCATGTTATCTGCTACACCGCAGATATCCAGTACTCAGACACCCTCTGCACCGGCGACAATAACACCAGCTTCGCAGCGCCGAAAGCCAGCTTTCGTCATACCCCGTTCACCATCTCCATCGCGCGCAGAGGATGATACCGCCCCCCTTCCAACCCCTTTCTCACCCTTGTCGAAAACGCTGAATCGTCGAGGTCGTCGCGCAAATGCCCCCGCTTACTTACCGGGTGGCATGGCAGCCGACGTGCGCAGTTGGATTCTAGATATGGGAACCAAACGGGAGAATCTAGACAATAGCCCAAACAATCGTCCAGCTGTAGCTGAGCCTCCCTTCGCTGATCCCAAGAAATATTCTCTCATCGCTCGAGTCAGAAATGTTCGTCAGACTGCTCTGAGTAGTTCTGGCCCGTTAGCATTCGTGGAGGGGCAATCTGGCTCAAATACAGGAGATGACCAAGTTTCTGAATCTCCGAATATCCTTCTTCTGGGCCCGCCTCGCTCGAAGCCAGCCGAGTCGTCAATGCTGTCTGCGCACGTTCCAGAGCTTCGAGCGGATAATTTGATAGGCGTCCATCGTGGATTGACTTGGGAGATATATCTGAATGAGCGGGTTGGATGCAGCTTACCAACCGAAAACCTTGACCCCAACCAATCCCAGCAGGAGAACCACACAGACACAAAGCAGTGGCTTGTTGGTATGGAGTGGGACTTGATACAATAGATGGATACGTGATGATGAATATGTTTATGTGATATGCAATGTCTAATGACTGTCATATGTCGAATATTCGACCGTAATAATAAACCATGTACAAAAGAAAGAGGTAGACAACATAAAATGGCCACCAAACAAACCCAATGCTTTTTATTCCCAGTTCGCCTTTAACCGTTGCTGCAATAACCAAAAACATACACATGCATCAATCAGTACGAAGAGACGGCTAATCCAAATCACCATTTGCCTTGGACGCAACCTTCAAAGCATCTATGGCGACCTTGGATCCCCATCGTACCAATTTCTGCTCTTTCTCCGACACGATATCAGATTTCGCGACGACCTTGCGCAGGAAGAACATCAACCCCTTGACGACCTGCGGCGTATCCTTTGTCTGCAGGAAGATCTCCATAATGGCACTTTCATCTCTGGTGGAACCATCGTCGTCTTCGGTCTTCTTACTCTTCTTGCTCTTCTTTTTGCCCTTTTTGGATTTCTGGGATTGCTGGATGATGCTGATGATGAGCAGCTCGACAAATGTCTTGGTTTTCGGTTGGAGGTATGCAAAGTTGAGGGTCTTGAGGATGCCGAGGTTAAGTGTCTTGTCTGTGATCATGGTAGCGTAGAATTTGGCGAGGTTGACGACGGCTTTCATGGGCAGGCTGTTTTCGTCTCCTTCGTTGAAGTCGTTGTCGTCTTCTTCTTCCATGTCGCCGCGTTCGCCTAGGCGTTTGAATGTGTTCCAGAGGGCGTACATGAAGGAGACTTTGAGGCGGCGGCCGACTTCACCGCAGAGTCGGCGCGCGATGAGGGTGTAGTAGGGGTTGTAAGCTTCTTCTTCCATGGCGCAGTGGATGAGGACGCGCGGGATTTCGTATTCCTGGGTGCGTTTCAGGCGGAGTTTGAGGAGTCGGACGTGTGCGTCTTGGTAGTCTTGGGCGGACATGATGGCAACGAAGATGGATCGTCGGACGTCGGTGTTCATGCGGTGGGCTTTGGCGATGCTGCCCAGGTCGGGTTCGCCTTCGCTGTCATCTTCTGGGAGCTCGTTCTTTCTGTGATCCAGAGGCACGCCGGACAGCTCTTTTCGTGCGGATTCGAGAGGGTCTTCCCTCCAGCTTGCACCGACGAGCCACCATTTACCCTTCTTTGCGGAGTTGTGGATATCTGCTCGAGAAATACTAATGGGCTCTGAGGCACGGATTACTCGCGAGTTGTTTAAGGAACCCAGAATCTTGCGCATTTTGGTGATGTGCTCTGATGTAATGCTCGCCCCGGCGCCGGTTTTCACCTTGTTGTTCTTGAGGTCTGTGATGGTGTCGATCATGAACTTGGTGCGGACGGAAAGAGATGCCTCGCCGACCTTTGCGATGGCTGGCTGGACGAGGAGAACAATGTCTTTCAAGGCAGAGGGGTCATCTTGTCGAAGCTGGGGACCGGAATCTGATTTGGTTAGACATCGTGTTAAAAATAGAAAAGGGTAAACATACTTCTAATAACCTTGAGGAGTAGTTCGGTGTTATCCTCTGTGATCTCCTGCAAAAACAACCGAATATAGTCAAACACCAAGGTACATCCGATAACATGAAAGTTGTACAGCTGCGCGATAAGACCAATCAAGTTGATGTTTTCTTTTCCTTGATACTGACCGCGTTCGTCGCCATTCGCGTCCAGCGCCTCGACGACCTTTTGAATAAGCTCTGCACCAAAGTCCAAACCAATAAGCTTGTACAGGCCTGCGATGAAACCCGCGTGGAGGATGATGAAAGTATCTTGAAGCGCAGATCTCTCAGCGATCAGACTCATCAACAGTGTAATCAACGTCGATGTGACATTCTGTCGGGGATATTCGCGGTAGAGCTTCTCGAATTCATTGAGGATGGAAACCATATTAGCCTCGGACAATTTGTTCAGGTGTCCTTGAGCCTGCCGTCTCAAGCGTGTGAGAGATTCGTCTTCGGAGTTGGATGCAGCACGAAGCGATGGAGGAATATATTTGTTCGGTTGGCTGGCGGCTGGAACAGGTGCCACATATGGATTCTCCTTTTTCTTGGGGACAGTCTTTTCCTCCTCGTCGAATCCGCCAAATTCACTGCCTTCGCCTTCCTCGCCATCGTCGTCCATCATATCTTCATCTTCATCTTCATCCTCATCCAAATCAAATCCCTCCTCGTCGCTTCCATCATCGCTATCCTCCGACTCATCAACCTGAAGTCCTTGAGCTTTCCTCCTCTTGCTCATTAACCATTCATCCGCTTCCCTTTTCCGTTGTTTGTCCTCGTCCTCCGACTCATCACCTAAGTCACCCAACAGGTCGCCCAGTCCATCATCCGCGAAAGACTGAGGAAGCTTCTTGCCCTTCTTAAGTCCAAGCTTCTTCTCCAAAGCAGCAATTTCGGCCTCATCCTGGTCCAGTTTGTCCTTAACTGCCTGGGAAACCTTCCGGGGAGCGGGCTCGTCGTCCTCATCTTCCGATTCCGGTTCTTTCTCAGCCTTGCGCTTCTTCGAAGTCGATTTGGGCTTCTCCTCTGCGGACTTGGTTGGTTTCGACTTGACCGGCGCTTTCTTCACTTCCTCTTCGGATGAAGCTCCATCGAACCCTTCATCGAGGTCAACGTCATCGTCATCCTCCTCCTCAACATGTCTATGATTCCTGCTCTTCGTAGGTCCTCGCTGCGCTCGCTTGTTTGTCCGCTCCGCTTGACGTCGATCTTTTCGCGACACAGGCCCTGCATTTCGTCTATTCTTCCTCGCTCCGTAAGTATCCTTGACTCCCAGTTCAGAACGTAAATCCCGAGGCAGGGAGGTCGTATTATGCATAGGACGCCTCATGGTGGGCTAAATTCCAGCGATCTGTCGTAAAAAAAAGATGTTAAGAAAGCAAGCGGTGCGATAACTATTTTTTTATGCCGCCCAAAAAAACTGCGGAGCGGAGGCGGAAAGGCATTCCAGGTGGCCCGAGCTGCGGAGGTTCTTCCCCCACCGCTGAGAGTCGAGAACAACAGAGCAGAAGCACATCGCATATCAATTGACAGCGAGAGGAGAAGGGAATTATCATCAGTCAGAGGATTGTATTGGTATCGCGAAGATATTTCGAAATCAATCGGGTCTTCATCACGAACTGCATAGCGTTCTTGCAACCACTCACCACCGCACAAAACACATCATCAGCAGCCGATAATTGCAAGATGGCGCCGCATCTCTCGCACGACGAGGTATGATATATCAGACCTATCTAAACCCCTCGCCGGTCATCCTACGTCCAATCTAAACTAACATATATGAATCCAGTTCTTCACCTCCCTCACCACCCTCCTCTCCAGCACATCCCAAAAAGCGCGCGGCTCCGTCTTCCTCTCCCAAAAGCCTCTTCTCGAAACCCCATCATCATCGAAAGACGACTCGCCCGCTCCGACACGCCCGTCTATCCTCATCCGCGCCACAGACGGAAACACCAACGCCCCGAACCCAAAGTCATACAAGGATAAAAAGAAGGCGGCTTCCAAGAAGGTGAAGCTGTCTACCGTTGTTGCTTTCGAAGATCTGGAGGCGTTTTATACTCGCTACGCGGATGTTTGCAAGGGTGGTATGACGGGGCTGAAGAAGAGAGATCGCAAGAAGGGCAAGGCTAAGGCTAAGGGTGGTGCTGCGAAGGTCATCAAGGCTTGAGGGGGTTATCTCTTGGTCAATTTTTGGTGGATGGAGAAGCTGTTGGCTGGGTGGGCTGCTTCGTGGAATGGCTGATGGCTGGCTTTTGCATTTACTGGCGTTTTCATGGTGATTTATTTACACTATTTACTCATGTCTGGTCAAAGTATTCTTCCGACTTGACTATATTGTTCATAAATGCTCAATGACAAAGGATAAGAAATTTATACGGCATACTTGATAAAAAGGGTATGTTATTATCACTCAATCGCTAAAATACAAAACATACATTATGAAATAGTGGATGTCAAAAAGGAAGACCGCCAGCAACTCGTACACATGCAAAAAAGGTCATACAAAACCATCGCCATGGGAATAAAGACACCGCCCTAGAGATGGTACAAATAATGAAACAAGGGATTAGCTTTAAGTGATAGAAAGTGTAATGAACAGAACCGATAACCAGATGAGCTGGCGGCGTAGGTGGAAAGAGTGTGGATGTGAAAATATTGACGTGTCGAGTTAGTCGAGGTCGAAAGGATCAGGCTTTCTGGTTTCCCTAGATTCGGAAACTCTCCTGGAGAATTCAGGAGGTGGTGCTAGAGGAAGATCAAAGTCATCGACTGCATCCTGCGGGTTCGTGACTTGATATTCGATTCTCTTATTGAGATCACCAAGAGCGGTGTTCAAAGCAGGCCCAATGACAATGCGCGCGGCGATGTGAATCAGAACAAGCAGTAGCTGAACTGGAGGAACGAGGACGATGGTGCAGGTGTGTTTAATGATTGAAGCAGCATCCTGTTTTTCTGGGGGATTGGCGATGCTTAATGTCGACACCGGAGGCATTGGGGAGACGTCTCGCTCTCTTGATGCTTTAGCCCGACGGCGAAACTCAATGCTCATATCACTTAGACTGGTATCCGTTCTCGAGAGGGCACTGGGTCTTTCATTGGAAGACTCCGTGCTCACTGATCGTTGGTGTTCCTCTTCAACTAGGGCTCTCAGACTGCTCTTGGGTGCAGGTGAAATGATATCGCGAGTGAGTTCAAATGGTCGTTCTCCGTCAAATGGGGTAGGGTCTTGATTAGTTGAGGTTTCTGGTTGTTTTTTGGTGTTGCAAAAGGGGCTTTCGTCCAGCTCCGCACCTCCGATTGACGTAGGGCATGTAGAGTTAGAGTGAGAGCTTGATGGGGGTGGTGGAGATGAGGGAGGCTCCATAGAGTGAAAAGATTCGACACTTGAAGAGAATGACAACTCAGGGTCAACCTGAGGTTCGGGGTTGGTTTCAAACCTGGCCAGCAGGTTTTGGAAGCTCTGTTGTGTTTCCGTCACAGAGCGCTTTGGAATATCCAAAGATCTGGGAATAAAAATTGGCGAAGAAGGCTCTTGGGCATCAGGAATAGTCTCGAGAACAGTACTGTTGGCTTTGGGTACGTAGCAACTATCGTCCGTGGCGTCCGTGTCTTCTCCAACACTGGAGACAACGCTTGAAACGTCGCTTGCATCGTCCTTCCGCACAGGGCTCGATTCCTTGCTAGAGACTGATCCCACAGGGGCACTTTCGATCCGAACCTTTGGACGCCAGGCTCTCTTCCTTCTCGGGGCCATTGCCTCCTCCGGTATTTCCACGGTGAAACCTCTCTTGAAGGGGCATGGTGTAATTTCGTAGCGAAGGACTTTCGGCAAAACGCATTTCAACTCCACGGCATATGTCTTGTCTTCATCGGTTCCGCTAGAAAGTTCGATGCGATAATAAGTGAGAGGGCGAATGCGCAGAACGAATGTCGTCTCGCCGTCGACACACCAACACTGGGAGTTCTTGAGGATCGCATGGACGACATTTCCGCATTTAAGAAAAACAGTCAAGCCGTGCACATTTTCCAACCTCAGGGGAGCAAAAGCGACGGTTCGCTCCGTTGGAGATCTCCATGGCAGTGTCTCAATCGTATCAACCGGGTAGTCGAAATCAGACGGCGCTGTGCTGGAAGGAATCGGCGCAAGTGCTCTAGGGGCGAAATGGACAATCTTTGCGGACGGATGGTAAAACAGGTTATCTTCAGAGTTATTCAACGAGTCCGAACTACGCTGCTTCCGGGGCATAAGCCTTGTAGGAAGGGTCACAGCCCGGCGAACGGGCTGGGTCTGAGGAAGCGGCGCATCTGACATGGTTCATGGGGGCTAGAAGTACTAAAGGATAGAAACAGAACGACAGAAAGTATCACATTGGATAGTAGGAACAGAATCGCGAGTTAGCACATGAAAAGAAAAAGGAAGGACAATGTAAGGCAGGGATCGTGGCTGGTGAAACTGCAAGAAAGGAATGGCTGAATGACCCCCGTGAAGGCATCGGAGGCAAAAGAAGCACAGCCCATGCGAGCCGGCAAAAGCCTGCGGGGAATGCATGGGTGCCTCAGGCATCAACTAAGGCAGCCACACGCGGCAGTGGAACCGGTGGAGACGCGCGCATGTGACACGTGACAGCCTGATCTTCGGATCTTCTGGTGACTCCGTATCCGCGACTAGCGTGGCAGCGGACCAATCAGCGGGCAGGTCATGACGCAGCTTCAAATTGCTGCGAGAACAACTGGACTCCATAATCGGATCATTATATGGCTGCCTGTGCGACAGCACGATTAATATAAAAGAATGATCTGAGGCTGTTTTTTTGCCCCTGGATTGTCTTTTCTTGCATAGTTTTCGTCCGACACAGGGCATTCATCATGTCCAAATTCGAGCCCAATGCCGTCATTCGCGGCTTCCAACTGACCATCGTGGGAAGTCAGTATCCCATCCTGAACCCGGAACAGCCGGAGTTTTATTGTCTCGATAGCGTGCTGACTTGATTAATAGCCGTGAGAGCTTTGATTAACCCGGAGCTCTTCAAATATGACCACTTTCGTCAGGCGGCTCTCGCCATAGCTATTGGGGTTGCTATTCAGCTCATCCTCCAGATTCCCGTATGTAACTGCATTTCATGATGATGGGCAGACTATTAATATTTCTAGATCATCGGGTTCAAATTCGTCATCTGGATGATGTCTTGGGTAGTTGATATGGAAAATGCCACCTGGGATGACAGTATCATCGAATTCATGGATGTCATCTCCAAATCTGTCCTGCAGGTTCCATTCCTGGTGATGACTATAATGGGACATATCACCCCTACACTCGATGAGATGTGAGTTTCTGATCTGTTCAAGGTAGTTCTTTGCTAATTAAACAGCTTCATGGAATCGCTCAAGTGGGTGGACACGACATATGTTCAAAAACACAAGTCAGACGATCCCCAGACACTGCGTGACATGTACTACCCCAACCTTGTGGCATTCAAAAAGAACCGTCGCTCGGAAACGGGCGATCCTAAAAAGAAGGGAATCATGATTTTCCTTAAAAGATACGGCCGCAAGGTTGGTATGCTTCTGGGCGTGTATCTCCTTTCGTTCCTCCCTGTCGTCGGACGATTCGTGATGCCTGCAGCCAGTTTCTACACTTTCCGAATGGAGGTTGGAACTACTCCAGCTGCTGTCATTTTTGGAACCGGTCTTTTCCTTCCCAAGCGATACGTTGCTAGCTTCATTCACAGCTTCTTTGCCTCCCGCAGTCTGATGCGTGAACTTGTGAGTACTATGGCCCATATCTAAGAATCATATCTGACTATCAACAGCTTGAGCCGTATTTCCGCCGTGTCATGTTCAATTCCGACCAGAAGCGCCGTTGGTTCAAGGACCGTCAAGGAGTCCTCTTTGGATTCGCCTTTGCCTTTACTGTCGTTCTGAAGACCCCCTTCATCGGTGTTCTTATGTATGGAATCGCGCAGGCATCGACTGCGTATCTCGTTACGAAGATCACCGATCCCCCGCCGAGCCCCGAGAAGAGTGAGGGATTTGCCGAGTCCCAGGTTACGTGGAAGAACAAGCACGACTTTTTGCAACTGTCTCTGGACAACATTGACAAGCTCAACGTGCCAGAAGAGGAGGGCAAAGAGCCAAAATCGCCGGGTGTTTCTGGAAAGAAGTTTTCCTAAACAATGCGGACTTTTGGCAATTGAATGTGCTATAAATCTCGCATAGCAGACTGTTGCGCATAAAATGTATACAGCATACATAGATATTCTTATCAATCGACTGTTAAATAGAGCCAATACCATTACCACCATACTCGAACGAGATGGTGAGATATTGACCATATCATCCATTCACCCGAGAAACTCCGCTGATAAGCGAGATAGCAATGATAAGCGTAAATGCAACATCGTCGACATTTGGTAATGGCTACCACCAACCTAGGTAGGTCGTAGGATCAGCTTCTCCCCGCAGGCGGGGTAGACAGATAGCATGAGGAGATACTGAGGGGGTTGATAAGATGCTTTCCCCTGCATCTTTCATCTACCATCATCATTGCATTTCAACATCCATCAACAGATCAGACAAACAAGCATAATGGGCGTCAAAGGAATTCGAACTGCCATCAAGGTTGACCTTGACATGCCTGCATGGGAACAGCCCGGGTTACACGTACGTCTCCAGTTTCAAGATACCTAGTACCCATTACGTCTGCTAATTCTATCCAGAATCGATGGCATCCAGACAGTAAGCATCACAACCCAAACCAACTCATTATCAGAATTAAGTATTAATATAAAGGAAATAGTCCCCTCCCATGGCAAAATCGCCAACAACGAAGTGGTCAAAATCGAATGTCTCGACTGGACAGGCGGGCAGATCAAAAACAACGATTCAGCAGACGACATCAAAAACGTCGATCTCACGCAGATCCACTATCTCTCTGGGCCATTTGACATCGAAACAGCCGAGCCAGGCGATGTCCTTGTCGTGGAGATCCAGGATGTGCAGCCGTTTGAGGAGCAGCCGTGGGGGTTTTCTGGTGTTTTTGCAAGACGCAATGGTGGGGGGTTTTTGGATGAGATTTATCCTGATGCGTGAGTTGACTTACTGTGTTTAATGTTATTTGAATTTGTAGACTGATTATTGAGGCGATAGTGCCAAGGCGATCTGGGACTTTGAAGGCATCTTCTGCTCGTCGAGGCATATCCCGCATGTGCGATTCGCGGGTCTCATCCACCCTGGTATCTTGGGCTGTGCGCCGTCTGCTGAGATTCTGGAGGAGTGGAATCGTCGCGAGGGTGAATTGATTGCTGCTAGTACGGCTGATCGTGATGTTGCGAAACCTCCTGAGCCGAAGAATGCCCATGCAGGTAGCGCTGAGGATAGCATCAAAGCGAAGATTGCAAGGGAGGGAGCCAGGACGATTCCAGTACGCTACCTACCTACTCTACTATCTATAACAGCACAAATACTAATATGTATAGGGTCGCCCCGAACACGGCGGCAACTGCGATATCAAAAACCTCTCTCGCGGCTCCAAAATCTACCTCCCCGTCCACGTCCCAGGGGCCAAATTCTCAGTTGGAGACCTCCACTTCTCCCAAGGCGACGGCGAAGTCTCCTTCTGCGGTGCTATCGAAATGGCCGGAGTAATCACACTCAAATTCAACGTCCTCAAAGACGGCATCGCAAAACTAGGCATGAAGTCACCCATCTTCCACGCTGGCCCCGTCGAGCCCCAGTTCGGCCCTGGCCGCTATCTCACCTTTGAAGGCTTCTCTGTCGACGAACACGGGAAGCAGCATTACATGGATGCGACGGTAGCGTATCGACAGACGTGTCTCCGGGTGATCGAGTATCTGCGTCGGTATGGGTATAGCGATTATCAGATCTATCTGCTGCTCAGCTGTGCCCCGGTGCAGGGACATATAGCTGGAATTGTGGATATCCCGAATGCGTGCACGACGATGGGGATCCCGATGGATATTTTTGATTTTGATATTCGGCCTGAGGCGGAGGTGGTGGAGAGGGATATGGGGAGTTGTGCGTTTGCGGGGTGAGACCTGTTTGTTTGCTAGTGAAAGCAGCTTGACTGTGAATGAAGCTATTGCTGCCTGGCAGTCTCTAGTATTTATATCCCTTCTTCCCCGCAAGTATTCCGTCTTCTTCTCGTCAGTTATATGCACTTGGTTATCTCAAGATCTTATATTATATACCAATCGGCCATGGCTATCTCTTATCCTCCACCCTAAATTACCTATACACCGACACCAACAAAGCGAGCAGGAAATCAGAGCCCAAATAGTCCTTCCAACGTCCAAGCGCAAGCAATACAAAGCTCTTGTCTGCTCATACTATGTCAACAGCGCAGGCTCGAACAGAACATGTGCCGGAATATTCACCTCTTTGACATACCGAGTTGATTCGAAGAAAGATATATGTAACTTTAAGAAGATGATATTAGAAAGAAAGGAGCTTTCGTGTTCGAGTTTTGAATTATGTGAGGATCTTGACACTGCAATCCAGGTATTCATATTCTAACTCGATACTAACGGTCTATAGGCATACGATGTTGAAAATCAAGCCAGCACCGTCAGCCTCACATACAACAGATCCAATAAGCAAGAACATTGAAATCGCGAATGCAATTGAAGAATCCCAGAAAGAAAAAGTCAGAGACAGCCATATGCAGGATATGCCAGGCTTATCCCATTTACTACCACGCTATCTTGCCTAGGCTTTGGAAAAGTATTATTTTACATCATCGTTGTTCTCAATCATACTAATATATTCTAATAGACAAAACATCGTCCTGGTGCGGTATGCCATCGGCCACTCATGGCTGAAGTTATTTTATATCGTCGTATCCTGAAGTCATGGACAAAAACGAAGGCCGGTTTATCAACACACTGGCAAATGAAGAGGAAAAAGCCAGGGATATTGATACGCCTCATCATTCTAAATGAAGAACACTCGGTGATGCCTATTCTTATTCCGTCCCGGTAGTTATGTTTTCTTTCGACTATCTGGCCTTTGTCGATTATTCGAGATGCTTGAAGTGGATGACGAGCCATCAAAAGTATCTCATCTGACGGGGACAAAACTAGGCCTCACAAGGGTTGCGAGATTTCATAGTACCAGTATCGCTGATATCAATGAGGAAATAACCAATATACTAAGTTCTTCAAAACTGACTGGACATATGATTTTTCTCTGCCTACTATTAGCAGTTTGGCTGATATATATTGTAGTGTGACATGAATAGTATGCTAGTACTATGACTAAAGTCGACTTTTTCCCTCCTCGATTCTCGTCCATTCATCTTCACCAATTTTTTGAAAGTCCATCACCTTGTTGGGCCCTCCAAATCGGTCCTGCGTATCTTTCCAATCCCGATCAACAGCTGTCTCAGGCCGCCACCGAACTACATCCTTCAGTTCCTTTTGGAGCTTGCCCTCTAATGCATCTGAGATAAACCCCCCAATAGTAGGCATCTGCATTGCCCCGTTTCCAGACCCCCCGACGGCAACCAGAAGGGAGGGATGATCGGGGTGTCGATCGATCAAAAAGGCCCGGTCTGGTGTATCGGCATCCCAGCAGATGCGGGCAAAGGCCAATGGACGAGTAGCTAGATGTGGCATCGTATCGCGGAGGAAGTCTCTTGCGCGAGCTTCTGCCTCGAGGGGAATCTGATGCTTTGCGAATGGGATACTTCTCGTTTCTCCACCATGCTCTGGGTCTGCAACAAAGTTGCAATATCCGGGATGTTCGTCACAGATCTTAAGCTCGTGTTTATCCTCATCAGGCTCCATGAAGAAGCCTTTGGCGATGTTGAATAAAACAGGAAGATTCCGGTACATTTTTGCTTCCTCTGGTGTCATTTTGATATGGCATAGAGTCCATGCGGTAGGACGAAGTTGTTTCTTAAAGTCGAGGAGGCGGTCACTGCCTGCACCAGCAGAGAGGATAGTATGATCTGCACGGTGAATAGTCCCATCTGCTGTTTTGGCTCCAATTACATCCCCATTCTCATACACCAAAGACACGGTATTCCCTTGCGGAGGGCCAGTCACGAAGGTAACTCCTAGTCGCTTTGCTTCGGTAAAAGCTGAAAACATTGCCTTTTTGGCATGAATCCATCCAGCACCAGTCTTGTTAAACCAGCCCTTCCAACCAGTGAATTCGCCTGTCAGCACACCCGCCGGCATGGTCCTTCGAAACTCATCTGCTGTTTCCAACTTTTCAAAGGTTCCGATTGAGGGGTCAATTTCGGATTCTTTTATATGTTCGATGAGTGCCGGTGTGTGTCCAGAGACGATAGCACCTGTCTCATGGAAATATGGCTGAAAAACAGGGTCTGTTTTCCATCCTTTCAATGCTGCTCGCGAACAGGTTGTGAAGGCGATGCTTTTCGGGTCGGTTTCGGAGTCTGTCAGAATTCATCGTCAGCAAACATGGACATTCCAATGGTTAATTAATGCAGAATACAGAGATACTAACCCTTTGACTCCCTATGCTCCATGATTTTGTTGATGTCGTTTCCTGCCGCAATGGGTGACGGAACAGGATGGGGATCCAAGACGGTGACATTTTTATATCCACGACGAGCAAGATGGAGAGCAGTCGAACAACCCCAAGTGCCTGCTCCGACAATGAGAATAGAGGATGTAGAATTTAGCGCAGGTGCCATTGTTGTTGATCCGATGGTGACTGTTGATCAGAGGAACAGAGAGTGTTGTTGTCGTGGGCGTGAGGGGTTCTGGTGAGGGGTTCAGCATGGTATTTGAAGGAATCATCATGAATCATGGAAAAACATATCGGCTTAGCTGGATGCTTCATTAGTCTTGATCCAATAATAGGAAGGTCCAGAGTATCTGAATCGAAGCCAATGGCTTGAGGGCGATGCTTATCGAAGGTGAGGTGGAGAAGAGAGAAATCGCCTGGACCTTCCTCGCCTTTCGCCGTCGATCAACTCGCAGACTCTGGGGATAGTGGCATTTCCCCGCATTATCCAGCTTCAACGCAGTCGATATCTGATGCATCGTGTATCAGTCTATCTCGAAGTTATCTTCGCTTGGAACTTCCTCGGTGTCTCGCACTTATCAAGTGATCGCATCCCTGCCACTCGCTTATCATCTTCCTATACAGGATAATCGAGATATCCCCTCACATCTATCAAACTCATTGATATGGCCAAGATGGATTCGGATTGTTCCGCCAGATATTATCCGACAGGATATATTTCCTGGTTCATGGCGATGTGTCGCTGCTCTTATATAGTAGCAGCGCATCTCGCTGTTTATTCCCATGTCCAACAGCAAAATGGCTCCTGATGATGCGTTTACCGATGTTCCTGGCACTGTCTACCTGGTCGATGGTATGTCTCATCAAGACTTCTTCATCAAATACTAACAGTCAATAGCATCTGGAGACTTGCGAGATGCTGCTCATGCCAATCAAGATATCCTTCTTATTCCTCAACCTTCGCCTTCTTCTGCCGACCCTCTGGTGAGCACACCTTCGACATAGACCCTCTTCTCGACTAACATCGCCAGAACTGGTCCAACTACAAGAAATACTGGTCTCTCTTCTTAATTTCCGCCTACGCCTGCGTCAATTCCTTTGGCGAAAACAACTGGGGCGCATCATGGACAACCATCGCAGACGAAACCGGCGTCACGCTGGAAAACATGAACGGGGGTTCTGCTCTCAACTATCTCCTTCTGGGCTTCTTCAATATCATCTGGATACCTTCTGCGATGAAGTTTGGACGGAAGATTATCTACATCCTCAGTCTGGTTTTCGTCCTAGCTGGTGGGATCTGGGGTGCATTCTTCGAAGGTACGGTGCAGTATTATATCATGTTGGCTTTGACGGGCATTGGGACGGCTGCATATCAAGCTTTGATTCAGCTCACGGTATGTTTATCCTATCTTGATTGTGATTTGTCTGCTAATGGAAAGATTTTTGATATGTTCTTTTCTCACGAACGTGGCCGGATGCTCGCATTCTACATCTTCTTCCAACAACTGGGTTCTATTCTAGGGTTGATATTAGGAGGGTATATCTCAGATGGCATTGGATGGAGATGGAGTCAACCTATTGTCGCCATCGCTTGTGTTAGTATCCTCATCTGTCTGTATCTCAGTTACTGACCCAACATTCCTTCAGGCTGTTCTTATCCTACTGTTTATCTTCACCTTTGACGATACCATGTTCCCCAGATGGCGATTTGGAGATACATCATCTGAATCATCCAAGATAGGAGATTCAAACAATCCAGACCAGCAAGATACCGGTAAAAAAGAGCCACTTGCCCCCCCAGCATCCTCCTTGATAAGCCAAAGCGTTGGCGAAATCGACATGCCACCTCGGACATACCGACAAAAGATAGCCCTGGTGCACTACTTCCAAGACGACCAAACAACCTGGTTTCAGTACTTCAGACGGCCTTTCTATCTCTTTGCATTCCCCAACATTGTCCTGGCCGGTATTCAATTCGCCTTTGGCTGCACAGCTGGAATCGTTTCCTTCAACACCATCTCAGAGATAATGACTGAACCACCTTATAACTGGAGTGCCGGCTCAGCTGGACTATTATTCCTCGCTGCTCTAGTCGGTAACTTCATCGGGTATGTCTTCAACCCCCTATAAACTAAAAATGAAAGAGAAACAAACAAACAACTAACAACCAGCCAGTATGGGCATCGGCTCCCTATCAGACTACATCGTCCTCTACCTCACCCGCCGCAACAAAGGCTACAAAGAACCCGAAATGCGTCTTTGGGCTTACGTCTTCTCTTTCATCCTTGGTGCTGTCGGATACTTCACTTACGGCTGGGGCGCTACAGCGGGTGACCATTGGATGTCCATCGCTGTTGGTCTTTGCTGTCTCATTGCTCAACAGGTCTCGGCGACGAGTATTGCGACTGCGTATGCGATGGAGTGTTTTGATCGGGTGAGCTTATTCCTTCATACATCACTTACCATTGCCGCATTGTATTAAACCGGGTTGGTTTGGCTAACTGATTGGCTTGTTTTCTATAGATATCCGGTGAACTCGTCATCGTCTTAGCCATCTGCTCATCACTGATTAACTTCGCTATTTCCTTCTCTGTGCAGTATTTCATCAATGCCACCAACTATGGCTGGACTTTTACCTGTTTTGGTATTTTGGTGCTACTGTCCATGGCTATGGGTGCGCCGATGTTGATATGGGGGAAGAGTTGGAGACGAAAGTGTAAGAAGCGGTATGAACAGTTTTTGGCGGAGACGGGGCAGACGGGGTGAACTGGGTTAGCTATATCACAGATTGTATGCAATTATGATTGTCGTTTTGAGTCGATTATAACACTACGAGGATGAATACGTTTGGCTTTTATGTCCTGAGTGCTTTTATTTCTCACGTAAATCGTGTGCTCGTTGGGAAAGCTCATATGCTCACGTCCGTTGAATAGGACTCTGTAAAACCAATACACAAATGCGCCGAATTCTCCATGCTCCCAAATGTCAATGGACAAATGGTCTTCGCAAAGAATTTCATAGAACAAAACATCGAGGTTCAAGTTCAGAGAGAGATGAAACCCCCGTTAACCTGTGTCTCATGCAAAAATGAGGAAACAAACGTATCATGAATCATGAATCACGACCAATCCCTCACGAGAAGAACTTTCTAGCAGCCGCCTTCTCCTTGGCCTCTCTGTCCTTGATCGCCTTCTTGATCTTGACAGCTTCGTTGGCGATGCCGGCATCACCGGGTGCCAGCTTCTCGGCCTCCTGAAGATCCTTGAGCGCTGCGTCCTCCTCCTTCAAGCCTCCACGGGCGACAGCACGGCGGTAGTAAGCCTTGGCCTTGTCGGAGTCCTTGGCTGCGGCGGCGGTGGCGACCTCGAGAGCATAGGTAGCCCAATTCTGGGCATCCTGGTACTGAGCGAGCTTGTTGGCAAGCAAAGATGAATTAGAGTGAAGGGCGAAACGGAGAGCCTGCATCTGAGGGCCCAGCTCCTTGGGCTCGTTGTCCTCGGGCTGCGGGAACTCATTCAAGTAGCGCAAACCCTTCTGGTACTTTTCGAGGCCAAGGCTGACGTTTCCAGCTTTGAAGGCGGTGTTGCCGAAGCCCTTCAATTCACTCGCGATCTTGAAGCAAACGGGGGCACTGAGCTCCTCGCCGGTGTGGTCATCAGGGAAATCCTCGTACGGGTCACCGGTAACGTCCAGAGCCTGCTTGTCTGCCTCATCGAAGTCCTTGCCGGTAAGCTCACCACACTCCACAATGGTCACATCGGAAGTGGGCTTGTCGGCCTGGGTCGACATGTTCTCAATCTTGCGAACAACACTCTTTCCGTTGATAACCTCGCCAAAAACCACGTGCTTGCCGTCCAGGTGGGGGGTAGGAACCGTGGTGACGAAAAACTGACTACCGTTGGTACCGGGGCCGGAGTTGGCCATAGACAGGAGGAAGGGTCGGTCGTGCTTGAGGTCAAAGTTCTCGTCTGGGAATTTCTCGCCATAGATGGACTCGCCGCCGGTGCCGTTGAAGGCAGTGAAGTCACCACCCTGGATCATGAACTGCTTAATCACACGGTGGAAAATCGATCCTAAGTACCCAGTTAGCTCCTGGGCAAAACACATGCCAAAAGTGACAATGTGAACGTACCCTTGAAGTGCAATGGCTTCTTCTGGTTTCCAATGCCCTTTTCTCCAGTGCAGAGAGCACGGAAGTTCTCTGCCGTCTTGGGAACGACTAATCAACAGTCAGTATCTGCGCGAGCGGCGCAATGTGGGATGTTTCCTACCATCGTTGAACTAACGCGGGGCAAAGTCAGACACGAATTCCTAGAGCGATTGGCAGATAGCAGTAGACTTACCAGTTCGAAAGCAATGCGACCAGTCTTCTGGTTGCCAATCTGAATGTCGAAGTAGACGCGAGAACGGCCTACAGTCAAGACTTTGTCAGTGGCCCGTTGCCTGATGCTGGAACCCCGCACTGGAAGAAAGACTCACTTTGGGATTCAGCCATGGTGATAGAGCAGCAAACAAAAAAAAAACGCTATATGATCGACAGTTGTGAGGTTAAAAGAAGAGAGAAGGGAGGATCGAAAGGTGGAGGAGCAGAAGACAAATGGATGAGGAGGAGAGAGGAATGAATGAATGGATTCACTGCGCCGGCTGTGGACTGGACCAGCCTTTTCTGCAATGCTTCAGGAAGCTTCCATCCCAGCCGAACTCCGCAGCAGCAACAAAGCATCATACAGGATAACAAAGACAGGTCTATGAATGCAGTAGATTATTAAATAATTTGTTTATATATACAGTCTATCTATCTATTCCTATCTTTTTTGATTAATTATTCCAGCAAGGTTGCTGGCATTGTAAACTCATAACTCTGCTTCCCTTGGCCTTCCCCCGCATCTTCCTTCTTGTCGTCTTCGGGCTTTTTGCTTTCTTCAGGCTTCTTTTCCTTCTTTGGTAATTTGGTGTTGATCTCAATTGTGACCTGTCACTCCTCGTCAGCATTACACCTGATAGCTCAAGAGGACGGAAGCAGAAAGAGCAGAGCTGTACCGCTGCATCGTCACTGCGGTAATCTACACCCACCGGCCCATCATTCTTCAGTTCGACATCCATCATGGCCTGAAAGACACCGTTCTTGACCCGTTCCTCCTTGTAGGCCTTGCGCAATTGTTGGAAGAAGTAGTCGTACAGTCTCCGCGCTGTCTCCACGTCGGCGGCTTCATGGAAATCGGGCTTGTTGCCTTTCTTCAACCGACCGAAGAGCGTAAATTGCGAAACTAATCCGATATTGTGAGCAAAATGCGACATCCAAGACGGTCGGCTAGGGAGAGCATACCGCAAAGCACTTCTCCCTCGATATCCTGTACGTTCTTCTTCCACTGTAGTAAACAGCTGTCAGACCTGGTTTTTCCGTATCCCATGGATCCAACACTCACTTGTCCTCCATCTTCCGTCGGCCAGAATCTCGTCTTCAATATCTTGGTTACAAGGGAATCCGCATCTTTCTCAGTATCTTCCTTTCCCACCCCAGCAAGAACGAGAAGACCACGGCCGATTGAGGAGATCAACTGTTCGTCAACAGTGACCGATGCGGATTTCACTCTTTGAATGACGGCTGATTCGAGAATTTAGATAGGAAGTACGTGGTTGCAAAGACAGCCATGCGCACCTTTCATGTTGAGATCTCTGGGGGGCGATGATGTGGCGGGGTTGGCCGCAATAGGCAGGGGGAGTGGTTAGAATTTCGATTTTGGTTTTACTATATTCAGACAAATAGTTAATTAAAGATAGAAACAAATAGAATAACAGAGTATATCATGGATAGGAGGGTTGTTTTGGTGTTGCCCGCACGACTTTCGTGGCTGCAAACGGGGATGCATCATCACCTTAGGTTATGTCCCACAACACATCAATAGCGAATTCTGCAACAATCACCTGCCATATCGACACATTATCAGGCTGTGACTCAACATATTAGGGCAGAATAACAAGAGCACTAACAGATTAAAATTATTGAAATTGAAAGACTGTTCTTGTTGTCTTCTCCCTCGCTGTCTTCGCACATTGCATGGCCCTTAGCGCCTCCCGGTCTTGGCGCCATCCCAGCTTGACAACGCCGACGAGAGAGCATCGGAGACCCTCCATACCTATTCACTGCTCATTATCCACCAGCAACCTCTGATTGCAGCACGCCTCACGACTTGATTTTCTGGAAAGTTGCCTAGCAACCTCTTCCTTTTTCAACAAAGCTCGCCAGAAGCTTCCCATTGCGATCCAACCCCGTGTCCTGCCGGCCCCCGTCAGCCTTTGTGGAATTTTCGCCATTTTGACAGCTTCCCCAGATCCCTTGTTCATTTGAACAGCCGCCATGACGTCTCGAAAAACACAACAAGAGATTGACAAGACCTTCAAGAAGGTATCTGAAGGCATCCAGTCGTTTGAAGGGATATACGAGAAGATCCGAGCGACGACAAATCCCACCCAACGCGATAAGCTCGAGGACAACTTGAAACGGGAGATCAAGAAGCTTCAACGATTTCGCGATCAGATCAAGTCATGGGCTGCCGGCAATGAAGTCAAAGACAAGAGTCCGCTGCTCGAGCAGCGCAAAGCAATCGAAACTGTGCGCACATGACCTCCAACGACCCTGAATACTACCCCCCTCGAGACCCGGGCATAAGAGAAGCTAACAGAGGAGCAGTGTATGGAGCAGTTCAAGGCCGTGGAGAAGGAGATGAAGACCAAAGCATACTCCAAAGAAGGTCTATCGGCAGCATCGAGACTCGATCCCCGGGAAAAGCAAAAGGTGGAGACGTGCGATTTCCTGTCAGCCTGCGTGGACGAACTTCAACGGAAAATCGAGTCCATGGAAGCCGAAGAAGAGACCCTGCATATGCAAATGAAGAAGGGCAAGAAGGACGTCGCCAAGGCCAACCGGTTATCAGATGTTACACACTTAACAGAGCGCCATAAGTGGCATGTCAATAAGCTGGAACTTCTGCTACGGTCGCTTCAGAACGGCAACGTCGAAACGAGCCAAGTACTGGATATCAAGGAGAGCATAAAGTACTATGTGGATGATGGGAATAACATCGATTACTCTGGAGAAGATGAAACACTCTATGACGACTTGAATCTGGGTGATGAGACTGAGCAGTTCGGCCTTGCTGACGACCGAGTATCCTCGCAAGATGCACAATCGGTCCAGGATGACGAACCCGAACCGAGACCAAAGGCGAAGCCGGAGGCAGCATCAACGCCTCGACGGCCATCAGCGCAAATGAAGTCTCCTCTTCCCGTTTTGGCGACCCTCCATCCCTCCACATCCACCAGCTCCACAACTGGCATGAAACCTGCCCCTCTTCCAACTCGTCTTCCCGGTGAAACTCTCAAGTATGCATCGGCCGCAGCCGCAGCAGCAGCGAGTGATAAGAATGGCGTTGGAATTGCTCCCCTACCACCGCCACCCGGTGCAAGCCCTGCTTTCCCACCTGCGACTTTGGCGTCGAAAGCTTCATCTGTCGCTTCACCTAGTATCTCTGCGGCTCAGCCTGTTTCCAAGCCATTGTCTATGGCAGCAGCGGTTGCAGAAGAATCCGCAGCTCATGGACGGTCTAGGACCCCGGCTCTCAGTCCCCGTGTCGGCACAGCGAGCGCCTCGAATACGATGCCCCCTACACCTGCGATGGACAAGGCAGACACCACAGCCACCAAAGAGCAGCCGGCCGCGAATGGGGAAACGGGCAAGGAGGAACAACGTGATAGCGACGAATCGATATACTATCTGCCACCTGGCCTGCAGGACCTAATACACTCATTTGAAGTGACCAAGAGCAGATCGTCGACCAACCCACCCCCATCGGTCCAACGACTTCTCGCCGCGTCACTCACTACCTGTCCTGAGCCTGCTGACGCGGAGAAGCCTCGCCACTACAAGCCACAGAACCCTTACAACACCCCTCTCTACTACCCGCAAGAACCCCTGTCGATCTTCAATGACCCTCGACTGTATGACACCGGGCGCATTGACACAGATACTCTCTTCTACCTGTTCTATTACCGCCAAGGTACATACCAACAATTCCTATCGGCCAAAGCCCTCAAAAACCAGAGCTGGCGTTTTCACAAGCAATATCAGACATGGTTCCAACGACACGAGGAGCCCAAGACGATTACCGAGGAATTCGAACAAGGGACGTACCGTTTCTTTGATTATGAGAGTACATGGTGAGTTCAGCCTCGGTTGATTTTTTAATTTTTGTTTGCTTTTCTTGCAGCCTGACTAACAGTTCATGCAGGATGAACCGACGCAAGGCGGATTTCAAATTTATCTACAAGTATCTAGAAGATGAATTATAATATGAATCTTAAGTTTCATCCGTCTCATCAGCGATCCCGTACCCCGTAGCGGGCTAAAGCAGAGAAGGTGGACTCTGCAAGGGAGATCTGCGATGGGACCATCAATCGGTCTTTTTGAATGTGAAGGGACTTGATTTGAAGTGGCTTGGTTTTTCTTTTTGACACGTTGTGCTGAAGGGCCGGGTATTACCTGAAGATCCCTTCTTCCATCTTTTACCTCTTCGTTTCTTCCTGTCTTTTGTTTTTTTCTTCATCTGGGAATGAGTGAATGAATGGGATTGCGGGACATGGAGTTGGTTCTGCGCTGTTCGTCTGATTACAAGGAGGCTGATGGATGGATATCCACGGGCTTTTGTCTTTTTTACTTTTTTTTTTTCTGCACTGTACAATTCCAAAAACAATGGAGACCAAGTCAGAAGCACTTGACCGTGCACATTCAATCAATAATATGATGTTCCAGCGTAAAAGCCGTGAAATGTGGCGAAGTCGAACACGTCTTCTCCAGGATATTTCGTGCAGTAAGGCTTAGACCCAAACAGGGAACACTGCAAAGCTTCCCTCGTCCCTCACCTCCCATTTGCATCGCGTCTTTTCCAGAACATTATACTTCTGCGTCTACTGGCTGCAAGGTAAGCCGTTCCTGCACCAGTTCATCATTCCGTCCCGACTTTTCCGTTCCATGGAGATAGCAGAAGCAGAACCACCTCCAGTTCTCCATCCGTTTGTGCCCCGGCGGCTCTTTTCTGGCAGTGCTGACTGGACGTCCAGTCGTTAGGAAGCCCCCATTCGCCTCACTTGTCTCTGTTTCTATCTTTTGACTTGATCGCATGAGGGATTATTCTACAAGTGCATGAGCACCATGCACGATTGACACCTGGGGTGTTACTAGTTGTTGCTAGAGCAGAGATGATGGGGGGCTGTGCGGCTGTATTTCCCCGTCCCAGCGAGAGAGCGCGTATCCATTCCCCGGACTGGAAGACTGACAGTGGCTGCTTCTTGGCAGACACGTTGGCATTGTTGCTGCCCGTCTCATTGGATCGTTGCGAATCGTCGTATTCCAAGATTTCCAACTTTTCCTGTTTCTTACGCAAAGTTACGGGCTTTCCAACGTTACAAGGCTGGAGAATCGTTGGCTTAGCGTGCGGATCATTTGCGAGGGGCTCGGAAAAGCCTTGCCGATTTGAATTGATTCCATTCAGCCCAAAAGGACGGTCAGAAGGGACTACAATAAGACACATACCAGTCAGAAACACGGGAGAAAGAAGCGAGCGAAGATCAGAGTTGCTCGGGCAAGATGAAGACTCGTCTGGATGCTCGTGCCGTCCCTTTTCCTTCCCCTGGGCTCGAGGCTTTCCCACATGACGACGCATCGTACTTTGTGCTTTCTTCCTCGCGCTCCAGATGTCGGAGTCGGTCGGCTCCCGACGATCTATCTATCTTACCTCCGAACAAATCAGCGAATCAGGCTGGGAATTGCACTCCATAAGGCGGAATGCTGGTTGATGACTCTCGAAAACGCACCGGGCTCGCTGGTCTTGCTGGTGCCATCTCCAGCCAAACAAAGTACTGGGATGTGAAAGACATCCCCACTCATCAACAATGTGGAGAGTAGCGAAGGGCCGACTATGATGCTGATGATGTTATTCATCTATTCATCGTGCTATCTCTGCATTTTGGCCCCCATTTGGCCCTTTGCCATTCGTCCCGGTGCTCTGACCCCCGTTTCCTGGATACTAGTCTCTTGGGCGCTACTGCGTCGAGAATATTCTTCTAACCTTCCAGGTGTTCTAGCGTCCCCTCTCTTGGCAAGGATGGGCTTGCTTCACTCTTTCACAAATAATGCCGCACTGATGACGCTCATTATTAGTGGCTGTGTAAAGGTCCCTTGTACTACTGAGGTCGAAACCGTTTCGCGCCTGGCTTGTGTCTCTCAGCCGGGGCCCAATCGCTGGCTAAGTATAGTGACCTGACTAGTCGAAGATCTCAGGTTCAGGTGACGACATGGTCCTTGGGCCAGTTCGTGTTTTCTATAACTGCGAACGATTGTCCCCGTCGCGTCGACTTCGTTTGTGGATAATATCCTGGACTAGATGCATGTGCGGGATAGATAGCTACTTTAAAAAGCCCACGGTCCCATCATCGTGGTCTTGAAATCACTTGACAAATTCACAATACATCTCTCACGTATCCCCTCCAGATCACTATACAGGTAATTCAACTACCAAGGGGAAGGATCAATGCCAGACAAAATGCTTCCGTATTCAACAATGGTAGTGTACAATCAATTCGTATCCAACTATCCTCCCCATACTAACTGAACTTCCCGGTCTAGTCCTCAAGCTTCCAAGCTTCCAATCCCATGGAGCGAGCCAACTCCACCAGCAGCGAGCTATCCTTCAGCTTCTCGGATTCGTTCCCTCCGTACGACTATGGGGTAGAAGAGCTCCCTTGCAGCCAGCCGGCGCTCGATCAATTCCCCTACTTTCCTCCCTCCAGCCCGTATGCAATGCAGGACTTTTCTCCTCCGAGCCCATACACTCTGTCCGAATTCTCTCCTCCCAGCAACACATCTTTTCCTTTCCCTGTCGCATCGTCCTATTCTTCATTCTACGAGCCTCTGCTCCCATGGACACCCAGTTGCGACGAAGTCCAGATGCCTCGGTTCGCTCCGGTGGCAGGCGACTCTCCCCCGGAACAATCCAGGTGAGAAGCGCCGGTGCGGACTAGCTGCTGGAAATACAATAACTAACAAAGCTTCAGACCAGTCAAGCCATTCGCTTGCGAAGAGTGCGGAAGGGCCTTCACCCGGTCCGCCGATTTACGGCGACACCAATCCAGCGTCCATTACCCGGTATACCAAGACTGTCCCATGCCAGACTGCCCGCGCAAGAACGGCAGAGGCTTCCCTCGTCGCGACCATTTGAATGAGCATCTGCGCTCGTCTCACCATGTGCACGTCCCCAAGCGCCGACGATTGACCAAGACGGCTTAATCTGTCTTCTGTCTCGTTATGGACTGGGGATTCTGCTTGCTTGCTACGTCTTTTTAATATCTTATTGATGTCATGTGTTTATGTCTGTTGATGCTCCTCCATATCACTTGATATGGTCTATTGTCTGCTTTTTTTTTTTTTATCTTTCTTTCCTGCATCCTCTGGGTTTTGCAGGTTGCGGCGTCATGCTTTCCACGCTTTTTCTTTTTCTACTACGATTCATGGCTTCCATGATGATATACCATTTCGTCTACCCATGCGGCAAGACCTGTCTTGTCCCTGGAAGACAGAACAGGGGCAGACAGTGTCCGTCGCCTCTTTTTGCATGTTGATTTTGATGTCTTTTTTTTGCATGTGTTTAGATTCCCCGGTCTTCTTGATTCTTGTTCATGTTTCTTTTCTGACGATGTACATGCTTCTTTTTTTTTTTTTTCTATGGGTTTTTCTTCATGGATTACATTACCCCATACATGTTGGTGGGATAATAGAAACGGGCCATAGGCTATTGCGCTTCCCTATGGTTCGGTTGCATGTCTGATTTATGATTATTATTGATTTTAGTAACATAGATCATTGATTTCAATTCTATACTATGCTATCTTTTTCTCCTTCTCTGGATTATATACTATATCGATACCAAGCTACTATTACCATTACCATCATCATCTACACCCCCGAATCATCCTCGTCAACATCATTCTCATCCTGATACTCCTCCCACGACTCACAATTCGACTTGAGCGAAGTATTATCAATCAAGTCCTGAATCTCCGAATACCGTTCCACGAACTGAATCGCGAACCCTTCCTCCGTATGCCACCCAATATGGCAATGCATCAACCAAGCCCCGGGGTTATCCGTCTTGAACGCCACCACCAGGTGTCCGTTCTCGGGCAACATGGCCGTATCTCGCTTAGGCGGGTTCGCCAACGAGGTTCCGGAGCCGTCATACGTGCCCGAACCCTGCGCGACAACGATAAAGTCGTGCCCGTGTAGATGAATCGGGTGGGGCACGGAGAGGGTCGTCTCGATGATGACGTAGGTCCACTGGTTTGCGCGCGGCAGCTGCACGACACCGCTGGTATTGGCGAAGGAGTGGTGGCCGCGGTAGATTTCGAGGAGGGTAGGGTCTGTCCAGTCGACGTGCATGGATGTGCTGTTTAGTTTCCAGCGGTAGAGGCTTTGGGAGTTTGTTCCTAGCGAGACGGGTTCGCTTTTATTGTAGAAGGGGGTGCTGGGGAGGGTTTCGGAGATGATGGGGACGAGATTGGACATGGATTCGTCTTCGCAGCTGTCGGTGTAGCTGTGTTCGGTTGTGTTGGGGGTGGAGGGGGAGTCGCCGTAGTAGATTATTCCTTTGATATTTTGGGGATTGAGGTTGTCGGAGCAAGCGGTTTGGGGGATTGCGCGGAGCCAGAAGTTTTCTGCTATTGAGGCTTTGTTGGCGTGGACGACGACGTCGTAGCGTTGGCCTGGATCGTTTGTTAGTACATTGTATACAAGAATGAGATGGTAAGGCGTACCCATGGCAATGTTCAGAACAGAAGTGTTGTATGGCTCAATCGGGACCAGGTCAGCAGCCATCACCGTCAGAGTATGGTTATCAATCATGAACTTGAAATGCGTATCGCAGGCCGCATTCACCAGACGGAGTCGATACGACGTCCCCTCAGTAAAGGACGTGTTGAACCGATATCCAGTCTGATTGACATAGCCATCCTGACCAAAGACATTGGTACCATTGATCAGGGCACTATCGAGGGTGGGCGGGCCATCACTTTGCGCGGTGGCATATAGTTCATCAACCGTGTTGATGTCCCAGTCATTCATGATGATGACGCCCTTGTCCTCATCGTAGTTGGCACTTGCCGGTCCATTGATGACGATGCCTCCGAAGAGTCCCTCCCAGGCTTGCAACCCGATATGAGAATGGTACCAGGTCGTGCCGTACTGCATGGCGCGCCATTTGTAGGTGATTGTGTTGTTAGGGGCTGTTGGGCACTGCGTGATAGACACCACCCCGTCATTAGGGTTGGTGTGGTACTGCCGGATACCGTGGAAGTGAACGCTGGTGCCGTTCTTGACCGTGTCAGGGAGGGAATTGGTGACGTGCACCACGACCCAGTCACCCCAGTCTGCCTCGATGGTTGGACCGGGGATGGAGCCGTTGATAGCCAGCGCAAACCGGGATCGTCCATCGGGGGCGACGGTGACTTTCTCCAGGTTGAAGTAGTACTCGCGGGTGACGCCTGTATCAGGGACGACGGAGGTATAGTCGGTGTTGATGTTATAGTCACACCATTGTTGGCGGTTGTTGGCAGTGTTTCCTGCGCAGGGAGAAGCAGAGGAAGTGGAGAGAGCGGCAATAGTTGATGAAGGGTTTAACGAGAGACTCGACGCCGAAGCGACAAAGCCGCAGAGGATCAAGGAGACAATGCTCTTCATGATCGATCTGCGACGGACGAAAGAAACTTGATAAAATGAATGATAAAAAACGAATGACTGGGTGAATGCCAAATCAATCTCCAGGTGATAGACTTCTACATCTTATACACCCATATCTCAGCATCCCAACAATCCCTCCTTGACGCGGCCTGCACCTATACCAAGGCCAGAGAGGGGCAAGCGATACTCATTTCCCAAAAAGGCTATCTTGGAGGATCCATGGTGGAGAGTTTTCTCGTATATCAAGCCGGTCTATCAGCACATAGTGAACCCTCGTCGACAACGTCAGCAACACGCAAGAGCATTTGTTGACCCTCGGAAAACTCCACCTTCTCAGGTGAAACAAATCAACATCGTATGATTGGGTTCTTTCTGTCTTCGTGGATGTCCTTGGTATCGACGATGGAAGGCTACCTGGACTAGCAGTAAGGCTGAGTGGATCTGGTTCTATCGGTTGCTGATCGTGATATAAAACCTGCTAATTTTGACTCAATCTTGGGTTCTTATCCCGGGATTTCCGAGCTAGCAACCAAATAGCATCTTGTCTCAGTTGAGACTGAATCCTGGCTTGTATGGTTTGTCCTGCTGATAACGTCAGACTAGGCTCCCTCAAAACACTTCGCAGCAGCTCAACACACCAGATATAAACATAGTAAACCAAGGATATCGCGGTCAATCAAAAGAGAAGGCATCTAGAGCATCCCTCACGACACGCAAGCATTTTGAAGGCCAAGCGATTACTCGGACAGGGAAGATCAACTATTCGTCAGTGGTGAAGATGGAGACAGGCAATCCTTGCGATTAAACACAGTCATCGAATCGACATGCTGTGCATAACTGGATTAACTATTTTAAAGTCTCCAGTAGCCTCGATTTCCAAGACATTAAGCTTGAATAGGGCCGAGATCAGCACTTTCAGTCCAGCAAGTGGTGTGGGCAACGTCAGCGACGCGCAAGAACCGTTCCCCACTACGGGAATTTAGTTTATCTGAGTTTTTGCATCTGCCGATTGTCGATGATGGCGGTCTGTTTTTTGATAGTTAGTTTTTTTGGCCTGAATAGGTGTATATAGTCACGCTGAGTGGTGGATCATGAGGGATTCGTCATATTGTGTTCATCGTCCTATATTCAACATCGGATATAGGGGAAGACTGTACTGTGCATAAAGCCAGTTCAATTCGCTTCTTCCTCGGTAAAGAATTGATTTCCAGTCTTTCGTTTATTTTTCATCTTTAATTTAAAATGTATCTTCCAAAGATTGCGTCGCTGGGTCTTTTTCTGGCCTCGAGCTGTCTCGTCTCTGCCGAGTCCCAGTCCTTCGGTCTCTATGCTTATGGCGATAATGTTGGCGGGCTTCCCATGTACTATGCGGATGGTATGATCACAATCCCATTCATAATGCTAAGTATCAAGCAGATGATTAACATTCAAGCAGGCAACGCCGTCGTAGCCCCCAATCCTCCCTCGAATGCGTCCACCGCCGTCCGAGTCTCCTGTAAGTCGTCATCCAAACACATTGTCGGCCTCATCTAACATCCTGAACAGTCACCAAAGGCGACGACGGCTTGGTCGGAAATCCCAACGCCACGACAAACTCGACCGGCTCCAAGGACTTCTCTGATCAAATGCTCTTCGTCCCTGGCCCGTCATCCGACGACCACCAGATGGGCTTCACTGCTAACGGATCGACGAATATGGTCACCAACAAGTTTGTCTGGTATGGTAATTTCCTGCTTGTGGAGGATGAGTCTGGCGAGTATACTTCGCTGTTCTCGGTTCCATCCACGGCGGGCGACGGTGGCTCGTATTCCCTGCTGTGGAATGCCACCGACGATGACGACGTGGTTCCCGTCACCTTGAGATCGATTGCGCCGTCCAACGCTTGATCAGATCAGCATGTCAACATCAACATGTACAATACTTTCGCCCCATCTGCGATGCAATCCTTAGAATACCACACCAGCATAGCATCAAGCCAATCTCGCCTATGCAAAACAAACTACTTCCCTCCCAAATCCACAAACTCCCCAAAACATTCACCCCCTGCCTTCCCTGCTGCATCAAATTCCACTCCCTCCTCCTCTAAAAGCCGTCTCTTCTCGTCTCGGTACTTCCCGCCTCCTATCCACTCCCCCTTATACCCACCCAATGTCCCATCTGCCGCCAGAACCCGATGGCACGGGACCTCTGGGGCAAACGGGTTCGTGCGCATCGCATTCCCAACTGCCCGGGCGGATGAGCCTAGGTATGTAGCCATGGCAGAGTAGGTAGTCCACCGGCCTGCGGGCACGGAAAGAAGAGTACGATATACCCTTCTACGATAGGGAGTGAGAGTTGGGTGGAGAGAGATGCGGTGGAGGGGTTTCTTGATTTGGGGGGTTTGTTTTGTGATTGTGTTGTTGGGTTCAGTACTTTCAGGTTGTGTTTTGGGTAGAGGTTTGATAGGTTCTGCCTTGATATCTTGAGTAGCCATTTTTTAATTTGATGTAAAAATCAATCAGATTGGTTCTTTTGTATTTTTCGATGGCTGAGTGGAATATATTCGCCCTCTGGTGATGATGGCGATCGTAGATGGTTGTCTATTTATTAGTTAGCAGGCCATCAAGACGCGTCTTTTTGAGAATAGTGCACGTACAGTATGTAAATTTTAATATCTAACAGAATAGTATTTGTTTGTTTCTTGAACGTATTCGGTGAGATGGTTGCTGGATGAAGAAAGAAGAAAGTCGAGGTCGTCGCTTTTATTGTACGGAATTCGGGTCTGCTCTCAAAGTGGCCAATCAGAGCTCGCAAAGAACCTTGAAGCAACTAAGGTAGGAAGTCCGTATACACAACTTAAGCAGCAGAGATTTAAGGCTCAATCAATTTCAATAATTTCTAAATTGCAGTGTATATAATTCAAAATACTAAAAATCAAATCCACAAAGCTCTAGGGTATGGCTGGCGGCAAAAATAGCACTTCATAACATCGTATTCCGGATCAAATGCAGCCATCAAGATCGGTCTACATGCTCAGCGGTCGCATCGTGCTCGTCATTCTTAGGACTGGCTGCTCTGCCAGTTTCTGCGTCCAGAATGCTATTCTTTCGACTGGCCGCTTGGATGTAACCGGGGTTCTCCGCTTTGAGACGGGCAAAAGTCCGCTCCGCATCCCAGTTCCACGGAGTAGGGGCAGCAAACAGCAAGTCCATATCTTCCAAAGTTCGCTGGTTGGTCTCTGGATACAAGGCCCAGACCATCGGGATGGTGATTACATTGCTGGCGGCGAAGACGTACAGGGTCTTTTCTCCAATGGCTCCGAACATCACGGGGCAAAGAAGAGTCTAATATCCATTAGCATGCTCAAATGGCTCGTCATGGATGCAGAGCTACTCACCAGCCATCCGTTTCCAATACTCCATCCAACAACACCAAAAGCATTTCCGCGGGCTCTGACAGCGAGTGGGAATGTCTCGGCTTGGTACAACCAAGGTGTAGTCTAAAGAATTCGAAATGTCAGCGTCCGCCTCGATTGTTAACTAGTATTCCACTTACCAGCCAAGTTGCACCAAAGACAGATGTAAAAATGAAGACCATCGATGCGGCTGCTGCTCCGTACTGACTAGCTTTACCATCATCCCCGGATGCTCGAGCGTCGATAGCTAGACGTGAAAATCCACCGGCAAGGAACATGGCAATACCCTGACCAGCGGACCCCCACCATAATGACCATCGACGACCGATTCGGTCCAAGGTGACGACACAAACAAGCGTTGCAAGCTAGAGACAAGTAAGCTCAATTCACTGTCAGGATGGTTGTCGAAACCACATACCATATAGAAAACATTGTTCAAACCACTGATCCACTGAGACTTCACGGAATCAAACCCAGCAATGCTGAAGATCGTCGGGGCATCTGCCAAAAAGGTTAATGGAAAACCAATCCTTATGGGGCGTTTATCAACATGCAAACTGTGACACCGGCAATTCCAACCCATTCTTGCATGATCTGCAACCAGACCACGAGCTGCACACGACGGCCGATATGCAGATCCCCAGACTTGTAACCAAATAACATAGAGAGATACGAGTGACTATGGTCAATCGTCTTTTCAAGCTCTGCGATACTTTGGATATCCCGAAACTCTGCTTCTGCGCGAATCGCATCCTCATCGCTGTTTCCACGCAGACGGCCAAGAATGTATCGCGCTTCTTGTTCTCGACCAACTTTTAACCAACCATCGAGGAGACTCGGGACAGAACCAGACGACCGTGAAGAGGACGAGTAGGAAGAGGATTTGAAATGCGATGGGAAACCTCCACTGAAACGCGGATTTGCCGCCATCTATGAAGGATAAACCACTATAACAGTCAGACTTGGTTGGTGATACTATGTATTTCAGGAATACTCACAACTCCAGCCAATATGCTATGACAACACCAAAAATGTTGAGTGTAAATTCAATGGCGATAAACTGTCCACGGGAGGTGTGGTCTGCTGTCTCTGTTGACCAGACAGGGACGATGGCGTTCAATATACCCGTGCCAATTCCATTGATAAAGCGTGCTTTGGTCTGTCAGTATTTCGAATCACTCAACCTTCAAGTACTTCTTACCGCAGATCATCCAATTGTGGTTCATTGCTGAGCACTGTAAAGCAGCACCCAGGATAGCCCAGGCAGCGCCCGCGGCTATGGACTTGATTCTGCCAATCCGATCTCCCAGCCAGCCACCCATGAGGGCTCCGCATAGTGTTCCCAGATAATAAACTGCCACAATGCCACCTTGGAGCAGACTGTTCGTCACGACCGGCGTAAGCATGCCATCCTTCATCTCGCTGTAGCCAAAACCCATGAGATCGATATAATCCTTGGAGTTATTCACTCCTGACATCATTCCCTGGTCGTATCCGAAGAAGAGAATACTTAGTGCCGCAACGGAGTTGATCGCGACGAGAAGATTCCGCTTCTCCAGCTTGTGGACGATGTTCCATGATGGTATTCTATCGCACATGTTGGGCAGATGTTGGTCGAATAATCGCAAGTGAAATAAATTAAAAGATTTTAGATGCTCTTTTTATTTCCGTTGCACTTCCAAGCATCGCAATCAACGGTCCATTAATCTGGGGGAAAGCCGACCAAACTCCAGTATAGACCACGCGGGGAAGCGCGGGGAAACAGAAAACGAGGAACTCTGCGCAACGACATCGTGGGGTTGCAGCAAGTATTTAAACCAACAGCTGGTTCTGCAAGAGATAGGGAATGAATGAATGATCTTGCATGAAGACAGAGATCGTCAAGCGAGCCATGTGAGAGTGGGAGAGTCCAGCGGGCACACGGGTCGAATTTGGTTACATCCCGGTGGGAGAAGTTAGAATTGGGCAGAATACAGAATAGCAGAGGCCAGTGATATTCGCTTCCCCACCAGAACCTGGAGACAGACTGGCTCTGGGGATGGAGATGGAGACCTGGGGATGGGGAGACTAGGCCGGCATGGAGAGTGTCAAACTCGGTAATCGGACGACGACGATCCCACTCGGTACTACGCCGGAAGACGTCCGGGATGAGTCTGGAGAGAAACCATGGTCCCGGTCAGTCAGTCATTATGAGGTTGTAACCGTATGTGACAGCTTGAGATAGATTAAGAGCATGTTGAAGAGACCTGATTGGCATTGCTAGACTGGGAGAGCAGATCGGCTCTGGGAAAGTCGGTACGCAAGAAGGAACGGCAGACGCAGAGGGGAAATAGCTTAAGAGGCATTGCGGGGAGAAAAAGAGAGAGTCTGGGGTTCGAGGAAAATAGGAAATAATGTCGGAATTGTTCCGATTGTGGATTGTCATATCGATAAGTCGATATTAAAGAGACTCATTTTTGAGTCTTGTCTTATTATTCTAAGATGTTTATTTAGTGGGTGTGGTAAGATGACTCTGATATATATACGGCAGCTTTTGCTTCATGCTTCATGCTTCGTGCTGCTGCTTCAGTTGGCTCACTTCAATAATATGAACATCATGGATTAAATTGTTTTAAATATGATTCTGGATATATTCCAGTCGATTCATGATCATGAACGTCTATTTGAACATTAATGATATCGTTTTATCTCTCCATCATACAGCACAGGGATGCTGGCTATTACGTCAAGAATGCACTCATAGCCGAAATGTGAGTAATATATTTTCCGACCAGGCAGCCGATGATAGCCATCAATGCTATCTGGACTGAGTTTCCCTCGGGGAACTTCTTACTGCTGTGCTGTCAGGGACGGTGTAGCAGAGGTTCCTGATAGAAGAAGCTGAAACTGAAGATGTTACCGGTGAGGTTGAATCTCAACATAATGGATGCGCGGTATTGAGGCTGACCATAGTGACACTCTCTGGTTGAGGCAGCAGCAGTTCAGTTTATATCAAAATTACACGCTTTAAAAGAATCTCAATTCCAATACAATAAATACACCAATAAATGGCGCAAACAGAGCCCAAATCGCATCGGCAATATGGAAAATCATATAAATCGCACTGCCGATTTAACCCGAAATTGATTACATACGCACCCGTTACCGTATCAATACCGGGCCGCCAGCTTTTGCTTTCCAAACCTCGAAAGCTTCTCGCCCCAACATCCTCTTCCCTATACTAGACCCTGCCCTATCCCAATTGTCCCCATTCACCTCCCTCCTTAGCTTGTTACCGTGGGGGATCGGTTGTCTATTGCTCGCTCTCTTCTCTCTGTTTTTTCTCGACTCTCTTCCTCTTTTTTCGCCATGTTCCGCAACCTGCTGCCGCGGGCTACACCGCGGGCTGCCATCCGCACCTCTGTCCCTTCGCATTTCGTTCCTGCCACTACTCCTTCTTTCTTGGGCCTGTCAAAACGTGGCTACGCCTCTGAGTCTGGTATGTATTCAATTTATACCCATCCGTTGGTGTGGTGGGAAGGGGAACGGTTCCGTTCCTGCGCTTCCGGCAGTGACAATTTGCTGACCATTGCATCAACGATCATTAGGTGAACACGATGTCGTTATCATCGGTGGTGGTGTCGCTGGTTACGTTGCTGCCATCAGAGCTGGTCAGGAGGGTCTGAAGGTGCGATCATATCATCCCTCCCCCAAAGCGGCCTTGCATGAGTTGTGCTAACGACTTTTCCCCTCCAGGCCGCATGTATCGAGAAGCGCGGTCGCCTCGGTGGTACCTGTCTCAACGTCGGATGTATTCCCTCGAAATCCCTGCTTAACAACTCCCACCTCTACCACCAGGTTCTCCACGACACAAAAAAGCGCGGTATTGAGGTTGGTGATGTCAAGTTGAACCTCGAGCAGATGATGAAGGCCAAGGACACCTCCGTCGATGGCTTGACCAAGGGTATTGAGTACTTGCTCAAGAAGAACAATGTCGATTACATCAAGGGAACTGGTGCCCTGACCGATGCCAACACCGTCAAGGTCAACTTGCTCGAGGGTGGTGAGCAGACTCTGCGCGGAAAGAACATCATCATTGCCACCGGTAGTGAGGCCACCCACTTCCCTGGCTTGACCGTCGACGAGAAGAGAATCATCACCAGCACTGGTGCTCTCTCTCTCACCGAGGTCCCCAAGAAGATGGTTGTCATTGGTGGTGGTATCATCGGTCTGGAGATGGTAAGAATATTGAAAGTGGATTCTCGAGAATGTGCATTAACAATTTCATCATAGGCTTCCGTCTGGTCCCGTCTCGGATCTGAGGTTACCGTTGTCGAATTCTTGGGCCAGATCGGTGGTCCCGGTATGGATGCCGACATCGCCAAGCAGGCCCAGAAGATCCTGGCCAAGCAGGGCATCAAGTTCAAGACCGGCACCAAGGTCGTCAAGGGTGATGACAGTGGCGCCACTGTTGCCCTTAGCGTTGAAGCCGCCAAGGGTGGTAAGGAGGAGACCCTCGATGCCGATGTCGTCTTGGTCGCCATCGGCCGCAAGCCCTACACCGACGGATTGGGTCTGGAGAACGTCGGCATTGAGAAGGACGACAGGGGCCGCCTGGTGATTGACCAGGAGTACCGCACCAAGGTCCCTCACGTCCGTGTCATCGGTGACTGCACCTTCGGCCCTATGCTGGCCCACAAGGCCGAGGAGGAAGCCGTTGCCGCCATCGAGTACATCAAGAAGGGTTACGGCCACGTCAACTACGGTGTCATCCCCAGTGTCATGTACACCCACCCCGAGGTCGCCTGGGTTGGCCAGAACGAGGCCGAGGTCAAGGAGGCCGGTATCAAGTACCGTGTCGGTACCTTCCCCTTCAGCGCCAACTCGCGTGCCAAGACCAACCTCGACACCGAGGGTCAGGTCAAGTTCATCGCTGATGCCGAGACTGACCGCATCCTGGGTGTTCACATCATCGGCCCCAACGCTGGCGAGATGATCGCTGAGGCCACCCTCGCCGTCGAGTACGGCGCCTCTTGCGAGGACATTGCCCGGACGTGCCACGCCCACCCTACCCTTGCTGAGGCCTTTAAGGAGGCTGCCATGGCCACCTACTCCAAGGCCATCCACTTCTAGAGTCTTTGACTTGTCCCTATTCCCGTCATCCTGTATTTTCTCTCTAGTCTAGCAACGCTAGCAAACTACATGTAGCATTTGGTCACATTATATTTCCTTTGTTAGTTGTTCTGTATTGAGCTCTATGATTAAAAGACAGATTTATCATAATTGAAAGTTTTCAGATTGAATAAGCAAAATAAAAAAGAAACTAAACTCTAATCAATCAATTGATCTTCCAGAGCAGGAGGAAAAAAAGCAAAAAAGAAACGATCAAGTTCCGACACGGGGAATCGAACCCCGGGCTGTCGTGTGAGAGACGACGATGTTAACCACTACACCACATCGGATGGTTGTTGAAAGGCCTTCATTTTAGTGCGAGATAAGCAAAACGTACTTAGTAATGTATTTATAACAATTAATAAACAGTCTGATGATTATAAACTTCTATACATCTATATAGTGAATCCCTTCGCGCTTCGCTTTCAACCGTGACCGAGAAATAAGCAAGAATTTGTCAGGCATAGTAGACATAGTATACACAGTTGACAGATACATTGAGAGGGATACATAAGTAGATATAGTATCCTACAGTCAACATTTCCAGAAATCATCATTCAAACCATCCCAGAAGCAAGCAAGAAAGCAAGAAAAAAAAAAAAAAAGAAACAATGCCAGCCTCTACAATCCCCGACTTCGACGCCCCCAGCGCAACAGTTCTCAAGCCCACCTCCCTCGCACACATTGTCCTCCGCACAGCCAACCTCCAGCGCATGGCCACCTTCTACACAGATTTCCTAGGCGGCACAGTCGCCTACTCCAACGACACCATCTCCTTCATCACCTACGACCACGAACACCACCGCATCGCCCTTATCGGCATCCCAAGCTTAAGGCCCAAGGACACAGGCAGCTGTGGGCTGGAGCACGTTGACTTCACCTTCGACACCCTGGCGGACCTGTTACTCGCGTATCGTCAGCGCAAGGCTCGTGGGATTCACCCGATCTGGAGCGTTAACCACGGTCCGACGACGAGTATCTACTATAGAGATCCTGATGGGAATATGATTGAAACGCAGGTTGACAACTTCGACTCGGTGGAGGATGCGTCGGCGTTTATGACTACGGATGTGTTTAGGGAGAATCCTATCGGGACGGACGTTGATCCTGAAGAGATGATTGTGGCTATTCGGAGTGGTGTGGAGGAGGCTGTTTTGAAGAAGCGTAAGGAGATTGGGCCTAGGGGGTTGCCGGATTTCCTTCTGGCTTGATTTTAGCAGGTCACTGTCTCGATGGTTGTTAAATGAGTTACTTCAATTGACAGTCTACCCAATTTACATAAATTCACTCCCGGATGATGCTCTAACGACCCATACAGCCCCTAGGAACTGTCATAACAACCGGTACAGAAGGCCCATACGCAGTCCTCCGATTCAAACCCCGACACCTCTCACACACCCAAGAAGAGTCACAGCCTGAGCAGCAACGGGGACATTGGTATTGAGAACGATGGGACCGTCTAGATGGGTCATGGTGAGTGTGGATGCGGCGCACAGCACAGAGTGGTGCTGATGTTGGTGATGGGGGCTCTGTATGGTAGTGTCGATGGTAGTGGATGTGTTGATGGGGCTCGTGAGTGTGGTTGGTATCGTGGGATGATATGTGACAGCGACATGGACGGTGGGCGTGGCTTGATGCAGAATCCTTGAAGCAGACGTAGCGGTCGTAGTGTTGTTGGGGGGTGTCTCTTAACAATGTATCAGTCAACTTATACCGATTCAGATTTAGTAGAGAATGGAACTGAGGCATACGAAGGATGCGACCCATCGCAATTGGTATATCTCCCTCTATTTAAAGAAGTGCTTCGTGGATGATGTCGGCGGTGGAGTTCATGTACAGCAGGCATTGATGCCGAGGATGATGAGGTGTCGCTGTCATATCCGGGGTCTCTGGGCGTGGGGGTGTAGATGTCGTTGACTGGGAATGGTCTGATGTTGATATCTCGCCAGTGACGTCTCTCGTGGCGATGGTTGTGATGGTGGGTTTGGGGGTTTTGTCTGGGATACATGATTGTTGTAGGAGAATACGATTAGGATTTCCAAGGCTACTACGGCTGTTTATATATGTTTGATAATGCCTAGACGATTCTAGTCTATTCTTCCTTGCAAGTATATGGTGGTATTTCCAGATGACTTGAGCTGCTGTATGACCTTGATGTATGCAGTTTGCTCAACCTGAACAATATGCCCAGGATGCTACATGATGAGCCGCAATGCTTCATCTTTATCTATACAGAATACTCATTGAGCGATGTTTGCTTCGACTCAAAGCCGGGATTTATGCCGCATGAAATTCATTCGAGCCGATTGGCCAGACCACCATCCCAGTAGGTCAATCAATCATTCAATCTTGTAAATATGTCCGGATGATGTCGGGAGTTGTTTGCTATAAGTCATCGAGGGAGCAAAAGGCTCAACCCATTCCTTCAAAACAGTCATAAAGGTGCTACAGACTGCATCCACTGCTTCCCCGCGAGAAGCACCGCAGCTTTCAATATAGACTAGAACAATCGTTAGCGGGCTGCCTTTATTTCAGGCTGGATGGAAAGCGTACGTTTGACTTTGGGTTCTGTTCCTGAGCCCCGGAATGTAAACCGGACATCCCGGTCCAGCCACAGTGTTAGCATTTGGCTGCCTTGATCCACCGGCAGGGTTGGTTTGTTGTCCTTTGTTCCGGAATCGTAGCCTTCCGTCATATCGCGCCATCTTAGGATTTTGAATTCGCCTAGGGTCTTCTCCGTCCTGTATGGCCCGTCTCTGATTGCCCGGAACAAACTCTTTGTGAGTTCCGGATCGGGGGACCGGAAATAGTTGTTCAGTGTTTCATGATGCCCGAATTCCTTGAAAAGCTGCTGGAGCTTGGTGTAAGGGGTGAGGCCTTGGGACCTCCACTTTGCTTCGGCTGATAAGAAGACAAGGGCGGCTGTGATCCCGTCTTTGTCATAGCACACTGTCGGAAACATGTAGCCGAGAGCCTCTTCAAATGCAAAGGGGACATGGTGGTTTGACTCTTCAAGCTTCCGCGCGATATTGCCCATCCATTTGAAACCAGTCAGTGCCTCTTCGAAGTGGATGCCTTTTGCTGCAGCCATTTCCTCTAGCATGCCGCTCGACACTGTTGATTTCAAGACAGCCTGATATTTGCTGCTTTGTGTATCAAAGGAATCGAAGAGATGAGATGCAAGCAAAACACCAATGTGGTTCCCAGTGAAAGTGAACCATGAGCCGCTAAATTTACATTAGCACTGACTCTTACTCAAATGCAAATGGTTACCTACTCGACCTTTTCTGCGGCCGCAAAGCGATCTGCGTCAGGATCATGGGCGATAATCAAGCTTTTGCCTTCCTTATCTGCTGTTCGCATAGCAAGATCTAGAGCTCCAGCTTCCTCGGGGTTTGGAAACGACACCGTAGGGAAATCTGGATCTGGCTTAACTTGCTCAGGGACAGATGTAAAATCATTGATTCCCACTGAGCGACACAGTTCTGGGAAGACTAGACCTCCGACTCCGTGCAAAGGTGTGTATACAAAGGGTTTAGGTGGGCTCCATTCCGATACAGTGGATTTCTATTCAAGTCTGTTAGTCTTGCCACCAATTAGTGATAGTTACTTACCGCATATTTCCAAACTGCACTGGTATACTGAGGCAAAACCTTCTCATATGCATCGACATGCACATAGTCATTTGCCTGCAAGTCCTTCCAAGCGCCTGACCAAGGGACAAGATTCTCTTCAATGGACTGAGCGATTTCCACATCCATTGGAGTGTTTATTTGGGCGCCATTGCTGAAGTATCTACTCAGGGTCAGTAAAACTCAAGCTAATTGAAGTTTGAGATATCAGACACTTTGTAGCCTATAAACCATTAGTTGAGATCCGAGACATTGAACTCAGGTCATACCATTATCTTGGGCTGGATTCTACCCCAACAAGTTAGACACCATCTGATATAATATAGTCAAGGTCAAGACCTACGTGGCTTGCTGTAACCATGATACCTGCTGCAGCGTGCAAGTGGTTTACACCAAATGGGACTGACGGAGTGACAGAGGGCTCCGAGTAAAACCAGACTGGAATTTTCTGTGCTACAAAGGCATTCGCAGCCAAAGCAGCGAACTTGGCAGAGTTGTAGCGAGCATCATGCCCGATGACAACTCCGTTCGATGCGATCCCGGAATGCTTCTCTCGGATGTATTTGGCCAAACCCTGCGAAGCCTGGATGACCGTCAGGGAGTTCATGCAAGAGAAGCCAGCAGCCATCTGACCACGAAGGCCGGCAGTTCCAAATTGAATGCCTATTATTTGCCATCAGAAGATGTCAGGAAGCAGCAGCAATATGAAAAGCATAGTTTATTTCCGCTGTAGGAATGCTGGTGGACTACACATACGTTTTCGGAGACGCTGTTCAAGCTCAGGCACCGCAGAAGAATCCCGAAGCTTTTCGATTTCAGCTCGTGTGATGGGATCCTGCCGTTGATGTCAGTTGACTATCAGATATATTTCCATAAATAGCGGGGTTTCTATTACTTGGTCCCACTCGAGCCACTGTCCGATCAGCCCAGAGAGCGAGTCCTACACCATCACGAATCAATTATCTATCCAGACTGTAGAAAACCAACCAGAATACCTCGACGGATGCTGTAGACATCATTGATAAACAGATTCACGACGGTGGTGGTGATGGTGGATGCAGAAGCGAGGAGGTGCTGGAGAGTGGAAATGGGGCGACGATCCTTCGACCGTTTCGCTGCGTTTCATAGCGGCCATTCGGACCCGCCAGAGTCGATCAAACCACCGCTTCTTCCGCGCCCACGAGGCAGCAGGTTTCGAGCTTCTTCCAACTTTCTGCTGTGACCTGTCGACTTCATCTCAACCCCCTGTTTTATCTGGAATTTGCAATGTCCTTTTGATCCCTGACCAGGAAGTTACTTCAACCTCGGACAAGACGATCGTTGACCGCGATTTATCATGGCCAACACCAGAGAGACGGTCAATGCACCGTCGCGATCTCGAAAGGACACCACTCTCTCCCGGCGATATATCGAAGGCTTGATTTCAGAGGGCAAGCATGTTATTATCTTCGAGAACAGAGTGCTCAAGGTGGATGCTTGGATTCCCTATCACCCTGGAGGTGACAAGTCCATTAAACATATGGTTGGGAGGGATGGAACAGACGAGATCAATGCGTATGTGTTTGCTATAACTTGTGTTATCCCCATCTAATGATTTATTCTACGTATAGATTGCATTCAAAAGAAGCTCGCCAGCGCATGCTTTCCTACCAGATCGGTCGCATCGAAGGACCGTGGTTGAACTTCCTCCCTCCGATCCAGGGCGGGAAGTTCCGTCCTTATAGCGAAGACGCCAGCTCGACCGATGAATATAGCTCTGACCAAGAGAGCTCGAATCCTCCCTCCCCGGTATTCGATGCGGCAGACTCAAAGCCAGGCTTGCGTCGACGAAAGTCAACTTCTACGGATACCTCGGTTTCGTCTCCGGAGAGTGAAGAGTCTGAGCCCAAGCCTTTCTTCCTCGATGCGCGAACCAAGGAGGAGATTCGTTTTGATACGGCCAAGTACCCGTCTCTTGACCAGGCGAACCAGGATAGCATTCGACAGAAGTATCGTCAGCTGGACCAGCGGATTCGTGCGGAAGGCCTCTACAACTGCAACTATTTTTCGTATTTTATCGAATGCTGTCGCTACACCCTGTTCGCAGCGCTGTCATACCTGTTTCTTCGTTTGGGTTGGTATGGAACATCGGGATTCTTCCTAGGCTGCTTCTGGCACCAGCTCGTCTTCAGCGCCCATGATGCTGGCCATATGGGAATCACGCATCACTTCCACGTCGACAGTGTCATTGGAATAATTATAGCGGATTACCTTGGAGGACTAAGCTTGGGCTGGTGGAAACGCAATCACAATGTCCATCATATTGTCACCAACGCTCCCGAGCACGACCCTGACATCGAGCACATGCCTCTGTTTGCCATCTCGCATCGCTTTCTCACCAGTCTCCGAAGCACGTACTATGAGCGCATCATGGCCTTTGACGCCGCGGCTAATTTCATGCTGCGGTATCAAAACTACCTCTATTACCCCATTCTTATGTTTGGCCGATTCAACCTTTATCGTCTGAGCTGGGAGTACCTGCTCTGTGGTCAAGCCCCGAAAAAGGGTCCTGCCTGGTGGCACCGCTGGTTCGAGCTGGCAGGCCAAGTATTTTTCTGGACTTGGTTTGGCTACGGTGTGCTCTATTGCACGATCCCAGACTGGAACAGCCGTATACTATTTATCATGATTTCTCACATGGTCACCTCTCCACTCCACGTCCAGATCACGCTTTCCCACTTCGCCATGTCCACCGCTGATTTGGGTGTCCACGAGTCTTTCCCCCAGAAGATGCTTCGCACCACTATGGATGTCGATTGCCCGACTTGGTTGGATTTCTTCCACGGTGGCTTGCAGTTCCAGGCCATCCACCATCTTTACCCGCGCATCCCACGCCACAACTTGCGTCGGACCCAGAAACTGGTTCTGGAATTCTGTCGCGATACCGGCATTCCTTATGCCCTGTTCACGTTCGTTGACGGCAACAAGGAAGTCATTGGTCGACTTGGCGATGTAGCAAAGCAAGTTCGAATTCTAGAAGAATGCAGGAAGTCGTGCGCAGAGCAGGGTGTCTTCTCAGACCACCACTAAGATACCCATATGGTATACGCTGTTCCGTGTGGTCTTCTCAGATGATTTCTCATTTCACGCAATTTTCTTACTGCACGACACTCCTGTACATATCACGTTATGAATAGCCATTTATGTATATAACGCACGACCTTGGGTGTCAGAATCTGGTTATGATTTTGAGCCTTTTAATGTCCTTTTGATGCCTTTGCGCTGATTTTTCAATTACAAGGATGCTTGAATTCGAATTAATTCTACTCACTAAGAAGTCTGAAAATGAATAGAAACTGATGTAATGCTGGTAGCAAAGGTCCATTTTATTAATATGAAACAATTGAAGGCAGAAGATCATAGAGCTAAATGCTAGTCATTACAGCGTTGCATCGGTATCATAACCAACCTACCCCGGCAGACCACCACCCCTCGCTATCTTTTTAGCTCTCTGTTGTCGCCGATTATGGTTTGCTCTGCTGGATTTATTCTCTTCTTTCCTTTGACGCGAGGCAGTCGTGCCTGGGTCGCCAGTAGGCCCGTTGACATTGCCTCCCCGGCGACCACCACCGCCACGGCCGCCTCTTTGTCCTCCACGACCGCGTCCTCGTCCTGGACCACCTCTGTTTCCTCTGAAAGAAGGACCGGAGGGTTGGTCTTCGTCGTCTGACTCTCCCTCTGCTTGGGTAGGCTTTCTGTAGGATGTTGGTGCGAGTTCGGGTTGCGTCATGACACCACCGGGACCACCAGATCCAAGAGCGAGCTTGTCTTCTAGTTTGGATAGGCGCTTTGGGTCACGGGTGAGCATCACCGCCCATCCTTCAATAGCCTCGTCTGTCATGCCCGTTTCGCGCTTCAGCGAGGCTCGCGGTTGCGAGCGGCGTGTGGCAGAGTCGCGTGCGAAAAGTCCAGGGGTTGACTTGTAAGCACGGAAGAGAGACATGTCGGCTTCCTCGGCACTGCGGTTACGCTTGTCTGCGTCTGCGTCTGCGTCTGTGCCAGCCGGGACCGAGTCTATGGTGCCACCGACGTCGGCTACATCGTAGGTATCGTCACGTTCGTCATCGTCGGAGTCGAACGCCGCCAGAGCGGAGAGAATGGCGGCCTTGTTGGTCGCGTGTTGACTGCGATCAGCCAAAACGGCGTCAGCGGTGAGGTCTGGGTTCGCGCGGCCAAAGCGGAGCTTCTCGCGTGCGGCATCGTCGCCTGATCGGGCTAGTTCTGCAATGTCAACGTCTTCGTCGAAGACATTCTTGCGGGCGGGTGTTGGTTCGGGAGAAGGAATCTCTGGGGGAGTTGGTCGGGGGAGTAAGGTATCATGATCGGTGGTTGTGTGTGTAGGGGGGAGTTGTTCGGATATGTCGAGATTTTGAAGTTCAAGGGGAAGAGAGGCGTCGAGAAGGTGGGCGACAACAGTTTCCGTGTTATCGCCGTAGAAATCAAGTAGTCTTACAATGTAACCTGATCCAAGGTCTGGGAAGAGATCTTGGACTTGGGTGACAAGGGACATTCTGTGAGCATGAAGTTCTGCATCGGCACCAGGAACATCTGGTGCACGGCTCTTCCCTTTATCAAGCTTCTTCTTTTGCTTCTGATATCGATGATGAAACGGTTTTGATTCCGTCTGATATGAACGCAAGCTGGAAAGTAGATCCTGACCCCTTTGCTGTGTCTGCACACTCAGATATCGTTCCAGACGAGCAAGAAGATCAGAGCCGCAAATCAAATCTGAAAGAAGGGTGGGCTCCTTCTTCATCTTCGCAGTGCCTACTCCAGCGGCAGCTTTCAGGCCGAATAACTGATCAAGGAGTAATGATAAGTTTGGCTTTGAGCCTTTCAATAGCGATGTCAACCCGACGTACGCATTTGCAACAAGAACCTTGCGGATCTCCCCTCTCTTCAGCGTCAGATATGCATCTGAGAAGGTATCCAGGAAATCAGATCCCGTGATGAGGACTTGGCCACAAGCTGGCAGCGCAGATGCAAGAATCGTCAACAGACGAATGTCAGAGACAATTTCTGGATTGACCGTAGATGTAGCTATGGAAAGCTGCTTAATGATAGATAATTTTGCCTTCTCCAGACTGGAGGTTATAGTCTCTTGGTGCTTATCCCATGCATCTGATAGTAATCGTTTCAAAGCAGAACTCGAAGGATAGCAGCAGCACATGCCACCCAGAAATTTCCAGTGCAGTAGCTCAGGTGGCGATGGAGCAACATCCAGCAGCAACCGCCTTGTCAGCAGAAAGCAGAGTTTCCGTAGTTGCCTTGCGTTTTGCCCTGTATGCAGACCGGTCTCTCCAGAGGCGGCCAACTGATGATAGAAAGATGACAGAAATAGGACGGCAGATTCATCTTTAGGTGCGTTTTCTTTGAAGGCTTTATCAGAAGACTCTATACGGACTCCAAGAAGCATAATCCATGCATCAACACATGCCTCCCATTCTGCATGTTGTAGTGTTCTCCGCACTGCGGGTGGTGGAACGGGTGCAAGAGGAGGCAATTCCGCCATGACTCGACAGATATAAAAGATGTAACAGTCTAAAAAAAAAGCTCAGAAAAGAAAGAAAACGGACAGAACAAGCGTAATCATCATCAACAGTCGTTGCAATCCTCAACCATCGCCTTTTGCCGTGCTTGGATATCGCGATGTCTGGATGGCCGAGGATGACGCTGACTCACCCGCCCAATCCGGCCTAGCTCCAGATAGCCGAGTGCCAAGCCTTCCGCCCGCACAAGCGACGCTAAACACGGCCAAAAAAAAAAGATTCACGATTTGTCGCGGTTTTAATAGCTCCTCATCGGCCATCATCACCTTACCGAGCCTCGAAGTTCAGGTCTTGATTGGCAATTAGCCCCTTATAAGGTATGTCGCGCGCCCTTGCTGGACCGGTTTCTTCTGTTTATATAGCTAACCAATTGCTCTGAACAGCCATCTCAGTCAATCCCGGTCTCCCCACCGATAAACATCAAGATGTCTTTCCAGAAGCCCGAGAAGGACTTTGGCGAGGGCCCTGTACGTTCACCTTCATCGCGATATCCTATATGATATACGTCGAGGCAACATTCTATTGTATACACCGTGGTTATTAGATGCTAATCGTCCCTTGTTCCTGCGCTACAGAAGGTCCACAAGATCCGTATCACTCTTACCTCTCGCAAGGTCGCTTCCCTCGAGAAGGTCTGCACTGAGCTGATCGACCGTGCCCGCTCCAAGTCCCTCCAGGTCAAGGGCCCCGTCCGTCTGCCCACCAAGACCCTTCACATCTCCACCCGTAAGACCCCCAACGGTGAGGGTTCCAAGACCTGGGACAAGTACGAGATGCGCATCCACAAGCGTCTTATCGAGTAAGTTTTTGGCTCCTTGTTTCTATAGACAAGAGTATAGACTAATCCAATGAATAGCCTCCTCGCCCCCACTGAGACCGTCAAGCAGATCATCATCAACATCGAGGCCGGTGTTGAGGTTGAGGTCACCATTGCCGCCTAGATTAGTTGATCTAGTCTGCATCAGGGAGGGATTGGTGCCAACTCTTAGTTGGGCTGGCATCATGAGCGATGGACTTGCTTGGTCATGTAGTAGAGGAATCTCTTCAGGATCCTCGTTGAGTCAACGTCGATACCCGTTAAGACCTGAATCTATAATGAAAAAACCAAAAAGTTTCACGTAACACTATTTCTATTGCATATCAATCGTCTCGTAAAAAAGCCTAGGCCCCTTAAATAATACCCAGTAACCCGGTGTACCGCGTTGGATCCCGTAACACTATCAAATTGCGCCTTTTGAACCCCCCTGTGAAAGCGAATGAAGTAGCTGTCGCCCACAACTATATACTACAAATAATGATAAACAAAACCGATCTTCTATCTTAGAAGTCAAAGCTCACCCACTCCGTCTTGGGTGGTACGCTTGGGATGACACCATCTTTGAAATGCCCATTCTTCACAAAGAACTCATACTGTTCTGTAATCTCCGGAGTATAATCTTCGGGTTTGCCCTGTGTATCTCTGAGACTGGCTTCATCCGGTGGCCCGTCAGGGAAGAAGATGTGGGTATAAGTTTGGCGATCTTGTGGGTGAAGATAGCACGGCGAGTTTTCGATATACTTCACCGGCTGTCCTTTCCACATGGTGAGTCTCTTTGTCATAGGATCCCGAACGGTCTGGCCAGCCAGAGGCGGGATAGGGTGAAGGTCTGTAGGATCTTCGACCTTGACAGCCGGTGGTGGTCCGGTACCTGCAGTTACACTAGGTGCAGCCGGTTGCCCCAGTGGTGCCCCAGTAGGTTGGCCAAAAGGCGAAGCGGCGGGTGGTTGAGCTGGTGCTCCAAATGGACTGGGAGCTGTAGACGGTTGACCGAAAGGAGCTGCCGGTTGCTGAGGCTGGCCAAACGGTGCCGCTGGCTGCGCGGGTTGGCCAAATGGCCCTGCTGTTGGCTGCGCTGCTGAAGGTTGCCCAAATCCTGTAGGTGCCGCTGGCTGTTGAGCAGCTGCCTGAGCGAAAGGGGAAACCGTCGTTTGCCCCGCTGGCTGTCCAAACCCACCACCAGTAGTTTGACCTTGACTAGATATCTGGCTAAAAGGTGATGCTGCACTAGGCTGCCCGAATGCGGACGTCGAAGGCCCAGCTGCTGACGGCTGACCGAAAGACGGTTGACCAAATGCTGGCTGAGGCTGGCCAAACCCCGACTGACCAAATGCTGGCTGGCCAAACGCTGGCTGTCCACCACCTAGACCTGAAGGCTTTCCAAATGCAGATCCCTGGCCTAAGGCACTTGGTTGTCCAAAGCCAGACGCTTGTCCCACGGCTGATGGCTGTCCAAATGCCGACGGCTGTCCGAACCCGGCTGGCTTACCGAAGGCTGATTGACCAGCACCCAGTCCCGAAGGTTGACCAAAGGCAGGAGCCTGAGGAGCAGCAGCGGGTTGACCGAATGGGGCAGGTTGAGTAGGTTGACCAAAGGCAGAGGGGCCTTGACTGACGCTTGGACCTGTCTTGCCCTCTGTAATATCATTCCTGTTGGGATGCTCACTGGCCCCATCAATGACGTATTTCATAGCACCTTCAAGGTTGCTAAGCGCAGTCTCTACCTGCTTTAGTGACTCCGCGTATAGAGCTTGAGCTTCTTGAACCGCTTGCTCCGCATTTCCTGTTGCAGCCGCTTCATAATGCCGCAGTCGTAGTTCTTCGAAACTCTGCTCTCGTTGAGCGCCCCCAAAAAGCTGTCTGGGAGCGTTTCGTCCAGGTCCATAACATGAGAAAATCCAGTCTGGTAGTCCTTGGCCAGCCGTTAAGTCCGATTTGATATCAGCAGTAGTAACTCCGAAGCTGTAATGGAGTCAGTAGGAAAACAACTTAGACAGGACACAATTGACTTACTTGGACGCTGGTTGACTCTGCGGAGCCGAGCGACCTGTGAGTAGAGTTAGAGAATGGCCAACGAGTTTCCATATCATGTGACGAATCACATAGTAACTATAAGAGCAAAACATCAATAAAGATTCAAACGTACCTCCTCCAAAGCCTCCGCCACCGGACAGAGCTCCGAACCGATTTCCTGCGCTGAACGATTGCTGGCTGCCGGGGTGCTCATTTTTGCAGCGATCTAGAGAAGCGATTAACGACGCGTTCATGGAAAGGGATATCAGAAGCAATAAAACATACCTCCAAACCTGCAGCGATTTTGCTGGTAAAAAGTGCAGATAGCCATCTTAGTGATTCTCTTGTCCCCGGTTTATCCCCCGGGGATCAATTCAGCAGAGTCCGCACCAAGCTGTCTGCTTTTCTGGGCTCGAGACGTTAAACTCGGGCCTCCAGATCACCGATCAAAGCTCATCACAAGGTGAACGATGGAATTTTAATGAGGCCAAACTGATGAAATCTCTAGAAGATAAAGATACAGTGCTAAGTCAATGCTGGTTTTGTGGATTATCCAGTGCAGAGTCGAGTGTGGGCGAAAGCTCTGTTCCTGTGAATGAGGAAGGTCTTTCTTTGCTGCAGCGATGTTGTTGTATTATTCCGGTGACAATACGTTTCACCGAACCGCAGTCCCTCCTGCCCGCTCTCGGTACGAGGTACTGTTATTTGTTTACATCTTACAGCGCATCGTCGTCTATCAGAGATACTAGAAAAACATATTGGTATATTCATAAAATCTTCTTATGCTGGACAACCTCAGACCCTTTCAACTCCAGCTGTATCTAGCGTGAAATAACCGAATCTTTTTCTTAAAAACAACCACCAAAGTGCCGATACAATTACAATGATTCCAAATTGAAACTCCTGTGCCCCGAACCATCTGCCGTGAGCATTATGAAAATGTGCCATATACCTCCACCGATGAAATATTCATTTAATAAAGCTGTCCACCAGGGCTGGATGGGTATAGGGTTTGAGTATGCTTCATGCTCTGCCTGAGAACATCCCAATTCAGCCCATCTATCTTCTTCCCGCCTAGAGACTCGAGCTCTGTCGAAAGACCACCTAGGTTGCCGGTTGCAAGGCGTCGCATCATGACAGTGTCCTTAGATCCGTGCAGTGTCTTGGCGTTTCCGTGAAGCAGAGATTCTTCAAACCATGCCTCTTCTTGGTCATCAAATGGGAGGCCAATCAATTCCATTGCCCGGTTGCTCCGTGTCGGACCAGAGCTAGTCTTGTGAACGAATTCTATGAGCTGCTCGAGATAGCCACGGCGATTGTAATCGTCATGCTTTCGAGTGAAGTAGAAGGCTTCTGTGATATTTCCTCGGCACAGGGTTTCGAAAAAGGCTTTCTGAACCTTGGGCGATGCAAGCGGGGGCGATACAGTAAGGTAGTAGGCCATTACGAGGCTATCATCGTGCTTGGGAAGGTGGGAGAGGGTAAGGACATAGAGGATCTCGTCCGGGAAGGTTGGGATGATCGATGGTTCAGTGAGATATTCAATAGCTCGCTGTCGGTGTGAAAATTAGAGCGGGATCAACCATATCGAATCGCGGGGAGACATACCCTGAATTCCAGTCTGTCCAGGTTCCAAAGACCTTCGATGAATAGTCTATACTTCTCAGGCAAGTGGCACCGACGCGCGTACTGCGAAGGAATCTCGCCAACTGCGCGACAATCCTTCAAGATGTAGTATAGCACTGCTTGCTGGTGGTGGATGTCCAGTGCGGAGGAAACAATCTGGTTGACGAGCGTTCGGAGATCCGAATTCGACTTCGGGGGGTATAAAGTTGTAACTGAACAGTGACATGGTTAGAATGATCTCGGCAAATCCTAAAGCTCACAATAAGCATACCTGCTTTAACACCCAGCAAACCTAGGAGTCGGTCGGCGAAGAGTTGATTGCCCAAAGCCCGGCGGTTGGAGATAATCTGCTCAATGACTTTGCCATCATAGGAAAAGTTTTTGTTGAAGTAGAAAATGCTATCGAAATCGTCCCAGGGAGCCATATTGACCGCACGAACAGAAGTCGTGATCTGTGGCTTCTCTTCGCTGTCCGTCTTGCTGCTCTCTTTGAAGCAGCTCGGCGGAGATGTAATATTCACCGCCGACGTGACAATACATTACATACAGCTGATGTCAGCGGGGCGGTAGGCCATGTGACTAACCCCAATGTTGTGGCAGAAAAACAACGCTTTGCCCAATTGGGAGCGAAGGTAAACAACCCACTTCCACCACCGCCGCAAAAACAACGTCGCATCACCATCCCACCATCACCTGTCTTCATGAGGCAGTCCCTTGCAGCTAACTACCCCCAGGCATAATGTCGTCAATTGCTAAGGGCAGGCCATCCCGGCGCTCTGCCGCTCGAAGAAGCTATGCCATAGAAGAAACGTCCGAGTCGGAGGATCCTGGAAATGTTACGCCAACGGCCTCCAATCATGGCGGCGGCGACGACGATGACGAAGAAGAAAATGAAGAGGAATATACCCCCGTCCCGAAGAAAAGGGTTTCGATGAAGAGCACATCTCGACGTCGATCGACAGCTGAGGCACCCACGCCCAGCACTGCACGCCCCAGAAAATCACGACAGTCACAAGCGCCCGAGGAATCGGATGCATCGCAAGTAGCTGAGGAACCCGCTCCCCGCCCCAGAAAATCACGACGTTCACAAGCCCCCACGGAATTCGATGCATCGCAGGTAGCTGAGGAATCTGCTCCCCGCCCCAGAAA